TGCGGAGATAAAAAAAAGAGCCCTTTGCAAAAATAACGTTGAATTATTTCCGAGAAAAGAGTTGACATTGAAGCACAAAGACAAACATAGATAAAAAAAAAAAAAAAAAAACATAAAATAAAATAAAACAAAAAAAATATAACCCGTTCCTTCCTCGATCAAAACCGCCATAGCCGCTGTATATTCCCCACATCCTTAATCCCTCGCAAGGAAAAAAGATTTCTTGTTTCTCATCCATACAGATTACAGAATGCCATGCGGCCGTGCCAAACTGCGGCAACGCGGCGTGGATCGTAAACGGTGATTGAGTCTTGACATCTCGCCCGGCTGCTGCCCGCGCCACGCCGTTGCATTGCTGCAAGGGACTGAGTTAATCGAACTGCATGACAGCAAGCTGCAAGCTACAAGCTACAAGCAGCATGAGCCGGCGCCCTGGCTGCCATTTAAATTGCAATATTACCAATTTACCCAGAATTCCAGGGCCCCAGGATTCCAGGATTCTAGGATTCTAGGAAGTGTCACGCCGCACAGATACAGTGATGACTGATACACATACAGATACACACGGGCATCGCCGCAGCGCGGACAGTACAGTGGCCGTTCATATCGGGCATATCGGGGCAAGACCACGGTCCGCGGGCCGCGTGTAAGCGCGTAAAACATGCCTAATGCCTACATCTATGATTCTATGCCGTAGATTGTATTGATACTTATACAGCATGCAGAATGCAGCATGCAGAAGTGTGGCACAGTTATACTTTACTGGCTTACAGGCCTACAGCTGCAGGAAAAAAAAAAAAAACTCCACAGGGTCCGCGTAAAGTTTGGAACTTTGGGTGAAAGGAAAGGGTCTCAGACATGGGCCAGATGGATGCCAGGACGGCTGGTAAGGGAGTTGCTTGGTATAGAGTAGGAGTGTTTGGTGAATAAGGTAGTGAGTTGAAGTTGAGTGCTACGTATGGGCCATGGCGTGTTGAATGAGTATCGGGATTATGAGGGATATATCGTTGCGAAGGAGGGAAATTCTGGGAAATGGCTGGAAGTTCGAACCCATGACCCGGACGGGTGAACTTCGAGAATCGGAGAATCGGAGATGCGTGTTTTGTTTACTCGAGGACAGCGTGTTTATGGAATAGAGAGGGATGTGATCATGTGAGGACCAAGGTTCGTTGGTTGAGCTGCGTATCTGAATGACGGATGAGTAGTCGGGATGTGCTGTATCATGTATGTGCCATCGGACGTTCATATGAAGAGGGTGTATTGGAGATGTTGGGCGTTGTGACTGTATTATGCCGTGATAGTATTCAATTTTCTTATTTTATTCAGAGTATTTTTCTTAGTGGAGTAAACAATAGGTTCAAGCTACCTTAGGTAATGTCAAGGAAAAACATGCAGCGAGAAAATATTATACAAAGAAGCTTAATCAATAGTTGAAAATGATAAATGAAGATAGAAAGCATCAGAAACTGGAACGCTCTGCTACAAGAAGGTGGGCGGCATGACCAAGGGAACCATGGTGGCTTCTATCAAGCAGCAAGCTATCTCGCATTCTCCACCAAATCATGCTACCATACATAACTACATCCTATAGAAAACATATGAATCTCTACCGTGATACGCTTCTACATGCATCTATGTATTTTCCATATGAAACAGTAAAAGACATCAGTATATTCCGAGTCGAGAACTACAAGTTGATCTCACAACTTACAACGGCACATACTCATACTAAACTAAAGGTACCCACATTCTACAGCCCTCCCTAAGAATACCCTACCTTACCTTATCCACGGTGGGCAAGGTGAGTGATCTGAGCGACAAATATCGCGGGGGCTGAGGGTTGGGTAAGAATGTAGATGATTTATACACCCCAGCAAAAGAATTCCCCAGATCACACCCTTAGCCGGCTACATCCAAGCACTCATAGGACCACAGGAGCTTGTGATCCTGTGGTCCTGTGATCCAATCCTCCAATCAAGAGCTGCGCCCAGATCACCAAAGCGTAGATCGATCCTATTGGGTCAGACGGTAGAGTTGTCTTGCTTAGCTTACTTCGTCTACTCGATGTGCTTGAAGTGTTGAACTGGCAGGTGCTGTTTAAGAGGTTGACTGCCCTCTGATACCCAGTAGATTGTTTACAAAACATATACACGCTAAATCGTGTTGTTTTCGTGCTAGCGTCCCTTTGTTTGTATATGTTGTTGTTGTTGTTGTAGTGTATATAACTCTAGCGTGCTTCATAACAAAACAAAGAAGATATCAAACGGCCAAGTGGTACACAGGGAAAGAACGGGCTCGCTTGCTCAGACGTCAAACGTAACTACGTGACTATAGTCCGAGAGTCCCATACGACAAACGACAAGCTGGAGATATATACCCGCATATCACGAATAATATCCCCATGACCCCATGAGCCTTATTGTCTTACTGTGCATTTTATATCCCATACAGTCAACCGACTCCATTTCCTTCATATTTTCGATGCAGAGCTCAGATCTTCGGGGGCTAGTGTTGAGACTTCCCGCCAAACAATGAGGGGAAACTTCAACGCAACCCTGGACTCGTAATATTTGGTTATCGTAGGTTTAGACTTCTGTAGCTGGAAATATAAAGTTGAAATTATACCCAAGTCCCCCTCATTCCTAGACTGCACCATTCCGCCCTAAATTCAAAAATAGTATACTATCAAATATAAGACAAAAAGATAAACCCCCTTGTTATGCTGTCATTCTGCCTTTTGCCCTATGAAATTCAAGCACGTCTTTCGAAACAATTGTCAGCCAATTGAAAACCATGCAATGCCAAAATAGTAAAGATTGGCTTGATAGCCCAGTGTACGGCCAACAGTCCCAGACAATGGCCCCTCATCTGTAAACCAGCCTGGGCCGACGTAGTAAACGTCCCCGTTTCACCATAAATTCCTATAATCGAATAAATCCACGTCGCCAGAATGAGGAGTTGACACTCGCCATCAAAACCGGCCCGAGATATGAGTATGTGATGGCAGTGTGCAAGACTGCCGCCAACAATCCCAGAATCATACATCATTGACCAGAAGTCGCATGGGCTCACCAGCCTAACCAAGAAGCCAGTCTGCTGAGGAGGGATTTGAATAGAAAAACAATGGACCGGACCACTTCGCCGGGTTATTGGTTTGACACGTAATCTAATTTGATCGAGAATCTTTCTTTCGAGAAATTGTATTCGAACTGCAATTAAAAACCCCCTCGTGTGAGATTCTTAAAGTGCTCCGATAGCCTCGAGTACTATCCACCTTCTCGCAAAAGTTCAAGGGCCAGGAGCATGGACTGGTATATTGAGGCGGATCAGGGTCGGAGTCTGAAGACAGCTTGGAGAAGATATCTTGAGCCCAAGACAGACAAAAAAATGGCGTCGAATACAAGGAATAGGATGGAATAGCCAAGAAAATTTTGGTTGTTCATAGAGGACCGAGATATTAAATAGTCTCGGAGGAGAAGAGCGTAGAGTTAAATAGGAACGAAAAAGTTTGGCATCATTGGGACTAATTAAATACAGAGCACGGAGCCTAGTTGAAAAAAGAACAAAGGAGGAAAACATCATCAAGCAACGAAGGAAGATGAAAGAAGGAGAGAGTTGTCGAATGGAAAGGGGCAGGATTAGAATGGACACTGCGACGAGAACGTTCAAAGACAGAATCCAGACAGCTAGGAAGGCAGGGAGCACCAAAAAGGATATATAATGACGAGGGAAATGGATTCATCCCTGATGGAGATCAGGAAACCCTTCACCACGATGCCGGCAATGATTGATTGACTTGTAGTTATTTCCTACAGTCCTACTATATCTGCAATTCGGTGGCGAAAGAGGATGGGTAATTCCGCCGTGAGCAAAGATGGGCATTAACCCCTACTCCTCTGAATTAGGGATATAGCTACCCGGCAAGTTATCGTCAAATGGAAATTATGAAATGTTATCACCATAAAGGGTAATAATGCGTAGGCACGAGCCTCGCGCATAAAGGGAAAGGGCTGAAATAGGGTAGGAAGCTTGGGCCACCCTCGCCAAGCTAGACGACTTGTAGTTCGGTAATCGCTCCTTCTCTCCACAATCTTTTGCGAACATCACCAACCTCCGTCATAGTCCCTTCCGTATGTTGCGTGACGCTCAACATTCACTGCAATCGCGGCTTCTGTCGCCGTTCCTTCCTCGCTGGCTCAGAACGCACCACAGTCGGTTACCATGGACGACCACGAGCAGTCGCGTCCTGATCACCACCAGGATTTTCCCCCCGAATCTCGTCTCTCCTCCTCCTCTCCTCACCCTTCACATAACGATCAGCAAGAAAGCTCGTTCGAAGATTCTCATTTCTCCTTACTTTCGATTCCAATCCTTGTGATCAAGACCTTGTTCACTTCCAACTCACTTCTTCCTGATTTCTTGATAAATCCCAAACCTGCTGTCAAAATGACACCCCCTCAGAACCAGCAGGCGCGTAACAACCGCCGTGCTCACCCTCAGAACTCTTCCATGCCCCCCCCGCCCTCTGCTCCTCCAAACGAGGTTGGATTTTTCAGCGCTATGCTCCACGGTCATTACGACCCAGCTCACCCGTATGGGATGCCTTACAATACCAATACCAATGCTATGCCCTACGTTCCTGGCACCTACGCGGACGCAGGACCGGCTCTCAACACAACTCCCTCTGTTCTTGGAACTTACGCGGACGCAAGCCCTGCAACGGCGCCTCCAACACCCATGTCATGGGAGTACAGCACCCCTCAGAACACGGGAGAGAAGAGAAGCTTCGAGACCTTTAGCGCTCAGGATGCAACTGCAGCAAATATCGACCCTTCGTAAGTAAACAAGTGTATTGAAAGCAACTCGCCGCTGACATCACAATAAAATAGACAACAGATTCATGCCGAGACCGAAAACTCTCAGGCTGGCTTCCCTATTTGGGGCCAAAATCAGAACGCAAATGCGTCGAACCATATTGCCGAGCCCAATAGAGCTCAGGCCGGTTTCCTTCAAGAGAGAAGCCATAGACATCGCTCAAATCCTTCACTCTTTTCCACCAACACTCATGCCGAGACCGAAAACTCTCTGGCCGGTTTCCAACAAAGGAACCGTAGACAGAACGCGAACGCGTAAGTAAACAATACCAAATAAACATGGGACGCGTCACTGAGCATCATGATAAAGCAGGCGACAAGTTCACGCCGAGATGAATAGATCTCTGGGCGGTTTATCCACTGAAAACCGTATGCTGAACGCCAACGCGTAAGTAGAAGGTGCACCCAAGCAGCAGAGACCAGACACTAAATATCACAATAAAACAGACAACCTTTTTATCCTCAGAGGAATAGACCTCAGGACGGGCATTTCAATAGAAACCATATCCCGATCGCAAACGCGTCAAACAATTTTCGCCCAAATGGCAACGAGACCAATAGATCTCAGACTAGCTATCCCAATGGTGGTCTTTTCCAGAATACAAACGCGTAAGTAAAAAAGGTGGTAAACATGAAACGCGTCACTGAATATCTGAAATAGACAACCTTTTCATGCCGAGACAAGAAGATCTCAGGCCGATAGAAATCGTCTATCGAACGCAAATGCGTCAAACAATTTTCGCCCAAATGGCAATAGATCTCAGACTGGGTATCCCAATGGCGGCCTTTACCAGAATGCAAACACGTAAGTAAACACGGTGGTAAACATGGAACGCGTCGCTGAATATTACTATGAAACAGACAACCTTTTCATGCCGAGACAAGAAGATCTCAGGCCGATAGAAATCGTCTATCGAACGCGAACGCGTCAAATAATTTTAGCCCAAATGGCAGCGAGACCAATAGATCTCAGACCAATTATTCTAATGGTGGCCTTTACCAGAATGCAAACGCGTAAGTAAACACGGTGGTAAACATGGAACGCGTCGCTGAATATCACGATAAACAGTCAAGCCAATGATGGCAGACTGAATACGCAGATTGTCGCCGGGACTGGGAGGTCACCAGCTTCCCCCAGAAATTTTACTCAACACGATAATTCTACTCCATCTACTCCCACCCTTCATATTCCTGGTGCATTTGGCACACCGGAGACACCGACACCAATTATACCCGATCGAAGTTATCAAATTAGACGCCCTCTCCCTTATCCTATTCCCTCGGTAAGTTTAAAACTCTCTTTTTATTCATCCTTTCGATACCTCGTGCGTGTGTGCCTTAAAATATATATTTTCCAAAGTCGCTAACCTTTGAATATTAGCAACATCCCTCCCGCCGATTATTTAACAGAGTGGTCAATATTTCGCTTCAAGATTTGGGCGCTGGCCTTGGTCATACTGCAACCTTCACTGCAAAGGCTGCTACAGCGCTTTGCCGAGGGGGCCAATCCATCATCTGGCCCCCTCCTCGCGCTGTTTCTTCTATCGCAAGGGCGGTCCGTCCGACCGCCCTTGCGATAGAAGAAACCTATGATCGCGTCAAGCGAAGAGCGGTACACGCCATTGCGCGTGTACCGGAAACGGCTAGAGTGGTGTCGCACCGACTAAATGAGGTGCGACGGCACTCTAGCCGTCGCCTGAGGCGGTCCCAGCTCGACCGCCTCAGGCGGCAATCGCCTATTCGGGCGACCAGCGCCGCTGTTGCACCTACCAACAGCGGCGCTGGTCGCCCCGAGGACCTTCTGGCCAGCCTTAGGCCAGAAGGTCCTGAGCTCGTCGAGCTCATGAGCGGCCCCTCCGGGGCCGTTCCCGCGGCTCCCCTTGCCGATCAAGGGGAGCCAGCCAGTTGCAGGGGGCCCACTGAGTTGCAGGGCCTCCTGCAACAACAACTTGAAGCGACACTCCGCGAGGCCGCGGAGTTTGAGGAGCGGGTCGAGAGGGATTTGCTGGAGAGGCAAATCTCTCTCGACCTGGAGAGAGCGGCTGCTGCGGCTTCGCCCGTGACGGCCGATTCTCCGTCCGACTTGTCCTCCCCTCCCCAGGGGAGACGTGTGCGCTGGGAGCACACGCCTGGGGGCGGTGTGAGGACAACGGTAAGAAATTACCAGGTCGGTCGGAGGATCGACAGCACGGGCGAAAGCCCAGTGGCCGCCTCTGAGGAGGCGGACAGCCAGAAACCTCTCCGGCGTGTCCTGCGGGACACACCCGCCAGACGGCGGCGCCAGCACCCCCTGCACCAGGTAACTCCCCTAGATTCAAGAAACTTTTCGATCAACTGAGCTAACTTCGCTGACGTGAGGCCAACTAAAGCAGGGGGGTGCTGGTGCACCGCCGTCCTGGCGGGACCGCCTCCGGTCCTCCTCGGGCCAAGCTGGAGGAACAGAAAGTTCCTCCACTGACTGCACGGTGTCCAAAGATATTTTGGACACCGTGCAGAGAGATTTGGAAGTTTTCCAAATCTCAGATAGACGGGCGGCGGACCGCGCCCACATCGCCGCCGAACAAAAGCGGCAAGAAGAAGCCGCCCAAAAGGCACGGGCCGCCGCCCTTCAGGCCGAAGCCGAGGCCAGAGAGGCGGCCAAGCGGCCGGCAAGACCTCGAAAACTTGTGCCGGCCGCAACGGCCGTCACGGCTCTGTCCCAGGAATGGGACTCCAAAGTTGACGTCGCCATGGCGACGGAGTCTCTCGACGCCGTCCTCGCGCAGACGTCAACCGGGGGCCAAATTACGCGAAGAGACCTCGGCACCATCCTCCCAGGCCTACGCGATCGCTTGGGAGGATGGTTGAACGATGAGGCCGTCAATGCCTATATTCAGTCGGTTGTTGACTATGGTCAACAAGAGCGTGGGGACGGGATTTCTCGGCGCGGTGAGACCCCTCAGGTACATGCCTTCAACACATACTTCTACAAGAATCTTCGCGAAAGGGGGGTCCAAAGCATCCTGCGATGGTCGAAACGGGCGAAAATAGGAGGGAAATCTCTACTTAAGGTTGAGAAGGTTTTTATTCCCGTGCACGAGCATAGCCATTGGACGTTAATTGTGGTAAGCCCGAAAGATAGGACCATAGAATATTTTGATTCTATGAATGGTAAACCCGATCGCTTTATCAAGAATGTTAAAAAGTGGCTCAAGGAGGAGTTGGGCGACAAGTGGGATGAGGACGAGTGGGAAGTCCCAGCAGTTGTGGGACCACAGCAAGAAAATGGTATTGACTGTGGGGTTTTCGTTTCAACAACCGCGAAGATGATTATGCTGGGTATCGATCCAATGTCCTATTCACAGAGGAACATTCCAGCACAACGGCGAAGAATGGTCGCAGAACTTTTGAATGGTGGATTTTCGGGTGATTTTGCACCGCAGCCTTTGGAGTAGAGGGTTGAATGGTCGACGAGAAATGGTCACGTGGATCTTTGGGGTTGGTGGATTTCTTCTTGATTTTCTCTTTGTATGAGCTCGCTATGGTTATTTGGCGTTTGTCGTTTGATGCTGTTCTCTGTTGTTTTCCAATGCTTCTTTTGCCCTGCCCTTTCATGATGCGTTGAAAAGCAATGATGATTCCGCATCGCAGTGGCGTTTTCTGTTTTGTTTTTCAACTTCTCGTTTTTTTCAACATTCATTGATCCGAACTCGCGTGGCGTTATTGCTGGGGGTTTACATTTCTACTTGTTGGCGCTTTGTCTCTATGGTTTTGATTCATACCGTTTTCCTACCATTTTTCCGATCGGCAAACTGCTTCCCAGCGCATTGAAGACCCATAGCGGTCGCATGGTTCAAGGTTTTCTACGGTTTTCGTTCTGAGCAAATTTTTGTATGTCGCTTCACGAGTACCTCATGGCTTTGTCCTGACTCGTTTCTGTATTTTTCTTGTTGCTCTCATCTTGCTTTCGCTTAAATCATTATTCTCTTCGTTGGATGGCGTTGAGGGAGGCTCACAAAATAAAAGCTCGTCTTTGAAGGGGTTTGATGATACCATCTCGCATAGGCATATTTTTTCTAAAGTAGCATTTCTTAGACTTTTCACCGCCTGCGAGGATGAAGACTTTTTCCGATTACATTGCATGAATACGTTATTGACTACCTAAACATTTAAAAGTTTCCTTGAAATGCTACGTGATATCTCATGGCTCGACTAAGCTCAAAAGCTAAATTAGATGAAATCACCGCTTCCAAAGCCGCTGAATGGGTTGGGTGGTCCTCCACTCCCTCCTCGAGGTCCACCTGGGAAACGCGGTCGGTCGCGTGGCGCGAAAGGTTCATCTCCAGGCCCAACAGGGTCGTATCGCGCGCCTAGCGGAGCTCTTAAAAATATTCGAAAAAACAAAAGGTTAGCAAAACGCGTTCCCAAAATTCGCCAAGATTCTGACCAACTCACCTTGAACCCACCCCTCCTTGGGGACTGTCCCGTCTGCCAGCAAACAAGGGATCATCAAACGTCGGATGCATTCCACCACCACCAAAGCCACCACCAGGCCCGAACGTGCCTCGAAGTGGATCATGTGGACCAAGACCCTGTGGATACAGGTCATCTTGTCCAATGCTGAGAGGGTTGCGAGGTCCAGACCCTGGGCCGCCGAGAAATCCGGGCATCGAGCCGCGAGGCGGTCGGTTCATCTCGTACTCGTCCTCGAAGCCAGGAGGTGGAAAATCACCGGGAGGGTGAGGAGGCCGGGCGGGTCGGGGGATGGCCAGTGGGTCATCGAAGGGATACGGTCTCGCAGGCTGAGGGAAGGTGTCGTCATCTGGATTTCGCTGGCCGCGAGGAGGAGGTCTGTTCGCAGATGACCCTTGAGCGGTAGCAGAGGCCGACTCAGTCTGCTCTTCCTCATAACCTGGCTTGTATAGCCCAGGAGCTAGTTTCTGAATGATGCTGATTTTGAAGAGCGCTGCTAGGTCCGATATCCGTCCCAGCGAGATGAACAGATTCTGTAGTAGGCGCTTTGCCTCGTCCAACGGTGTGGGCCCTGGAGTCGCCGATCCGGCTATTGCGACGTGCTGCGGTGGTGCGACAGGTCGTGGATGTGATGGCGTAGGGGGAACAACCGTGGTCGCAGCCATCGATGGAGATGCGGGCGCAGGAGTATGTGGAGTTGTCTCCGGCGTGGAGGGTTCGGTTTGCGCCTCTTGCTCCATTTCGCCCAGTCGCTGGTGAGGTGCCTGAAACCGTGATTGGGATGGTGGCGGCAATGATGGAGTTTCAGTCAAGTTTGAGGGAGGGAAGGGTGTCGTGAGCGGCAGCGCAGATTCAGATATATAGTCCCGTATCGCCACGTCAAAAGATGCTGTCTTGTCATCGCCGAGAGCGATGCCGAGTATGACGGCTTTGTTACCGAGACGGCTGATCTTGATTTGGTATTCCATTGAGGATTGAGCGTGCGCATAGCGGAACGCATAAGAGGAGGAGGTCGTTGCATTCCATGATGCAGGGAGGGGCTGAGTGTCATCTGCTTCGGAGCGGGCTTCTATTGCAAGTGAACGATTTTAGTTAGTATTTAAAAAGCACTGATGATTCTTTGGCAAAGCGAATAATGATAGATGATCAACGGCACATTCGGATATTATGAGGAGGAAAAGCTTCAATGCGGAAAGAAAGTAAAAGAACAGCTCCGATGAGCGGCGAATAATTCGCACTAAATGGAAGTGTGCGTACCGATCTTGTCGTCTTCTCCAAGACCAATCAATCGAAATCCAACACCAAGCATGCAGGCATGACAGAAGAGAGCAATAGCCTCATACGCAGTTTTTAGCTGAGGGTGTTGCTGTTGTGACTCAGTACCGGCTTGATCAGGTTGCTGCGGATGAGGCAAGCTAAGTGCCATGAGCTTGCTCAGAGAGCTTGCGGACAATGGGTTCGCCACAGAAGACACCATGATGCAGTTCAGGGTTATTAAATATGATAAATAATGTCAATCTGAAGTGTTCAGAAGAAGAAAGATACAATCTGAATGGTGGTGGTGGTGGCGTCGTCGAGTAATTGGAGCTTGGCGGGGTAGGTGTCAATTGATCGCGGTATAAGTAGGGAAATATAAGTGTAAGGGTTGTCGTCAGTTGCTGGCTCAAGCTCTCCCAGTTGGTCATAGTGTGGTGGGGTTCCGTTCGGACTACGTAGGCGAGCTGTAGCCTTAAGACGGAGAATTACGCTATCCAGCCTTGGGGCGGTTGTGGCTGGTTAAGCCACCGTCAAAAGGGCCTTTAAAAGGTGCTGTGGCTGATCCCAGTCGAAATATGATGACACTTGTGGGAAGATGCAAAGACATCTACTCGCGATAAGACAAATTGACACTCTCAAAATAGTATACTGATAATTGTTACGTCTTCAAAATCTCAAATTGGAGAGTATCTACTTTGATTGGATATCAGGAAGGACCATCAACCCTCGAAAAATAACGCCCGCTCAGAAGTGCTTGGAACAGTAGAACAATTAGCAAGAAAGAGTAAGATAGCAGGACATGGCGCATTCCATGCAACGGTTTTTGGCTGCGACCGGTGACAGCAATCTGCGGTTAGTCATCCATTACAGATCGACCCAACTTGTCGCTAGATTCAAGGAGACTGCGAAGACAAGAAATCATCAGCTCTATCCGGGCGAGAAGCATAGTAGTTTACTCACGAGTACTGCTTCACCAGAGTCCCTTCTCCACCTCTCTCCAAATTAATGTTGAAAAGGTAAAAGTTTCCTTCATTGGTGACGACCATCACTTGTGGGCTGTTGCTGCTCATAGCAACGACACTGCGCAACGGAGTACCATTTGATGCAGCACCGGGCGCTCTCTTTGGGATTCGAATCCATGCAAAATCTCGCATAGGCTCCCAGATTTCCGATACTGCGCTTGGTAAATAACCACCTACAGTAGCGGCAAAGCTTTTCCCAATGTTTTGAGATGAGCGGCGTATCATGCCGGCCAGGGTACCATTGTGTTTTCGAACCGCTGCGGCAGGATCATTCCCTAGACTGGCGTTCGAAGCGTCTGCCATAGAGCTACTGCTGGGGCTAGCACTACGATCTCGTGATGGACCGACACCCTTTGCATGGATCGAACTCTCTCGAGTCGCATCAGCATGATGCCCGAGGCGGAAAATGTGGACGGTTTCGGTTGCGGAAGAGACACAAAGGAGCGTTGACGTGGCGTTGAAAGACATGTTGAAAATTCGCGCAGGCATAGAGCCTCGTCGAAACTGATAAAGTTTCTGAGCGTCGGGTACTGAAAAGACCCTTATGATGGTTCCCTTGTCAGATGCGGTGGCAAGCATTGTCCCTTCACTGTTAAGTGCTATGCATGAAAGGGGTGATCGGTGTGCTTCGACCACATTAACCGCCTCAAGTTTTACAGCGTCAAAAAGAAGAACATCTCCGCTGGTAGGAGAAACATGAGTATTGCTTGGTGGTGCGTGAGACGGAGGTGTGAACGACGACGGCGCCACTTTTTGTGGAAGAGGATATGCGAGATAGCAATGGTCTGAAGAGGGCGAGAGCGCGCAAATAGCTTAACTCTGTCAGCATTACAATCTCAACCCGCAAATATTAAAGTTTCCATACCGTTCGGATTGGGAGAGGTTTCAATAGTATATAGTAACCTCATGTTACTTATGTCATAAAGGTATATCTGATCCTCTAATACGACCACAAGCCGTTTGCGGTTTAGACGCACCGCTAATACGGTGGTTGGAAACGTTAATTCACATATTGTGGATTGTCTCTGTAACACAGATTAGCTGTGCTTCAAATCGGAAAGTGATTCTCAATTTGAATTAAAAGATCTTCAATTTGTAGGCCAGGACCAGCCTCGACGACGTACCTTTGTATTTGTTATTTGCAGGCGGCGAGGCGACAATATCAGAGCAACCAATGACGTCGAAAAGAGCATCTCGAGAATGGCAATATCTCCTTCCGTAGTCTCGTAGCATTTTGAAAACGGTTCTGTATAGTAAATTCGGAAGCCTTTGGAGGTCCCTAAATGCCTGTTAGATATCACGTATGTGTGGAAGAGAGGTTAACGGGTACATACCAACAGCCAGATGGCTATAGTCCTGGTTAAACGTGACAAAATTCATCGCCATCTTGAGAATGAAGCAATTTAGGGTATTGTATATCTTATGTCTGGGAGACGACAGCTGAAATGGTCATGAAGTAGGTGTCACTATCGTCGCCGCTGCTGCCTTCGGTTCTGTACAGCTAATTCTTTGGCCTGACATTGACAGCTGCATTAGGTCGCAAGTGACTGGAAAGACATTTAGAAGTAATCTGTAATCGAACTTGACCAGGTATGATAACTCCAAAGCAGAAGAGTACAAGCTCTTGGATTTTGTCGTCGATAAGACAATGCGACACCCCCCAATGGTTGGAGGTTCCGTAAAGCACAGCTATCGGCGGAGACGTAGGCGGTGATACATCGGCGGTTGTCGGCTTGCGACTTGGGAGTTAAGCTTAGCTCGGCAACTCCCGCCTCTATCCTACGCACAGACCAACCACATGATGCGCACGTAAAATATCCATCTGCAGGGTCCTTTTCCCATAAGGCAGTCACAGGACCCCTGCGCGTGTAACCCGGTAGCCCATCATAGGTAAAACAAATTAATAGCCATGATGGAGCCGGTGAAGAAAATTCCTAGGCCTTCGCAGGCGACGAAGAGGGAGAAGCAAGATGACTCCGTCATGGGCGTAAGAAACAGAAATTTACACTATGGGCTTCAGCCTGAATCTTGGCTGATATCAATGTGAATGCAGACCAATAATAGCAGTATTGTATCAAAAAGGAGCGTTGAGAGAATATACTATTCTCATGAGCCTCAATTTTTCAGACATTTTGTCAAGAAGCCCCAGCGGCGGGCACCTTTGATCAATCGTGGCTACTGGCTACGAATGTATGCCATTGACTACGTTGTCCGACAATTCTTGGCGGAGCCATCCCAAAAGCAAAAAGTCATTATTAATCTAGGTTGTGGGTAGTAAGTACGCCAATGCATTCAAAATATAGTGGATTCCTCATTGCTGATTTTGTGCAGCGATCCTTTGCCCTTTCAATGCTTGACCCGGTGGGGCGAGGATTGTCAGGGCGTCAAATTTCTTGATGTGGACTACCCACAGCTCATGGAAAGAAAACGCGAGATGATTGTAGCTTCGGAGAATTTGCATGGACTACTGTCCCATATGGAGATCGGCCAGCCCAAGGAAGCCGTCAAGCTGAGAAGCGATCAATATCTTGCCGTAGGCTGCGACTTGCGGCAGGTTGACAGCCTCGAGAAAATCTTAAGTAAAGACTTGAAGCTTTCTGACTGCATTATACTCTGTGTGGCCGAGGTGTCTATCACTTATATGGATATCGAAGCAGCTGATGCCGTCATACGGTGGGGCGCTCAATATGAGAATAGTAAGTGGACTTCTTTTCCTCAACCGTGCCAGGTCCATCCCAATTTCTTTCACTTCCTTTTTCCCTTTTCTATGAGGGATCCGGCTTCATTCTAGATGCTATATATCCTCCCATCAGGCGGTAAACTGACTTAATATGGACAGTCTGGTTTGGCCTGCTCGAGCAGATTATTCCTGATGGTCCAGAGCATCCCTTCGCGAAGACAATGTTTCAGCATTTTACCAAGCTGAATACCCCTCTTAAATCTGTAAAGAAATACCCCACATTAGATGCACAGAAGCAGCGATTCGTCAACGCCGGTTGGCCTCTTCCTTTTGCAGAGAGTCTTTGGGAGCTGTGGAAAAAGCCTAGCTTTTTGTCCTCGGAGCAGCGGAAAGCCTTAGACTCCATCGAGCCATTTGATGAGTGGGAAGAATTTGCACTCTTCGCGTCTCACTATCTTTTGTTGATTGCTAGAAAACCTAGCAAACTTGATCATTCAAAGCGTGAAGAATCCGTAACGAACGGTTCCCATCACGAGGAGAGGACAGAGCCTGCTGTCGACATCAGCTATTCTGAAAATCCCCCGAGTGAAGGTCGAAGGCGATTCGGCGCGGCAGTTAATATCACGCCATCAAAGGCAATTTATCATGGTGGTCTGGGTACGCAGACGCGCTTGAGCACGATAGATATCTATTCGCAAGAACGCATGGAACCGGGCGAATTCAGCGAAGAAATTTTAGTACCTCCTTTCACAGCTCGAAAATGTCATACTATGACACGCCTTGGAGACGGATCATTGCTACTTGTTGGCGGTCGCACCTCGCCTGACAAGTCAATGGCAGATTGCTGGTTGGCATCTAACGGCACTTGGCAAAGAGTAGACGATATTCCTATCCCGAGGTATAGGCACTGCGCCTGCGCAATTTCTCATCGTAGTCCCGCAGGGACAAGCTATCGTATACTAGCCGCTGGCGGCAAAAGTAATGGCTGCAACGTCCTGGGCGACTGGCTCATCTGGGACGCTCAGAAGGGCTGGCATGCGCCAGAGATCAGCGGTGACGTCCCCAGCCCTCGGTTTGGCGCGTCAATGATGGCTTCTTCAGCCTCGAGTGGTATCCTTCTCGGAGGGATGGCGGCAGATGGCACCGTCTTGGAGGAGTACTGGGAGTGGTACGTGGAGGAGAACGAGTCATTGCGAATGAGCTTCCGAAATCGGACTCAAGATGCCATTCGATCAAAAATTGGTCGGATTGGAATCAATCGGTTTGGCGCAGCACTTGTTCCTTCCACACTCGGGCCTCTAATCCTAGGAGGTGTTACTGGACTTGGAATGCTTGGCTTCGAAGATGAAATCCTTATCCTAAACCCAAATGACGTTTCATTTTCTAGAATCAATGTCACGCTCGACGGTCCACGTCCTCTGCTTGCAGGCTTTTCCGCAACGGAACAAGCAACAGACAGTAGCACGGATGGCGTGGCTATTTTCGGAGGAGGAGCTGTTTGCTTCTCTTTTGGAACGTACTGGAACGACGGGGTCTGGACTCTAAAGACATCTTCGGACAAGATTGCCAACTGGCGGTTGGCGATCGCGCCAAAAAATACTACACCTTCCGTCCTGGATACGCCTTCAGTTGATACGAATTCTTCAATACCATCCTCCATTACTTCAGCTCTCTTTCCTCAAACCACTACCATTCCTAGGGTCAGGGTTCAACATGCCAGAGAATTCAACAAAATCTTAGCTGCCGGTCAACCTGTCATTCTTGAAGGCGGTGACATTGGACCTTGTGCCGAGCTATGGACAAGCCAATATTTGAAAGAGAAACTTGGGACAGATCGTTCGGTATGTAGAGGTTGATCGCCCAGACCTTCCATATGTTTCCGACTGTGAACAAGTAATTAACAACGTGTCATTAGATTGTTGTTCATGAGGCTCAGGCCAAAGACATGGACTTTACTTCTAAAAACTTTTCGTACACCACGAAGAGGCTGGAGGAATTTCTTGACGCTATAGATGACGGACACAAGATGTACCTTCGTGCGCTTTCCGCCGACAAGCCGGCCGATAAGGCGTCCATGCTTGCAGATGATTTCCCACAGATTGCGGCAGACTTTCGAGTCCCTTCGGAGCTTGAATTCGTCGCGAAAAACATGCACAGTTCGCCTTTGCGCATCTCAGGTCCTGTCAATATGTGGCTGCACTATGATGTATGTGTCTTCTCTCCTTTGGATAATGCACTGTATCAAGTAAAGAGCTCATGAATGTCTAAAACAGGTGATGGCAAACGTCTATTGCCAAATCCGCGGTTCTAAGCGCCTACTGCTCTTTCCACCTCGCGACGTTTCTCATCTTCACTTCGCGCCAGGAGCCTCAAGTTCCCCAGTAAATGTCTTTGCGGCGGAGGCTGCATCCGCGCAATTAGCACGGAGTCGCGACCCAGTGGCAGAAACACAAAGTGTCGACCGACTCCCGGCCACACAAGCGCCTATTTCTCCCACCACCCTAGCACATATTTCTGCGCTGTCTCACACGCATCCTCATGAAGCCAATTTAAGGCCTGGCGATATCCTTTTCCTTCCTCCTTTATGGCTTCACACTGCAACTGTTGCAGCACCGTCTCCTGGTGAGCAAGGACCGAGTGACAAGCCAAATTCTGCAAATGCAAGCGCTACCAGTATTGCTGTGAATATATTTTTTCGAAACTTAGACTCAAAGCCCGGCGACAGTACGAATGGCAAAAGTGGATCTGGGGCAGGTTCTAACTTTTATGCCGCTGGCAAAGATGTGTATGGAAACAGAGATCTCCGGCCCTACGAAACAGGTCGCAGGGACGTTGATCGTATCGCAAAAGGGTTTGACGCACTCCCTAGGGATATACGGAGGTTTTATCTGGAACGTCTGGCACTTGAATTGCTAGATAAAGCAAGGGAACGGGGTGGATAGAAAAGCTTTTTTTTTGTAAAAAAGTTGGAACACGTCACATCTGAATAGAGCAAAATGGCTGCACAGGTTGAAATTTATCCAGTGCCGCTATATCTAGTACAACGCGATTATTTAACGCCTGTTACGATAGGAAAATAGCAGACAGAGAGTACAAGATCAATATGGCAATGTCACTGGCAAAAAAACAAAAAAATACAATCGACGGGGTTATTGGCTGGGTTTTTGAATGATATAATAAGACCGGACGACCGCCCGAAGTCGGCTGGCAAGACATCATCGAAGCGCCTAAGGCGCCTCATGCGCAAAAGCTAATGTAGCTAAGGGTCTCTTAGCGCGATCACTAACCGAATTAGGAAAATTTCAAATGTCGTCGAACGTCTACAGAATTTAACCGCGATTTTTCTCCTCAGAACCAGGATCTCAACAAAGGGGTCTTATGAAGTTCAAAATTTCGATACTCCATAAGGAGGAATTAAATCCTCGAAGCTCTGGAAGATTTGTGTGAAAGTTCGAATTCTGTAGACGTCCGACGATAGTTGCAGGATTACCCAATTGGGAAATATATTAATATGGGTGACCGTAGAACTGAGAGCGCTAGCGATGCTTGAGACTTTGGCGATAGATTCGAAAAGCCGGATTGGGAAATGCAGATTATCGTCGGACATCTACGGAATTGCATTTCCCATACAAAACCCAAGACCCGAGTTTTTGATAAATGATCCTTATGAAGTTCGAAATTTCGATACCTCATAAGGAGGAATTAAACTCCCGGGGCTCTGGGGGCATTGTATGGAAGTGCGAATTGTGTAGACGTTCGACGATGATTGTGGGATTACCCTTTTAGGAAATAAGTCGTAAATGGGTGACCGGAGCCAGTAACGTTAGCGGCAGTGGCTGTTGAGGCTTGGTGGCAAGGCATGGATTTGAAATGGCGAAGTCAGGACACGCAAATTGTCGTCGAAAGTCTACCAGATCCAAGTGGTCTTACAAAGACCTCTCGTCGACATTCTGATAAAAGGGTCTTATGAAGTTTCAAATCTCGATACGTCATAAGGAGGACTCAATCCCTCGAGGCTTTGGTGGCATCTGCGGGAGGTCAAATGGCGTAGACGTTTGACGATGTTTTGGGATTGCCGTATTCGGTAGTTTTGTGATGGCTCGCGCGCATGCGAATCGTAACCGGCGGTACTCACGGCTCTTGCCTAGAACCGCTACCGACCGTCTCTTTTCTCAAATAAGCACTGACAGAACAGGAGAATCGCACAGTCATGACTTTTCTTTATTTCGTCGTTTTTGAATTCCCAAATGCTTGTCTGAAGACGGCCCTAAACAATATAACTGTGATTTCCAGACAGCAGTCTTTGAAAACTCAACGAATGATGGGCAAAAGATAGACCCTTATCACCAACCTCCCGGCGCTCGATGTCCTCGGCCTCCTCGGCCTCCTCGGCCCCGACTTCCTCGTCCTCGTCCGCTGCCGCGGAAACCGCCACCTCCTCGCCCACGATATCCGCCACCGCTTGCGCCACCACGCGGAGCATCTGGCCGAGGGCCAATGCGCATCCGCTCTGCTCTCTGCTCCTCGGTCGCGTCAAATGGATTGTCGATATCTAGGAGCTCGCAGAATCTGCTAGTCTGCGGATTTGTGTACTCGGATGGCTGCTCGGGAACACGTGGACCGCGAACAGGATCATATATTGGAGCAGTGATCTCGAAATTATCAGGGACAACCATTTTTCCCGGCTTCACAACGTGTTCCTCCACCCACTCCTCTTCCTTTTCGATTAGTGGTCGATAGTAAGCTTCGCCCTGATCACGAGGCAATGAAGCACTTGGATCTCCTAACTTGAGGTCATTCGCAAAGACTCGAGTGATTGCAAGCCACTCTTTATCATACTCGAGACGAAATGGCCTTGTTGATGAAGATGTACTGGAACCCGATGGTCTCCCGTCAGACGAACCTTCGGATGATGTTAAGGCGCAGGGAGGAGGGATATCGAGGATCTGAAGGAACTTCCGATTTGGAAGACACTTGTCTAAGGCAAGAAACCGAGTCGATTTATTGAAAATATCTGTTTGTAGTGGCGGATGTGATTGCACCGTTGCAGATGGATCTTGGCGGAAGAATGATTCGGGAAGTTGTGCACGCAGTTCATCTGATATTCCCTCCTGGGATGTTGGGCCAGGTTGGACTTGCATATTAGAGATATTATCAGCGTTGCCAGTTGATATGACAGTGCGCCCCTCTTCCGGCACAGCGCTGACTGAGGTGTCAACTTCATCGTCTAGATCCAGCTGGATCTCCTCATCATTTGACACGACGGCCGGAGCATTCGATTCAGATCGAGGAGGTACTGGCGCAACTTCATCCTCATCCATATCGATTTCAATCTCCTCTTCGTTTCGGCTCGGGCCAGTTGATTCTATTGGCGGCTCATTTCCAGGTGCGAGCTCAAACGGGCGCACCCCTGAACCTCCAGTGGCATCTGCAGCCGGCGAATCATGTTCAACGACTGCAGCATATTTGATATGTAGATGTGCAGAGAACCAATATGGAGGTCTTAAGCGCTCTAGGACATACTTGGCGGCTGTGCTGCCAAGCCGTCCACTTCGTGCATCTGCCTCAAAAAGGTCCTTTTTCGCAAAGAGGGATTTATAATTTCCTTTCCATTCGATCCCTTTCGGCCAGTCATGGCTGATACCAATGTCTACTTGAGTCCTTATTTGAAGCATCTTCCTGATATCGATTTCCCGGACGTGGTATATGCTCTTCACATCATCCTGATTGTATGGTAATCTTTCATAATGAGGTTTGTTGTAATTATACCCCTTCCAAATACCGGAAAATCCAGCAATGCGCAAGGGACCAAGTCTAATGACATTAGCTGCTCCCAGATAATAAATATTGGGTGCTACCCATCCACCGTAGTATAGCTCAAAGAGATGGTTACCGGCTTCATGATTGCCGCCAACAAAGATGGTGAGATATGGCGCTTTCCGAGCGCCAGAGTAGTATTCATGGAAATCGCCAATCTCGCGAAATTTGATAGGCACAGACATGCAGTTCAGGTCTTGAGCATTGCGGACTGCCTGACTGTGTCAATGGTAATAAGAAGTGTTGGGGCCGGATAGCTTACCTGAAAGTCACCACCGATTACGAGCAAATCAATGCCGTCCCATTTGTTGACTTCGCAAGCTTTCTCAATTGATGCGTATATCGCATTCAAAGTGCCATGGCCCTGGTAATGACCTACATGAGCCTGAATTCTCTTCAATGCACGTGCTTTTGAGCCTTACACAACCCTCCACCGCGATACGCAAAGATTGCGTCTCGAATAATTGAGGAGACATGATGTGATATTAAAAGTGTTTTAAAATTATCCACCACCGATTAGAGCATTATTGCCGCGGCGTTTGATATTTCGCCACTGTTATATGCAACTGTCTGAAGTAAACAGTAATAATTGCGCGACCCCGGACGAGGGAACTTTTCTGGGGAGTGAGTTTTGGTCACTATTAGGTAAGCGACAGGACCTTGGAGGCCAAATGCCCTGAGCTGGTCGCTCAACTTTGAACTTAAAAGCTTCGCATTGTCAGCAAGTCTTTCCTTGACATTATTTGGCTAATGTTGTCTCAACCTTCCTTCAAACACTTCAATGGGAGAGCAGGAACGTCGAATTCGAACTATATGGCCCCTTACAGCGAGCGTTTCTCTGGGTCTCAAAACTGAACACTTGCTGCGCTTGTAACAACACGGGCTGGTCCACGACTTGTTTGCGTCACGACAACCCTTCTTCACAGCTTCAGCTTCCTCATGCGTACTTCTGTCGGAATGAGGAACTCAAGCATACATTGGCTTGTATAATGACATCTGAGTGGATGGGCATTCGATTGGGATGAGTTTGGAGTTATATGAGGCTAATCATGAGGGAAACGACAACGATGTTTTCTTCAAATTTCTAGCCCTAGTGCTGTTGGGAGAGAATATTGGCTCATATCAGCTTGCCTCAGACAGCGCGTTCATTTGATGATTGGACGTTCAAACAAGACTGGGGAGATGTTCTTGCTTGTCGCGATCGTGATTCCAGCCACAGTGGCGGTGCGAGGTGATACGGCGATCGCCGCACTGAATCAGCTTGGGTCCCTCGGTCGAGGGGCTGACAGGCGACATCACCAAGAACCTTGACTCGCTAAACCCCACTACTACCGTGCCGAAGCCTCTGGATCAACGAAATTTCGACCCCACTAAATAATCTAGAAGAATCTCAAGGGTAAAACGAATCATCGCCAAAAATACCGTGCCTGCTTTTCTTCTGCCCCGCTCAATAATTAATAATCCGCTTTTCCGTATTCTTTCGCCGTCGCAATTCTTTTTAAGGATTGGATTTCCCGCATAAAAGGCCAAGGAAGCATATTTCTTCACACGGAAAGCTTTGCGCCGTAAACTACCGAAACGCAGATATGGATCAGAATCAGAACCCCGATTTGTTCCAGGATGTTGGGAGGAAGGCAGAGGGTCTCAGCGCACAGAATCCTGCCACGGGCGAGGAGGAGCGCAAGCCCGTCGAAGAAGTTGAAAGTCTTTGCATGAACTGTCACCAGAACGTAAGTTGTTTTCTATCTGGGGGATTTGAGGATTACAACAATTAACCCATTTTAGGGAATCACGCGCCTTTTATTGACAAGAATTCCCTACTTCCGTGAGATTGTGATCATGTCGTTCTCTTGCCCGCATTGCGGATTCCAGAATTCAGAAATTCAGCCGGCCGGCGAGATTCAACAGCGGGGTTCCAAATATACTTTCACTGTGGAACACAGCGATGACCTTCAACGTCAGGTTGTTAAGAGTGACACCTCCGTGTTCAGAATTGAGGACCTCGATTTGGAGATTCCTGCGGGACGTGGCCAGCTCTCTAACGTGGAAGGTATTATTTCCATGATCAAGCAAGATCTTTCAGAGCAGCAGGAAGACCGAAAACAAGCTGCACCCGAAGTCTACGAAAAGATTGAGCAGATTACACAGCAGCTCGGTAGCTTCCTTGGTGGCTCCAGCTTCCCCTTCAAGATCTCCCTCGACGACCCTGCTGGCAACTCCTGGATAGAGCCTTCTCCGCTAGACAAGGGAAATAAGTTGACAAAGATTGAGTACACCCGAAGTGCTCAGGAAAACGCCGCCTTGGGTTTGGCCGATACGACCGGCGCTCCGTCCACCGAGATCAGACCTGAATACAAGGCCAATCAAATGGTGCCCGCGGGGCCACCAGGGACTAGTGAAGCCACCGAAGAGGAGGATATTGTGGAGGGGCAGGTGTACTCCTTCCCTGCGTCGTGTCCGGGATGCGTCAAGCCTTGCATGACCAACATGAAGATGGTCAACATTCCTTTCTTCAAGCAAGTTGTCATCATGAGCACTGTTTGTGATCACTGTGGATGTGAGTTTGAGCGCTCCCCCTCGTTTTTGGATAGGTAGCTAACATATTGGTGCTAGATCGTAGCAATGAAGTGAGAACTGGTGGTGAGATTCCTGAAAAGGGTCGTCGCATTACTCTCAAGGTCAACTCTGCGGAGGATCTCAGCCGCGACATTCTTAAATCTGAAACCTGTGCGCTCCAGTGCCCTGATCTTTCTTTGGAAGTACAGCCTGGCACAATGGGTGGCCGCTTTACGACAGTCGAGGGACTTCTCACTCAAGTTCGGGACGATCTCAAAGCTCAAATCTTTGAGACCGAAGGCGCCAGCCATGATTCCATGCTCCCGGATCAAAAGACTGCCTGGGAGAACTTCTTCAACAAGATCACTGATGCCATCGAAGGGAAGACCAAGTTCACTGTTGTGCTCGAGGATCCGATCGCTGGCAGTTACGTCCAAAGTTTTACTGCGCCAGAGCCAGATCCTCAACTCCAAGTTGAAGACTATGTGCGGACAGATTTGGAAGAAGAGGAGCTCGGTCTCAAAGATATGAAGGTTGAGGGCTATGAGAACAACGCAGAGGAGAAAGCGGCGCCCGATGCCGACGAGGTCATGGCAGAGGCCAATGCTCGCATGGCGGAGATTAACGAGGCAGATAGAGGACATTAAAAGCGACGAGTAGGATTTCTTTTTGATACAGCGAATCATTAGAAGAGGACGACAGTCCTCCGGCGGGCATGATATGAATTGCGATGATCTCATGATTTATGTATAGATATACAAGGCTCAGCATGTGTGCTCCAAATTGGGATGCAAATTTACGCCTATTGTATTTTCACGTGCGTAATGGTGTTAGATGTTTTATTTGATGATCTCTGGGGTGGTGGAGACGAAATTGGCGGTAGTTGCGAGATTCGGAAATCGAGACAACTTGCCTCGAGCATGAAGCATATAAAAATTTATTTAAATTCGTACATTGAATTATGGTGGTCTATTCGTGACAATCGTACAGGAAATGTCTTCGACGATGGAAATCATGACACCATCAACCAGCGAGAGGGTTTGCGTGGATAGAGACTCGCTCAATCGTCACCTTTTCCTTGGGTCGAAACTTTTTATCAACCTCCAACGCTTCGATTTTATCCATGGTGCTATGGGATCCTTCGATCACTTTTCCAAAAACCGTATTCTTTCCGTCCAGCTGCGGCTGTGGGCCATATGTAATGAAGAATTGACTGCCGTTGCTGTCTGGTCCTTTGTTGGCCATGCTCACCATGCCGCGAGCATTGTGTCGCAGCGCCGGGCGGAATTCATCCTCAAATGTGCCACCCCATACGGATTCACCGCCTTTGCCCTTGCCTGACGGGTCGCCGCCTTGCAAAATGAAATTTGCGATGTTGCGATGGAAGGTCGTATTGTCGTAGTAATTTGACGCGCAGAGAGCGAGAAAGTTCTACAAGCAAAATTCAAACATATTAGACACTGGCTTGGCTCTGATATTGGAAGATGCAACGACTTTACGGGAAGCTTACCTCTGCGGTCTTGGGTACACTTTCGCAAAAGATCTCGATCTTAAGATCCCCAAAATTTGTGTGAAGCTATAGCGAAGGATTTAAGATTAGCCACAGTTGACCACATTCGAATTGCAAAAAGAAAGATCAGAACTTAATATGGCTCAACATTGGCTTACCGTCACCGACATTTCGTCTCCAACACTGCATAAACATGCTGATCAAGCTGTGGATTGGTTTTCGGGAACCATCGCGGCCTTGTAGTGACGACGGCAAGTCGCGATATTCTTTCAATTGGTGCCATTCGCTTCCCTAGGCTAAACCAGAGAGGGATTCCCTCCCGCGATAGCTCAGCTTTAGGCTCAGAACGTGCCCTTGATCAGACGTCAGATGGAGGTCACTATACTCATTTAATCTCTTAATCGTTGAGGTTTTCTGAGTATATCTACTTCTGCCAAGCTGACCCCTTCTCTTAGTGTCCGTGCACGCATCGTCACTTGGAAGCACCAGCAACAAGCAGCGGCGTCAGCTCAAAGGCAGGGTCTCGGACTTTCTTTGCAAACTTTCAGGGCTTTTTTCTTTGTGTCAATACCTACACACAGGCAAATTGGCTCAAAAAACTGTTACGACAAATGTGACGGATAGGGCGACCGCTCTATCAAGCAGGGAATACCACGGCACCGCATATATTCGGCCAGCCGCCAAGGTTGGGAGGGTCCCACCCTGGCCGCCCTCTCAACCCATATCCTGGAGGCGGGGAATCTACCGATACAGTCTGGAACTATTGGCCGGCAAAAGAGATTCAGGTGTAGGACACTAGGTTGGAGGAGAGAAGAGATAAAAAGGCGAAATAGCAATCGTCCTGTAAGGCACTGAATTTGCATGCTCTCAAGAGCTGCAACATTGCGCGTAAGGCAAGGAAGAAATGGCGGCCTTTGTTCGAGTATCGGGACCGCCAAATAGCAACTTCTTGGTAGGATATCCGGGAATATCAGCGACGTTGGTAAGTTGCACTCCAAGCTGACATTGCAATCCGTGGATTCGGCGGATTCAGAAATATGATGTATCGTGCAGACATAACGCTAACAACTATTGCTTGATAGCCAAGGATTGAGGGAAAAGTCGAAATTCGTCCAACCATTGGAGTATCGGCCCCTGTTCATATTTCTCTCGTGACAATATGTCTCCAGCGAAGAGAGACGATCCACCCGTCCGCCGATTCCGTGACTAAGAAACACTTGGCGGCGCCTCGAAAGGAAATTGCAGATATCGTGGGCAAGGAAATGTTATTGTTTCGATGCGCGCCAGGGAGAGAATATGAAAAGGTGCTGTCTATGGATTTACCCTTTGTCTTGTTCATACCGTTTGGTAGAGGAGGGGAAGAAATGGCACGACGCGTGCCACCTGCAAGCCTTCAACTCCCGAGCAGGACAGCGGAGACTTATTACGTGCTGGTTGTCACCGTGCAGCAAGGCCACCAGGAGCAAAGAAAATATATGTTTCCAGTGCCCATGTCAAGGTATGACACGCTCTCGACATTCGGCATGTACAATCGACCCGAATCTGCTGAGCGGGTCTCAGACCACTTGGTCACGCTAGGTATTTCATTACCAAGATGGTCTTACGGACCGCTCGATCCCGTCAGTGTTTATATCAAGCTGTCACCCAATCCGGACTGGCTAAATAAAGCGAAGAGAGTCACGATACAAAAAATTACAATTGCTATAGAAGAGGAGATTACCTATAACCATGAGGGCGATGAGCCGCAAAAGAAGGTAAAAACGCTGACGAAGCAGTCACAACCTGTGGGTATCAAAATGCCGGCTGAGGGCTACTTCACAAACTTGGGCCTTATATTCCCTGCCAAAGATTTGAGGGATTCAGACGGGATAATACCACGTGGAAGGCCAGCGTTCCCCATGTATGCAGTCACCGGCTTCACCACAACAGGCAGCCTATACAAGATTGAATATTTCTTGACTGTCAAGGTAAATTGTCAAGCCCTTTTTGATACGAAGAAAGCCTACTAACAGCTGTAGGCCCATATGACATCGGCCAAAGACATTGTACTCCGACAACCCATCGTTGTCTGCCCACTCGATCATGCAGGTTGCAAAGAGGAAATGATTGCGATTGAGCAGGCCGCCAAGGATGCGGCGCATATCAATGCAGAAAATCCTATGCTTCCGGCGCCGACAATAGTGCGTCCGCATGACCACAACGCCTTGAATGTTCTGGGCATGACACTGGTCGGCGGCCAACGAAAACTACTTATAGAATGAGCCCAGTCCTTGACCAATCATGCAGTATTGACTTTTTCATGTCTCCGACGACGCATACGATCTAGCCTAGTTTGCGATATCAGGCATGATTTGGCATATATTGAGTCTTTGTATTATCAGCAGTCTATGACAGCGTGGGTATCTTTTCGATATGAGGCATAGCGCCTGTATATCAACGGAGCGATTTGGCGAGCATGGATTTTCAGGTATTTCATTTTCAGTCTTCTTCCGCTTGTTCTTCTATCTGTCTATGGATGAGCAGCACAATTTCGGCGCTCGGAAATTCTCTCTGCCTTTTTCCACCTGGCTGCATTATCGGATATTGGTGTTCTTCGGAGTTGCAGCATCTGAAAGGTCAAGCAACATATATAATATATACAAGCCATTCTATACCGTCTTTCTAAGCATTTTTTCATGTCCTCTCGCGTGCTTTAAGTGTATCAATTCCCTTTGAAATAATAACCATTGCACGTTTTACTGTGGTTTAGGTCTAAAAGCCAAAGAACCAAATCCACCGTGAAAGCTATGCCCTGATATTGAAGGCTGTTTGGAGGAAATTCGATCTACTCCTCTCGTTTGGCTGCCACGCTGATACTCTGCAACCATTGCCTCGAGCTCCTTGTACCGCACACTGTCCTTTCCCCATACAGTGGCAGCATTTTCGAGATTCCTACTCATCTGATAAACTTTGGTGTTAGAGCTCACGTATCCATATGAAATGTGAGTTTACCGTTTACAATTATGAGTTGGGTATCCATTCTTCTGTCGCAAAAGATATAATTAGAAACCACTCGGAACATCAAAGCAGAATTTTATCCTATTTACCTACTTAGTTTGCGTTGCCACAGATAATTATATATGAGAAGACAGCGTCCCGCGCCGGTATTGTCTAGATCTTAAATTTCGCTTTGGACTAACTTGGCAGTTAAGTCGTGGTTAAGTGACTGCTGACATCTGACATTTCCTGTGACCAACTGCCCGGCAACCTTCGTGATTTTATCAGGGATTTGATTAGATTGATTAGATGCCTTCCAAGGCGGTGTGCTCAATCCATGCGCACAGCCGATTGAGCTTAGAATCTTAGTCGGAGAAATCACCCAGTTTACGCCGACCCGCAGTCTGAGCAGAAAGTCTTGAATGTCGCAGCAGTTCAACGGAGCTTTAAAAGAGGTATAGAAAGGACTCCAAAAGACAGGACTTGCGAAATTCATTTGTTCACCAATCCGAGGAGTTATTTGGAGAGCGCAAGTCGACTCATTGCTAGTGTCCATCTCTTTGCGCAGTCTTCTGCGCGAAACAATTCCGGCTTCTACGCACAATGGCCGATGCGGATGAAGATGTCGTCGTCTTTTCTGGACAAGGGCCTCCGGGGGAAATAGACCTGTCTGACGAAACTCAGGATTTTCGGTTCTTGCAAAACTTCTCACAGTGAGTATGGTCTCAATCAATGCTTATTCGCTTTGAACTAGTTCTACGGAACGAATTGAGCTCTTCTTCCCATTTCGAGAGTCATACCGCCGGTTCAGAGAACCAAAGTCAAGAATGAATTCCAATTCTAACTAGGAGATATAGAGATCCAGACCAAGGAAAGATCCCTAAACGTGGCGTAAAGGACTTTGAGCCCCATGGCACTTCCTACCAAGAGTCCGTCCTCGCCGCCAGCCGGCAGGCTATGCACAATGCTCTCAACTGCACACGAACACACGCCCCGAAATCACATATCATCGGATACTATCACCCAGAAACCAACCTCACTCGAGTTTCTGTCCCCAAGGGACCTCATTTCAAGAACATGGGCAAGGCCGACCGCTCGGGCCATATCTGGCTGCTCCCCGAAGAGGCATTATACCTGATAGAGCGGGGAAATCTGGACATGAGGTGGCCAAAGACGGAGCATGATGAAGGTGTCCCTGGAGCCGAAGATGGGCTGCCGATGAGTCTGCAGGGGGCTTATGCCGCGATATTCGGATTCGAAGAGGAACTAGGCGGCGCTTTGACACTAGAGAGATACTTGGTCTATGCTGGTCTCAAAAGGTGCGGGTTTGCCGTTATCCGGGCAGACAGCTGGGATTGTCCCGGTGAAGGCGAATTCGGTGGCGGCGTGTATGATCCTCCGACTGACGCATGGAGCTCGGGGTTACTTGGGATGTTTACACGCCTGTTCAGCGGACTCTGGTGGGGTAAAAACAGTGCGCATGCTCACTGGACGCCTTCAACATCCGCTCGAAAATTAGGGCCGCTTGTCAAGCCTGGTCTGTATAGAAGTTACAGTACGTCTTGCATCTCCCTACCCTTGGATTTAACCAGTATCTCCGTTATGCAAAGCTGCATTTATTCAGCTACGAGTGGCATGAAGCTGCTACTTACGAATTGTCCATCTAGATGACATATACCGCCTTCTTTCTGTAATTCCCGCTCACGATCCGACTATTGCTCCGCCGCGTCCGAAGCCAGTGGCCAAATCAGACTCTTCGTCCATTACCGATGGCGAAGCATCAAGGACAGGAACGACAGATCCGCCCTTTCGAGTCGCATACCACATTTACAAACCCACACCAAGCTTCAAAAAGTCTGCGCCTGGTCCGCCGGATTTCCGCATCGCAGTTGTGAACGCGCGCGAGACAACCCTTCCTACACTTCCTCAGATTGCTGCATTGGTGGAGAGCACACCGTACTGTCCTCCGCCGGCATCGATGCATCAGTCAAATCAGAAGCTGCGCTACGGATATCGCAATGTCGTGCTTGCTATCGTGGATAATGGTGTGGTGAGCTATATGCGGATCGGAGATGCCGGGTTTGCGCAAGAGAGGCTGTTCGAGAGGTTCGATGCGGTCAAGGCGGGCGGTGGAGGGAGGGGTAATAAACGAGGTGGCGGAAGAGGTGGTGGGAGAGGTGGACGAGGTCGGGGAAGAGGGAGAGGAAGGTAGCACGTATATCTATCACGATATGGTGTTGGAGTTCTTTAAAAATATCGGAAGATCGATGAGAGATGGATGCATATATTTTTCCAGCATATATCACGGGCGCAAGGCGGAGTTATGGTTCATTGACTAAAAAGACCCGGTTTCCAATGGATTTTTAGATCTTCATGGACAAAATATTAAGGAGAATTCGATTAATGGTCTACATGTTTCCTCTGGAATAAAGTCGCGACACTATAAGCAAGCAGGGCCGGACTGAATAAGAAGGAATGATGAGTAGACTTTGCTTTGCCATCTTCTTTAGACGTTCAACCCATGGAAGAGAGGGGGATGAACGCATATGCTCAGATGGGGTGGTATACTTGAGTCCTATCAATTTTTGTTTTCTTGAATGTCTGCACATCAGTGTCTCATATGCTGCAAACACATAAAAGGCAACCCTTCCAAACGGCGAAAGATGTCAACGAATCGTAAAGAGTCTTTCAAATTGGGGGTATTCGTATAAGTAGATAATCTGCAGCGCTCATCGACCGGAATCGTCCATCGTATGATAGCGCTATTTCCATATCCTGTACATAAAACGCCGCATCCTCAAAGTCTGAACGCCAAGTTCCATGCTATCCGTGTCGTCGTAGCCAAATGCCAGTTTATGTGCAAAGAGCCATTACGCTGAAAAGAATCGAGTGTCAGTTTAAAATGACTTTCAACTTGGGTCTCGGAAGTTGCCTTAAGAGTGCGGAAGAATAAGGTGGGGCAGGCATACTGTTCAAATAGTCCGCCGCCATGAGCAGCTCGAGGCATAGCTCTGGCGGAATATCCATGTCCGGCACGTCCCGGGCATCCTTGTTCTTTTCATTATAGTAAAAGTACTCGCACACTTTCTCGAGCACGATACCACTAGAGCATGTCAGCAAGAAGCCCCTCTTTTTAATCTCACTCGTAAGGGATATTTGGAAAGGACAAATGATTGAAAAGTCAGAGAGGAGTACAAACGTACTTGATGTTTTCCAATACTGCTCGTCCAGTCACGGCTTCATTAAAGCTACCTGATATAAGCATTAGCAATGGAAGATGGGACCAAGAGTCAGAGTGCCTTTAATAAAGCCAAGGATATGGAAGTTGTCTGATAGAGCAGGTTCTGATCCCAGGGCTCAAATACAAAACGGGAATAAGAAATGAAAGGGAAACAAAGATTTAAACGTACTGTTGGGATCGAGCATGCGACGGAGCGCACCAGCAACGCAGGCACATGAGCGACGGACTACAAACTCGTAGCCATCGCACGACACGAGCGTCACGTAATCGCTCGATGGCTGTTGCTGTGTTGTTGCCATAGCGCCGAGATGAAAGCGCTGTGAACTTAACTGCGTCAGAGGTAGAGGAGAGACAAGAAAAAAGTTAAGGGTAGTGGGGGAAGGATTTATATCTGTGAGACAGATCGACAGGTCGAGGGACAGGACGACGCGGTTAGCGACGCGCTCCAAACTGCTGACTACGGCCTGCGGTTGACGCAATAGTGGAACTAACGCAGCTTGCCGGGTGGATTCGACGGCATGTTTACAGCTAGAACACTCTGGAACGACAGCTTCATAGCGGTATAGAGCACATCTATTGACCTTGATCTAGAGACCTCAAAATCAAAATTCCAAAACATAAGATAAAGCACCAAATATATTTCTCTTAAATTTTACGAAACGACAAGGCAGGAGTATACATAGCAATCAAACGCCCGAAATGCTCAGCAAGTTCACTGTCCAAGCAACTATTCCAAGCCTACTTCGAACACATATCTCCCAGCCTACCAGATACACCTGCCTTCCAGCATTCAAAAAATCCTTTTCACCGTCAGCATCATCAGCATCAATTAGCTCTTCTGCATCTGCATGCAGTGGTCGTCTGAGCGGCAAGAAATGTCTTATTACAGGCGCATCACGTGGCATTGGACGCGCCATTGCAGCTCGGTTTGCTGCTGAAGATGCATCCTGCGTGCTAGTCGGACGAAATGTATCCACCATTGAGAAAGTCGCTGCGGAGCTTGAGGGGAAAGCTCGGCATCAAACACGTGCGGGAGATGTCGGAGATCGTGCTTTTTGGGTAGAGACTGCCAAGGAATTGGTAAATTAAGCCTTCTTTTTACATGTTTTGGACGTCCCGTTTTTTGATTTCGGCCATTTCTTTTGTATTTTGTTACATGTCTCGTATTGCAAGTTTTTTGGGTTCGGGGTCTGGGGGACTCATGATGAATTGACATAATCATCTTGCGTCTATGCTGAGATAGGGTCATATTGACATTCTTACAGAAAGATATCGATATCCTTGTCAATGCTGCGGGAATTACACATTCATCTTTGCTCCTCGCAACAAAGCCGGAGCTTGTTGAGAATATCTACAGAACGAACTTGCTAGGAACGACATGGGCATGTCAGGTTTTTGCAAAGAATATGGTTCGGCGAAAGGCAGGTGAGCTATTGGCCATTTTCTATGTCTACTCTATGCTCTACTCGGGTGGACGAGTAAAAGAGGCTGTCCGAGCAAGTGCTAAAGTTGAACGTAACCAGGATGTATAATCAATGTATCCTCTCTTCTGGGCGTCGCTGGCGGTAGAGGCTCTGCAGCATATGCAGCCTCTAAAGCAGGCATACTTGGTAAGTCAAATTTGTACAGTACCGGACGTTGATCGAATGCTGACTGTAGCAGGACTCACGCGCGCCCTAGCTGGTGAAATGGGCCAGTCAAATATCCGCGTCAATGCAATTGTGCCTGGATACATTGAAACACAAATGACAGACGGTACGTTGACCATTAATTTTAATAAGTTTTCATCGTTTCTATCTAAGTAGATTGGCTGTCCGTATTTTCATGATACTTCCCTTTCCTTTTCTTAAAAATGTCTTTAAAAAGTCCGCCGACCCACTCACCTCATCAAGCCAATGACCCACGCATGCAAACAAAGAGGCTAATGTACAAAAAGATATGACAGAGAATGCTCGTGCTCAAGCGCTCGAAGCAGTTCCCGCAAAACGCTTTGGAAAACCAGAAGAAATTGCCGATGCAGCAATATTTTTGGCGCTGAACGAATACGCTAATAACTGCATCATCAATCTCGACGGGGGACTGAGCGCCATGTAGAAAGGAAAGGATATTTGAATCTTTCAACACCATATCGCTCCATATCCATAATTGAACTCCGTTCGTTGAAAATGAAACAGACGGGAAAGAGATTTTGTTGTCCAGTGAGGAAAGAAGTTTCGAGGTACGCATTAAGGTGAAGGGTGCGACCCGTGAACAGATGCTGGAAATGCAAACGCAACGGCAGCGTTTAGTCGTCAATGACAATGGCACCGTTGCCGGAATCTTCAACCACGACGAGGTCCTCCTCCACCGCGTGACTAGTCTCTTCGGCGACTTTGCCTCGTTTCTTGATTTGCTCGTCCTCGAGGCCGATGTCACTTGCGTTGCGCTTCCTCTTGAGATCAGCATTGTCCGCCGCATTCGGCGCATGAGCAACGCCATTGGCCACTGGCGGCGCTGGCTCGACGGCAGGCGCAACTGCTTTGGGCTTCCGGGGAACTTCGACCTTCTCTGGCAGTAAGACTGGTTTAGAGTCCTCGGGTAGCGGCCTGATGATGATCAGCAAAGCAATACAACATTTATCTCAACAGAACCTACTGCTCAGAAATTGATAGAACGAGATTCACTCGAGGATTATCATCGTCCTCGTCCACCACAGTCAAGAAGCTATCTCCTTTAATTCCAAGATCAGACAACTTCTTGGGAAGATTGTCGTCCAGATCAGGATCATAGAGAATTCCAACTTCATTATTGACGCTAAACTCTTCACCGTACCCAAGCTCCAGGCGCAGGAGGCTTTCAACAAGGTCGTTGAGGGTAGCCCGAGTAGGATCAACGACAAGTTTGGATTGCGCAACACCACAAACGGGGCAATCAGGGTTCGGTGCATGAAGAGGTTCTCCTGAGATCACCCGTTCGGTTGAGCGTGTCAAGAAGACCTATCAGCGATCAGTAAATACGCCCAAGTAAACAGTGCTTGGGGTATACCTACCATTCGTGCCTTTTCCATATCTCCTCTCATGACGTGGAAGGCTTGCAAAACGCATAGCCCAGCAGTCATCGCATTGGTCGTGGCAATTGCGGGGATGATATTACCAGCCATTTCTACATCAAATCAGCTGAAGAACTCCAACGCAAAGTAAGTGAGAGTCTTACGTTTAATGTCAAATTTCGATTTGGTGCCAATTCCGAAAATGAACGAGCGAAGATTTGCCGAAGCAGTGACAAAGTCGAGTGTATCAACGTCATCTTTATCAAAGCTAAGGATCGGGGGTGCATCGCCATCAGAGACCTTGGCCTGTGTATCTCGTAGTCTGGCACTCAAACGACGAAGGCTGTTGTCCGTTAGCGGATGACCATACAGCGATTGTATTGGGGGGGCGTACCTGTCGGAGAAAACCACGAAATTTTCTGCGAGATTCCAATTCTCTTGGTCTTTGACAGAGATGCTAGGGTCAATCCCTGATGCCGACTGCGAAACCCGGTCATAATCTAGCGCCTCCGGGGGTCGGCGAGACTTCCACATGTCTTCCATGCTTCGTAGCCGTTTGATGTCGTCGCCAAAAACTTTTTCAAACACTCTTCGTGGAAATTCATCAGAGCCCATGGAATCTCGAATCGCTTTGAGAGCCTGCGACTCCTGTCTAAGGTTTTCGATTTCCTTTGCTAGTAGCAGTTAGTTTATCAATGCATCGAATATAGAGATTATCGACACGAACCATTTTCGGCATCTTCGGAATGGTCGAATTCTGCAGCATCATCCTCACTCGTGCCAAATATTTCCCTGGAAGACATCAGTATTGAGCTTGTTTTATTGAAGGGGTTCTCATACGTAAATAGATAGCTCTTTGCCCAGACGATACAGTGGATTGGTTGGCTGGGCGTGCTTCTGATTGTGCAGACGGGAAAGCTCTTGGGAGTTTGCTTAGGTGTGCAGTCATAGCATTCGGTTTTTCCCTGCAGAACTTTCATTAGCGATTTCAATATCCTAATAGCATGTTTCCTCTTGCTCACCCTCTGAATGACCTGCACCTGCCCGTTGAATCCAGTAGTACCGCTCTCAATAAGAGGAACCTCCGCCGCCAAGCACATTTTGTTCACATGTCGCCGAGCGTCAAGATTGTCAAGGGCGTTGAATACCAGGTTAAATCCTTTGAACCAATCGACAGTGAATTCGGCATCTTTAATGTTGGCGTGGTGCGCTTCGAGCTTTACGTTGGGATTGAAACGACCGGCCGTCTCTTTCGCGACCTGTGCAATGGCTCTGTTAGGTTCCCAACGAATCGCATCGGGGGTGCGATGCTGCTTACCAGCGCCTTAGACTTCTTTATATGTTCATGGCGAAACAAGAATTGCCGATTGAGGTTGCTGAGGTCGATAGTGTCTAGATCGATAATATGTACTTCTCCAAAGCCCGTCAGGACCAGGTTCTTGAGCAATTCGCAGCCAATGCCTCCAGCTCCAACCATCAAAACCCGAGACTAAAAATTCCTATTGTCAGTATCTTGTAGGAACAAAGCTCCAATAGTAACGGGGACGCACCTGCTTGATCCGGGAGTACAGAGAACCCAGAGATTGTTTTGGAAACCGATCACGGCCCATGCTGGGCAACGGATGACAGCGGCAATAGCGAAAGGAGCGTGCAAGAGGAAAAGACTGACGAAGCAAAGTATTGATTGAGTTTCCAGAGCCGATAAGAGCTTTTTTGCGAGCGAGCGACAAAGAAGAAGAGAACACAAGTGAGCTCAAATGGAGTAGCGCAGATCAGGCCAACCCACGCCCGTGCGCGATTGGGGCGGGAAGCTTTCGTTTGCTCCGCGAAACTCAATTGTTACTTCCACAGCCTTGTCCACCTATGTCATCGCCTCCCCGGGTAACCCCTTTCTCTCTTACCACATCGGCCGATGAAGGGCCGACTTTATCAAAGTACGCGATACCCATTTAGTCGTCCAGCTCGTATCGTCCTTGATGGTACCAGATACTCCTGCTTTGTCTTTGGGTCCCTTAAATTATTGCCACTGTTCAGAAACCCTTTGCAAACTTGGGAACTGAGACAAACTCCATATCACATTTTTCTCACCGCTATTTCTCTTTCTTTTTCATTCATCTGGGGATTCGTTTGGAGTTGATTCCTACTTATCATTTCTCCTTTCTCTTTCGGTTGAATTTCATTATTATGAAAAGATCATAAATTGGGGAAACTTCAGGCGCTGTGGCACATTTTGTAATCATTTGAGTCCATTTTCTTCACGCTTTTTTTTGGTCCTGTATTGGTTTGTCTGGACTTTTCCCGAGCAACAGCATGTCCGACGATGAAGCAGATCCCGAGCTCCTGGCATTACTGCGCCAGTCTCTGGGAATCAAGACGCATGATCCCGAACTTCCGCCTGAAACCGGCGTATTAGAGGGTGCAGAGCACGTGTACAATCAAGCAATTGATGTAGCTCTGGACACGCAAGCAACAAAGGCAGCGGCGCAAGCCATTTACGAGATGATGCAGAGAAAGTCCTATTCGACAAAGACGTGGGCTGAGCATGAATTGCATCCCAAAGAAAAAGATGAAAGCACTGTGAATTTTATATTCACAATGGATTTGCTCAATTTCAGTTTCTGGTCCGAGAGGACTCCCGAAGAACGATTTGCCATTGAGTACAAGGGCCGAAAATGGACTGGTTATTGGAGTCTTGTGGCCGCGCTGCAGAGAGCATTAGATGAAGGTACGTTGAATAATTAAAATAAAACACACCCTACACCACACGTGACCTTCATAACGAATCCCCAGAACGTAAAGCGTCCAAAAAGTAAATCAGTATGCTAATAAGACACGTAGGCATTCCAATTACTAGTCCCACGTTCTGGCGGAACGAGGGAGAATGCTCCATCAAAGTACTCCGACATGTCTTCCGGTCCGCCACCGAAGAAGACATTCCATTGTTCGACGAACGTGTTGCTTGTCTACGAGAAGCCGGACAAGTCCTCTGCGAGGTACCTCGTCTCTTCCTTTTCTGAGCTTTATTTTCCGGGCCTCATGACTAATATATGTCTCCAGCACTTTGACTCCCGCTTCTCAACATGTATCACGCAAGCGCAGCAATCAGCAGCAGGCCTGGTGAATCTTCTAGCCACCAACTTCTCTTGCTTCCGAGATGCATTCCGCTTCGAGGGCAAGCGCGTGCACATCTACAAGCGCGCCCAGATTCTTGTTGCAGACCTCTGGGCCTGTTTCAACGGCACCAGTTATGGTACTTTCAACGACATTGACAAGATTACAATGTTTGCCGGTACTTTCAATCCCCTTTTGTTTTCAATCCCCTTTGCCTTTGGATTTTCACCTTGCACAATTCAAGGAACACCTTTTTTTCTGACATCTCATCTAGACTACCGCATCCCGCAAATGCTGCAATCGTTCGACTGTCTGCGCTACAGTCCGCCCCTTGAGATGCACATTCGCCATCTCAAACCGCTCGAGTCGGGCCATCCCTGGGAGATCCAACTCAGATGCTGCAGTATCTGGTCCGTCGAGCTCCTCCGCCGAGAAATCATCCGCACGCATCCCGGCACCCACGTTAATGCCATTCTCATTGACTTTTTCTTGTACGATACCATGAAGGAGCGCGAAGCCGCTGGCCTGGAGGGACTTCCTCATCATCGTACACGGAGTATTTGGTACTGATTTTATTTTCCATTTCTTATCTTGAAAATACCCACTCTCTTTTCACAACCATCTTCGACATCATTCGTCTATCACGGCATTTCTATCTTTTTTTTTCCTGTCCCATCTCGCATTTGCCTCCTTATCACATCCAATTTCGCATGGTCACCCTGTACTGTTCCATCCATTTCTTCCTCGGGCAGATTCCTCCCCCAGCGTCCTTTTTTTCGAAATTGGCACAGAACGCATGAGCATCGCCTCACATAGAATTAGACTCAGACTCTCGCGAGCTAGTTACGATAGACGTTTATTTGTTTTATTCTTCTTCTTCTTCTTCTTCTTCTTCTTCTTCTTCTTCTTCTTTTATTCACTTTTCTTTGGTATGTGTTGATTTCGGCGTGCACACTATGGACTTTGAACTTGGCAAATATGACACAAGTATCCAAGAGGAAAGGAAAGGAAATTGTAGTTGGAGGCAATGAGGTAGTTGATTGGATTTTGTGTTTATTGTATGTATGTACCTAGGTAGGCAGGCATTATTAATATTATTAACATTACTACTCTAGCCTAATGTCCGGAGACTTTTTCCTGGCTCTTTCACGACTGGCCATTTCTCGATATTGCCCCCTCAACCCCCAAATTCCCTGAAGATTCGAATTTTGATGTAAAGTGACAAAATCTATGAGCTTTTGTGGACTGTCTTGGTTCGGCCTCTCTGAGTGACCGGTTGAGTTTTGATACTCCCCATGCCAAAGGAAAGGGTGGAGGAGATCTTGCGACAAACTATGTCGCAGCAGTATGGCGTCATTTAAACGTAGTGTAGACCAATCATACGCCCTGGAGACTGTAATAATGGAAGCGTGCCCCTCTTTTTTAGGAGTACACAGAATGCAATCGTTGTTTTGGCTCCTGTTGTTAACTTGGCAATGTGATCACAACGGCGGCGGAGGGAATGCTGAAGCGGGCCGTTGTGATCGGGCGCGTGGCGGCGCGTGTGGTTAGCTCGTCGAGACTGCGCATTGGGGGAGACCCGATGCAGACTTTCGCCATCGACTACTTTCCTCGGGCTTGACAGGACTGCTTTGAGGCTTAAGAAACCATGATTGAGCAGTAGAATGTAGGGTGCATGGACCTGAAATGGCGAGGTCAAATGTGTGGCAGTCATGCCTGTGGCACGCGGGGGGGAGTGTCTTGTGATTTTGATCATAGACGGATGATCGACAAAAGAATGGACATGATTCGATATGATCAAATTGTCTGCTTCGGCATGCCGAGGCCAACGAGTTCAAAAAGGAAGGGCATCCCCTCAATTACCCACCAAGCGATGCCTGCAAGATCGAAAGGTTAGATGAGACGATGCTTGCTGGAATGCTTTTTGGGGAAGATTCAATGACGTACCGAAATAGACGATGAGTTTGGTTACCACTTCCACGTCATATCTGACTCGAGGCTTTTCGAGCATCAAGAACATGTCTTTCTCATCTTGTTCACCCTGCTGGTCATTTTCCAAGTTCACCGGAGGAGTGGACACCTCCATTGCAAATTGAGGAAACGGCTCCGAAGGCACGGGGGCTCCGTCTATCGCGGAGACGGAAGCATTCACACTCGCTGCTTCGGAAGAGGGCAGCGAGTCAGAGGAAAGGCCGTTCCTGAAGGGGCCAGCTCCAGTCTTGCGATTCACCGGCCCATTGGGAACTGATTGCTGGGGCGAATTGTCACTGGATTGGCCAGCGATAAGGGCGCCATCCTTTTGCAAGCTCTCGCGTCGACGTTGCTCGCGACGAGCTAATGCCTCGTATGCATCAGCGGCGGATTGCGGTCCAACAGAAACGGCGCGCTTCCTGGGGTGGCGGATGTTGGAAAGCATGCCTGGCAAGTCGCGGACGGACGGGAAGATACTGTCCACTCGCAAGTGAGACGGCACACGCTTATACTCACTGAGATCAAGATGTCAGTATCGTCGATGGTGAAAGAGGGGCGAGGGGGAAGCGAATTAGGACGAGACATACGTGGCGGGTAAAAAGTATCTTCTAGGCAGCGAAAGACCCAAGCGCTCGATGACACGGAAGAGCGGCGGCAGGCCCTTCAATAGGGTTGGCTTCATGACTTCGCGCCAGGCGAAAATGACCAAAGTCCCGAAGAGCAGACGCAGGATAGATCTCGTCACTCCCATGGCTTGAAATTGGTACGGTGTAGTGGATGGAACGGGCTCGTTCCAGGCCAGCGCCGTCTGACCAAAATGCCACACAGCCCATTCTGCGCCAATGAAAACTCCGGCAAAAGCAACGCTGTCGTCGAAGCACGGACAATCGTCTGCGGGTTCCGGGTGAACCCGAACCAAAATAATGAGACCAGCAGTGATGAGAAAGGGGACAATCCATGTTGAAGCATGGATGTAGTTGTCAAAGGTCTCGCCCCAAACCCACTGGACGGCGGCGATCAAGAATCCCAGCATTGTCCCCGTGACAACGTCGAAAAAGCCATGCATGCCGCAATAAAGTCTGCCCAATATGATCGACCCCGCATAAAGATAGACCGAAACTTGCACCAAGATTTTCATTCGCGGATCAATTTGGTCCTCGCTTGAGCTGACTAGGAAAAGAATATACGAAGCGACAGAAACGGCATTTGTCGAATGGGTTGAGGGGAAGCCGTATTCGAGAGCCGCCGAGCCAGACATGGTGATGCGCTGCAACGGAGGAGACAACGGGCGTGGAAGGCACATTAGATCTTTGAGAAACCCGCTAAGAAAGACTCCTGAGGCAAGCATATGGACCATACTATTTTTTATGAGCGTTGATCATCAATTACACAATCCGATCGACTTACGCTCGTCCAATCGTCGTCCAGCCAAACCAGAACAGAATGGGCAGAAAAATCATGAAAAAAGTGTGTGTGCCCAGATTCGCAGTAAATGCAAAATAGGAATCCAGCGTCGGTGTACGGACTTTGGACTGTATCGCTCCGAGATATGGTGTCTCCCATCGCGTTAGAGGAATCAGCGCCTGGCGCATGCGATATCGCCAAACCGGCAAACGGTCCTTGTCTGAAGGTGTATTTAGCATTTGCCAAGGTAGGTGGGCTATCATCTGCGATTCCTAGGCACGTACAGTGATCGAGGCTGCGCAAGCCAGCGTCAGGCTTGCCTGACTCTGGCGCGACGGTCATGGTCGGCTTCGAGGCTTTACTTTGAGACAGGGTTGAGGAAATTGGAGCGCTCATCGGTTCTGCATTCGAAGCGAGAGGGAAAGGAAAGAAAACAAAAAAAAGATTCGTGAAGAAGTATTTGCAGCAATATTTAATCGAGATTTATGCTTCAATTGCACGAAGAGATTGCCGTTGAACCATCGGACGGATCAGGACATGAGCTGGGGGACGGAAAAACCAGACGGTTGGTGACGACGCAGGACCCTTGAATTGAGGGGAATTATTATTGCATGGGGGCAGGGTCAATAAAGTGACTGAATTGGGTATAGAAAAGAAGAATATTAGAGCTGGAAATTGATAATATAATGATAATCATCAATCAAAATCATGTGGTGATTCTAGGGGATGCAGCTGTTGGTCCAACACTAACGAGCTGTCCGTTGCGCTCATTTCATCAAAAAGAGACGGGGAATACCGAGGTTCAGGGAGTTGGCAGTGGAGTACGAGACAAGACAAGATTCAGGTACAAGTTCTAGTTACTACGGTAGTGGGGTCATTCGGGTGTAATCAGGCACAATCCTGTAATGTGTCCCTTGTACGTAGGAGTAATCATGTCCTGGCTATCTGACAGCTGATTGAAAGATCCTATCTCCATATCAATGAAATGATCAGTTGCTTACACATGCTGATGAGGACTTGTGCTGACTGTACACGCCAAGGTACCTGTGGTAAAGGGACATTTGAATCTACCTAGAGACTTGATCATTGAAGAGCACAAGTTCAGATGATAGGAGATTTAGATATTCCATACAAAATAAGTCAAAGGCGAGACAAGATCTTCGATCCATCCGGATGATGCTCATCGTGGCTCAGCCGCTACTCTGATAGTCGGATCGGGGAATCGAGATGAAAAGGTACTTGCATCTCCACCAAGAAACGGGGATGAGGTCATGTACCTGTCCCATCATGGAAGGCACGACCCAGCTGAACAGAGTGGGTGGTTTCCCCGCCAACGATTGCGTCGTCAACATTCTTGGGCCACCCGATATGAAACCATCTCAACCCTCACCAGAGATCCCAAGAAGATATTTCCATCTTTAATCAAATTTCCCACAATCGGTGGCAGAGGAATTTAATCTTCTCCATTCTGGACAAAATTCCCTCTCACTTGTCTTTTTCTTTACTTTTTGCTGGGATCACCCTTTGATTACGCCCCCGTCCACGCATAAACCCACGCGACATACGCCTCCGCGTCAACATTTCATAATCGTCATTTCGGTGTATCAAGATTGAAAGTAAACTCGCAATGTCGGTGCAGGCTCACGACTACGAACCCGGATATCGCCGTCACAACCGTTCCATCAGCACAGACAAATCCCCCGCAATCTCCATTACTTCGCCCTATCAACCCCAGCGCAAGCTTCATTCTCGTCAACACAGCACTCGCGATAGCAGTGCTACCATTCGCACCAGCATGAGTGATTCCACCGGTCGGGATTCTGCCGCAACACATGTCACTCAACCACCCGAGTATTCGAAAAAGCTGGTCGTGGTTGGTGATGGTGGTTGCGGTAAGACATGTCTACTGATCAGTTACAGCCAAGGCTACTTCCCTGAGGTGCGTCAATTATTTTACAATCAAATTCACCAGACCAAATCTGTCATGACTTGGGGGACTGACACCCGATCCAGAAATATGTTCCGACTGTATTCGAAAACTACATCACTCACACCACGCATCCGCCGACCGGCAAGGGAGTTGAGCTGGCCCTCTGGGATACGGCCGGACAAGAAGAGTATGACCGTCTACGGCCGCTGTCGTATCCCGAGACCGACCTGCTCTTTGTTTGCTTTGCTATTGACTGTCCCAACTCTCTCGAAAATGTAATGGACAAGGTGAGTACCATTATCATTTTATCAGGCTTCCCAATACTTTTTGAGATAGTTATACTGACTCGATGTTAGTGGTATCCCGAAGTGCTCCACTTTTGTCCAACTACACCTATTGTCCTCGTTGGCCTCAAGTCCGACCTCCGAACCAAGCGCTCCTGCATCGACTTGCTCAAGACCCAGGGTCTCACACCAGTGACACCCGACCAGGGCCGTGCGGTAGCGGACCGCATGGGCGCCTCGTACGTGGAGTGCAGCAGTAAGGAGATGCGGGGAGTCGACGAGCTCTTTGAAATGGCAGTCATCCTGGCCGTTGGCGAGGAAGAAGAGGAGCGTGTCCAAGTACGCGGCAGTGGCAAGACCACTCCTACAACAAACACCACACGCGGCACCAGCAAGAAATCCAAGAAGTCCAAGTGCAAGCTCTTGTAATGACTCTCAAACACCCCCTTTTTTTTTGTCTTTCAACCCATTCAATTACGATCATTCTGTCTATATGAACGCATGGACGAGCAAAAGGATACATACCAATGACAGACGACACGCCTAGACGCTTTTAAATCCCAGTCACGCATACCCGTATCCGGTCGATGATGACTTTCTTTCCTTATATTTCATTTTTCTTTTGCTCCTCACATTTTCCTTTTGCATAAGCGGGCGAGACGGGACGTGGAACGTGGAATGTATACGCATCGAGGCGTTTGGGGTATCATATCATGCCATGCTCTGTTATGCCTCTTTTTCTTCTTTCTTTTTTCTCTTCTTTTGTCTCTTTTTTTCTTCTTTTGTCTTTTTGTCTTTTTGTCTCTTTGTCTCTTTTTTTTCTCGGTTGTCTGTATGATGCCCCAAACGGATTTTTATTTTTTCCTCTTTTCACTCTTCACCCCTTTTTTGTCTCCATATCCTTTCCCCCTTCATTTTTCCTTTCTTTCTTTCTTTCTTTCTTTCTTTCTTTCTTTCTTTCTTTCTTTCTTTCTTCCTCTTCTTTTTCCTTTTTTTCGTTTTTGTTCTAGATGTCAAGCTAGTCTTCTTGTGTTTATTCCCCTTTATTTTTATTTTTATTTCTTTTTTCTTCCCATTCTATTTTATGTTCTTATTTTCTCCCATCCCCTTCATTGTCACCCTTTTATTTTATTTTATTTTTTCTTTTCTGTTTCTTGACAATAACTACGACGTCCTTGCAATACCACATCATACCACACCATTATGTCCTTGGCATTCTTGACACAAGTACTAGCTGCACTGCCGTAGCCCCCGGTCTTAACGACCCGAACCCTCCATCATCCCATTACTCGATTTTTTCATAGTCACTTGCATTTTTTTTTCTCAAGTTTGAAAGAGAACAGAACAGAACGGAACGAAGCCCAAGCAAAGAAATAGCAGCCAGACTCCCTCCTTCAAAGAGAGGTTCAAAGTGGGATATTTAGCATTAGCCATAAAATATCAAATTTATTATGCGCCCCTGGTGGGCGAGTTTATAAGACTTTTGCCGTTCACATATATTTCCGTAGTAGTGACTTTGTATGAGACGAGAATCAGATGATGATGATAGGAGTCAGTTTGAAGTGTTTTGAATTTGGTATTGTCATTTCAGAATTGTAAATGCCGTTGCTCGACGTATAAAATTGATTCTTTGGAGGATGAGTTAAAAGGAAAAGAAAAGAAAAGAAAAGGGAATGGGGAATAAACGCCCGTAAGCAAGAATACTGGAGGGTACTGAAGCAATAATGATGAGCATACAGGTGGCTGAGAAAAAAGTGAAATAGGGCGCAGGTTTAATGTCCTGATGAGTATTTGAGCATGCGAGCTAGGATGAGAGCGTCGGTGCTTGTGGATGGAAAAGAGCAAGGGCTGTAGAAGAAGAGCAGGGGAGCAAAGGGAGAATGGCGGACAGGAAGAGCGGACAGAAGAACGGGGAAGACGGTCGGAGAGAAAAGCAGGCAGCCATGATAGTAACCCAAAAGACTTGGAAGGAGGTTTTCCAAAGCTAGGTAGGAGGGTCAAAAAAGAAAAGGAAAAAGAAAGGAGGTGAAGGGGTAAAAGGAACAAGCAACTAGAGATTACAAGTGAGAGAAATGGAATAAAAAGAACAGTCGGTCTAGTCAATGACGAATCGCGAAGACATTAATTCATCGACATGTGCGCGCTCGGCTCTCATGTTATCTTTGCGTTGTTCGCGGAGGAGTACCGCGAGGACTTCGACGGGAGGATTCATATTCAGGTTTTGGGCGCGGTGCCAGCGCTTCATGCGAGCGATGCCAATACAGGGCTGCGTATTGTTAGATTTGAGTGGAAGTAGAACCCAATGGAATTTGTGAAATGGCATGTACAAATTGACAAGGGAAAAGGAAGTTGAAGACGTACCCCGTATTGTGAAGACAGATCAAAATGTCGCAGTATTTTCTCGTTCATGGAGAGGCCTTCTTGGTGTACTTTTGAAAAAGGTCAGTCTTTTTTGTTTCGAGGATATAGAATGATCAAATTGCCAATATAGAGGCTGTATAAAGTGGGAAATAAGATCACATACCTCGTGGAGCCTTTCTTTCATCCTCTCTCGCCTTCCAGTACCGCTTGAGCTGCGCATCCGAAACCTTTTCCGCTGCCTGCTCCTCTTTGGTCTTGGGCTTGGCCACTTCAGCCTCGGTTTGGTCAATGATTGCAACTTCAGCAGTCGTTGGTTCTGCTAGGTCCGGCGAAGCAATGGCTTGGACATCATTGTCGTCGTTGACACCCTGCAGAACAAGCGCAGGGTCTTTTTTCGTAGTTACGTCTTTTTCTTTAAGAGCTTCCTTTCCGGTCCTTGCAACAGTGGGCTTGGTGACGCGAGAGTGGGAGCTGCCAAAGTTTAACGTTGCTTGTGATGGTCCGCCTGCACTCTGTCGAGAAGACTTTGTTCGTCGTGCCGGTGACATCGTGTTGAGATATGTGTCGATCAGGTGCAAGGAAACGATAGATGTCGTATGATTGAAAGTAGGCCGCTGGTATATGAGCCCCTTTGTGAGTCGCAACGTCAGGAGTTACAAGTGCGCTGTGTGAATGCTGAATGTCTACCCAAGATAGGATATCGGTTGGTGCTTGCGCAGGACTATGGAACGATAGCTAAACCTGGGTTCCAAAGAATAAGAATCTTCAGAGCACCGATATGGATTAGTTTTCAGGCCAAACCTGGCATATAGCTCTTGAAAATTGAAAGATATTGACCTAGTTTCACCTCGATGTCGTCAGGATTGGATGCATGATTGGAATACCTGTATTCAGCAAATATGATTGGCTGGTGGACGTTTCTGGGGGAACGATCGCTATGTCGATTACATAATATAACACTGCATGGATCTCGCGAGGTCATGTGACTGCGCGTTTCAATATCATTTCTAGACTTGTCGACTTCATGAGCATCGTGAGGGGATTTGAATCGCATTTTACTGTGAGGTTGTTTTCACCAAAGTAAAGCCAGAGATCATTCGCTAAAATATCCTTACAATTAGCCATCTTTTGATATTGGCAATGCACGTAGCTGTATATAATCTGAACATGGTCTGCGTGGGAACGGCGAAAGACGAATGCTGAAGACGCAGTGGGAGTAGCTTCCATCTTCCATTCCTCAACAGCTCACATTTCACAATAGTATAATCAATAATATACTAGGTTTTGTTCAAATGCCACGTAAGGAGCCTGAATCAAGCTGGAAATAGATTAGGCACCAGTAACAGGTCAATCACGGTCCGTAGATCTTAAAATATCCACCTGGCCATACTTGCGCAATCCTGCACCTTTTCAATCTCAATCCGCCGATTGATGTGTACGCCACGATTTGATGATCAATTGGCGGTCTCAGGGGGCTGAGCATGTTTGGGATTGAGAGATATGCCCTCGCTCGCTCGTACTCCATTGTCTCGCTTCGCAGTTGAACGTACGTGTTGGAGATGTGAGCCCTGCAGCAGGGCCGCGTACCAAGCATTCGAATGTCTACAAGACCCTTTTTTAGCCCTCATTAAATCAGGTGAGACAGTTTCATCTTCCATGTGCTTCCCCACAGTATGTGATCTGCACAAATGCCCCTCACTTCAAACAATCACAATGAGGGGCACACCGCTTTTAAAGGTCAAAGGACAAACGTCGTTGGACCCTGAGTCATGGGCTAATCGTCCCCCTTGATGGCCAAAGTGGCGGATAAGGCTTACGCTGTTTCGTATTAATGCCGAGGGAGCCACGTAACGCTGGATCAGCCGGATCAGCATCAAATGCAGGGGCCTGGGACGATGCCAGGTGTGCAAGTGCTCTTATTCGGCAATGGTGGGGAGTTTTGTTCTTTGATGCCTGCAATGGGGATCTACCCTTTGGATTGTGCAAATTATTGATGGACCGAGGAGGACGAAGCATCAGCGCAAGAATGGTAACGACTTGCGCGGAACAATGAAGATCGGTTTATCCCCGCTCAGCACAGATTATCCGAAGTTCTCGTCTATTCTTTCTTGTATTGGCTCCGACCTTGATTACCCTTACCCATTAAACGTTGTATCAGTTAGAGTTTACCAGTCTAGCGATGCCTATCAGTTAAGCGGGCTAAAGGACAACAAAAGGCATGAGCGAATAGAGTAACTTGAGCGATCATGATCAGCGTCTGGCGTAAGAAAAAATTTTCTATCTCTGTTCTCTTTGAATAACTCGGTGACCCTGATATCCCAAGGGCCAAGGACGTCAACGCGTGGACATGCAAGCCCCAAGAAGATTGGACAAGACTGGATCCCTTGACTTTCCTACGGTAGGTAGCTAAAGAAGCAAGAATCGCCGGTTTTGGAGATGGTGGGGCACAGAGAAACCAAAACGGAACAATAAGGACTTTGACAATACCTTGATTTAGGCTGCAATCTTGCCGTCATCCAAAGTACACCACAAGACCTGATTGCGTATTGTGGCTGCTTCTTTGGCCGGAAGTGGCAAAGGTGGCCTTGGGCACGTACCTTGATTCTGCTCGGATCAGACGGTAGGAGAAGAAAAAGAAAAATTTTTCAAAGGAAAAGTGGTACTTTTCTTTTTGTTCTTAGATGCATTCCAAATCCAAAGACCGTTATTACAGTTATTTACTCAGCTGGGGAAGGGGTGGAGAATGGGGAAAGCTCTCCCCCCCACTGGAGCTGAAGGCACGGTCGGCCCGAGACGAGAGGGCAGAGCTGGTGAGCGAATGGGCCAGTTTGGTCAGCAACGGAGAGCGACGGAGCGAGAGAGAGAGCGGGACGAGCGACGATAGCTGGAGGATGGAATGATTATGATTATCCATCGACGGACTGATATCATCTCCGTAGTATTCTTCTGTCTTGCTGCCTTTCCAAATCATACCTACTTTTTTTTGCTTCTGTCTCAATCTCTCTGTCACGGATCCCCACCCCTCGACGTTCGTCTCACATTTTTTTTCTCGCAGCGCCTTTATCCTTTTCCCCTTTCCCTACTCAATTCCATTTTTCCTTTCCTGGTTCAAGCATTGAAGCCATCTAAGCCACCGACCAAGCTGATCACCCCCTAACACTTGGTTGGGTCAGACGACGTATTCGCAACACAGCCATTGGCAATCCTTAGCCCGGATCTACCGCAGTTCCGCGTCTCTGATTCCCGTGCACCGTCTCTGTGTTCGATGCCCCATCTCGGCCTCGACCGCCGAGTTACAATGATTCTCTTCAACACTCATCGCTCCCACACCCTCTTCTTTCCAATTGCTCCTAATGCTGCCGCCGCTCAGTCCCATTCTCCAGCCGTCTGGGGCAAGTCCCGCGCCAGGCTGCGATCCATATTTTACGCTTTCATGGGCATACGCATCACCGCCAGTACCTCTTCTCTCCTTTGCTCTGTCCCTCCCTCTCTCTGTGCCCGCTTAACCTGGTGTATCGAGGATAACTAAGAGATGGAATAGTCGTACACTCTGCACAGTAGAGAATATGCCCCTACGGTGAGGTCCTAGCAGCAGCGCTACTTGTATTGCCAAGCCAAGTGTTCTTAATCTACCGTCGTCGTGGCCACTTCGCCCCCTCCCCTCCATGATCTAGGTAGGTAGAGTGTAGTACAGATACCACGTATAGCAAAGGGAAAATCAAATCACTTGGGATTAGTCTTTTCACTCATCCATCCCTCCATTACCTTTCCATCTACCGCTGTCTTAGGAGGCCTCCGTCCGCGCGTACTTGGCATCATCTCGGGTGCACGGGTAGAGTAGTCGAGAGGGCTATAAGAAAGCTATTTGACCCCCCCTGCAACTTCTTCCCTCCCACCATCCGCTCATACCCCTGCTGGTCTGGCCCTGTGACGTCCGCCGTTGCTCTGCACTTACTCTCGGTGGCAACGCCTCGTCCGTCGTTACCGTTCATTGCTACTATCCGCTATAAAAGAACCCGCGCCTTTAGGCGTCATATCTTTCGCTTTTGACTCTAACGCTTTGAGTTTCATTGTTTGGTCCGGTGCTTTGTCCTGCACGGCGTGACACAACTATTTTTTCTCACTCGTTGATTGTCTGTCGCTTTGCAATATCAAGAGATTTTCTCATCGTCACGAGCCACTAGGCCTCAAGTATTCAGACGTTTCAAAGGCGCAATCACCAAGCTCATTACTCAAAGCAGCTCAAAAATCTAGAGCTCCACAAAGCTATACGCCATTTTCGCGAGGCAGCCTTATTCCCAAATCTGCCCCCACACACAATCGCTCTATTATATAAATCACCTTACTTTTGCCTTTTGGATCAATTTCACTTCACATTCGACGAGAATCCCGTTCATCGCATATTTTCAGGAAGATCATCACCACACAAACTAGAATGACAGCCTCCAAATTCATCGAGGTCCTCGATCCAATCCCGCACTCGCGCTCCGCTTCAGATGTCAGCCTTGAGGACATTCTCGAGCAAACTGCGATGCGAAGGTCTTCGGGCGCATCTGACAATGGCCCTTCTTCGGCATCATCCAATGCGAGCGACCGAGAGCAAAATGGCGGCGGCGCCAGCGGCCCCATCAAGTCACGCCTGCGCAGGCTGACCTTAGGGAAGCGCGACAAGGTCGAGGTCTGAGATTCACACAGATTTCTTTGCTCGACAAATACATTTCATCGAGGCCGACCTCAATCAATTGCTCTGAATGGTTTCTACTGTCGCACCTACCGATCTAATTTTCGAAGCCATACGCCCATAAACGAAGCATACACTATTTTGCAATTGAGATGCAAAGAGTTTGCCCGGCGTCGCTGATTTAGAGTCATTCAGCGCTCTCTGCGCCACATTGCGGTTGTTGGACTTTTCGATCTCGACGTTGCACTTTGATCCCAGCGCGATCGCGTACAGTCATATCCGCGTCATTGGTAACAGAGAATCCGCTCGGAGGATTCTCCGACATATAGACTCGCCAATCCCAATCCGCTCTGTGGTGGACGAGAGCTTATTCCACTTGGTCAATTTCTTTCTCTCCGAGGTCTGAAGCTCAAGCTTCAAAAGTGGAGAAGAGAACCACGAGGCAGGGGGTCCTCCGGGGTGAACGTTGCCAAAATTGACGCCATCGTCCAATGGGCTTCATTTGGGTCCTCCACGCCATGAATTTTACAGTGGAGTTCCTAACATTACCCCGCATGACATTTTCAGAACGGTTCGTCAGGCACAACAGGTGGATTGACAACACTCTGACCTGAGACGTATGACGATGGGGCCAAGACACGGCCAGCCGGGAAGAAGAAAAAAGAAAGATCCACCCACACAAGATGGCGCAGCCGTACGATGCAGGGATCTACGATCGACATCATCGTGCATATTTATCGCGGCTTATCGGTCTAGCCTCTTCGGCAGCCTTTTTTTGTTCTCGAAATTTGGCGAGAGACTGGGTCTAGACCGAGGACCAACCAGTCTATGACTCGCTTCTTTGTACGGAGTACGCGTGACTCGTCACCGACGCATGACATGCTACGATCCTTTTCTCGACGTCGAGTTGATGAGCTATAGTTGGGATCGTGACATTGATCAAAAATAGAGTTGACAGAAAAATACTTCTTTTCTATATTGTGAAATTGTTCCCTGTCTTTATTCTTTTCAAGTATATACTTATAGACTGCACATTATTCACACCCAATTTTCAACATACAATAATATTTAATATATTATATGTTATATTTTAAATTTGCGTACTGCGCAAAGGCTTCTTTCATGATACCCTGTCGATCTGCCCGAGTCTAAAAATAGGTTACGTTAAATTTCAAAGTAGAACTGTGTTCAAAGAATCTTAGACTGAGTCATCAAATTCCCGTGAGAGCCAAGTGTAGTTGAAAATGCAGTGTGCGAAGGACACTTTTCCATTTATAGTTTGAGCGTGCAACGGCGCTCATAGTATGAATTATGAGCGAAGATTGGTATGCCCAATGGGAGGATGGCCGAGTGGTTAAGGCGCTGTGTTTAGGTTAAGTCTTTCAAGAGACTGTGATCTGATCCGCAGTGGGAAACCGCGCGAGTTCGAACCTCGCTCCTCTCAACATTCTTTTTTTTTTGTTTTATTTTATTAATAGCTTGAATTTTGCGTATTTGCTTTTATTCTTTGTATCAATCTAGATTTTTTTTTTCTGCGATTAAAATGATTACATGCCTTTGCAAATTGTACCCTGGCTTGATGATAAACTCGAGGCGCCATGTTTTCCATGTCAGGTTTTGGTTTGCTCTGTTTGCGTCGCGTAAACCATCTTGTCCCGCGTTGCAGTAGCCATGAGATCCGCGCTGCGGGCTTAATGCTATCAACAGATTAACAAATTTCCATGACCGTCCCTCCAACAAGTATTATCTGATTTCCTTACTCCTTTCGAGTGAAGCTGCTGGGCACTTATCTACTGTCCGTTTACGACTGACCTCGATAAGCCACAGCTGGACAAACAGCGTGGTAAGAGAACGAGCCCGCCGCTAGGACTGCGCAGCGGCGGCGATATTCAGCGGACATTTACGGCAACACGACTTGATTTAGCGCTTTCATCATCACTGTGCAGGCTATTACTTCCAGGAGCCCTTGACGAGTATACCGGCTCAGTTACCTCGATTGTACCGGTACAAGCACCGGCTTCCTCCCAGAACAGACGACATAAGGTGCCTCGGACTGTCCGACTACAGAGCGACGCTCGAAAGACACATATACCCCCCGCTTAGTCCGACCATTGTCTGAATATCTCGGTGATCTCAGAGCGATACAAGGAAACAAAAACTACCGTGAACGTGGTCAAAGTCTTCAAGGAAGCACGAAAGAGGGATCCGGCGTTCAAATCGATATTCGGACCCAAGTCTACAAGAGGAAGTCTACGAGAGGTCGCAGCGACATTGAGAGACGATTCGTTTCTGGGATATACGGGAGCGTCTGCGAGGTGACCATACGATAGATATACGGCCTGGAGACTTGGATCAAAGCGCGCACGGATATACTCATTGAACCAGAGCTACGAGATTTGGCTCAGTGATTGTAATTTCGATATATTTCGGAGATTGTCTTAAGCGCCCCTCTAGCGTTCTACAATAAAAGCATTCAGCTCTCGATAAAGCAGGACATAGATCTGTCTTGCCCAGAGAGAACGGGCTGCTCGGGCAGTACAATCCGCGGAATAAAGGACACGGGAGATAAGATACAGGACAATATGGCAGACAAGACACCCTTTCAGATTCAACGGGATCAATTAGTCGGCGAGATTGGACTCGTATGTTCCTCCTCCCTTTCTTCCTGTACTAATTATCACGTCTTTTATCATCTCCTCCACCTCTCCTGTCTCTTATCTCTAACTCTCTTACTCCTTCCTCTTATTTTTCCCTTTCTCTCACTCCATCTCTCCCACCATTCCTCGAACACCCTACTCCAAACACTGCCCTTCTTCCCGTCCTATCACATGAAACTCAGAATACCATTCTCGTCAGAAACGCTAACCACAAGTCTCCCGGTTACAGAGTCTCGAAATGGTTCTTCAGAATCTAAATAAGCTTAATCGCGGCCTCGAAAGCATCATCGAGGTACGTTTCTTTGTGTTTCTTCTCCAGTTCATTAATTTGCTATTAGTAGCAGTTAGCTTGACACTTTCGATAAGCGGACTCGGACAAAAACACAAATCAGACAAACATAGCTAACACGCCCCCGTTGGCAACAACAACAACAGGTCGGCAACGAATTCTCCTCTGTCGAAGCGCTGTGGTCGTCATTCGAAAACGTCATGGCCAAAGACAAGGGCGCACAGAGTGATGCAGAGTCTGGTGAAGCTCAGGCTGAAGCTGAAGCCGGGGCCGAAGCCGAAGCTGGGGCCGGTCACAATCGAAGTCGAACGCAAAGTCAAGCTGGAACATATGGAGTTAAAGACGAGGACCGTACGCAAAGTCGAGAACAAGCACAAGGTTACGATGAATAAGGCACTTTGCAGTTGATTGATCAGTCGATGCTAGTTGAATAAATAAACAGATAGATGAATATACCCACGTTTCATATACAGGACTGCATATTCTATTTCCTGCCGCTGCTCAACGACTTAAATTGTATACTAGTAATCACACATTCGACAACTCATAACCACGACGCGCATATATGGATCATTGAATGTTATTAATTATTGAAAAAGGGAGGCGTTCAGCATCCATCGCATAGAGCATAGCTGCATTAAGAGTAAGACAGACCTGGGGATGATTGTTGTTTGGGGGGGGTTGTACATCTTGTTGGCCCCCGTCCCATCTCCCCCCTCTTGCGGCAATGACACGAGAAATGGGGTAGATTGGGAGCGTTAGGTCAGGTCAGCGGATAGGGTAGAGAGTAGGTTGAAAAGGGTTAGGTAGGTAAGGCGGAAATAAGAAAAAAGGTAAAAAGAAAAGAAAAAAATAGTCTAAATGGTTCATCATCACTCCTAGAATAAGCCCTTTCCTCCCAGTTCCCGCCACCCAAAGACAATTGATGTTTAAAAAAAAGGGAAACGGGGATTAGGCTTCGTTCTAAATCATTTCCCGCTTGCGGCTTCCTTTGCTCCCTTCAAACAGTTCTCTGCGCCCGTTTTGGAAATCGCTTACAGAGTGAACTCCTTGACATCGCCCATGTCCTTTCCAGGGTTCAGAGCAAGAGGGACGATACCAGAGACGTGCATGTCAGGGCCGTAGACGTGCATGTCGAGCTGCAGCTCCTGGCCGACACCCTTGATGTTCTTGAGACCCTCCTGGTAGTTGGGACCGGCACGACGGACCCAGATCTGGACCTTGTGAGCGTTGAGGGCGGGAGCGTACTCGCGGAGAGCACGGATGACACCCTTGAAAGTGGAAGCGACCTATCAAATGTGTTAATTGCTGATTTGAAAAAAGATGGATTAAAGTGGCTGGGCGCATTCAAGACTTACGTTGGTGAAGTTGGCAATACCACCACCAATGAAGAGGACCTTGCCCTCGGGGTGCTCAGGAGCGCGGAGCATCAGGTCAAGCACGGTACGGGCGTAGTGGAAGGTCTGGGTCTCGGTCGGGGCACCAGAGTATTCACCATAGTTGGCGAGTTCGTTGGCGAAGCCAGCAGAGGCAATGGCATCGGCATAGACGACGGAGGCACCACCACCAGCGACAAGAGTCCAGATACGGCCACTGCCGTTGATGATGGTGAGCTTGAGCGAAGCACCAGTCTTGGCGTCAAGCTCGGCAATGTAAGCCTCCTCCTTGCTAAGCTCACGGCCAAAGGGAGCGGGGAACTCCATTGGCGGGCCAGCATCAATCTCAACCTTGCCGTCCTTGGGGGCAATGATGGGGAGACCGAGGTTAGCGGGGCTGCGAGCGACGGCCCACTTCACACCACACTCAAACTCAGCGGTCTGGTCGAGCTTGGCAGCAAGGTCAAGGAAGTGAACATCAGCGGAGGTAGCATCGGCGTTGGGGATGACGACCAGAGGGTTGATCTCGAGGTAGCTAAACGAGCATGTCAGCTGCAAACCGGCCTAACATAAAGCGTGGAGGGCTTTACGCACGTGAACTGGCAGTCAACGTAGACAGCGTAGAGTCTGGAGATGAAGTCGACAAGGACATTGTGGACACCCTTGGGGACGTTCTTCAAGAGAGTGTTGGCAATTTCCTCGTTTGAAGGGTACTCCTTGAGGTCAACGGGGATAAGAAGCTTCTGGGCCTTGGCATCGACATCACCGACATCGACACCACCTTCGTGAGTGAAAAGGATCCAGTCACCCTAAAAGACGGGAAACAAGCATTGTCAGCCTTATGCACACCGGCAGCGACAAAAATATGCACGACATGTTTTAGACAGCGTGCTAAAATGGTGTGGCCCGACGGCCCGGTGCGTGACAGCGGGCCGAACCAAGAGAAGGGTAAGGGGCAAGGGGAAGGGGGATGGAGTGGATAGTGGGTTTTGGCTTTTCGTGTCTGTGGGTTCATGCAGGGACATAACATGTGAAGCAGATTGATGGCTGGGATTAGGGCATGGTGCAAAATATTGTGGTTAGTCTCCGTTCGTCCGTGGAGTGACCCGAGAAACCGAGACGCAATAAATAACGCCCCTTTCCCCAGCCAACAAAACAGACATGAAATGAAGAACAAAAACCAGAAATATTTCCAGCCGTTTCCGCGACAAAAATCCAGAGAAGTGAATTGATTGGGTAATTCGCTGGGAAATTGCATAGATATGCAATGCTGCAGACTTTGTCTTGGAAGACCCGAGTCCCGTGACTCCAGGTACCTCGTTGACCGGCCGGTAGGGAAGTATTTTGCACGTACCTCTCGTACTGAGTTGATGTTGATGTAGTACTCGGTCTCCTGGGCGTGAGGGCAGAAAGGCTCAACGAGGAAGTTTCTCAAAACACCCTTGACGGTCTCAACCTGCACGGGCTTGCCGGCACGCTCCTCAACCCACTGACGGGCCTCAGGCCAGGTCTTCTTGAGGCCCAAAAGACCGCTCTTGCCTCGTCGCTTGATCAGCTGGTCGGGCTTGGCGACGAAAAGAGCATCCTTGGCGAGCAACCAAGGGTAGGTAGCCTCAGCCTGGTCAAGGACAGAGGCGACTGAAGCATCCTCGGGGAAGTAGATGGTGGCAAGCTTAGGGGGAGGGTTGTGGACGGCGGGCTTGGGCAGCGGTGTAGGCTTGATGACAGGCGCTCTGGTGAGGTGGTAGTTGATGATGGCCTTGCCGTCGGCCTCGGAGATGGACTTGGCGGACATTGTGATGGAGAAGAGGAGTTTCTAAGGGAAAATCTGTCGAATGTAAGTACGGATTCTGTACCCGCAAAGTCGCTGCTTTCTCCCCTCGAAGCCAAGCTCAAAACGAAGTGGAACTGAGTAAAGAAGCAAGAGACAAGGGCCCGAAGCGGGAATTCGAAGCAGTTCGAATCAAAGAAAGCCGAGTGGGGTTTCTTAGAATTCGAGCACCTGTTTCTTCCCTTCTTTGCCAACCCCTCAAATTGGCTGTCCAGCTACACGGGAGCAGCCAATTTGTTGGAACCGGAGCAAAACGGGAAGGCCAGTCTTTGTTGCTTCGCCATTGACGGAGATTTTGCGGCGGCAAAGCTTACCTCGAAATATGAAGAAGTTGATGGATTGTCGAAAACCGGTCCGGAGGTTCAAACGACCAGATGCAGGACCACGGGGAGAGGAGGAAAAAAAGTTGGAGTGTCTTTGCTCAACGACACTGAACAAGACTCGTTGTGGAGAGAGATGGATTGAGCTCGTTCGAAGGGGAGCACACGAGCAGACGATATGGAGATGATGAGAGAAGAGATGGAAAGAGAAAGGGAAGCTTTGGTGGGGAGAAGGGAGAGAATTGACGAATGGGCCCGAAGGTGTTGGTGGTCGAGGTGGAGGAGAAGGAATTCGCGATGGTTTGGGGCTTTGGGAATTTGGGGCGGCGGTCAGCGGGAACGGAGGGGAGCTGTGTGTCCGCAGTCAAAAAAAGGTGAGTGAGCCGGGGACCGCCAAGGGTTATGTGGGCAGGTGTCGGGAACAGGAAAGAGAAAGCTTTGGGAAGCACGAATTGCGACGCTAATGACCGAATCTCTAGCAGAGGGGGCGGGTTGAGCAAGAAATTAATCAGTTCAATGGGTCAACCAGGTTTTCTGGTCTCTTGGGCGGGAGACCATAAGCTGAAGAGGATGGTCGGATATGCACACGCAGAAGACGCATACGAAGGGGGGGCAAGGGAAGCTACGGGAACAGTTGAGCGAGCGACACACAGACAGACGAGACCCGAGACCCTTTTTGATGACCCGCCAACGACTTTAGTTCGGCGGGTAAGCGAGAGTAGAGGATAATGGCACCTCCGACCGGCGAACGCCCACCGAAAAGACGCCAGGGTACAGAGCCAGGGCAAGGGATTTTCGAAAGGAAGGACGGGGGAAGACGACCGACCACGGACGCCGAGTTGAAAGCTCAGGGCTTTGGTGTACCTGAGACTAGACGGTACTTGCAGATACGACCATATTTTCCCATTGACGCCTCGGCTACCTGCGATGAACCTTCGGTGTCCTACGAGAGCTACGGGCTTCTCCGTTGAGAATGCAAGAAAATTGCAAGTACCATTTTGAGTACATTGTGGGTATTTGCTTACGTACGCAAGGGGATCGGAACTTGGCAGAACTAAGCAATGGATTCACAAGCCTCGAAGGGCGCAGCATATCGGCGAAAGAGAGAAGAAAAAAGATGGTACGAGTGCGGTCCTCAGCCGGTATAGGAACCTGTCGACAGGGATCCGAGTGTCAAAAGTGGCAGCTGCTCTGGTCTTGCACTTTTGGTCTGAGCACTCGGACCATCTGGGGCCACAGGGCAAGACAGACTTTTGAGCCACACGACAAGCAAACGCCGCGGCAATCTTGCGCGACTCCCGAATTCCGCGAGATGCCTGTCTGCAGGCATGCATGCTTTTAATCCACATGGGAAAAATAAACAGAAGATCGGCGTCAACAAGACACACCCCTCTCGGAGATCATCAGAAATCTATGACGCAGCATCATGCCGTCACGGAGGTTGAGGCGGGGTTTTCGCGCATGTTGTTTTGTCGGGAGAAAGAGAGCGTTTGATATTCCCTTCAAGAGGAAAATGAGAGAAGCTTTCTTCAGGGGAGAGATCAGGTACGCAGGTACCAGGAGTACTTTGGGGACGTACTGCGCCGTACCAGAGTTGGAGTTCCCCAACATTCCCTAGACCCCTGACCAGCCAGAGCTCGCTTGGGGTGATTGGCTCGGTCTGTTTCGGAATAGGTAGACTTTAGCTGCTCCCCACCGAATCCCCCCTGGCGTGGGCTCATCCCATTCCCATCGCCCTTCAACTGTTGAATCGGGCACTAAAATCAACTAAAACCACCTCTAATGCCAGCATCACTCGTGCTTTTATCGCCAGTGTCCCTAGACGCCTATCACTCCCTCAACTGCCGGCCTTGTTGGTGCTGCTACTGCTACTACTGCCGCCGCTGCGGCTAAACGTTCTGTCGTGGTGAAAGCTACCAAGATACGCCCTCAACTGGGTAGAAGGGAAGTGGGAAAAAAGAAGTGCCGAAGCCATTGTTATTGTGTGCGACAACAACGGAAATCTCGTTGTTAGTCTCTCCGCCTCGTCAGCCTAGTTGGACCCGACATTATTATTGTCAGGCAAGCCCACTATTATTTTGCAGCAACTTTTTGCTCCGTTCCCACCACACAACGATCCAACCCGCGCACTTACGCTCCCACCAAAGCCTTAGCTAGCCCCCCGGTTCGGATTCCCTACCTGGTCGGAAAGCGAGGAATTTCTACTCACACGCACCTGCCTTTACTCTCACCGCACACAACGACCCAAGCTTCACTCTTCAGTCCCCAAGGTGTCGCACGCACACACATTTCTCTTACCGCACTACTCAAAAGTTACCTCCACCGAGGGGAACGCCCAAAGAAAGTGACCAAGAGGACCCTCGCTCCCAGGAATCGCCCTCCCCTTCTCATCAACCAAAATCCAATTATCCCCAATTCATCATCTCCTCCTCCAACCCTTCTCCTCATCCCACTTCTCCAACACTCCTCCCCATCCTTTCTCCAGGCCTCGTCCGCTTCTCTCTAAATTTTTACATCTTGACGAGCCTTGCTTGGACGGCATTGCTCATACTTGGAGAGAACTAATTTCTTCTCGCCTTGTTTTTCTTCGAGGTAACGACGATTTTCTTTAGCCTGCGTCTCTACATTCCATCCCAGCACCATCTCTACCTCGAAGCTCTCTGCAGCTCGTAGCAGTGCACGCGAAACCACAGATTCCTCACGTTGATTGTGAGTGGCTGTGAGCTTTGAGCGCATCGGCAAGCTCACCTCGTTCTGCGTGCTCCTGCAAGCGTTGAACGGCAGCAGAAGAGTGTGGGCGGAGAATTGCTACCCTAGCTTTCCCATTCAGCCTCGTTACATCAAGATGATTTTTGCGAGATCCTCAATGCTAACGCATCTTGTTCTATCAACAGATTTATTTTTCTTATTAGTATCTTCAAAACAACCTGCACAATGGCCATTGAGACGCCCAAGGTCAACGGCACCACCAACGGCACGGCCACCCCGGCCCCGTTGTCTGTCAACGACAACATCCGCCGCTTCTCCCCCGCCAGCCGGCCCTTGAGCCCTACCGCCGACTACACTCTCTTCACCAACAAGACAAGATGTTTCGTCTAGTAAGTCGGGCAACAAGAATTAGAGCTTGAAAATGGCCAAATAAAATGAGAAATGCTGACAGCAGGAAAACAGCGGTCTGCAGCCCCGTGCCGTCCAGGGCATGCTCGACTTTGACTTCATCTGCAAGCGCGAGAAGCCCTCCGTTGCCGGTATCATCTACACTTTCGGTGGCCAGTTCGTCAGCAAGATGTAGGTTTGGCCCGCAGCAGGCAGATTTCATTTCAATGGCAATGGCCCCGCTGACAAGGTTCTCGAAATGCAGGTACTGGGGTACCAGCGAGACCCTCCTTCCCGTCTACCAGAAGGTCGACCAGGCCATGGCCAAGCACACTGATGTTGACACTGTCGTCAACTTTGCTTCCTCGCGAAGTGTTTACAGCTCTACCATGGAGCTGATGGAGTTCCCCCAGGTCCGCACCATTGCCATCATTGCTGAGGGTGTCCCCGAGAGAGTAAGTCATGACTGTGGATTTATTTGCGCATCGCCCCCAATTGGAGCCCCATCCAGCTAACCCGCATGTTCTAGCGCGCTCGTGAAATCCTCTACGTTGCCAAGAAGAAGGGCATCACCATCATTGGCCCCGCCACTGTTGGTGGTATCAAGCCTGGTTCTTTCAAGATTGGTAACACTGGTGGTATGATGGACAACATTGTCGCCTCCAAGCTCTACCGCAAGGGCTCTGTGGGCTACGTCTCCAAGTCTGGTGGTATGTCCAACGAGCTCAACAACATTGTCTCCCAAACCACCGACGGTGTGTACGAGGGTGTTGCCATTGGTGGTGACCGTTACCCCGGTACCACTTTCATCGACCACTTGCTCCGTTACCAGGCCGACCCCGAGTGCAAGATCCTTCTGCTGCTCGGTGAAGTTGGTGGTGTTGAGGAGTACCGCGTCATTGAGGCCGTCAAGAAGGGCGTCATCAACAAGCCTGTCGTCGCCTGGGCCATTGGTACCTGCGCTAGCATGTTCAAGACTGAGGTCCAGTTCGGTCACGCTGGTTCCTTTGCCAACTCTCAGCTCGAGACTGCCGCCTCCAAGAACAAGGCCATGAAGGAGGCCGGCATCTTCGTTCCTGAGACCTTTGAGGACCTGCCCAAGCTTCTCAAGTCCGTCTACGATGACCTTGTCTCCAAGGGCACCATCAAGCCCGCCCCCGAGCCTGCCGTTCCTAAGATCCCCATCGACTACTCGTGGGCCCAGGAGCTCGGTCTCGTTCGTAAGCCCGCTGCTTTCATCTCCACCATCTCCGACGACCGTGGCCAGGAGCTGCTCTACGCCGGTATGCCCATCTCCGATGTCTTCAAGGAGGAGATTGGCATTGGTGGTGTCATGTCTCTTCTGTGGTTCCGCCGCCGCCTCCCCGACTACGCCAGCAAGTTCTTGGAGATGGTTCTTATGCTCACGGCCGACCACGGTCCCGCCGTGTCTGGTGCCATGAACACCATCATCACCACCCGTGCCGGCAAGGACCTCATCTCCGCTCTCGTCAGCGGTCTCTTGACCATTGGTTCTCGTTTCGGTGGTGCCCTGGACGGTGCCGCCGAGGAGTTCACCAAAGCTTTCGACAAGGGTCTCAGCCCCCGTGACTTTGTTGACAACATGCGCAAGGCCAACAAGCTGAGTAAGTACATTCTGTTTATGCTTGACAGTATTCTTTTTCCCGCAGCGAACTAATTCTTGGATTAGTCCCCGGTATTGGTCACCGTGTCAAGTCGCGGAACAACCCCGACCTTCGTGTCGAGCTCGTCAAGGAGTTCGTCAAGAAGCGATTCCCCAGCTCTAAGCTCCTCGACTACGCCATTGCTGTCGAGAGTGTCACCACCTCCAAGAAGGACAACCTCATCCTTAACGTTGACGGTTGCGTTGCCGTCTGCTTCGTTGACCTGCTCCGCAGCTGCGGTGCCTTCACTGGCGAGGAGGCTGAGGACTACCTCAAGATGGGTGTCCTCAACGGTCTGTTCGTTCTTGGTCGGTCTATTGGTCTGATTGCCCACTTCCTTGACCAGAAGAGACTGCGGACTGGTCTGTACCGTCACCCTTGGGACGACATTACCTACCTCCTCCCCAGCCTTGCTCAGAAGGCTCCTGGGGCCGAAGGTCGTATCGAGGTCAACCTATAAGCAAAGAATTGAGCAATGGTTATCTGATTGGATTTGGTGTGGGAATTCGATGTTGCGCGTGCCGTGTGTCCAACAAGCTTTTGCGTTGGCCCCTATCTTCTCATCTATCTCTTCTTATTTTTACCCCTTGTAGGGAATTCATACGCGCCATGATTAATAGAATCTAATTCAACGATTAAATTTCAAATGATGCAAAGTTTACACGTCAATCGGTTATCCGTGACATCAGATTGAGTGCTGTGAGATTTCCACTTTATGCAGTGTCAGCCCCTTGGCCGTGTCCCAGTTCCCAACAACTCTCTTGGGTGCCCCTGCCTACGTATCATGTGAGAAAATGTCATCGGCGACTTTTCTGCCGAGGGCGGTGAACCGAGAAGCACCGGTAGCTTTGTACCTGGAAGCGTAATTTTGACCAAAGCTTGGACCCTGTCAACACCATGAGCATTACTTGGTGCCCTGTGTATAACGTTTGACATCCTTGGCACATGCGACATGATAATACCTTATTGAATTTGACAGAGACTTAGTGTTCACTCTTGACTTCTCACTGAAGTTAATTCGTTAAACGCAACCGGTACCAGTGGCATCCTCAAGCTGTAAGACTGCTGGCAGGACTTCACTAGCTGTACGGAACTCCTGACGCGACGGTGCGCTCTCGAATAGCTTGTCAATTATATCTTACAGATCCCAGCTTTGTCGGGCTTTGAGCGGAAGACATACATGATCACATCATGAATCGCAATATCGAGAATACTCTCGGGGGATTAATCCCCACTCTCTCTGGCCCAGTGCCCGAGGAACTTGTCACGCTTGCCGCATCACTTGTCACACAGTCTCGCTCAAAGGCGAGTAATTTGAAACCAGAGGAGGAGATTGCTCGGGGTTATGCTTGTGCGCATTTGGCTGCTGAAAGGTGGGTCTACTGTGCATTGCAATCGTGCTCGACTCTTTCTGCACATCTTGCCACAAATATATCCTTGGACCATAACAACGAAAGCTATCTGGGCGACTAATGTACAAGGAATAGGTTAAAACAACGATTTAATCTCCCCAAAATAGAGCCCCGGCCACCCTGTCCACCCCGCGTTTACCAGGCTCTTTACCGACATCTCGAAAATGCGATTCCAGAGCGACGAGGACGCGGTCGACCCAAGAAAATCGATATCGCAAGTGCCATGGCTGGAGACGAAGAAGGAGTGCCAAAGACATCAACCGGCAGCGAAGAGAAAGGCCGAGGTCGACAACCACCGAATGGTAACAGGAGTAATTCTGGAGCAGACTTGTCGCGTAAACGGAAGGCTCCCGGCGACGAGGACATTCCTCTGATTACACCGCAACGCGGAAGAGGGAGGCCAAGAAAGATCACAAGTCATCACCCTCTACCTGAGCCTTCCAATGATGACAAGGTACCGTTGTGGGTCATGCCCATGGTTCGACATGTCTGCAAAACGCTCGAGACGCCCGCGGCGCCGCCACATGTATACGCTGGAGTATCGTCCGTTCTGCCAAGGTTTCAGGAAGAAGACAGTCATAAAGACGGTCGAGAAAAGCGAGATGGAGGGATTGTACAGTCAACGCAGGAGCCCGAATCAGTTACTCCATTGGATGAAACAGAGGCGCCGACAGATTCGACTGGCGAGTCCCAGGGAGCAGAGCAGCATCAACGGCAAGATGAATTGCAGCCACCAGACGTCAATACCCCCCCAAAGTCCAATACCGTTGCGTCTACTGCTGTCGACGGGAGCACAAAGAGAGTCGCAAAACCTAATGGGAGATTACATCTTCCTCCGCTGATACTCGCGGTATATTTCTTCGTTGTCGCGCGTCTGATGAACCAGGAAACGAGCCCAGAGGAGTACATGCGTCTTCGCAGACAAGCCATGGACGCTATCGGGGTATGGGCAGCCAGTTTAACACCCGATGCGAGGAAGAAGTTTATCGCTGATCCTGCGACGGCGAAATTTATGGGGTCTGGCGTTGAACGCGCTTTGAATACTGGTAACTCAGGCTCTCAGGTCATCAGTGACACCCAAACGACGAGCAATGACGCCAATGATAATGCCAACGCCACAGCAACAGAAGAGGCACCAGAATTACAAGACAGAAGCACCCTTGAGAACGCATTCAACGACCAATTCTTCTTCCCCTCGGGACTCGTGGATCGCGCCTTGCAAAACATGGCGAAACAAGGGTGGTTAAAGATGGAGTGGTTCCAGAACATTATTCCTGGTGCAGGCGTACGGGTCGGTGGCGGCGATAGCAGTATCCCTGATGCTGCCGATGCGGCTGCCGATATATCTGCCAACGACGGCAGAAGAAGAGGAAGGCCCGGTCGTCCTCGCAGACAAGTGGCCACATCTGATCCAGATGCCATGGATATTGATACGCCGCAGGAACTAGACGAGGATGATCAAGACGTGTATGCTGAACGAGAAGATGACGAAGCAGAGCAACAGGCCTTTGTCGCACAGGATGATCCCAGTCTACAAAGCGGCCTGGGTAGTATGGTATGTTTCGCATTTCCTCCAGCTTTACTTACGATTTCTTTCTCATTTTCGATTCCCCCCGTCAAAATATTGCGTCCAATTTTGCTGGTTTCTAACATTCCCCGCAGCTCAATCCCCGAGTCGACTTTCTCCATCCAGCCCGTCGAGAAGAATATAAAGATTGGAAAGCAGGTATTCTTGCCCGAGTCGACGAGGTGGAACTCCAACGCTCTGCTGCCGGTGCTCCGAACCCTGTGGCCGTATAGTAGCCTGTAGTAGCATAGCACAGCACGCTCAATTTACTCTCTATATATTCATATCCTCTTCTTTTGATCGGGCTTTTTTTTTTTTTTTTTTTTTGTTTTACATTGATTGATCATTTTTCTCGGTGTATTTCGCGTTTGCTCTGGCTTTTTCCTTGTTGCCTATTCCTCATTGACCCGTGACTCTTTTACTAGTCGTGATATAAGTCCCGATGTCGAATATAGTTGATCGATGAACTATTATTTGCCATTTCTTGAAGTTGAGGAAGAGATATATTGCAAAGTACAATACTTGCCTAGTACATACGACCATAGACTGAGGAGAACTGGGCATCCCGTCCGCTCTGCCATACATAAGCCTCAGATCGGCGGACTAGTAGTTGGGTCGGTGACGACCAGCGAATCCCCGCTGTTGTATGTTTTTTTCCCAGTCCACTTTTTCTTCATTTTACTTCCTTTTTTTTTGCTTTCGTATTCTTCTTTACCTTTTCTTTTCTTTTTTTTTTCCCGTTCCTTGTTATTCATCCTGGGTATTACACGTTGAATCGTCATGTTAGCTGTCAAGTTACCCAATCAAGTGACCCATAGGGCAAACAATTATTTGTTGATACTCATACATGCTATTATAGATAGAAGATGAAATGGTTGGACTCAGTAAAAGCTATATTTTGTACATCTATATGAATATCTCTATCGCTATGACTCTATAATATATACCCCTAAATTTATGCGGCAATGCAGCATGCTTGGTTAGATGATTTACGTAATATCCATTGTCCCTTGTCCATTATGCTGAGTCGCTGACAAGTCCAAGGATGGGACAATGGAGAAGAGAATACGTAAAAAGTAGAAAAGAAAAGAAAAGAAACTAAGGCATGACAGGGTTCGTTTTATCCCTCCCTTCATGTTGCACTTCCTCTACGCGTCCCAATCCGACTTCACCGTGGTGGTCTGCCACGAGATCCATTTCGCCAGCCCTGACGCGGCGCGAGCGCGCAAGGACTTTCCACAAGACGATGTTGACCACGTAAATGGCGATGCCAAGATAGCATGTGATGAAGTCGGATACTTGGAAGGACGGGATGAATGTGTTGTAGCCTGCCAAGAGTTAGCATATCGTATTGTATGCAGCATGTCGAAGACTCCAATGCTTCGATTCTTCGAAGCTCGAAGGTCAAAGGTTCAAATCTCAGCGTGCTCGGCGACATTTGAAGTTGTAGAAATTAGAATGTAATGAGAATGAAATGGAAATGGAAATGGAAATGGAGACAAGGAACGAGGCTAGAGAAAGGGATAAATAAACGTACCGTTAAAAATGATAATAATAACCGTCAAAAACAACGCAAACCAAGCACCATACGGCTGTAATGCTCCACGATATGGAAGATCTACCTTTCGATCCAGGCCTTGGGCTTTCATGCCGCGGCAGAATCCAATATACGAGACGAGAATGCTGGCCCAGTTGAGCGTCCCAAAGACAGTCACGAGGTTGACAAAGTACCCGAACACAGTCGCGCTGGATTTGGTCGCGTTCATGTACGCCAGCAGGCTGAATGCAGAGGTGGCTGCGACGCCGTAGATGGGTACGCCTCGTGCGGTGGTGTGTGTGAAGATGCGCGGCGCGTGGCCTTCTTTTGCGAGGGAGTAGAGCGTGCGTGCGCCGACGTAGATGTCTTTTTATTTTAATTAGACAGGGAAGATAGTGCCAGACGGGAGACGAGGGGGATTTTAAAAAGGGAAGGAGAGGAAGAGAGAACATGGCGGGAGAAGAGAGTTTTGGACCACAGAGACATATCATTGAGAAGTATGATATGATAGTATGATAGGCTGGAAGCATAAGAATGAAAAATAAAGGGGAAGGGGGCAAGAGAAGGAAGACTGAAACAAAAAAAAAAGGAAAGGGGGAGGGGAAAGCAAACACTGGACCAAAAAAAGGAGAGACGGGATAACTCACCGGTATTCGCAGCACTAACAACAAAAACCAGAATCGCACCATTCATAATATCTGGCAAAACACTGATCCGCCCCATTCTCATCGCAACCACATACGGCGAAGCCGAGGCGCTCGTCTTTGCCTTCTTTGCTCCAATAAGTAGATCATTATCATACGGCACTGCCATGCCCAGCAACAGCACGCCCAGGATATAAAACACACAGATCCGCCACAGAGTCTGCCGGATGGCTCTGGGGATGTTGCGCCGCGGGTTCGGCGTTTCCGCAAACGCAACGCCCACGACTTCAGTGCCTGTATATGCAAAGCATGACTGGACTAGACAGGCGAAAAACCCGAGGAATTTCCCCAGAGAGCCGGTGGAAAGGTACTCTGCAAATGCTCCTGGTTCGTTCCAGTACCGGAATCCGACGCGTTCGTGGTTCGGAGCCCCGCCGAGAGAAACGATCAGGCAGGTGAGCATCGCAATGAGGATGGCGATGATCTTGATGGAGGAGAGGATGAATTCTGCTTCGCCGAAACTGCCCACGTGCAGAACCTGGCATTATGAGTATACTGTATGGGATATATCCAATTGGAAGAGACTCAAGAATGAAGAGTATATGGAGAAATGAAGGAATTGGATCTTGATGGGTGGTGTATAGGGTAAATAGAGAAGATACGGGAAGGGGACAAGGGACAACAGAAAATGGACAAAGGGCAAGGGAATAGGGGCAAGAGGAAGAACACATACATTGATGGAAATAACTACTGCCGCAAAGACAGTCACCCAAATAGCAACACTCAAGTCTGGACGCCAGTACTGAATGACCAACCCTGCGGCAGTAAGGTTGTTTGCCAAGACGATGGCGTATTTGAAAAAGTAATTCCATCCGGTAGCAAATCTATACATGTCATATTCATCAGCTACTTGTACTACCTCATGCCATCGAGCAAATGAAGTTTTTTTTTAAAACAAAAAGAAAATAAAAAGAAAAACTTAGTACTGCAAAACAGTGCAAAGAAAGTGCAAAAAACTCACCCAAGAGCTGGATCCACAAAGCGAGAAGCATAGCCATTGAACCCGCGATCCATAGGTAACAGAGACGCCATTTCTCCGAGCGCCGTCATGACAAAATATATGATCGAGCCGGTCACAGTGTAGGCAATGAGGATACTGGCTGGTCCGCCCTTGGCTAGGGCCGAGCCACTTCCAATAATCAACCCAGTCCCCAGAGCACCTGCAATGGCCAGCATATTTACCTGGCGAGACTTGAAGTCCCGGCGCAGGTGTTGGGGATTCGAGCTATCGTTTGGGTTTATTTGCTCCATTTGGCCCTCTGCATAGTCCGGCGACGACTCCGGTCCTTGGCCGGGAGGCACATCTTGAGTCTTGTGGATGCTTTTCATGGGTAGTTTAGACATTTTTTCAGTCTGGTCTTTTTGAGCAGTTTGGGAATCAAGAATTTTGAGGTCGACATATTTTTTTGCTTAAAGAGAATGTTATTTATAAGTTTTGTCTTGCTGGTGTTTCTGTAGTATCAGCAGTGTCATATGATAAATGGAAAGTTGGCAAGCCGATAAAGTTGATAACAGAGGGGTCAACGGGGTCGAGGGGCCCGTCGTCTCCGCATTGCGGAGGACGAACTCCGTCTTATCACGCCGCAGGGACCACCACATTGGTGACCAGAAACCATCATCGCTTTGACACTGTCCCATGGGCTGAATTGAGTTCGGAAAGATGATTGGGTTCATTGTTGAAAGATAGGTAATGGAAACGGAGTGGCAACTCCGAAATTGTCGAGATGTTATCGCGCGGTCGTATGGTTTTCAACGTGTATTTATAGCTCAGTATATCTTGACCCAATACTACATGATTTTCTTGATAGAGAAAAAAAAGTAAAATAGTCGAATACTGTTTACTTATTACAATTTCATTTTCACCATGAGTCCAGTCGCCGTCTCGCAATGCACTCCTCCAGTGCCAAAAAAGCTTTCCTTTATGGATAGCACATTCGCACCATCCCCAGAGAATGACATTTCCAAATACCGAAATCTCGCACCAGTCGTGACTCGAGAAGATGTGCACTACCTCAATTCCTCATTCCAACAAGTCATGAACTTGCGAGTTCGCGCTGCCATTGACGAATACCTGGACCAGGCTGTTGGAACTCCGCATCCAAAGCCCGTCTGGCAATCCGTCGCCCAACAAGCCAAGAGTTCTCTGGCTTCCTACCTCAATGTCCCTGATGACTCGCTCGTCTTCACCCGCGACACGACCGAGGGACTCAACCTGTTCCAGCGATCGATCCCTTTCCAACCTGGAGCAAATGTGGTGCTTCTGGATACCGAACACCCAAACCACGCCTATGGATGGCTTGGTCTGGTGGAGCAAGGATTGGAAGTCCGTCGCATTGACACCAAAGGAGAGAGCTATGCCGACGCAAACACATTCGCTCCCTTGGTCGATGACAAAACCATTGCAATTGGTCTGTCGTCAATAATGTTTCACAATGGGCAGTTGAACAATGTCCAAGATATCTGCGCCCGATTTCGTCCGCGAGGCGTGCATGTCCTGGTCGACCTCACGCAGCATGTCGGAGTTTGCCCTATCGACCTGACGAAATGGAACGTTTCCGCTGCTGCCCTTGGCTGCCACAAGGGCCTAGGCTGCCCTAGTGGTCTGGGAGCGTTATACATCAATCCCGGCGTTCTCTCCAGCTTGAAAAAGACACCGCCTATTGTCGGTGCTGGCGCTATAGGCAACCTCCCTTCTACTCTGCTTGCCGACCCGAACGTCCAATACCATGCATCGCCGCAACGGTACAGTCACCTAAACCTCTCACTCATAGGTGCCGTAGCGCTCAACGCATCACTCACCCTTCTGCGTGAGGAGATCGGCCTAGAGAAAATCGAGAGATACCTCCGAGCACTAGGGCGCGAGCTCGCACTGGGCCTGGCACCATTGGGAGTGAAGATTGTAGGCAGCCAATCAGCCAGTGAACGAGCACCGCACTTGTATGTTCTCGCGCTCCTACATCCAGATTGGGAGAACCACTTCCGGACTGAGCGTGTTTATGTTTCTCATTATCGCTGTGGAGTGAGGGTCTCTCTTGGATTTTATAACAATATCGCCGATGTACGGGCTCTGGTGGATTCTATCCGGAGGGGCTTGGAGGCAGGAATTCCGTGCGAGTGATGTTGAGAAAAGCCGAGGATTATTAGTTAGTCTTATTGCAATAATGATAGTTATACCTCAACTGCTGAATGTTCCGGTAAAAATGGCGACAAATTATCGTCAGTTCTGATATCTCACAACGAGAACCATCCCCGAAAATCACCATCCATCTGACAGATGTCGTGCGCCGCCTGATCCCAGCTGAGCATGTCTACCAAGGACTCATCTACCAAAGACCCCTGGATGTTCTGGTCGTTGATGATGTCAAGTATTGGTTCCGAGGACAGGTGCAAGGAATCGTTAGCGGATATTGAAGTTGCATCCTCGATGCCTAATGAATTTCCACCGGCGGTATCTGAGATTGCCGAAGTCTGTACAGGGGCATCGGCACTCGAGCTTTGTACACCTGATAAAGGTTGGGCATGTCGTTGTCGATTCACAAGCGTCGCCCTCAAACTTGAATGCGCCTCCGCTGCGATCCTATAAACTCTAGTACACTCCCCCAAGGCCTTGAGGAGAAAAGAAAGCTCCGGCGGGAGCGATGTTGACTCTATTTTTGAACTGACTATTGTCGCTTAGTACATTCAGTTCAGGCGGGGAAAGACAATAACATACTAGAAAGCTTGGTAAGGGTGATGCTTGTTGTAACGATTGCATATACCATGATCAATGGTGCAGTCATCATCCCATGTTGATTTCGGAATTGGCGGATCATTGCAATAACTGAACCACAGGAGGACTCACAGACTGTCCGCGAAGATTCCCCTGCCGCCTCGCTAGAGTCATCGATGAAATGCCGATTGAGAGAAAGGGACACACTATGATAGAAGAGACTGTTCTCATTAGACCAAAGTGGAAAAAAAACTTTGAACAAACATACTGGAGAATTATGATATGATGTTGCAACTGTCTTTCTTGTGCACTCCATTGACTCCACTGTAGCTGCTCAGGGAGATCATGCAACCACCGGTTGAGCCGAATATTCATCTCACTCAATCGGTAGACAGAGCTTGAACTTCCCGCCTGGAATTCCTGTGAAAATATATCCACCATTATATCTTGAAAGATATCGCCCAGCCTGACAGTGTATTTGAGTGCATTCGTTAATTGGGGCCGCTGGGCGGGTGTAACATTGGAATGCTTTAATGCCAGATCGAAGAGCCCGAACCAGTCATGGTTTACTGAAAAGTCCCTGAATTGTGTCAGGATCTTTGATTGCCATTATAGCCAGAAGTAGTGCATACGGAAGCGGCTCACTGGGGTGGACAGCAGCATCTTTGGCGCTGAGATATACGGGCCTTCCGAGATATAAACTCATAAACCTAAAGCGCATCAGAATTATGGCGGTGTAAAGAGCTTGATCCCCGTACTTGTCAACTACATAACAACCCCAGTATATCCTTCGTCGAATCTCAATATCCTCCGCGGTTGCAATAGACTGGTCCTGCAATACCCAATTTGTTGGATCTCGATGGAAACCAATATCCTGACCCATTCGAAAGGCCATTCCTGGACGACTTAGCACCGCTCCAAATAGTGAATTGAGTAAAAAGGAATACCAGAGAAAAGCCATCCCTCAGAGGTATTCCCCTGTCCAACCTCATGAAAAGCCAGACAAAGCAGCGCTTGAATTGTGACCGGACTCGGATGGGACAATTCGTAAGTAACGATGATCTCTTTGGCGCATTTTGCCAGTAATCCGGCCTTATTGCTGACAGTCGTGTCGCACGAGTGGGGAGCTCCAAGAGCAGAAATTGCATATACCAATGCATAGGACCAATACTTGCCGCCGTAGGTGTTGTCGAAGTAATCGGCCAGAAATGCTTCACGATAGACAAACATTAACTGGGGGTACTGATAGAGGAAGAAGAGAGGGAGACAGGTTTGGATGAGACTCGAGTCTATCCCGAGAGCTGCTGCGAGGCGCACTTTGGTCATGTCATCTGCATGAATTGATATTGGCATAGATTGGGTTGTGCGATCATTTCGGCCGGTCTGAGAGTTTACATATATACTTGTTGGACCGTGATATTGCAGTGAACCTAGTTCGAATGTCAATTCCATAATCCTAAAGCACGAACATTCAAAAGTACCTGATTGACCAGATTTCAGCAAGCCGGGGTTTTGACAAATCTTCTTGTCTTCTGAGGAAGTGACCGGTCCGCTATCCTCATCAATCGATAAGTCACGTAGCATGACATCTCGTTCCTCGGTGGGAGCAGATTTTAGCTTCCGCAAAAACCATTCAAACCACGCTATTCGAGTCTCTAGTGACTTGAGATAGTCATGAGATACCGGTCGACGTCGGGAATCATTCTGGCGGTATTCGCATTCATGACTGGCTAGCGTACAGTTTGAACAGGGGAGATTCCGATTACATTTGATCTTGCGGGATTGACAGCGTTTACACCTGGCTCCGCATTAATTAGAGTAACAATTGAAGATTGTGATAGTCATACGAGAGCTTTTTGATACGTTCCATAGGGCATAAATTGCTAGAATTCACGTGCAGTCATTCTTGTATATTTAAGCTTATCATGCATGGATTGGCTTATCGAGGATATCGTGGATAAATATACATCACATGATTATCGCCTTAAAGCGACCAAATGAGCCGGACAGCCCCGATTTTTCCTGGGGCATCTCTTTTTCTTTTTCTTTCATATTCAATTGACTGAATTGTTTTGGATATAATTTTATTGAAATATATCAATTAAATCAGCATGGATGGTTCTATAACCATACATCTACAATACATCCGACTAATAATGTCTACCTAAGAAGCGGAGAAATATACACATCCAAAACGCAATGCATGACACCAGGCGCATACGTCTTGACGCGCTCAACGTGCGTGCATACTATGGCTCTCTCCCTCGTGTTCGTGCCGCCGACAGCCCCCAATTCCAGTGGCGCAGGCCCAGCTTGAGGCTGCGCGTCAGGTCTAGGAGCAGCCCCAGCTTCTTCGGCGTCAACAGTCGCGACGATACGGCCGATTTCGCGAACGATTTCGTCCGTGATACGAGCAATATCATGTGTGGCGATATTTTCGTGAACGTGAAGGAACCCGCCTAGTCCTTGAGTGTATCCTCTCTTGGTGATTCTTTCGTCAGAGCATTTATCAGTTGCACAGTCAGCTAGAGTTTCATATTCTACCCTGACACCATGTTCGTCATCATTTGGAGAGGCAGCGTTGAATGACAGACAGTCAGAACCCTGAGAATCAAGATCTAATATCCGCACGGCAGTCTCCCAACTATCTCGTGACGAAGGGAGGAGGCCGAGATTAACATGTCGAATTGGCGGGAGGCGATCAATATGTTGTGTGTGATGACTTGAACCCGGCTTATCTGTAGATGTGGCGCTGGTACTATTGCTGCTATGAGCAGCACGAAGGTTCCGCTTGAAAGTGTCAATCTTAGGTCCAGCAAGGGCGTTATCTTCGCGGAACACGGATATCCTAGACTGCGCGATCTTGTTCGAGAGTTCCGTTGGCGACAATGACGACGTAAAAGCCTTTTCGGCAGCATCGTCATCGTTGATGTTGGAGTAGTTCGGATCAAACACCTCCGCATTCCACCCATTCTCCTTACTGCCGCGCTTTAAGCCTTCTACGCTCCAAGGGTTTAATTCCCAGCAGAGGACTTTACTCACGCCGGCCGCAGCGTATGAGAATGTAAAGTATCCAATTCCAGCGTAGAGATCAACTGCTGTGCAGGAGGATGGTGGGATTGAGGGTATCGTGATTCTTGATATTGAATTATCAGGAATACTTGCATTATGAGATGTGACGGAGACAGCACATAATCCTCGCTCTGCAACACTAATTGTGACTCCCCTTTCCAACTCCGCGAGCACGCTTCTCAGCCGCGCCTTTTCGCGAATATTGCCCCGCGAAAACATGGTATATCGCGGTGCCCAAGTCTGGTAGATGCCGTGTTGGCGCGTCGATACCCAAAAGGCAGTATCCAATTCAGCGCGCGTGATGCGGTTGTGGTTTCCTGGAGACTCTTTTTCTGCTGCTGAAGGCGTTGGAATGACCGGGCCGAAATCTCCATATAAAGGCTGCAAAGCGGTCGGACTGCGGAGAATATTTGTGCCTGAGTCTGGAGCGTGGTAGTAGTGTTCATTGTCCCTCTCTCGTGGCGCCGATTGATCCTCATGGGATGATCTAAATGATTGATCGCTTGTGCATCTCTTTGCAGGTAATGAATGCGTGTGATGAGATGTTTTAGCGGCCACCGTGTTGTCCTGGTTGCTAAGAAGCGGAATCGCCCCGTTGGTAGCAATATGTGTGACGCCCAATGCGGTAGCGATGTCATGGTAGAGAGCATGCAATAGATTTGTGTTTTCTTTAGGCGCGTTTTTGCTCTCGATGGGAGAGTCATCATCAGTCTTAGAGATCCTCGATTCAATGTCTGCGCTGGTCAATGCCCGCAACAGTTTTTCCCAGGCTTCACCCCGAAATGCGTGCGCCGGAAGAAGTAACATGGGGTGATAAATCGTATATGTTTTGGGGATTCCTGGCCGTAGCTGCTCGAGTGTTACATTGATCGAATTGAGAAGAGCTTTGGGCAGCTGTTGTAGCCATGACTCGACGATAGCGATGAGGATATTTGTCGACGAAGATTGGGATGAGGCGGCTGCAGCGGAAGAGCATGGTGTGCCTGATTCGGAAAGGGAGAGAAGAACGTATATTGATGCTCGGGCAGACTGTGATGAGAGTGCGGCGAGCGGCCCAGGTGCAGTAAACAGATGGTTTTGAAGATATTCCCCAATAAAAGTCTGCGCATCAGGATTGGTGTTCTTGGGATCTCTGGGACAAGACTGAGCCTGAATTTGGCTTTCCGTATCAATCTCTGGCAACGGCATTATGATGGTCGTTGGAATGATGAGTCGCGGTGTGCTATCATTCCCTGAGCTGCTCGTAGATGTATCCTGGTCCTGCATCATCTTTCTCCCATCAAGGGAGAACACACGCCCTTTTCCATCCCATTCTTGAATTTTCCGCCGGCGGTCTAATTGACCGTGCTGCTTTAACAAATCCTTGATCTCCTTGACAAGATTTTTTGGTACCGCTATAGAAACGTTCATGTTTGTAGGGCGAACAAGGAACAGAGGGGAAGAGCAGGAAAGTTGAGAAGTTAAAACGTTATGACACAGGCCAAATGGACTTGATGTCTTTGCGCACTATGTAGCGTGCTGATGTGCTGAAAGGGTATCAAAATGCTGGTATATAACCAAGAAATTTGCAAAGAAAGAGAATGATACAGGAAATAATAATACAAAGCCGTCGACTAAATTGCAAGCAAAAGGCAGCAACTGATTGATGAAAAGTCCAGCAAAATTGTCACAAATCAGAATTTGAACAGATCAGAATGACTAGGGAAAGGAACTCATCATTTCAGAGTACTCCCGCTCAAAAATAAAGCTTAATAGAAGTTGATTAGGACAGCATGTCATAATTTTACTGGAAGAGGGTTGACTCGGCGTCTGCTATTTGCAGCGACAGTTGGTTGACAAGCTTCGCTTGCAGAATCCGATCCACCAGAAGCGAAAACCACTCTATCCAAAATACGATGATGATTTTATACTGCTGATATTTTGAATTGATAATCAACTCAACAGATTGAGGGGATAAATATTTCCCCCGGATTTTCAATTTCTCATCGTGTCGCATGTCTCTCATCTATTGAGATTTGCAATTGAAAGTAGGATTGTGAATTGGTGCTGCTTGATTTATGAGCTACGGATACTCGATGAGAGCAAAAGAATCTCTAGTTCTGCCTAAATTCCTTGGAGATCAAATGTCCAACTGGTTCCAAGCAGTTATAAATCGTTCTGTGAAGGTACAAAAAAAAAAGTCCAATTGAAGATGCCCCCCAAAAAAAATCAGAAAAATTGAAGAAAAATATAAAAAAAAAGTGACCTAACCAGGGGTCGAACCTGGAATCTCTTGATTCGTAGTCAAGCGCCTTGCCATTGGGCCATTAGGCCAATTGTTGAAAGAAGAAATGTTATCACGGTACATGTTCGGTCAGCCCACTTCGTGCATTATACTGCTCAGAGCAAAACAAAAAGTCGCTCGTGGTCGTAAAGTGAAAATTCGTTACGCATTAAAAGGTCACGATCCTCAATTATACCCAGGTACCCATGCTCTCAGAATATTTCTTGCATGTCCAATACAGTATCTGCTGTGCGTATGCTGAAATGCAATGGTCTGGCTAATTGGTTTTTGCCGTGTATCTTGCCTTGGCTGCTATGCTCGCACTCATGACGCTATATGCGAAGCTCCGGCAGGAATGACAAGTGGGCTGAAGTGCTGAAAAGATTGATGTACAAGAAATGATAAAGCCTCGCAGCAAGTATTTGCAAAGGCATGTGCTGATAGATCTAGGAAAAACAGTCCAAAGCAGAAATTGCTATAATACACCACAACTGTCGTCACCCCCAACGCCTTCTTTTGCTGATCTAATCATATGCCCACCATGGCCAACATTTTATAATCGCTATCGTGAAATGCAGTGCCGACTTTTGATTACTGTGTCTTTCGGAATTTCAGTGGAATATTCTGCTCGACAATGGACATGCGATCGAGCTGCTCCTGGCGCTCGGCTGCCTCGGCTTCCATGTCGTGTTTGCGGAAGTGTTCAATGTCTTCCGGATGGGTGAGATCTTCTTCGCGGGTGTCTATCAAGGTGTTAGCATGGCTGGAGATTAAGTCGTGGGTTGGATACGCGAATGGGAAGAGTTAGAGAATAATGACGGCGACGGGTGTAGAATTGGCGGTAAAGCAGTGGACATGGGTGTGCTAAACATACTCTCATCATGGTACCTAGATTCATCGATCAGCAAAGAAGATTTGAAGAAGAGAACAAGGTGTAGACTCACTTTTCAAAATGGTGGATTTCATACTCATACTCGTCGTCGCCATGATGACCGGGGCCAAGCTACGAGAGCAACATCAGTATACTGTAATGGCCTAGACACTATCCCCCGTCCACGGACAGATAACCGTGTCCTTGGACGCTTGTACATACCCCAAAGTCTGGCAGCCTCACGCCCTCGTCATACTTTTGTAACCACTCGGCCTGCGTGATCCGGCGGTCACCGCTGGTGTCAAACAGCCTAAAGACCTCGGTCAAAATCTCGTTCCTTTTCTCTGCAGGTGTGTCCTTGAGCGAGTCGTCGTTGAGACCGTATGTCCGTAGAACCTCGTAGGGGTCCCAATAGCCATTGGAGTCAAAGTCGTGGAGTGAGAAGAAGGCGCGGGGCTCGAAATTGCCGATATGATGTTCCTCTACGCAGATCAGCCCAAGATGCTCCCAAAAAATTACTCAGAAGTGACACTCTGCAATGGATCATACCAGCCATGTGTATTGTTCCCCAATCAGTCTCGCCCTGGAGGGCAGCTTGACCGTCGTGGTCGCCGTGGGCAAAGACGCGGCTTGACAGCGCCAGCAGCGCGACTCCCGCCAATTTCCACATTGTGAGAAGATACAACTGAATTCCCCGGTCGAGAAGAGTTCCTTTTTCTTTCCGCCAGAGTATTAGCAGTGCTAACCTCTATCGCTCAGTGGATCTGTGTGTTGATTAGAGTTGACCCCTGGTGCCCCTTGTCGCAGCCTCGACCGTTGGCCCCTGCGCGCTGCGTCGCGTCGAATCGGCAAAGCGGCGAGGTTTAAGTTGGTTTAGTCACTTTGCTGGGTTGACCGACGGTCCGACGTTGCCGTTCCTCTAACTTATCCACTTGTCTACCTCTTCCCCAGACAATTAATTCTTTGTCAGAAGCTTATTGGGTTAGATAATGGTGAGTTGTTCTTTGAGGCATTCTCCAATTAATATTGATTAAATCACTGATCTGCTCAATATAGCGGTATAATATGAATGTGACTGCACTTAGTGACTCATGACACAAGAACAATCCCATAACTATACAGCCTAGATTAGAAAAACAGCATGGACATCACACAAATTCAACTAGAGCATTACGTGAAAAGAATTGAATCAATTATGATTGGCCTGAATCTATCATCTCTACATATCAATCCAATTGCGCAAGTGCTCTGTCATGACTAGCTGACAGGAATTCAACCTTAAGTTGGCCGACCCACCGTCTCTTCGTTGGTCCGCTCGGCAGGGACGTGCCGGACGTGCAAGGGGGTCCGGATGAGCCATGGCGGATTGGCCAATTAATCCGACGACTCCGAGTGAAACGGTCTGTGACGTCTTCCGGGAATTATTGGTTATTCTTAAATCAAGAAATGGACTGATTGCTCGGCCTTGATTATGTTTCTCAGGCCGAGCGCGCATGCCGCGAGCATGGGTGTCCTGCGACTATACGATATTGTATTTGCGCCATTCTCAATCTTATATAGAGTCCATTCGTGTTCAGCATCCACAAACTGGACTTCAAATGACTCGAATATTCAGATACCCATTTTCAATTGATGCACTCTGTCGAAAACGCGTACCATTAATTTTGAACCATCTTGGACGTGACATCTCTCAAAAGCAATCCCGCAATACACCTCTAGCGCCAATACTGAGGTTAATTAATTACCAACATTCATTGGCCAAAGACTTTAAAACAAATCCTAGCAAAATGTCACAGACCATTCGTGCAGTAGGTAAGCAAACCACTCTGTTATCCCCCGTACTCGCAAAATCCCAATATATTGACGAAACCAGACATCCGCGGCGGCACCGGTCCCGTAGACAGCCTCTACATTACGGACGTGCCCAAACCCACCATTGGCCCCAATGACGCCCTTGTCAAAGTAAAAGCCTTTGGTCTCAACCGAATGGACCTTCTCCAGCGCGAGGGCAACTATCCTCTGCCTCCATGGGCGCCCAAGACCCTTGGTTGCGAATTTTCCGGTATCATTACCGAACTGGGGTCGAGTCCAGAGCCGGGATTCGAGGTGGGCGAGGAAGTTTTTGGACTGGCCTACGGAGGTATCATTTTCGCTTTCTTACCTCAACCTTTCAATTTGAATGGCAATTCCACTGTCCATATAATAAGAATGCACTGACTCAATTGACACGGGAATAGGTGCATATGCTGAATATATCGCCGTATCTACAAAAATGCTGGCCCGCAAACCTGACGAAATGACTTTTGTCCAGGCAGCTAGTATCCCAGAGGTATTCTTCGCCCCTCCACTTCTTCCTTATCCTTTTCATGAGCGTTACTAAATTCACAGACATACATGACCTCCCTGTTAGCAATGTACATTACCGGCGAATTCAAGGCCGGTAAATCTATACTGTGGCACGCCGGCGCCTCTTCCGTTGGCATTGCGGGAATCCAGCTCTCCGTGACGGGCGGCGCGTCTGCAGTCTTTGCCACTGTCGGATCCGACAACAAAGTCGACTTTTGCGAACGCGACCTCGGCGCCACAAAGGCATTCAACTACCATTCGCAGGACTGGTCACAGGAAGTGCTCAACGCAACTGGTGGGAAAGGTGTTGATGTGATTATTGATGCAGTGGGGGCCAGTCATTTTCAGGTAAGACGAGCGCAGCGGTCTTTATCCCACTGTCCCGTTATCATTATCACGACCCAGCGAGTCCTTCTCAAAGCGATCCACCAACATCAACTTCCTCTTACTCCCCTCTACTTTTATACCCCAATCCACGAACCTCCTTTTGCCATATTATCTTCTCTTCCCTCGACCCTCTGACCCCCACCCTCATCCCTCTCCCTCATCCCTCCACTCTCCACCATCCCTCACCCCTCATCCCTAATCCCCTCGACCTTCCCAGCCCTATCCCAAGCTCCCAAGCTCCCAACCCTATCCCAGCCCTATCCCCTATCCCAAACCCCCTTCCCCCCTACACCACTCCCCCGCCCCCCAAAAAACCAAATCAAAACGAAACCGAAAACAAGAAAGAAAGATAGGAAGATAGCAGATAAACCCAACTAACACCACCCCTGAATAACCCAACTAATACGACCCTCAAAAACTAATGACCTTGGAACGCACAGGGCGACCTCAACGCCGCCGCCCGCGACGGCCGCATCGTCAACCTCGGCTGGCTCAGCGGGACTGTCCTCCCCGGCGGCGTCGACATCAAGCACTTCATCGACAAGCGGCTGCGGTACGAGGGCACGACGCTGCGCAGCCAGGAACTCGACTACCAGCACCGCCTGCGCGACCTGCTGGAGGGCTACATGGACCGGTTCCGGGACGGCACGTTCAAGGTCGTGGTCGAGAAGGTGTTTCCGTGGGAGCAGATAGTCGAGGCGCACCGCCTCATGGAGAAGAATGTGAGTAAAGGCAAGATTGTGTGTACTGTGGATTAGGATTAGGATTAGGATTAGATTTCGTTTATTTGTCCATTTATTCAAGAGGGTTAGGATTAGATGGGTCAGGAATACCTTAGTACCTGTGGTATATACTTTGGATTGTGTATAGACTACAGACTACAGATGGTGTATTACCTAGCAGATAGTGTATTGAGGGGCAGTTATCAGTATTAGTATTAGTATAGGGAGGTATGATACCAGCGTTGGATACGATAATAACAAGCATGATTCGATCCAACGATCCAATGATCTATGGACTGCGTTCACTGCTTCGTTACTTCGCTACTTCACTACTTCACTACCTCATCACGACGTTCTCAATCCTCAATCCTCAATCCTCTATACTTAGGGTTCCAGAACAACGAGTAATGCAGTATTTCACAAGACGTGAGATGGCATTTGTGATATGGACAGATGGAAACTTTAGCTTTCACACATACCCCCACAAACACACATACTCTCTCACTTTGATAATTTGTCATTGTTTTATCATTGTCAATCTACCAGATGCCGCTGCTGCTGCTGATGATGATAAGACGATGCCGAAACAAAAACAAGTACAAGTACAAATACAGACGAAACCTTATTCACGACACGACGGATATCAAGATTCAAGACCAAAGAGACTGGCTTTTCCTCGACTTCAAACATGCATAGATGATACGGACACTGAGCCACACAAGACTGACCAAGAGGAATGACACATGGAGATATTTATGAATAGAGGATGTAAAACGCTATAGTAAAGGCAAGGAAACGCTATAGAATAGGAAAAGAGGCAAGGACGGATACAAATAAAGAAAAAGGACAAGAAAATGGTTACAAAATAAAGGGAAAAGGGCAAGGAAATGCGATAGAAAAGAAAAACGGAAAATAATAAAGGAGACGGATACAATGAAAGAGAAAAGGGAAAAAAGGAAACAGGAAACATGGAACGGACACACGCAGAAATTTAAAAAAAAAGAGGAAAAAGAAAGGGAAAGTGGTATCTCTTATGTACGGACAGGGGAATACAGCAAACCGGATAAAAAAAATGCGTGACAAGCAACAGGAAAGTGTGGATATCAAGAGAGTGAAATAGTGGGAACGCCAATGATAGCTATTGCATATTTGCATGTGATGAATCTGATGGAAGGGCAAGGGGAAAGGGAAACCAGAATAAAAGAAAAAGAAAGAAAAAAACAAAAAGAAAAGGATTTTTTTTTAAAAAAAAAGGAAGAAAACAAACTGGCGCTGGAAACAGAAAAGGAACAGACAGGTGTAGAATGAGTAAAAGACAGGAGAAAATTTGCTTTGCCTGGATAATGGGTATGAAGGATGAGCCTCCCATGAGTAAATGAGATGGAAAAAAAAGGAAAAGGAAAACCAATATTTACGTATCATTACGTATCATTACGTATTGATGCAACTCAGACCCTGTGTTGAGATGGAACAGTGTCTACAAAGATAAGCTGAGAAAAGGGCATGGTCACATGGACATGCTATGCATCGTCGACTGGTACAGGGCTTTGGACGCGTAATTCCTCAGACTCTGGGATCGAGGGCGCCGACACTGTCTCAGTCTGGAGACTCTTCGACCGAGTGTCCGTTGGACTAGCTGGCTCAGACGACAGACTGTTTCCGATTTGAGTCTGGCTTTGGCTTATACCTGTCGTGAGCGGGAGGACAACTTTGTCCGGCTGCTCTGGGCCCGGTCTCGGTCCCCTCGCTAGTTCTCTCTCCCGCATGAGCTCCTTTTCTGCATCGACGACTCGTTGTCTTCGCTCCTCGACATCGGCGCGCTTGACGACCCTCTTGAGCGCTTCGCTGGCATTAATGAGACCATCGATACTAATGGCATGATTGGTCATTTGGTGGTTAATATATCCGTAAATACCGGCAGGAGTGTCACATTTGAGCAGGCTGCGCTCGTTTAGTTTGAGCAAAGCTAAGGCGACTTGGAACAAAAATGTCGACCCGTCATTGGTGCACAGCACAATATCCCACAGTCGAAAGAGGGCTTCGGCGGAAAGACAGTCGGTGAACACGGACAAAAACCATTGGAACGTGAGCGCTTCAAGCTCGATACCCAGGTCCTCCAGGTGAGCAGAGAGCGTGGGCAGGACTTCGGCGACGTACTGCCGCAGCACTTGTTGGTCCGCGCGAGACGTGAGCAACGAATGGTCGTAGTAACCCTGTGGCAAGATGTTCTCAATCATTGTCGTCAACATCCAAAAAGCGTCTTCCGCGGTAGGCATAATCAGGAGCAGACAAGCCGCAATCAGGTTCATGCCTTGGCAGTAGCCGACCTCGGGGTTCCGTCGTGAGTACGCGAGCAAGACTTGGTTGAGTTTCCCCACACCAGGACCTTTGCGGAAGAAGATGTTGTCGGTGAGGGTGCGGTGAATGTCCATTTGAATCTGTGCGACTATCACAGGGTCATCGTTGCCCGTGTAATGAACCAATTCTTCGTATTGCCCGGGGACACGCATGGCCGACGCTCCGCTGCACTCGGCCCAGATCTTGGCGCGATATGCAACGGGAATCCCGCCGAGCAGAAGCATCTTGAATTCCTTCCATTTCGCGCGACCGACTTTGCCTTTGTTACCCAGACCTGCAACCCCGACAATCTCTCCGTCGGTGAGGAATGCTTCGGGCATGGACTGCTTCGAGCGGCTGCCTTCGTTGGTCGCCGCGGCGATGCCCTCGCGTTTACGCTCGGCGCGCACTTTACGAAGAAACTCATTCCATCGAACAGTCTTGTCGCGTTGCAGCGAGTCGTGGAGGTCGGTAAGCTGGTCCAGCAAAAGCTTGACAGGCTCTATCGAATCAATTGCATCGGGAACGGGAGAGGCAGCGCCTGAGCCAGAGGAGCGGGTAATTGTCGCATGACCAGATACAATAGATGATGCAGAAGGTTCCGGGTTGACGCTCGCAGACGGCATAGAGCCACCCTTGTCAACTGTGATCGAAGAGGCCGATTTGTTAGCAGTGGGGGCAGGTTCATTCTCGGCTGTCAACAGCGACGTTATGGGCCCAGCAGAAGGTGTATGCGACAGCAGCTCTGTCGGGAATGTGGCTAGCTTGAGATAATCCTGCCATCTCTTTGGCGTCTTAATCTCGGTCTGCTCCTCTGTCGAGCCGGGCGATCCGGGGCGAGATCCACCGGCCCTAACGCTTGCTGCACGGTCTCGATTGTGCACTCTGTTCACATGTCCATTTGCTTCCTCTTCCCGTTCTTCTTCGTCTTCTTCTCCATCGCTCAACACGTCTTGGATATCTCGCATGTTACTGAGCGTCTCGACCGCGCTGCTCCGTTTGCGTTGTCTCAACTCCTCGGCCGCACCATCTTGTCTCTTCTTGCGTCTCTGATCGTAAATGAATCCAAATCGGTCCGTCAAGTAGTCTGTTGGATGGTAATGGTTGTAGGTTTGATTCAAAGTGGGAGGCCTCGATTCCAATGGCAGGATCGTGTCCATCTCAACTGGACCTGAGTGACCTCCAGGAGTCGAGATTTCGTCCTCAGTCGTAACCGGCGGTGGAGCACTTCCACTTGCTCGTATTTCGGTGTAGGTGCGCTTCAATGTGCCGCCGGGTCCAATAGTTGTCATTGCTGTCGGTCTTCGTAATTGTGCACGAGACTTTTGTCGATTGAGCATAGAGTTGGTCGTGTTTGTAGAAGTCTGAGATGCCGATCGTGCTCCTTGACTGGCACTATCCGCCACCGTTGCAGCTCTTCCTCTTGCAGAGCTTGGCCGATCAGGCTCCCGGCTGCCCTGGGAGTTGCCGGCAACGAGCCTTAATGCCCAGGAAGTAATTGAGGTTGAAGACTTTTGTGATCGCGCGTCCCAATCACTATTATCTTTGGGGTCCGGATCCAGCGTCTGATGAAGAAGTGATGTCCTGTCCTTGGGAAGAGGCGGTGCATTGGGTGGCTGGAAGAGATCCTCTTTTAGTCCCGGCCGTCGCTGACCACTACTGACAGCCCGTGGCTTGATAAATAAAGCATCGTCATTGCCAGCAATGCTTCCCTGGCTCGCTCGCCGGCTACTGCTTCCGCCCAGAAAGTAGTTTTTCCACCCCTTTGTATTTCCTTGCTTTCCTGCGTCTAAACCTGGTGATGCTGCTCCACGCTGCCGCCGTTCCTCATGCCTGAGAATATCCTTTGGTCGTAATGTCGCGTCCGGGCGGCCGTTGATGATGCCCAGACCGTCATACAGAGCATCGTCGTGGTCTTCGGCGTGCCCAACCTGTTCATTCATCGCCTGGTTGACCATTTCGTCAATACTGCCTTCAATGCTCGCCACTGTCTCGGCAGTGCTCTTCCGCTTGTGGGCTGACGAAGCTGCATCCAGCGCCGAAGCATCACTGAGACGTTGGCGAGGTTCCTCGAGCTCTCGAAGGCGCGATTCAATGTCTAGATGCGAGACTTCGCATTCTCGTAACATTCTTCGCAGCACCCTCTCTCGCTCTTCGGTGCGTCTACGCAACGCCGACATTTGGGCATCACGCTGAGCCAAATCCCCTGCCAGCTGCCGCACCAATGCAATGGCTCCCGTCCTTGCCATGAGCCGTTCAATATGTTCGTCGCTCGCATGATGCAGCGTACCGGGGACTTCGCGGCTGTCTAGCGGGGTGTCATCGAAGAGAGCCGTGCGACTCCGAAGAGCAGGGGACGTGGCGGTCAGGGTGTCGACAATGGATGGAGAGGACTTGCATGCCTTGAGGTTTGCGGCGGGAGAAGCAGTTCCTGACCAGACGCGCTTGAGTAGGCCATTGCGATGCTCCGGGTGGTGCAGTGGAGCAGGCTCTTCGGGCGACAATGAAGGGAAAGACGTCAGGGACTTATCCGACGGGGTGGTTGCAGCGCTCAGCGAAGCATTAGACGCATATCGGCGGGGTTTTACACGGACGGTGCCCGACTGACGACTTTTGGTCGAGCGACTGGAGGTCTGGGAAGCGGTTCGTCGGAGATACCCATCGCTGGTCGTCTCCATGGTAGGCGAAGGAGGCAAAGCGCACGACTATGGAGACTCGAGATACATGTGAATTTGTCGATGCGGGGCCGAAGTTGGCCGTAGAATGAGGGTTTTCCAGCGGGAGGGGGTTTTGGTTTCTGGTGGTCGAGTGGATTATTGTTTTGGTGGGTAAAGCTGGCGCGACCTGTGCAGGCGGGGAGCGAAAGAACCGTCTCGGCACAGAAAATGTTCGAACCAAGGACCAAAGACCAAAGACCAAGGACTATCGTTAGAGAATGTGTAATTCTTTCTCGTAAGATGATGACGTTGAAACGACGTTGAATGGGGGCAAAGATTGCTAGTCGCCTGGAAAATACTTGGAAAGTGCTCGTGTGACTGTTTCAAATGTCAATCTGGCGGCCCAAACAGCGCAGGCCAATGCAAGCTGTAAACGAGGGGCGATGGCAGACGGAGATATCGCTCTCAACCCACAATACGACGACCAACGTTGTCAACTAGAAAAGAAAAGACGTGATATTGAGTAGAGAGACGAAGAGTGAAAGCGTAGTTATTGAAGCAAGTCGAAAAAAAAAAGAGCCAGTCGTTTGATTCATAACCTGTCCACGCGTATCTATGGGGTCACGTCATCGGCCAGAATACGTGTATTGCTGACCATAGACTCTGCTTTCTCTGCAAACAAGAGTCCACGATGATCAGAGAATTGATGAGAGAAGTGAGACAATTTTATCAAGAAAAGAAAAGGTGACTGAATTTGGAATTGGCTGGCGGCGCAAATAGAGTTTGGTGTGGAATGTCTATGGCACATATATCGCAAATTGATCAGTCTGTTCGGATACCAAGTACAGAGTGCTCTTGAATATAAAACTAAGGGATGATGGTTCTTTCTGAGATTATATCTGTATTATTTACTTGGTATTTCAAAGTGCTCTCAAGATAAATGTTCAAGCCCCTTTTCGCCTTCTCCGGGAGTCAGCCACGGAAGACTATGTAGCCCCTTTGACTAATTGACCAGGGACACTGAAACGCCAAGAGTCATGGAAGAAGGGTGACAGAACACATGTGTAAAAGAGGTATTACCAGTATTATCATTATCAACATGTCTGATAAATCATATTATAGGTTAGTACCGCATGTGGGGCAACAGACAATACAGAGTACCGTAGTAAGTTAACGTATATTCTCGAAGCATTTCCATCTATACTAATCGCCCTATCGACCCTTAACTATAACCCCCTTATGCCCCTTAAACCGACACTACTTTTGCCCTATACAAATCCCCAGAAAAACATATACGTAGTAGCTTGGCGGGATATCAATCACCGAGATAATTCTGTTCAATTCCCCCTCATTATGCCTAACTTATCCAACTTATCCACCAAGTATTCAATCCATGTCATGAATACCACGCTGCAGGATTGAGTACTGTCATATACACTTAACCCTGCTCCACGTGTATTGAATAAGTAAAACCTGTGACCCCAGACTTCCCCTCGTTTAATTCCCCTCTTTCTCCGCATTTTCTGATCCCCCGAGGGTCTTCTATACCTCCTGCATCTCTAGACGGCCCATTGTCATCCAGGGTCCAATCAAGACGCCAACATCCACATAATAGCTTCGGAGTTCATCTCAACTCGGATAGCTTCCACCGCTGCCATATCTCTCCTTCCTTTTTCCTCCTGAAACTTGGCCTGCATAGTGTATCCCGCGATATCATATTCTGTCCCCGCATTCTTATCATTGCCCTCCATTGTCCTACGAAAGTAGTCTTGTGAGATTATCCTAGTATTGAAGCCATCAGTTACCCTTATCCATATTGCCTTACTAGAGCAACCGCATCATTAATTAATCGTCATGAGCGACACTGTATCAGCTCGTCAAAGACTATACCAGCTGAGCAATCACCTACCTGTGTCTGAAGTTGCTCCCAATGCAGAGAGCAGTCACATTACCGACTCGAAGAGCCTTACTGATAGTATTCCTACTCCGATAATACCTGAGAGCTCTACGTGGAAGTATGTTATTCATTACCATCCTGCACATTTAATTATTCTACGTACACAATATATCAATCTTCTTTTCTTATTAAACGACATAGATAATCCGCTCATTTTTTATTAATTTATGCAACTATGTTAATCGATTTTATAGGAGACTTGAAGGAAAGGTCATCATTATCACCGGTACGATGCCCATGTTTCCCTTACTCTGCACTCCAACCACTGACCTGCTGTACTTTGTAAACCAGGCTGCAACTCTCCCACCGGCATCGGGATTGCCAGCGCCTACCTCTTCGCCGTGAACGGCGCTCGGGCCATTTACATCTGCGACGTCTCGGCCACGCACCTGTTCTCGACGCACCAGCCGCAGTTGTCGCGCAGGTTTCCCCATGTCGACATTCACGCGCGGCAGTTTGACGCTGCAGACGAACAGGCCGTCAGGAGCGTCGTAGATGATGCTGTCCGGCGGTATGGTCGACTTGATGTTTTCTTTGCCAATGCAGGGATTGTTTCTGCGGCTTCTGGATCTGGATCTGATATGAAGCCGGATGGAATATCTCCAGCATCAACGCCACGACCACAACAACGTCAGCAGCAGCAGCAGCAGCAACCAAAACGATTTACGGACCTGAGTGTCTCAGAATTCGAGCGCATGATGCATGTTAATGTGACGAGGTGCGTTTTTTGTTCCATTTTCTTTCCGCATCTTATTTTATGTTTGTTCTGGTTTATATCCTATTTCTATTCTTTCCATACCTTTTTTATCTTCTATTTTAATTTGTTATCATACATATACACACACACATGTGTACATATTGCAGAATATCCTCTACTCATCACTCATTCATACGACTAACGACAAACAAAACAGTGTCTTTCTTGCACTCAAATATGCCACGCCCGCTATGCTTCTTACCTCTTCTCATCCTCTTCCTACTGTTACTGCAGTCCCAACCAATCTACCACACCCGCCTGCGACACCAACAACAAACACCCTTCCAAACGAAAAAGACAGAAATGATACAAGAGAACCTAAAACCACCCCAGGCGGCAGCTTCATCACGACCTCCTCGGTCGCCGGCCTCCGCAGCAACGCCGGTCCATCGGACTACTCCGCGTCCAAAGCGGCCGTCATCTCACTCATCCAGACCAGCTGCTACCAGCTCGCGGGGACCGGGGTGCGTTGCAACGCGATCTGCCCTGGGCTCATCGAGACGGGGATGACGCGGGTGGTATTCGAGGGGGCGCGGCAGCGGGGCACAGAGTCGAAGATCGGACAGGTGAATCCGCTGAAACGCGCGGGGAGAGCAGACGAGGTGGCGCAGTTGGCGGTGTTCCTGGCGAGTGAGGAGAGTAGTTATGTTAATGGCCAGGCGGTGCCGGTGGATGGCGGGTTGAGTGCGGGCTTGCCTGGGGTTGTGGGGAAGATGGGATGACGGGGTGATGGGGTGGGGTTTTGGTGGGGGGTGGGTTGGGTGGGGTAAGGTAATACTGATACACGGCCGTCCAAGTCTCGGGGGAAGGGAAGACGGGGGTAACTGACACACCGGGGTAATACTGATACACCGCCGTCCAAGTCTCGGCGACAAGATAGAGGCGGAGGGAAGGAGGGAAGGGGTAAGACGGCAGTTTAAGCCTTTCGTCGCAACATACCCAAAGGAAACGGGACAAAAAAAAGAAGACAATAAAAAGACAATAAACCAACAAAGGATATATTGAAGACTGGCATGCTAAATGAAACTGATGGCTGATGAGATGGAAGATATATCGAATGAAAAGATGATGAGAAAGGATAAGAGAGAATAAGCCATGGATATGGTAAGAGATAATAATGCACGGCGAAAGGGATAATAAGCCGTGATAAAAGATAATAAGACATGGTAAAAACGTATTACAAAAAAAGGGGGCAAAAAAAGAAGGGGAAAAAAAAAGGAAATTAACCCCCCCCCCCCCCCCCCGGCCGAAAAAGAAAAAGATACAATCATCCGACCATATCCTTCTGCAAAACGCGCAAAACCTCATCATTCACAAACTGATTCCTCGCCTGCTCATCATCCTGCCCGGCATTCGACGTTGTCGACTGCTGCTGGTCCTGCGGCACATCGACGTGGGCCAGGAGTTCGCGCATCTCCTCCTCTTCGGCGCGTTGCTGGCCGAGATAGTCTGCTTCGAGAATGAAACCGTCCGGTAGCGACGGCGGCGGGGACAAGAGGATATAAAAAGTCGGATACTCGAGGACGACTCGTTCGCGGAGACACTCGGCCAGCGAGGAGGATTGCGCGACGGGGATGAGGACCTTGGATGAGCTAGCGGTGTGGGGTCTGAGGAGGTACATGTGGATATTTGGTATTTCTTGGATGTGTTTCGTTTCGTTTGATTCTTGGGGCGATGATGTAGAATCTTGATTCTGTTCGGAATGAGGAGCGGGGGGATCGGAGGTTGGGGTGTCTGTAGCTTGTTGGTCCTGCGGGGATTGAGGGGGGTTGGTTGGTGGTGCTGATGTTGAGTTGGCGTTTTCAGACGGTACAGAAGGAGTTGGAGGAGGTTCTGTTGGATTGGAAGACTCGAGGTTTTGTGAATCTGTAACCTCGGGATCGTGAGGGGCAGGTGTCGGCTGTGTACTAGACTGGATAGGCTCTGCATTCTCTGGATTTTGAGTCTCTGCTGGATTCGACGTCTCGTCTTCACCGGTGCGCGTCAATTCCTGTCCTGCCGAAGCATTCTCGAGAATTGCGTCCTTTGGAGTAGGCCGAGCAGCCTCATCATCCGTCTCCCGCTTTCTCTTTTTCCCCGCCGAATCCTTCTCCAGTATGCGACTGTAGCCTTCACAGAGCGGCCATGTCTCCAAGCATCCGGACAGCTCCCGCCGGCCATCCGGATGAAACCATTCCACGGTCCATGATAAGCACTTGTACCTAGTATCCATTAGCATAGATTCCTCAACATCCTAAGCACTAATAGGTAGCCGAGACAAATGAGCTACCTGGAATACTCACTTTCTATTCCACGATGTGCGATTCTCCTTTTCCCTCGTCATTCCTTTCGGCGCTCGATCTACAATCACTCTCGCCCGCTCGAGCGCTTTTTGTACATTGACCTCGCCCTTCTTGGGACCACTGTTCCATTTTGACCGGCGCGCGCGCTCATTCTCTTCCCGACCGAGTTCGATCCCACGAATATCCGCATCGCGGTCTGCGCGGTCAAGCCCCCGCTCGATTCCCGAGATGAAATTGTAGTCGCGATCAAAAGCCGACGGTGTCGCGAGTTCACTTCGTTTGAGGTAGGCTGCCGGGTCGCGCACGCCAGAGCATTGCGACCAGACTTTGTGCCGTTTGGAACAATCGAGGGAGCAGGTGCGAACGCTACATCGTGGACAGCGGTATTTTGGAGGATTGATGTGACTGTATGACAGTTAATTAAATGTAAGCAAATCCCGCAATACTTTCGCAGTAAAGGCATCTCTGGTGCAACAGAGCAGCTGGCGGCTAGATTGAGATGCTTAGGATATAACGATTGGACTCACCATATCCGGCATAGATTTGATAGTAGAGAACCTTCACTCGCCATTTTTCAGCGGCAATGGCGAGAATAGAATATAATGAAGAGATCACGAACAATGGCACTTGTCAGTTTCGGTGAACTTTGCGGGTGAGAAACTGGGGTCTGGCAGATGCATTTTTCCAGAATGCGACTAGTGCTCGGTAGGAAGGCGGTGAGAAATGTCGGCTGGACACGATACGTCAGAGCCATCGCGTGGAGGAACCGCTATCCGGAAGAGGGAGGATCATAACATAGCATCAAGCAATTGTACAAGTCTGCTTTTTTAAGCATTGGTAAGTTTCTAACTTTTAGTTAATTTTGAAACAAGAAAGGAAGAAAAATCATCTTATATTCTTTACCTCTTGCATAGAAGAGGCATCTAAATGTAAGGAGTATGCAACACCGCGGCGAGCTACGTAGCGCAAGTGACAACAAGTTAGCCTCTTCATATTGTAGTTTTTTTTTGTTAAAAACACGTAATTTCCCTGAGACCTGTGGAAAGAAAGGTATATCTCAGACTCAGAGCAGAATTAGGTCAGATTTAAGGCAACATTTGTATCAAGAAAAAAGAGCCGTTGTGTTCATTTTCAAGCTCAAATCGCCTTCAGCATGCAGATAAAAAGTGCAAAACAAGCCAGCATGAGTAACTCCAGATGTCACCAGGCAGGCTGTCAGAGTGACTTCACAGCTCGATGAGAACCACTATTCAAAAATTTCCCAGGTTAGTCTGTGACGAGACTGTATCTCTGAAGAAATGCAAGCGGTGAAGTTCCGGACATGACGAGGAACCAACAATGTAGGATGGTATGATCATTTTCAGTGCCCATTTATGTACATCCACCTTGGCTGCTGCATTTTCTCAGATTGACTGGCGATCCGTGGTATTTTCTGCAACTTTTCGACTGTAAGCGTGTTTGGCTAGTATACCTGCGAGCTGCGGAAATCAACCAAGAAATATATATGGTAACAGGAGAGTATGGCTCAAGCAAATCCGACAATGGCGAAGAAAACAGTGTTTCCTACCTGAGAGTAACAGTGAAAGTAGAGCATAGGACAGGTGGAGGAAACCAAATAATGGGGCATGTAATTTGTGACATCAACTGCCTGCGTATGACAGGCCTGAGATAAAACAAATGATAAAGCAACATGCCATAAAAGTTCTTTATGGGTGCAACTGCTCGAAGTCTGTTTGAGCTCAAGAGTTATTGTAGACATGAGAGCACAATAAAACACAGAATAAACGTATGATGACCACAGCTTCGTCATAGATAATATGATAATAATATCGAAGTAGAGAGTTGTTGCACAATGACGCGAACAGGGGTGGTCATAAAACATGGAAATCAACACTGAGAGCTTTGAACTTGAGACGAATTACCAGAATGATTATTGGCATCTTTCTAAATCCATGCAAATGACCTAAATTCGCATAGGATCATTATTGATCACGTGCCGTGCACAACATTATGGATGCCAATCAGCATTTTGTCCCTGCTCTTCTTGTTCCTCTCTTTTAGCGGGATGGGACAGAGATGGACAGAGATGGGCCAAAGCCAAGGTCAAGAGTAAATGAACAATAATGAACCTTGTCCGTGGCGGCAAGGAGGAGGGATGATGAGGTGCTCAATCTATCGAATGAGGATGAAGCGGGAGACAAGAAATTGAAAAAGTTGGTGTGGAGGATGCATCTGAAACGTGCCATCGCTCGGCCGGGTCGGCAAGGGGCGAAGAAGACGGAGGTAAGGGGAGGCTCTCGGGACTCGGTACCAGAGTTCATGCATCAGATGGCACTAATCTCAGGTACCGCTACTTACTGCAAACCCGTCCTTTTCAGTCTCCACTTGATTCATCCTAGTCCTGTATCAGCTGACGACCTGTCTTCCCCTCTCATCTCTCTTCCCACTGTTGTCTTCTTCATAGCTGTCATGGTACAGTAGTAATAAAGACAGGATGCGAATATACAGACGACAGAAATGCGTGAGGATGGCGAGAAAGATATATACTGAGCATATTCTTTAGTGTCTTTTGGGAGACAGTCTTCATGTGGCAGGCTGGAGCTCAAAAGCACCTCGTGCGTGGGTTGCAGTAGTTTCTTTCTCCTCGACTCTTTTTGCTTCTCCCCCTGGTCGTCCTCTCTCGCTAGACTTCCCCCTTTACTCGATCAGTTCGCCATGTGCTTGACCGAGGACCTTTTTCACGCGCACAGACAGTCTACTACAATCGCTAGACACTGCAACGACTTGCAATTGCCGTGGTCTTTACTCGTCTCGTAAGTGATATTCGGGGGCGACCTGCATCGATCATGCGCCGCTGCGACATCGAGGCGATCCTTTCCCGCCGGAGGAACCTGCCAGGAACAAAGTCCCGCCCAGTCGATCAACTACGGAGTACGGACTGCAGCTAGAAATTCCCACCCCTTTTCTTTTCTCTTCTCTCTCTTTTCTTGCTCCTGGCCAAGATCAGCGACTGTATCAGTTTTGTACTGTATTGCACTGTACTACAATTCGCTTGTCCTTTTCTGGTGCCGAAATGTGTCCCCAAACGACAGCCAGCAGCATGACGGAGAAAAAAAAGGACTCCATTACTATTGGAACAGTCTTCCGCTTATTACCCCAGTCATCCATGCAAGCGTCCGCCCATAGACAAACGGCGTCTTTGCATCCAGCTGAAGCTTTCGCTTTGCGGGCCTTCTTTTGAAATCTTCTCATAAAGGTCTGAGCTTGATACTCGAGTGCAATCTTCAACGCCGGCGTTCGCCCTCCGTCGCTCTCTCAATCTACGCCAATCGATCTCCGCTAATTTTATTTTGCCCCCTGTTCCGTCGTCGGGCCATTTCTATCCATTCATTACAATATAATTATTCCAGTACAAAGCTATTGCGTACAGGACTCTTCTTCTCTCTCGCGCAAATAGACTTCCCTCAGCTGCCCTACCGTCTGCTGCCCTCCATTCTCGATCACCCAACCCGCATCTCTCTGGGCTGTCTCCGACTTGGCTACCCGGCCCGGATTTGTTCGTTCAAACGTGCAATCTCTGGGCTCCCCTGCTCTAGTGTCTTTTTGCTGATCTGCGCCCCGGCTCCAAGCTGTTCCTGCATTGGGCTCCTTTGGTACTCGAGTAAACTCTGCCAATCCCGTACCCCGGCACGTCTTCATTACAATATTGTCCCCCCCCCGATTGCTCAGTCATCCAATAGCCTTTCCTTTGCATATACTGAGAAAGAACGCTGCGAGCTCTAACCACCCTCCTTCTTGACTCCGTCCTTCCCTTTTCCTTCCCATCCTTCCCCTCCTCCACGGAGCCCTTTCACTCATTCCTTGCGCACCATTAATTTGCTGTGCCGTCAAAGTCACCTTCTCGTCGGCGTTGCAGACTGGACTGAGGGCACTCTAATAGCATCCTCACTTTTTGCTTGTCTGTCCTGCAATCGTCCAGTTCGACTTGATCGGAGCTTGGTGTCTGTAATTTCCTGGAGGCCTCTTTCATATCGCAGTGAATCTGCTGGAACAGAAAATAAAAAAAGGAAGACAAAAGGCCTTTTGCATCATCGGTTCGATGAGCTCTTCATAATCATTGCCATATAATTCTGTCAAAGGTCTCAGGCCTATCGACTGCGGTTTCGACAACCTTTGCTGCTGGCACAGCGAATTATTCTTCTACATTCAAAGTCTAAAAACTCACCACTGTCCTTTTCAATATGGCTCCGTCGCTGCATCATCACCCTTCGTTCATTCGCCCTCGAACGAGCGACCGCCCTTCGACTCGCGATCAGAACGAGAATGCAATGATGGTGCCCAGCCGGACTTCGTCTTTGCATTCGCGCATCACTCAGCCGATTCCCGCCACTTTGGCCGCCAAGCCTACCCAGCGGACCCCAAAGACCTTGACTCATGCTTACATGGTCTGTGGTGTTGGCCGCGAGCCTTCACAATGGGTCAAGGCTCCGCCACCTACTCAAGGAAAGATTCAGCATATGAAGGGCGCTGTCGGCCAGTTTTGGCTGCCAGAGATTCTGGGAAGCAGTCCCCGCTTGGAGCAAGACAATGAGATTGCTCGATCATTGCATTCCGCCATGAGGGTATGATTTCACATGCACCGAAACTGATTTTTATTTTTGTTCAAAAACCATTCGATGAAAGAGATCACTAAAATTTTTTGCTGTTTTAGGCTTGCTTTCCTCATGATGTTGAAATCTGCACAGGCCGGAGCCAGCCGCATTGCGTGCATCATGCTTTTGTCCTACAGCAGGACTCTTCTCATACGCTCTATGGAATTGCGCTGCGCGTATGGTCCAGAGCCGATGAGAAACGAGCAGAGACAATTCGAGATCTCCGCAAGCGGACGGAGCCCGACTTTTACGATAACCCAGACGAGACCTATTGGATCCCTTACTGCCTGAGCTTCTTGTCACGCTACCCTCTCTATAACTTGCTCGGCGACTACCTCAGAGGAATGTGGATCCATTGGAATAAGGCGACCAATCTCTTTCACGCCGAAGAAGTCTCCCGTATCCTCAGTTTCCCAGCACCGCGACTCAATGATTTGGTTCGCATCGATATGAAAGACTATGCCTTGTGCTACCAATTCCCATCGTCGCCCACGGGTTTCCAGAACTTCTCCATGTGGCCCCTTTTCACTTGTCTCTCACTTCCAAATATTGTGGGTGTGATTGAAGCCGCATTGTCCCCCACGCGACGCATCATCCTCGTGAGTCATTATCCAGCAATGCTCACCGTTGCTGCCGAGACCATTCGATTCTGCGTGCGAGTATACGAATGGAGCGGTCTCTATGTACCCGTTGTGCATGCAAGGCATGCCACGGAGCTGGTACAGGAGCCCGGTCCGTATATCCTTGGTATCACTGCCGAATGCCGAACATTGTTCTCTGCGCCGAGCGATGCTTTGGTAGTTGATCTTGACCGTAACTTTGTGTTGACAAATAGCCCACCCACGGCGCTCACCCCCGGCCAGCGAACCAAGATGATTGATCGTCTGACACAGGCGCTTAGAGGCGATGTTACTCCAGGCGTACCTCAGCACCTGCGGTCGGCTTATGGCGGAGGAAAGCTTGTCCCGGCGGGTCAAATCGTGGTCATGAGGGGCGAAGTGGAGAGTGTTCAAGACCCGTCCTGGTGGGACCAGGATTCCGTCATGGCTGTCATGGATCACGTGTGCGAAAAGATGGTAAGATATCACAGCGACCCTGTTCTTCTCTGGATGAGTTTTAGAATTATTTTAATAATTTCTTCTAGGGCCGAAACACTGGCATGAAAGCCTTGTTTGGTGGATCGGTGAAGAAACCCTTGACAACAAAGGTTTCCATGCGACACCTCAACGAAATCGTTCGTGAGCGCAACCAATACTCGCGCGATGCGGTCGAAGCTTGGCAGGATTTCATCAATCTGAAGGGACGCATGGACACGGAATTGTCCAAAGTTAGCAAGCGAAACAATTTCTTGGTTGAAGAACTTGAGAGCTGGAAGCAACAGTTCCTCAAATTTCAGACTTTCGCAGAGCAGCTTACCAAGGAGACCCAAGATCTCAAGGTCAAGATTGACGGCCACAAGCGTGAGAACCGTCGCATCACGCTGCTTGTTGAGCAGCAAAAGGATGAGATGTCTCGTCTCACTGTCCGTCTCTCTGGTACCGAGAAGCAACGTGATGATGCCCTTGAGGCGCTTGTTCTGCAGCAGGAGATTGCTGAGGAGCTTGAAAGGGAGCGAAAGCGCAACAGGAAAGAGCTAGTCGCTCTGCAGCAAACCAACACTGCGATTTTGCGTCAGCGTGAAGAAGCTCAGCGGGTTGTCCTACATTTGCGTAGTTTAATCGACGGCCAGACCTATCACATGGAGCACATTGTCCGTTCCCTGAACGATGACCAAGAGCTGAACGACTACGCCGATGATGGCTTTGAAGATGCACCAGAGGAGCTTGGATCTCCTCAGAAAGAATCGGATCATGTTACAAACAAGCGTGGGAAGCAGAGAGCTGACTCCAATCCTCCAACGCGGAGCAACAGCCATGCAAGCACTGCCAGCGGTCGAACGATCGACGGCGAAAATGTTTCTCTTGCAATGGAGGATCAGCTGCTGAATGGGCCCAAGTCCAAGCGCCTTTCGCAGATTAGCATGGCAGACGTTGCAGATCGTCATCTACGGGACAAGACGGATGCCATTGCGTACATTATTCGCAATATTTCTGCGCAATGTGCCGCTGCCGTTGAAGGCTTGCAAATGGCTCGCGATGCTGATATGGAGGAGATAGCCGCTATCAAGTCGAAGTCTCGACGCGTTAGCAATGATGCTACCGAGCTCTCCGTGCCGGGCAGCGAGATTGGCGAATCCGAAGAGCGCGACCAAGAGGGATCTAGCTTTTTGAACGTCGACGACCGCCACTCGAGCATTCCCCCAACGCCTGAACTTGTGCATCATCGCTCGAGTACAGCTTTGTCCATGGCCAGCACTAACGTGTCCACTATCCAAGATCGAAGCAGCCTCCAGTATAGGAATGAGGATGTTCCAACCAAGATTGTCGAGGACGACGAAGAGCATGAGCACGAGCAGGATCAGCACTCTGATGTCGGCGCCAGTAGTCACTCTACTCTCGGCATGCTGGCTAAGCCTTCGAAAGAGACTTTGATTCGTCGCCCAGCTGGTGCCCGCATTTCGGCACTTGGTTATGTTTGATGTACTCCCTTTCCCAGGCAATCACTGCCTAAACATACGGCCACTTGGCAGCCTCTTGTAATTTGATATTCTTCTTATACTCTGCTCTTGACTTGGTGATGGGTAGGGCTCTCCGATATAGCGACCTCACTTATGCGCCGGACGCGCTACTTTTTCTTCGATCAACTGGTGTTCGCCCCTGTCATCGCCCGGATTTCCCCTTTTCCAGGGTACTCGTTCATTTATTTTCTTGTCACTCAGGTCACTATATACTTCCTTTCTTATTTCCTTTGATGGCGGATTTTCTCCTATACTAGCTTTTCCAATTAGCCGTGAAGGGCGTTTTTTACTCTTCTGTTCGATTATACCACCTTTCGCACCGCGAGATTCATATTTTTCTATTTGTGAGGCAATATTGTTTGATAGCATTCTTTTATCATCTTCATTACAAATATCAATCCATCATCACAGTCATAGCTAAAAAGTCGACCGTAATTGCCTTGATGTGAATGCCCCTTGTTTATGTGCGTCGGTTTGACGCGGATCGCCACTACCTGTGGTGCATAATACGGGCTAAGCCGGCAGGGTTCCCTGTCAGCCGCTCTACAACCCAAACAAACACCGTATATCCCATGACAGCACCTACTTCTAGCAGACTATTCTTTTCACCAACTTGCTTTTGAATTATATCTGATTAACAGTCTTGGATTTCAAACACAATTACTTGACTGTACTTGAGACTCCAAATCAAGCTAGTCGCTGCACCTTTCCCCACGTTTGAACGCTGCCTGGTATCACCTCTCTACCCCAGCGCGACAGCTTGTTCGGGGTCAGTCTTATTCATCTTTTACGTGATTCGTTGCAAGTCTAATCGTAGATGGGCTTCAATTCAATAATCGTTTCTTATTCATAACATTTGCTGCTTTCTCTGTATATATAGTTGAGGGTGGCGACCCCGGCTTTCGCTCCGCATCTCCCGCCATGCTGTCAGAGCTTCCGCCAGAGGTCCTGATCGAGATTTTCGGATGCCTCGAGGGCTTTGAAGATTTGTTTAACTTTAGCCACTGTTCGAGATATCTATACAGCATATGGATGCTAAATGCAGAATCAATCTGCCACGCTATGCTGCCTCAGGCAATCATGTGCTTCCCGGAAGCCGAGCAGCTGATGGAAGCACTTGAGGAAACGGAGAGCAAACTGTATCCTCAAAGACCACAGAATAATGAATCACCTGGCGAAGAATCATCTACGCCTGGATCTGTGGAGCGTGATGGCAGCGACGACAACAGCCTTCGGGCGTACCCTCCTGTCGCTTACATGCAGCCCTTCTCCTATACTGACGACCCCGAAATTGCATACCAGCATCTTTCGAAGGCACGGCAGCGTCTTTATTACCCAAATACGAGGAGCAGGAATAGCGCCATCATCAAGCTTTTACATGGCAATATCAATCTCAGCCCACGTACACGAAGATATCTAGCCAATGCAGATATTGTTGAAGCAAGCTGGGATTGTTTCGTGGATTTCACTCTTCCCAATCTTCTTAACAATCCACAAAATAAAGCATTGCGGATGCATGTCTGTGGAAAGGAAATGACGCCTAGTGAACGATTACGCTTCACGCGTACTCACTATCGAGTCTGGACGTGCATTGTTCTCGGTGGGACTGAGGAACTCCGAGCCAAACGACGTGCCTTCTTGAGCGCCATTGGAGACCGTCGCGAAATCAATCAGATGCGTGAGGTCTGCCTGTGGCTGCGACATCATTGCGCGTTGAACTCAAAAAAGCTAGGACTTAGCGCTGCAGCGAAAGATGGGCGCTGGCAGGGAGCTATGAATACGATTGAAGACCGGTGCGATGCTATGGGTGGTATGCTTCCCGCTATCCATACTCGAGGTCCCTTTGGCTTCTGGACGCTTTTGGATCATTGGCAGAATGATCGAATGTTTGACCTTTGGCGGGGCTAAAGAGTTCTGATACCCCTACTTCTCGTTTGGGTGATCATAGCATTTACGAAGTCGATATGGTGTTTTCATTTTTTTTTTTGGTGTTATCAGATGAGGAAAGCCGATTTATGAATAAACGATTCTAGAACAGATTGGAAACATCCTACAATTGATACTGTGATGTGGTCAACAGCGATCAAGAACACCAACAGCACCCTTAAATGCAGAGCCAACTTAGTGAATGACATGTTGAATCCTTCAAGCTGAAAAAGAGATGGCAGATACAAGATATACAAACGACAATGACAGGATAGGGCTAGTCCAGCAAAAGATGTCTCTGGCCTTTAGAAGAAGCAAGAACGCAAGGAGGAAAGGTTCCCAGGTAACTGATATCAGCTTCTGGTGAGCTATGAGAATTATCGGCTTCCCCGGAACCGATCAGCGACTGAGACCTTTTGCCCGGCAAGCCCGTTGAGCACAGTTCGCTCAAGCATCAGAGAGCTTCCATTACCATGTAACATATCTCTGGAGAAAAGGGTATGGGTTTCAGTTCGGCGCTGTCATCGTGGTTGTTAAGTCCTTTTAATGGTTGTACGAAGTGAAACATTCCAGTTCAGAAGAGAGTCTCGCTTCAGTTGGACCGAGGACGCTGAAAAGAGTCAGAAGTAAGTGTCTTTTGACCATGCAGAGACGGAGGTAATAATCAAGCTTTGATTGGAGTAGACTACGTTGTTCAGCTTCATTTAGGGAAGTGCCATGCATACAATTATGCTTTTGTGTCTCCAAAGGATAAGGCCACCATTCTTCCTGGACCTCTCGAAGCCACGGTGACATCCTGACATGTTCGTAAAAGCCGGGAAACAGTTCGAAGGATGCTTGCATAGCCCACCTTTTTAGGTCTGCGGCATCTTAAATTTACGGCACCGTCATTAATTACATGCAGGAATATGACAATAGCTACTTAAAAAGCTTGAAGACAAGATTTTGTGCGTGCGAGGTGCCGTTTGCTATTTGGGCTCCGGCGCAGGCCGCCCAATCCTCGTTCAGAGTGGCGCGGAAGAGGTATGGGGGTTGGTGCTGGTGCTGGTAGTGGTGTGCATTGTCGGTGGTGGCGCCCCTGAGACACGAGCCATAATCCGGCCACACCCTCTTCATTTTCTGCCAGAGGGCTGGGGTGTGCGCGGATCTACTACGTATGCTCCATTGGTTTTTGGTCGCTCTTTCCCTCTTGGTCGCTGCTCGCTTTCCGACCGGTCCATGGTTCGTTCAAAGCAAAAGGCATTTCGATCCAAGGGTCCAAGAGTACTCAATCCGGGCCGTGTGTTAGTCCCAGATTGCTGAACCTCAGCTGTGCTTTTGTGTATTATTTTCTTTTGTTTTTGCCTTGGTGAACGATGCACATGTTTTCTTTTTGTCGCTGTGCCATACTATGCCGTTGATTGACATGTGCCCCTATCCACACTATCACATACACTCTCTCCATAGAGACCCCCGGCCAACTGATACGCCCCCCCGTGGTAGGTAAAAGGCTATCGTGAACACCCCCCTGCAAAACTGACCAAAGCCCTCCTCAATTTCAAATTCATCGATTAGCGTTTCAAATTTCACGCCATCGTCCAAGATCCAGATTTGATTTACTGTTCGTTCACTGTCTTATTTGAATTTCTTCTATCATTGTTTTCTCGGATGATTTCTTTTGCGTGTCGCGTAGGCAACGGAGATGTCATCGATCTCTCTTGACTGATATTGACATTAGTGTTCAGGTACGGGTTGTTGATCTTTCCTTCTCAGCTCGGTTGCCAAGCGTGTGCCCCTGGGACCCATCTTGCCGGGGCCCGCCTGTTTGGCACCCTCAGACAGTGTGTGCACCACATTATTCTGCCACATTCTGCATCGCATGCTGCTGCCGCCCTGGGTATGCGATTGCGCACCTCTTGAATATTTTTTTTTCCTGCGCTTCGTCGCACACCCGATATCCTATCTGACTGACGTTTGATGATCCCTCTCGAAATTTCCAGTTCCACTCTAACCCACCCGTGTCTACGACACCATTTACATTGTTGACACTCTACAATCGGTCCATATATCCAAGGTCCAACTCACTCCTTAACTGGCGATTCCAATTTTCATCCTTGATCCTCCATCCTGCGGACCGTTGCCGGCTGCGGAGAGGGCATCATGGCGACTCCACCGGCCTCGCCTTCTACCGCGGTGGGTTCGCCGCGACCCTTTAGCTCCGTCATACGTCCTACGCGGAGTTCAAGTCGAATGAGTATGAGTAGCAAGCAAGGCGGCGGGAGCAGGGCCTCAGATGAAGAGAGCAGGACATCAGTGAAAGTTGGTATGTCAGAACCGGTCACTTCATTATCGACAGAGACCTCTTTTGCCTGTTGCCAGGTGTCTTGCGCGCGCCTTAAGCTGACCGAATAATTAGTGGTCCGTGTTCGGCCGGCGCTGAAGCAGACTGATCCCGGCTTCGAGCTGATCCCCCAGCGTTTCCAACGTTCGATGGTCCACGTAACTTCTCCAACGACCTTGGCTGTCGACTCTCCGCAAGGACGGAAAGTTTTCATATTTGATCGGATATTCGGCCCCGAAATCGAACAAGAAGGCATTTGGACCTATCTGAATGAGAGCGTCAATGCGTTTGTGCAAGGATATAATGTTTCGTTGCTTGCGTACGGCCAGTCCGGCGCAGGGAAGTCATATACGATGGGTACTGCTGGGCCGGTAGGGTCGGGAGACACTGCTCATATGGGTAAGTGGGCGCTTGATCAGCCTAGGATTAATGACGCACACCCCCCGGAATGAGGACAAGAAATGAGTTAAACTTTTGAGCAGGTGTTGTTCCTCGGGCAGCTACGGCTATTTTTGAAAAGCTAGGCGGTGGATCCTCGAATCGGACGTCAACGACTGGGCTGCGAACACCAAAGCGTTATTCAACCAATTCCATTCAGCCATTCAATGGTGCTGCAAAGCTGCCCGAGAAGAACTGGATCATGAAAGCAACTTATGTCGAGGTAAAGTGCTCGCACAGATACGAGAGAGTGCACCATTTTAATCATGTTATTAGATCTACAACGAGCAACTGCGAGACCTGTTACTTCCAGAGTCTCTCCCGCCGTCAGAACGCAATCAGATTACCATTCGTGAAGATGCCAAAGGCCGAATATTACCGACCGGTCTCCATCAGGTAACGATCAATTCCGTCGAAGACCTTCTTAATGCGCTCAGCTTTGGATCCTCCATTCGTCAAACGGACGCAACTGCCATCAATGCAAAGTCATCTCGGTCCCATGCAGTGTTCAGTCTCAATTTGATACAGAAGAAAAATAAGGGTCAGGGGACTCCAGCACAGGAGAAGCGCTTCTCAGTACCCTTAGAAGCCATGACCGGTAATGAAGGCTGGGTCACTGTTGACAGCAAGCTTCATTTTGTTGATCTTGCCGGTAGTGAGCGGCTTAAGGTAGGGCTAAGTTCTACAGTCACGTCCCATAATCAAATGTAAAGCTAATTTCTGAGTAGAATACTGGCGCGCAAGGCGATCGTGCCAAAGAGGGTATTTCTATTAATGCTGGACTTGCCAGCCTAGGCAAAGTCATTTCTCAGCTGTCTTCGCGGCAGGGCGGAGCTCATGTATCTTATCGAGACTCAAAGCTCACACGTTTGCTGCAAGACTCGCTTGGCGGGAATGCTATAACTTATATGATTGCCTGCGTCACCCCAGCAGAGTTCCATCTCAGCGAAACACTCAATACTGTTCAGGTGCGTATACCAAAACCGACAACCGTTGCGCGAAAATGAAGCACTGACGTGACCAGTATGCCCAACGTGCTCGGGCAATCCAAAGCAAGCCGCAAATACAACAGGTTTCGGATGAAGCAGACAAGCAAGCACTTATTGACCGACTGCGGGCAGAGGTTCAGTTTTTGCGAGACCAAATCCGTAATTCCGAGCGTGGTGATAGGCGAAGCCATGTTTCTCAGTATCAAGGCGATAGGCAAAATGAGAGGCAAATGGAACTGCAAAACCAGCTGCTCGACGTTCAGGAGAATTATAATGCTCTGAGCCAGCGACACGCAAAACTCATCTCGGAGATGACAAAGGCGCGAGACAATGGGACTATTGACATCACACCTGAGACTAGTATCGGCGAGAGCGCGGTGGACAGACTGAACAGGTCCAACTCATTTGCGGAAGCAGTGGAACAAGTCGTCTTGGAATATGAAAAGACAATCCAAAGCCTCGAGAATTCCCTGTCGAGCACGCGTTCGTCTCTGGCCAATACCGAGAGTAACCTGCTCGAAAAAGAGACGAGATGTGCCTATGTGGAGACGATCAACCAACAACTCCAGCTTCGTTTGCAAAAGCTGATGGATCGGGAGACAAGCACCGAAAGTTACTTGCGTGATCTTGAGACCAAGCTGGATGGCCAGACTTCAGGGGAAGAGAAGAACGCCGCAATCATATCCGAGCTGCGCAAAGAGATTGCACGTATCCGCGAAAATGAGGCCAACTGTGAAGATTATATCTCCACTTTGGAAGAACGCCTTGCCGAAGCTGATCAGGACGCTGAGCTTATGCATCGCGAGATTAGCCGCCTCGAGCATGTCATTGAACGTCAACGTAGTCTTGGAAAGCTGGACAATCTCCTTTACGAACTCGATCACATGCAACAGAGTGATAAGGATTCTATTGCTGAGCATCTATCAAATGGAAACGTCATTGAAGCTGCCGAAACCGCTCAGAAACGAAAGTCGTCTTCAACGAGTCAGAGCGAGCCCAATGGCGTGCCAGAACACCAGGCCGATCTTCGAGACATTGAACAGGGCCAAAATTCTCCAAGCGTGATTAATGACGAACAGGTTAGAACTGCCGAGGGAATAAAAGAAGAAATCGGCGAGGAATCGAAGGCGGATAGTCCGACCAGCTTAAGGGAAAGCCCCGGAGAGATCACCCCGATAGAGGAAGAGCCCAAACAGATACAGGAGCCTTTGTTGGACACGCCCAATGACATCGACCAAGTTAAGGTTGCTGCTCGGGCTGTGGAATCGACTCAGACACAGACGGAGCCTATAGCTGCGCAAGAAGAACAAGAAGCTCCGCAAGAAGCTCAAACGGCTGCCCAAGCTGAGGCTGTCGCTGAGAAACTTGCAAGTGTTACTCAGGAACTTTTTGATCTTCGTGTTGAGCACGACTCTACCGTAACAGACTACGATGTCCTTTCGGCCAAGTATGAGGAAGCTTTGCGCTCTCTGACCGAGCTGCGCGAGGAGGCCAATGCCACACGCAAAACGAATGCCGAAAGCCAGACACCTTCCGCCCCTTCGACCAGATCGGCGTCTTTTTTAGGGCAGAGGCTCGACGAACCCAACAGTGGAGAACAATCGCGGTCCTCGCGCTCACCCTCCTCGGAATTGTCCTCGCCTGGGGACTTGCCATCTATCGTCGAGCCTTCTGAATTCCAGACTTCCCCCAAAGAGTCAGATAACGACGAGATTGCAGAAGTGCTCGAAAAGGAAAGAGCACTGGCTCTGAACATGGAGCATCTCAAGCAGATGCAATCTCAGAAAGACGAGAATATGGCGGCTTTAACCCAACAGTACGCTCATCTCCAGGAGCAGCATCAAGATACGCTTGATGTTGTTGAGATCCTGAAAGCTGAGGTACAACGGGCCAAGCTTGCGAATGAATCCTTTCCGAACCCATCGATTGTGCGCCGAAAATCGGGGCAGAATCTAGGCACAGTCGATCGCGCCCACCGATCCTTTGCTTCGTTGCGGAATTTGGCTGCTGAGCAGTTTGAACGTCAACCGGATGTCATGCAGCACTTTGAGCTTAATCTCAATGCAGCAATGCACGAGCTCTATTCGCGTTCGGAGAGAGTTCAGTCACTTGAATCAGAGCTCGCAGACATGAAGCGGGAGATGGAAACGAAGACGACTATTATTGCAGGACTTACTCGAGAGAGGTCTAGTTTGAAATCATCTTCGCCAATCGACATTTCCATGGCTGCTTCTTTACGTGACCAGCTTTTGCAGAGCGAGAACGAGATTCGAGTTCTTCGGGAAGGTCACGCCGCCCGCGAGGAGGAACTATTGACCCAGATCAATTCTTTGAATTCTCTTATCGCGGAACGAGCGAATACAGACACTCCAGTGCTTGGCAATGTGCCTCAGCTGGAGGAAAGTGCTCCAATGCCAGGGCTCTATCCCGAAACGCCCTTGGGGAATCTCTCGGAGAGCAAGGAGCTTGGAGAAACGCCAAGTGTAATTAGCAGCAATGAAGGCCAAAAGATTGCAAGTCTAGAGGAGGAACTTCATCAGTGGGAAGTCAAACACAGATCTGCAGTGGACTCGATGCAGGCTTCTGAGAAGCAGTTGCTGGCGACCATTGCCGAACTGGAGATGGCAATCAAGACCTCAGAGCAGCCTGCCGAAACAACCACAATGGAGAGTCTAGAAAAGGAGAGCCCTGGCGAGGTTCCTCGGCACATTTTGGAAGAAGCAAATCTTGTGGAGTCTCTGCGCACTGAGATTGACGGACACAAGAAAGCTATAGACGAGCGCAATGAGCGAATCTCTCTTCTTCAAGACTCTCAAGCAGAATGGCAGAAGAGGTACGAAGAGAAAGTGGCTTTGAGCGATACCACTGAGGCAGATGCTAGTTTGCTTCGTGATCTGGTGTCAAACCTTGAGAGGCAGATTGAAGAACAGAAATCAGCCGTTGCCTTTCATCAGCAAGGCCTGAAATCGTTGCAGGAAACCCACGCATCCGAGATTGAAAATGTTCGATCATCGATGCTCATAGAAGCTCAAGCTTCTACCGAAGTGAAACTCGCTGAGCAGACCGACAACTACCGTGAGAGGCTGGATGCGCTCGAACTGGATCTAGCTGCATCAAGGGGCGAGATGGCATCCTTGCTAGAGAACATGTCGGCCATTTTCAAAGAGGATTGCAGCGTTGACAAGATGCAGGAGCGAGTGCGAGTTCTCGCTAATGACAGAGACAATCTTCTAGCACAGCACGAAAAGGCATCTCTCGATCTGCAAGAAGCTACCAACCATGGAACGAAACTCCAAGAGAAAATTGAGGGGTATGAGAAGACTGTCGGCGAGCTCAGCGCGCTGAATGACGAGCTTGTCAATGAAATTGCGCGGGTTAGCGAAAAGGAGAGGAAGAGCTCTCGTCTAGTAGAAGAACTCGAGGAGCAACTTGCTTCAAATTTCGACCAGCATCAGATCGCCAGCAACAGGCTCTCGCTTTTGCAGAATGAGCGGAACGTACAACTCGAGGAGGCAATCATTGCTCGCGCTGAGGCAGAAAGGGAGCTTGATGCACATAAAAAGAAGATTGTCCAGCTTGAAGTGAGTCTCATTATAACCCCCATATCCACCGTTAAAGTCTCGTTGCTAATGAATCAGCACTTCCAGGCCCAACTTCGAGACCAAAGTAACGCCGAGTCGCGCAATTCCGGTACTGTGCCTGGCCACGAGCGGACCGACTCTGCCAATTCTCAGCTCCGCAAGAGCACATCCGTCGCATCTCTACCCTCACCTCCACCTGCTATTCCACTGCCGCCTCTTCCAACGGCTAATGCACCTGCCGGCGCGCCTCCTGCTTCGGCACCGTCTTCTCGCCCGGCAAGTAAGGACCTGCTTGCGTCCCAGCTTGCAGAGGACCAAGAAACGCGTATTCGTACCATTGAGAAGCACCTCTTTGCAGAGAAGCAGCTTACGGCCACGCTCGAGGAAGCGCTCATGGACCTCGAGTCCCAGTGCAACAAGGTCAAGGCCGATGTGGAAACATGGAAGAAGAAGGCATGGTCGTATGAGGACGAGATCAAAACTATGCAGAAAGAACGTAATACGTCGCGTCTCTCTGTCCAGGCCGTCGAAGAAGAACGCCAAGCAAGGATGCAAGCAGAGGCCGCACGTGCTCATTTGGAAGAACGGATGAATGCGATTAACAAAAAGAAGAAGAAGGGCAGCTTGAATTGCTTCTAGTGGAACGCAATTCAGCGGCAGACAATTTATCATACGATTGTCATGTGTCTCTTTTTCTTCTTTTTGTTTTCTTCTTCTCCGTTTCAATTCCCTCTTTCGCTTCTTTGTTTTATATTCCTCCCTAAACGCTTTTATGTCTTTCTTCACTTCTCCCTTTTAGTATTCGGCTTCAACAGTTATTGCTTTGAACTTGCTTTTCGCCATGCTCATTTATAGCCACAAGGCACTAGTAGCTAGGCGTTGTGTGTTTGCGGTTTCTGATTACGCAAGAAGGCCTTGAATACTTTGATCATTTTCGTTGCTTTTTCACTTTGTTCTTTTTTTCCTTTCTTCTTCCTTTTTCTCTTTTTTTTTTTCTTCTTTCTCTCTAGCCCTCTTTTCCTCTTTTTCCTCCATCCGTTATTCAGCACTTTGCAGTTCCTCTAATCGTTGATTCAATCCCATCGTTTTCAAAACTTGTCTTGCTTCAACTTTTTCCTGTCTCATTAGCATTCTACCCTTGTTCTTATTTCTCACGAGAAGATTCCCTTGATGCGATCCACGTCCCAGTTGTAATTGTACTTTTAACTGTCTTTTATTTCTCTATTTTTCCACTATCCTTTTTTTCCCGTCCATTGAGCCCGGTTCTTTTCCTTTCTCTCCCTGTCTTCAATAGCCCCTTTGCTCACTTAAGCAGTCATTGTCTTTGGTCATTGTTTTCGCTCCAAATTACGTCTGTCTCTATTTATCCTGTCTCCGTCTCTTTCTATCAATTCTTTTGCTGTCTAATCTTCTTCTTCTTTATCAATTCCTTTGTTGTCTAGGCTTCTTTTTTCTTTTTTCTTTTTTTTTTTTTCTTTTTTTTTTCCATCAATTCCTTTCCTCTTTGTCTTTTATTACTTCATTGCTCTTAAGCCTAGACCACAATTCTTTAGCAGAAGCCCCAGGGCTGGAGACGCCGGAGCCAGATGCAATAGGATAGATTTAGAGTGCTTGTTACTTGCATGACATGTTCCATTGTTTTGTCTGTCCACGTTGCATTATTGTTGACTTTCTATCGTAATGTGTCGCTTGTTGGATGTGTGGTTGTGTGGTTGTGTGGTCGTATTTTACGTGTCTTCATTTAGGTTCTATTAGCTGGTAGAGTGTTTATTCAATTTTTTTTTTCTTCTTGTTGGCTGTTCATAGGGTAAATCTTCAGATTGTCCTATAGCCGTTGTAGGATATGTCTTCTCTTCGTACTTCTGGCTGGTTGTAGGGCAGGTCCTGTTTGCACGTCGTCATAGGGCATTCGAGGAATTGATCGCTTTTGTAGATCTGGCTTGGTCCTTGGTCCTTGGTCGCTTTGGCTTATAAAAGCGTTTGCGTTGTCTGTTCTAATCTAATTTCATTATAATAGGGATTTACCTTGTAGCATAACAGATTGGCCGCAGTGTACGATCATAAGATAGGATACCATTACCTTGCGGGAAAAGCAGGTTCTTCAACACTCTAGGTAGCCTACGAATAAGCTGTTACACAACCAAGAATTTTTCTTTGTAAAATATAAATCTTGTTACCATTAATTAAATGGCACAGTGCACAGTATACAGTACTATTGTACATTATTACTAAATACCTACTGTTTTAACTATATTGTTACAAGTGCTTACTATATTTTAAGTGGTATAGCTACCTTGTTCTATTGTTCAAACTCTTGTACTGGAATATCTTCCTTTTCTGTGAAGCTAATTTGATGTGTTGTCGCTAGAGGCTTTTTCATTTTCATTTTCATTTTTCATTTTTTAGACGAACTTAAAGGAGAAGAATGTATTTATTTCTGTGTTTGTCTTCTGTGCCCTCAGTGCTGCAACCCAATGTTTACACTTGTGATACACTTGTGAAGTTGTGGTAGTTGTGGTAGTTGGGTAATGTCACTCTGCACTCTGCATGCCGGAAGAATATACTTCCGTTGGTTTGTAGCAAGGTTAGGTGGCTCGGGCGGCCCTGGCGGCCTGGCGGGCTGCAGATACCGGGATACCACTCGCCAGTTGTAGTTGATCCGTAAGTTGATCCGATGCCCGATGCCGTCACGCGAAACGTCCAAGGGACAAGTAACGATTCAACTTGTACGGAGTACACACTGTTTGATACAACAGACAACAGACAACACGGCGCTGTCTGGCCCACCTGCACCACGACTAAGTTATAGAGTTGATTCATTGAAAAGGTGAGTTACTTTTTTCGTATGTTTGTATTGGTTATCGTGTTGTTGTACAACATTGCAGCTTGTACAGTATTGCAGCATTGCAGCTTTCTTGTCATGTATAGTTTTGCGTAAAGCTTGTTCTGGATGATGCTTTGTTTGAGGTTCTGCGAGTTTACGTCCAATTGGTCTTTTACGTTTGCATTGTACTCAAAACCTATTGAGTTGAAAAAGCGCTGCTGGGCATGTACGTTGATGTATATTGAAGGTATGGAATCCATGGGTTGAGAGTGTCAGAACGTCAGAATGTCAGGACGTCAGGATGTCAGAGGGGTAATATGGAGAGTGTTGATGTTGGAACCTCGGGCCTGGACGGGCATAGGGTGCTGAGGCGGTATTGAGGGGGGTGCTGCCTTGGGTTGCCCGGCATTGCGTACAGAGAAAGAGATGAATTCGGGAAAGCGTATGGCAAAGAGATGAATCGCGGGAACGCAATGCGTACAGCAAAAGAGAGGAATCGGAAATGCGTACAGCAAATCCGGACATACGAACAGCAAAAGAGATGGATTCTGGAAAGGATATTCTACGACAAGAGGACAGCTATCCAGAAGCATAGGGTACACTCCACGCCTAGCACCTGCAGAGAGGGATGGGTATGTAGCTGTCATGGAATACAGACCTCCTGGGGTATACAACTATCATGGAATACGGACTCCTAGGGTACACAGCTATTACGAATATTCACCTTCTCGGTGTCCAATGCTGTGCACGCTCTCGCATGTTCTGACAAGGAGACACTGCTGGGTCCAATGCACATACACATCAAATGATGGGCGTCATGGCAATCCCATGTATACCGGCACGATTTTGTGCAAGGACACACGTTTCCGCTGGCTTCAAATGGACAGAGCATGTAGCATTGTCCTCCAGCAGAATGTGCCGCTCTGGTCTCTACGCCTTGCAGCGCTTTGAGTTTTATTTGTTTTTCGGCAGGCCTCATCATCTCTTCCTCTCATCTCCTCTCATCTCATCATCAGTACTCACGCGTTGAAGCAGACTCTTCAGCAGCATCCCTTTTCAAGGCCTGTGTTGTTATTCGAAGCTGTTTTTATCCCTTGTGTGCTCTTTCTCTTTATTATCTGCTGCTTGATTTTGTTTATTCCCTTCGTTTACTGCTTCTTTTCGAGTCTCTGTTGTGTTTTGAGATTTTGATCTTCGTTTTTCAAGTCAATCATGCCGAAGAAGTCGAATAAGAAGTCTAACAAGAAGACAGCATCGAAGACAGCATCGAACACTACGCCGGCGCCATCTGAACAGCCAGCCGGTACTACAGCTACCGTTCAATCGACCACTACGTCGGCGCCATCTCAGCAGCAATCCGGTACTGCAACTACTGTTCCACCGGCTGCTCCATCGGCTGCTCCACCGGCTGAGATTTGTACAGCTAAGCCGTCGACTTGGACGACTGAGAAACTTCGCGACGAGCGCGACCGAGCGATATTAGAACTGACTTTGCCGTTCCTTGCTCCTGTTCTGCTTACCACGTCCCGAAAGCATTGCTGCTGCTGTGGCCTGTCCCGCAAACAAGTCCGTCGATTAGAGAAACAGGAAGCAATTCACAGCAATCAATCACCGCCATCACCGCCACTACCGCCGCTGCCTCCTCCTCCTTCTGGATGTTCGTATTTGGCCTGTGAAGTGCCCGAATCGGCTTTCTATATCCCGCAAGGTATTATCGAGGCGGCCGGGAGCCTGGTAAACTTGCTGCCTCCCTACCCTCCTCCGACCGACCCAATCAAGGTAAAGCGACTTATTGATAATTGTGAGAAGGTTATTTCACATTATAAGACTCTTGCTAAGAAGAGAGTGGTGATTGCCATCAAAAACTATAAAAAATTCGAGGAACTTGTCCGAAAGGACGAGGCTGGTACAACTGAAGCAGACGCGGCGAAGCAGGCCCTCCGCCTCAACGTCACGGCCAACTATTGCCTCAAAGAAGCAGATAAAGCCAGACGTAGGGCTGCAAATTACGTTGACAAGTTGGAATATCTCCAAAGCCTGAGCCTTGAAGATCCGCCGGAGCAAAATGGCGAAGGCTCGTCCGGAGTCGCCTAACCGTTTAAAAACCATTGCGTTTATTCACCCTGACCTCGGCATAGGCGGGGCTGAAAGGTTGGTCGTGGATGCCGCCGTGGGGTTGCAGGATCGTGTGGTGAGACATGGTCATCCTGGAGAAAAGTTTGATAGTATCAAGGAGGGCAACGATGGAAAGATAGTTGTGTTTACATCTTATTGCGATAAAAATCATTGCTTTGACGAGGCTCGAGATGGTAAGCCTCATTCCATCTTCACCCTAATGAATATACATGCTAACGAACAAAGGTACTCTGGACGTCCGCGTTCGCGGGGATAGTATCGTCCCGCCTCACATTTTCCGGCGTTTTTCAATTCTCTGCGCCATTCTTCGACAATTACATCTCGTCCTGCAGACATACTTCTCTGGTGAACTCGAGAAACTGCAGCCAGACGTCTTTTTCGTTGACCAACTGAGCGCTTGTTTGCCGCTACTTCGTCTTCTTTGTCCTAAATCCCGTATTCTCTTCTATTGTCATTTCCCAGACAAATTACTTGCGCAGAGAACAAGCTGGGTAAAAAGAATTTATCGGATCCCCTTCGACTGGTTCGAAGGCTGGACCATGGGAATGAGCGATGGCATTGTCGTCAACAGCCGTTTCACTCGAGGCGTCTTTGCAGAAGCATTCCCCTCACTCGCCAAAGCACGCATTGAGCCAGGCGTTGTCTATCCATGCGTTGATACATCTGACGTACCCACTGGGGAGAAACAAGAAATATGGCCGGGAAAGAAGGTCTTACTAAGTATTAACCGATTCGAAAGGAAGAAGGACGTTGGACTCGCCATCAGGGCATTTGCTGGATTAAGTGACAAGGATAAACAGCAATCCAGACTTGTCATTGCTGGTTAGCTTCCTGTCTTCTAGTTCTCTCCCTTTGCCTCTCACTCCACATCATTCTCCAGTATATGGAACACTAATTATATCTAACTATATACAGGTGGATACGACTACCGCGTTCACGAAAACGTCTCTTATCATTCCGAACTAGTCACACTTGCGGAAAAGCTGGGGCTCAAAACCGCGACAATGAAAAACATTGTATCCGCATCTAACATCGCCGCCGATGTCGACGTCCTTTTTCTTCTCTCTGTTCCTGCCACCCTGAAAACCACTCTTCTCAACTCCGCAAGTTTACTCTTGTACACACCTACTCGTGAACACTTTGGGATTGTCCCCATCGAAGCCATGCTCGCTGGCGTCCCCGTTCTTGCTGCCAATACTGGTGGCCCTCTAGAAACCGTCGTCGAAGGGAAAACAGGCTGGCTCCGCCCTGTCGACAAGATTGAACAATGGACCGAAGTCATGGCCAAGGTCCTACACGGTCTCTCACAACCCGAGCTCAAACTCATGGGCGCGTCGGGTAAAGCTAGAGTACTTGAAGAATTCTCAAAAGTTAAAATGGCGGAGAGACTGGAGAATGAGATGCAGCGCTTGATTCAGAGTTCCCGGCATCCTGTCGATCAGACTGGACTGGTCGCATTGTTACTTTTCGTGGGGGCTGCGCTGGTGGGAGTATTTGCGTTGCTGTATGCAATGCTGAAGTAAAGTCGTCAGAACGTCCAAGTGTTTCAGCTTCTCTTTGCTCATATCCTTGCTTATTTCCATTCTTCTATCTTCGGTGGTTTTTTATTTCTCTATTGTTTTCTTTATTTCTTTCTTTTTCTATCTCTACGCCAGTCTCATTGCCTTTCTATCGTAATTCTACGTTGTCATTTCTTTTCTTGCTAGTCTACTCGTCTACTTGAAGCCAGGTCTGCTTCATCTTCCACTTCGGAAGTCTAGTCACATACTCGCATCAGCACATAGTCGGAAAGTATGCGATGGGGCGTACTTCAATGCAAATTTTTATTCATACTAAGCTATTCTAATACAATTATTTGCCGTGATCATGCCGTGTAAAATCATAATCGAGGAGTCCAGCTATAAGTACCTGATACAGTTGTAGGGAAGTGTTGCAAGCAGTATATTCAACATCACGTGACACCGCGTAGCCACTTCGCGTTTTTGGAGCCTTGCAAACGAGGAAGTGCTCTAGGCCTCCACGTTATTTTCGATAGGTGATGACGACAACAAAATCAAAATAAAGGGCCTCTTAAGGGACATGAACTAGAGCGCATTGACAAGGAGTGCCGAAATTTCCAGTGAAGGCGAATCAGCTACTGGCGGGCGTTGCTGGATTTCTAGTCGTTGACTGCAATGCGGATGATATAGCTAGATTGACGTGTCCGTCGTGTTTCTCTTCTTATTTTTCTTGTCTCCTTGTATCCTGACTATTTATTGTCGTCTTCTATCGCCATCTGCTTTTGAGTTTGTATACTGAGTGTTGCTGTCATTGGTTGTCTTCTGATTGCTTTATATTTTTGCTTCGTTAGGGTTTCACGTGCTTCTGTCGTGTTCCTCTTTCTTTTCAGTTTCTATCCTCAGCACTTGCTTTTCCTTTCGAACCTGAGTATTTGCTTTTCCTTTTATCCTGAATATCTGATGTCATCGGTTATCTTCTTTGTTTCTTGTTCTTGTATTACGGGGCCATCACTCCGGCAAAGTTTGGTGTCAGGGTGTCATGAGGATAGTCTGAGACATAATGCCGCCTGCAGATGTGTTTATTGACCTGACGAGCGATGACGCGCCTGGGAATGGAGCTAGTGCTGTTGGGTTGACACCGGGGATAGCGAGACCTGAGGAAAGGGCGGAGCAGGGAAGAGAAGAGTGGCGATATAATGATGGAGATGGTGTAAGAGAAGAACAATTGCCTGCAGTGGCGTCCAAAACCACGAATCATGCCGCTGCACCATTATCACGGAGGACGATAGGCTTGGATAGTGATAGCGACATTGAGATTCTGGGCTCTGAAGGAGTTGGTCCAAATAAGGACACCGGGGCCTGCGAACCAGTCACGCTTAACGATGGCGATGAAAACGACGGCAATGGGAGTTTACGTACATATGGCGAGACTGCGGCCGGACTGCATAGAACGAACCCAAGCACCCAGGCTTCTGTCGAGATTATACCGCAGAGCTCGATGAATATTGAACAATCACATCCGGCAAGAAAGAGCTCACCTCCGGTTTCATATTCCGCGCCGGCAGGGGTTATTATCCTCTCAGACGACTTCCCCAGCAGCGTCAACTTTGACGATAGCTGGATGCCAAGCGAGCAAAGGTCGCCCAAGAGACGAAAACTAAGCCCGTCGCCTTTTCATTCAGACGAGCTGGATATGGGTTTATTGACTGGACCAAGGAGGACGAGTACTGCTGATAAAGCAGCAAAGCAAACCGTCAATACGGACCGTAATGACGTGCAACTACCAGAGCAGGAGCACCCTATAAGAGATGTCGAGAATGCAAAACATAAGTCATCCACTGCGGCAAGCAAAGCTCCGCTTGAATTTTCAGATCCCATCATTTTCACGTCCTCGCCGGGCGATTTACCTGCTGCCCTCCCGACGAGTCGAAGACAACCCGCCGTCACGGAGAATGTCATTGTGGAGGAAGACAATGAGAACGACGATGATGACATTCCGCCTTTATCTACCATTACCAATGCAGTCCTCCCTCCACGGCCTAGAGGGCCAGCGCGATTCTCTCGTACCATATCTGCACCATGCGCATTTTCAAGTCTGGATAAATACGGACCAGCATGGCGCACGGAAAATTCATACCCAGACACACATCCCCAGTTGTATATAGACGACAAGATCCCAACAGACGGCTACGACGACGACGACGATATTGTAACAGCAAGGCCAAAACCAACTAAGAGAAAACCCCAAACCACATCAATCTCAGCCTCCACCTCCACATCTGCCGCGGCATTAAAACGCGCCAAAGCCCGAGAGGCAGACCGCCTGCGCAAAGCACGCGAAAAAGAAGCCGAAAAGGAACGCAAACAGCGTCTCAAGGAAGATAAAGCGCGGGAAAAGCAAAAAGCCCTTGACCTCGCACAAGTCAATCGCGCAAAGACGGATAAGAAGATCTCCACGCCTGAAATGATCGTCGACCTGCCGTCCTCCATGGCCGGGACGTCCGTCGATACTCAAGTACGGGAATACATGAAGAACCTGCAAGTCGAGACAGCCACGCACATCAGCAGCGTGCCAAACGTGGTCAAGTGGCGCAGAAAAGTCGTGGCGCGGTTCAATGAGGAAATGGATCACTGGGAGCCTATGCCTCTACAAGTCCATGCCGAGAAGCATGTTCTGTGTGTGCTACCTGCTGCGGAGTTTGTCGATTTAGCTACCTCTGTGTCATTAGCTACATCTGTTTCTGAACCGGGCGGTATCAGTGCTGGCCCTGAAACACGTCAAAGTGCGGGTTTAAATGCAGTTGGTACCGTCATCGACAGTACATATAACAATAATGAAGACGAAACACCCTCGACGACCGTCTCGCTGGAAACACACGTCCGCACGCTCAAAGCCGCATATCCCGGCTGCAAACCAATCTATCTCATTGAGGGACTCACGGCGTGGATGCGAAAGAATAAGAATTTGAGAAATAGAGCCTACCAGGCTGCTGTGCTGAGGCAGATGGATGATGATATGTCAACTACATCCGCAACTGATGGCGCTGCTCTGGCGTCAGTGTCATTAGGCTCAGGTGTAGATCCGGTTTCTGTTTCGGGTCCTGGTTCGGGTTCTGGTTCGGGTTCCGGCTCAGGTTCAGCAGCAGCAGCAGCAGCGCGAAGACGAGCAGCACAACCCCGAAAAAGAAAAACCCAAGTCATCATCGATGAGGACACAATAGAGGACGCACTCTTGCGGCTGCAAATCCTGCATGAATGTCTCATTCATCATACTGCCGTTCCGAACGAGACTGCAGAGTGGATTGTCAATTTTACGCAGCATATCAGTACCATTCCCTATCGGTATGTTTTATCCCTTCTTTTTTTTCTTTCTCTCTCTCTCTCTCTCTCTCTCTCTCTCTTTTATTCTGCAGCCCTTTGCTTTTATCGCCTTTCCCCCTTCATTTCCTTTTGCTCCTTTTACACTTTGCTTTATCCCCGTTTCATACTCCAACGCTTTCATCGCCTTCGCCATTTTTACTTTCTTCCCAGCTTTATTTTACCTTTGACACGAGAGCATTCCCAAAAAGATAAAAGCAAAACCCCCCCTCCCAAAAGAGTATATAAGCGGCTGCCCGATCAAACACTAATCACATCATCAACAGTACACAGCGATCGACCCTAAATACGTCCTTCTGCATGGACGTCGGACAGGTCAAGACGGGCGAAGACAAATTCGACACCTTCATCAAGATGCTGCAGGAGATTGTCCGCGTTACGGCGCCCATAGCGTACGGGATCGCAGCGGAGTATCCTGATGTCAAGAGTTTAATGGGCGCGTTTAAGCGCCTGGGCCCGCTGGCGTTGCGGGATTTGGCGGTATGTTTTTGCTTCTTTTCTTTCTCTTTGCCCCCATTATTTTCCCTTTTAGATCTGTTCTCGTTTCTTTTTTTCTTTCGTCCTTTTCCGTCCTTTTCCCCCTTTCGATCTGGTTGCTTCCCGGATTTCCAAGACGCAAGACTAATTGGAATAGAAATCTGCGAATCGGTCAGGAGGGTTCACGTCTGCGCGAATAGGGCCGGCGATAAGTCGTCGACTGTATGCGGTGTTTATGGGCACGGATCCGGATAGTAATGATGTTTAGCACTTGAGGTTCATGAAGGATTGGTCACGGAGTCATGGAAAAGGGGTATTTCCAAGATTTAATAATTCGGGCCATATTTATTGATTCTGATAACTAATATACCATTTCTGCGCAAGCATATTTCTTGATTTTAAACCGGTTCATCGGTTTGCAGGTCATTGAGCAAGTACGTGAATATTTTTCACTGCAACAAGATTTCAAATAAAAATGGGAAATAAAAAGGAAATATTTTCCAAACGGAACAGAAAGGATCAAAGAAGGGATCAAAGAGGCAGAGTACAAAAAAGCAAAAAGATTGTTGATGGGAGTGGGACTCGAACCCACGCTCAGTTTCCCGAACCAGGAAATTACTAAGAAAGCAACTCTGTTAAGGTGACCTTAACCTGGCGCCATAACCAACTCGGCCATCCCACCTCTTGTTAAGATGAATGTTCGTTAATACCTTTATGAATGCCAAAAGTTTGGTGCATGTCGCCTCAAGCATGCGTTATCTCGTGCTTCTCCAACCAAGGTACCTCTACCGATAAACGCTGCTAAACATGTTCGCACACAAAGTACAGCCACAGAGCATCTCGGGCCTTAATTCCCCGGCGCATATCCCTGATATGCACAAGCACGCCAACGCGATAACACCATGGACACCTTGGATAGCAGCATACCCGCGTGATAAGAACTCTCTGACGCTCAGACTCCCGCTTGACCCTGTCTCCTGTGACACACAACGCTCTCCCCGTCCTACCTCAACTCCCTTGCCGATTTGACATTTTCATTGTTACTTTGCATTTGTGCTTGCTGTCGGATTTGCTGTCTTTTAACTTGAAAGCTTGTATACTTTATAATATCATTGGCATTTGGCATTTGTCGCTCGCTCGGACTCGTGGCCGCGTTACAACACAGCGTCGTTGCATGATACAGAGCGTACACCGTGCACGCTTTACCAGACTCCCAGTTTGACGGGGACAGCATTGCTACGTGTCATTTACGACCTTACTTGTCTTATTATCCTCTGGACGACTGTTTCTGTCACAATGGCAGGATTTGGAGCTTAAACGCACCATGTCGATTTGACTGCACATTTTTTAGGATTTGCAGTTAAGGGTCAACGGTCAACGGTTACTGGAGGACTGAAGATACGAGATTGAAAGATCGAAGTGCTGAATTGGGAGAATATATGAGTAGGAAACTGAAGTCCTGATCGAAAGGGAGATCGCTGCGCAGGTTGGAAACAGGCGATTTTCGTGTCATTGGCGCGTACCTTTTCCGTGGACTTCCAATATTGACAGAGAAAAGAAGAGCTCTGGCGTTTTACAAGCAGTATCGACAGGATGCCGCAGTCGAGGGATGGCGATGAGGTCGCGAGACCGCTGCTACATGGCGGCGGCGCGGATGAGCAGAATAGACTGAGAGGAGAACCGCGTGGAGTATCCACGCCAAGTTATGCAGAGAGCTTTCTAGATGAAGTCGCAGAAGGAGTGCGGAAACGAGACCTTCAGCGCCTGAAACGGGAAATGGTGCGATCCGTAAGCTTCATCTCTGCGGTGGTCAACTGGTACGTGTATTCTCCACGATGAATTGTTGATTTCTGATATGAAATTCTGCGGTTCATAAGACTTTACGGTCTCCGTCTCAAAATCCCATACTGACTTTTAAAGTTTCTGCGTTGGCTCCATCATGGCATACTCTCTCTACGGCCACCTCTTTCTCTCGCGCCTCCACTATACCCAAATCCAAGTAAACATGGTATCCATTGCGGGCGAACTCGCCATGTACCTGCCCATTTGCATATTCGGGTATCTCTGCGATCGATACGGTCCGCGACCAGTAATATTATCGGGCGGCGTCTTTTTCGGCCTTGGATACCTATTAGCAGCATTCACATACCGGGCCGGCGCGCCGAGAGACGGTGGTTGGCCTGTGGGGGTCATGATTCTTGCATTTATCGGCGTGGGCATGGGAACGAGCGCGATGTATCTCGCATCCGTGGCAACGACAGCAAAGAACTTTGGTCGAGGCAAACACAAGGGTCTGACGCTGGCTATTCCCATTACCGCCATTGGACTGAGTTCCATGTGGCTGAGCCAAGTTGCCAGTCGAGTACTGTACGAGCGCAGACCAGACGGCAGTCGAGGCGATGTAGACGTGTTCAAGTTTTTCATCTTTCTCGCCGTGCTCCTCTTCGTACTAGCCCTCATTGGCTCCGTTGCGCTGCGCGTCGTGGACGAGGAGGAGATGATAGAAGAGGCAGTCGAGGATCTCCAGCGCAGTGGACTTCTAGAGGAGAGCAACTTCTTCCGCGGCGGACCGCCTGAGCTCGAATACGGCACCTTTGGCGGCGGCGATGGTCAGGCCGACGAGGAAGCCGGCCTGGCTGCGTCAGGACTGACCGAGGCAGAGGAAAGCAAACAGCGAGAGGAAGAAGAGCAGAAGCGCAAGATTTGGTTATTGAACGGCGAGACGAGGCGGTTTCTCAAGGATAAAACCATGTGGTGGTTTGCCGCGGGCTTCTTTCTCGTCACTGGCCCTGGCGAGGCTTTTCTCAATAACGTATGTTCCTTATTTGCCCTTTGATTCCCTTATTCCCTAACACTCTCCCCTCTTATTGCCTTATCCTCTATCACTCCTTTCTCCTTTAATCCCAACTCCCCTCTCCCTCTGTATTCTATCCCCCTCATTCTTTCTAATCAAATACTGACATGGACAGCTCGGCACCGTCATCGGCACGCTCTACCCACCATCCACTCCCCCGTCATCCATCCCCACCAGCGCAGCAACACACGTGTCCATTATGGCAATAACATCCACCCTCGCGCGTCTCATTACGGGGACATTATCCGACCTCGTCGCACCCGCATCTACACCCCACGCGTTTCCCCATCCCCAACCTTCTTCCTCCTCCTCTCCCCCTTTCTCCCCCTCTTCCTCTCTTTCCTCTTCATCCTCCTCTACCCTCCCCCCCTCACCCCCCTCCCTCTTCTCCCGTATCCTCGGCCCTCTCCGCACCATCCACCACTCCCGCACCCTCCGCAATCTCCATCTACGCGTCAAACGACTCACACTCTCCCGCCTGACCTTCCTCATATCCTTCGCCTTCCTCCTCTCCCTCGGCACGCTCTTCCTCGCCACAGGTCTTGTGCAGAACCACGCCGAGCGGTTCTGGCTCGTGTCCGGCCTCATTGGCGCAGGGTACGGCGCCGTGTTTGCCCTTGCGCCGATCATTACGAGTCTTGTCTGGGGGCTGGAGAATTTCGGCACGAATTGGGGGATTGTCGCCATGGTGCCTGCGGCGGGCGCGACGGTTTGGGGGCTGGTGTATTCGGCGGTGTATCAACGGATGGCTGAGCGGGGGGTTTCCTCGTCTTTATCGCCAACGTCTGTATCCACAAATCTAAACGCGACTTTGCAAACACCCAACGACAACAACAACGACGACGACGACGTGCTGTGCTACGGCACTGGATGCTACGCGCCGACCTTCTACGCCATGAGCGTGAGCGTGTGGATCGCGTGCGGGCTGTGGCTGTTTGCATGGAAGGGAAAAGGCGGGTGGGCGCGACGAGGGATTCGGATTTAATTACTACTTACAACTTTGTTCCTTCAGATCTATATAGCGTCACTGTAGTAGTTCCATCTTATAGAGTTTCATTTCGTCTGTATAGGTCGCTAGTTCATTTCACGGCCCATTTAAGAATTCCAATATATTCTACCACGTTAACGATGATAAATGAGTAATGAGTAAATGATATAGGAAATAGGAAATGAAATGAGTAAATAAAACAGTAAATGAGTAATAGAATAGAAAGTAAATGTGCCAACTAAAAATTCAAAAGGATATATTCAGCCAAGCTCTATGAGCTGCAACATGATTCAAACTGCTAAACTGCCAAACTACTCAGGTAACTGCACAATCAAAATGCTAATTCAAAGTAACAGAATCCAAAACAACCATAGGCCCCGTGTAATTCTTGCTGCCGAGGAACCACCAAATGGCAATAAAAATAGTAAACCCTCCCGTGACGAGACTCGAGTAATTCATATTGTCCGCCGTGGCAGGCATCGCGTACGGAAAGCAGTAGAGAACCATAAACACCATCATGTATACACATGCAATAATGTTCACGCAGAAACCCACCCAGCCCTTCATCCAAAAGGCGCCCGGGCGGATATTCCGACGGCCAGACAAGAGATTGGGAATGATGGCGGCGAGGAAGGAGGCGGTTGAGAGGATGACAAAGGCGCCAATAAACGCATCGAACGCAGCGACGGAGCCCACGAAGATGCCGCCCATACAAATGGACACGATTCCGCATGCGAGGGTGGCGTTAAAGGGGTTTTCAAAGCGGGGGCTGATCTTTCCAATGCTCTTGTTGCCTGGTGTGGCCCCGTCGCGGGCAAGAGTCCAGAGCATGCGGCCTGCAGTCGTGTAGCAGCCGACCGTGGCACAGCAGATGGGGAGGAGAATGACAATGACAAGGCCGACGGCACCGCCACGAGAACCGGTGGCTTGGTGGTAAATGTCGCCAAGGGGAAAGACGGAGTCTTCCTTGAAGAGTTTCGGGAAATCGTTGATGGAGTAGAAAATGGAAATCATGTAAACGAGAGCGGTGATGAATCCTACGACGATCTGCGCAAGGATCGCCTTGGGGATGTTCGAGCTCGGTCTGGGGTTGTACTGTCAGCGGATCTGTCGATAGCATCTTGCTTTTAAGCAGCAGAAAGTTTGGCCTGGGGAGCTTACCTTGGTATTTCCTCGGCGAGATGGGTCAGACAGTCTGGGGTGCCAACGGCAAAAGCACCGTTGAGCATACCGGTCAAAAACACCAGCCCGTTGCTCGAATAGCCTGTGCCATTGAACCAATCTGCCCAGACAAAGTTGTTTGAAGCGTGGCCTTTGCCATTGTACGATGGCATGATGGCGCAAACCATGACGGTAACGAAGATTCCTCCAAGCATGAAGAAGCAGCCGACTCGGTTGATACTGGCCAAGCCCCGGTTGCAAAAGAGAACGACAGCACAGCAGATGACTGTGATGATCTCATAGACGATAAAGACTTGCCAGCGTTTAATGTCCAGATCGGGGTGGTAGAGGGAATAGCAGAACAGGACTCCATTTCCAATGATGGCAGAATTGGCGGAAGCGCCAAAGATCCAGGCCAAAAGGTTCCACCAGCCGGCAAACCAGCCAGCGGGGCGGCCATATTTACGTCCGGCTGCGACAGTTGCCCAGTGATAGACTATCGAATGTGTTAGGATATATTTAGAAATTCAATGAAGTGACGGTAGTATTATTGGTACGCACCTCCTCCTGAAGCAGGGATTGCCGAAGCAAGCTCAGCTATCGAGGCACCCACAAACCAATAACATATTGAGACTGCGATGCTGTAAAAAAATCAATCAGTTATTGGCTTCCTTTTTCATATGAAATCCATCGTGCTTACAATTCATATATCACACCAGGAGGACCTCCATTGTACAAAGCAACAACCTAGAGTTTCCAGTTAGTCGGGAATTCTAGGATCGGTTTATGTTAGAGCTTACAATGGCACCACCAAGGGCTGTCCATGTATTGCCAGTCACAATTCCAGCGGAGATGATGCTGACAAGTCCGAATTGGCGATCAAGCTCTTGTTCATGACCCGAGGCATTGACTTGAGTGGAGATTGCTTCGTCGACGTTCTTCTCACTGTCTGCGAAGCCGGCTTTGTCATGATCATTTTGGGTCAATTCAGCCTGGGAGAGGTATTGTTAGTGGGAGTTACCAACGCTTAGGTAGGAAGGAATTCCGCGCACGGGGTTTGCCTCTTGAGAAATCTTGAGGTCGCTGTCACTAACCATGGTGAAGGATTTGCAGCTGCTGATCTCAGAATTAAAGATAATTTCAAACAGATTCAAGTGCGCTGCTGCTTCTCACACGCACAGGAGGATCAGCCAAGCATCGAGAGATGACCCAAGAAGCCATATTGATTTATATATAAAAGACTATATACAAGACAGTCAAAGATAGAAAAAAAAAGCATAGATAGGCCGGGGATATTCTTCAAAGCCTTGCGATGATAATTGTAGCGACTAACAAGCATAAATTAGGAAAGGTAGCGCTATTCCCTTCCGAATCCAGAGAGGCAGTTGGCCTGCGTAGAGGAGGGTGGCACATGGTTGGCGGGCTATTGGGATAGGTTTCCCCGGGAGGAACTCCAGACTAACCCTGTCGTACTGAAAAGGTCAGTAAGAGATAAGGCCCTGGCGCTAGTCTCGCCGCCGGTCCCCGGTCTCGGTTGGTCTTCGGTCCAACTAGCTTAGGCTCAAGCTTTTTTGACCCGTGCAAATTTATACTCGTGTTATATACCAATGTATGATTTATACGTAGGGCCATTAATCAAATGATTAGATCGCTGTTGATGGATGATATCTACCTGCATTTATTACCTGCTGCAGAGGACACGTGATCATGGCAACGAGTATTGTTCAGTTCATGTTCTTTTAGTGGTCCTGCTTATCCAACACAGGCTAGGGGCATTTCTGGGGTATCCTATAACATACATATAGACAGACTTCATAAAGCAAAAACAATAGCTTTCCGAGAGGGAAGGTAGGAAAAGAAAAAAAAGGCGAGAATAGGACAATACAAAGACAATCTAACAACTGCTTGCTGTGCTATCTGAGGTGCTAGTATTTCGAACAGAGCGGTTATCTAGCCCAGCTGATGGATCTAGTATGGTGTTATCGACCAAAATGGATAGAATGGTAGATCCCTTGCCAGGCACGAGCGGCAGAAGCAAAAGTCCGTGATAGAAAAGTCGACGATTCTTCCTCAGTGTTTCCCATTCGGAGATGGGAATATTGGCCAGGGGAATATTTTCCAGGATTCATTTCAGCCGCGATTCTCTCCAATTGCGCTGCGCGGCTGCTTCCAAAAAGCTTAATCGATACCTCTGAAAAGCCGGAGTAGTCATTCTTTCCTGATCCTCTAACACTCCATCTCACGTTCGGATCTGCACCATGGCGAAGGAGAAGCTCCATGATTTCAAACAGAAAAATGCTCATATAACTTTTACGGGGCGTGTAAACTTCCAAAAAGCCCAAAAGAAAACTCCACACAGTCTCTCGTATCGCCGGCAATATGAAATCGATGTTTAAGATTGTTGGACGAGGAGCGTTGGGGTCAGCACCTTTCCGTAAGAGCAAACCAACCATTGAGATCGCAGCTATATTAAACTTATCGCCGTGTAAGGCTGGGCTGGCTATCAAGAAAAGAACACGATATATCGCCTCCACCAGCAAATTGTCCAGCGTAGATTGATTAATGTTTTCGCCTTCTTCATCGAGCTTTGCTGAAATGTATAAATATAAACCACTTCCCACTGCGAAAATGAGGTTTTGAACATCTAATGATCGAGACCTGTCTAGATTGCCCCTTCGATATTCGTGGATGATGGGACCAAATTCAGCGTCTTCAAGAAATGTCAGGCCCTCTACAAGAGCGGAGTTGTATCTTTGTTCGAAATGTTCGAGGTCCCTGGCGTAATTTCCAAAGCATCCCATATAGTGAAGTCGGTGATCAGTGGTCTCCGCCTTGGGAAACCTTTTGTGATTCCAAAAGAATTTTAGAAGCCCAAGGTGAATTCGGAGAAGAGCGAGCCGAGGGGAAAAGCATTCATTTACTCGCTGTTCAAGCACTTGATGCATCTCCTTGGTTTCCAGAAAGTCTCTAACCGTTCGATGGAGAAAGGTGATTGTAAACAAAGACTCGTGCCCACTTACATGATGGGCATCGTTTGAAATCTCGAGTAGATCCTTGCAATGGCTATTTAATTTCTTTTTCCATTTGGAACGCAAACATGTCTCGTTTTTATGTACGAGAGATAGCACATTGTCCATTAATGCATAGTCTGGATATCTTTTTTCGATAGATAGGTACTCATACGCCAGGATAGGTAGAGGCCCATATGCATGTGTGCTGGTCAACAAAATTCGCGCTCCTTCTTCCCAATAGTCTCTGCCGATTCTCTTGAAGATAAGCATCAAGTAGTCTTCTAAACGGGACGGAATTTTGTTCAGGCGATCCTGGAGATCGTAGAAGCTGTCTTCTTCTTGTAGACCTTCAAGCAAAGACCGGACAACGAGATAAACCCAAAGCCAAACACCCTGCGCTCGAGTACTAATTTCAAGTGTGAGGTCCAAACAGCGAGGGTCATCTGCAGAGAGCTTTTGGAATTTAGGATTATCTTGAAGCATTGCCATGACATAGGCTCGCATGTCATTTTGCGTCAACTCTTGTAGGGTTAAATGCTGATGGCCGTTACCCAACGCTTCCGAAAATGCATTCCACGGTCGGCTCGAGGTGCAAATCTTGATACTGGAAGAACGAGAAAGAGATTGTATAATCTCGAGTAGGTCTTCACTCTCGCCGTCATATTCATCAAGTCCGTCTATTAAAAAGCAGAATTTGACCGGGAGGTCCTTTAAATTTGCGATGTTTTCAAATACGCCGGCCAATTCTTCTTCGCTCCATGGTTCTGTTTGGGTATGCGCCTGCTCATTCCACCTCTGGGCGCACACAGATTTTATGAGATATGGACACTCCCCAAAGATTCGATATAGTAAGGTCTGGAGTAGTCCTCGTTGAGATTTTTGCATGGGAGCTCCAGGGTTCCAAAAGTAATGGCTTGCCGTAACCAGCTTTTGCGACCCAGACCAGTAATGCAAGTTTTCTGAGGTAGAGGGATGGCCGTCGATATATTTCATTAACGTAGATTTGCCACTTCCAGCCTAGAAAAATCATCAGTTACCCCGCAAACCTTCATATAAAGGATGGCTAACCTTGCCAGAGAACCAGAAGATTCCACTACCTGATCTCAGCCACTCGAGAAACCCAAGTTCTTCATTTTCGAAAAGCCAATTTAGGGTCCGTGAATGAGCTTTCTTAATAGTCGAATAGCGTTCCTTCAAAGAATCAAAGCATAAGCTTTGGAGAATGATTTGTTCCTTCTTGACTTCATTTTCTGCTTCTAGAAAGGCGTGGAGTTTATCTGAAAGGACCTCAAGCGCGACGTTGCTTTCGTACTGCCCATCGGCCGTGACATGAAGCAATGTCTCCAGATCTGATTTTAAATAATCCAGTCTACGAGTGGTATCAAATTCCATTCGTTGGCTCATTCCCTTCAACTCTGCGATCGCTAAGGTGGCTTTAGACTGCTTGTCACTATAATATGGTAAGCTTCGTCCTAAGAAAAGTTGGGGAAATCGTTCAAGGTTCAAACGTACTTGAGAGTATCCAAAATATGAGAATTGAGTTGCTTCTGCATGGTTTGTAACCTTCTGTTCAGCTCCTCGGTTGTTCTCCTTTTCGAGAGGGCTTTTATGGAAGTTGTAATTTTCCCGATTGCTCCACGGCGACAAGGATTCCTGAGGTCGACCAGATCAAGGGCTTCCAATAAATCATCCGCCATCTTCGCGGTGTGTCTGGCAAGTAGTTGTATTCCAAGCTCGCCTTTCGATACTGGGGAGCCCAGTGCTTCATTCTGGGAAATCATTCGCATGATGTTGTTGCTGCGAGACTTGACATCTGCTGCGAGCGCAGCAATCTCCGCGTTTATTTCCTTCGAGCTATGCAAATAGCGGTATGCGTCGTATCCCTTCCGGATTAATTTTCCGCTCATTTCCAAAAACTGAGCGATATTCATCGCCAGTCCAATGACCGCGAATGGCTCCGCCATTGTCGCTTCCGTGAATGTTTTGCACGACCTTGTCGACGATGTTCGATGCTTCCGTCGAGCAAAGGAGAGCTGCCGCTGAGATAACTCTAATGAAAATGGCCGAAAGCCAGCTATCACAGTAGATGCAACCCAGCGAGGCTGTCGCTGACATCCTTGTGATGAAGTAAAACTGAGCGATGTTTGAACAAGTACAACTTAGCCTCCTAGGCTCAGCCTTCTGGAGGCGCAGCAAGATACTTCATCTTCAATTGTGGCGCTTGCTCCGCCAATGATTTCCGTACCCTGGACAGTACAATATGAAGCAGCACTTTTATATAAAGATACATGTCATGAGAAATGGCAGATTTCAGCGTGCCTTCTGCTCGTGCAACAAGTCAGCTCTAAGTCTCGCACGTCACAAAATCTCCAGTTTCCGTGATGCCTGCCTTCTGATTGCATAATCGAGTTGTCCGTCGCAGCATGCGCCAGATTAATTTGAACTGATGTAGTGCAACAGATCCTCACTTCCACTTATGTATTTTAAAAAGCCGCTGGTTTTTCAGGCTTCAGGTATGCATAGCACTATTCTAACGTGTCGACCTCTTGGCTTCTCCCCGCCTTCCAGGTGTCTCGGAGTCTCGCTCGGCTCGCCTTTACCCGTCCCGTCTCCACTACCTTGATAATCTTCCCCACTAACGTACTCCCCCTTCAGTGCAGTACTGGATAAGGAGTAAGTCCAGGAATACCTAAAGCTGTCGGAAATTCGGACACCTTACTTGAGGTAGTTAAAAATCCCGTCATACCAGCAATCACGCAACTAAACATAAAAAGAAACACATTAACCAAGATTCCAAGAGTTGTATCGAGTTTTTAAATTAAAGATACTAAGATATTAAGAGGATTCAATTGTTGAATAATGAGATAGAAAAAAAATTAAGAGCTACCATTTAAGACAACCCTCAGGCTACAACACCGCAGCTCTCTCCCAAGCACTAATGACCTAATCCCCGACAACCGTGCTTGCTTCCAATCAATCCTTTTTCGGTGGAAGAAGAAGATATATCCCATCGAGCCTCTTGATGATGAAAGGATGGATAATCCCTCGAACCTCTTGACGGAGAAAAGATAGATATCCCATGAAACCTCTTGACGGAGAAATGAAGAAATGATATTGAGAATAGCACGTGGCTATAAGAAAAGAAATAAGAAAAAGAAAATAAAGGACAAAAAGTAAACAAATGAAGAAAAAAAAAACAACTCCCAAGCACCGAGCACCGAGCACCGAGCACCCAATGGTACAAGGGTGTTAGCATCAGAGTATCTGAGCACCAGAGCACCAGACTAAAGCGGAGGAAAAAAAGGTAAAAGAAGGTAAAAGAAGGAAAAAGAAGGAAAATAGGAAAAAGAAAAAAGAAAAAGAGAAAAACACGCCAAACGTATTTACCGTCTCCAGCGCACAATAACAAAGCAAATTTCAGACTTCCATCCTATACGCCACCAGCCACCATAATTTAATACAATCTTCATGGTACTTGTCCGCCCGTCCGGGTCTGCCTCCATGCGCCTGAGCTCTGAATCAGGGAAAAAATTAAAAGAGTCTTCGGAGAAAGGTTAAAGAATTCCATCTTTGTCGAGAAGGAAAAGTGAGAAAAGAAAGAGAGATGAGTATAGGGAGAAGAAGAAGAGGAAATATACAACATCGTCTTCGAGACTGCATATAGAATGCCAAAATCGAGGACGGATGATAAAAAGGAATAGAGAGGCTGAGTGCACTGCAAGAAGAATGGATCGATAAATAGCAATGCCAAACTCCAATGGTTGCCCATTTGATAAGCCCTTGTATAAACAGCAAACAGTCCGCTTTCGCTTCCGCAATCCATCCGCTTAGCTAAAACCATTTATAGCACCGTTGCCAGATATATGAGAGAGAGAAAAAATGTACAGAGGCGTAAAAGGATCCTACAGCACCCCAGAACTTGGGTCGGAATAGCTGTATAACAAATAAACTGATGACGAGTGGGACGAATAGAAGAAGGTATGCTTAGATGATAGATGCGGCACGAGAGAGTGATCAAAAGCTCACATTCCCAGCATCTTCTTCCATGACGCTATCGGACCAACCACCAGTGACTGCTCCGTGGGCAGTATCTCTCTGTCCGAGATCAAAGCCCTCGCCTTCGCCGCGCTCGACAAAGTCCTCATGATTTATTTCCTTGTAGATGCGTTGGAAATACATTCTTAGCGTGCGTAAACCGCGAAGATATCCCCGGTCAATACCGTCAGGGTCTTTGGGCGGACATCGAGTGGTAGGCGGTAGCTCATCTTCGGCCGTGACACAGTTGGCAAAATCGACAATTTTGAGTTGAATCTCACTTCGAGATTTCGACTCTGCTGGTGGCTTCCCCTGGCTGACAGAATTGCTCCGTTCAGTCTTGGTTTCTTCGTCGGTGCCAATGCTGCCATCATACAGCATGAGAAGGCTACTGGCGTAGAATCTGTATCCCGGAAGACCCCGGATAATGGCTTCAAGCTGAGTAATCTTTTCTAAAATTGTCGGGATATGTCTAGTCGTCCGAGTGTAGGTTGCGCCGTCATAGAGGAACCGCGTGAGTGCATCTTGAAATTCCCGGCCGGCCTTCAAGTCGCGTCCAAAATACTTGTCTTCAAAAAGATACGACTTGGTTTTGGCATTCCACACCTGCATACCGCAGACCCGCACGCCTAATTCGCGAGATGTTGTCATTTGGCATTTTCGCCGCTGAGACCTCATCTTCTTTTCGTCAGCCTCTAGTCCATACTGTCTGGTGCCCATTTTGAGGTCAAGGACACATGGTCGTTTCATGCCTGCCGTGAGATCCTCTAGCAGCAGAAAATGTTGAACCCGTTCGCTTGGCGTTGTCTGTGCCTGTTCGGGGTTCATTGGACTGGGTTCAAGCTGACTGATTGGCACCACTGGCGGCGGGGATGATATGGAAGGTCGCTCTATTCTTATAGTCGACGACTGGCGCGGCGTCATTTGGGCAGACTCATCCTCGATACGGCTGGACGGTGGCGCCGTCGGGGTCTGCGGCTCTTCATCCATTGGAAAAAGCTCGTCCTCTCGGTCACCACCATAGCCTTCATCCTCAAAATACTCCAGGTGGCTTCTCCCATGGCCATCCATGTCACCGTGCTTTGTCCTCAAGCCACCTCCAGAGTGGCGTCGCCGAGGCTTGGGCGAGTCTGGCACGTGCAAATTCGTTAGGCCATGATTTTCTGATCGAGGCAGACTCCTAGATATGGTCGAGCTCGCACGGTCCGCTTCCTGTCCATTTCCATAGTGACACCCTGCTAGGGCCTTCCTTTCCGCCTCACCCTTCAAGACACCTTTTCGAATCGACTCATCGTCCCGGGTCGGTCGTGGATGGCTACTAGCCGAGGTGGTGGGGGCCAAGGTGGGATTACGGTCCGCATCCGCACCCGTGTCTCTCAGTTTGGCAAGTAGATAATGACTGCGAGAGTGCCGGTGGTGATGGGTAGGTGTAAGCGGTGGACCAAAGACTTCGCGAAGAACCTGCTCCTGCAGTTTTCGGTTCACCGTGGTCGCGCCCCAGCTTGAGTGCTGTTTGATCGAAGGTCTCCGAGCTGCTGCTGCTGCTGCATCATCACCTAAGGGGCTTTTGGTTCTCTCAGAGTTTGCCGGACTGAGCGTCCGAAATCTGCGAGTTTGTGAGGTGCTATCACCATTTAGCGATGAAGATAGCCGGGGCGTGTCGGAACGAGGTGGATGCGCAAAGAGGTTTTCGGGAATGATGTGCCGATTGTTTGCAAAGATAACCTGCGGGATTGACACCGGTTGTTGCGACATGCTCACAATGCGAGGCTGATCCTGATTGCCGTCCAGGTCCCGAGACGAGGGCGACCCAAAAGAGGGTCGATCCGCAGGGGACTTGCCAGTCAGCGAGTCACTCTGCGCAGCTGGTTGCGAATCCGCTTCCGTCAACGCCCCTTGGTCGCCTTCCTCAAGCCTTTTAGCCCTTTTCTTCTTCGGCGCTTTACGGTAAGTGACATTGAGCACCCCAATATATCTATTCGCAAGAGTTTAAATGAAGACGTTAGCATAGAGAAACCCAAGTCAGATCTCACTGGGATTCGAAACTCAGAAGCTTCCGCCAGAGAGACCAAGGAAACGGAGCACCTCAGGAATAAATCGAGGAATACCACACATACCTCGGTAAGAATTGGAGTAACTCAGGATGTTTACGTTCGACAGTCTCGTAAAACTCGTTCTCACGATTACTGAGCTGCTTGCAGACAGCCTTTTTCGAGAAGCGAAAGACTGTCGTATGACCTCCAACCTGATGATTATAGGGTTTGAGCTCGACAGCGCTTAATGGTGTCGGTTGAGCAGAGAGAACCTTGCGAGGGCTGGACCGTGTCACGGACGAACGCCCAGTAGGTGTTGCCGTAGGGGTTGTCTCGGCGTGGTCGGTCAAGCTGGATTCATCTTCGGTAACAGAGCGCTGCATGTCATCCCAAGATTCATACTCGGTCTCAGATGCGGATGACGGCGCAAAGTCCGCCGTCGGGACGGGTTTTGGAGCTGTGACCTCGGCCGGCGGCGTCCGTGGCATTTGCAAATCGCCATGAAAAAATCGACTTTCATCTTGAGATTGAAAGGCAATGTCAATCTCATTAGATGGAGGTGCCTCCCGTTCCGGTACCCACTGCTTGCGCTCGGGTTCTTCGCGTTCGGCTTTGACAAACTGATCCTTGGCTTCATCCAGCCCGTGTTCATCCGTGGCTTCATGGTAATCTCGGAGAGCCGGCGCTTGATGTGGAATGTACAAAGCTGATGAGATTTGTTCCTTATCCGACTCTTCCTCTTCGTCCTCTTCATCTTCGGCCACATGTTCCTTATCGTCGCGGCCGGTGGGAGAGGGATGCACAGGTCGAACGGGTACGGCGGAGGCTGCGGCTTCGTCATGGGGCTCAATGGTCTTTGTCCCGGTCGGGCTGGTAGTTGACGAGGGTGCAGAACGCTCGGAAATAGTAGTCGGAATGCTACGTGAAAACGACGTACCTCGGGCAGCGCCGGGCGTCAGGTTATGGCGGTTGCGAATCTCTTCGAGCAGCCGTAGCGGAAAGGAGCGCACCATTGTATCGGCGGCAACGGTCACAGTATCGCCATCTTCCGTGGCGGTGGGGCTGACCCCTTCCTCTGGGGTCACGGTTTTGACATCCAAAGGCGGTGTGGGCGAGAGCGGGCTCTTCAATAGAGGCGGAGCAGCGTCCGTCCTGTGTTGTTGGCTGATCAATCGATCGAGGTGTGATCGCTGAGCATCTGCAGAGGGTTGCGGGACTGGCTGATTAGCTTCGAGCTGAGGGGAAGAGAGAGGGGCTTCCGCCGGGAGGGCGACGGCGATTGCATTCGTACTCTTTGGGCTTCCTGCTGCACCTGCGAGGTTCGAGGTCACGTCCCCTTTCATTTCCACGCCTGCCTCTTTCGGTTTGCGGTCCTTGGCCGTCTCTTCGCGCTTCTTGTGCTCCTTGGAAGCAGTGTTCTCCTTGAAGAGTCCCAAGTAATGACTCGACTTTCGACTTCGAGAATTGACGTTGGCCTCAACGTTCGCCAATGTAGCTTCAATCTTCTTCTCGACGGGTCCCGGGCCTCTGCTCCGACTCGGACTACGACCGGCAGTGGACGGCGGCGCTCTAACCTTGTCCGCACTGGGCTCGAGACGGTGCTGCAATGGCAATGAGGGATCACGAGAAGATGGTTTGTAATTGATGGTTCCATCATGAGTTACATGGTCCGACAAGCGCAGCAGGCTGCTGCTCTTGCGGGAGGTCGAAAAGGAATCGGAAACGTTGCGGTCAGCCGGCTGGCCTTCGCGCCCAAAGGGATCGGGTTGGGAGTTGAGAAATTTGCGAGGTGACGAAGCCAACGACGACTCTGGCCAACGAGTCGGAGTCAGGGGGGTGGAAGTGGGCGACAAGCTGGGCGGCGCTCTGTCGTTGCGAAAGTTTTCTCCAAAACGATAGCTGTCGAGCGGGCTAGGGGAGGAGCGGGCCATGTGGAAAAGAGAGGAGCTGGACCGCTGCTGCTGCTGCTGCTGATGCCGCGGTAGCTGCGGTTGTTGCTTCTGCTGTTGTTGCTGCAGACGAGAAGAGGATGATGCCAGATCTGACCAAGGATAATGATGCTTGGTCGCGTCAACGTCGGCAGCATGCTGGCCAGGGTCATGGACGGGGACCAGGTTGGGGGAGCTCGTGGCGCTGTTGGACGGTACATAGTGGGTCGCAAAAATGCTATCCCTCTCCGACAATTGGGGCGAGTCTTCCTCAAATTGGGGGCGTGCAGTCAGGGCGGTGGGCAAGGTGCGGGCCCTGGCTGGGAGTTGCGCCTTGACCGGCGTTGTGGTTGCCGTTGGACGGCGGGCCGCCGAAGGCGAGGTATCAGCAGCAGCGGTGGTTACAGCAGCAGCATCAGCATGGCCTGCGTCGTCATGATGCTGCGTTTGCTGTTGCCGCTGCTGCTGCAGCTGCAGTTGCTGATGCGGCAACGGGTAAGGAAGCGAAGGGGCGTTGGTCGAATCGACGGCGGACCTCACCAACGGCGGCGGAGCTGCGGGATTTTCGAACGTGGAAGGGGGACTTGACATGAGTCGAGCATCGATTCGTGGGATCGTAGAATCGTAAAAATCGGCGGGTGGGAGTGCGGGGAGGACGAAGGGCGTGGCTGAAAGAAGGGCTGAGAGTGGTGGAGGATTTATCGGAGAGGGATGGTAGAATTGTCGTTACTCTAATGGTTCGGGGCGAAAGACGATGGAAGGGTTTCGGGTAACAATTGGGTTTAGATAGCAAACAGCGGGTCGTTTGCGGGTAACTGGGGTTCTGGCCGTAGTATGTGTGAGATTAAAGGAACAGGCAGATTCTCTGCCACCGAGGTACCTTATTTTTCCCGTTCGGTTTTGGAACCTCTATAGCGACCATTAGTTGAGAAGGGAAGAAAGAGAGCAAGAGAAACATGAGGAAAGAGCGATAGAGAGGATCCACAACACAGAAATTTTGCTGCAGTTGCTGCAGTAGCTGCAGTAGCACCGTACAGCGGAGTGCAAGTAACGAATACCAAATCATAGCAAATTGTTCAGTTCACACCCTGGAAAATTCCGTGGGTAGCCGATAAGGTTTTGCCCACCCAGCGAAATCGAACAGTAACGTCAAAAACCAATAACTCCTAGTGGCCGTAGACATCTCCATCTCTCTCTGCACAGTATCTGCATTGCAAAATTTACGATATCTTTGTAATGGTGTACAAGCCACGCCGACTTACCTCTCTGCTTTTCTCTCACACGCACCTTCAATTTTTTATATTGGTTATATCCCAGTTCTGCAGCCACAACCGCTTTGATCGTAGTCGGAAATTCAAGAAGATGATGTGAGGGTGTCTGTCGGCACTGGCAAGCGTATTGATGTGTGTTTCAATGGTCTGCACCACTGCCACGTTGTTGCTAAGCACAAGTGGAGCCCAGCAGAATGTAATAGGAACAGTGTAGTAGGGAGATAATAGAAGAAGAAGAAGAAGGAAAAGCATAGAAGAGCGGGGCCAGAGCACGGAATATGATGAGGACATGAGGATACTTATGAGAGTACAGCAGATATCAATTCAGTGGCAAGGTAGTACGAGCAACAATGTGAAGACAAGACAGTCACCCTGACAGGATCAATGTGTCGGTACTATATAGGTAGTACATGGGAAACAGTGACTGCAATAAAGAGCAATGCCCAGCAATTAATTGTCACACGTGTCAAAGCAGATAATCCCAGGGAAAGAATCAGAATCGTCTTTGGTTCATCACTCTTCTGTTGGTTGATAGAAGGGTATCTCCCGACAGCAATCATAACAAAGCACAGGCGGAGCTCAAGCAGTATGTAAGACTACTTTATGAAGACTCTCAGGGCCGGAAGTGTCGGCACAGTTTGGGTGGCAAAGTGGCAACCCGGTAGGTTACTTCAGGTAACCACTACTTTTGCTTCGGGGATTTCTCTTACATTTAGCGGGCGAAATTTACAGGTGGAATGGTGCTCTACAACCCATGAGCACCTCAAGAGTATAGATAAAATTTCACTTTGCTAGGGCAAGCTGTCAGTAGTCAGCCGTTGGTTAGATACTACAACCTTGATAATTAATTGGCTTTGGCTTCATGGAATAATTGTGCTGTCATGAACTGGAGCAATGGAGGTGACGAAATGACCCGACATTAGTGCCTGTACAGTAGCTGCTCACCTGAGAGTACATCCATTCACACCAATAAACAGCCTGTGATAAAAGTACAGGTACACGTGTGGCTGCCAGTGGCTCCAGGCCCGCAATGAAACCCACTGGGAACGCCTTCCCTCCACATTAATGTGCTCCTTCCCCAGCTTTTCCTTGTACCATGAGCGAATCGGGTCCCAAGCCATAGGGAAGCGTGACACCCAAACACAAACTCTTGTCATACTCTACACGACACAAACCATGGTGAAATGTACCGAGTTAGTTACGACCACAGAAGAATAGAGCACTGTAATCATTACCTGGTAACCATTCATCATCCTTTTTCAAAAAAAAAAAAATGCCACGTTGGCAAGAAGATTCAGTGCAGCAAACAGCTCACCAATTGAGAGCCAATCGTTTGCCAACGTGCTCGGGTGCCGGCCTCCTGCAAACATCATACAAGCATCAATGAGCTTGCCTTGACTGCACGCACAAAGACGCCATGGCAACTGCGTTCAAGGTTGCATCTTTCTGCAAGATGAGCAGCCTAGCAGCCACTCCGGCGTAAACCTTGTCCTGGAATAGAGCCCGCCCGCCCGTTGCAAAATCATATCAAAACCTTCCACATGTCCCTGCAACGCGCCCTTAGTGGCCGTCACGGCAAGGGGATCATCATCTTAGGCGGACCACCCTCCATAAAGCTGATCGACGTATATCCAATTTCGGCTCGTTGCATGATGACAAAACTGTCTCGATGTCTGTTTAATTCCCCTCCTTGCTCTGAGTCCACCACGGATAATACTGCGAGCTAAGCCTCGGCCCTAGATACATTCAAATCGTCCACATGCGAAGGCATCTTAAAATTAAAGAATTGCGGTCAACGTGATCTAACAATAGACGCGCATGAAAGCTCTAAGTCGTACTAGTTGCACACTAATGCTGGTTTAAATAATATGAGAATCTGAAATACGCTGAGATCGCTAGAACGCATGTTATGCATATCTGAAGTATGCAAACATAAAAGCTATGCAGATGCAAATGCCGGAAATGCCATATGCCGACTGAAACCGAAACATAGACGCGAACAATGGAAGTCACCGAGTATGTCTGAACTGAAATCTAATGCCATGCAGATATCTGGTTCAATAAAAAACACAAAAGAAAGTAGTCTTGAAAATCTTGTCCAAAGTCTCAATATCTCCGTCAGTCATGCCTATATTGAACTCTTTTGTCTCTGACGCTTGTCGACACTTGTGCGTTGCGGACTGTTCAATCTCACAGATTTCCCCCTGCTTGAACGCCTGCCTATATTATTTGACTTTGGATATTTAGCTGCTTCGGCATCCATATTCTGAAGCGGGTCGCGAAGGGAGTTCAATGCTTTTTCGGGTGACGATGTTGCAGAAGGAGCATTGATTGCCGTCCACTGCTTCACTTCAACCTGACTGCCTTCAGCGCCAGACTCGAGAGCTGAGGCCGATAGTATAGCCTTGGATAAAAAAGGCGCAGGTTTTTTCTCCTTCACATTTTTGCTCGTTTCCTTCAGGGCTGAGTCGACATTCCAGCTCTCGAGGAAACTTCCTACCTCATCAATAGCCGGGCTCAGATCCTCTAACAGATGACCTTGGCCCTCTTGTTCATAAGAAGACGTTTCCTTGAGATTTCCTTCTGGTGTGATCGAGAAGAAAGGCATCGGAGAATATTGCTTCTTCTTCTCATTTGATTCCTGCGTCAAAATGGCCACGCGACTGGTTTGTTGCACTGGGGTTGTGATGTGTCGAAACCTAGGTCGTGGACTAGCCCCAAGGGCGGATATCGCAGTGTTAGCATCTTTAATGTCCCCCGCCTCCCCTTCCTCTCCATGCTGCGAAGGCTCCGGACTAGTATCCATGTCCAAATTGAGCCCAAGCTTCTTCAGCCATTCTTGATTTTCGGGCGGACCTGACGACTGATCGCCGGCGTTGCTAGGAGCCACATGAAGAACAGGCGAGGCCGCAAATTTTTGTCGTTCTCTTTTAGCAGAATAAGTTTGCTGCCGTTTCTTGACTGTACTGAAGAAGAACGGCGAGGCAGTGTCGACTAGTTCCTGGGTATTCAATGGAGGCGATTCAGCTGCCAGGGTGTGTCTGTCACTGGGTCCCGGTTTGACAGGCGATGCATCGGAAGTAGTGAAGCCCTGATCTGGATCGTCGCAGATTGCTTGATTTTCTAGAGGTGATTGTCTGTGGGCTATATTTCCATGTGCACGGATTGACTTCCGCGGCGAGAGTGCAGAGAGATTATGATGGAGAGGAGAGTCAATTTCGGCCTTGAATTCGTTATGTGCCATGAGGATTGCTGCTTGGGTGGAGAATGCCTGCGTGTTTTCGCTCTCCGTATAATTATATGCCTTGGAGTCTTGGCGATCTGGAAGCATAGAACTCGTGCGAAGAGGAGCGAAAACGCTGTCTGTGGTGCCAGTCGTTTTCGATGGTTTGCTGGACACATTGCTGAATCCCAGTTCTTGAGCGGAACTTGGTTTCTGAGGCTTCGGGGAAGGGTTCTCCTTTGAATCTGCAGAAGGATACTTCAGCACATTGCTATCAGGTTGGGTATCTCCTGTATCGTCAATGTATTCGGTCATGTCTAGCGACTCCGCTTGTACATAGTATCCATTGTCACCACTAGGCGGCGTTTTATTCTCCTTTCCTCGGAAAAGCTTATTCAACAGGCTTCCGCCTTCATCAACCTTCTGGTGTGCCTTGGCGTCTACCATCCATGGAGTTGTTGCAAGATCACGTGGAGAAGAAAATTGCATGACATGGCGCCTTGAGAGCTCTGGTCGCTTGAAAGCTCCTTTGAAAGACTCTTCAGGAGAGCTCTTAGAGTTTGAGGTATCAACCTTCTGCTCCTTCGAGTTGTGAGTGCCTGCGAAAAATGATACAGAAAGGGCCCCTCTCCCTGAAGCAATGGATGATGAGTTTGGTTTCCTTTTCGAAGTAGATAACGGCGTGGTGTGCCTTTGCAATATGGGCTGCGAGAGCGAAATTGCTTCTTCAGCTTCCGGAATTGTTGAGCTCTGAGTCCGAGTGAACGAATGAGAATGTCTGCGTGGTTCCGTCGCGGACCTACACCAGCTAGGTTGTGAATGGGATGCATAAAGCATCGAAGAAATAGGCAACTTATTATCCCGAATTCGTTGGCCTGCCTTTTTGTCATTGGTCCGATCGTGGCGTTCGTCTCCCGATATCGAGTCTGGTTGTTTCTGCTTCTGGGACGAGAAATTGCTTGTATGAACCTGCTTCTCATCTCTGCGCTTCTGTCCAAGGGGTGTCGGTGTTTGCGTCACCCGCTCGCAATCACGACCATTCAATGCTTGTTTCAAATGAGCAGCCCCTAATGCTTTTAACAATTTTCTCTCCTCATCCGATAGGCTTGTCAAATCAACGGCAGATTCTCGTGTTTTTCCCCGTCCGTCGTTCTGGAGTTTCATCGCCCGTTGGATACGCGCCTCTCTACGTATTCGTTTTCGTCTTTGTCTATCAAGCTTTTCCTGTTCCTGGTAGAGGAGGGTCTCTTCATAGCGAGTGAGACTCGATTGAAAGCCTGATGACCCGTTCGACGCCGACGCCGCCGATGCACTAGACACAACCCGTCCGTTTTGGCTGGGCTCAGAGGCATTCGTTCTGTGGGGATATATCTCCACTTTTTTGTGCCGCACTTGAGCCTCTACAGCAGCTTTCTCATGCTGGTGCTGCTCCCGTTCCTTGACCTTGGGATCCCGGTCTTCCACATTATCAAAGAGCCCTGCTGACGCTCTCCACGGATTCACCCATTGTTGATCAAATGGGCCCTTGAGGCTGGCTGAAAGTATGAAGAGCGGTTGTCCAGAAAGGTATTTGTACGCCAAATCTTCGATTTTCTGACGTTTTCTTGGTTGCGAATATTCGTCTTCTTCGTCTTGGCTATCGATGGAAGAATGGGACTCATGGCAGTCCGTCAAGGGTTCAAACGAAACTTGGCGAAGCGGCGGCGGCAATCGAAGTGCCATAATTTTGATTCGCACGGTTTCCGGCTCGAGTTCATGAGGATGTATCTGAAGATTAATTATCGAAACATATGTAAAGGATCAGCCCGAAGGCATAATGTCCTCTCCCCAGCCCGGAAATGATACTGTGAATGGATTTGGCGGAGGATGCGGGTCTCTGACTCTCGGCAACCTCCATCATGCAGCTCTGGCGTCTTTGACTCCGTGATTGGTGTATGCACACGCGGACGCGCTCACGCGCGCTATCACGTGAATCAATTAAAGCGGTTGTCTGGGGCAACCGCTGTGACCTTCCCAATATCACGGTTGCTTTTGAAAAAGACATCAATTCTATCATAATAATTAATCGCATGGAATTTTGAGTTAACTATGCCTTATTGACTGAGTAGTAGCTTGAAAAATAAATTTCGAATACTTCATTTTTTTGGGAGGGGGGGGGGGATTTTCTGGTTGGTTGGCATTATTTCAGGCTTCATTCAAAATCATTTGAAACTATGGAAAATTCACTCAATTTCTTCCAACACGAAAGCTTCTATATGAGCATCGACCATAACAGAATGAACCTTTCTTCTTGTATGTCTGTCAATAGGATAGTAACAATAGAATCTAGCACATTTTCAAAATGATTTTATAAATCGAGTGACTTTCTCAGGTCTACCCTTATAGATCAAAACTAAAGTCGCCGGATAACAATGACCAACATGCACTCTGAATTGATTCTACATAGTCTTTCGCTCTAAGAATCCCTCTGAGCTTGAAGCAATAAACTCGAACACAGGACATAGAGGATTCATAAAGTAATATTTAGGAAGATGGAAGTTGATGATCTACTAAAGTGTATCTAGTTGAGCGGAGCACAACGAGGAAAGTATCATGTGAGACCAGCCATGATTGTATAATAATATTTGCAGCATCATGTTTGACGAATATTCAACTCCAAATATTGTTGTGCCAGCTGTCTGTCGTGCTTGATCGAAGTGCTCCTCCGTCCGTTGTGCCTTCCTCATATGGATTGCCGGCAGCTGGTTATAGCTGAGTCAGCAGCCGAGCATGGCGGTGAGGTTGATCCCTCCACAGTCCATAACAAACAACCAGTCACACTTGCCCCCCCAGGCTTCGTTCCGTCGTCACTCGACTACAGCCGGCGCTTGCTCCATGTTTACCAGTTGATCCCAGCGCGTCGATCTTATCGCCATATTTACTTTCTGCCATATTCACACCGCCCATTTTCTCGAATACAATCGCCAATCTGATCGTCGCGTCCGCCCTTACATCGTCGCAGAGCAACAACAGATTGTCGTAGCCTTCCATGTCGTTCCACTTTTACGCGATTTGATTGTTGGGTTTCGGGCTCTGAATCAGCGACAGGTTGATTTCAAGTCAATGAGACGCGCAGGAGAGGAAAAGTGAAGGAAATATTGACGCTACGCGACAATGGATCCTTGGTTGGACTCGCTCTCAGAGGATTGGATATCACAGCCTCGGTCATCGCCTCAGGCTTCATTGAATGCGCCGCCTGCCGTGGACACTAGTCAGATTACCAATTCTCGCAGCCGTATACCGCGGTTAAAGGCTCTGCATGAGCGAACCAAGAGCAGGGAGAGCGTCTCTTCGAAGGCTGCTCCCGTGACGCCCTCCAAGTTGCCGCGAAATACGCCGTCCGCTGACAGACCTAAAGTTCTGTCACGTACAAACACGGCATCAACAGCGGACACGGTGCAGCATAATACGATTCAACATAAATCCATAGGCACGTCGCCGGGAAAGGAGTGGGGGTCCGAAGATACCCCTGAATGGAAGCGCAAGTTGATTGACGGAAATTTTCGATATGGCGAGCAGCGGGATCTGTTCAGCTCTGCGGGGCTAGAAAACATATTTCAACGACCTAACCCGCCGTCAGTACGCCAGCCAAAGTGGCGTCTTCCACAGGCCGACATCATCATTGAAGATCTTCCATCCTCTCCGCCGATTTGGCATTCTTCTGCGGCACCAAGAAATCCGACACCGCGACGGACGACGACCCCAAGAACGAATGAGAAGAAACAACGCAAATATCTTAGCACTAGCAATAGAGGAAGTCCCGCAACAAGGTCATCATTGGGTAGTATCAAGAGCCCACGAGTACGGAAAGATGAAGCAACCGGGTCGAAGAGCGAGCAGGGGAAAGAAACTCCAATTCATGCTGCAGACGCACCGCGGAAAGAGTCCTCAGAGCATCCGGTTCGTGAGGCTCGGGTTGTGACCAACCCTTTTGAAGAGGAGAGCTTCTCGACAAGTACTACTCGACGGCCTTTACCGGTGAATTCTAGCCCCCTTTTGAGCGTGCCCAAGCCGATGGAGAGCTCGAGAAGGACTGCAAGCGGACTGGAAGAGGAGCGAAACGAAAGGATCAGCCCAATCCTCGTCTCACGCCGTGACCTGACAGATGGAGGTGTGGATTATGCTGCGCTGGACGCGTCTGAAATACAGATGTTGCGGGAATTAGGAGAACTTGACTTGAGCGACAAGGAAGGCAACCCATCCTTTGATAATACACGATCTGAGCAGTTGGAGTATTCCAGGCCGGAATTCGGCTCTAGTCAGCAGTCGGATCGCTGGATGAATCAGTCCCTTCCCGCGGATCTTTCGACAGGCACAGAGCAGCCACTGCGAGGAAGAATGGGCTTTGCCAACATCAGAACGAGAGCTAACCCCAACGATGATTCCACCCGCCGTCGTAGCCCTAGTCGATCTTCCTTACCTTCAATCATCTTAGATGACGCTTCGGATCAGGAAGGTGAAGGGGAAAGCGGGATGCTTTCTTCGCCTGATCGAGGGCTCCACACAAGTCTCACGGACAACAACTCGCTACAGCCTCCAGCCCCGACACCTCCAGCATTTCTCAAAACCCCTAGTGGAAGTCCAGACCGAAACGGAGACGGAGCGACATATGTTCATCCAGCCGTTAGTCCTTTAAAGCTTTTTGGGAACTATGATACCTTTACCAATGATCGGCTGCTTCGAAGAATGAGTCAGATAGAGGACAGCGTGTTTCAAGATGACGAGGAAGATGGTGGGAAGGGAGACATTGTCTCTGCGGCAAAGAGAAATCTTGATCCTTTCTCCGTGGATGCGTCCGAGAACGCAATCGAAGACTCTGACGATTCTTCTCCGGAGAATGAGGCCGAGAATAGACCAACTTCTCGACCTCACATGCGCAATCACTTCTCAGAAAATGGTTTCGGTAAAGGCGGTCTTGATCAATATCGCTTTGAGCAGGCAGTATCGCCGCCGTGGGTCAGAGCTGATCAGCAAGAAGATGAGAGCGAGACCAGGCGCCCGCTTTCCGAGCTAAATTCCGCATCTCACACACAATTCAACTTTCACCTCGAACCCCCTCAGGATTCTTCAACCGGTGAAAGCGTTATTGTCCAAGTGTCAAGAGTAGCCCATCGGAAACCCTCTCAGCACCGCCAGGAATCTATATCTAATAGGGTGGATCGAGCTTCTAGAGGATCGCCTCAACGTCCGTACCAGGCTGGCGGCGGAAAAGAAAACCTCCGTCAGGCTGACGGAAAGCGGGCACCAGCCACTCCATATAAAAATCGAACACCGAAAAGACGCCGCACCCTCCAAGAATCGGACATTATTCAAATGGGAACGAGCCCAGAGGACGTCCAGAACGCACAACGTGCGCATCAGCAAATGCAATTTGCTATGGATGACACCACGAATGCTTCCCCCAGCCATAATGACTACAGCGAAGGTATGCTCGAAATTATATCGCCAGACCAATTTCCACGCCCGAGGACCCCTACTCCTCATCAACATCCATACAATGGAGCAGAGTCGGTGCTTGATCAGGATACCATTGCTGAGATTCGAGAATCCCTCGGGTCGCTTCTTATCAATGATCATTCACCAACATCACATGCTGCGGATAACATTTCAATGGCAAAAAGAGACGCTGTCAAGGAAGAGTTGACTGCTCTGAAGACAAACCTGGACAGGAAAATGATGAAAGATAACAGGAGGAGCTCTGTAACAACACAGGACTTCCTAGACGAGGCTATGAAAATCATGAGCTTCATTCGAGCGGGAGGACGTCCGGGAAGTCAACCTTTTGATCTTCAAGAATCAGACATCAGATCTAGTGTCATTGATGAAGGGAGCATAATCACAGAAGATATTCGCCCAATGAGCGGGACCTCCTTCTCCGAAGTGCAACATCACGCGAATAACAGAGGACCCGTTTTGAGGGTGCCGCGGCCGCCAGACGCACGAATTTTGACTCCCGTAAGGGAGTTTGACGAGAGCTACGAGCCTGACCTAACCGAAGATCCTTTTGTGGAAATTTCATCAAATTTAGCCAGTCGCCGGAGTAGTAGCTCGGCTCATCGTGAAAAGCTGTCTGAACGTGCAAGAAGTGCTTCATCTAACGGAGATATGCAGGATAGTGATGGCCAACGCAAGAGAAAACACTCTGCGTCGTCGACTGTTGAGTCGAGCTTTGGACTTGCAATGTCCAAGATGAATTCCCACAGCTCTTTGGTATCATCAAATCCTACGAATACGACAGCGTCATCTAAACGGTCGGAAGCTCGACGTGTCATTGCACCGAACCAAGTGTCACACTTAATCTTTGGCCAGATTGCTGGAATGAGATTCGATCCTCTTAAAAAGGCTTGGGTCAAAGGCAGACAAGATAGTGCTGAGAGCAAGCGACCTGAAAGCGAGAGCTTCGTGTCCGAGGGCAGTGAAGAAGACCCATTGCGAGGCATACCTGACTTGACTGTCGATGAGACAGAGGAGCTGCGTCGAATCAAACAAGCACGTATTAACGAAAACCGCAGCCAGAATGATGCAGCAGATTCCGTCCTCGGGAACAGCGGCGTGAAACAAAGAATTGGCCTGGGCCAAATAGAACTGAAGGCTCCAGCCAAGTCTCGATCATCGTCAAAGCAAGAGCCAGAGGTTCCGGAAAAGCTGCCCGAATCAAGCTCCGGTCGATCCACCTTTATACATCTTACATCCGACGGACCCACGACATCTACTCGCGCCACATCTTGGGGACAGGAGATGATAAAAACTGCCAGTTCGAACGAAAAAGAGCCCAAAAATGAAATTTTGGCAACCCCAGAAAAAACAGATTCACAATGGGAGCCCACGCTTTCCATGAATCAAGGTGGTGACGACTTTGCACTGCAAGAGGACGACCCTATACCTCAGCGAGAGGAGACTCTTGACTTTTCATCGCCGATAGTGTCACACAGCCCGGAGCACAAGCCCAAGAAGCCTGTCTTCTGGCCACAGAATGACCTGAGTGGGATCAGCATCGATGACTCTGACTTGGAACAGTCTCCCCAGTTTGTAAAGGCTGAAAGCGCTCAAGCAGCTCCGCCAAGGCGCGCATCGTTTGGGTTTAAGCCCAAATCGTCCGTGTACCGAGGGCCAGCTCGTCGTACATCATTTGCTGGACCTTCTTTTGGAACACGGTCTATTTCCCGTATCGACGAGCAGCGTGAAATTTCCTTCTGTTGCACACCACGCCAGGCACGTAATGTTAGCTTCAACTTGACGCTAACAACCCCTATACCTATTCGCAGCAGTCCTGGTGATAAGTCTTTGGTTCCGCCTCCCACAGCTGGAAACCGCTCACATGTGAGCTTTCACCTGGCCCCACTACCGGATTTTACCATCAATCAAGCCGACGAGTCGCTCCAGTTAGACGTGAGCTACGTTGCCCGAAGATGCGGCTCGCTCTCTGTCAAGGAAGTAGAGGGCAATTTTACCACTGCAGTGAAGGAGTTGGTGAAGAATTTGGTTGAGGTGGAGCCTTATGAACCGTACTGGGACTATATTCGCGACCTTGATCTTAACGGCAAGGGACTGGTCACTTTGCATTCGCTCGAGAACTTTTGCAACCGCATCGAAGTGCTGGATGTGTCGAACAATGAGCTTGGTCAGATAAGCGGTGCTCCCGGGACTTTGCGAACGCTGATTGCGCAGCAAAACTATTTGTCAGGATTGAGTGCTTGGGGCCATCTCCACAACCTGCAGTATCTGGACGTTTCTGGCAATAACATTGATAGTCTGGAAGGATTCTGCGGTTTAATTCATCTCAGAGAGCTTAGAGCGGACGACAACAAGGTTACAAGATTAGACGGGGTATTTGAGATGAACGGTTTGATCAAATTGAGCGTCAAGGGCAATCAAATAAAAAAGGTGGACTTTGGGGAAGCAAACATGTATGCAATTTTTGGTCAGTCGCATGTGATCTCTTCGCTGATAATGATGCTACAGGAGAGAACTTTCTCATCTCGACATTGCAGGCAACGAGCTGACGGAGGTTCTCAATCTTCATAAGCTCTCTTCCCTGGTCCATCTCAACCTTGGTGAGACATCCCATTCATCTTACAGCCCGAGATGGCATCACTGATAGGAACTTACGACAGATGACAATAACCTCACCACATTCTGTCCAGACAAGGCCAAACCCATGCGTCATCTCCGCTCGCTGCGCTGTTCCGGAAACTTCCTTACGTCCATTAATGTCTCAGCCTTGCGTAACCTACGCGAGCTTTTCCTGGACGAGAATTGTCTTCGTCACGTTGATGGCATCGATGCATTGCGCAACCTCGACATATTCTCTCTTCAAGACCAATACACAAGGTCCAATCTCCGTAACCCTTCAAGCAATCAGGGTAGCTCCACTTCGTCAGATTCGACAACTATCTCGCAAATTCTCCGCCTTGATCAGTCCCACTGTGAAGCACGAAAGCTTTATCTCTCCGGCAACCCTGATCCACTTACATCTTTATTTTCTCTTCTGAAACCCGACCACAACTCCTCTGTCCCTCCGCTCTACCCATCTCTTCACCCGAGGAACACATTTGCCTTTTTCAACATCCAACATCTCGACCTCTCATCCTCCTCGCTCACCACACTCCCCGAAAGTTTCGGTCCAACATTTGCCAATACCCGCGTACTCAACCTCAATTTCAACGCGATCAAAGACATTGGTCCCTTGCTCGGTCTCAAACGCATAACAAAACTTCTTCTCGCAGGCAATCGAATCAACCGACTCCGCAACACCATCTCCGTCTTGTCCAGATTCCGGAATACCCTGCAGAAATTAGATCTCAGGAATAATCCAATTACTATGGGGTTTTACCCGCCCAGCGCAGTCGCGGAACTTGCGTCGCAGGACCAACTTGCTGTCCGCAGGCGTAGGAATTATTCTGTCAAATCTACCAAGTCTGACGACACTTCTGGAAAAGTTGCGCGACAGCAGCGGCTAAGCAAGAAACGCAATGGCCCTGGACACACTCGTCTAGCTACCACTCGATCATCAGCCTCGGGTAGCAAGAAAGCCAGGGGGATCTTTGATGGGAAATTATTCGGAAAGCCTCTTCACGGGTATCTTTCCGACGATGCCGACAATGGCCAGTCTTCGTCCCGACGGAACAGCTTCGGCAGTATATCCTCTGATGATACTGACAACGACGATGACGACAAGGATGATGATGACTCGGAGGATACAGCAGAGCACCATGCCGAGAAAGAAGCAAGGCTGTATTACGACCGTCTGGACAAAGATACGCGCTTACGCAGAGACGTGTACGAAATGATGCTCGCCGATGCGTTTAGTCTCTCGTCTATCCCTGCGAACAAGAGGAAGAAGAAGAAGACCACAGGAGGATTGTCAGACACGTCGACTACTCAGCCGAGAGGTCCACTGCGCTGGGTAGACGGTCTCAAGTTCAGCACGACACAGGTCCTCTCTCGCGCGGGAACGAGCATGAAAAAGGAACATGAGAGACTTGTGGAGCTGGGTGTATTGCCCCGCCGCCGACGGTCATCCTCTCAGCCGATGCCGCGTACTTCTTCCTCTTCTTCATGATCCTTGATCCCTCATGATCCTTATTATCTTTGATGATCCATCATCCATCCTGATCCGTCATCCATCATCCATCAAAACCTTTCTTCGTCCCAAGTCCTCATTTTCTCCCTGGGGCCGTGTTGGGAGGTGGGGCGGGGGAGGATGGGGGTTGGTTCTCCACTCCCTTGTCTCTTTTCCTCTTTCTCTCTTTCCCCTTTTCCTGTTTGTCTGCATACAGCAATTTTTAGATTTACATTATCGTATCCTCTTTACGCGTATAATCATGGCGCTTTTTCCTTTCCTTTCCTTTTTTTTTTTTTTTTTTTGTTTTCCCCCTTTTTCCCCAACCTTCCCCCGCCCCCTTTTTTTTCCTATCACTTTTTTTTTTTTAACTTTTTTGGAAAGACCGGAGCTACAGGCGTATAAAGCGTCTCTTTTCATCTCGTCCCATGCACGGGGAAACATGGAGATTAGAATTCTCGATTGGCGTTTTTTTCTTTTTTTCTTTTTTCTTCGCAACGCATTTTAGAAGGGATAGCGGATAGGGTCTTTCTTTTTCACTTTGTCTTTTACCTTTTGGGAAGGGTGTAGCGCGCCACGTCAACTTTTTTGGATAAAAAAAGAACACATTATCACAACGACATGGCCTGATACAATACAAAATGACATTCACACAGATTCTGGGGTCCGTATGTGTGGAAAAATGCCGCTGCAAAGTGCCGCTACAAGTCACGGTGTAGGAAGAGAATGTCCATATGTGATGTAATAAAACTGGGTACTGTATCTAAGATAAGTAAGGTAGGTAGGTATGATGCCTACGGAGTAAATTACGGTGAAGAGGGGATGATATATTGAAGCGAAGTCAAGTCAAGTAAATAGATGTTGATGACGACGACAATGATGATGATGAAAAATGTAAATATGAATAAAATATAAAATATAAGTAAGAGACGAGAGAGAAAAATGAAAATGAAAATGATTACAGTGATTAAAATATGATGATGAGAAAAGATGATCAAAGATGATCAAAGAGAGCGAAGAGAGCGAAGAAATACAAAAATCTACCCATGCCGTCTCGGCTTCCTACCGTCCGTTCCAACCCCGTCTAATTAATAACACCGCCAGCCAAATTGCCGTACAATTAATCCCGCCCTACCGTGACCTGACCGGACCTGACCTGACCTGATCTTGATATGAACTGCCGCGCCTTTCCCTGACCCACGCCAAACTAATATTAAATATGAGATGGAAAAAGTTCGATGAGATGAGCCGAGAGCTTTGCAGTTCAGCCATGAAGAATGGTTGGAATGAAGAGCATTAAAATGGAAGATAACAAAGTAAAATCAACAATTAAAAAGCAGCGAAAAGGAGACTACGCGTAATACGCACAGCATCACGACTCTCCCATGATCCTCTCTCTCACGGCGCGGTTTCTGCTCTCATATCTTCTGAATCTCAACTTGCTGGAGCTGCTGGGCAGGGTGGTATTTGCCTTGACCGTAGCATAATTATCGTCGTTAATGCTCTTTGGTGTGCCATCGTCCGAGAGTGACGTAGGGTCATTGTAATAGACTCCGAGAACAGTCGGCCCGCCACAAAACTCTCTGTAATTCCCGGTGCACAACATATCGCATTGTGCATCGTCGACTTGAGATGCTGAAGTGGCAATTGATCCCGCGCAGTAGCATTCTTGGGAATCTTCTAGACCCGCGTAATCGGAGCCTTGGGACTGGCAGTATTCGACGCAAGACTCAACTGTCATGCCGGTCGTGTTGGTGTAGTGGTGGTCCGTGAGAGATTTATCCGTAAAGCACCCCTTGTAGACGTAGCTTCCTGCGGCCTTAACAGTAGTCGGAGGGATGTACGACGTTAAATTGTACACGCTGAGACGGTCTTTGCCGCCGCACAGTTCGGACGAGTTGCCCGAACAAGCTTGAGAGCAACCCGTCTGGCCGAGCGCAGAGTACGATTGCAGATTATTACCACAATAGCAGTCGGTGCCATTTTCAGTAGCGGCCAGACCGTAATTGTACTTGTTGCTAGAGCAAAAGTCCTGACACGCCTCGTTTGTCATGCCAGTGGCGTTGGAAAACGTGGCGCCAACCAGTGCGCGAGGACTGGTCTCATTAGCGCAGCCAAGGTATACCCATGCGCCGATGGTCTGCCCAGGAGTAGGTGCAAACGTTGGAGCGGAGGACGAAGAGGAGATGGAGGAACTAGAAGACGTGGAAGACGCAGAAGAAGTGGTGAGCGTTGAGAACGTAGAAGAGGATGGAGTGCTGCTGGAGCTTGGCGAGCTTGACGAAGATGAAACGAGAGCAGAGCTGCTGCTGCTGCTGCTTCCAGCTGTAGAGCTTGACACAGACTCCGTAGTTGAATTGGCTGAGCTCGACTGGCTGCTCGAGGAACTGATCGATGAGCTAGATGAGCTAGATGATGTACTTGATGATCCGGCAGAAGACGAGCTAACGCTTGAGCTTGATCGCAAGCCCGACGATGTCGTGGTCTGGGAAAACGAAGATGTAACAGACGAATTTGTAGAGAAACTTGATGTAGGCAAAATCGTCGAGAATGATGACACCGTGCCTGAGCTAGAGGACAAAGCTGCTGAGGAGTTTGCTGGACTCGAAATGGAAGCAGTTGACACAGCGGGCGTTGCAAGCAACGCAGAAGCTTTCGGTTTGGCGGAGCCGGTCACAGTTGAGCTGGTGCTACTAGAATGAGTTGAAGAACTCGACAAAATGCGAGTTGACGATGAGCTAGACAGGCTCGAACCCGCGGAAGAGGTGTGCGTCGAGCTTGCAGCATTTGAAGTATGATTTCCGGAGGCAGTCGAAGACAAAAGCGTTGCGGAACCGCTCGACGAGGAGGAGCCAGAAGATGCCCGGATGGATGAAGACGCGGAAGAACTTGACAAACTGTGCGAGCTGGAAGACCCGCCTCCAGAAGTCGTCGATGACGCAGACGAGCTAGTGATTGTAACAGAGCTATGTAATGTTGAGTTACTACTTCCAGAGGCAAAACTACTTCCCGTACTAGAAGCACTGCTCGAAGAACTGTGACTACTCAAGGTGGGCAAAGATGTGATACTGCTCGAGCCTGAGCTGGATGACAACGGGCGAGACGATGTAGATCCACTGGAACTTGACTGTGCGCTCGAAATTGTACTATTTGTGCCGGATTGTGGCGTGGAGGACGAAGGATGAGCAGTAACTGACGCCGAAGATACTCCGGAGTTAGATACTGCAGACGAGCTTGAAGATGTAATAGTGGATAGAGACGAGGAAGTGATTGGAAAGGTCGAATTCGGTGTCCCTGAGGAGGTCTTGATGCTTGAAAAAAGGACGGTAGAACTGACGGTACTTGACGGCGTAAAACTGGAGCCAGTGCTTGCGCCAGAGATTGCTTGAGACGTGACAGTTCCACTAAAGGATGAAACACTGCCGGTGGCATTACTAGTGCTGCTGCCGCTTGCAAAGTTGGAGCTCAGTGCTGCTGGTTTGGCCTGATACAGGCTTAGCCGGTTGCCAGCACCACATATTTCAGTGCTGTTGCCACTGCAAGTCATGCTGCAGTCACTGGAAGCCGCTTTCAATGCGCCCGTATTGAGACTATTTCCACACCAACATTCGCGGCCGTATTCTATACCGACGTATTCATATGCTGCACATGATCCAAGGCACTGCTCCACAGTCATGGTGTCCGTAGCTGCAATCAGATTTGGCAAAGCTCGACCTCCATTTGGTTCAGCATAGCAGCCGCTGTATGCAAAAAGAGCGTTGCCTGGCACAATAATCGGCCCCGTCGGTCCTGAAGTAGGCGAAGTGGTTCCCGTAGCCGTAGTCGAACTGCCTGATGAAGCGGTTGCGTTTATCCTATACATATTCAGTCGATTCGGACCACCACAGTATTCTGTAGAGTTTCCTGCACATGTCATTGTACATCCGTTATCAGTCGCAGGGATGGAACCAGTGGATAGCTGGTTACCGCAGTAGCTTTTCGGGAACTGTTAGTGGACTTGATCTCTCACAGCAACTGACAGAAACTTACCATTCATCGCTATACTCAACACCGAAATAGCTAAATCCTGCGCAAGAGCTGGCACAGGACTCCACTGTATTAGTGTTTCCAGCACTCGCTTCTCCAGTCAGTGCTCTACTGTTTGTTCCTTCAGTATAGCAACCAAGAGAAACAAAGCCAGCAGCAACAGGGACAGTCACCGGGCCAGTAGGGGTAGGACCAGAAGTTGTGCCAGAAGAGGTCGACGTTGCAGTGCCATTCACTCTATACATATTGAGGCGATTCGGTCCACCACAATACTCTGTTGAATTCCCTGCACATGTCATAGTGCAGCCATTATCCGTTGCAGGCAGGGATCCAGTAGATAATTGGTTGCCGCAGTAGCTTTGAAGACATTAGATAGATTCGGAATTGTAAGGGAAAATAATGCATTAGCTTACCACTCATCACTGTACTCCACACCAAAATAAGTGAACCCTGAGCAAGATGTCGCACAAGACTCAACTGTGTTGGCGTTTCCGGCACTTGCCTTGCCAGTCAGTGCTCTGCTGTTGGTTCCTTCGGTGTAGCAGCCGAGAGACATAAAGTTAGCAGCACGAGAGACAGTGACAGGCCCAGTCGCGGTAGGACCAGATGGCGCGCCAGACGAGGTGGAAGTAGCAGTGCCATTTGTTTGGTACATATTAAGCCGATTTGGCCCGCCGCAATATTCAGTGTTGTTACCAGCGCAAGTCATCGAGCAGCCACTCGTCGCTGCATCACCTGCAACCGGTGCTGAGCCAGCATTAAGCGTGTTCCCGCAGTAACTGTTGACAAAGCATGAGCAAAATTGAATATGGGAGACCAGGAGTTGCAAATGCTTACCATTCCCCACCATATTCAACACCAAAGTACACGTATCCCGCGCAAGCGGTTTCACACGCCTCGATCGTCATGCCACCGGCTGGAGCTGCTGGCGCATTGCCAGTCAAAGCTCGACCATTAGTGCCCTCACTGTAGCATCCAATCGAGATGTAATTTGCAACCGAAGGTACAACGATAGGTCCCGAAGGTCCCACGTTGGAGCCGGGCGTATATTTGGTTGAGTCGTAGTAGATGCTAATGTAACCTCCAACGCCTCCACACGCTTCACTGGCATCACCAGCGCAGGCAAAAGTGCACAGAGCTTCACTTTCATCATGGAACAATGAAGATGGGGGAGGATTATTGCCACACCTGGGTCAATTTAGAACAAAATCCGTGTCACAAAAATGTCTACACCGGAAGGGGGTTTGATCACTTACCAGCATTCATCTTGATATTCGGTTCCGGCGAAAATGTACCCTTGCGACAGACAAGTCGTTTGACAAAGGTCGTTTGTATTATCTTGGCTTTCATATGGCTCTTGGGGTAACAAACGACCATTTGTGCCGTCCTGGTAGCATCCAAGGTAGAGATATCGAGCGGAACCATTGGCAAGGGTAGGTCCAATTATCCTATCATGCACCACGCCCTGGATCTGCACAACATGGACGCCAAAGTTCGGATCATCAGTATTCAGAGTCCAAGTGTTTGTGACTGTGAAGTCAGGCACATTTGGCGGCTCAATGTTGGGAGCGAACATGACAGTTCCGGTAGCGCACTCATTTACAGGTATGGTCTGGGTCTCATGGAGATCAATGCCTGCCGCCGTCGCCCGGATCACTCCCAGCGGAGGCTTTGACTTGGAAATTGTGAGAACTGAGCCACCCTCGTTGCAAATTTGTATCACACGAGTGGCATTGCCTCCTGGGGCAACACTACCAAAGTCCATAAGCACATTGGTTGGTGGTAACCATCCACCTTCGCCATTGCTGATTGTCATTACCGCGATGGGCGCAGTTGAAGCCGATGCTTCAAACACGGTATAGGAAGAACCACCGTTGGTCCATACATTGAGCCAACTCTGATAGAGCCCTGTCCCATTCAGTGGCTCGAAAGTGACTTGGACGACTATGGACTGCTGAGGCTGAATGACAGTGCCGACATCAGGTAGGTTTAATGATGTGAAACCATAACCAAGATCCCAGACCCCATCATCACCTTGAGTAGCATTCGTATAATCGACATCATCATCATCCAAGTCCTCCGTCGTATAACCGTAACCGAAAATGGTCAATGGGGAGAGACCAACATTGGCTATGGAGAATGGCATCGTAATCGTATCGCCGGTGTCACTGCTGTCATTCAAAACCAGTCCTCCAAAAGCAATGTTAACGGGAGTTAGGGATAAGTAAGCCGCTTCGCTCACTTCCTCGCCTGTCAAACTGATGGGAAAGACTGACGCGTAGCCAAGCACCGCGTTTTCAGTCAGCAGAGTGAGCGCGGTGCTCTTCACACCGGGGGAGACATTTGGAAAGCTCGCATTTGGCGCATTAGAAACAGAGGTGTGGGTAAGATCCCACGTAACGGGAAATGTGAACACCGTTCCCGCCTTGACTGCACCCTGAGGCAAAGTTGCATTATTTACAGTCCAAGAAGGGTCTCCGGTCGTGGCGCCAATGACTTCGGTAATGTCAATAATGGCTGTGCAGGTGACTGTCGCCGTCTTGGAGGATCCGAGCGCTACATCTCCAAATGAAACAGGCGAGGTGCAATTGAGGGGAAGGTTGACTGGAGATCCAAGACAGTATAAGACACCGTTTGCGTCTGTCACATAGAGCCGCGTGTCTCCAAACGCAGGCCTTTGAAACTTGTTAAGGCCGTTCACCTGAGGCAAGTTGATGGTTTTCAAATAGCCATCCGACCCCGGAACTGCGTACCATGCGCGGAGTCCTGCATCTGGGTCGCACATCCACAAAATGGCCGTGCCCGCCTTGCCTTGGAATGTTGTGATCGTAGGAATGCCGACTCCTACTCGGCCAGCAGACGACTCCCGCGTTTGCGCTACTGAGGAAAAGACTGGTTTTCCAGTAGAGTCGAACCCCAGCTTGTAGACATACGTAGGATATCCCACCGGAGTGGTATAGATATATCCACCCTCAAGTGGATACGAACCAGAGCCGCCAAAAACCGGTTTTTCGTTGTCAATAACTTGAAGCACATTGTCCGTCTGACCGGGTCCTAGCTTATAGCCACCGAGATTGTCGGCATTGACAATGTAGATTTTACCGTTTTTACCAGCAGTTACGCCAATGCGAGATACACCAGTTCCCTGGAAAACAGTGGAATCCAAGAGACAGATGCCACCAGAGCCTTGAAAGTATTAGCAAGCAGTTGATCTATGATCGACGCCCTAGAGATGGAAATATAAACTCAAAACAAACTCACCAAAATCCTGGTCATCGCCATCCATTCCAATGTAATTGTAGGGCTGGAAATAGTCCGTTAAAGAGACTTTTCCACCGTCCCCAACTCCAATGTTAACCTGCAAAAAGCCATAAGCATTTGGTTGCAAGTCCCGGGGCGAGACTATGTATAACCTACCACTGCTTCACCGAGCGTACGGCACCCGCTGCTTCCAGACGCAGGAGTTCCAGAGTTCTCATGCCCCTGACCATTCCCCTGGAGATTCAACAGACATATTAGCCGACTTGCACTTTGTACTTAGCTGATCTAGGTAATGTTGGGAGAGAGCGTTACTGTGACAAAGAACATTCGCGCCCCATCAGTTGCCATGGCCATGCCACTCATCCAGATTCCGCCTTGACCGCCACCGCCGTTGTCTTGCCAATTCGTGTCGTGTCCGGAAAGAGGTCCAGCTTCGGTGGCGAAATTGGTTATGATTTTCTTTTGCGTAATATCGACGCCAATCACTGTCCCGGTGTAGTTGAAGAGATCGCAGTGGCCACCAAATGCTCCATATACATAGCTGCCAATCTGAGTCAAGGCTGGGCGTTGCAGAATGACGCCCCCAATGAAATATTTCAAGGGGTCGTTATCAGCTACAGACCCATCGACGAGGATGGGATAGCCTTCAACATCTTCCAAAGTATTAACGTTAACGGCGTAAAAGTAGTAAACGCCATTGAATACGCCAGTATTTCCAGAAGCTCTGAAGTTTGGAATGTAAGTCTTAACGAAGAAGTACGCTGTATCCGTGTTGGGGTCAATGACTGGGGTTCCGGTGATACCAATGTAGTTAGGAATATCGGTACAGCCAATTTCTGCTTGCAGAAATGGTGTCTGTACCTGCCGCACATTCAGAATATCACCCGTCTTTGCGTTGAGGGTTCTGATATAATTTTGAGACGATGCCAGAAAAACTATTTGTACCCCGGTCGAAGGTGGTGTATAGACCAATGGTTTTGCGTAGAACTAAAATGGCCAAAGGCCAATGGTTACCTTGCGTATTCGCTCAATTGGGGTCTTCAGGGTCACATACCTGTTCTTGGTAGTTGAAAGCAATCTTCCATAGCTGCCCAAACTCAGAACTGTCCACCACAGCCGGATCCATGTTGTGATTGGGTAGATACCCTGATTGCGCGGGGTCCGCATCAGAAATGCTGTCAGTAGAGGCCAATCCCGCCGCAAATGGAGCTACAGCGAGGAGCCAAGCGGCCGCGAACCGTTGAATTGAGAGACGCATAACGAACGAATTGGCCCACCAGCTTGGGCGCTGGAAGTATTGCGTCTTCACTCAGGATGATAGCGCGGGCAGCAACGAAAGAAGATTCACACTTCACAACAACAAAGCCCGCTGATCTTTGAATCCACTTCTCGAGCTGAAGGGGCAGACGACGCCTCATATAAAGGCATATTGGTGCGGCTTATACATGACCTCCTCGTGAAGACCGTCTATAGCTCTGCTTAGGCTCATGCAAGTGCGCCAACTCGTAGGATCGCCTCGAGGCTCTTTGCAGCCTTTCTCACAGATCCCGAAAGGGTAGGACCCCTGATGGTCAGAACTTGCTTGTCCTAAGCATTTATCGGGCTGGGGTGCATCTAGAGAAACAACATTGGACCACACGAACTTGACTTATTTGGACCGATAATCCCGGTAGGCTTCAGCCTCGACGCAGCCAGATCTAGCCACCAGATGGTGATGAAGGTTGCGAATCCAAGGAGCCGGCAGAGCCGTCTGCTCGGGGTCGAGGGTCTAGCTGTACGTTCAAGACGAATCGAACCATTCATGGGGCTGCGTCTAATTTTGTCCATGCTAAAGACGGCCGACAAGGGACCGACATGAGCTTTCCTCCCCATGGCTCTTCATGCGGCCTGAATGGCGGCCTGAATGGCGGCGGACGCTCGCACATGGATGATGAGGTCCGACGAGCATACGCTTAGCGAATTACATGATGTTCAACAAGTGCACGAGGAGACCCTTTTGCTAGTGGGGGTGAGGGGTGCTAAGATTTGACTTCACACGTTGTGGTAAAGGCCGGCACGACATGCAGGGATACGAACCCAAGACATCTCAGTGGCACAACGCACAGCTTTCGCTCTGCCCTGATAGTTCTGGGGAAGCGGGCACCCTTGGTTTGGCTTCTTCTGCCCCTGTACAAATGCAGGCGAATGTTGCGGCACTGTACCTGCTCCTTGGCCCAAAATATACAGTGAGGCTTGGATGTTGTCGTCCAACGTCACTCCCCACTCAAATCAATGGGTTGCCGTATTTTGCCCCGGAAAGTTACCGGAGCGGTCAGCATGCTATGATCTGCCAGACGAATCATTTTCGGCCACTTGCTGGCCAAGGAAAACGGCCAATGGCAGGAATGTATTTGGTATCTAAACTGATGGGTTTCGAAGGAGACTCAGCTAAGCCTGTTAATATTACCCACTAACTCTGCAAGGAAAACCGAAGAGCGGAGCGGAAGGTCTCAATACCAGGGCCGGTGCTTTCGAGCCCCACGAGGATGGGATCAGAACCCTGGGGAGAGATCCATCGAGACAACATGTGAAGCCGTGGGTCCAGGCCGGGGGAGCGAGGCTCACCAAAGAAAGCAAATACAAGCATGCAGATGTAAATGTCCCAGTCAGAGGACAAATTGGAGCTTATGCGCGGAAAGATGCCGCTGGTACAGCAATTCCTGCTGGCTTATCTTTTCAGGCCACAAGGCCAATGACACACGAGCATCCAAAAAAGGAGGCATGTTTCTCCTCGCATGCCCATTGGTGAGGCATCCGTAGCGTCCACGAAAAAGAGTCTTGATGAATGTTGTTGTCGGCTCCAGCCTGGGAGACGTGGTCTCCTCGGATCATTTCGCTTATTGCGCAGCATCTTACTGTACCGGCAGCAGGCTTATCATCCCTGTCAATTGCCAATTGAGGCAGGATTTCTTCTAGTTATCTGCTGTTTCTGTTTCTGAGCCAGGTCAATTTGAGTTGCGGTTTCTAATTTTTTTTATGTCACATTTTCACTACGTGCATATACAACCTTGCGCTTGCCGAAAGCTACAAAAACTGTCGGCGCCATGGTCTCCGTGCCGATGTTGGCGTAGATGAATACGAAGTCCACCTTCGGAGTGACGCGACATCGGTCCTGAGGTGGACCAAGGACCAACGAGCCACTTACTCCGTAAGGCCGAACAGGCCACGGAGAGGCGAATCGACGAGTCATGTAACTGTAATAATGGTTTTCAAGATCACAGACCAAAGCGAGCACGGCCCCGGCCGGCGACAGGGGTCTCAAGAGTAAGTGTCGAAGGACGTGACAGCGCAAGAAATTGAACAGGTATTATATTTATGCATGCTCCCTTACCCGCACCAATACCATTGGCCATAGGGGCCAATAAATGATTTCAGTCCGATGCCACTGCTGTTCAATTAGCGGACTGTCTATGATGCCGAAATTAACCTATGAACATTACTCTCTGCCATACTCCGTAGAGTCTCATGAGGATGGCGTTGTCGGTGGCAAAGATCGAGTATCGCAGCCACAATCGTAGAGACTACTGGGCTCATTGAAACACTGCAATCCGAGGCAAGCGAAGCGGGGCATGCATCGACCAAAATTAGCCCATGACAAGGGTCACTAGGAAGAGGACAATATGCCCAGTCGATGCCGCAATGCTGCCCATCTGTTCATGTTTTGTTCAACGAAGTCTAAGAGGGGTTCTGGTAATTGGTCAACATGTGCCCGGCTTCAGGAGGCCAACAGGCGGTCTCTGCCTTGTCCATGGCAATGATAGTGTAACACTCATCCCTCCGTGAAGCTAAGTCTCCATTTTCGGGGACGGGAAAGTGGGCGGTATGCTGATTTGTTTTGAGGGGCGGAAGAGCTAGAAGGGCAAAGATACGAAGTGACGAGCGGCGCAACTGACTTTCGTATCTTCCCGCGGGATAAAGTAACATTTGTGCCTCCTGTTGTGCGTAGTACTGTCATGCTTCCCCCTTCAGGTGGAGACCAGCCGTACACACTACCTTAGGCAGAGGTTGAAGGAGATGTAGTTAGTCGAGAGGGCCGTGCTGACTGGCATATACCGGTCGCACGATCCAACGTTGTGACACGTCCCACGACCCAAAGAAAGGAACCCCACGAGGTTGTTTTCTTTCGTCCCAACTAACCTCTTAAAGTCGCTTGTACAAAGGTACACTCCGCGACAAGCGCTCTCGCTCTGACCTGGACCCTCCCATCTTAGCAGACGGGAGAGCGCAGGAGCCTCTCTTGCCACTGAATCAGCCACGCGTCATGACGTGCGCTGCCTAGACGCCACAGGAGCAAAACCAATTCGCCCATGGCTTTGCACCCGAAGCAAGTCATAACGGTTTTATCTGATAAGGGATTAACATATAGGTACAGAAAATTAGTCCCGAGAATCGGCTTTTATCGTGTCGTATTTTGCAATGTTGAGACGAACCAAATGGCAAAAGCCATCGAAGATTGTTGTCGAATTTTGAAGCGACGCCTTCGGGCGAACCTTAGCAAGAGATTTGACCCCAGAAAGCCCAGAAGCCCTCGTAAAATTCCCGATGCGGGGAAGAAAAGGGTTCCGGGTCGCTGTGGACCTTAGGCCCCACCAGCGCCGAAACTTTAACTATCGCTTTCTTTTCGGCTGAGGATTTCTTTCTTTCTTGTCCAGTGAACAGAACCCGTCTCAGGCAGCTACTTTTGCACGCCAGAGCTTCCGAAGCTGGGTAAAATCGGCGAGTGTGGTCGTATCCAGCCGATCGACGAACCGTCCGAGGCGTCCTGAAGCAGGCCAGCCATGGCAATCCCGCTAAACTCCTATAAACAATCCCAAATTTTGATGACCAGAACAAAGTAATTGAGCGATTTTCATTTGCATCAGCAACAATTCGCAATCGGACCCTGTGATCTAATTTCGTCTGCACAATTTTTCAAAGCATAATTGGAACGTGATGCAACAGAACACGCGTCAATTTTATGGTACAACTTCCTGTGCGACCTCATCCATGGACTCCTCGCGTCGTGACTGGGGCAGTTTCAGCTTCGAGGTCTCACGCTCATGGCCCCTTGCTTGACAGCCAAGAGACTAAAAGGATTTTCAAACCACTCCTAAAGGCTTGATCCGACTATAAGCCAACAAATTCGGGCAATTTAGACACGTAAACAAAGCATTTTAACACCACTAACAATACGACACTCTGGGTTTCTTTATGCAAAGAAAAACACATGCATTAAACACATCATTCTTTGCATTGTGAGACGTAATTGATGCTGCACATGAGTGCCGCGCCCAAGGTACAGTTGTGCACATGGTGGATCCGAGACCCGATGGGTAGCATCGATGAAATCATGCTTCCCATTGCATGCGCTGAAGATATTCTAACGAGGACAAGTCTCGGCAACCTGGAGCGGTTTTCTGCTGTACAAAAGTATTCCTGAAACATAGAGGAGGAGTTAATTTAAGAATTTCATATTCAAGCCGTTTCGAAGCTAAGCTGCGAGCACGAGAAATGAGTCCAAGCGGCCATCAAAAGTCAATTCAAATGAAATGGGCACATTAGACTTATTCCGGTTGGTAATCTGGCTTCTGAAGCCTGCGATAGAATAGCGTAACGTGCTCTAAAAACCGGGCTGCTGGCTTCTGTGGCGCTTGCTAGCAGTCGGTGGACCGGGTCGCCGCGTTGTCTAATCTTTTACGGAGGGAGGTAACGAGGAAGTGATCTTGGCAAAATCTCAAAGGTCCGAGCTCGAACGCAAGGTCATCACGAGGCTCTCTCGTCGTCCGCGTCAAGAAGCCTCAGAGCGTTCTGGTTTTGATAAAGTGAGTCTGAGACGCTATGACGAACGATCTAGCATCGATTTTCACACCGTACCTGCCCCTTACACCGTACCTTACTTAAGAAACCTTCGAAGTCTTCTTTATGATCCCGGTCAATTGTAAGGTCGAGTCTTGCCCAGTTTTGGTTCTCACGTCCTGTGAAACTATTACTTTTCTTTTGACAAATATCATGCAGCCCACTAGCATCAATGGCAAGGATTAATCATAGAATTTGTGACTTGACTGGTCCAAATTAATAAGCTTGAGCAAATTTCAGATGATTCGGGTTTGAACAAAGTGGGAAAATAAGCCACGGTTCACAGATTGTTTGATGGAAGCTTATGGGTACCACAGGCTGAGTTGAGTTTATTGATTACCCACGTGCAGTATGATAGCTGTAAACCCAAGCGAGAGAAACAGGGACTGCTTTAACTAAACCTGATTTGTGTAGTTAATCGTGGAGATCAAGCATGATAACATCAAGCCGGGATTATGTAATCCTCCGCATCCCCGAGCTCCTCCAAACATCCAGCCTAAATAGCTTCCCAAGTTATCATTGGTGAGAGGAGAGAATCCCATGAACAGAGGCCTGCCGACAATTCCCGGCCTATGCGATCGGCGGTCATGTCCTTGGCGGTTTGTTGAACCCCTCATACCCATTGTGCCGCTTTTCCTCTATCCTGGTTCTGCGGCTAACCTAGTTATGCTCAGTGGAAAACATTCAACTTCTTTGAAGTTTCTCAAATTCAGCTTCCCACGGAGGGAGAAGGCGCTCCATCCCTGGATGTAGGAACTACCCCTGCAATATCTTGCGTGACAGATGATGCATCTGAGACTGACCGGCATAGAACAATGAGCTGAGCTGCATCTGTACGGGCTCCGAAGCCATCTTCTTGGGCGGCGCCGATGGCGTTGTGCGAATCCTGTCCTCGTCGTTTCGCATAGTGCGCTCATTCAGGGCATATGACACCGGATCCATTACGCACATGAAGCAAATTGATGGCACCTCGCTTCTGCTAACTGTCGCGGAGGATTTGTCCAATGAGCCAGAATTGAAGGTATGGGCCTTAGACAAGACCGAGAAGAAGACGGGACACCCCAAATGCCAGAGTACGGTCTCGATTCAGAATGGGCGCAGACAATTTCCTGTAGGTCCCCTGCTTTGTCTGGTGGGGGGTTGCTGTCTAACACAATGTTGGCGAGCTCTAGATTTCCGCCCTGGCTACCTTGGATGATCTCTCTCAAGTCGCTGTCGGATTTGCAAACGGATCGGTAACTGTCATACGCGGCGACTTGATCCATGATCGGGGAACAAAGCAGCGGACAGTTTTCGAATCAGAAGAGCCCATCACGGGAGTCGATTTTCGCGAGGGCTCCATTACTACTCTCTACATCGCCACCACGGCGCGGATCTTGACCTTGGTCATTTCCGGAAGAGGCCAGGGCCAACCCGCGCGGGTCCTCGAAGAACGTGGGTGTGGTGTCGGCTGCATGACCGTGGACAAATCAAGCGGAGAGATCGTGGTTGCTCGCGAGGATGCCATCTACCACTATGGTGTTCATGGAAGGCTGCACTGCCTTCCGTACGACGGACCAAAGAAGCTTGTAAGCATTTACAAGGACTATATCGGGCTAGTGTCTCCGCCTCGAACCAGCTCCTCGCCGAATTCGAGTACAGCAAGGAGGTTTGGAGGAAGCAAGGCCGATGAATTATTCAATACATCGAGTTTCGTTTTACTTGATACTGCTCTGCGATTCGTGACCCATTCGGAATCCTTGGTCTCACAAGTGAAGGCGATTTTTGCCGAATGGGGAGATCTCTTTTTGCTTACGATGGAAGGGAAGGTATGTTTTTCGGTCGTATTGGAGAAATTCCTCATTCGCTGATCACCATGTAGCTTTATCGATATCATGAGAAATCATTCAAGCAGAAACTAGAGATCCTCTATGGCCGAAACATGTATACCCAAGCTATTAGCTTAGCACAAAAGGCTCGTGTCGATATTTCCCAGCAAAATGTCATCTTTCGCCGCTACGGCGACTATCTCTACCAAAAGGGCGAGTATGACGCTGCCATGCAGCAATACCTCAAAGCGATCGACAATACCGAGCCGTCCCAGGTGATCCGCAAGGTGAGCACGCACACTAAACGCCGATTCCTTGTGCTTTGGAGCTGATATTGTGGACAGTTTTTGGATACACAAAAAATGCATAATTTAATTGAATACCTTGAAGAGCTCCACGAACACCATCGAGCCACTGCCGATCATACCACACTCTTGCTCAATTGCTATGCTAAGCTCAAAGATGTTACCAAACTGGAAAAGTTCATCAAATCCCCCGGTGATCTCAAATTCGATCTCGATACGGCAATTGTCATGTGCCGCCAGGGAGGATACTTTGAACAGGCGGCTTATCTGGCGACAAAGCACGGAGAGCACGAGTTGGTGGTAGATATTTTGATTGAAGACTCCAAAAAGTATGCTGAAGCGCTAGAGTACATCTGGCGGCTAGAGCCTGACCAGGTAAGTTAAGGTCTGCTCTACTGTAAATAGGCCATGCTTATATGAAAATCCAGATGTATCCTAATCTGATGAAATATGCACGGGTATTACTGGGGCATTGCCCCAGGGATACTACTCAGCTATTCATCGACTACTACACGGGCAAATTTCGACCGAAAAGAGATCTAATACTACCTGATCAACCAGCAGCACAGAGCGGTGTGTCCAGCGCTGTACAAAGCCTAGCCGCATTCCTTCCACTTCCATACATGACAACTTTCGCCTCATCAGCCCCAGGGACTCCGGGCCAACAACCCCAAGGTCTGCAAGGTCCAGAAGTGGATATAGTCCCTGAATATGAGCCTGCGAAACCTAGGTCTGCATTCTCTTGCTTCGTCGACCATCCCGATGAGTTTATTGTCTTTATGGAAGCTTGCCTTCGCGATCAGACCTTTAGTGAGGAGGACAAGATTGATCTCTACACGACGCTTTTTGAAATGTACCTGCATTCAGCAAAAGGCAAACGGGAAGGCGAAAAGTCGGAGTGGCAAGCAAAAGCGAAACGGTTGATTGATGGAGAGGATGTACGTTTACCCATCCTGGCTCGCTTGTCTGATGTGCTGACAAATATCCCACCTCTCAGATACCTATTGATCCTTCCAACGTGCTGCTGCTCTCCTATCTCTCGAGTTTCCGAGATGGAAGTATCCTTGTCCGCGAGCAACAAGGCTTGTACTTTGATATCTTTAGATCGTACACATCCGCGAATGATACGGAGGGCGCTATTCGTGCCCTGAAAAAGTATGGGCCCGAGGAACCCCAACTATATCCTGCCGCGCTTGCATACTTTACGTCAAACCCTCGTATTCTGGCTGAAGCCGGTGACGAACTTGAAGCTGTACTGAAGAAAATTGATGAGGATGGCCTCATGGCACCTCTGCAAGTAATTCAGACGTTAAGCGTCAATGCCGTTGCCACAATGGGTCTCGTGAAGAAGTATCTTCGCGCAACGATTGAAAGCGAGCGGAAAGAGATAAATAATGTAAGCGATCTAAATTCTTCCAAAGTCCTTTATAGTCACTGACAGTTGGTTCAGAATCGTCGTCTCATTGAAAGCTACCGAAGTGAGACAGAAGCCAAAAGGAAGGAAATTGACGAGCTCGGCACCAAGCCTGCAGTCTTCCAATCTTCTCGTTGTGCGGAATGCGGCGGCACTCTTGATTTGCCCAAAGTGCACTTTATGTGCAAGCACTCCTTTCACCAGCGCTGTCTCAACCAGATGGATGACGAGGTAGAGTGCCCCGTTTGCGCCCCTCAGAATGCCACAATCCGCGCGATACGGCGTGCCCAGGACGAGTCTGCCGATAAGCACGAGATGTTTCGCGATGCGTTGCAGCGAAGTAGCGACAAGTTTGGCACAATTAGCGAGTTTTTTGGCCGGGGTGTCATGTCTGTGCCTACGCTGGAGTGATCCTCGACTATTCTCCATGGGCCTGCCACCTTACATTTCCTTGTCAAGATAATTTTTGAATAAGGTATCTGACTGATGGACTATCATATTATTTCTCTGCATTGCACGGTATACCTTTGTACAGATTCTTTTCATTTACTGTCTTTTCCTCCGCCATCTGTGGAGTCACGGCGCTTGAGGAGCTAAGAGGTAGAGGCGGTTGGCTCTTTGGCAGAGGCGAAAAATGTCACTTATATCATGATACCTATTATGTAGTCAGCGAGAAGTAATGTATTTGTGTAACAAGCATGAATGACCAAAAGCTCCAGTGAAATCCGTAGTCACAGTTGCGATATTGTCAGTCACGTGATCTCGCGTTGGCATCGCGTCGGGGGTTATCGCACCTCAATACAGAGCATTCATCATGCCTTCAATGATTAGATCTTCATTTGCATTTCAACAGTACGTTACTTTGAGCATTGCATTGAAGTATATGGTGAGATGAGCCAGTCCGATAGATGTGGGTGGCATGAATATGGGACAGCTGGATTGGCCCACTCTCCGGACAAGAAGTGTGGTTTTGGACTCAGATGACGAAGAAGACGATGAAGTCGCTATTGAGCAGCCGGGAGTTTTCTATAAAGAGGATCAAATCCAACTGGATAGCGAGGGAAACGATGGTCATCATCATGAAAATGTCCAGGTTCATGCAGATTGCGAAGGAGGCAGCTACTTCCAAACTATGACTGCTTCGCCTGCCCTGTCACAAGGAAGAGATGCAATTGACAGTGAAAGTGTCAAATTGCGTCCCAAGGAAACAAACGATGTTCAAATAGAGGGGAAAAGGCCCAAGTCGAGCCGTCAAGAAACGACATATACCGGTAAGTCCTCCGAAAAAACGTTATTTTCACATCTGCGATATCATTGTTTAATACCCAGATATCCGTAAATATCATTTTGCACACATTGTCTTTCGATTGATGATTCTTAAATCCTGATGTATTCCTTACTGAGCCTATGGTTTCCTATACACATTGCTCCCATCAGTTGTCTCGCGCTCGATACGTGCGGACCTGCGAGCAGTAAACCTTTCCTTTCTTGCTTGCAAACTTCTCAATTAATATTTCTGCTGAATCATTGCTTTCAGACTCTGTGTTGAGCGGGGATATTCTTGAAGCACGTCATGCCCTGATCAAGCCTTCTCCAGGCAGAGTTTCGGACTTGGTCACCGCTGCTGAAGCCCGGGATTCTAGCCCGGGCAGAAAAACAGAGCTGTTTACGCAGAGTGAAAGAATGCCGGTGACTAATCCTGGTCTCGATGCCACCAGCCTAACAGACGAACCCTTGATATTTTCTACCAATGCTGGGATAGACATCAGTGCGGCAGCCGGCGCTTTTCTGTCTGAGCCTGCAGAGTCTAGACTGAAACGGAGACGCACTTCAATTGGCTTTGGCGATGACAACCAACTCCACAAGATCGAACGGGCAAACAAACCTCGCAGGAGAAATAGTGAAATTGGGCTGGGAAGATCGAACTTTCCGCCTAGTAAACATGCCCAATCTCAAGAGTTGCCGGACATTTGGGAATTTCCTAGTAGCGGCGAGTCGAACGATCCATTACACGAAAAGCATGAGTCGCAAACTTGCCATGGTAGCAAAGCCAGCATTTTCAAGCTCGACAAGAAAGGCCATTGCCATGGTGCAATAAGTCCTCACAAGCGACGCCGGCGATCCCCAGCAGAAGGTGCTGCTTGCAATAAAATTAATTCAGCGGAGACAGCTGCCGTGGCAGCGCCGCTAGAGTATCATTCTATCAACTTCAAATTTTCCCCAGCCTCGAATGGCCTCCGGGGAAGAAACATTATCACAGAAAATGATGACGGAAGTGAACGTATTCCATTGGAAAATCCACATGACATCTCCTCTTCTTTACCACCAACGACTACTTCAATGAGTACTGATACTTCACATATCTCTCCCTTACCACGTCCATTGCTAGCAGAACAATTGAAAACACAACCTCGCATAAAGGACCATCTCAGCTCTAACCCCGAAACGTATGCTCCAGCGGACCTCTTTGAACGTCTTCCTGGCGAGTCAAGCACTCTTCCAAATACCACTCCAAGCCAGTCAATATCCAAGGATACCAAGATCGGCAAGGAAAGCAATTCTCTAGACACTCCGGCTAGTCAATTCTCTAGGCCTATGCCGAGTAGCCCGCCGTCAAAATCTGTCGAACCGAACTCAAATTCAGACCGCGGAATATCTCCGCCCAGGCAGACAAGCATCCAAGTCAGGATCCCGGGCAATAAAATGTCCACGAATGACTTCCCGGACGAGATCTCAATGCTTTCACGGCCGCGCATTCGAAGGAAACGCCGCACAAAAACTAGCATGGGTTTCACGCTGCCACCTCGTGAGATGTCTGATTCGGAAGACGAGGATTTTGCGCCGAAGGCGGCTTCAAAAGACAAACCAATCTTTAATGATGATGACAAGGATCATAGCGATGTCTTAGAGGCAGATGAGCTGGAGGCAGACGGCTACGGTATCAGGGATAGCGGCCTCCCACGGGAGCATTATAGACCACGGCCTAGCCGGTCACGCGCAAGCAAGATCGAGTTTGACTACCCAATTGACTTTTCAAAGCGCCCAGAAGCCCAACTGAAGGCTCGGCGCCGAAAGAGCAGGGCTTCGGACAAAGAAAATGAGGCGACAGAAGACGCCCAATCTGGCATTCAATCGCTCCGTCCGGAAAATGTGGGGGTCAAACATGATATCAGGGATCCTCATCAGGAGGATATACTGGGTGAAAGGGTGACAGTCAAAAGCCAGAATAGGCAATCCGCTTCAGGGCCTTCGGCCAAGGGTGTGGATGGGGTGGATGGAGTGAACAAGGCTGACAAAAAGCGCCGAGTATCAACCAAGCCGACGGCAGGGGTGGGTGATGAGATTGATAATGGAAAATTAGGAGCGGCCCGAGACGGGCCGCGTATGTCTGAAGAAATGTTGGTGAAAGGAAAGAGACGGAAATCCAATCAGGAGGGCGATATTTCAGTTCATGTACCTCGTGCTCCTACCCCTGTCACAGATGCCGAAGCCGACAGGGGTAGAGAACATGTCAAGGCTCGCTTTGCAAGCGAAGCGTCAAGCTACAAAGGCGCCGATCAAAATGCAAGCACGGCTCGACATGGCCAGCTCGATCATGCAGGGTCTCCTGCAAGGTCGTACGAGAGCGTGACATTAGATCGAACAGATTTCGACATTACAGATCGCCCTTTGGATGACCCCTGCAATGGCCTGGCGCGCCAATCCATCTCATCCCTTGGCCAAGGAGAAGATGATGCTCCTAATTCGGAAAAGAGTCCAAAACTAGACTTGGATCTGAGTGAGCAGACTGATCGCGATCTTGCAATTGAATCGGCCACTGCCAAAGCCAATGCGCGCCAATCTAGGACCGTCTCCAAGCCAAAGGACAGGGTGCACTCACTTTCTAATTCCACATCTAGATCTCGCTCCCGCCCAGGCGATGATCAGCCAGAAAATTGGTCACGTCCTGCCTACATGGAGAAGGACCATGAGACTATTCCGCCTAGCTCGATCAATAATACACATACTATGACCATCAGCAATTCGACGGCTAATTCAGCCAGGAAAACGCCACCGCCGGAGTTAGGACCGACAGTATCAAAACGGAAGAAAATGCCTCAACGAGCCGAGCCTTCTTTCATCACCGCGGTTGAAAGTGCAGAACTAGCTGGTGATTCTTATGCAGATGAACTAGGGCCTGCAGGAACCAAGGCTACTGAAAAGGAGAAGGTTCAAGACCAGCAGCATGCCGCTGAACCCTCTGACACTGCCACCAGCGGGACAGGATCCAAGGGTCCAAGTCAGCATAGCCCCATTCGCGGCAGCCATGTCCCGTACCGCGTCGGCCTGAGTCGAAGAGCGCGTATCCAGCCCTTGTTACGGGTTGTTCGAAAGCAGTAATCCAGGCCTCCTTTTCGTTTTCTCTTCATTCTTTATTCCTTTTTCCTTTTTTTTTATTTTTTATTATTTCTTTGTTTTTAATTTCTTTGTATTGTTTTTTTGTTTTCCTCTAGCAGCACACATTGTCGCCTCACACATTCATGAGCATTGCTGACCATTATCTATCCAACTTTACCCGAATATCCCTCTGTTGCCAACCAATTGGAAAATCCCAATAGGAAATTGCCTGAAGCGCTTGAGCAATGGTTTTATTTTCTCTTTCCCTTTCACTTGTTGTTTGATGCTTCTCGGGGCAGAGCATCGATTCCACATCTTCGCTATGGATATAAAGAGCGCATGGCATATGGCATATGGTCAAATAGCACGTACTCCGCGATAAACATTGGCATAGCGGATCTTAGCTAGTAGAAACTATGTAATGAATTAAATGAGAAACGAATATTATTTTTTTACTTCATTGTCTTGTATCTTCTCTGTCCTCTGTTTCGTGTCTTCCTTTTTTTATCTTGTCTTCTCCTCTCTCGTTCTTTTTTTTTTTTTTTTTCTTACCGGTCTATTTTATCTCAAATTTTTTTGTTGGGTTTTTCTCCGCTCCTTTTGTTCTTTTTACCTTCCCCGTCTATTTTATCCTATTTTATCCTATTTATTTTCTTTCTCTTTTCTCCCTATTTTATTCTTCTTTGCTTTCTCTCTCTCTCTCTCTCTCTGTGTGTGTGTGTGTCTGTGTGTTTTACATCCCTTCTACTTTCTTTTTTTTCCCTCCCTATTTTGTTCTTATTGTTACTCTTATATATATTGTTACAAGTCATAGACTCATGCCATGAGTCAATGAGTTGGTAAGTCCTTGAGTCTGTAAGTCTGTAACTCTGTAACTCTATAAGTCCATGACCAACTAGTTCTAAATAAAAGAAGAAGTAGAGACCAAGAAGAGATGTCAAGACAGGACAAGAAAAGAAAATCATAATGCATTTTAAACCCTCTCAAAGGCACTGTACAACTGTGGTCTATGGTCTACCTTGCTCTGAAAAAGGTAAGTGGTGAGTCGTGACTGGTGATGGGACAGAAAAGTATATCATGCATACCACGCAGTACTGCAGAATATCATATATCACCCATGGGTTACGAGTCTACGACAGATCCCGAGAGCCCACGAGGGTTCGTCAGTCGTCAGTCCTCAGTCGTCATTCATGGAGTCGTGGAGTCGTGGAGTCGTGGAGTCGTGGAGTCGTGGAGTCGTGGAGTCGTGGAGTCGTGGAGTCATGGAGTTGTGGAGAACAGAAAGAGATTAGAAAGAGAACAGAATGAAAATAAAAAAGAGAAGAGAAAGAGAATAGAAAGGTCATGCATAATGCAATTTACCCGGCCGGACCAAAATGTATAATAAGTCCGAAGTCCGGCAATAATGAAGAGGACTTGATAAACCAAATCACTCAATGGAATGCAATAAACTAGATGACACAAATGCGGAGAGACTAATAGAGGTTGAAAATATATTGAGGAGTATATCAATGGATGATCTGATGGTTTTTAAATAAAGGTCCCAAAAAAGGAAAGAGAGAAAGAAAGAAAGAAAGAAAAGACAAGAAAAAAAAATAAAATAAAATAAAGACCATGAAGCGCCTCGATTCCACAAATATGATGCAAATATAAGAAAAATATAACGTAGTAAAGGCTTTTGATAAGGCTAAGAAAGGCGCGCGTTCCGCGTTGAAGGTTGCCCTATTGACTTCTTGTGGACAAACGGTAAACCAAAAAGGGAGGGGGGAAAAACAAAAATAGGACAAAGTAGTATGTATGTATATATGTATGTGCGGGAATTTTGGAAAGGAAAAGGTAGTATGCAAACTCGGGAAAAAAGCAAGAGGAGGAAAGAGTCGAAAGTTGGAAAAATGTAAAATGGAAAGGAAAATGGAAAGGAAAATGGAAAGGAAAATGGAAAGGAAAATGGAAAGGAAAATGGAAAGGAAAATGGAAAGGAAAATGGACATGGAGATTGAAAGAAAGATGAACAAAAGTTACCCCTAAATGAATATACACCATACATAGTTGAATGACTGAAAATCCCGTTTTTTCAGCAATTCCATAAAGCTCGAAAAGAATACTGCCGCAACAGCGTAAATTCCCACAATTCCTAACAGACCAAAACCCAATTGTCATAGATACATAACTAAGAATGAACAGCTCCTCGAGTGATGATAATGTCTCTCCAGCAAATCCTTACCCATTGACAAAATCCTGCGTGGCATTTGTGCCATGAGGACTAAGACTAATGGGACCCAGTACCGTTGATTGCGCCATTCAATGAAGAGATAGTGGAAGTTGGGACCTTGGGCGGACCATGACCCCCACTGTTAACGGGCGTTGCTGCTCCAGAAGGAGCGGCGCTTGCAGGCTTACTCGGGGCTGCAGAGGCAGTGCCTTGGCCGGTCAGACCTTGACGGATGGCGAGTACGCTGTCGACGATGACGGCATCAATGCCTTCCCTGACTTGCAGCTGTTTAATAGTTAGTATAGTTCAGAGAAATGACATAATATCCCAGCACCCTTCAGTAGACATACCTTGACCTTTTCTGGGTCATTGTTGACGGCGCCGTATGAAACACACACCAAACCAGATTCCTTAACTACCTTGACCAATCGTGGGCTAATTACGAGAGGCTCAGCCGCAGAGACAACGCCGAGCAAGTTCCATCGCGAGGCGAAACGAATAGCTTCTTGGAGACTGCTGGCGCGGATGTCGCCGACAGGAGACGTGCCCGCGTCAGTGAGGAACAAGATCGGAATTGAAGGCTGCTTGAATGAGAGCAGCAGGCAAATGTCAGGATTGAAGCTCGAAAAGATCATCTTGCGCTTCTTGCCGAGATCATAGACCTGTGTGAGAATAGTATCGACAAAGGAGTTGAGCTCGACAGCATAAGTGTCCATTTCGTGCTCCTCACTTTCATAAAGCATGGGATATTCTAGCATGTTTGTCAGTGATCAAGTTACATGCCCAGTCCGAGGAGTGTTGACATACTCAGCTCAATGTTGAAGCCAATCGACTCTGGCAGTTTCTTGAACATTTCTTCCAGAGTAGTAAAAGGAGCCTGGATAAAGTGGCCACGGCTGTTGCCCTTGTAGCCCTTCTCCTTGAAATCCCGCGTGTGCTTCATTCGCTCGCTCATATCAGAGACTGAGTCATGATGACTGCCGCCTCCAACTGACATGGAGCGTTGGGCTCGCCGGGCAAGACCAGCAATATCATCCCTTGCCTGGTTGGCGGAATCTGCAGATCCCTCCTTGCGCAGCTTCGGCTTCTGGGTATCACTGACGTGTAAGAACTGAGGGAGGGGTTAGCCAAAATGGTGAAACAACTGCAGATTCAAAGAGAAACTTTACCTGCTCCAGAGTAAGAGTGTGCACAGGAGCATCGATTCCTGTCTCGCTGACGAGGAAATCATGGTAGATGACCGGCACGTGGTCTTTGGTCAATTGCACATCTAGGGTTGTTAGGATGAAGCCAGAACGGAAGACGGATGAAAAGCATACCAAACTATAAAACATGTTAGCATAATGAATACAGAAAAACCTAAAATAGATTGTACTCACCTCAACATATGATGCTCCTAGGTTGGCCGCAGCAATGAAAGACTACGATCGTCAGCTTTTGAGTCATCAAGCTGCATTTAGCTCACACCCACCTGTAGTGTATTTTCTCCAAGCTGCAAAGACTTCCGAGCAGTCATATTCTTGCCGAGACCTGTAATGGAGTTAGGGACACCCCCGGACGGAGAGAAGAGCAAAAATTGTATTCACCTCTGTGGCCAATGACCATTGTTGAAGCCATACTCTTCCAGTACATTTGCTCTGTAATGGACATTTTCGGATGCGTAAATGGCGTGATGATCAAAAAGTTGAAATTGACGGTTCCAATGACCTCCAGAGTATCAGCCGCAACAATCGGTACACTGAGATCTCCCTGCAGCGAAATACGCTTTGAACCGATGCTAGGCTTAATGCTCGAAAGCATAGCCACACCACGGCCCACAATGCGGTCTTTGGACCCCGCGTAGGTAGGGACAATGTCGAAAAGTACCTTGACTTTCGTGGCGTCGTGCGTCGTGAACGTCACTGGATCGGTGCTGACATTGTCCTGTACCGGGAGATCAATCACGCTTGGATCTCCAGTGGCGCCGACAGCGGAAATTACAACGGACAAAGCCGTGTCGAGCTGTGTTGCGTGGGCATTCGACAACGGAATTTGATCCAGCTGAACAGCTTGCACGTCCTTTCGCATATCCATACTGCCCAGACTAACGAGAACCATACTCTGATCGGCTAGGTAACGGTGACCAAACGTCTTGAAGGATTCAGCCATTTTGGCGCCTTCTCGCGCCTCTTTGCTTACACCAGACCTTCTATCTTCCAAAGACGCAGAGGCGGCGGCGGCAGCGGCGGCGGCGGCGGGTGACGAAGTAGAAGCTACAGTGGACGTCTCAGAATCAGAAACATCAGGCGCCGAAGTGACTTCGGCGAGGCGCTTGGCGATGTCCATGTGGCCACGCAGCGCAGCGTGTTCCTTGGCTGTCCACCCGGAAGAATCAGCCTTTTCAAGGTCCGCACCGGCTTCAATCAATATTTCGACGACTCCCAAATGACCATCAACGCAGGCGATGAAAAGCGGAGTCCAAGAAAATGTATTCTCGACCAATTCTGTATTGGCACGTTGCGCGGATGAGCCCTTGACTAGAGCACGCGCACATTTTTCATGGCCAAAGCGGGCTGCGACATGTAACGCCGATTCACCCTGTTCATCCTGATAGTTGATGTCCACGCCGGCCTCGACAAGCATCTCGACAATGACATGAAAGTTTGACTTTGTGGCCAAGGAAAGCACCGCACCTGACTTAGATACCGCTTTCCGCGCCGCCGCCTTGTTGTCGCTCGAGCCCTTCCAGTTCTCTGCCTCGAGCAGAGTTTTGGTGGTCAGGGGGTGCCCACCAAGTACACTCAAGTGCAACGGCGCCCACCCATCGTTGTCTTGCCAAACAGCCGAGTCAATTCCTTCGCTGACGTCGAATTGGCCCCACTCCTGCATGTACTTTATCACAGTCTGGCAGATGATGACGAAGCCAAATTGGGCGGCATAGTGGAGCGGCATTCGGCCAAATAAATCCTTTGCTTTGAGCGCCGGCTGCTGTCGCTCACGCAAATGGTCTAGCAGAAAACGCAGAAAGATCACAGACTCATCGTCAGGACCCAACATCTTGGTGTCATCCAATTCCTTGTTCGTCCAATTTGGCGGAGCCATCGCTGGAGGCGCGGCCGGCAAAATGTAATTGGTTCCATTGGCCGCAAGGTTGGAGGAAAGACCTTCTTCCTGTTCAGCCCCAGTTGTCTTGGAACGGCCAATTGCGATGACAAGCCGGTGCAAGCAATTACGATGATTGATGTCGCGCTCCTCCTCTAGTGTATCAATCATGTCCAACATGGCGTCGACACACAACTTTGAGCGACACGAGATGGCGCGTTGTAAGAGGTTAAGCAATAGCCGCTGGAAGTTTAACTCTCGGGGGTCTTCCATCTCGTCGTGGGCCTCCATGAGCTGCTCGACGAGCGTCGTCGAATCATCCGAGCGAATGGCGTTATCAATTGACTCGAGCATCGCCGTCGGCAAGTTCAGCCTTGACCGCGACGAAACATGGCGCAGAGACGTGGTCGAGCGTACTGAACTGGCGTCGTTGAAGATGTTGTGGTCTCCAAACTTGGATAACCAGTCATTGACATTGTTCAATGCTTCTGACAGACCCAAATTGGTCGCAAAAGGCTTGGGGTCGACCCGCGACTCCAAAAAGAGCCGCTGAGAGCGCGTGTTCGGGAGCTTTTTGTCAAGCTTCTTGGTAATCTTTACGAACCCGCGCCGATTCACTTCGGCATACCAGGACAATTGTCGCATCTTGCCGCGAAGCTCAAGCAAAGCAGCCATTAGCTCTTCAATCTCGTCTCGGTCAATACCGTTGGGTACTCCGATTGACCCGCCATAGCGGTCATGGAGCAGCTTCAGGCGTCTTGCCAGCTCAGCATTTTTCTTATTGTAAAATCCATCCACGTCCTCGAGGTTCCGGTCGAGCGCGTAAAAGAAACCTTGAATAGCGCGCGGCAGAAGTCAGTGGGGGCCCTGCGGAGGCCAGCGGACGGATCACAATCACCGCTGGTGCCACTCACCGGTCAGGTCAGCTTTGCCTCCATTTCGAACAGTCTCGACAGCGGCCTTGATGAGCTTCTTTAAGCCCTTGTAGTCAATGTACGCCGACGACCACTCCGGAACCTGATTCCGGGCAAGATTCCGCCCAAACTTCATTTCGCGTGGTAATCCAGAGAAGTCACAATACCGAAGCAAATAAACTTCCCGCCGCAAGAGGATGAAGTCTCCTCCAAATGACTATGAAATGAAGACAACAATGTGTTGGAAACTATTCCGCACGGGAGGCGCACTTCAAATGTTCCCACGTAGCTTCACTCTACAGGGACCGATAGCAGAAGCGTGTACTCGGATAGTAGATAAGGTATAAGCCATCCGATCGCCCAAGAGCAGGGTAGCGTGCCGCAATCCACTTTCAGGATTCGTTGAATTTTGCGGGAGTTGCGGGTAGTTGAAATATATGGAGAGTTATAATGTTCGAAACAGAGGGACTTCGGAGGCCGTGTGCTGGATCTGCAGCTTCCCGTTGGTCAATTTGATCCAAAGATGTATCCACCTCAGGTCTCAAATTCAGGTCCCGAGGTCTCTAGCGCATCTAACCGTCAGCTTCATTGTGCCATTTCCCCCCGGAGCTCCCGTCACGGCTCTCCGCAATCCACAGAACAGACCAAACGTGGTCAAGTGTGTTCGAAGCGAGTCAAGGGCTGAGCTTACTTTGGGAGCGAGAGGAGAAGGCCCTAGCAATGGTCAAGCGTAAGCGCCACAGGGGAACAGAAATGCCACACCGGTGAAACCAGAGCTTGAAGGTAAAGTTGCGAGAGCGGTGCCAGGCAGTTTATGTTCTGGAGCAAAGCTTTTCGAAAAGTCTGTCTTGAGCAAGGGAATGCGGGTAGATCGGATTGCTGGCGGGGCAGAACGGAGCAGAATTCACCCCATGGTATCTTGCAGATAATCGTAGTGCGTGTGTGAGCGAGCGAATGCTGGGAATCGAGGGAATGGTGACGAAATCGCTGGTCGCTTGCAAGGAACGGCAAACAAACCTTGTCTTCTATTTGCGTTTTCTTTCACGCAAGTCTTCATAACAAGCCTGCAGTTCCTCGACAAAGATAATTGTGAAGGAGACTTTTTCCTTCTCTTTAAAATTCTGCCCGAGCAAGCTTTACTGGAAAAAAAAAAAAAAAAAAAAAAAAAAAAAAAAAAAAAAACGAGAAGCAAATCGAATCGAAATGTACTCCGGTAGCTTTATCGTAGGCTATTGTTAGCGATAACGACGACGACGATCCTAGGCTCGCGTGGCTGGTGAGCTTGCCTAACTGCGTAAACTGTTCCCGCTCAGGAATGGAATCCTTCAGATCTCGTGCCGACGTAGCGCTGTAATGACCCTTGAATTCCCGTGAGATAATTACCTCTTGTCAATTGAATCCTTGAATCAAGTCGGAGGAATCTGACGTGCTAAAAAAAATAATCGGTTTGCATGGAACGGTAAGTGAGAGAGGAAGCAAGGACAGGGAGATGAGCAGATTCATTGCCTTGCACTGAGCTTCTATTGTATCATCAGACGCACGGGACCGACTTGCGGGATTGGTTGTAACTGGCTCGTGCCCCGGTGCATATGAGCAGCGTTCCTAAAAAAAAAAAAGGGTGTCATTTGACCATTGAGCGGTCTGAGGACTTCTGGTTGAACACGAGAGTAGGCATAGCAAATGGCGTGAGGTTGACAGCTGTTAGTGTATGTGATAGAGATGTCACAGCTGAAACATAATTGGGGCGTTCACCTGGCAGTGGGATTTGCCTCCCCATCAATTGCTGCACTGTGGCCATGGTCGAAGCCTAAATAGCTATCAACCACGAGCCGGTGCGAGTATCGCCTTTTCTTAAATATCACATTTCATCCTGTCCTATTTCCTCTTTTGCAGACCAAGCAAAGCCGCAAACGACAGTAAACATTATAACTTTCTTTCCCATAGAATCCAGTAAATTTCAGCGTAGACAACGTTTTACAGACATCAAAATCATCACTAGGTTAAGGTGCTTTTTAAAATCCTCCTAAGCATCCTTAGACCCAGAGTTAGCTACCATGCCAGGAAGGGGTATCCCCGATCAGAATATATGATAGAAGGAATTTTCATTCGATACCGATTAGAACAAGGGATATACACCGGTATCGTTGGTGTTAAGGAAACTATATAGACAAGAACATGAGATATACAAAATGAAAAGGTACATAGAAGTAAGCCAAAGCAATCTGGGACAGGACGGGCCCAATCCACACGTCAAACAAAACAGTGAAAATCCCACCACCTTGCTCAAAATTCCCAGTCAACCCAAACGCCAATGACGCAACGCCATAGAGAATATTCACATCAGAGAGCAGTGCACCCCAAGCTCAACATGCACTGGCCATGTAGACAGGACGACGATGCTCCTCATAATCAATATCGTGATACGCTTCCTCTGAACGGAAGTGGCGCGGCGATGAAACCTGAGGAGCCACCTCTTCTTGTTCCGGCAGCTCTGAAGACTCAATGGCTTCTATGGCTCGAGCTGGATTCGCAGCTTCCCCGATAGAAACGCGTAGGTTTTGCTGCTTGCGCAGCTTGTACCTTGCCGTCTTGTCCATGACTGGCGAATGAACAACTCGCTTATGCGAAAAGCCATTTGCAATTGCTTCTCGCAGAATTCGTTGGTACTCCTGAGTCTCGCTGCATGCCTTGCACAGCTTGAGCATCCAGTAGTAAGCGAAATCATCTATCCTTTGCTGCTCGTCGGAAAGGGGACTGGAAGCCTTGGCGTTAAATGCCTGAAGAGATTTCCAGACCAGCCGGCCGGCTTCCCAATTCTCGGTGTTGGCGCAGTGTCGAAGAAGTGTTGTAAGAATTTCCACATTGGCGCTCCAGCCTTCCTCAATCATGCGTTCGTACCAATGCAGCGCCTTCTCTAAGCCAAAAAACTTGCATGCGCCGTTGATTAGAGCCCCGAACACGATCTGATTGCGTGGCGCTTTCTGGAAAATTTTGCCTCCGCGAGCTACAAGGCGATCATTCCCAGCCGAGACCTTGATGCCAGGACGAGCGAGCGCGGTACCGCCTTTGAGACCATCTAATTTCGCGAGGTAGTCCTTGAATCCAAACTTGTTGTTGGTCACAGTGTAAAATTTGAGGCGCGACGAGACGGATCTCTCATTTGGTCGCATATGGCTCTCATCAAAGGAATTGAGGACCATCTTTACCAAGTTGCTTTCCTTGAATCGGCTGAAGTAGATGACGAGGAGATTGTAAGTTTCAGTGTTCGGAGGCGTCGGCGATGCCAGTAAATTGAAGCAGATCTTGCCGAGCATAACCTGAAGGGGGGACTGTCCACGCCGATAGTCATTGAGTACGTCCATGATTGACGTATTTAATGCCAGTTCGCTCTCACGTCGTTCGTGATAGGGCAGGGACTGATATGTCGGGTATTGCGGTGAGCCAAATCCACCTTCTGTAAAGGCCTCCGGGCTATATCGCAGCATGCGCAATCGACGATCCATCTCCTGAAGCCTAGAAACCAGTTCATCCTGTTGTCTTTGCACGGCAGCCTCAGAGCTTTTATCAATATGATCCTCTTCATGTCTTACGGACGAATGAATAAGGAGGCGTATGGCGAGCTTGGCAATTGAGAATTCTTGGACGAGGATCTTCCGCTCGCTCTGAGGTCTCGGTGGGCGAGCTCGACCAATATTATCCCCCCTTCTTTCCAGCGAGTCAAATGCATGTGTTGACTTTGCTGGATGGCTACTGACCGAGGACCCGGAGAGCATATCCGAAAGTCGATCTACCAATGCTTCTTGTCCTTTATCCGACATATAAGTGTTGTTTCGTGTCATCCCGGTGCTGCGCGTATTGAAGAGATATGGACGGAGAATCTGAGTAATATCCCACCCAGGGATTGAAAGTCTAGGTACGCCTTTGAGCGAATATCCTGACCCATTAGCGGCTTTCAGAGCACTGCCAAGCTCAGTAGCCTCTTGTATGTCCAACGCAAGCAACTTTTCTTTCACATCCTTAATGGCATCATCCAGATTCCTTCGACGGGTATCCTTGACTTTGGCATCAACAACTGCTGCTGTCGCAAACATGCATGAATAGAAAAGAGTGAAGGCATCGCCAGGGCGGAGTCGGGGTCGTGGAATTGCCGCACGACGTCGGGCAAGAGCAGACAGGCCGGACCCGTAACGGCCTAGATTGCTCTGGGCCGTCCGAGTCCAGGCGCGCTGCATATTGGAGAGTCAATTAAAGTCGCCCGGGGCCGTCGACGATTAATTGACCTCCTGGGGTCCTCGTGAGAAGCAGGAGCGTGCGTTAGAGAATATCTGCCGGTGACGATCTTCTGGTGATGATTATCGTTTGGAGGTCCCGGTAGCATTTGCTTGGAAATTAGCTAGTGCCGTTTCGGGTAAGGTGCCGGCCGATGCAAATAGTGCAAACATGACGAGATGGACATCCAGTGAAGAAACACCCCGCCATGGTCGACAACAGACAAAAACAACAATTTGTTGCTTGTGTATCCTTTGAGTGTGCTAATTCACTCACTCCAAATTCCAAAGTAATTCTAGTATGTTATCTCTGACATTAACAGCAGAGTTGCAAGGGTAAGCTATTCTGTCACTACAAGCTTTCGATTTCTTTCTAACGACTGACTACCCCACGCAAGCAAACAGTGTAACAGACCTTCGCCCTGATGACACCGAAGAAGATCCTTACTACTACACTTTCAAGGTGCAATGTACCTCATGTCGGGAAACACATGCAAATTGGGTAAACGTGAGCCGTTTTGTAAGTTATCTTGAACCAAAAAAAAAAGTCACCTGACTTTTAATTTTTATCATATTAACCGTCGAAATAGGAGTCCAATGAGCTCTCAGGTAGCAGAGGCGAAGCAAACTTTGTTTGGAAATGCAGAAATTGCAAGGTATATGAGATTGAACATTCCTGGACATTTCTTGCTGAATTGTTTATCATTGACCCATTTTGTGTCCATCTAGAGAGAAGCCTCTGCAACCATCAAAGCCGCTCCTGCCTCTTACCAGTATAACTCGCCCCCGACTCGGCAAAAGGTAATCGAGTTTGACTGCCGCGGCCTTGAGTTCACTGATTTCAAGCCAGATGTAAGTTTAGCTGCAACGAACCGTCTTTTTTCCATACAAAACGTGTGGAGTAGAGTTCGTGAATAGTCTGTTGACGTCGATGGGTCTAGGGCGAATGGGTTGCACAAGGGTTAGACTCAGGCACCAAGTTTGCTGGTATCGACCTTTCTGAAGGCGAATGGTTCGATTACGATGAAAAAGCAGGAGAAGAAGTTAGCATTCAGGAGTTGAAGTGGGAGATTCGGCGAGCATAAATGCGTGAAAACTTTAGCGTGGCGTTGCAACATAAATCTACGGAGGTGGTTGACTTTTCTTTCTCCAAGGGAAATTGATTTGTTGCAAAGAAAAATGGAGTCGAGGAGCGGGGAGATTCAAATTTTAAGAACTCTCAACAATTACCAAAAAAGAGAGCAAAAATAACTTCATTGCAGTTGAAATTAAGGAACCAAAGTGCTGCGAGCTAGGCAGGCGCGTCCACAGCAGAGAGGATTCGACAACATGCAGTCTATCAACTCATTCCCCTCCTTTACTTCTCAGATCTTGCAAATGCGAGCAAAGCTGGACTCATCTTTGAGATTTCGATCTCTTTGAGCTCATACTTGGCAACACCAGGCATAATTGGATCGGTGTCCATGATTTCCTTCATAGCTTCCTCCGACTCTGCAACGCCGATATTGATCGCACCGAGCTCGTTTATCGTTCGGGCAATAGACAGCAGATTTCCAGAGGAAAAGTGCTTTTGAAGCCATTCAAGATGCGCTGGGAAGACCTTTTGAACATGGTCATGTGGAGCTGTCACCGTGACGATGATGACAAATAGCTTGCTCATGGTGTCGAAATATGCTTTCCCGAGTGACGGATAGGCCTGAAATGAAGTAATTAGGAGTCTGATCAAGGATTTATGGCCGGAATGTGTAATATTACCAAAAATCTGATTTCCTCAAAAGGTTTGTTTAAATGTGTTGAGAATGTTATGATGTATGGTCAAATATCACCAAAGCAGTAAGAATATTTTTCTGTTCCGTGCAAATGACGAGTAGGACACTTGACATCAAGACATGTGTATCAAAAGAATAACTAGATCAGCGCATGACTATGGAATGAGACGTCTTATAAACTTCACTGTGGAAACAGCTGTGCTCGCTCTTTCGGACTTTCGGAGACGCCCGGATGCGCTTAAGCACGCGAGTCGGGATGCATTCAAGTATGACGGCCAATGAGTAATCGAAGGAGAATGTTTGCTTATAAACATAACAAAGGAGAATGATTGCTTATAAATATACAGAGAACTAAATTATATAGCCATAAGGAACCTTTTAGAAGGGTGTCTTTTGGTGTTATAGAGATAGTGCCTTCTTGAAGAAGCTTGTAGATTAGAAGGTACCCTTGGTACTTACCTAGACTTGCTAAGTGTTCTTGCAGCAAAATAGCATCCTGTGATTACAGTAAACCCGTCCTGTCCAAATCAAGGCCCTAAACATATTGAACAAATGCAAAGTAAATTCGTGGCCAAGAAAATGATCAGCTGGTTTCGTAATGGCAAAATAACGTCGGTGTGTCGAAGTCAAAGGGGTAGCCTTTTGAGCTGAAGAGGCACGCCGTCACGATGTTGAAAGGGTCCGTTGCCAATGTTAACCAGTGCCCATCACAGCATGATGTTTCGAACAAATGATGAAGTCGAAAGCGAAGACAGGGAATATTCTTTAAATCTAGAGTACATCAATAGTCATCAAATGCTGAAAAAAGTTCTTCTGACACGAAATAATATCCGCTGCTGGCAGGGAACGAGACGTCGGAGCAACACCGCCGTTCCTAATCCCCAGACTCGAGCAAGCGAGAGCGATCTAAGCCGCAACCTTAATTTTCGTCTTCGACATCAACCACTACGACGTGATTGCGCATCATCAATCCACCATACTTGCGTGTCACTTTCTCCTTCCTCTTCCACTTTCTCTTTTTCCTCCCTTATCCGATCGAACAATATGAGTGTAAGCTCCCTTCTCTCTTTTGCGCGTTCCCTGCGCGTCTCTTTGTTAGCTCACTTCGGAGCTCAGAAAGCTAACTTCATCTGCGCAGTTCATTCCTCTTAACCCGCGGCCCATGCTGCAGAACCTGTACGTCTTTCTACTGTGCCTGTAACATTCCATGCGATCCTTTATACTGCATCAATTCAATCGTCTTTTCGCGAATTTCCTTAATCTCCGTACCATCGGATAACTCTGCATGTCCGCAATCAGCTAACAAATGCTGTAGCGTCAACGACGATGTCATTGTCCGCCTAAAGTGGGGTCAGACCGAATACAAGGGCCGTCTAGTCAGCGTTGATTCGTACATGAACATCCAGCTGAGCGGTACGGAAGAATTTATCGATGGCAAGAGCACTGGCACGCTGGGCGAGGTTCTGATCCGGTAAGTCTGCGCCTGAACGCTGACAGAGGTGAAGAAGTTAGAGCATAAGTCAAAATCTAACGCGCGCGCCAGTTGCAACAATGTCCTATGGATATCCGCTGCAAAGGGCAAAAAGGAGGAGGCCGACGTTAAGATGGAAGGATAAACACCGGATGATGGGCAATGCGATGCGAACAAGACCTGCAGCATTGCCGGGGTCAAGGACCACTCTGAGCCTGCGAGAAAGGCCTAGCACGACGTATGGATACGGATAAGCGGAGGAAAGACGAAGTACAGAGCCGCATTCTGGCTGTGACAGGTTCGATTACGCCGCGGTGTATCCATCAAACGCAGGCCGAGTAAGCTTGAAAGCGGAGAATACGAAGAGAAAACGGGAAAGATATATCATTTGGCATCGGCGCTCTAGGCTACGGGATTTATATTTGTATAAAAGAGTCGTTGGAGTATTCTTCTTAGAATCAAAACTTTTCCTTCACGATAAATCTACATGTCATTAATTTCGACTGCGTCAGAATCTTACTCTATCTCCTCAATCCTGGGCCTCGTTCTCTGTTGACTCTCAGGATTGATCGCCAGCCCAGCTATCCCTACTCCTTGTTCTCCAAATGCGTTCCCAGCCCCGAGACCAACTTCAGTAATTTCTCCAGCTTCATGACCAGGACCAATGCCTTGCGTACCGAAAATCCCCAAACTCTTGCCCTGCCAGACTTCCATCTCCTCCACCACAGTTCTCGCGTGGCCCACCACAATCTCATCTCTATCCGTTGCCTCAATGTACTTCAGGACGCGAATCACCTCTGCTAGGTTCTCCCCTGCCAATCCGAAACCCAACTTGATACCTTGCTCCTGCGCCTTATCCAAAGCCCTGAGCAGGCTCATAACCAGCAACACTGCTGCTCGTCTTAGGATAATTTTCTCATCAGCCGTCTCTAGCGTCAGCACGGCAATCGCCAGATCCACCGCAGAAGATGTCAACAACGATCCTAGCCCTGCGACATTTGTCTCGATCGCCGCGCCGAGAATCGACAACGCGGACGTACGGACCCGGACGTCATCGGAATCTCTGGTGCCTTGCCATCCTTCGATGATCTGGGCAAGGTGTTGGTCGATCTCGCGCTGACGGCGTTGATCACTGTCCTCATTACCCTCGTCATGATCATCCTCGCCAAATTGCGGGACTTCTCCGCCCCAAGCATCTTCTGCTTCCCGTTTCATATCGTCTTCTTTCTTTATCTTCTTTTCGCGCTCTTCGTGCGCTTTTACCCGTCGGCCTCGTCGTCCAGCCACAGCCAGCGTTGCCTCGCCTACCATTTTCGCAGTTTCTCCTACCAGGCCGCCAGCTAGGCCCTCGACGGTTTTCAGCAATGCTTCGCCTAGTCGGAGACGCTGGTCGAGACTGAGCTCCTCGTCGCGGTCAACGTAGCGTTCCAAGAGCGTTTTAATGACCGTTCGGGAATGGGTTTGTGAGAGCAGAGAAAGAGACTTGATTGCATTCAGGTAGATGTATTCGTCTTCGTCTTGGAGTAGGCCCAGCAAGAGGATCGTAGTAACGGGGATATCAAGCGTAGGGGAGCGTGAAGATATAAGGCCAGTGAGCAGAGAAAGACCTTGTGCTCGGACGGGCGGGACAGGGTCGGTGAGGTATGTAAGTGCTAGTTGGTGCGTTTTGCGGTCTTCTGCGTGCGGGTCTACGGTTGGAGCAGCGGTAGGCTGCGGAAGGGAGGCATGCAAGGATATGAGGGAGGAGAGGTTCGTGGCTGCCATGGACAGAGATGACGGAATGGATGGAATGCTAGAGAGGTAGGCGAGAGATGGGAGGATGTTGGAGAGCAGAGACATGTCTCGTGCAGAAGGGGAGAATCCGGGCGATGACAAGATGGTGGAGAGGAGACTTAGTGCGATGGATGCAATTTCTGAAGGATCCTCGGATTGAGAAGAGGAGATGCCGGGGGCAGCGGAGTCCGATTCTGGCTGGACAATGGAGCTGAGGCCAGAAATTGAGGGTTTGCTTTGAGCTTCGATTCTCTGGCGTTTAGCCTTGTCGTTTTCGATAAAGGTTTCGAGAAGTTGCTGTACTAGCTCGAAAAGCTGACCCGGACTTTCGGCAAGTTTGTCCTTGAGTTTTATGAGCATTGTCTGAACGAGTTTGGCATTGGCTAGCATTTTGAGAGAGTTTGGTAAGTCGGTTGAATTGTCAGGCCCAAGCTCAAGCTGGTTCGGTGTGGCGGCTGGGGCTTTCAGAGGATCGAGAAGCCATCGTCGTGTGATGGCGAGGAAGATAGTGCTGAAACGGTCCTTGTCACTGTCGTCTGAGCAGACGAGTCGGATATATTCATCGACCCGCTTGTCCAGTTGTTCGACATATTGAACCATGTTGCGGGAGGCAGATTGGTTATCATTCCTTGATATCACAGCGATTTCGCCGCTCGGCTGGGCTTCATATGTCCACCAGGATCGGCCGTCGTACATGATGTCTTCGGATAATTCAATCATCTGAGGCGTCCCTGCGGAGACTTTGAAATATGCATACAGAAGAGAGCTGGCGTAAGAATAGGCGGTCTTGTCCGTATCTCTGGCTGAGCAGAGGAGTGCCCATAAGGGCAGCTTTACTGGCGTGAGCAACCTCTTGGTCAACCCTGGGTTTGGATGAGACGTGAGCAATGTCGACAGTCTTTGAAGGGCAAGTTTGAGTTCGCTCTCGGAAACGAGGACAGTAACTTCGTTTTGGAGGGACGGGATCGATGATTCCGTGATAAACGTATTCAGTCCAGGATCAACTTTTCCTAAGACTGGCTCGACGAAGCATTTCCAACCAATGGTCCTAGGCGCACCGTATATGCGTCTTCCAAGGATACCGCCGCCAATAATCACGCCCGCGGCTTTGCTCATTTCTGGGCCGTCCTCGCCGTCTAGAAGGCTCAGCAATTGCGGTGCTATCTGACTGAAATAAGCTTCTGCAGTCATCATCTTTGGAACTGATGACAGTAACTTCGAAGCTTGCGTTATTGCTTCTAGCGGCAATGGTGGACCTCGCGATGGAATTGATTCGTCCTTTTTGTTCGCAGGAGGCGGCGGTGGAGGGGCGGTAGAGGCCAGAAACTCTATGGTATGCCGCACGCCGCGTGGACGAAGAGGTAGTAGAGATAACGGTGTAGATAGACGCGGACGCAGCCATTCTGGGGTAGTAGGCTGAAGAAGAGAGGTGAGGATGGGAAGGAGGGAGGATGTAGGGGTACTGATAGCATAATATTAGTCCAGGCCAGGGAATGGAAGCAGTTTGATTGTAGAAAGAACGTTCCTCAAAGATAGGATTACGCAAAAGAGGAATGTCAAAGACATACTTGGCCAGGAGACGCTTAAATATAGTGTCATATTTCTCTTTGTTTGATCCTATACTGCTAGGACCATATGCTAGTTCCGCGGCGCCGCAGATCAAGTCAACTAGGGTCCTATCCCGCAGAAGAGGTTCGAGCCCCTTTCTATCATCCTGAGCAATTTGAATCAGGGCATCAATACTGTCTTGTAGATCCCGTATTGCCTCAGAATTAGGCTCGGTCTGAACATCGCGGGCAACAGGCTTTGCCACCACCCCTGCTGGCAGAACAGACTTTACACGTCTTTCAACAGGTATGCCCACTCCTGGAGATAGTGAGGGATAGATACCCTCGAGGGATATCAAATCGAAGAGTCCATTGACTATTCTCCGTCTTTTTGGTTCATAAAGATATTCATCTGCTTTTTGTCCGGAAGTATCATTTTCGTAAATGAGAGCTTTATGTATTGCGACTAGTAAAGAGCTTGCTTTTTTCAAGACTCTGGTTTTAGGTGATAATTGAGCATTTTCATCTGCATTCAATCCCGTGGATAATCGCTCAATAAAAGACTGAGCGCGCACTTGCTCCAGGGATTCTGAGGCCCATCAGCTTCATGTGACATTCCTAGAGAATATTTATGCTCACTTCGAGAGAATACGGGGGCCAGAAACGCTTCTGCAGCCTCAAGTGAAGCATCCGCCCTATTTACTGTCATTTTACATTTGTCTATGACTTCAACATTAGTTGATTTATTTGGTTCTAGAATATCGTCACAAATGTTCTTGAAATTAATTTGTGATAATCTTTGCTACGTCAAAGGTGAGAGGAGAAATAATTTCATCACGTGATGTCGTGATAAGCGCGTCGCTGCTCCTTCCTCATCGCGTCGCCAACCATCTCGCGATGATGATGATGTTGATGTTGTTGTTGTTGCTTCCTCTCCTCTCTTCTCTTCTTTTCCTCTTCACTCCGATCTTCATCAGCCAAACGGCTCTCGTTGTATTTGCTTTATCACTTTGTTTCATTTGTCTTCCTATTTTTTTCATCTTCATCTGATGGTTTTATCCGATTTTCAGCGTCTTCCCCGTCCTTGCACCTAAACGGCGACCCCTCGGCCTGTGCGATGTTCAACATATACCGTGCCCTCTTGGTAGCGGGTCTCTCGCCCATCTTCTGGGCATCACATAACCCAAATGCAGTGCTCCCTCCATATAGTTTTAGTTCTTTCATCTTTCTGTCTCGTTACGGAGAGATAAGGGTCTAGAACTTAACCCTAAGTACATCAGTCGGAAGAGTCTTCAAGGAAGACTAAGTTTCGTGGCCTTACAAGTCTGTCACTTCCCCAACGAGGCCCACTGACCCTCTGGGTCGCACCTTTACGGGGAAAGCTCATGGTCTTTGGTAACCGAGGGGGGGATCGTGGCAACCAGAGTCCTTCGGGACGGCAAAGAGGAAGATCTCCATGGGTCGGTCATGATAAGTTCCGCAACGGGCACCTATCGAGAAATTCCTGCTGGCAGCACTTCGGTCATATGGGCTGCTTCTGCAATGCGGAACGTCTAGAGAGTGGACGAGGAGAGCGAAGATGGGTTATGCCGAGCGAGATTGAGATTTCAAACGCTATTAGGTTCTTCACATTCTGCGCTGTCATATTTTCTGCCCTCGATCTGATTTTGTTTCTCTTGCAATTCCCTGCTTTGGTTTCTTTGAGAGTTGGCGATGAGCACTTGTTTTTGTTCCATTTCTACCGACTGTCTTTTCGCAGGTCACGCGAAACGCGATTCTTGCTGGCACTCCCTGTTTACTTCCTGTCGTGGTCATCAGAGCACAGTGAAAATCATCTTTGGTGATTTCTTCGGCTTACAAACAAATGCATGTCCGGGCAAAATTTCGGCCACTGGCAGCAGACTACAGGCGCGAATCGTCCACTCGTCGGAATCGCGTCTAGGCGTGAAGCGAGGCGTGTGTGTCCTGTAGGACTGTCTTTGCGTCTTTGCGACCTTGCATCCACTCGTCAGAAAGATGCCCTGCGGTGCTGGCACGCAGCGAGATGCCTTCATCATTGCTCAGTATCGATGTCCACATCATTCGTTTGTATGGGTGTCTCCATCTCTACTTATGAACCGATGGTTCTGTCTTTACTTGCTTTGATGGACTCTCCCTCGTGTTCAACGGTGACCAGCAGGTTGTGGCATCAGCGAGGTGCAAACGCTAGATACAGAAATTTGTCCATTGCATTCACGTATGCTTTATGCATCGTGGACTTGCCTTACTGTCTTGCTCCAGATGATACCACTATGGAACACTGGGCCCCCGGCATTTTTTGCTGACGTGAGACTTAATGATATACAACAAGGACCAGTATATTTGTGAAAGGGCGTCAGAAATGGAAGGAACAAGTATTTGGGCTCATCGACAATGCGTCTCAGAAATCCGGGACTTCTGAGGGAGGCAAATTCAGTAATCGCATGTTTGCAGAAGGTATCCAGCAAGGAGAAGACGACCTGAGCATAACCTCCACACCAAACGTGTTTTATGGAGACTAACACTGGGCTCTTTTCTCCAACCTCTCCTCTCTGACTGGAGATTACTCCCGCTTGCAAAGCCTTCGTCACGGCAACAGCCAATGACGTTGTCACCCTCTTTTGGGTGTGGTCCGACCAGCCGCGTTAATCATCTCCCATTTGGATGTGCTTGTCACATCCTGCGCGGGAATAGAGAGCGCTGACAGCTAAGAGGTATACCAGGATATACACGATACCCCCCAAGTTCGGAGGGATCTGAGAGGGGGAAGGAGACGGTTTTCCATCGGTGCCTGTGTCCGTTTCTATAATGCCACCCACGTTGTACCTCTGTGCTTGCTTCACTTCGGTGATCAAGCTCAAGTCTTGTTGGGGAGGAATCAAAAGGCGACCACTGAGGGTGCTGCACATACAAACAGAGAGACACCTTACCCAAGGCAGCTCCTCGAGGAATCACAGAGAATATGTTGACTCGCACGCGGCTCTGGGATCTCGTCGGCAAGCGACGGCGATGCTTGAAAAGGCGACGATAAATGCCGAAAGGTGACTGGGATGGAAAATTTAGGGTCTGACGTGGCAAGGCGAGGAGACGATCCGAGAGTTGGCAAGAGAATCGTTTCCCTTGATCAAGTTACGCTTTCACCTGTTGCTGACACCTGAAGCAGAAGTCTATTCTATCCTTAACACTGACCAAGCTCCAATTTTTCTGTTGTCCAAACAGGGCGTATGCTAGCTACGAGCCTTGTGCCCGACATTTAACATCCTCGATACCCCCAGTGTTTGGCACTTGGTCTTGTCTGACAGACCGGCTTCTGCTGCGAATATACAGGTAGTTCCCTGGATGGGTGAAGGGTCTAAACAGATATGAACGGCGGGACTTCTCTCGAGTGGAGTCAAAGCTTAGTGCTTGTCTGTCCTAGTATCTGCCCTTTGGCTCATGTGGGGAGTGGCCCCAGCTCTAGCTTACCACTGGCAGACAAGCCAAGACCGCTGGCACTGATGGTACCTGAGGAGTGATTGATTGGTAAGGAACTGTGGTGTTTGAACATACGCTTTGTGTTTGCAACGATGGAGCGCGGCTGGGGATAAGTGATGTTTGCATGGAAGCTCTTGTGGATTGGCAGGCTGACCGTTCTCGTAACGATGTCTTGTCGAGAGTTCTCTTGTGGCTGGTGGGGGTCGGGGTCACAGCGCGCTGTGGGGGAACTGGGCCGAGGAGGCAACACACTGCCCCCTTTACCTCTAGGGAGGAGGGGGGGCACCCAATTTTTTTATACGTCTCCCTCACCCCATATCTTCTTTTTTATTGTATCACAGCTAACTACCGACATAGGTATCACAGCCAATTATGACGGAAGGGCGCGGTTAGAAGACTTGGTGGTGGTTTGTGTTGTAGAACTGGCACCGGAGAACGGTGGATATGACAGCCCACTTGTGGCATGAATATAAATGATACTTTGAAAGGGAGCAATCCGAATCACATTGGGCCAGCTATTCAAAATGATAAAACTGTTCAAGCATGGGATGCAATTGTGTCTCATCATCCGCATTGATTGTCCAGAACTTAATTTTTCCACCCTTACATGCTAAATGCATGACCTTCCTCACAATAGTCCAAATAGATTCCTGTTTTTCTCAGAATCAAACAAATTTATCCGCCATGTGCTTTTCCCTTTCCAACTCTCGCTAAGAGACGATTTCTACATCAAACAACCATTCTTCTTACTCGAATGCAGATCCGAAACGCCCAACCTAACTCTCTTCTCGCCCAAAAGAACAAAAGCCTCTACCATCCACTCGTACCAAACTTTTCGATCATCCGTTTGACGCCAAATAGAGACGTCTAGCTCTGAATGATCTGGGAAATAAATCGGTGCCTGGGCAGTGAGAAGCGTTAGTTTCGGTTTGCTTAGACTTCATTTCTCCTGTTTTCCCCTCTCTTCTCGCGCGGCTTAGACGAGATGGGATCGGGCCCCCCTTCCTTCTCGTCTCTTCTTGTGTGACAAGAGATTGAGTTTGAGAGATGGGGATAGCGGAATCACGCTTCCGGAATTTTTAAGTCGCGATAAAGAACGAACGGAATAATAGCACCTCATCGATGAATGCAATAGGAAGAAGAAGGGAAAAAAGAAAGAAAGGAAAGGAAAAGAAAAGAAAGAAGGAAGGAAGAAAGGAAGAAAGAAAGAAAGAAAGAAAGAAAGAAAGAAAGAAAGAAAGAAAGAAAGAAAGAAAGAAAGAAAGAAAGAAAGAAAGAAAGAAAGAAAGAAAAGAGACATACCTTCAAAGGAAAATAAATCGGAAACCAACTAATCATATCCTTGCTCTTATGCGCCATGGATACGGGATTCGTACTCAGCTCGACATCATCATACAAGACGGTTTCAAAATACCCGCCGAGACCATGACACACGCCACGATCTTTACAGCGGAACGAGAGTTTTGCGAATCGGGCATTATGTTCGTTTGCGCCATCACCGCCAGCGAGACCTCCTCCGCCACTCTGGATGCCGCCGCCTTTGCGCAATTGGCTAAAGAGCAGGGTATTAGTGGGCGCGGGGTGCTCGAATTCCCAAGCGATTTTGATGTTTGGTTGGAATGTTGTTGTAGTTCCGCTACCGGCCGATGCATTAAGAGCTGGGGGGATGGAAGGAGTGCCTGTGCCTTCTGCTTCTTGTGCAGCTGTTGGCTCGGTGGCTACGGCAGTTGTCGATAAGAAATCAATCGCATGTAGCATGACGACGTAGGGCGTTTCGGGGGCAGACGAGTCGGCGGGGGTGCGAAGAGCAATGTCTGCGTGTAGTTTTGGCGCGGAAATGGGAGTTAAATGCGCAGTGTACGAAGATGGGATACTGATGCCGTGCATGGGGTTCAGGACATGCTGTACGCCGTCGAGACACTCAGGGCTGAGCTCGTTGTCGGCAAAGGAACCAAGGAGCTCGCTGACGAGGATGTCGACGACGCCGAAACCGCTGCTGCCAGCTAGGCTTAGGTCGTCTTCGTCGAGTTCGGGCTCTTCTGGAATGGAACTTGAGGTTGTGCCTCTTTCCTCCTGAAGCTCGGATTCATCCCACCAGGGTCCTTTCCATGCGCGCATGTCTGATTTGACGACGTGGACACATCCGCCCCAGTCTTCTTCGTTATGTCTTTGCAGGAGAACGTATGCGTTCTGGTTCTTCTCAACGGCCCAGACGTCGACGGGGACGCGAGCGGCTTCGCTGGCTCTTAATGCGCGAGTGACTAAGGGTCCACGTCCTGCACCGACGACGGCGATGACGACTGATCTGCCCCGCGGCCCGGACATGGGTTTCTTGTAATCTACCCAGTCCCGCAGAGCCCGAGTGATTGCTCGCTCGTACCATTCGTATTTGATAGGATCCTTTTCAAAGACTTCGTAAGTGATGCTTTCTAGGTTGTCGGCCAGAGGCTGGAGGGGCGCTTGGAGGTAGTCCTGGTATCCTGCGCCAAAACGCTCAATGGGCGTTTTAGCAGGTTGGTTTCGCTGCAAGTGTCGCATGTAGCTTAGGTGGGGAGTAGGGTCTTTGGAGCGTTTTGAGGCCTCTGCAGACTGCTGTGTCGCGGCTGCAGCCTCAGCAGGAGTCGGTGACGATGCGCCTGGTGATGGTGATTTGCTGACTCCGCCTGCGGCATCAGCTGTTGCGCTGGGACTAAGAAAACCCGCTGCTGATGCGGCCGCGGCCGCGGTTGCTTGCGGGTTGTTGTTCAGCTCAAACCCTGGGATGGGGCCCACGTCACTGAGTAGGAACCATGGCGGAGTCCGGAGTCGCATGAAGCGTGTGATGATGTTTTGATTGGCTTTAGAGAGGACCGGATAGCCTTTACTGTTTTTAAGGAAACTGTTTTGGTGGATTGAAATGATGCGGACTGGCTCCGAAAGCCACCTCGACTGGACTGCTGCCGGAGGATGATGACGCGGCAGGTTGAGTACTATTAGCACCAACTGTTAGTTTGCGATGTTGATGATCATAGGCCGTAAATGAGAATTTGGAAATGGGAACATATGCATAATTGGAGAATCTTGAATTTTGAACGGCAAAAATGAACGCAGCACTAGGAGGATGGTATGGGGGGTAATATGGACAGCATGCTGCCAAGACCTCTATTCTTACCTACGGACAACCGCGAATTGTATTTACACATTGTTCTGATAATGTGCCACGCATCCCATGTGCCGAACATGTCTACCTTCTTGCTTCCAGGTTTGCTGCTTCCCAACGTGCTTTGAGAGGTGTATTGATCCCGCGCAAACGGTGCTAAGCTGCCCATCACATCCTCATCCAGCTCCGCATCAATCTGGTCAACCATAGGGAGGTTTATCAGAACCTGCAGAAATGGCCCCGCAGCAAGGGCCTCCTGCACAGCGCGAGCATATTGTGCGATGCCTTCTCCAGTATTTCTACCCTGGTGGTGCAGGCGCGGCCCTGGAATAACAATGTTTCCAACGCCACAAAAAGCTGCGTATGCCATTTCCAAATTTAAAACTTGTCTTGAGATGTTCGCGATCAGCGGGTCCGGAGATGCCAGATCAATCCAAGAGCTTGCGCACGCGATGATTTGCGAGATAGTATCATTGGGTGTCAGCGGAGTGTCCACAGGACTCAGAGAAGGTATGACGGGGGCTGGAGGCTCTGACTTCGGCGGCCTAACATCGGATAGGTTGCTCGGAAGTGTATTGCTGCTTGACAGCGTGAGGTCGTCACCAGACAGACTCGAAAGCTCCGATAAATAGTTAGAAAGAAGGGTTAGCACGCGCGAGTGAAAGTACGGCGTCGTGATTGGCGTGGTAAGCATATCATAATTCCATGCTTGCGCTTGACGGAGTATCTCATCCGTGACAGGCAGGGAGCGCTGGGTCTCATGCTGCCCAATGTAAAACGTGGGGTAATGCTCATCGTACCCTGCGGACGCCATTTTCTTGAGAATTGTGTTGGTTAAAGAATATAGCTCAAAGCGGTATCCTGACAAAGCAAATGAGGTGCCCTTAGAGCAACAGTAATTCCGAATTGGAAGTGAAGAAGACGTGAAGAAGCACTGGCCACAAGATCAATCAAGTATGCAGGATAAGCAAACCATGCGCTTGAAGTGAGCGTCAAACAAGGCCTTGTTTTCAGAGACGCAATGTGCAGCAGGATAGGCTGATACTCAAACCAGATTTTTTGAAAAGCCTTGTGTTTCAAAATTCTCGTCAGCAGCAAGGGGACCAAGGGTTGGGTCCTCAGCTTGAGCTCGTAACTGGCAAACCCCTTGGTAAAGTGTTGACTTGTGATTTTGGTGTTGAAGGGTCCCGCCATAAAAGTTTCCTAATTGGGAATTTTCTCTGGTAGCAGTAGCTTCTTTTCATTTCAGCCAATGAAAATCCATGAAAATTAAGATTTTACTAATTACATAAGCAAAGGCGGTGGGCGATTAGTGCGGTGGCAATATTAACCAAAGATGCAGATCGGATCCGATAATTTTCAAAGCAAAAGAAACACCCTTACTATTCATCTCCAACCACATTCACCGGAGTCCAACCTCCTTCCCTTCCTTTCTTTTCACCTCCGCACAATCCTTTGGTTAGACGTCTTTTCTTCCGTTAGTACTCATGGCGGATCGTAGACCTGACGCAACCCAGGACGACTCGCGTGCGAAACGCCAGAAAACTGGTGCATTAACAGAGATGGATCCAAAAGACAATCCTTACCTCGCCCATATGTATGACGGCTCTACAAATGGCGACTACGCAAATGGATCCTCTTCAAAGCCCAGAGTCAATGGCTTCTGGAAAGACACTACGTTGGCCAAGTTTCCCAGGCACGGTTCGACAGCAGCCATGGCCAAAAAGGCAGAGGATGGCCCCAGCAATCCGTTCAATGGTCAGCAACTATCAGAGAGATATTTCAGCATCTTAAAGGGTCGACGAGACCTTCCCGTGCATGCTCAGAGGTAAGGCCTTTTGTGTTAATATGCTCATTTGCGGAGGAAAGCAAGCTAATTTTTGTCTAGAGATGAATTTCTGGAGTACTATCAGAAGAGCCAAATTCTCGTCTTCGTTGGTGAGACAGGTTCGGGAAAGACTACTCAGATTCCTCAGTTTGTTCTCTTCGATGATCTTCCTCATCTTCAAGGCAAGCAGGTTGCCTGTACGCAGCCTCGTCGTGTTGCTGCCATGTCAGTTGCGCAGCGTGTGGCGCAGGAAATGGACGTGACTTTGGGTGAGGAAGTCGGTTACAGCATTCGTTTCGAGGACAACACCGGCCCCAAGACCATTCTCAAGTACATGACCGACGGTATGCTTCTGCGAGAGGCCATGAACGACCACAACTTGTCGCGCTACAGTACCATTATGCTTGACGAAGCTCACGAACGTACCTTGGCTACGGACATTCTGATGGGTCTGCTGAAGGAGGTGTCGCTTCGGAGACCCGACCTCAAGATCATCATTATGTCTGCAACTTTGGATGCGCAGAAGTTCCAGCGGTACTTTAACGACGCACCGCTGCTTGCTGTTCCCGGTCGTACTCACCCTGTCGAGATCTTTTATACGCCCGAGCCTGAGCGAGACTACGTCGAGGCTGCTTTGCGGACGGTTCTTCAGATTCACGCCTCGGAGCCTGAAGGAGACATTTTGTTGTTTTTGACTGGTGAGGAGGAGATTGAAGACGCCGTGCGGAAGATCAGCCTTGAGGCTGAGGAGATGATTCGGGAAGCCGACAGTGGACCTTTGAAGGTGTATCCTCTTTACGGTACCCTTCCGCCGGCGATGCAGCAGCGCATCTTTGAACCTGCACCCCCGGCACGGAAGCCTGGCGGTCGCGCTGGCCGAAAATGCATTGTCTCGACAAACATTGCCGAAACGTCATTGACCATTGACGGTATCGTCTACGTCGTTGACCCTGGCTTTAGCAAGCAAAAGGTCTACAACCCTCGTATTCGTGTCGAGTCTTTGCTGGTCTCTCCCATCTCCAAGGCTTCCGCCCAGCAGCGTGCTGGTCGTGCTGGTCGTACCCGTCCTGGAAAGTGCTTCCGATTGTATACCGAAGGCGCCTTCAAGAAAGAACTTATCGAACAGACTCACCCCGAAGTTCTCCGATCGAACCTTGCTTCGACAGTGTTGGAGTTGAAGAAGCTTGGTATTGACGATCTTGTACACTTTGACCTCATGGATCCTCCTGCCCCGGAGACACTTATGCGCGCCTTGGAAGAACTCAATTACCTCGCCTGCCTGGACGACGACGGCAATCTCACGACTCTCGGCCGCCTTGCATCCGAGTTCCCTCTTGACCCTGCTCTTGCCGTCATGCTCATCTCGTCTCCCGAATTCTACTGCTCGAACGAAATCCTTTCCCTCACCGCCCTCCTTTCTGTGCCTCAAATCTTCGTCCGGCCCGCAAACAACCGTAAGCGTGCGGACGAGATGAAGGCGCTCTTCGCACACCCCGACGGCGACCAGTTGACCCTGCTCAATGCCTACCACGCCTTCAAGTCACCGCAGGCCCAGGAGAACCCTAAGCAGTGGTGCCACGACCACTTCCTTTCATTGCGGGCCCTGCAATCTGCCGACAATGTCCGCATGCAGCTCCGCCGCATCATGGAGCGCGAGGAGCTCGAGCTTATTTCCACACCATTTGAGGACAAGAAATATTATGAGAATATCCGCCGTGCTCTGTGCGCTGGTTTCTTCATGCAGGCCGCCAAGAAGGAAGGTACCGGCAAGACCTACATGACCATCAAGGATGACCAGAGCGTGCTCTTGCACCCCAGCACCGTCCTCGGCCAGGATAGCGAGTGGGTCTTGTACAATGAATTCGTCCTCACCACGAAGAATTACATTCGTACTGTGACCAGCGTCAAGGCCGAATGGTTATTGGTATGTCTCTATTCCTTTCATTTCTTTCAAACCTCCTGTTCTCCCTACTCTCCCACCCATTCATTCATATCCCTTCATTCGTTTCCATTACGCAAGTAAACCAAGTACTAACTCTTTCGCCACTTACAGGACATTGCACCCGCATACTACGACATTGGGGCCTTCAAAAAGGGAGAAATCAAGACTTCCTTGATGCGAGCCGCCGAGCGCCTCAAGCGGAAAGAGGCCATGAAGAGCTCCCGAAGATAAAATTCTTGTCGTCTCTTTTCCCTGGTCTCGTCTCCCTGGTCTATTATGCGTTTCATACTCTGCGATCTAGCTCTTCTTTCCTTTTTTCCCCTCTCGTGTTGGACAATTTCATTGTTCGTTGAAATTCTTTTGGTGCAAAACTCGGGCATTTATCGTTGAGGGTCTGCCTTCTATTCTCACTTGATCCTTTTCCTTTTTTTTCCCTTTATTTTTGCCACCTCTTTATATCTCTTTCTCTTGTGTTTCTTTAAGGCGTTAATAGAATATAGAATCCAGGTTTGGCGTTCGTCAATCCATAAAAGACGCATCGTCACTACTTTACCCTTTTACTACACTGCTAGCTTTGCATTTCATACAACAGATCCAATTTTCTTTTCACATCTTCTCGTTTGTCACTTTTTTTTTAAAAGAATATCAATTTTTTTAAAAGAAGATATTCGATGCACTTGCTGAATTTGTGAAGTTTAAACATCGTGACATTGTCGTATTTGAATTCTTGGCGATACCGCTAACGTTACCATCAACATCCAGTGCATCAGATCCGGTTTAGAATAAAAACTCCCGCAGATTCAAATCGATTGATATATGTCGCCTGCTGAAAAAGAAAGCGAAGAAAGCGAAGAAAAGCGAATATTGTAAATTCCCGAAAAGAGAGGAGAAAAGGAAAGGAACGGAAAGGAAAAGAAACAAGGGCCATGTAAAGAAGGCCAGACAGTCTGAGCGAAGATCGTAAAAAAAAGTACAGCACCCGCGTACCACGTTAAAAGCGAAAAGCTTATATAAAAAGCAAGATATTACTCCTTTCCTATCCTTGCCGCAGAGCGCATCCCGTAAAACAATGTAGCAAATGAAAATGAAGAAAAGAGAAAAACAACAGAACGGAGGAAATAAATGTGCTCCCCTCGGGAGTTTACATCCGACTTCCGCCTGCCACGAGACCCTTGAGAGCTTCGACAAGAGGTTCGAGAATGTCCGGGTTATTCGCCGTGGCAAGGACCTGCTTGAGGACCTCGACGCCGCCTTCTGCGCGGACTTTTTCTGTGCCGAGGTCGCCTGCAGGATGCGGCGCGCAGACGAGGTTGCGGATGCAGACGACACCGCGGTGCACGAGTTCGTCGGATTCTTCTTCGCAGAGGGAGAGCAGGATACGGACGCCACGCTCGCGCTTGAGGACAGCAGTGACGGCTGCGTCCCATTCGGTGAGCATGGCGAGGGCGCCGCCAGCGGCGCGGCGGGTAGCGAAGTCGTCGACATCGGCGAGGGCAAGGAGGATGTGCAGCCGGTTGCTGGCTGCGGGGCTGCCGTCTGCGAAATGGGCCACGCCTGCGGGGGAGGCCATGAGGTTGCAGACGAGCTCGACGGCGGCGCGCTGGATGAAGGTGTTGTCTGCGAGAAGGAGGTTCTCGATGGCGGGCCAGCCGAGTCGGAGAAGGGATTCGCGGGTGGAATCGTCGGTGGAGGCGAGGTTGGTGAGTGCGAGGAGGGATTCGAAGACGGGGAGAAGGTCGCGTTGCTCGGCAGAGTGGTCGTCCTCAAGGAGAAGGAGGAGAGGACGAACGGCGGAAGATGCGGATAAGGCGCCCGAGGAAGGGAAGATGAGGAAAGGGTTGACGGAGATGAGGACCCGGGCGAGCGCGTGGGCAGCGACGCGGCGGGATTGAATGTCTGCGGTGGTGTCTCCGGTGATGGAGGCGTATGCTTGGAGAAGAAGCCGGACGGCGCCTTGCTGCGCGAGTTGGCCGCGGTGTTTGGGGCCCTTGGAGATGGAAAGGAGGATGAATAGAGTGAGTTGGAGACTGGCTGGCGAGACCTTTTTGCTGATGGCTACGAGCAGGGGCACGGTGTTGGCGTCAAGGACGGCTTTGCATCGAGCAGTGACTTTGTCTTCGGAGTCGAGAGGGTCTGGTTCGAGTTTGGGCTTGGAGACGTTGGCGTAGGCTTTGAGCTGCGACATGCGCTTTTGTTCTTCGGAGAAGTTGGGCAAGAAGCGAGTAAGGTTTGCGAAAATGGTGAGACCGCCAAAGATGAGGTTAGGGTCGTCGGGATGTTCAGACATTGTTCGGACAAGATGCGTGAGGAATGCTTTGTCGTTTGCTAATTCTTCCTTGGTGGCTGGCTGGAGAGAACTATATGCGAGACCCTCAATCGAGCTCTGTGTTGTTGAAGTGTCCTCTGTGACAATCATCTTTTTGAACATGTCGACGAGCTCAGCCGTCTCTTTGCCCACCTCTTGCACCTTGGGTTCTTCCTTTTGAGCAGGCTGGTCAAGGGCTCCGGGACCGCGAATCTTTGCCAGGATCACGGCGGCGACAGCGGACTCTTGTACTGCTCCGTCTTCTACTACGTCTTCCAGCCACTCCGTGCAGTGCTTTGCAATAAGTTCTCGGCATGCTCGGTCAATGCAGGCTGCGCTTAACAAGTCAAGTGCAGCTCGCTCTGCCTTTCTGCTCTTTGCCTTTTTGTTCAAAACGGGGACGAGTGATGAAACAAATCCTTCGTTGAGGAAGAGTCCAATGCAAACGGCAGACGCGACCGGAAAGACTGCAGCCGCGGCGGAGAAGGCAACAATCAAGTCGTCATTCTTTTGCTTTGCCAATCTGGAAAGCACAAATTTGTTGAGGTGGCGTTGACCATCGTCTGGCGACGCTTCGATGAATTTGGCTGCAGCTAATGTTGCTTGGGTTCGGAGATCGGCAGGTAATCGATTGTCGAGAGAAGTTAACATGACATCAAAGGTATCTTCGTCCACGCGGCCCTTGACGTTCTCGGCGTCGGCGGCAAGAAGTCGCGCGACTACTCTCATTGCGCGACTCGGATGGTCCTGGCCAGCTTCGATGAGCTTGGCTTCTAGAAGGTGAAAGACGTCGCCCTCGCAGCGGATGCGCGAGGTGTGCGACGTCCATGCCTGGGGGTCGAGGAGCACCGCTGACAGCGCATCTGTCGCCTGGTCTCCAATCATCCACAGGTCCTCGAATATGCCGATTATCTTTGTCTCCAGTTGGTATGCGACTTCAGCTCTTGCGCCAACATTCTGCCGTAAAAGCGCCGCAACGAGCTCATCCACCAGAGGTGTATAGGTCACCTTGGATCTATCCAACAGGAGCTTGACGCATTCCTCGCCGATGCTCCTGGGCACACTGGCGCCGTATCGCGCAAGGAAGTGAATGGCCTCGCGGCCAGCAGAGTCGTCTCGGTCGTTTACGAAGCGGCGACACAGAATCCACAAAGGATCTCTATTTTGGTCATTTTGTAGCTCATCAAAAGCTCGTTTGACATCTGCGTTATCGGGGTCTATTGAAACGGCCTCTCGTACGGCCCGCGCTCCGGCCTACTCAAAATTAGATTATTGAAGAGAAATTATCTGGCCAAGAGAAAATTACCTCTATCTTCCCGGCGGCCACCAACTCCAGTGCGTTCTTGGCCAGGTAACTTGCGCGCGCCTCTCCGCCATCGACGATTGACATATTAGTGCACAGATCAGTCGGGCGTTATCATTCATCGAGCGGCGTAATCACAGCCCTCGATGGGACGGGGGTAGAGCGGGCGCTTCGGAGAACAAATAAATAGTCGAAACGAGTGAGAAGCTCAACTAAGAAAGAATGCGGAGGGGGAATGAGAAAACGCCGAGGGATTAATAGAATGATAAATCTCTCTCTCTCTTTCTCTCTTTTTCTTTGTCCCCGTAATGATAAGCAGCAGTAGTAATACGTAGTGCTCTCCGCGGGATCGGAAGGGGTCCAAATTTATTTGCTTTTTTTCCCGGGGGTTGAGTGAGCCAAGAGTCAGACCAGCAGTCCCCGAAAATCAGACGGCCAGTCATGACATTTCCCGCGTCTTCAACATTCGACTCAACCGTCCCATTGGGGGGCCGATCCTCTTACGTAAGCAATTATTTATTCTTCTCCCGTCACGGAATAAGCCGATCCTCAAGCTCTCTTTCATCATCTTTCCCTATAGCTCCGTGACTGCTTTTGAATCCATCTGGGCAAAATTATTCTTGCTCGAATTCGATCATTGCACGGAGAATCACAAGCAAGTCGTTGGAAAGTTCCACTTGTGACAATACATACTTGCTCGCAGCAAGCTCTGTTCATGAGATGTGGTCGAGCTATTCGCATCCAGCATGAACGCCGTTGACGGCTCTGAGCACTATGAGAAGGACTGGAACGGTAATGAGCTCTTTGGAAACAGCGCTGAGCTTTGATTGACTTTATACTGACATGTGCTTCTTCCCTGGATAGTACCACCTCCATCGCTTCTGACTATAGTCCTTGATACAAACCCTCACGCCTGGTCCTTGCTCTCTTCGACGCTACCGCTTTCCAAGGCTATTGCGAACATCCTGGTATTCATCAATGCTCATCTTGCATTCAACTACGCCAACAAGGTCGCTGTAATCGCAAGCCACTCTCAGCGGGCGCAATGGCTCTATCCCACGCCGTCAAAACCACATGGCGGGACTGCGCATCAGGATGCGCCCCAGCAGACCGCCATGACTGGAGAAGATACAGACATTGACATGTCTGGTACAGACGCAACGCCCGCCCCCAAGCCCAAGCTTCTTTTGCATGGTCCGAAGCGCCAGAATGATGCAAACAATGTTACAAGTGCTCCTCAGGAGGCACCTCGAAAATCCGACGATGCCAACAAATACCGGCCGTTTGCGTTGGTTGAGGATGAAGTCATGACGAATCTGCGCGCTCTTTTTGATAATACGACCGAGGCCGATATCAAGAATTCCAACTACACTATGATGGCCGGCGCATTGACACTGGCACTTGCATACATAAATCGACAGCAGATAGAATATAGTGAAACCACGGGCGGTGGTGTTCCTAGCGACCAGGCCGGCAACGACGGTCGCGAGCCCGACAAGCGGCCGACCCTACAGAGTCGGATTTTGGTCATAAGCGTATCTGGCGATTTAGCGTTTCAATATATTCCTATTATGAATTGCATTTTTGCAGCTCAGCGAAAGGTAGGTTCTCTGGTCGCGTTACCATTGCCGTCTCCCTTGACTTACACCAATCCAGCGCGTACCGATTGACATTTGCAAAATTGCCGGCGACACTGTATTTTTGCAGCAAGCCTCGGACGCTACCCGTGGAGTATACATGTCATTGTCCAATCCGCAAGGACTACTGCAGTATCTCATGATGGCATTTTTGCCCGACCAGACCAGCAGACGACATCTTGTCCTCCCAACTCAAGTCAACGTCGACTTTCGCGCGGCTTGTTTCTGCCACAAGCGCGTCGTGGACATTGGTTTCGTCTGCTCAATCTGCCTCAGCAGTAAGTTGATCATCACCTGCCCTTGCTCACACCTTTTTATTAAATCGATACTTACAAGACTGTCAGTATTCTGCTCTCCTCCCGAAGGAGCCATATGTCTTACATGTGGCACACATCTCCAACTGGGCGATTACGGCGGCAAGCCTGCCGTAGTGCCGCGGAAAAAGAAGAAGAAGAAGAACCGTCTCGTCGATGGCTCAAGAGGCACTCCTTTATCGACAGCCGCAACGCCAACGCCAGGCGGCACCCCAACCCCCGGGGCATCATAAATGAATAGCATTCTTCATTTATTTTCATAACCGCTTTATACCCTCTTCTCAGCAGACCCTACATTCTCAATCCGAGCAACGACTTGCTCAGCCATCTCCTTGATTAATATCATCATGACTAAAACGATTTTTATCATACACCATGTATTCCAAGCCTTTGTCTATCAGATCTCGGACTTTTACTGTCGGCCATATGAATGGCATGATATCATGTACATTTCTCTTGTTTACATACAAATCACTTTAGCTCTTTCTCTCCGTGAGAATTTAGGATTCTGGAATCCTTGGCGATTTTTTTTCTTTTTCCCTTTTCCTTTTTTTTTATTGAATTTTCCATTCAATTTTCCAAATCTACTAGGCCCAGCACTTTTCCATTGTCAATTGCATTTTTGCATCGTCTTCCAAGCCCACTTTCTATATTCGAAAGTGCAGCACGGGATAAATTGTATTATACCAGCCAAACGAGATTTTGACATTCTCGTCTTCAAAATTCAACTCATTTGAAATAAAATATGATCTATCGCTTTCCATCTGTTTCCCTTCTTATCCATGTCATCCCCTTCTCATCTTGACATGGATCTTTTTGAGTCTTGGCCCATACCCTTGCACGTAAGGTAGTTACTCGGACGGACCACTTACATGATACACTACTGCACCGGTACGACCCTCCCGTAAGGCCGTCGGCCGGAGATTTAATGTCGTAATCTCGGATGCTCGGCAGCGTGCGTTTAGTCTATCGTCTTACTATCTTATTCCTTCTGTCTTTTTCGTCTTATTCGTCCGGCTTTTTCGTTTTATTTCTACCGTATTTGGTCACGTCATTTTTGTCTTATTTTACTTGTCTTTTTCGTCTTGTTTTTCCCGTCTTATTTGACGCGTCATTTTTTCCGTCTTTCATGGCTATATCCAGTCGAAGCGGTGAATCGCAAGGCTGGAGACACCTTACGTACACTCCTGTCTGTCTGTCTGTCATGTCTGTCCTATCGTCTCCCCGTCTTCCATGTCATATACTCGTTTGGCCAGTCATTTGCCCCACCGTGGGTATGTAGTCTTGCTGGTCTGTACTCTGTAATTTATTCTTCTGTCAGCTTCTCAGCTTGTTGACTTGCTGGTTTGTCGGTTTGTCGGTTTGTCGGTTTTCTCACTGTCATTGTACCTTCAAATGTCGGTGTAGTCTTAGTTTACCACTCTGTCCTGTATGTCCCGGTCCCTATGTCCGTGTCCTGTATGGACTTGTACGTCGTTTACAAACATGTACGTTTACAAGTATATCGTTTGAACGTTTGCAAATCTCAACTTCCACCTGGCCAAGCCATGCCAAGCCACAAGATAGATATTCCCGATGTCTTTGTCGCTGTCGGTGTCCGAAATAAAACAGCGCCCAACACCCAACTCGGGGGCATCCGGCGTGCACCCTACATACCTACCTACATATTCTATATAGTACTGCGGTGGTCAACGGGTTGTGGCTTTTATTTTATTTTTTTTTTATTTAGTCGTTTATTCATTTATTCATTTTATTTTATTTCTATTTATTTCTTTATTTATTCTATAGTGTTTAAAACGAAAATATATATATATATATAATGTGAGAATTGCAATCGTGACTCAAACTCTCAAAATTGCTAAACTACTTTATTACTCGATATATACGTTAATACGTACGGCATGCTTTAAAATAAGAATAAAGTCATACCGCACTCGTAGCTCTTCTTTCTGAAGTGTGGAATCATACGGGATTCATGCTTTATGTTTCATATATTACCATGGCAAACGATCCCTGTTCCCGTCCCGAGTTCCCGAGACAAGAGATAGACCGCTAGTTTACTTAACTGTACCTTTCCACTGATCTCTTGGTCCATCTGCACCTCTGTACGAGCGAGGGTAGGTATTGGGATACTTGGGTGCTTAAGTAAAACGCAAACCAAATCTAAATCCTAGTTATATCTTAAATGCTAAATGGTAGCGACAGCACCAGGGCACCAGGGCACCAGGGAGACCGGGGACCGGACCGTATCCTGTTTCCCCGATCAACGATCAACGATCAAACAAGATCAGATCCTCCCTTCCCCGCCTTCTTTTTGAACACTAAAATTTAAAGTCAGTTCTAGATTGAAGTATGCCATACACTTCGTACAAGTGTACAAGTGTACAAGTCTACTTTAAATCAGTTTCTGCCAAGTTATAACTACCTTGTTTCTTTGTTCTTTGTTCTTTGACCCAGAGTCTCTCCTCTTAGCGCGTTGCACCGACGGGCCGACGGACGGACAAGCCTTGTACTGTGGCTCTAGGCTAAACTCAACTTACAAGATACATCTGTAAGTTAGAAGACTATGAGGAGAACTAGACTCGGACAATTCACAATTCACAATTCGCCTCTCACATTTCACATTGCATTTCCCCAGATTCTCACGTTCTTTATCCTGTTTATCCCCGATTCCCCGCTTCTCCGCATTCTATGCCCGTCAGTACATGTGCCTAAGGTAGGTGCCTTAGCGCCTTAGCGCCTTTGTATCTTAGTAGCTTAGAACTTAGGATCTTGGGATCTTAGACTCAACCTTGGAGTCTTGGACTTTTCGAGCCCTTTGGGCTTCGGAGCGCTCGGGGTTCGGGGCTATTCGAACGTTTGTGATTCTGGGACGTCGGGGCATAGGGATCTTGCACGTCTGCAGTAGTATACTATACTCGTCCACATATTTTGAGACTGGGATAGAAACCTGGGGTTATTATGTGCCTTGGCGACCTACCGTAGGTGAATTAGAGACTAGAGACTCGAGACCAGTTACTACGTTCTTCAGATCTAGACTACACTACTATCTTGACAAGAAAAGAATCTGAGATTAAGTTTGACTGAAATGAGAGTAGGGAATAATAAGAGTACATTCCGTGACATTTACATACTAGGTAGCCCTCGGTGACGGTCGTGGCGTAGGGATACAGTATTCGAGCACGACTACTCGAGACGTGGTGTAGACGTGGTCGATGGATTTGAGACGCTGAGGCTGAGCCTGGAAAATAATATCGGATTTGATGTTGAGGCCGAGGCCAAGGCCAAAGCTGAACAATGAGAGATTGCCTCACGTGCAGATAAGTCTAGCATGGCAAGTTACTCTGAGGCTTGAAGCTCGAGAGGAGGGCATGGCGGAGGCCAGATGAAGCCACAGACCAAAAGTCAAGCCACGAGTCTCCCTATGGCTAGACCTGTGGCTATGCCCAGATGCCCACCGTACGAGTTTGTGGCTGACAGCATATTCTCCACATCTCCACATCTCCACACTCTCCACATTTACACGAACTCTACGGCGTCCTCTCTCTTGCATACCACCATATCCACTTACACACTCACAGGTCCCTCTAGGCCTTGTATAACATGAGACAAACACGACAAATACATCTAGCCTCAACTGCAAGTCCATGACGTTGGAATCTCTCTTCGACGTCCCTATCTGACGTAGATTCCTGATCGTCACCCTTCGACCACGGTGTCGAATTTTTAAATGAATAGTGTGTTCTAGAATGTAGATCCGGCCGATCTAAATCGTATTGTCTATCTAATGAGTTGATTTACGTCATTTAGATCGTGGATCGTGATCGTGGATTATGATCGTGGATCTCAAATTGTGGGTCGGGGTCATGGATCGTGGATCGCGAATCACGGATAGTAAATTGTAAATTGTAAATTGGGGTACTCTAATCAAACACGTAGCATCATATCCTGCTCTATCACGTAGTCGCCATTTGTAAATTAAATTTGTAAAATATAATCCCGATGACGTCGTACTAGTGATTTTTACTCTGGGGCACAGCGACTTTTGTGCTGGGATGTACCCAGTCTGGGATGACGATGTATTCAAGGAACAATGTCAACAATGGGAATGAGCTCGAAAAATGTGAATTAGGTCAATAATGGGAAACGGTGTCAATGATGGGAAAAGCATGTATAGTACAGTCGAATGGATATGGCAATGTTTAAGATTTAAATAGATTTGTCTGAGATGTCTCTGTATCTAATTAAACAGACACAAAAGGTGGTTTTTGTGGATTGATCGAGACATGTTTCGGCTGTGGATACAGGTGGAATGGGTTTGGTTTGGTATGAGTGAGGTACTGTATGTTGGGGAAGTGTAGTTATGCGTCGCTTGTATTCCTACCTGTAGTACACTGGTTGGCGGTGGGGTTTGGGTTATTCGGTGAGGTACAGTAGTGAGCTTGTTGTCCAGCGGTTGTCCAGCGCTTGTCCAGTTTACTAAGACTGTAAAACATACTTCAAAAGATTATTTACTGGTTCTTTGTTATTAAATTTCTTGGATTCTTGCAATTGATATCTGTGCGCATGTCTTTATGCAATATAATTCGTAAGTAACGTGTATAATGAAATGCTCTACATGGGGAACGAGAAGCCCGTGGGTCTCAGCTTATCCATCTACTAATCCTGTGCAATATCATCCCTGTGACCTGACGATAAGCAGGCAATAATTACGTCCACCTGACCAAATGGCTCAACTACAGAGCCTTAGAGCCTCAGAGGTGACAGCGGGACTGGCGCGCATCAGACAACATAATTTTTGTCAGCAGTATTAGTCTACCCCGTACCCCACGCAGTAAGACGGTACTCCGTAGGGTAGTTAGTGTCGGGAACTAATCGGTAACTAAATTACGGCCAACCAACGTCGAAATCCGGGGTAACTTTACTACTTACCAATATGACGACCCTGACAGCACTGCGCCGTCATCAGAAAGTAAGACGGGTAATTAGACAGACACGCAGATAGGTCGGTGACCTTGAAGACAACCAGCCGCTTCAAGTGTCAGATTTAGTCTCGAGTGTCAGACCGCATATTGTCCACACAACAACACTACAGTGGTAGAAGAACAAAGTGAAGAATGCATCAGCGGAAAGAGTGTACTGTACCCCACACGGAGTATACCCCATAAAGAGTAATAACGTAAGACGGAAAATATCTTCATTCACAACGGCTATTCATGTTAGAGGCAAGGTAATAGTGGCGATGACGGGTAATATCAGTGCGTAATCATGGAAACACTCCATTCGACTCATCGGGTACTCCGTAGACATACCATAAAGCATGGACACCATCATCCCCTCGGCCGAAGGGAAAAGGGAGCGATCGTCATGATGATCTTCGTCAAGCTTGGACATCATGTTCGCGAGTGACGGCAGACACCAGCCCTACTTGTGTATCCACCACGATGCTCTTCAGCCCGGGCCCTTTCTCAGGTCTATCTTCTTTTGTTCGTTCAGCCTTATTTTCAGGTCGGATAATTCTTCGTGTTATGATATGATGCAACAATGATAGTGACATTGACAGTAACACTCCACTTTGTAATGTGTAGAGTACTTAGCCTGTTCAATAGTGGTTCTTGTTGCAGTACAACCAAATACTCAAAATGACGTCCATTAACTAGCAATAAACTTGAGAATGACAGACCCAGAAAATTGAAATGTGGTCGTTATCGAACGACGATGACAGCGAGGCAGTGCAGTGAGTCCAGGTAGACGTCATATGTGTAAGGTAAATTACCTGTTCTGAGGATTATTTCCTGTGCTAGCTGAGCTTTGAGGTCCAGCGGTACAAGAGCAATACTTGTGGAAATTGGGATAATTGGCTTTGAGACAGATGATTTAATATGACTGAGATCGGTGCACAGTAGAGTACAAATATTTACTTGGGAGGAAACCACCAGAATGTTTCACTTTCAGCACAGTACAACGCCATGTTCACTGGATATTTGCTGAGGCTGGCTTGACTGACACATGCTTATCAACTGTCAAGCTGAGAGGGTACGCAAAGGTACTTTGCCAAGTGCAGAGGATGATTAATGGATCAGTAATACAGCGATGCAACGTAGTGGACATTGTGGCTGACGATACGGTGTAGCATATCAGTGAGCCAGTTGGGTGCGCCGCTGTAATTGGGCTCGGTTATAGCCATAGCTGTAGGTTTCCACTGACACGTCGGTAAGCCGCCATCGATACTGTCCTGTACGCTACGAGACTCGAAGCCAAGGCAAAGACAGCTCAGTTGAACAACAGGATTTCAATTAAGTTTGAAGTGTCAGAGAAGCGGTATCATCCCTATTGGCACTGCTTCCATGCCCAACTATAAAATATCAATAAATGCAGTGAAATGTAATGTTCTTGGGCGCCTTTATTGCTTGTGACCGTGGACAACACATCAGGTTTTACTCCCCGATATCGGCCACCATTACCGTACTGTGGGATTGGATATACCTAATAGAGTAGGTCTAACAGCTTGTGATTTCCATTGCATTGCAGGGCGCCACGGTTGTCCATGGACCACAACAGCTTGCCAGACAGCATGGTGGCTTATCGGATGGATGCCGGATAAGTTGCCGTTCATGCATGGCAGGATAGCACAAAGTTAAATTATTGATCCCATGCTTAGATTTCCCTTTCAAAGCATGGCAATGCGTGGCGGATGCGGACGCACTGCCAGATCAGAGGAAAGGATTGACTTAGAGTTTGTTGGGTGAAGTTTGGTCGCTTGGCTTTACCTCAGCCCGCGTTGTCTGTAGCGGGTATAGAGTTAGGCGGTCAGTAACTTACCTTACCTACAGTGTATACTTGGCAAAGATCTGGCCGAGAAAACCCTGGCAGACTAAAGTTAAGTAAAGTTCAACTAATGTAGCTCACTTCGGCCCGTTCGCTACCCGTGGGTCTAGTTATACTAATCAACTTAACTTTTCGCTTCCCGTAGAATTAGTCTCTTAGGTAGTTCTAGCCCCCCAGGTCCCCCGCAAATTAAGTTGACCCTTTGTGATAGCCGGTCACCTGTAGTTAAATACCTAGACAATTAACCAGTCAATACTGCGGTGCTACTATATAGCAAGAACACTACCGACAGTTTGGATCCCCGAAATAAAAGTTGCAAAAGGCATGTATATCTCAAATTGTAGAGCATGGCGACACAGGCGGTGAGTCAAGGCATTTGACCCGATATATCAATTCCCACGACACTGGGTCCAGATTACACTGCATGCGATGGGACTGTCCTTGCTGTCCTATAGATTGCTAGTATACCACCACGCGTAACATGGTCGCTACCCATACCATCCCATACCGTCCCTCTTATCTCGCGTTGCCCAGATAGCGATGCAGTGGAGATCATAATACTCAAGAGGCTTGCTGAACTGAATCAGACGTCTAATTCAATCGTCAGCCCGTGGTACCGCAACGTGCCTGAGTTTTCTATTTCCATATCGTATACTACAAACCATCGTATTCTTGATATCCTATCAAACATAGGGACATATATAGTATAAGACAATCACATCACCATCACATACACACTGGGTTATGCAATCTACTGGTCAAAATTCGATACGTTTCTCAAACCAGGCGCGCCAAGTGGCGTTTTCATGGCATTAGGGCGTTCCTGGCCCGCTGGCCCGCTGGATCCGCGACTAGGGGCCTAGTAAACTCGTAGACTAACGTTAGACCCATACAAGGGGGGAAATAGTGATAGCCAGACGGGTAGAGATCTGATCTTTTGTGGAATACCAGTAGTACGTAGTGCGCTCCACATGGTCCGTGGCTACTACGTACTGTTAATTAGACAAAGCCACCACGATGGAACTTATGCAGAGCGGCTGGATCCCCGAAGCAGGCTTGATCAAGTTTCGCACTGTGGCGTTTGACATTTGTGTTTGGCGTTTGGCGGCTGGCGTTCTGGCGTGGACCCTCGTCAGCTGGCGTTCTGGTTTTGTGCTCTTTTGCTCTTTGGGCTTCGAGCTTTGGGCTTTGGGCTGTCAAGTTGTCGCTGCATACGGAACACTGGCGACGGGATGGCTGACAGGGTCGGAGGGCCCGGATGGATGCCGTAGTACGCGTACGCGTTGGCAGTGGCTTTGGCGGAACTCTGTATGTTTTGAGGCGTACGGTGTCCTGTAGCATATTTGCTTTGCTTTTGTTTTTATCGTTACTTTTAGTTCCTCGATATCCTGTCATAGTGTATTATCACCTCCATATAATCAATATCTTCTAATATACTATTATTACCATGTACGAGATGACTGTGTTCTTCAATGATTTCACTGTCTCGGACACGGTATTGTCGTACCGTTACTGCATGTAATATGTTGTAGTCGTATAAATTATGCCGTATCCGTATGAGAAAAGTAGAGCATGTATTGCTCTTTTATCCCCATTGTCTCCTCGTCAGCCAAGTATCCAAAAGTATCTCAGTATCTCAGGTAAAGTTAGTGCAAGTACCATACCTACCATACCTCAGTTCAGCTACCCCGAAAACCCCACGGGTATGTTACAGGACTCTTAATTCAGGGTCCAGGTGGTCCGGAAATCTCATCCGGTTCTTGGAAATTCTGAAATTCTGGGGTCTAGTCTCCATCCAGCCACCCCCCTCATGTCTGACCTTTTCTTTTTCTTTTCTTTGTCTGAGTTGCTCTGTGCTCACCCACACACACATCACCGGTGTCCCGTTTGCCCCGTGTTTCGGTCCCGAGAGCGGGTACACATGTTCATCTTGTTTTGTAGGTAGTATCTTAATGCCTGCCACGGTAGGAGCTTTACAGGATTTACAGCATTCAAGGATTACCAACGCTTACAATCTGACTAGAGTTTATCTGCACTGTGGCACACCATGCGACCCCAATCCCACAGGAAACCATATCACACACACTCTCTCTCATTCACCGAGACCCCAATAAACCCCACGGGGGGTTTGGTCAAGTGTAGCACTACCTCCGTACCGATTGATCCAACCCACTGGACCCGGATTCTCGGGGACAGCGGAGAGGCGTCGGGGGCTGACCAAGATCCTAGGCAGGTTACAGGTTGCATGTTGCATTTTGCATGACATTTTTTTTGTCGGTGTGAGATTTACTCGCGGTGCTGTTCGCTGTTTTTGCTGCCTACCTAGTTTCGCTGAGTCAAACAGTTCAATCCAATCCAATCCACCGTACCGTATCATTTGTCGTTTTTCCTTTTGTGCCCCAGCTCAAGACTTGGCACACAGTAATCCAAGGGATTAAGATTTCCATTCAGACAGGGGGACGGGGGGGAGAGGGCCAGGTCAGGGTCCGTGTGAAAGTGGCGGCGGCGCGATGGCGGCGTTGGGCGGTGGGCAATCTCTGTGAATCACACACACGGGCCTTGGAAATAATAACACCCACACATTGTTGTACAGTACAGTACATTACATGTAAGCTGTAATAAAGAAAAAAAGACAGCAAAAAAGCACACACGCACACAAGCCCCGGACCAGACCCTTTGTATGCTCACGGACTGGACTGGACCGGGGGGGAGCAGTAAGTATTGCAAAGCAAAGCAACACGCAAACACAAAAAAACTATAAAGAACTCCGAGGGGGGGCGGCGCAGGACACGGTAAACATAAAATCTCACCGTGATCCTCCTTTTTCCTTCCCCTTTACAGCCGTTCATCCTATATTTGACTTTTCCGTTCGTTTCCGCTCGCCCAGAGTCAAGAGTGCAAAAAGCTCAGAGTCAAAGAATTTAATATAATATCCCGGCAGCACAAACGGATTTGGGAGCTGATCTTCGCTCCCATTGTCGTCATTTGTTTTTGGACAACATACATACCGTACACATCCACATCCCCACCGCACATACATACATACATAAGTTACAGCGAGTCGGTGTCCGAAAATAAAAGGAGTCCAGCCTTACACAACACACTATATACTGTGGGCATATATTATTACGAACGCTACGATATCAACAGCGACAATCAACATCAGAATTTACGACTACAAAAAAAATTCGACCCACATTTTTTTCAAATTACAATATAATTTATCTGTGATTACTTACCATTTGTATATCAACATACGATTTAATTATTCGGACCTATTCGTTTAGCTTGGATCACTCAAGTGACTCACACCACATCACACGCCATACACTGTACACGCTACAAACCATCCGTTGACGATATTCCGATAATCCCTCAAACCCCTCAAAAGTCGCGCGCGCGCATACACAAATACACGCGCTACGCAGAGGCCAGGGTGACTCTACCGCCATTGCCGTCATCCAGTCCAAGGCAACAAAATAAGGGGGAAACAAAAAAAAATATAATCTCGTCGCTGTCCTCAAACGCCTGGCTTCTTCACCTACTGCTTCAACAGGTAAATCGCGTACTGTGATCCAGTAACGCGACAAATAATTCGACAGACTACCGAAAAAATAAATAAATAAAAGAGAACAACAAAATGCCATTCACCGATTCTCCATCAAGTTCGCCCATCTCCTTTTACAAGCGATCTCCCGGGTCTTCGCCAGTAGATTCGCTCGTCGATCTTACTCCGCGGCCATCGTCAACAAGTTCGCAGCGCTCTTGCGCACACCCGTCGTGGCCCCGACGCAGCTCGCTCTCGGAGGTACCCTCCAGTGAGCCCAGCGCGTACATTTCAGACGCAGATCTGTTTCCAGACGTCTTCGACACGGATGCCGAGCCTTCTTCCCCAAGAACATCCAGCGGCATGATTGACGTCAACGTGCTTGCGCTCAACCCGCTTCCGTGGTGCTCCGGTCAACAACAGCAACAGCCGGAGAAGAAGCGCCGACGGAGCTCGAGCTCTCGCAAGCATCGCAGACCTTCCAAGCCCATGACTCCCATTTCGGAGATCCCAGAGTGAGAGGGACATGGAGAGGCCATTGGAGCAGAGTGAAGTAATTGCTCGTGTTTCAGGTTAGTTGCTCTGACGACTGGTATTCGAGGTCAATGTACTAATGTCAATGTACTTCCTTAGACACGATATGATTCATGGCGAATCGCAGAATAGAGAAAAGAAAAGACTCATGCTCTTCCGCACAAGACAGTACGGCAAAGCACAGCGTGATGTCGCTCATATCACGAGCCTCGCCGCTGTCGCCGGCATCAGGATGGACGCCACAGATGGCAGCCACTAAAGCCAGTCACTTTGCTAAGAAATGACTGGCATAAAGAGAATCGAGTCTCTGTTTCGAATCAGGGCTAGGACCTTGTGCTGAGGCACAAGGTTCAGTCATCAAGAAACGGCTCTGTGTGGCGTCCAGGCACCATGTACGGATCGACATGGAGTGACAGTGATGGCTCATATTATCGCTGCTTCTCTTATCACCAGTTATGGTGTCCGTTGGGGAAATGAGAGAAAACGGCTCAGCGAGAGAAATAAATGACGAGCTTGGACGGGGTTGGCCGGATGGGCCGAAGTCACGGTCCACGGCCTGGGTGGGCCGCATTTTAGCGCGGGCGCGTAAATTGGGCCGAGGAAACGATTCGGCATCATCATCACAAGGTGTGATGAGAAAGTCACGTCCTCTTGTACCCAATCATTTTCTGTTTTTTTGCTGTCGCAAATGATACCCTTGTTGGAGTTTTTGATTGGAATCTGAATTTTGATTTGGCAAATGATTGGAGTTAAGCAGAGACGGTTTAAATCGTCCATGGGATACCCTTGCTTGGCTTTTTTTCCATTTTCGGGTCTGTTTTTGGACATGTCGTGGCATCTCGCCCTCTCGCCCGCGTGCTTTTGATCGCATTGGTTGCCTTGAGGAGGTACCTAGATAATGAGGCGCGCATCTTCTAGAATCTTTCGGAGCGGTGTTCAGACGCTCAAGTCAGCAATAGTAAATTAATGTTAATTTTATGTTCGGATAAACTCCTCGCAATAGAGTGCTGTGCTGTGCAGAGCCTTGACCTTAGTACTGATAAGTGATACAAGTGGTCTGTGATCGTCTGAGAGAAGGGTTCAGATGTGAAGAGGAGGACTTGGTCGCATTGGACCCACATCTCCACATGGACAAGGCAGATGTCGGAACGGGACAACGGGAGGGTCCCGTACTGTCCACGGGACGAAAGACGGCGGTCAGCAATGGCGCGGTGACGGAGATTCCTTAAGCAGTTAGCCTATGGGGCAAAACGACGATTCAGCAGCTTTGCTGAGTGTTTGAACCATTCTGATCGTCGTTACGCTATTCCAGCGAAGAGACCACTCTCTGCTGCGTGCACTAATCAAACGAACAAATTTTTTTGGAGAATTTGATCGATGCATCGCTGGATGCTCTGAGTTGTACCTACATTTCAATTCCTGCAGTGCTCGCCATTCAGAGGTTACAGCACATCGTGCTCCATTTCCTTCGGCAAGGGCGAGTGTTTGATGTGTGACAACGTGACCTGCGATGATACCGAGAGAGCGGGCCTCGCCTCGAGCAGCGCCTGATAGCTCTTGGAGCCCAAGGATACTGCGGTGTAAAGCTGATGCATAGCTATCCTCATCTTACTTGTCAGAAGTAGAAATGAAAATGCAGAAAGGGCACGAGAAATGTCCTGCTACTGAACCCATTCCTAGGTGTGCTGTGCCCGCGCTTATTTCCAAAATTCGAGGTTAAAAGCTGAGCGCGGCAGACAATGAGGTGAGACCTGCGTCTAAGATAGAGGAAACTTCAAGCAGGTCACAAAAATAGGGACAAGACTTTGGTTTGGAAGTTACAAATATGCAGCCAAAGTAATTTCCCAGCCAGGTCAGAAAGGGACCAAGGGCTGAAGGACTTTATCGCGAGGAAATTCTTGTGACGGAGGGCAATTGGAACCCGATAGCGATGAGCAAAGAAAGAGGGGCGTTTTGCAACAGGGTCGCTAGTCTATCCAGGTTAGAGACCGATTTGGCCGCCCGTAGTTCGTCCCCCCGCAGACCCAATGATTGACCCTAATACAGCATTTTCCCCATCCATGCCCCTTTCGTCAAACTCGGCGGACCCGTGTCATTGGGTTTCCTGATTGATTATCGACGTCCCTGACCTGCCGGTCTGTCAATTGATCACACCCGCCCCCCATGCTTGTTCTGAACCAACATCGTCCAGTACACTCAAGGTCCCATGTCAACATGAGACCTGTAGTACTGGTCTCGATGCCTATCCTCGGCAAAGATCCAGTTTGACAATAGATTCCGTCCTGACCTCCCCTTTTCAAAAACGAGTTCTGGTTGGCTCCTTGCAAAGCCTGGATGTTTCTTGCTCGTATGCACAATCTTCCATTTAGAAGCGGAGGGCTACCATACCTCCTCTTCTTTCCGCCGTTTGTGTTGGTCTGGGGGCCGCCACTCGAGCTCCAGAGTAGGTTTCCAGACTTTCAGTTCATCTGATATTATGTTGCACTGGTTGGATTTGAAGCTTTAATGTTCGGTCTGCTTGGCCTGTTCAGCATAAAACGAATTTGCTGTTGTTAAGTATTGCCCAGGTTATTGGCTTTGGCCGGATATCTCCTCTTATCGTACCATATGCATCAAGGTTCGTACTGCATGGCTAATTCCTCCCACGCAGCCACACTGGTGCACTCCACCTCAGTGGTGCGGCGCTTAGTTGTGCCGAATATGGCGGCTCAGGCTTCCTGCCACCCCTAAATAAGCTGCAGTGCTATGTATAACCTGTGCTGAGTGTTCGACACAGGCGCATCTCGTGCCGTTCCACGCAGTCCGCGCAGAGTACGCAGTCTTAGTTCAAGCTTTTTTGGAGCCTTTCTCACCGAATGTTTCTGAGGTAGGTGGCCAAAAGTCGCATCTTCAGGAAGATTGAATCTCTTCCTGTACTGCTTATGTGGAGTTCAATGAGCTATACCTTTCGTTTGCTGTCGGCAATCTGACAGATTTCAGGCGCCTCCACGATTGAGCCTTTGTCGACGACATGTCTGCGGAGGAGTTGATCAGGCATCGGTCTGCCTCGCAAGGCTCGCATAATTCGGTGAAAAAGCTAGCACCAAGTCGGTCGAAACTACGATCTAAAAGCGTCCTCGGAATCTGCGCTGCAACGGGTTCTCTATTCCTTTTCACTCGAGGGCCTACTGTGGTGTGTCTGCATCATGACACTCTCGCTGTTGAGAGGTACTTCGAAAACCATCGCGAAGACATCTTGTTACTCTCGGTAGATAATGCCAGTGCTCAAGGCGGTGGCAGACTGGCCGTAACTTATGATGTTGGGCAAACTGCAATTGTCTGGGATATGCATACCGGACAAGAAATTGCACGGTTTGCCTCGTTCGAGCATATCAATGTCGCAAATTGGATGCGAAATGGCAACGTTGCCTTTGGTATGCTGTCTCCTTCTGTCACCAGTATCCTTTTGCATCACTAATAGATTTCAGGCAACTCCAAGGGCAATATCATTTTGTTCGAACCGTCCACCTCCGAGCATCTCTCTACTCGTACAATTTTCGATCCTATAACAGCGCTGGCTCCGTCATCCGACTGCAAAACATTTGCCATTGGGTTTGAGTCACTCACTGAACTTCTTTTAATGCGATTGCTAATTTATATCCAGCTATATGAACGGTTCCATCTTGATCGCTACAGTCCAGCCAACTTTCACCATTCTTCACACACTTACAACCTCTCGAGCTCCCTCGCCACTAGTTCATCTAGCATGGCATGCATCATCTTCCAAGCAAAAGGCCTCAATGCTTGCTTCACAAACAATGGATGGAGACCTTCGCGTTTGGAGCATTCCAAAGCAGCCGTCGAGCGAGTCTCCCCGAGTCATCCGTGCACTGACTCGGCCAGAATCTTGTCAGCCAGGGCGTCATTGGCTGGGCTGGTCTAAGAACGGCAGAATTGTCCAATTCTCAGAAGGGTAAGTAGACACTAATGCTGGCCCCGACACACTTGCAATATTTCCATTGGGGCTCTCTGACGCAGATTGCAGTGAAGTGGTGGTTTGGGACGTTCGGACAAAGCATGTCACATACGAAACCGTTCCGATTGCAGGTGACGTCTGTGGAATAACAAATTACGGGCCTACCGCGACACTTTTTACCCTGAGTCGGGATGATACGGTTCAACAATATGAGTTAAGCCCTCCTACATTGGTTGCAAGCGTTCGACATCTCCCAGCAACTGTTCCTGCCCCGCCTCGCTTTGGATCGACCGGCAGGGGCCATTCAAGCACAGGTCTTTCCGGGAACACACCCGTGACAGCACTGAGAAGTGAACCCGAGAGCGAAGAGGATTCTGCAGCGTTGACCCCTTTGCAGAAAATTGTGCAGGAAATGGCAGAGATGGAAGCCGACCGGAAGAATCGCATTGATACGACTAGCTCAATGTCATCCGCCCTGAGCCGTACTGGGTCTGCCAGTTCAAGATCTTCAGGGGGTCGCTACCGGCCGGGCTACCCTTCCAAATCATCCATTTCGGCGAAGTCGAGTGACGTTACTTTTCTCTCTAATGGAACAATGTCCTATGGCGGTGCCGACAGTGTTTCCATCAGCAGCTCATCTTCTTTTGCCTCTTCTCATCGCATCAAACGGCCCGGTTCACGTCTTAAGCACGAACTTCTCCGAAGCCCGGAGGCCAACAAAGTCGTTGATATATTCAGTTATACAAAGAGTAAATTGGAAGAAGTCCCATATACGATTCCCTCGTGCCGAGACGAGAGTCACCTAACTCCTGACGATCTTCGACGGCAAACACTGCGTGTAGTATTTGGGTGGCACGGTGATATTGAAGACTTGATAAAAGATGAATGTAAGTGTAAAATCTGAAAAAGTGACTTGTTCATCCTCTTACTCTATGCAGTGACCCATCAGCCGCCTGGCTCGCCTGCTGCTGTACTCCTTTCTAAGTGGATCACGGACGTTGATGAGCAGATGATGAAGACAATGGTTGGGTCTGAGTCAATGACTGCATCTGACTGGATGCTGCTGGCCTTGAGCCAAATCGGTGGCCAGGCATCAACAAAGAAAGTTGGCCAGGCCTTTGTACAGCGTTTGTTAGAGAAAGGCGACGTTCATTCCTCTGTCACAATTTTACTTGGTCTCGGGGATCAGGAGGACGCGGTTGAGGTCTATGTTTCACGGAACTACTTCTTGTAAGTTTTCTTCTACTTTCCAGATATCATTACTAATGATAAACTTAGAGAGGCAGTTCTCTTGACCTGCCTTATTTTCCCCACAGATTGGCAACGCTTGTCTCATTTGCTTAGACGTTGGGGAGAATATGCAATCACAAGCTCTCAGCAGCAGCTTGCATTGAGATGGTAAGCTCAAAGCACTCCTGATACTTAAGATTAAAATCTCATAAGCAGTAGTTTCTCGTGCACTAGCATAGGTCCATGTGAATCCTGGACGCCGCCAACACGCAGGCAGTCAATATCTAAATCATCGAATATACAACATTTGTCAGCAAATGGCCATCATCACCACAGTCATAACCACGAGTCATCGTTGAAATCACCGGCATTAGCAAATCAATCCTTGAGCCCAACCCAAGTTGGTCAGGTTCCCAAAGGGGTGCGAGCCCCTGGAGTGCCGCCAGTTCCTATCATTACTGGTCCACCTCTGTCGCCTCCCGGAACAGGGAATCCGAATCGATTAACAACTAAAAATGCTGCGTTGAAAGTTATCACGTCCTTTCCTTCCAACCAGGTTGCACCTGGCTCATATTTCTCGGCTATTACGTCCGATGATCGCACGCCAATGAACAATATTGGAGTCACTCCCATAGCTGATACAGCACTCTCTAACTCTCCCGGAGCTTGGCTTCGCCCTCACGGCCGAGGGAGCAATCCATCTTCAGCCCGGCGGACGCCAGGCGGATATGGCAGAAAACGGCTGCCTTCCATTGGCGAGACTCCTGTAGATGTCACGCCTCATCCATTTGCAAAGCCGACTTCACTAGCTACGATTGTTGACTCATTATCTGCGAAGGAAAAGCAGAAGGGCAATGGCGTGAAGTCAGGTCAACAGGACTCTCGAGCTACTCTGAGTGCGACCAAGTATGATCCGAAAACAAAGGACCCTCGTTCCCAAACTTCCCCAAGTCACAAGCTCTACTCCCCTGTACAAGGTTCCTTTGCGAATCCGAACGGAGAGCGGCGAGATGGGCCACGCAATATGAAGGGAGAGGAAGTGCAAGTTCAATGGCCACCGATCGAATCAATTCTTACGGGAGATTATATATCCACAACCAGTGCCCGCTCATCTGATGCTTATGCATCTAACCGTGGAAATAATTTTTCGTCCGCCAATTCGACACCCTCAATCTCTTCACGACATGAAATGCGAAGTAGAAGCATCGATCAATTTATAAGCAGCCTTGAAGAAGCAAATTATTATTCTCGGCGGTATCGGAGTGGAAGTCGACATCGACAAGAAAGCCGTGATCGAAAACCGCGATTGAACATTAAAGCTCCGTCTGATGCTCGAATGCAGAGTCAGGATAGGCAGACTGAATTTTCCGAAGGTCGTGGGCGGAGAGATGTGAGATACATGAGGCCTAAAAAATCTCCGTCTTCACCCGTACCAATGTCTCCAGAGGATCTCAAGCTATACCCGAGGTGTGAAACTGCTGACGCAGAGAAGTACTATCGGTCCACTTCCCCGAATGCAGACGCTAGCCAGCGTTCGCAACGCAGCCAGCAAAAGTCGCATTCAAAAACTCGTTCCAAGGCATCTGCAACCTCCAACCGAAACGCTCATGAACAGTCACAAGAGAGAAGAGCGGAGAGTCAAAATGCCGGTAAACGAGCAGGGAGTGCACAGCGAAAAGCCGGAATCCATCAAGAGAATTCTATGGCTCATCCTCCTAAGGGTGATCGGGGTCGATCCAGGTCCAGAGGAAAGGGGAAACCGTCAAGATCTCCTTCGTCACCTGTACCAATGTCCACGGAGCCGAACGACATGACCCAGGCCGCATTGACAAGTACGGATGAAGTTTCAATGTCTAGCGACTACCTTTCTCCTGCCCGACGGTACAGAAGCGGTAGCAGGCAAAAAAACGAACGAGGCTCAAGTGCCCGACGAGATCCGTCGCCTGACCGCCGGCGGCGCTATAATCGCTCGCAAAGCCGCCAGGCTCGAGAGGATGAAGCGTTCTCTCGTGTAGCTATTGGCGGATCTTCGGCGGAACAACACCGGCACGGGAATCGTACAGATGAGTCGGACTTATGGGACAGTGATGCTGATCTCAAACGTCAAATGGCTGCACAAGAGCTTGAAGACCGCCGTAAGTCACTGTCGCGCCGTCCTTCTGTCCCTTTCATTCCACATCCAGAAGAACTTGCCAAATCGAGACCTCCCGTTGTGGAGATATGCTCGGCGCAAGACATCAGAGATAATCCGAACGCCTGGATCATGATGTCTCGCTGGGGCATCGGCGAGCCAAGACGAAGCAAATCCGTCTCTTCGCAAAGAAGGCCGACGTTTTTTGATCCGAATAGTAGTATTGCTATCGGGATCGGCCTGCCGCCCACTCCAAAGGCTATGCCTCATCCTTTGCACTCTAACAAAGTTGCAGGCGGAAGCAGCCATGAATTTTATATTCCTGACGTACCTGATAACTTATCAATGTTGCCGTCCGCCTTCAGCGAGGAAGGAACTGGCGAATTTCCGAACCACCTCAAGGCAGGGATTCCGGACGATATAATGGGTCGTTCCATGTCAGCCCCCATCCCTGATAGGCCTTTATCCCCGGGTCCCCTGCCATCCAGCTTCCCAACGCATCCGGCCTTTCTTCACAATCTCCCACCTAGCAAAGGACAAGCCTCAGGACAGCAGGGACACGCTGTCAGGAAGATTGCCCCAGGCGAATCTGAGCCCGGACAGTTAGGTTTTGGTGCAGCCGCAGCCCTTGCAAACGCTGCGCTAAATGGGCTTGATGCTGACGAGGCGGCACAGGCCGCAAATAATACATTGAAGCCAGAGGACACCAATCGAGTCCCATCAGCTCCGCCTTTGCTGGCCGAACTGCAGCATCTCAAGAAAAAGGCACCGCCGTCTCTTCCGCTACCTCCGCCACCGCCTCCAGTGCCTCCCAAGCCGGCCGAGTATTCCCAAGATCGTTCGGTTCCGGACAAAGCTGGCAATGCGGTCGGAGTGATTAACATTGCTATGGAAGACAAAGAGGCCGGAATTCCAACAGAAGAAGAAGCTTCGAAATCGGCCACTGCGCCAGCCGTAAAGCTCCCGCAATCCCAATCCCAATCCCAGCTTCAACACGACGCCCCAGCGCCACCTCAACTTCAAATCTCTACCCAGATTCCGCCAGCGGCCGCGAATCATACGTTGAGGTCGCCGCATCGCAGAGGGCAGAGTACACAAGAAGCGACGCTTTCGAGCAAAATGAAGAATGTAAGCGAACATCCGCGAAGTGGTAGTCGAGGCCGGAGGGAGAAGAGGCCCCCTGAAGCCTCACCTTCCTCAGCGCAGCAAGAAAAGTCTTCCCCTTACGACAACTATTCTGGAGTAACACTTGAACAGGCTCTTTCACAGCCTCTCCCAAGAGGAAATCCCCCCTTGATGTACAAGACCGGAAGACGCCCACGAGAATTTGCCGCAGCGATGCATGAAGGCGGTATGATCTGAGCTTGTCTCATCCGTCCATTCATATAAGACCGAAACCAAAAATATGTTAGCCCTTCCTTTGCCAGAACGATACCGTTTACGAGCCACCTTATGAACCTTTTGACGATGTTAAGAGCCATTCCACAGAGGGCCGATCTGAACAGCCTTTTGAGTCCGTTGCATTCTCTCCTTTTTTTTTCTTTTTTTTTTCTCTCTCTCTTTTCTTCTGTCTCATCACATAATCATCAACGACGATACCCTGCCATACAACTGCCATGCATGCGAGATATCTGTATCCTCCCTCGCAGCACCCACAGTCATGTTGGTACCTGAGCACTGAGCATTGAGCAGCATCTTGCCTGGAAGCCCCCAGTTCTGAAGGGGAGCTGTATAAGTACTTACTAGTTGAATTGTGATATTTATTTCATTTTATTTTATTTTTTTCCCTTTTAGGCGTTTTCTAAACCCCTCTCTTTTTCCACCCTTTTTTTTTCTTGATTATTTTTTTATTCTGAATCTTTTCCTTTTATATCCTATACTTTAGCGAATTTTTATCTCCATCTCCAATTTCATCTTCCAATGAATACCAATCAAATGAGATAATCCAGATTCTCCTCGAGCTTATGCACCTTATGTTGTCAGACATTCCGTTGACAGCTGTTAAACTGGCTGATAATCTCGACATGTACTTTAGTTAGACAGTGTTACGGCACAATCGATAAGTTAAGTAGTAATTGTGTTTCGCGTGTTATTCAGATTTCGTCAGTTCTGTCTAGACTTTAGCCAAGCACACTTTTTTTTGCTGTTTTATATACAATATGACTTTGACTGTTCGCTGGACTTTGCCCTATGATAGCTCCCAAAAGAGAAAATAAAGGAAATAAAACCTTTCGCATAAAAGTAGAGTGGTAAGTATAATAAATGGAAAGTCGTCAAAATGCCAAACTTTAGACCTTCAGACCCTGAATCCTCCAAACAGATTCTCAGAATACAAGAGAACCCCTAACAACAAAAAAATCCCTAAACAGTTAAAGGAACCCGTGAGAAACGAGACCTAGCTTCACCATCTGCGCCATCCTTTCCCAGCCCCATCCGGCTGGGACGACGAAAAGTCACCGCCCTGTCGCTCGCGCTCAAGACGCTGGTCGAAATCGCGCTGTGCTTCATTCTGGGCAAGTTGTCGGTCTTCGTCTGTCGACGAGAACGTGAAACTATCGCCTGCGCCTGAGGAAGAAGAGGAGGTAGAATCAGAACCACCAGCACCGCCGGATAAACTGCTTAGTCGTCGTTGAGCCCAGGTGTTTGTTGCAGGCTGGCGATCTGCGGGAGGATACTCGTCAGGGTTGGGCTCGCTGGTCCGCGAAGCCCCTGCGGCTGCTGCTGCTCTGGACCATGCGCCGCGTTGGTGGCCTGCGTCGGGATGCGCAGACTCGCGGCGGATGCGGTCCCATACGGATCCACTAGTTGCGTCAGCGGCTCCTGCGGGAGGTCGGCGCTGTGTGTTTGCAGTGGGACTCATGTCGTCGTCGTCTTCGTCGTAATTAGAGGTGGATGCGTAGTTGTAGTCGGCGTGGTCGCGGGGATCGTCGTCGAAGAAAGTAGTGCCGCGATTGGTGGAGGATGAGGACGAGGAGGTTGGAGATTGTTCAGATGGAGGAGGAGAAGAAGAAGAATATCTGTTTGCGCGCATCTTGTCGACCGTGGCTTGTCGCTGGGTCTGGAGACCTTGCATTTGCTGGTCTGACATGACAGAGGTATCTTGGCTCTTGGATAATGCGGCCACGTCAGAATACGTGGTATCGTCGCCGAATCCTCCTGCTGTAGGGCTCGCGTCATCGTCGCTGCTCATACCCGCCGCAGGAGCTGATGATCCAGATTGCGGTCGTGGATAGCCGGGATGCTGCTGGGATGGAAATCCTCGGGGTTCGTTCTGATGATGATGATGATGGTCAGTCGGTGGGGTTCGCAGTGGGCCATGTTGTCGGACGCGTTCCGCAATGGCATTAATCAAGTCTGTTAGACGTGGGTCTCGCTGCTCGCCGACGGCTGCGACGGTTGCGGCGTAGGATCCTACGACAATACCGCCGAACCAAACGCCTAATACGCTGTAGCAGCCTACTCGGAGTGCATTCCACAGCATCCGCGCTTGCTCGCCCTTGATGCCAAAGTAGAATTGGTACCTGTTGAATTCGGGATTCGGTTTGATAAACGGGAACCGGAACTGTTCGGCCGTGCGGTATGCTTGGATCCAACCTGCCGCTAGACCGACTGGGCGGCCCCATGAGGCTATGGATTGCATCTTTCCACTCCAAAATGCCAGTGCTTCGGATTCATCCTGTGTGGTTGGCCTCTTGAGGACCTTGGACGCAGCGCGGATGCGGTTTTCAATAGTATGCGCGAGGTAAGTCTGGTTGTACCCGAATAACGGGCCTAAAATGGGGACCGGTTTTGGGATCTTGCTTGTGTCGATTTGTATCGAGGATGTAGCAGAATTGGAGGAGGAAGAGGAGTAGGGGTCGCGATCAGAAGGCGGAGAAGAGTCCGGCGAAAAGCCGGCGTCGTTGAGAACCATGATGCTGATTTGTGGAAAAGGGACGCTTTAGATTTATGTATATGTTGATCCGGTATCTCTAATGACTGTGTAGATGCTCCATTGAGCTCAGAAGAAAGATGTCAAATGCTTTCAACTGGGGCAATGACGAAGAGTTGTGGGGTTGGGTGAGTATATGCAAGTGCTTTGTGTTTGACCCGAGGAACCGACATCCTGACATGGTGACGTTAAGGCAGGGTCTCGCTGTGGTCAGAGCTTGTACGGCAACCACCTAAGTCCAGTATGGCAAGAATATCTTCATAAACCAAAAAATGCATATTTTTGTCTATTCTCAGCTAAAGGATATAAAAGTGACATGACCTCGTAGTCTAATTATGTTAAAAAGGAAAAAAAAAAATTGCTGCACAAATGATGACTGCTTTTCAGACACCCTATATTTACGCAAGACCCATCTCCTTGGCAACTTCTTTCCGGACAATCTCCCGGATGCCTTGCCAACCAGAACCTTCCTCCACATCAATGACTCTCTTCTCCTTTTGCTCCAGACCCTCAAACTCCTTGGGGATCGCAGCACTGAAGCTGAAGCCCTGCACGTCTCTCAGAGAAAGGTCGACTGCTTGCACAAATTTGGCCGGGTGAGCGGTAGAGAGCGAGATGTGGTGGGTGTTGGGGGAAGCGAGGCGCTCAATGAAGCGGAGAGAAGCCTGAACACCGACGGCGGAGTGAGGGTCAAGGATGTAGCCACCCTTGTGACGAGTGCCATCTTCGGCCTTTGCATCGCTGTGGGCTGCCGTAGGGGGGTGTGAAGTGTAGAGCTGCTTGATGGTCTCAACAGTGGCCTTGTCTGACACACGCTCACTGTCAAAGTCGCGCTTAGCGCCCTCGAGAATGGCAGGCTCGACGCCGAAGCCGCCATTCGTCTTCAGATCATCAAGCCACTGCTTGACCTTCTGTCCAGCAATCTTTCGCTGCTCGGTCTCGTCACCCTTGCCGTAAACCTCCTTGGCAAGGTACCACAGCAAACGTTCAAAGTTGCTGCTGACCAGAATGTCCATGGCCGGGCTGAGCGTCTCCTTGACACCTTCAACCTGTGCCTTTGCGCCATCCTCCTTAAGGCCATCGAGAGCCTCACGGCCCTTGGCAGCCTTCTTCTCGTAGTAGCCAGTCTTCCAGAAACGGTTCAGAATGTCATTCTCATTGGTCGCGACAATGAGTTTCTCGGCAGGGAGACCCATGCGCTTGGCAAAGTAACCGGCCAAGATGTCGCCAAAGTTTCCAGTGGGGACAGTCCATCGGACCTTGGAGCCGGGAGCGAACTTGCCGGAGCGGAGGAGGGAGAAGTAGGAGTGGAAGTAGTAGGTGGTCTGGGCAAGAATACGAGCCCAGTTGATAGAGTTGACGGCGGCAAGGTTGTGCGTGGCATTGATCTCAGGGTCAGCAAAAAGTGCTTTGACAGCGTCCTGGAAATGTTTCTGTTAGCACAACGAATGCGCATCATTGAGGTGTCAGCGCAGGGCATTTCCTACCTGGCAGTCATCAAAGGTGCCCTTGACAGCCAAGTTGTGAACATTGGCATCGAGGACAGTGGTCATCTGAGCCTCCTGAATGGGGCTGACCTTGCCCTTGGGGTGCAGAATGAACACGGAAACGTCCGTCTTGCCGCGCAGGCCGTAGATGGCGGCGGAACCAGTGTCACCGCTGGTAGCACCAACAACGGTCAAGTGGTGTCGGTCCTTGCCAGTCTTGCCCTTGTTCCGGCGGATGAGGAAGAATTCGAAGAGGTTGCCAAGCAGCTGGAGGGCAACGTCCTTGAAGGCGAAAGTCGGGCCGTGGAAAAGCTCAAGAAGGTGCAGCTTCTTCTCTTCGTCCAGAGTGACAATAGGAGTCACATCGCGAGTGCGGAAGGTGGCATAGCTTTTCCGGATAATGTTCTTGAGGTCTTCTGAAGGAATCTCGGCGGTGGAAATGTAGAGCGACATGATCTCAAATGCAAGATCCTCGAATGAGTGGTTCTTCCATTTCGTTTCCCAGTCAGCAGGCAGACTGGGGATCTCCTCGGGGATGAAGAGACCTCCGTCAGAGGCAAGACCCTTGAGGACTACATCCTCAAAAGACAACTAATGTTTGACATGTGAAGTTAGCATGACTCCATCCCCAAATTGTCTTGACTCCTGACGCCCTCAAATCACGCAAGAGTGCAAAATAACACCAATCAACAATAGGAAAGCGTACATCGTAGGAGCCTCCGCGAGTGCTCAAATATCTTTGCGACGGTGTGAAAGAAGGCATGATGATGCGTGAATTTTACAGGTTCAATTGCTCCTGGGTCATCCAAAACAATTAAACTGATGAGCAATAAAGTTACAAAAGTAGAGTCAATTGGCGGGCCGATAAACGGAGAGTCAGTCGACAGCAACGAATGAGCGTTCGGCTTATCTGATCTTAACAGAGACTTCCCGGCATCTTTGCTGTGAGCCCCTCCGGGCCTGGAGACCAATAATTGCCCCACCATGGACCACACTCTCACTGACTACGGTACGTACTTTTGGCCACCCGCGAAAAAAAGTCAACGGGAGTGAAGGAACTGTCACCCCCTGCACCGGACCGAGATGACCGGCATCTGCCGGGTAACACCGTGACGGCTTCCCATTCTGGTCTCGTAACAGAAATTTTTCTTCAGGTCTTGGCAGCCCTAAGCGAGACCCTGCCAAACAGCATAAATAGAGCTCTCCCTTTCCAACTCTTTTCTTTTCTCTTTAGTCGACTTTACTTCGTGAGTCTCCCCCCCCTAAAGAGTGCAAATCAACACTCTTTGCTCTACTCTGCTCTTTATGCAGTTGTGCATTTTGAAATGAATCGATTGCTAACGTGCGTCTTCGCAATCTACAGATAGAATCAATTCTATAGTAAACGTCCTCTTCTGAGCTCCTTACCAGAGCCACAGAATCTCCAACCTGGCTGATGATCGTATTTCCCCGGTGCCCTAGAGTGAAGCCTTTTACTCTCGCCTTTGTTCAGATCTGACTTTGTCGGTGACGAATTAGAGAGTGGTGATGATCTCGACCCTCTTTCGACTTAGACTTCGGTCGGCCGAGGAGGGTGGGTGCTGGTGGAGGTCTGACAGGCTTGCTTTTGCAAATTCTTTTTGGAGACAATGGGCAATGGTGGGGCGGGAAGATTTTGATAGAAATGAATATTATTCCTTTACAAATAATTTTGTTACAGTTTCCGTGTAATGTGACATCAATGTATTCTCGAGTGTGTTGTTTTCGTAGCGAGACAAAGTCCGATCTATACAAGGCCATAAGACTAAAATATCGGGTAGCTCATGTTGTTCTTCATACTTATGATCGTCAAGTGGTACCCGTCGTTCGAAAATCAGTGTGGTATCATTGGATGCCTTATGCGGCAATGGTAAAATATGTTCTGAGTACCTGTCATATTACTATGGAGTTATTCATGTGTTGCACATGCTCAAGCTGGCTACGCTGTGGATGCGTCGCCTGCATTCCCAGATCCTCTTCCTGCGCCGCCGCCTCCGCGTCCTCGACCTCGTCCACCTTTTGCTGGTATCGCTCCTGAATTTCCTCCTGCATGTCCCAAGCTACGGCCCTCACTTTTGCCTCCTTTGGCACTTGGTGTCGAACGAGCCTGAGGTTTTCGTTCAACAATAGTGACTTGACCTTGACCGATGCTGACTGGACTGGCCTTAACGGCGGCTTGTAAGCCTTGAGCATCGGCAAAGTCAACATATGCAAATCCCTTGCGCTTATCCATCTCGACCTTTGTGACTTTTCCGTATGCGCTCATAGATGTAGTTACCAATGGCTCCGTGATACCTTGTGAGACATTTGCATGTTTTAGGAATGCTTGCGTAGGACCGGCAGAAGTTGATTGCGTAGGAGCGTTGGAAGAAGCTGTGTTTGCTGAACTTCCCTTCGATGCCGGCCGAGATGCTGCTTGTCCCCCTCCGGGTTTTCCAGAACCCGGCTTCTTCAAAAGAGTGGGAGCTGGAGAGGGTGTCTGTGAAGGAGTAGTAGACGAGACTCCACTCTTTTCCGTCTTCTTCTCTCCACGTGCGCGCTTTCCTTCGCCTTTGGGAGCCCTCGTGCTAGTGGATGCTCCCTTTTCCGTTGGCGCTGGCGAGCTAGGTTTTGTCGCTGGTTCATCTTGCTTGGAGGAGCTCTGCGCTCTAGATGATGTTCCGGCCGAAGTAGTCTCGGTGCTTGTTTCCCGCTTTGATCCACGTCTGCCACTGCCACTTCCAAGCCCCAAATCCCTTTGCAGTATCTTTGCAGCGGCGCTTGCATTTCCGCGCTCTCGTTTCCTCTCTGTCTCTTTGGACGGAGCCGCGGCAACAGTCGGGGATGAGGGTTGGCTTCTCTTACTAGGGGTTGAGGCCTCCCTGCTTAGAACCTTGATAGGGTCCTTGGCACCCCTCTCCGCTCGTGCTTCGCGCGAACCCTTCTTCTCTTGGCTGGAGGCAGCGTCCTTGCTACTCTTTGTGAGGATTCTCTTTTCCGAAACTCGCTCGCTTCTGGATTCTTTCGATCCCCTAGAAGTAGTACTTGGCTCCTTGGTTTTCGCGGCTTTCTTCTCTTTAATGTATTGAACAAGCGGCGTAGTCGTGGCCGCCTCTTCCTTTTTTGAGGTCGATTCGGGCAAATTATCAACATTCGGTGGCTTCTGAATTGGGTTTGTGAGACTTTCGAGAAAGTCGATAAATTCGGGATCCTGATCTATTGTGCCCTGTCGAGCATCATTTCGACGACGGCCGTTCGGGATTCGTCCGTACGGAGCAAATTCTGCTGTAGGTGGCGCTAATAAACAAGGGTCTCTGAATGTGCCTTTTGCATCGTGAAAAGTAGTATTGCGCACAAGTTCTGAAAGCGCATTGAGATGAGTCGTGTCGGTCAAGTGGAGGTAAGCTCGAGAAGGGCGTGAAGGTTTTGCCGGACTGTAGATTTGACATCAGCGCTGCATCTTTTCTGGAAGTGCTTAGAATGGTATCTGTACTCTTTGGAGACCTTGCCAGGCCGGTATTGCGCCCAGTCAATCTTTCCTGCTCCTACTTTCCACTCATCGCCCAAAGCAGTATCGAGTTCCGTAGCGCTAAATGCTGGTGGAAGCCTCCTAATTATCACCTTTAATCGGGGCGCATTCGATCTGCTAGAGCTTGTCTTTGGTGTATTGCCCGCCGATGTACCTTTCTGGATCGCCGAGGGGTTCACTGCAAGAATCCCGTTGACTGGGCCATCAGCAGAAGGTTTCGCTATCGAAATAGGCGCACCAGCGGCAGCCATACTGATCCCGGACCAGAAATGTGCCAGCTGATGGTGTTCCTTTGCCGGGTAAAAAGGAATAGACAATTGAAAAGTCAAATTCCAAATATGAGGCAAAAGTTGCTGATATCTTCAATTCACAGGATAGCTTACCGTTGATGGTTCAGACCAGATGTGCAGTTTGGCTGCCGTAGTGGATATGTGTACAGTAAGCGATAACGGAGATCCGGGAACAAAGTACCTGGGACCTCCGCGAGGATTTCGAGGGCGAGTGGACTTGGTCATGAGTTGCCATGCGACGCCAGGGTCTTGACGTCTCATATGATAATTACACTTGACCGGAATATACTGTGATCACTCATCTAATCTCTAGCTGTACCATTTCCCCCTTGTATGTCCTGCACCCTTTGCAATTCGGTCCACATCGATGCTGACCTTAATAATTGCACTGTAGGTGTGAAGCTAGACGCTACACACAAGACGCTCAGCCTTTCACGAACTGTGACCCAGTGTCCCAGCCAACGACATAATCTTTGTGTCCAGTTGCACCACATTCTCACTGGACATATTGCATCTAGAAAGGCTCGATATTGTTTGATAGTGCGCCTATCATGCCAAAAGGCGAGCAGGTGCCCCAGCCAGGTCCAGCGCGGCTGGCGCCTGGGGCGGGTCCAGATGAATGGCTTGAACAGGCAAAACAATGCAAATATCTTCCCGAGGCGGATATGAAACGGTTGTGCGACATTGTCAAAGAATGTCTGATGGAAGGTAATTTACTGGCCTGCATCGTAGCGCGGATGCCTACGGATGCCTCGTCGACGGACGTCTTACTCCTTATCTAGAACAAATGCTTACTTTGAACATACAGAATCCAATATCCAACCAGTCAAGACCCCGGTTACCGTGTGTGGTGATATTCATGGCCAGTTTTATGATCTCCTCGAACTATTCCGAGTGGCCGGTGGCATGCCTAACGACACCCATGTGGAAGCTCCAACTGTGCCAACAAATGTTATAACATCTGATGATATTGAGCCTCCAACGGAGATCACCGACCCGAAGTTAAAGCGAAAGCTGAGATCAGGTGGCGCCAAAGAGCAACCAACAACTAGTGATGGCGGCGACGATGTCGATGAGGAGGGATCAAGAGGACGTCGAAGAGGGTCGGAAGCAACATCAAGCTACAGTAGAAGCACGAGGGATGATGATTCCGGAGTCGGAATGCGTGGCCGTGGCCAAAGCGTCTCAGGCTCTGGGCAGCAGAATTACGTTTTCTTGGGCGACTTCGTCGACCGTGGATACTTCAGTCTGGAGACATTTACGCTGCTTATGTGCCTAAAAGCAAAGTAAGGCGGCAAGCTTTTCCTGTCGAATCATAACTTTGAGCTGACGGTTCGTTTCTCTTGATTAGATTCCCTGATAGGATTACTCTCGTTCGAGGCAACCATGAATCACGGCAGATTACGCAGGTTTATGGATTCTACGAGGAGTGTCAGACCAAGTATGGGAATGCTTCTGTATGGAAGGCCTGTTGCCAGGTATTTGATTTCCTGGCTTTGGCTGCCATTGTAGATGGAAAAGTGCTCTGTGTCCACGGTGGCCTCAGTCCGGAAATCCGGACGCTTGATCAGATTCGAGTCGTTGCCAGAGCTCAGGAGATTCCGCACGAGGGTGCTTTCTGCGATCTGGTCTGGAGTGACCCTGAGGACGTTGACACCTGGGCCGTGTCACCTCGTGGTGCCGGTTGGCTATTCGGCGACAAGGTCTCATCGGAGGTAAGCATCTCTCGCAACTCACTCTTTCATTGCCCCGCTAACAAGTCTATAGTTCAACCACGTCAACGGCTTGCAGCTGATCGCTCGAGCACATCAGCTAGTTAACGAGGGCTACAAGGTGAGCATTTACATGTCCAACGCTGCTATACCACGTCGTTGGCGTCAGCTGACATTACTTTCTAGTACCACTTCAAAAACAAGGACGTGGTTACGGTGTGGTCCGCTCCCAATTATTGCTACCGATGCGGCAATGTAGCATCAATTATGAACCTCAGCGAGGATCTCAACCCCAAATTCACCATTTTCAGCGCCGTACCCGACCACCAGCGTGCTGTGCCAGCAGGCCGCGGTGGACGAGGCGAGTACTTTTTGTGATGTGCATATGAGCGATGATTACGACGTGTCCGGAGATGAACGCTACGACATGACAGCGGAGGTGCGCGGGCGGTACTTTTGAATATCCATATCATACCATGTGCAGCACCGGGGCTTATGCATATTGATCCATACAAACGACATGCGCTCAAAGACTTTGTTGTTTGCTTTTCTTTTCATCTCCTTTTTCTCTTTATTCTGAACGCGAAACCCGTGTTTCGACTCGATTACCCTTTGCGCATGTCAAAGATCTCTCTTCGCATTCGGAATATCTTGCATACCGGAGTTTTCGGGAGGTACAAGATTTTCCCCAATACCTGTACCATAGTTGTCTCTTATCTCATACTCGCCGCGGGACAGCGGGGGCCAGGTGCAGCGTTGTCTGGCAGCGATAACTCATCGGTCAGCTGGGCTGTAGTTTTCGCGAGGCATATATTTGTTTTCTTTTCTATCCTTTCTTTTTTATTGATGTTGCATCTGCTTCATAGCCGATATGAGAAATATCATCACAGAATACCTTTGTAGAGATTAGAAGAACTCAACAATGGTTCAATTGCTTCAAGTGCTGTATTCTGCCCGGAGAGTTGGGACGGGTTGTATATACTCCGCGTGCAAATAGAAGCGGTTAGCGTGAAAAGTGCAAACCTTTGGTATATAAAGTTGTTAAGCCCAAAAATATTTTGGCTGTAATGGTCGTAAGTCGAGGAGGTTGCCGTATCCCAGCGGACCTCTCCCCGATCACACCAACGGAAGTACGGTGTCCGGTTCGAACTTTGTGGTAGTTCTCAACTCGTGCGGGTAACCCACGAATCGCTTGTGGAGCTCTAAGCAATGAGAATGACCCTTGAGGGAAGCAATTCTGCAGAGACATTCTCACCATGGAGTGGCGGCGCCGGATCGCACCGACTTCTGGTATGGGACGGGTTTGCTGGGCTGGTGATCAACTTTTGCCATTCATTTCTTTCCTTTTTTTTATATATTTTTCTTATCCTATTCCCTTATTCCATCTGGATGGAATTTTATGACAGATATTTGGGAGCTCGTTCTAGAAATAATTCCATGATCGAATTCCTCCTTCGTGGTTCGAACCACGATCGCCTCAAAAGCATTACGGTTGGTGGTCAAAGCCTACAACGCAGCATCACGGTCCCTCGGTCGTCACCAGAATAGGAGACACACATTGCATCATACAGGTTGACGATCGTCCATAGAGCGTATTAAATTGAAGAATATGTGGGTATTAATTTCAGAGTACGTATGGCATTGTTGTTCTGTATCGGAGTAAGGTATATGCCAAGGTGAATAGTTTGAGTGTTAATTCTTCAACTCAAATTTATAAATCATCTGTGAAAATATTGTGCATTATACTTATTTTCTACTCCACATCCGAACTTGAGGAAAATTCAAGACTGTTTTATGTATCTAAGTAAAGTCTTAAGAAAGTTTTGTAGAAAGTACAGGCGTTCACCATCGCTATAGAAACTTGAAGGGAAAAAAAATAATAAAAAAATAAAAGAGGAAATTTATTTCATCATACATCGGTCTCGTGCAAAATTGCAATGTTGCACCGTGGATACAACAGCGTCATGACGGTCCCAGTGGGGCTTTTGTGGGTCCGGCTTCCTTTAACAACCACACCAAAGGCAATTTAGAGTCAGGTACGATATGGACAGGTTACGACATACGAGAGTGCCTCCCTAATTTTATTGGGCAGAGTCAAGTTTATTATCAATGGACCTCCGCTGTGCGCCCGCCAGATGTGTTGATACCGAGGTTCAATGAGTGCATGTTTGCAATGATATTTGGAATGGCACAACTGGGGTTCGAAACAACGAGATTTGTATTTTCACAACAATGGAAGGGCCATATAAAGCAATGAGCCAAACTGGAATCAGGTACAGTGTAGCTGGCCGTGCAGTCTTTGAACAGGGCAATATGTTATTCTTCCAGAAGCTGATAAAGTATTTTTGGAAGCTGATCTTTCAATACAATCTATGACCAGTTCGTAGGACGTTAGCTAGGGATGGCAAATACGACTTCTACAATGCACGAGAGGACATGGTTGAGCGAGGCGAAACATGGTCCATTCTATTCATACAGAGGCAAGGAGTCAGGGTCAACGGACTTAAGGAGGATAAGCAGTCCGCAAAGGGAGCTACACGCTGTATCATGTCCGTTTTGAATGGAAAAGTCGACATGGGAGCTATGAGGAGGAGGGGGGTGATGACATGTTGGGACGATCCCTTCCGCTTCCCAACGACATCCCGTCACCCGTGCCGGTCGAACGCAAATGCTACAGACTTAGAACCGCCCACGCATATCAAAGAGGGTCTACAGACCCAGGGAGTAAGCTCGAAACGACTATCATCAGCCACAATGTGGTCAAATCAGATCTTGGACGAAAGGAAAAGCGGAAGAACTAGCAAAAGGCACAGGAGGATGGCCACGACGGACTCTCTCCGGCGTTAGTGAACCTGCTCTTTTTTGGTTGGGGCGCATCATTTGCGTGTCCATATGACAATGTGGGGTAATCTGCTGGGAAAGAACCTCGAGTGGGGATACCGGATTTTGTGTTAGTTTCGCCCCACACCAACGCTGTCCGTACTGTACTGATAATGAACTGGTTCAAGGGATTCAATTATCTCGGAGAGCGAACAAAACCAAATGCTGGGATCGTTCGTTTTACAATGCTTCTTTTGGGGACTCACTATTGATTTTCAAAAGGTGCAAAACCCGTACATGGCTCAAGGATGCAGCGACAGGGCGGGTGTTGCGACCCTGGACATGTTCGGACCAAAGGGACTGTTTACTGCGTCCATGGGTTGTGGCCAGCCACCAGTAGCGACAGCCTTCGGGCCAAAGCACCGCATCCGTTCAGACGTACCATAAACGGCGGCCGCAGGGTCGAGGTGTGATTGATGCCTATTCGCTGCCTATTCTGCCGTGAAATCTTCGGCTGTGATGCACCCTGTCATCCGTGCATCGCAATTTGGGGTCCATCTACGAAGGGCGCGGCGATGTTTACGGCCGCTCCATGGGGGAGGCAAATGTGGGGACAGACTTGCATCCGACGTGGATAAGCAGGGTGAGCCAGTTAGCGGGGCAGGCAAAAATCCACCTCAATGCTCTTCGTTGGTCAATTTATTATTACTGATACAACCCTGGGAGGCGAAACACCAAAAGGGAGTCGAAAGTGGATACACTGAGGGTCATACGAGCTTTTACTTGGCATGAGGACCTGGAGCGCTGCCTGGACACGTAGATTGGGATTGGGGGCATGAAGAAGGTAGGCACTCAAATTGTCATCCGCAATGAGCATCTTGGTGTCTGGACGCTGCGTTTACTTTCGAAATTCTATAGTTGAAGTGAGCGAAGATTGAAAGCATCAGGGTCCAGCATATGAAGAAGCAGAGTCCAAACCGGGAATTGACCTTGTAGGCGTTGGCTATATGGACAGGATATTATGCCTTCTCTGCGCGTGAGGCAATACCTTTCATTCTGTCTCTCAACGCTCTCATGCATCCCTGAGGACCCGATGATAACAATGGGGAGGGGAGGGGAGAGAGAAAATAGAGAAATGACTTGTATGAACGATTGATGGGGACAGCAGGGGCAGGCGAAAAGGAGCTGCGTAAACTCCGGCCAGGGTCTTGGCGCCATCCAAGCTGCTCCCCCCACCAACATCCACGCACCACAAACTGTTCTTTGTACACACATTCACACGCACACCCACCCACCCCACCCAAAATGAAGAGCGTGTGTCTCCCTAACTGTGTCGGGCATTAGCACATCTAGCTTTATTTTGGCATTGATTGATCTTCCCACGCCAATGTCAATCCTACCAATTCTCCGCTCCACCTTTGGTGTTGCCAAAAACTAAACTTACTCCGCGCCGGCAACTATGTCAATCTCTGCATTATCCAATCAGATGATTTGTTTTACTCTATGATGCCAGAGAGCTTCCTATAATTCTTTTCTTTCCCCTTCGGTCGGCCGGCCGGCAGGCGCAAGGAGCACGTTGCCCCCGTTCGTCCTGTATCCATGGATACCCACGGCCTGTCGGGCGTCTTCTTGCTCCATCGAAACATGTAGCTCTAAGAGGGGTCTCCCGGGTCTCGTGGCCTTTGCCACGCCCTGGTGGTGCGGCCCCTCCCCGTATATAAAGTCTTTTGTCCATCCTTCCTGCCTCCAGGCCTACCCTTTTCATTCTCCCAGCTCTCTCTGCTCTTAATCTCCTTCACTCTCACCTCAATCTACATCAGATCGCTTCGTCATTGAATTACGTCTTTTTCTTGATACCATTAGCCTTTTTTTTTCTTCATCCTTTCAGTAAATCGTCACAATGCTTTTCTCTCACATTGAGACGCCCCTCACGGGCAAGTATGAGCAACCGACTGGACTGTAAGTGTGCTCTCTTTATGTTTGATGAGCCCATTAAATAATTGCGGCTCATCGTCATTTCTTCCCCCTTCTTTTGTGTCACTGAATATCAATGCTGAGCGTGGCTAATTCGATTCCCATCCATAGCTTCATCAACAACCAGTTCGTTTCTGGCGTTGATAAGCAAACCTTCGATACCATTAACCCCGCCACCGAAGAGGTCATTTGCGCCGTGCAAGAGGCAACCGAGAAGGATGTGGACCATGCTGTAGAGGCCGCTCGCAAGGCCTTTGAGGGAGAATGGAGCAAGGTCACCCCCGAGAACCGCGGTCGCCTACTCACAAGACTTGCGGACCTGTTCTTGGAGAACATTGACATCTTGGCCGCGATTGAGTCCCTCGACAATGGCAAGGCCATTTCCATGTCCAAGGCTGACGTCACTGGCGCTGCTGGCTGTCTGCGCTTCTACGGTGGTTTCGCCGACAAGATTGAGGGCCGAACAATTGAGACTGTTCCGGAGACATTTAACTACACTCGCAAGGAGCCGGTATGTATTGCTCAAGATTTAGACGTTACCAATGTATCTGTTCGTTTTGGCTGATAATGTTACCTTTAGCTCGGTGTCGTTGGTCAGATTATCCCCTGGAACTTCCCTCTGCAAATGTGGGCCTGGAAGATTGGTCCCGCCATCTGCTGCGGTAACACTGTTGTAATCAAGTCTGCTGAGCAGACTCCTCTCTCTGCGCTCATGGCTGCCAAGCTTGTCCGTGACGCTGGTTTCCCCGCTGGTGTCATCAATGTCCTTTCTGGTTTCGGAAAGACTGCCGGTGCTGCTATTGCATCGCACATGGACATTGACAAGGTCGCTTTCACTGGATCCACTGCCATTGGCCGTACCGTCATGAAGGCTGCCGCCAACTCCAACTTGAAGCTCTGCACTCTCGAGCTGGGTGGCAAGAGCCCGAACATTGTTTTCAACGATGCCGATATTGACAATGCCATCTCATGGGTCAACTTTGGTATCTACTTCAACCACGGCCAGTGCTGCTGTGCTGGTTCCCGTGTCTACGTGCAGGAGGGCATCTACGACAAGTTCCTTGCTCGTTTCAAGGAGCGTGCCGAGGCCAACAAGCTTGGTGACCCCTTCCACCCGGACACCTTCCAGGGCCCTCAGGTGTCGCAGCTCCAGTTTGACCGCATCATGGGGTAAGCTATCCTGTCCAATGTAATACAATTTTTCTTGAAGAAACGATTTACTGACGCTCGGTATAGCTACATTGAGGCAGGCAAGAAGGAGGGTGCTACTGTCGTTACTGGTGGTGAGCGATGGGGCACTCAGGGCTACTTTATCAAGCCTACCATCTTCAGCGACGTCACTCCGGAGATGTCGATTACCCGCGAGGAAATTTTCGGCCCCGTCTGCACTATCAGCAAGTTCAAGACGGAAGAGGAGGCGATCAAGCTGGGCAACGACACCATGTACGGTTTGGCTGGTGCCGTGCACACCAGAGACTTGAACACTGCTATCCGTGTGTCGAATGCGCTCCGTGCAGGCACCGTCTGGGTGAACCAGTACAATGCTCTCCACCACCAGCTTCCATTTGGTGGCTACAAGCAGTCTGGAATTGGCCGTGAGCTCGGCGAGGCTGCGCTCGAGCACTACAGCCAGACCAAGACGGTGGCTATTCGCTTTGGCGATGCTCCTTTCGCATAGAGCGGGCCAAAAATATCCTAAATGAAAAATTGGAGGTTTTACTTTCTTTTGGCGCTGGCGCTTTATTCATGATGTTTGAACAGGTTTATAGGTCTTGACACGATTAGCTGGGTTTCGCTCGTCGGTTTGCAAGCAGGATGCTCAGCGTCAAGAATGATTGAAATTAGTTGTTTATGAATTTCAATAAATGAAGACATGATTCATGATCAATCTTTTGGACTATTGATGGATATTTCGTGAGTCTGCAAATGACTGTCAATGTCTCCGTAGAGCCCTTTGATTATCGATAAGAAGCGGCACATGCAATCGGCAAGTTCCCTTTCTAGTCCTCTGTCATTTAATGCCGAATGCTTATATCCGAACCTTACGATCCTCACGATCCTCTTCTCTGTCTTGTAATCATTTTATTACTCAGTATTTTATATTCTTCCTGTTTTTGATCAGCAAGAACGTCTGCAATCGAATTGGAAGTCAAGATTCATTGAATTGACTGGACTGGAATCATTACAGACTATACTGTTTACTTCCTCACCTGATTGATGACGGAAGAGCCATCCGCCGAAGCACGCACGGTATCGGCTTACAATTATCTATCCGATCTACTCACCTCTAGACCCGCCGTGTCTCGCGGACCCTGGTCACCTTAATAGCTTATATTATTGGTACCGTACACTGTATATATTTGTTGGTCCCTGCGGTCGTACCGTCAGACCCAATTGGCTTCGTCCCTCGGTCTCTTTATTTCTCCAAGAGCAATCATACAGACACCATACACCAAAGAGGTGAAATAAGTCCAAGCGGAAAAATCAATTCCAGACAAGGACATTAATTTTTTTAAGCTGCCGTTTGAGGACGTTGACAGCCAATCGATAGTACGGCTTTTTTGACTGCTACTTCCATTGAGTTGACGGATCTGAGTCATATATAGTAACATACCCTGTCGTCAGACTATTTGTGACTGCTATTGGGACGCATACTTTTTGTTTTCTCAGACGACCACAAAATATTATACCTTCATCCTTTCCCTAGACCATAGGACACATCGGCATCGAAAATTCTCCGGAGAAGAGGAGAAGAGCAGGACACATTGACTTTTAACAACAAGAAAACCACCAATAGGGCCACAACATCAACACAACAAAAAGGGACGCCAAAATGCCGACATTTTACCCGTCCATCTCCTCGAATCTCGCCGACTGGGCATTAAACCAACCTCTCTTCTTCACGGCCTCGGCGCCTCTTGCTGGCCGACACGTCAACATCTCCCCCAAGGGCCATCCGCGGAGTACGTTTCGCATCCTGGACGAGAACCACGCGGCGTACATTGACGCGACGGGATCCGGCAGCGAGACGATTTCGCATGCCTACGAGCCAGGCAATGGTCGCGTGACGATCATGTTTTGCAGCTTTGGCGCCTCGCCGCGCATTATGCGCTTCTTTTGCAATGCCAGTGTGGTTGAGTGGGATCAAGGATCCAGGTGGGACGATGCGGTGAAGAGGTTTGGCATGACCAAGGAGCAGGTGGAGACGGTGGGTGCGAGAGCGATTGTCTTTTTGGATGTGTGGAAGGTATATTCCCATTTCTTTTCTTTGTCTTTTTCTTTTGCCTTTTTCTTTTCTTTTCTTATCCTTTTATCTTTCTTTGCTCTCCCTTGGCACTTCCCTATATTCTGGTCTCTCGTATTTTTGTTTTCATGCACATTGCTACATAAAGTCATTTGACTAATGATACTGATTCAATGCAGGTCCAAACATCCTGCGGCTTCGGCGTGCCCATCATGTCTCCTGACAGCAAATCCTCTACTGCTTCTTCTTCGCCACCATCTAACGCTACTTCAATCACCATTACTAACGCCCCACCCTCCTCCTCTTCTCTCCCTCCAACATCACCATCCTCTGCATCTATCCCATCATCGACCTTTCCAGACGCCAAGACCGCCACTGGCACTACTACGACAGCGGCAGACCCCTTCACCGACCGCCCGACCATGACACACTGGGCCGCGAACAAGATCAAGAAAAACCAACTGCACTCGTACCAGCGCGACTGGAACGCGGCAAGTCTGGACGGATTGCCCGGCATGCGCCGCGCGCGGCGGGATAAAGGCGAAAAGTTCCTCGTCGTGGGTGATGTGCAGGCGTGGCTGCGGCGCGTGTTTGGTGGGCAAAAGGACGCGGTAATGGCGGGCGTGGTGCTGGGGTGGATTGTGCTTGGGTTGGCGGTGCTTGTGGCGAGAGTTTTGGGATTTGAGAGGCCGTTGGTGAATTTTTGAGGTCCATCTCCCCACCCCCGAGGGTCCACTGTCTTATCACTGTCTTATTTTGGAGAGGCCGCTACGTCGGTTCTGGAGGATCTGAAGGTTCTGAAAGTTCAGAAAGTTCTAGAGGGCCAAGACAATTTCTTTTTTGGTTTAAAGGGCGTAAAACGTACGTTATCTTGATAGACCTGTTTTAGAAATAGTTCACACGAGCGTAATATTCATTTCTTTACAATCAGATATATCGCATAGACTAGAGCCTATACCTATATATACAACAGTGTACGCCGGAATTGCGATCGTAGGACTCGCGCGTATATAGAGAAGCAGGAACTGGGTAGACCATAAATACTCCGTTTCCTAGGGAAAGAAAGAAAGAAAGAAAGAAAGGGAATCATATTGTAGCCTTGACCTGGGTAATACGGAATAAGTACAAGGCATATAGCTGGGATATAAATAAATCGAAAAGTAGAGCTATTAAAAGAGAGAAGAATAGCGAGAAACAGATAAGAAACGAACCAAGACGGGGGGAGAGAACCAGAAAAGAAAGCTAATCAAAAGAGAGAGCCAAAAAAAAAGTAATTACACCCTGTCGTCAATGCGCACTGGTTTCGTATACGGATCGACTCCGATATCATCTTCGTCATGGTCATCCAGTCTCGCGTGCCGTTGGCCATTCCGCTGCAGACCAGAAATTTGGCTCCATGAGCGCTCCGGACGAGGTGGGGCTTGTCCACCTGCGCCAGCAGCAGCAGCATTACCTGCACCACCAGCTGCGGTTGGCGAGTCGGACAATTCCCAACTTCCTACGCGCTCATGAGTTCTCGGCTCGACCGCGACACCTGCGGCATTCTTGACAATAGTAAGGTCCGCATCCGAGTCCATCTTTTCTGGGCCCTTGAAGCCGCCGAATCCGGAGCTTCTTCGCCTGCCGTTGTTGCGATGGAAGCGGACTCCGAAAAGGAGCATGGCAATTGCAAAGGCAATCATACCGACACCGAGAGTGACAGCAGCGCCAATGACTCCTGCGACTTGAGGCGTCACGTTGCTGTCCTTGTCGTCGTCATCGTCATCATTGCCGCCTAGACAAGAGGTGGAATTGTCGCTTGTATATGCCATGCAGAATAATGTCCATGCCTCGCAGACGTTGCACCACTGGGCAATGTCCGAGAGCGCAATTGCCTCCATTTCGGTGGAGAAATCGGACCACGACATGTCGGTCTCGCTGCGACCACGACCAAAGAGCGGATAAGAAATCATATCGGCGTTTTCATCGGTGCCGTTGCGGAAGAGAAAGCGCACCATGAGATCGTCAGTCTGAGGATACGTTTGGTTGTTGCTAGCGGGGATATCGATGCTGAAGAGCTCAAAAACCATGGAACTTGCATATTCCGGCAGTCCGTAAAAGTTTCCGGAAACCATGGGCAACTGTGCGAGCGCAAAAAAAGCGAGGAAAGGCTCAAATCCACCAAACATGACGTTCAGCTTGTTCTCAGTGCCGCCAGTTTCGATATTGTTGGCAAGGAGCCCGAGAGCCTTGGAGGCAAGTGTTCGTCCGGCCATGGCCCTGATGCCCCCATCGGCGGTCAGGTTTCCGTTTTGCGCGAATTCCAGCTGGCTGGCGAGATTGCGGAGGTCTTGCAAATCAGAGTCCATGAGGAGAATGCTCCGGATTGTCATGTTGTGCTGGTAGCCGTAATTGGCATATTCGTAGATTGGATAGGCATTATAATAACCAATGGATTCATTCTGGAACACTCCGTCGAGAATGGTCGCACCCAGATTTTCGTAAAAGGTATTCGTTGCAGCCGCGGTATCGTAAAACTCACTAGTTGCGTAGTACGCCGCGCCGGATAGGGTGTATGCTGTGCAATCTTCGTCGCCTTGCACCCAAATGCTGTTAGGGTCGAGCGATGAGGTCGTCTGGATCAGTGGATATTGGTATCCGCCCAACGGGCTATCAATCCATGTCCCATTTGCAAGGATAGACTCGGTGAACGGATTGATGCTTGAGCCGTTGAAGTCGCCGGTAGGGGGATACAAGCCCTGGACAAACGCCTGCGCAGAAGCAGCAACGTATTCGTCGTCGGTCGAGAGAATATAGAGATCATCATTGTTCAAGGATGTTGAGATGCCCGAAATCAAATCAGGGCCAATAATGGCATTCAGTGGCGATGACGGATCGTTGACAACGTAGCGGTTTCTGAAGACGGAGCCCGCTTGGTACATTTGCTGAGCTCCAAGCGGTGTCAAGGTCAAAGAGTTCGAAAGCGCAATGGGCGTACGCTCTCCATGCCGCGTAAATATGACAGAAGCATGCACCCTCTCTTTGTAGCTGTCTTGAGTCTTCACGCCACGCAAAAAGACAAGCGCAACAAGCGCACTGACAGTAGAAAACCACATTATTGCTTCAAATATGCAAAGTAACACGGTCTAGCTACAGTGAGCAAACAGACAGCATGGAGGTTGAAGCATAAAAAAAAGGTATCATGAGCATTTGCGGGCGCAACAGCTATTTGAAAGAGAGATCCTAGGGAGAAGCTCATTGCAGCACGGCTACAGCTCCTCCGCCTGACCAACCATCTTGGTGCATAGCTCAAGCCTCAAGCGTGTGTCTAACTATACAAATTGCTTTAGACGGCGGAAAGTGTTTGCTTGCGAAATCAACCGTGCCGACAGCCTTAACGGCTGACTTTTGATTTGGTATCGGGAGCCACACCGTCTTTACATCACAACACGCAGTTGAGCTTTGGACCGAAAAGTCAAAGCTTATCGCAAGCGGCATTAGCCATGCCAGAGCGATATGCAATAGTTGGTGTACCAGTTCGGAATGGCTCTCAATAACTGGGAAAATGCCAAGAAATGACATGGAGCTTTCGCTCCCTGTCCCAGCGCGGGGGCAGATAATGAAATGCTTTGCGCGGGCCTGTTGTTTCACACGCCCATGCTGACACTAAACCTTTCCCCAAGGCGAAGATATGCCGCAAGCATTCTGCTCATAAATTCTGCCTATTGCATCATTTCACTCAAGAATCGCAAGCTTGAGCTATCAGTCATTATATGTGGCGGGCGTCTCTCGCTTTCCATGCTTGTCAGACTCTCTAATCGCAAAATACTGCGGTAAGAATGCGGAAGCACCCATGGCGGAAAAGCACCACGCGAGCGGTTAGCTAACCATTGGTGAGTGATGTATCAATACTCTCGCAAGCGTTGAGAAGGACATCTTGCTGCCATACAAAAGTAGCAAAGAAAGGTTCAGAATGCACGCAGAGGCATGGGTAGACGTTGGGTATCAAAAGCTGTATAGGTACGATTACCGCATTGCATCGGGCTGGCAAGGAGCTTATCAGCGATCCGTTTATTAGTGAGAGTCACTTTACCCGAAACGTGGACCTCGAGCTGAGCCAAGGCAAGCCACAATGTCCCCCGCACGTAGCATATTTGCTTTGCCCTACGACTCTTTCCTTTGTCCTGGTGACGGAATTGAGACCGACAAGGCTGATAATGTGCAATGATGACGCTCATTTTCGACTATTCTGGCATATGCAGGTTGGAAAAATCATGTCTGAGGTTAACACGAAGGTTGAAGTGAAAGTGGAGTTGAGATGATTCCTGATAAAGAGATGATCTTATCTTAGCTACGACAAGGATGTGAGGTAAATCTGCATTAATTGTCTCTAAAAGGAAAGTAGTTTCCTGTCAGGTGATAATTTTCCAAAAGAGGAAAGAGATCTCCATTAGTCAAAATTTGACAGTCATTAGCCAATCACAGGCCCGTTCGGCTGGCAAAGTGCGAGAACTTCTGCTTGGGGTAAAATTTCGTCTGCAGTACGTACAGGCTGATCCTTCTTGCCCTCATCGCAGGTTTGGGGCTTAGGTCAAGGGCTTCACGAGATACGAGTGACGATACCTATACGCCCAGAATACGCCCCCATTTCGATCCCAAAGGCTGAGACCGCGCCTCTAGGCCATGGCCGAGGCCGTCTCTATAGATCACACTGTCACCGACCCTCCGGTCGCCCATGTCGGTGAGTTTGCGCCGCGTCCTGTTGGCGTTTTGACATCTCGCTGCGACGGGGTGGTCCCCCCCCAGCGACCAGAGTCTGGCGTCACGACACGGATTGATCCCAGTCAAGTTCATGACTGACCGAGGGGCATTTCACCAATTGCATTCTAGGTCCGGAGCAAAATTTCGATAGCCTAGCTCCTCCGGAAATTTCGGAATCGCATGATGGCGATGACACGATCGGCGCGCGATTGAAGAAGAGGCGACGGACTTCCTCCAACACAGATGACAGCTCGGGAAAGAAGTTAAAGCAGGCATTGGAAGCCTCAGGACATGCCTCCATTCCAGACTCAATTCCCGAGTCGCCTTTTGAGCAACATCCGGCCCCTCCGTCCCATCCGCCTTTGCCAGAGCTGGGTGACCCGCAACCGCCGCTGCCGAGCATTGAGCAACCGGCCGTCTCTCAGGAGGTCGTGCATGAGCCATCGCAGACGGACTCGACTGTTGATCCTCCTCCTGATCCTTCTGCCCAGGACCCCTGGGAAGCTGCAATTGCTGGACTGGTAGATTACCAGTATCGCAACGAAACGAACGCAGCTGAACGAGAAAGCGATGGCCATGATGTCTTCGACACAAACAATTGGATGTCCAACGATGCCATCATGCATCTTAGGGTTCAGAGTCTGCCAATCCTAGACAATCTGGTTCGTTCCCAAGGATGCCATGCCGCCTGCAGTCTACTAACGTCTCTCCAGTCAACACAGATACTTTCTACGCTGGCGAAGAGCTCGTATCAGGATATCCTCACTATTGTCACGGAACCTGACTCCGACGCGGGTCACGCATATGCTACGCTCAAGTCTCTTTTTGACCACACGAAAAAGGTTTATTCCCAGCATGAGCCTTTCCTGTCGGCTTTCGACTTGAGTCTTCACGAGCAGGCTCAGCATGATACGATCCGAAAATCCAACCTCGCAACTTTCGTGTCTAGTGTCTTTGGAAGCCAAGACGTTGGTTTTTATCACCTGAATGAATTTTTTCTTGAGACGTTTGTTCCAGATGGGGGCCGTCTTCTGAAATCGCAGGGCGCATTGTATCTCGATCTGAAGACTCAAGCATACATCTCGGCCATGTCAAATGGCGAAAGGACAAGGGAAGAGATTCTAGACGATCTTTTCCCAAAGGACTTGGAGGACCGTTTGCTTGGCCGACGGCCAGGTGCCAAGCAACTGGCGCCCAGTGAGCAAGACTTTGTCAAGCGTGCCTACAGTAGGCGTGACCACCTCTTGGCGGAACCGAACGACGAGGAACATCTATCCGCATTGCCCGATAAGTATGTCTGGGAGGATCTCCTACGTGAGGTCTGCAACTACGTCAGTAAGAATTTTGAGTCAATTGTGACGCCTCAGGTACGTTCTCCCTAAATAACTTCTCGCGTTTCCATTGGACCACAAGGTTAATTCTGTTATTATCTGAAGGCCTCAAGAAACCGGTCCTCGTACTCTGGGACGGAATTTCAGCCCTCCATTTCGGAGGAACCCCCGCAATATACTCACGATCAAAATGTGCACACTGCAACCCAGGGCTACGATCAAAATAATGACGATGTGGTTGCGAAGGCAGCAAATGCTGTTCGAGTTGCTTTATATGGCACTCAGCACGAGGGTCATGCATCACACACCCCGCCACAAGAACAGCATCAGCCTGTGCAGGAGAACCGAGCCCACATGCTCTGGAATCATGATCCGAATGCCGCTCAACATGCGAATGCGGCACCGGCCATGGCTCAAACACTGGGCGAAGTCCCTGATATACCTTATCACACTCAGACTGCACCTACTCAAGTTCTCTACGAGCGAGCAAGACAAGCTGCCACCGCCAAGGCTTCGCCGAACAATCGCCGTGCTGGTCTTCCCAGCCAGCGTCGCCCTTGGACTACTGAGGAGGAGAACGCCCTGATGGCCGGTCTCGACCGAGTCAAGGGTCCGCATTGGAGCCAGATTTTAGCCATGTTTGGCCCGGGCGGAACGGTGAATGAAGTACTGAAGGACCGTAATCAGGTGCAGCTGAAGGATAAGGCGAGAAATCTGAAGCTTTTCTTTCTCAAGAGTGGCATAGAGGTGCCGTACTATCTTCAATTTGTCACTGGTGAATTGAAGACCAGAGCACCTGCGCAAGCGGCTAAACATGAAGCGCGCGAACGTGCTAGGTTGAAGGGCGAAGAGGATCGGGCACACATTGAAGGCGTTATGGCTCTCGCCAACGGCTCTCGCGCTGACAGCACGGAAATGAGCCCGGCGGCGACGTCTATCATGTCACAACCACCGCAACATCACCCGACTGCCCAGCACATGCCTCAGCAATTATCTCAACAGATCCCGCAGCAGATGCCTCAGCAAATACCCCAGCCGATGGCACAGCCAATGCCACAGGAGATGCCTCAACAGGTTCCACAGCAGATTCCCCAGCAGCTTCCTCAGCAAATTCCCCAGCAGATCTCTGAGCAAATACCTCAACAAGTCTCTAATCCTGATGCCGACTACGAAAGGCGGCTCGAGCAAACGCTCCGAGCAGCGGAGTTTACGGGTCAAAGCGAAGGTTAAATGGTTGTAACGCTCTTTATTTTGATGAAAGGTTCAAGGCGCGGAAAAGGTTATGCATAGCATTCTGGCGCGAAAGGTTTGTATTTATTATATTTTCCCTGGTTTGTTACGGAAACATCAAGTCGGGTGATCTGACTGGTCATGGTGCGTCCGCTGGGTTTCTGAAAAGTTTTGAATTTGCTTTTTGCTCTTTCATCACCGTTTTGCCATTCTTTCCCATGGTCTGGCTCCGGGATGTTTGGAAATGGAGGTGCTTCTATGGACGGCGTTAAGGGGTTTTAGCTACTTCTTTTCTAGTGACACGAAGTTTACGCAAATGTACCATAACTATTCGAATAATGCGATGCCTTCGCCTTTCTGTTCGCATAGATAGGGCCATGTAGATTTCGTCAATTGCCATAGAGGTGAATAAACTCTTATAATATAGATATACATATCTCTGCCTGGACCTGTGGGCTCAACGGTTCGGAACTTGCCGTGCGCAGAGCCGGAAGCTTCATAGATCATCCATGCTTTATCGTATCGCGACCCTCTATCATTAGAACAGACCGTAAAACATTGGTGCCGCGTCTTCAACGAATAGCTCGTGCAACATTGCTTCAGATCGTATTGCGTTTCAAATACTACATCTATATTGGTAATTTGATACTTATACTGTCAAGATGTCAGATGCCAACGAGACTCTGGCATCTGGTCCTGGTTCCGCGTCCACCGCCGCGCCGCAGGTCAATCCTGTATCACAACATTCTGAACAGAATGCTTCGGCATCCTCCTCAGGCAGCAATGCTATGAATTCTGAAATCAAGAAAGAGGAGGGACAAGAGGAGGAAAAAGATTTGGATGCATCCATCGATGCCGATATTGATATGGGTGGAACGTCATCGCAGCCGAACGCGATGAATATGGACGGAGCTGCGGATGGTGATGATGATGGTGAGCGCAATTTTCTATTGGATTATATTGATAGTTGAAGCTGCACTGTCAATATCTGTTCCTTCTTTCTGTTTCAGATGCGGAGCTAACGGTCGCCGAATTGTCACGCCACTGTTACAAGTTACAATTGAACTGTATCGGCATCGGTATACATTTATGCTAACATACATTGTCAATGTCGCAGTGGACCCTGTCGCCCCGGCACCAGATCCTCGTGTTCCTTCAAAGAAGGATGCGACGCTTCGAGAATTCCTTGGAAAGATGGATGACTACGCTCCGATTGTATGTTTAGCCGTTCCTCTGAATAGCCCTTTGGAAAGATTAGGCGGGCCATTCTGGCCGCATATTTACTCAAATATTCTTTCTGACTTGAGGATAATGGTTATTGACAAATGCTTAGATTCCTGACGCTGTAACGAATTATTACCTCACAAAAGCTGGCCTTCCGCCACCACCGGAAACGTCCCCCCAACTCGCACGCCTTCTTGCTCTCGCAACCCAGAAGTTCATCGCCGATATTGCCGCCGATGCATATCAATACTCTCGTATCCGTTCATCGAATACGACCTCTAGCAATCCCATGGGAGGCTTGGGCGCAACGGGAGGGTTCCCTATGCCCGGTCAGGCTGGTGGAGCCAGTGGTGCGCAAGGAGGAAAAGATACAGCCGGAGGCCAGGGTAAAAGTGCAGTTCTGGGAATGCAGCGACCTGGTTTCGGTGGAGGTGGTCAAGGAGGTGGCCAAGGAAGAACAGTGCTGACAATGGAGGATCTCGGTATGGCAGTAGGAGAGTACGGCGTCAACGTGAGAAGAGGGGAATTCTATCGGTAAGGATGGCTAGAAGCTGATTTTGTCTTGCATGTTTCCACCATTTTTTTTGAGTGCGGCCATCTTTCTCAGGTAATATCGGATATGGGACGGTTTACTTCTTTTAAAAAGAAATTGCTGGGCGTAACGAGGCGTTGAGGCAATATCGCGGACACTGGGAAAGGCCGTAAAAGGGTCTAATTAGAAGAAATAACCGCTGCATACGACCAGTCATATAAGGAGCATTGGAAGTTCAACTTAAGAAAGGAAGAAATGATAGTTTTGTATAATTTAACCTTAAACGTGAACTTGATAAACGATATAGAACGCCGAGCTTATGCGAGTGTCCAACCAAACTTGTGCTGCACGGATATATATAGAAATCCCACTCCAAATCTCAAAGTTTACTTGTTCTTCGTCTGCTTGTATGTGAATCGCTTTCTCGTGCTGCATCTCCCCATCAGCGCCCTTCGAAGTGCCTGACAGCACAGGAATACTTACGGAGAGAATTCTCCCAACTTGTGGCCAACCATATCTTCCGTGATGGTCACATCATTGTAGATCTTTCCGTTGTGCACTTGAAATCGCAGGCCGACGAAATTGGGCAAGATGGTGGCAGACCGGGCATCGGTCTTGATTGGCGGCGGCCGCTCGTTGCCTTTGGGGCGCACAATGGGAAGACTAATGGCAGAGTATTAGCCGCAGACTGGCCTTTGCAGCATATTCGAGAGTACAGAAGTATTGAAGTAATAGATTGGCTCCGGAACAAGATTAAGGGAGAAAGGTGCGAGCGTTTGCCCTAAAGCTGGGTACGTGATAGGGGCCAAATCATGGGCAATTGAAGCGCTTGGATATGACGAGCCATGATGAAGTAGGCATGCCGCGCGCAAAAACTTTTGAAATGCGTATTGCAATGGGGGAATTGCGTTCGTGTGAAAGTCGAGCTGGGGGCTACCTACGGGACAATGTGAGGTCCTTTTTATCTCACGTCAGCGACAATCAATTCCTCAGATGAGATCAAAGCTTAGGAAGCAAACCTTTCCAGACGGAGCGCGCAAAGAGCGCTCTAGAGGGAAACATTGTGATTGAGGCAAATTGTCAAGGCGTCGCAAACTTGAAATCGGATTTGATGAAGATGATGCCCGAGATCTCTGTTGTCTGAGGTTTAACCAATTCCCGCAATAGCGAAGACTAGCGAGGACCAAAGTTTAAGCAACGCCAGGGTCGGTCAATTATGGCCGATAGTTCGCGGCGGCCCGCGGTCTACGGCGCGTCTTCCTACTGGAGAGGCAGAGTGGCAGGCAGCAATTGCTAGCATTTCTCACATGTTCTAGCTTTCCTTGATGTCTATTTTAGACTTTCATTGAGAAAGTAGATCGTTTCTTGTCTCAAATAATGATTGGAATATCTTGACTTCCTTTTTCCTATTTCCTGTTTTAGCTTCACTAAAACGCAACGGATTGAAGCTTTGATTCTAGATTGTCATAATGCCTGCACCGACCGGTATGTGTTGCTACAGACCTGTCGCGTTTGATATCAATTAAAACTTGGTTCAAAGACAATTCCGAGAATTTGCTTCGAGGTTTTAGAGCTATTGCTGAGCAACTGTGATTAAATAGGTGCCGATACGATCAGAATTCTTGTCTCGACCGACAACCATGTCGGGTACAATGAACGAGATGCTATTCGGGGCGATGACAGCTGGAAGAGCTTTCATGAGGTAATGTGTCTGGCCAAAGACCGTGACGTCGACATGGTTCTGTTGGCGGGCGACTTGTTCCACGACAATAAGCCATCGAGAAAGTCTATGTACCAGGTCATGAGGTCCTTGCGGATGAACTGCTACGGCGAGAAGCCCTGCGAGCTGGAAATGCTGAGCGATGCATCGGAGAACTTTCAAGGGTAATTTTTTGCCAAATTTTTGACGCTGTCATGCCGTACTAACGCTCGGCCAGAGCCTTCAACCATGTCAATTACGAAGATCCAGACATCAACGTCGCAATTCCAGTCTTTTCTATCCATGGAAACCATGATGACCCGTCAGGAGTACGTAAAGACATGGACAATAGGAACATACCTTATGTTCATGGAATAGTCTGAGGACTAACACATTTCAGGAAGGCCATTTAGCTGCTCTTGATTTACTCCAGATCTCGGGGTTATTGAATTACTATGGCAGGACCCCCGAGTCCGATAACATAAACGTAAAACCAGTTCTACTGCAGAAGGGGCGTACCAAGTTGGCTTTATACGGCATGAGCAATGTACGAGATGAGCGATTGTTCAGAACCTTTAGAGACGGAAAAGTCAAGTTCTTCCGGCCAAGCACCATGAAGAATGACTGGTTTAATCTTATGAGCGTACATCAAAATCAGTATGCGATTATAATTCTATTTAATCAGGTGCCAATGCTGATACAAGCAGTCACGCATATACGCAAACCGGATACCTCCCGGAGAATTTTCTGCCCGAGTTCCTTGATTTAGTCGTATGGGGCCACGAACATGAGTGCCTCATTAATCCGCGGCTCAACCCGGAAACTTCATTCCACGTTATGCAGCCCGGCTCCTCTGTTGCAACCTCCCTCGTACCAGGGGAAGCAGTGCCTAAATATGTGGCGATTTTAAGTGTCACTGGGAAAGACTTCAAAGTTGAACCGATACGGCTAAAAACTGTCCGCCCTTTTGTGATGAAGGAGATTGTTCTTCAAGACGATAAGAGGATGCAGGCCCTAGCCAAAAAGGATAACAATCGAACTGAGCTCACCCGATACCTTATGGGTATCGTCGAAGGTCTAATAAAGCAAGCTGAAAAAGAATGGTTCGAAGCACAAGAAGAAGCCGGTGACGAAGAAAGGCAAGAAGCCCCGCTTCCTCTCGTAAGACTCCGAGTCGAATATACTGCCCCAGAAGGTGGCAAATTTGATTGCGAAAACCCTCAGCGATTTTCAAATCGATTTGTCGGTAAAGTCGCCAATGTAAATGACGTTGTGCAATTTTACCGCAAGAAAACAATTTCCGCTAGTATGTCTGTCTTCTTCTATTCTATATCTCCTGAGCACTTACAGAATACAATCAGGGAAATCCAAGGACGAGCCCGACTTACCAGAAGAGTCTGTCATCGCACAACTTACGATCGACAACGTCAAAGTGGAAAAGCTGGTACACGAATTCCTCATGGCCCAGTCGCTCACTATCCTTCCCCAAAACTCCTTCGGAGATGCAGTCAGTCAGTTTGTCGACAAGGATGACAAACATGCAATGGAGATGTTCGTCAATGAAAGCTTGTCCAATCAAATTAAACATTTGATGGCAATGAACCAGGCCGATGAGCACGACATAATGCAAGCTATGGACCAGCACCGGTCCAAGTTGGAGGAGCTTTTCTCTGCAGGTGTTCTTAAAAAGACGGTAGGCCGCACTTTCCGCGTTCGCTTAGGAGCACAATTACTCACGTCTCTCTACAGAAAAAGGCCAAGCTCAAGCCCAGACCCGACAACTGGGACTCAGATCTGGACGGTGACTGGGCGGATCAGCCAGGGGCTTTAATCCATTCGGAAAATGAGATGCAGGAAGACGAAGATGATGTACCCCCTCTGCGTTCGCCAAATCGTCCAGCGAGAGGTCGCGGAAGGACCACCGCTTCGGCGACAAGGACAAGTACGGGTGCAAAGAAAACTACAGCGGCCAAACCGGCTGGGACAAGAGGGAGAAAGAAGCCGGTTGAGGAAAGCGAGGATCAGGATCAGGACATCATCATGCTAGAGGAGGATGATGAGGAAGAGGACCCTCCATTACCCAAACCCACGTCAAGCCGGGGAAGAGCTACGGCAACACGAGCAAATAGGAGGGCCGCATCTCCCGAAAAGCGAACATCGAGGGCCTCAGCAGCGTCATCGATGAGACAAACGAGATTAAACTTTTCTCAGTCTACGCAGCAGAGTCCAGGCCCTGGCCGGAAGAAGGTGCAAGAACCGGTAAGTTTTCTCATTATAGCTGTTAGTACCAGGCTCATCAATTGTGGGATATTCGCAGAGCGATGATGAGATCTCGGATGATGATGATGATGCCTTTGAACCGCCGCCGCCCACAGCCCGATCTACAACACGTCGCAGATAGCTGCACTTTCTCACGTCTCACCATTTCCCACTTTTTAAATCTTCTCAAGCATAGCGAATGAGCTTGGCGTTTTGATAAGGTTCTTGATGCTCTATGGGTTGCTCACAAAGGTATGCAATGTATATCAACGCAGTTATCGCATCGTGAATTGTTCTTTTCTTGCTACTTAGTTTCTGCTGCTCTGAATTATTGAAGATTCGAATCATTCTGCACAGTCATATTCGATGTCTTGCGTTGCCTGTGGTGTCGAAGTGATGGTGCTTGGCCTGCCATACCGTATTGATTTCGTGATGTCCATTGTGATGCTGGGTATTGTATCCTCAATACCGAGTAATTAGATTTCAATGGGACAATACTAACGCCGACTTAAAAAGGCATTTGGAGCTTATCAAGCGGAGGGAGACAATAGGAATGTTATTGATAGCTTGACTATTGGTCCAGATTGATTAGGAAATTGTTTGTTCCTTTTGGGTCGAGGGTCGCCACTTCCTTGTTGAGATATGTTATGGTGAAGGCAGGAGTGCAGAAGGTAAACACCAGTCAAACATCGCGAACGAACACTCTTCAGCTACAACATTGAACGACATCATCACATAACTCGACGACTAAGCAACCAGCATTAGCACATACAGATTACACTACCTTTTAAACGGTGGGTCCTCTCTTTTCGCTTTCTTCCTTCAACACATCACGGAAGCATCAACTCTACCGCTTAGCTTCACCACCGCGTTGCCTTCCATCGAAGAAAATCATCACTATCTATTTATTTTCCGGTTACAACCGACTCGGTGCCAACATGGGCTTCGGAAAGCGTGATGACGGTTCCCCTGAGGAGTGGAAGATGCTGATCGAGATCTCTTCCAGTGAAGACTCTGACGAGGAAGAGTGGGTGAGCGTCCTCACTCCAGCCAGCGAGCGCGGGTTTGAGCAATCTTCTGCCGGCCAAAAAATTGTCGCCGGCGAGGTTGCAAATATGGCTACCTCGAAAAGGCTCAGTTATGATATCGATACCCTGCTGTCGCTCAGCGGCCCAGAGAATGCTGTCTGCAATGTTTCAAAGTTCAGCGCTGATGCGTGGAAAGGTGAGCTTTCTCTTTGTTTACTTGCCCACCCGTTTGGCCGAGAGTCACTGTGACCTTTTTGTGGGCACACTTCCTTGAAGAGTCCACGCATTCGCCACTCATTCCCCCCCCTCTGTCCTTCTGCTTTCGCCTTTTTTTGGGCAGCATCGTTCTCTCAATTCATCTCATGCGTTTCCTCAACCATGCCCGCTCCACTTCCCTACCCAACGAGGCCCAGGCCTGCAAAGTATAGAGTTGCTTCTCCAGCGACTATCTTAACTGGCTCTCCTCCGCCTCGAAAGCTCTCAAAGGAGCATTCTTTCGTCTCGGACTCTTCCTCCGAGCGCAGATCTGGCTCAACAACATCCAACTCGAACTATTCTACTTTATCCGAGAACAATAAGCTAATTATGGCAAATATTCTTGAAGAAAATATTTTAAAGCACATCCCTAAATCGAAGTCCCTCATGGAGGAAACTGAAGGGATCGACCCTAAGCTTCCACAGCTTCCACGGGCCGATCGTCTTCTTTTCCCTCCCCACACTCGGAAAACTCTTACTGGAGCATTCCCTGAAGACGATCCAAAATTCGCAGAATTTAAAAAACGAGTGGCCTCTCCGCCTTCGAAGTTTGTTACGCCCGGTGGCGCTATCGTCCCAGTTCCTTCCGATGGCCCTACCAAGCCTTCGGTTGATTATCAACAAGGCCAGGCCAATCTGCCTCAACCCCTGCCGCAGAGTGCTTATTATAATCAGATGGTCGTTCCGCAGTTCGTTGGCCCTCAAACCTTTCAGCAGCCTGTGTTGACTTCCCATATGCTGGCACCTCACATCATGAGCCCGATGATCCAGCCAGTTTTGAATTACTCGGCTCTGCCATCACCAATGCTGGTTCATCAGACCTTGCCTTCCAACCTCATGGTTGCTGGGCATCCGGAACCTCACCTGTCAGGCATTGCACAGGCTGCACAGGTCCAGTATCTCCCTGGTGCCCCACCCACTCAAACCAGCAGACAGCCAGTCATGGTCGTTAACGGATCTCATTCGGTATCGACTATGCCTGCAGTCGGAATGCAGCAAATCTATGGGTCTTTCGTCTATCCTCATGGACAGATGAATATGTTCAGCGCTCCAGCTTGCTCGCAGGAACATCAAACCCGCGAAGTCTTGCCCATGACAAACAATATTATTGCGAAACCTGTTGTTTCTCAACGTCAACATGGTTCTTCTTTTCAGGAGAGACTTGACTATGTGACACGCGAGCTCAAGGAGATTGATAAGCACATAGCGAGGTTTCGAGAGAACATCAGCCAAGAGCAGTATAAGCTTCTGGTTGAACGACGTCGGTGCTTTGTCATCCAAAGAGACGAGATTCGCCGCTCTCTTGAAGAGCTGGATTACCTTGAAATATTCAAGTGTGCTTATGGTGCTGGGATCCCTCGGCCTCCGAACGACGACGAAGCTAAAGAGCCTTGGGCCCTGAAGTCTGATACCGATCCTCGCCTCGCCCAGTCGATGTTGGAACAAATTCGGACCTTCGGTACGCCTATCCTACGACCCTGGTTTCAGCAAGAAGTCGAGAAATCAGCCGATCTCAACGATGTCAACTGTTCGCAGACTGAAGAAGAAATGGAAGAAGCCGCTCGACAGGCTCGCCTCGACATTTGGGCTTTTGACGTCCCCGAAGCTTGGGAACTCAGAGTACGAGGCAGATGGGTGTTTGGCTGTGCACCGGCTCCGAATAAGGAGCGATTGGCGAAGTATAAGAAAACTGGCAATTGCCTTCCTGATGGAATTATCGAATATCTCCGTATGAAGGAGCTTATTGCTCGCTGCCCGCGCAATGACGGAATTCCGCTCTTGCCTGAATCTTGCGTGTCTCAATGGGTCGATGCAAACGGCATCCCCATTTGGAAGCTCGAAGCCGCCGCTCCTACGGACGCTTTTGGTAATAAGGTCATTCCCACTGCTGTAAAGTTCTGGCAGGAGGGTAAAAACAAGCCACTTTCCGTCTTTGAGACTTGGGCTCGCGGGATAAACCCTCTTTATTGGCGGCCTTTGACTCAGAATTTTTCTGAGGTTCGTGCTGCCGTTGCTGATGTTGTCAAAATTGTGAATGCTCGCCATCTTCATTTCAGCTCATATGGCGATGTGATCTGGGGAGGATTCAGCGACGACCCGCATACTCTCAGGCACTCTGCTGACAAAACATACGTCAAGCAAATAAGTTCTGATATGTAAGTTATCTACCTTTTCCTGGGTATTTGAAATCAAGTCCTAATTCGATTAGTCCCACGTACTCTGAAGAAGAAGTCAAACGCTATCGACCAAAGGTTGAAAACGCCACTGCCGAAAGTAAGGGGGAAGGCAGAGATGATACTTTAACGTCTACTGGACGCTCTAAAAGCTGGCTGACCGGGTGAGTCAAAATTCATCGCTGTCTTGTTTGCCTTTTTGCTTCACTGTCACGCTTGTTTCATAATCACTCTTGAACTCACCTTTGCTTCACCCATAATTCTGTATGCCCTCAATACTGACCGCCTCTCCGCTCATAGGTTCAAAACTCCCGTCCAATACGGAAGTGTCTTTCTAGCTCAGCTGCTCAAAGATCCCCGCTACTCTTCTTGTGGCCCAAAGCCCTCAGGAAAAGAAGGTGGCCCAGACAACGTCCCGGTCACCCCCAACAACGGCAAGTTGTCAAACAAAGACGCGCCGACTAAAGAGAACAAAAACCCTTCTACTGAAAAGAAGACCTGGAAGATGTCAGCCACTCCTCAGCGTTTCACCAAAGCTCGAAGCTCAGTTTCAGGTCCCTCTGCTCAAGCAGTCGCCCGATTTCCATGCTACGACGGGGCTGCGGATTCCTTGAGTCAAAAGACGTCTTCATCTACAACTGAACACGGTGCTGCGCACAGTACTACGGCCGGCCCGTCTTCCAGTGCCAGTTCTGCTACAGTCAATTCTGTCAATTCTGGAATGAGATCTGATAATTCGTCGTCTCCAAGTGTTACCACACCCGACGTTATTCGCCCCAAGGATGTCACTCTCAATCGAAGTCATCACAACAGGGTTGAGCATTTCTTCAAGACACTTCGTGAAGAAGAACGCGATGAGATTGCAAAATACAAGGCGCAACATCCCTCGAAGCGTTAGAACAGCTTGGGTCTAGAAGCTGAGATGGTGGATTGGAAATTTTAAAGACATTGCAACAATCCTGACCACAGGGCTTGGAGAACTTGGTTCTTTGTTTGAAACAGTTTTTCAACCCTAGGTCAGCTGGCAAACATTTGAAGTCACATTCCCAACACTCATTCTTGTCGCCATCTCGCACACCGACCCAACTCAATTTGTCAAGTTTTATCTTTCTGGTTTTCGACCTCTGGATCACTGTTTGTCGCATGGTCTTTATCCTCTATGATATGTTTTAATATCTACAGAGGATTCCGATCATGCTTGATATGTTTACTACTCGATTTCGACAACGGCTGCATGATTTATGGGCCCTTTTAAAGTTTACTCTTACCAAGAAATGAACATGCCCAGCTTTTTTACCACTTGAATCTTCGACAATGGCTGCATGATCTTTGGACTCTTCTACAGTGTACCTTTGACAAGGACATGCCCAGCTTTTTCACCACTTCAATTTTCGACAATGGCTGCATATATTTTGCGTCTGCATTTATGTTCGACTCTTGCACAGAATGCTAACTATGCCCAGCCTCTTTCAACCTTGTCTACCCAAACTTGCTTTTGTTTTTCGACGTACATCTCGCGACATTGTTCCTCTTTAATACTATGCTCGGAGGGTATTTTGTCATTGTTTTATCTGATTTTTCGGACTGCTGCTCTCGACTGGCTTTCGATTTGCTCACTTTTCTTTACTTTGCTTATTACTTTGCTTACATCAGTCATCCATCTTATGTTTTACACACGGACTATGATTTGTGCTGCGCTGCATTCCTGTTCTTTACATCTTTATCTTACTGCTTGAACACGAGTGTTTCCTTTTGTCGGCAGATTTCACTTTTACGCCAGCGAATAGAAACGCGCATCAAGGTAGTTTTAACTCATTCTTTGAGGTTTATCACTACATATTATTCAAGCAGGAGATTCAAGGTTCACGATTAAGCAGATAGGAGCAGTCATAGTTAATCATTATTACTATTATTACCACCGGCGTTTATTTGTTTAGTTCTTCCAGTGTCTTCTATGTGACTGAACTAGAGGTTATCAGTGACTTGCCTTCTGCTAAGTAGTAGATTTACTGTATGTCAGCCAAATGGATCGGTCCGTCCGGATAATTAGGCTATTAGCACCGGCTAGAGCGGGTTCCGATAGTTTGGGACACCGTTGTGTTGTTGCGAAGCAAGAGTTGTACTATTCCTCCTTAATGTCTCTCGGCAACCCCACGGCCAATATCCTGCGGTATCCATGCTCCTACTCATTCATTGTCCTTGTCTTGAACGGCTGGAAATAAATCGGTAGACCGTGACGTCATTACGCAGATATGTACAGAGTGTTTGAGTATGTACATTGACTGAAATCAGCTTGAGCAGCAAAATAATCACAGGTAAGCTTCCTGGATAATACGGAAAGCGGAGGCATTGATGCCGTGGATACTGGATGCTTACGTTTGATCTGCACAGGCAGTACGTATTATGAGATGATGATATTCACATCCTCGACCCTCCGGAATCCCGGCACTCTGTCGCTTTGTGGCAACATTTCATAAGGGAACATACGAAAGGTGCCAAGGATGAGTCGAAAGGCCACATTCTTCCTAGATAAGATATCCACAAGGTGCCGTACTGTACAGGCCTCCCAGAGAATAAGCAGCAGCTACTTAACGGCTTTAAATCAACTCAACAGGGGACTTAACGGAAGATGCCGCCGTTGACTCAGTTTCTCTTCCTCCTTGGACGCTTTCCTACCCATAGGCACTGACCAAAGGAGGTAGAGGTGCAAAAATTGAACCAATGTGAATGAAGGCTGATATTAAATATACGGTTCTGGAGATCTGGCCGGGCATAATTGCTTAAATAAACCGTTGTCTTAGCATTGAGTCCGGTCCGGTGAACGCTGCTTCGATCTTGCTCTCGACGCTGGACTAATTATATACCTAGATTTCATATGCTTTTAAAGTGCGGAAAAGTTTCTTCTTGCTGAGAACATTTTCGAATAGAGTGTGGGAAAGCCTACAATAGCAGTGAATTATGCCTGAGGAAACGGAAGCAGGGAAATTTTTTTCAATGCGTGCGAAATGCCGGCAGACCCTCGCCTCCTGGGTCCGGCACTGGCCCAATAGAAGCATATTTTGATCAGTCCAATGGACCCAGTCCATGCACCATCTGCAGGTGTGCCCTACTCGATATGTTTCATTTGATTGATAGGCTTTGAGACAAGAGCACTGATAGCGGCAACAGATACCGATCTTGCCGGAAAAAAAGAAAAGTTACATATCGACGTTTACACAAAGACCTGGGACCCGGTTGGGTTTGGAAGCCAAGTTTTGTCATCAATTTCTCAGTTAACATGTTCTCATGACTCTCTTTCAATGTTGAACGTGCGCTCTCGGTCTATGTGGAGGTAATTAGAGCTAGCTAATAAGATGGAGATCTCGCCGGTGTCTGATAGGCGCTTGCAGCGGGCCAGAGCTATAACTTTTTGGAGTCACTCATGGCTATTGCTCTTGCCGATGCGCTTGTCACCCCGCCCAGCCGCACTCTCCTGCTTGCTTGGCTGATGGAACGTGATGGTGGCGTTCGAGAACGACAGAATCCCCGTCGTCGGAACTTGGCGAGGCGTCGACTTGATTGACGGGCAAGAAGCCAGAAGAGGCACAGCAGCGATGAAGAATCGTTCGTCGCACACCAAGACAGCAACTGACCTTCTCTTCATGGCCTTAGCGGCTCTAAATCATGGGCCGTCTCGCTCCTCGGGACAATCTCCGCTTTTTCCTCCAACGACGAGCGAATTGCTCAACCCCGCGGCAACAGGAATAATAAGGCTGCGTGTGATTTCATGAGGGGATTTGGACACATTGCTTTTTCTACGGTGTCTTTTTTATGACATGTCGTGACTGACATGCTTTTGTCTTTGGGGGACATGTAACTTATTCTAGATTCGCAAGAGGACGACGTAGGCCAGAGACCGGAGACATTGGTCTTGCCTTCGTACCGGTACGGCCACCAATGCTTGAGCTCAAATCCCCATTAGTGAGCGGACGGAGAGACCCCACCCTTGCTCGCGTCGCCTTCTCCACCGGGAAACTCCTTCAAGAGGGTCCGGAGCGATAACAGAGCAGGAGTCGTGGAAACGGTTACGGTACGGAGAGCAAGCACTACCGGACTATGGGTGGAGTTTTTGTGGGTACCTGAGGCCACTGGTGACGCTTCATTGTTGCGCAACAGAGATACGGAGCAGCTTACAGAGAGACTCTGGGCCGAGAATAGTTTCGTAGAGGACTTGGAAAGACTGGAAATAGTCGCCCCCATTGTTTGATGTCTTGTATCTGTCTGGTTCTAGCCCCCATTCCTGTCTCCCTTGGCTCGAGCTGCTGCTTTTGCACTGAGCGAATGTGTGGGTGTGTGGGTGTGCGTCTGGGCATATCCCGGTGCACCATACTTGGTCAAACAGTTTTGCCCTGCGCAGGTCTTTTCTCCTTCTCCTTGTTGAATACCTGGAGGTAGAGTATTAGTACAATTTCCATACTCGCGCGTCGTGTACTCGTGCCAGGAACTTTTTGCCTTCTGGTGTCATCGTTCGATTGCAAATCACGGACCAACAACCCATCTTGTACTGGGGGAGATATCCAAATTGAGAAGTCAACCTCGCGAACACGGTCGACCCCAAACTTGCCTCTAATAATACTCCCGTCGCTACTGCTGCTATCTATACGACGCTTCTGCCTCGTAACCTCATTTCTTCTTGCTACTTCCCGCGTCATTTGCCCGACTTCAATATCTCACCACTCACTACTGCCATTGAAAAGGATGGCAATCGCGTATTGCTACTTTTCTGAGGTGGTTATATCGACATAATTATCTGACTTACCCTTGTTTCCGGCCACGCTGAATTATAGAGCGGCCAATTCCACCATTCACAGATTCACCTATCAGCCAAGGACGAAATCATTACACCATATCTGACTGTGGGCTTCGCTTTCTTCCTCTCCCCTTTTGATTCTTAATCCAGGGCTTTGAGTAGGTACGTGGGTTGAACATTTATCCGATTTCTGAATTGTGCGACTGACCCGAGACATTCGTCGTGTCCAGATCGGCAACGACATCATCGCTCGTTATTTCCCTCCCCCAGTCATTATCATCCGCCTCATTCCCCTGATTACCCAATCTCAATATTCCCACAACCCTTTCCACCTCTCGCTGCATCCACACAACACCAACGAATATTGGCTTCACGCCGATTCCTCGTGCAGCAGAGGACACACCTGTGGTCGCTCAACCACAAAAAAAAAAAAAAACAAATCACGGTTACTGAGTGCTGAGCTTGCTTCTCTCTGTTCGGCGTCATGACCCAGCTGTTTGGCTCTCACAACACTTCGGCCTTACATAGTGAGAAGCGAGCGTTTGGACACAATAACATGTCATCGTCCTCCAACAAGCTCAATGGCCCCAATGGTGGCAGCCATTTCCCTCAGAGACTCAAGAACTTCTTCCGCATCAATAGTTCATCCAATACCAACCAAAGCGATGGCACATCTCCTCCTAAATCCGAACTCAAGGAACCCAAAGAGTCCAAGTCTGCCTTCCGACAATCGCGATTCCTTCCCAACATCAGTCGAAACCGTTCGACCACTGTTGCCAGTGAGGGCAACCCGCTCGAAGATGCCGTTTCTCCCACAATGACCGCGAACCCGTACTTTATCCACCAGGGCCCACCTGCGATCCGACATCACAATGAGGGTAGCGTGCCTCCCTCACCTCCTGACTCACCTGTTCCAACATTGAAGGTCGATCCAGCTGGAGGGGTCGTTGACCAGGCGACGGCAGCGAACAAGGACGAGCTGGCCCGGAAGCTACGGCGCGTAGCTTCGGCACCAAATGCTCAAGGTCTCTTCGCAGCGACCGCTCCTGTGCCTGGGCCAACTGCGGACCGGCCTATGACGCCTGAGCTGGGCAAGGCTCCGTTGATGCAGGACCAAGTCACCTCGTCTTTGGCTCTGGTCGAGTCTGCCACCGATGATCCATTGATGCCAGTTCCTGAAGGTGGAAAACTCCCGACTCCTGGACAGATACGCAATGCGGTTGCGTTCCGCCGCACATATAGCTCGAATTCGATCAAGGTTCGAAATGTTGAAGTTGGCCCTTCCAGTTTCGATAAGATCAAATTGATTGGAAAGGGAGATGTTGGCAAGGTGTACCTAGTGCGGGAGAAAAAGTCTAGCCGTTTGTATGCCATGAAGGGTATGTCAATCCTTATCTTGTCTAGTGGATGAGGACTAACGTATTTGCCTGACTTAGTGTTGAGCAAGAAAGAGATGATCAAGCGGAATAAGATCAAGCGGGCATTGGCAGAACAGGAAATTCTCGCAACCAGCAATCATCCTTTTATTGTCACCTTGTATCACTCGTTCCAGTCCGATGAGCACTTGTACCTCTGTATGGAGTACTGTATGGGCGGAGAGTTCTTCCGAGGTATGCTGTCGCCAGGAATATGCCTGTCCTAGATAGAATGTCACCGACTAAACCATTGTTACAGCACTCCAGACTCGCCCAGGCAAGTGCATTTCTGAAGATGATGCTCGATTCTATGCGGCCGAGGTTACTGCCGCTTTGGAATACCTTCATCTCATGGGCTTCATTTACCGCGATTTGAAACCGGAAAGTATGTTTTGGAAAATGGCCTTGCTTGACAGTGCGCATGCAAATACTAATCAACTATTGTGTAGATATCCTTTTGCATCAGTCTGGACACATCATGTTGTCTGACTTTGACCTGTCCAAGCAATCTGAGCCCGGTGGAAAGCCCACTGTGATCTTTGGCCGAACCGGCGCTTCAGCATCATCTCTACCTGCCATTGACACCAAATCGTGCATTGCCAACTTTCGAACCAACTCATTTGTTGGCACCGAGGAATACATTGCTCCCGAAGTCATCAAAGGCTGCGGTCATACGAGTGCCGTAGACTGGTGGACGCTGGGCATATTGATCTATGAGATGCTTTACGGGACCACCCCCTTTAAGGGCAAGAATCGAAACGCTACTTTTGCCAATATCTTACGCGACGACGTTCCTTTCCCAGAACACTCTGGGGCACCGCAGACTTCCAAGTAAGTTTTCTCCGCACTGCCCAGCGACTTGGGTCACTTGTTTTGCTAATCTGTTAATGATATCAGTCTCTGCAAATCTCTCATTCGCAAGCTACTCATCAAAGATGAAGCACGTCGTCTGGGCTCTCGTGCGGGCGCCTCCGACGTCAAAGTTCACCCTTTCTTCCGTCCGACACAGTGGGCGTTGCTTCGACATATGAAACCGCCAATGATACCCCACCAAGGTCGCGGCATCGATACAATGAATTTCCGCAATATGAAGGAGAGCGAGAGTGTCGATATTAGCGCTTCTCGGATTAAGGGAGTTCCACTCGACTCTGGATTAGCCACCCCTGGCAACGAGGGACCCGACCCATTTGAAGAATTCAACAGCGTGACGCTCCATCATGATGGTGATGATTCACACATGCATCACGACGATCATATCGGCCACGCGCGGTAGCGGACACGGCCTTAAAGAAATCATGTAGCATACTCAACCGACGGGGGATCGTTTCCCTGTCTTTCGACGATTAGAACGAACCTGAACGACTTGATTACTTGCCTTGCTTCTTTTTTCCCCTCTCTGTTGAACGATCCAATCAGAGGGCAGTCGATGCATTCATGCAATCATACAATCCACGATTCGACATTCGATTGACTGGGTTGTCCATATTTGACCAATTCGATCAATCTAATTTAAACTTTTGGGAGTTTTTAGCGGAGTCATTGTCATAAGGAGCATGTTCCGGGCTTCTTATTACATTTGCGTTGGCATTGCTTTTTTTTAAATCTCCTCGCAAGTTTCCACTGTCTATGGATTCCGAGGACGTTTTTCGTCATTTTCATTATTTCCTTCATTACCTCATTACGATCCATGGCAACAATCGCGGCACGGGAATATGGGGTTTCTTTCATTATGTAGCCCTCGTTTGAAAGAAGCATTTGCATTTGTATTTACGTTTGCGCATGGGGTTCGTGTGGATTGAAATTGCTGCTGGGCGGTAGGACAATTGCGGTTATGGTACTCGGCCTGCACATGTTTGATAAAATTCATGACGATCTTATTATATTATTGCCAAATTTCATGCAATAGATTGCCAACTATGACAGTGATGCTGACTGTGGTGGCGGTGCCGTATTGTAGGCTGTGGCACGCAACTGTGGGTAGGCAAGCGAACCTTGGGGTGAACCGAACTCGGAAGAAAGCTCAGCCATAGCAGTCAGCCAATGATAAACTTTGGCGGTAAACATCCTCGGTGCAGTAGATTCCCAAACACACCTAAGCTCCCCCACGTCGCGAATCGCGTCCGAATATTATTTCGAGCTCATCTCGATGCAAACGCCGTTTCTGTAAATATCCAAACGAGCATATCCCTTCTTCAGCATAATACGATCTTGCGCGCGTTCTGCAAGCACAACCATACCTTGCGTCTCTTTTCTTCGGATTTCGCGAATTGGCGGATCAGTTGCAGGATAGAAGACGTTTTTGTTGCGTATCGCAGATACGGTCAGAAACCTGAAAAAGAAAAACCTTTTCAAGCTTACCTGATTGCGCCGGCCCTTTCCACGGAAGAAAGAACGAGAAGAGTGTGTCGGGTAACAGTACAGACGATACAACCACCATCATCTCAGCGGGCAAGGGTGCAAACGATACACTGCGACGAATAAGCTGCGACGAATAAATTACAACGAAAATTAGAGCATAATACAATGGCATCTCCGACAACACCTAGTGGGAGCGGCGAAGCAAACTTTGGCGCGAGCATCGGTGCGGGCACATCAACGGGTGTTTCGCCACTTGAGCAAGAAGTGCTGGATGAATATGCGCGGCTGTTGGGGAACATGAATCGGGTATGTCGTAACTGTTTTTTTGCCTATGGATGTTGTCGGAAAGTACAATGGTCATTGGACTCCACTAACAGAGAATCCAAAATATAGTTGGCATCTACATTGAATGATCTGGCTGGGTCCCCAACGGCCCAAATCCTCGACGGCCTACGCGCGCTCGAACGCAAGACAAGTCTTGTCTTTACACTGCTCAAGGCAAGTGTATACAGCATCGTTCTCCAGCAGCAGATCTACTCCGGCGATGATGAAGAGAATGCGGGTGCACAAGGCGGGTATGATGAGCATGCGGGCTATGCGGAGGATGCTGGAGACACTACGGCGTATGGAGGAGGGATTGAGTGGGGCAGAGGATAGGTCTGCTGTCCAAAGGGATGGGAGGTCGTTGCGTAAAGGGAACAATACGGGGAATGTGAGAGGATACGATGTGGTGGTTGGCAAGAGATAGTTGGGTGAGGTAGATATGTGGCACTGGGTATGAGGTCTTGAATGGCGTATGGGTGATTTTAGATGGCGGAGTTGTCTTGTCTTGTTTATTTGGAGAATGGGCTGATTTGCAGCTATATGCTGAGCTTGCAGTGACTTTTCAGAGTATGATGGAGTATGGCGTTGAGCGTGGATTGTCATCAGATCTTGCGGATATATTGCACAGGAGGGTTTCATTATATAAGTGCTCAGAGTTTAGACACACAGGAGGGATTTACTGTCATGAATAAACTCTATAACTTTGACCAGCCGTGGCATTTCACCTTATATTAGACTACTAGTAGCACCAAGTAGCTGGATAAACTACGTAGGACTAACAGTTCATTATCTGAACCGGAGATTGTTGTCTTGGACCCGCGCAGTAAGGTCCTATTCAAGGCCGACAATCCGATGCCGCCATTGCTAAAATACACGCATCTTTTACCATGCACCTCGATGTGCCGTATTCGTAATGTCCTATACAAATCATACCTTAGGTAAATCTTGAGCCATTCCGTGGCCTCGGTGGCCTGTTTCCCGCGAACTGGACTGCTCGGAGGGGTCTGTCTATGCGCAGCCCTATCGCTTAAGCTACAGCTCGTGGGTTAAGGTTAGGTTGAGCGACAAGTGAACGCCCACCAAGTACCTTTTAAGCAAAAGTCATATGACCAGGTATTTATCCGGTGCTCATTTTCAGGGTCAGGTTTTACTTCTGGCGTTCGTTAAACCCCTGGCGCTAAAAGCGTCATCCCGCATCTCCCCCACGCTGCGTCTGGTTAGCGATAAGTTAAATCTTCCCCCCGTTGCCCCACACATTTTGATAATAAACATTCGCGTCTTCGTCTCGTTCTTGTCCTTGTCAATTGTCAAGCTCTCATAGGATTTCGAGGTGATTGGTCTTGTTTGATCCTCTTGTTGTTTCAAATTTCCTCGCACTCTGCTTTCACGGAAAAAATAACAATCTCAAGTAAGTTTGTGGAAGAGGGTCCGAAATACTGTGCTTGAGGGGAGCACAGGGTCGAGAGTGATGCTTGGAAATGAGTTGAGAAAAGCACGCAGTTGAAGCTGCTGCTCAGAAAGAACCTGGGAAAAGCACACGATCAATACTGAAGGAAAGCACACGGTTGATACTAACGCATAAATAGGATTTCACGCATCACAATGGCGAAGCCTGACGACAAGCACCCTTCCGCCACGCCTGACTTCGAAATGGCCTTTTCCAGTGACGAAAAGCACCCTATGTACGTCTGGACCGGGGCTGATGAAAAGGCTCTTCTCGCTACTGAGGCCGAGCTCCTCAACCTTTCCTCGAACACTCCTCTTCCTTCTGAAGCCCCCAACAAGTCCAAGCTTGAAACCGACAAAGCTTTATCCTCTGAGGCGAACGAACCTCCTGGAATAGCGGCCCTCGCATTGTCTATTCTGGAGATCTACCTGGCGATTATGGTTACCATCATTATGCACCTTGCGGGTCTCATGTTCCTTGCGGCTCTTCATTTCTGCAGGTTCGGGACTTGGGAGAAGGGCCCAGACGGCAAGATGACCATCGACGCTTCTTCCAAGGCTAAATTGTTGGCTCTGGTAAGTCACGCTTTCATTCAGTCTCTTTGTCATTTTGAGTCCTCTTGAGCAGCATGTTTGCTTCATTCCCGGCGGGATCTGAAAGTGTCGGAGGCCTGTCATTGTTGCTTCTCCTCTGTCCTCATGCCTGGCTTATCTGACCTTGCTTCTCTGAGCTTTCCCCTCACCTCGACATCTGCCTACAAGTCAAGCTAACAAGTTGTATTTTCACAGAATGTTATCTCCGGAAGCTTTATAGTCTCTCTGATGATTTTGAGCACTGGAATGTTCATTCTTATTAAATATGTCGAATCCTCCAAACGCGTAGATTTTGCCATGGACTACGTCGGTGGAGTTTTCGCTGCGGTGGCTATTTACAATCTGGCTGTCTCCGCGGCACAGTACGTCATATATGGCGCTTACGAATGCAAGCTGCAAATTGTTAATGATGGCCTCTGTGTCTTCATTGCGTAAGTAATCTTCCACTTTTCAACAACACCAATCGCCCGCTCTTTTCCCCTCCTCAGACATAGTTCAACCGTTAACTTTGTATTTCCAGAATCATGGGCTGCATCCGCCTCCATAAGCGTTTCTTTCGGGACCCCAAGCCGACTGGGTCGGCCACTGATGGTGCCGCCGAAACCGCCGTCTAGCAGTCATCGCCGCCGTGCGTCAGTGTAGCATGAACATCGCCTGAGCTAATTGCTCCTCGTGTCTCCCTCTTTCTAAATTAGACTGTTTCGTGTGTCTAATGAGGGAGAAGGCGATGGCTTCATCTGACCGAGTCCGTACCTTGTCAAGCTTTCTTTTTTTATACGGACCACGACGGCATGTCTGCTTGGTGTCACACCGGGGGTTGTCTGCATTTTCTTTTTCTTTTTCAATTTTCTTTACGAATTTCAATGACTTGACGAACGTCATGATCTAATTAATGGATCTGGAACAGCATTTAGCGACTGTCACGGCGGATTTCGTAAAAAGGGATGGCATATGTCTTTTTATGCGTACCAGCGATGCTATTTTCTTGCGTTGCTCTTTTTCGTCATCTACTGCGCGTAGCTAGTTACTTAGTACAGCCAATGGGTTAACCGGTTTATTTTTCATCTTTACCCTTTTTAAATGCATGACAGTGATGTGAGATGTCGTCGTAGAGCGTAATATCATAGGCAACCATATTGTTACGCCGGCAAGTATCAATCCCCACATTGTACGATTCGGTCAGAGTTTGTTTACACATTTACCGTTAGCGTACTCGTACCAGGCGGGATGAAGTCCAATCGTCGCTAACCTGCAGTAGTCCTCCCACTAACCATACCCGCGTGGCCGCTATTCTCATATCCCAGTTAGCGCCGATCTTCAACCGCTGGTGCCTGAACTTGGCGACACTTTTTTGCAATGGGATGGCATTAAACCAGATCCACTTCCTGGGATTCATTTGTCTGCCTGGCTACCTACCTAGGAGGGACTATGCCACATGGCCTAAATTTTCTCTGAGCTCAGAGCGATAATTTCTGCCCGGAACACGGAATACAGGACACTGACTTTCAGCTATAATGTCTTTGAGCCCTTCTTATTTCCCTATTGCTTATCGTTTGCTGCATCTGAATTGCAATACGTGTCTTTAATATATTTATAGTCTTCTCATTTTGTGCTTCCTCTTTTCGTATTATTACATGCATTATCATTTTATCTGTGCCCCCTGGTGATCACTGGTGGTTCAGGGACCAGCGCTAAGTAGTGTAGTTTGCGAGCAGCTTGCTGAGCATGACGCAAGTTACAAATGGCTGTTATGACTCTTTTGACACGCTGGCCACTTCGCATTATACAGCTTTATGCAATATTGTTGTTGAAGGAAGACTGGGTGGGCGTACCGGAGATAATGAGTTTAGGCAGAAGTTTAAACACTTCGGTCTTCAAGCCTTCGAGCGCATGCTGAGCAGTCCGACTCCGGAGATGATGATGGTCATGTATTTAAGGGTATCGAATTCCTCACAGCCAGATATATGGACATTGGCTTTTGAGCATTGATTTATTCTATTGTATCTCTACAACAGTTGGACTTTTTGCCTTTTTCTTCCCGAATTGTGGTGCGTTGAAATAAGTCTTGGTTGTTGAGCGTGCAAGCAACTGGCGTATCAACATATCAGCTCTTCAGGCTCTCAGTCTCAACTATCAATATCGAGCGTCCTGCTTTCAAGAAAAAAAAGTATATTATCTTTTAGTTGAAGCATCTCATCCCGGAGAGGCACAATTCATACAATATCAACATGAGACTCCGGACCAACAGCTCTACTACCACCCACTCCAATCCAGCACTACCTGCAAAAGAGACTGAGATAGTATCCTCTCCCTCTTCTCCTTCATACGATTGGTCATATCCCGAGTTCGAATCAGATCATGACTCCGAGTACGACAATCTTCGACGGCAGTCCCACCAACGCCGGGGTCGATCTCGGAGACGCATCTTGCGCTCTTCTCCATCAAACAATACAATTGACGATACCCATACGAACGAAGAGCAAGACTACAATCATACTGCCCGTCAAGCAGACACAGACACGAACAAAACCCTAGCAAATCTCCGCGGCGCATCGCCCGCCCAATTATCCCTGCTTATCCAGCAACTCAATACGTCCCGTCAAAAGAGGCTCCTTTCTAGGAGGATACGCAACATTGCGGTTACTGGAGCATTCAGTCTCCTAGTTCTGCGCTGGTTGTATACATATACATATACATACTTGCCCGGCTTCCATGAAGCCTTCAAATCTCCCTTCTCCGGGACGAAACTCTTGACCGGTGGGATAGTTGCGAGTGCAATACCTATCATCTTCTTCTCCATTCGACGATATCGTCATCTTCACCTCAACTTCCAACGTCAAGGTCCACGTTCACAGCAACCACCGCACGAAAATGCGGAATCGGCACAACCTAGAAATTCTTCGTTCTTGCGACGCGTATCCCAGTTGTGCCAGCACCCCTTCCCCAAAGTGGTGCGCTACTCACGTTTACCAAACCACCTCTTAGGACAAATGGAAATTATTATCCGCAATGTACCCTCCACAGTCACTACTCTCACCGACACAGCCACCCGTGAACCCGATCCCGTGTCTCCGCTGGGGAACATTCTCCGCGCAGGACGCTGGATCGTTGGTCTACTAGCGGCGCTTGTGTATGTGTCTACGAGGTTGGCGTATCCGATTGGCCCGGAGACTGTGTTGAGTGACCAGATGAGTCCGAGGAGGGGCGTAGAAGGGACGACGCAGGGCGGTATGATTACGCTGTTGGTCGTGGGGGTGTAAGTATATTTCTTTTCTTGCTTTTCTTCTTATCGTTCCCTCATTGGACTACCGGGTCTTTCTATCTGACCATATCTATCTGGCCACGGAGCGTAAAGTCTTTGAAAACTGTTCATTAAGAGAACCAAACAAGCTAATTAGACTGTATTACAGGCTAGCGTCAATATACGATACAGTGTCGTACATGGCTGACGTGGATAAATTTCACTCAAAAATCTATGTGCGGTATTGACTATCCATTATTGAACCATGAGCTCTCGGCGCGTTCGGGGTTGTGATCCTAGAGGTTACTCGGCGCCGCATGTCAAGTCATTTCCCCATCAATTGCTTTGATTGATTGTCTATCAGCCAGAAAGCGAAGATATTGCTTGGGCAAGGAAAGGGACGAGCAAAGGAGCAAAAGGACTGAACGGCATTGACTAAAATATTTTTGTTGGATTGCGCGCAACTACCTCTATTTTACTCTCCGACTCCGATTACTGTAGATCAAAAGTACAACAGTACATATAACAGTACATACCATACAAGAGAACTGGTCAAAATAGAAGATGAGATGTATGAGACTGAGACTTGGCATGAGAATTGCATACATAGATAATACAAAAAGAAAGGAGACCCAGAACGCAGGAAAAGGAATAGCGAAATAAAGGCTATGCCATTGAAGAAAAGACTCGCTTCCGTTCTTCTTCGACAAAATGTCTGGTTAAGTGGAAAATGGATGAATGCAGGGTGTGGATAATGAAAATGATCTTAGGTTGGGGGCGGGAGAAGTGGATATAGACTCTATGATACAGTGATGACACCGGCTCGAGTGATGAAACCGGTGTGGGAGGTAGAGATATGCCCAACTTTTGAGAGACGCTGTTGTAGGTGTCATACGGACAGAGTACACGCAAAAAAAGTTTCGCGGCGAGTTTTTGATGGTTTTGGGTAGGCACCATGTCAAAGGTCAGGGGCATGCACGGCCAAAGGACCCTAGGACGGCAATGTAGGGTCAAGTCAAGCGTAATGTGAAGAAGGTTTATGGCAAGGACGTTTAGACCTGGCCACCATAGTACACCTTGCGGACATCGACAAACTTCTTGCCCCGCGCGCGGGCAATGTCTTCCGGTCGACGCTGGCTCTTGAGCGCCTCAAAGGCGGCCTTGACAGTGTTCATGGGGTTTCGCGAGCGGGTCACCTTGGCCGCGAGATCGGTGATGCCTGCGCACTTTGCCATTTCGAAGATGCGGTGCTGGCAGCGGAGTCCGAAGCCTATTGTGCGGGTTAGTACGCGTGAATGAATCAACTGAAAGAATAAATCAATTGAAAAGGGGCATAAAGTATCATATTTGATACACCTAGGAAGAAAATAACGGGATACACCTAGGACGAAACACCCCACGGGATATTAAGATGGGATATACTGACCTGGAGGACGAGCCATGAGTTTCAACTCTGTAGCACTGACTTTACCCTCAACCTCGCCATAAATGGTACGGCTCTCGTAGCGGGTAATGGGCTGCATGTTGCGAATCGCCGCCATCTCAGCCTGTTTCCTTGCATCCTCCGCTTCCTGGGCTTTACCCTCGCCAATGCCCAACAGACCGTCACCATTGCCGGCCACGCTGAGATAGTACATGCTCGCAACTTTACCCATGCGGGTTTGGTTCACGACACGGTGTCGGACAAGGTTCTTGACGCGAAGGCGCTTGATGCGCATCTCAGACAGTCCCGTCTGCTGCATGAGCCGCAGCAGCTGCGGGTCGGTCTCGTCGCCCGCCTTGTGGTACCGCAGTTCCGGATCATTAAACTTGTTAATCTTGGGCGCCGTATAATTAACTGGAGCCCGCTCGGCCTCCTCCTTGCCGACGTAGTGGCGGACATTGTCCTTGAATTTGAGCCAGTCTGCCTTGTCAGGCTCCTCGGGCAGGTCTTTAAACCATTGCGTCACGTCCTCTCCAAACTCGCGCTCGGTCTTGAGCCGCATTTTCGGATCGTAGTTGCTCTCGGGGTTGCGCACTGGCTTGTCCACCACGGCATGTCGGTGACTCAGGTCGTCCACATATCTTAGGCCAAATGGATCGTTGCGTATCGTGCCTTGCGTGGCCAGATCCTCGGTGTCAACGGCCTCTTCTCCAGCCTCAATTGCGCGAATCTGTTCGGGAGTGTAGCGCTTCGCCAATGCAGCCTTCTCGGCCTTGGTGTAGGGCTTATACAGGTTGCTGGTGACCGGGGCGGGCTCTTTCACAAGGTTGCCCATCTCAGAGGCCTTGAGGCTTCCGACCTTAACTCGTCGTCGCGTGCATTGTGCGGCCGTCGTGGAGAAAAGCCGGCCCAGCATTGGGGAGGGCTGAGCAGCAGTAGGGATGGCGGATGATGCTCTAGCAAAGAGACATCGTGCCGGCCGGGAGACGCTCATCGTGGGCGTCGGTATCGGCACCCTGGAAAAGGTCCAAGGAAAGATCCAAAGGAAATCAATTGACGTGGAAGAAAATGATGAGACTTTGAGCTGGACCCTCCGCTACTGAAACTCCCGCATGACAACAAATTTGGGAACCCCCAAAAGCTGCGATATTCATGACTAAGAAATTATGTAATCAGCCACTCTCGGAGCAGCTGGCCAATCAACTTTCAGATAAAAAAAAGAGCGTAAACAGAGAATTTCTGGATATTCAATATCTCCTCTATAACGAAACTTCATGTGGAGGCCATATCTCCTTCGCACAACTCAATTAGTACCCAGAATCTCAGTCGCAAGTCAGAGGTCTGCTCGATTGACCATGACGCCTCCCACTGCTACTCCTGCGACTGGAAAGCCTATGGGTGCCAACCCCAGAAAACGCCCCCATAACAATGGACGCCCATTCAAGAAGCGCAAGATTCAGCAGCAGAAGAAGGTCAGCGAGGGCGCTCATGAAGAGGTCCTCTTGGCAGATATCCGTCAATTATTAGCAGCCCAAAAATTGGACGATAGCCCTGCCGCTGCCGCTACTCCTACTCCTACTCCCGCCGCCGAGGACCAACCCGCAACAGACGCTCCCGCAGAATCGTCCGCACCTGCTCCTCCGCAAAAGACTCTTCCTCAGCCTTTCACGGAGATTGATCTTACCGTCAAAGAAATCTCCTCGACTGGCGATGGATTGGCGTTCGCCGCCGACTCTGACCATGTCTACGTCGTGCCTTTTACCGCGCCTGGCGACACCGTCACAGCTAAAGTCATCAAGCACTTCCCGCGCGAGTCTTACACTCTCACAGACTTTGTCCGCGTCATTACACCCTCACCGCAGCGCGACGACTCCCGCATTGGCTGCAAATACTTTGCCACATGCTCTGGCTGTCAATTCCAGATGCTCTCGTACGAGGACCAACTCGCGCACAAGAAGACCATTGTCGAGAAAGCATACCGCAACTTCTCCGGTCTACGGCCTGACCTTATTCCCACCATTGGCGAAACCATGGGCTCTCCGCTACAATACGGATACCGCACGAAACTCACTCCCCACTTTGACGGACCGCCCGAGAATCGCTCCAAGGAAGCCAGGCGCAACCCCGAGAAGCGAAAGGGCTTCGATTCGATCCCGCCGATCGGCTTCATGAGAAAGGGAACCAGATTCACAATCGACATTGAGGACTGTCCCATCGGCACCGACGCTGTCAGAATGGGTATGAAGTCCGAGCGTGTCAGAGTCTCTCACGAACTCGACAAATACAAGCGCGGCGCAACACTCTTGCTGCGAGAAAGCACCGAGCGGGTGCCCAAGCCGTCAAACGAGGCCTCAACTACAGACGACCTGCCTTCCACCACTGAAGCTCTCCCTGATGCAGCAGGCACTACCAAAGAAGCCATCATCAAGCAGTTCCCTTCTTTTACTGAACGCAAGACTTGCATTACCGATAACAATGCCACCTCGACAGAATACGTAGGTGATTTCCTCTTCAACAACCCCGCCGGCGCCTTCTTCCAAAACAACAACTCCATCCTTCCCTCGTTCACACAATATATCCGCGACCAAATCACTTCTCCTTCTTCGTCTTCCGTTCCTAAACCGAAATACTTCATCGACGCATACTGTGGCTCTGGTCTCTTCACCATCGTTCTTTCCTCCCTCTTCGAATCCTCGCTGGGTATCGACATTTCCACTTCCTCCATCGAATGCGCCCGCGAAAATGCCAAAGCAAACAATATCCCTAACGCAACCTTCATGGCATCCGACGCTCCCGCTCTTTTCGCCAAAGTCACATTCCCGCCCGACGAGACTGTCGTGGTAATCGACCCTCCGCGCAAGGGATGCGATGAGTCTTTCCTCAAGCAACTCGTCCAGCTGGGCCCCGCCCGCGTCGTCTACGTTAGCTGCAACGTACATACCCAGGCCCGTGACGTAGGGTATCTTGTCGGAGGAGTAAATCCCTGGGCTGAAGCGAGAGGCGAAACGCAGACAGAGACGGAAACAGAAAAGGAAACGCAAGAAGGAATGTATGAAATGGAAAGTCTTCGCGGTTTCGACTTTTTCCCGCAGACTGGCCATGTCGAGGGTGTCGCTGTGCTGAGAAGAAGAAAGTAATCTATTGATTCCGTTTTCTTTTTTCTTTCAACATTTTCTTTTTGCATCATTAAATTTGTGCATGAGAGGGCGGGTCTTTGATGATCTGGAACGCCTGTTGTTTCGTGCATATATGATCAGCATGCTGTCGACAATATAGACCCGCTTGTGTTCAAAAGTAAGAAAGGGTAGGAAAGAAATGCTCTAGGCGTTTGTGGGACATAAAGTTAGGGATTCGACATTTAGTTGTATTGTATTGGCAAGCTTGTATATTAAGTATAAAGCGTACAATCCATATAAGATTGACTTCTCGGATATTTTTTTTTTTTTTTTTTTTGGTAAACAGTAAGAGATGGACATCACAAGGGACAAATTTAGATGGCTTATTTAATCAGTCATTTCATTCATGCAATGGAAAAAAATTATGTTGCAAAAGATATTTGTAAAGCTTTCAATTTTTGTAAAAACTCATTTGACAAGGTAAACCGCCGGGGTGAGTACGGTACAGATACAGACAGGTACTGAAGGTGTGAAAAATCTGGAATACTAGGTAGGTAGGTAAGTAGGTAGCTAAATCTTGCCCTTGCGTCTCGATGGAAGTCTTCTTTCATCTACTCGGGCATTTTTCTCGACATTCCATCTACGATCCACCAGGGCCACCGAGCAGAGCAAATCTTCGCACAATGCTAGGACCAAACTCTTCGTACTCGGCTTTAGTATGGCAATAGCTCTTGAACTCGGGAGTCTGGCCGAGCAAGCTACCGCCAAACCAGGGGCCGTGTCGCTGTCGCTTGTGCGTCACGACCTGCACATCGAGTCCACCACTCTTTGCTCCTCCGCTGCGAGCCTCGGAGGCGCGGATACGGGCGTCCACCAAGTGGCGAATATCTCGCTGCAGGCGGCGGCCAAAGTCCTTGTATAGCGTCGAACCACCCGAAAGGACAATGTTCTTGTATAAACCTCTTCGGACGTCAATAGGCGAAGTCTGAATGACGCCGTCAACAATGGTGGGGAGAGGAGTCAGGAAATCTGACGAGTAGATTTCAGGGTTGAAAAAGATCTCGGGGGCCAAGAATCGTTCGTATCCAACATCCACGGTGACGGAGCGACCGTTGGGGTGGTTGACAGTGTGTTTTCCAAATCTCTCGGGCTCGCGGTCGAATCTAGAGAACTCTTTTACAATGTCGGGGCAAACGTAGCAAAAGTCCTCCTTAATCTTCTCTGCAGTCTTCAGAGAACTGTCGGGCTCGCCACGGTCTCGGAGAAGCTGCTGCACAAAATATGTAATGTCTCGTCCAGCAATGGGGATACTCTTGATGGCGCTGCCAATGACATAACCCTCGGCCACGGGGATAACGTGTGTCACACCCTCACCAGAGTCAATAACAGTGCCAGTAAGGGAGCGATCTGAGACTTTTGAGGATGTCCATGATGCGGCAAGAGCGAGCACGGCTTGCACGGCGATGTAGAGACCAGCGCAGTTGAATGATTCGAACATGATTTCGGCCGTGTTCTCACGGTTCTCAGGAGGGTTGAGTGGCTGTGTTGAGAGTTAGGATTAGTTATCAGTTCCTAGACTAGGGAAGAAGGACGCACAGGCTCGGTGAGAAGGAAGTGGTGGTCCTCAGGTTCCACTCGCAGGTATTTGAAGATGGAATTTGACCAGAAGCGCTCCATGTGATCCTAAATCTTGTTAGTCATTTTTTTTTATTAGTTATATTTGGCATTTGCTATAGACGAACCCAATTCTCGATCTGGCCGTGACGAATAGGATAGTGAAGACCGTAGCCTAGACATGTTAGAAACCACCTGCAGGACCTACACACGACCTTCAATATCTAAACCCACCTGGACCACTTGCAGCTGCCAATGCCTCGTCTCCTATGAAGAAATCCAGGTCCTCGGTGCCCCGCTTCGATGACAGGTGGCCCGATGGTCCCGCACCACCGGTTAAGAATGATGGCTTGTTCGCAACTGCCGGGCGACCTGACCCTGTGCCAGCAGAGCCACCACCTGATCCCTTGGTTGCAATGGCTGTGGGGAAAACGAACGATGGCGAATCATTGCCGGCGAAACCTAGAGGAATATTTGGTAAGTGCCTAATTGTAATCTCGCGGATTGATAAGCCGCTTCTCACCGAGTTTCGAATAACCGGTGCCGCTAGGAAACGAGTCAGCAGAAAGTCGGAATTAATGGCGTTCTTACGCCTCGAATCTTCGGGGGAGGGAATTCAAGGAGCTTACTTGTCCATGACAACGGCCGGTGTTTGGGACGCCATCTTGATCGATAGTTGGAGGAATCACAGAGAGGGAAAGAAATGAAGCACCAAAGTGCCTCTTCAAAAGATTGATTAAAGAGCCACGATAGCTCGTTGCCTGCGCAGACAGAGCTTATTTGCGGCAACAACAAGGGAGTGATATGATATGACGCGGTCAGCGGTGGAGGCTCATGTAGCTCTCCTACCTGCCGCTTGGGGTCGTCGGCGGATGACGGGACCTACCGTCCGGTCGGCTATTTAAGCCAATCACCTCTTGTAAGTTTGCCGCGAAGATTGTATCGATAAACTTCACGTCTATTAAGGAAACTGCAGGGCACGGCAACCGTCGAGAGTTTCACATTCACATGTATGTTCAATTTTGTTCTTACTTCTAGGAAAACTATTAATTGTTTTAGGCTATGTAGGCATGGAGGTCATAAAAGTAAGATTGAAATCATAATCGAAATATAATTGAAAAAGGCATGTGCACGATATCAGATGGTGCAGAGCACCTGCACAAAGCGTAATTAGCCCTCAATCGAAGCTCAGACCCGTTTCACATTTCTGCTGCTTGCTGGTTTATCTGCTTCTCACTCTTCTCACGCATTCTTGATATCTATCTTCACCCTATGCCTTACTCTACGTGCCGTGTCATTCCTTTTTGACCTACATTCATTTAAATTCCTCCTCACCTTCTGCTTTGCTCCTCGTACAGGGTAATCGTACACACTCTCTCTGCGGCTGGGCTCTGTGTACTTAGCTGAGCTACCTGAAAGTCTGAAGAGAATTGGCCCTTTCCTGGCAGAGGCTCTACAGGCTCTGATAGTGCCGTTTCAATCGGCTATTTCAGCTTTAGCTAAGGAATCTCTCATCAAGAGAGCTCGCCCAAGCTTTTCTTCCTGCTACTCTCAGCTGGTCTTTCTCACCGCAGGAGCTTCTCTCTACCGCTCTACAAGTGGAACGCCGTGTAAAGCTGGAATTTCTATCCCAAAAGCTTTTTTGGATTAAACGTTGGTTGCGAGAGCTTCGCCAGGGATACCGGAACCGACGTCAAAATCCGTATCAGTCCTCGCCATCAGTTTTCATCGACGAGTCATTGTCCGATAAAGGCGTTACATCTCATCCGCCACCGCTTGAAATGTTTTCTCGGTCGCCCAAGAAGAAAAGCGGAGACCAGTGTGCAATTTTCGTACATGCAGGCGCCGGGTTTCACAGCCATCAGAACGAACACATTCATTTGCAAGTCTGCAGCGAGTAAGCAACTCACCCTAAACACTGGCAGACAAGCTTTTGCTTTTGACCTTCTACTCCTGCACCTTTCTTGGTAGATTTATATTCCAATCATCCCGGAATCTGTTATTTCGCTAGTTCAATCTACTAACTAGCTTTTCAAGTGCCGCTCGAGCTGGAATGGCAGCTCTGCGTGCAGGAGGAACAGCCATTGACGCGGTAGAGTTGTCTATCAAAGTTTTGGAAGACCGAGAGATTACCAACGCAGGTTACGGAAGTAACTTGGCAATGGATGGGACCGTCGAATGTGACGCTACAGTGGTAGATCACTATGGACGAAGTGGGGCTGTCGGAGCTGTGTCACGTAGGACTTCTGATCGCACAATTTTAGAAATGGAAATGGCTAATATTCTGCGTAGAAATTCGAAACCCAATCTCCCTGGCCCGAGTGATCCTAGATCATTCCAACCAGCCTATGTCGCTTCGACGAGTTCCTCCCAACCTCCTGGTCGGCCAAGGCGCTGTTGATTTCGCCTTTGATCAAGGGGTACCCATTTTGCCGCATGATGCCTTAGTCTCGCCAGCTGCGCGAGAACGGTGGATGAAATGGAGGAAAGATTTGAAAAACTTCTACGATAAGAATAACGAAGAAGAAGAAATGGACATGGGCGATCAGGATGTTTACATAGATGATGATTATGAGGAACATGTGAGGAGGGCTCAGCGCCGTCAACACACGCGTGCGCTGATGGCTGGGGTTTGGAATGATAGCCAGCCGTACTCGCCTCAGCCTACACCTCCCATCGCCTCGGCGCCGCGATCTCCCACTCCGCGCTCACCTCAAAGTCCAGAATCGCCCAACTTTATCGATCCGGGACCGCACATGGCTGATGGAAAGTTATTTCAAAGGGAGGGGTTCTCTAGGCTGCGTCACAACTCAATCGTCAAGCAGCATAGTCCTTCACCACAGCAGGATGCCGCACGAGACAGCAACTCGGACGAGGATCTGATAGTCTTGGATGACGATAACTTGCAATGGAAGTCCATGGAGCAAGGAAACGTTGATGGTCACTCCGAGTCCGAGGTCGAGTCGATGTCTAGTGGATCGATCCCTCTTCCTTCTGCTTCCCCAAGCCCACCTCCTTTTGCTGCGCTGCATACGCCATTACCTCCTAGCCCAACGTTCGAGAGATCTGACACCCCATCTGTCGAAGGCAACCTCCGCGATGACTTCGTCACGGATACAGTTGGTGCTATCGCCATCGACTCGCAAGGAAACATCGCTGCGGGCTCCTCTTCTGGGGGGATCGGTATGAAGCTGCGCGGTCGGTGTGGTCCAGCGGCCCTGGTCGGGATCGGTACGGCCGTTGTCCCAGTCTCTCCCGACGATAAGAACAAAACCTGCGTTGCAGCCATTACAAGTGGTACTGGAGAACATATGGCTACCACCATGGCGGCAGGGGTGTGTGCCGAGAGGCTTTATTCAAGTGTTCGCAAACGTAAGGCTGGTGGGCTAGAAGAGGTCGATGAAGAGATAGCCATCCGAGCTGTAATCGAACAAGACTTTATGCGTAAGCTATTCAGAGAGCATTGAAAGAGCGAATACAAGCTAACGGGACCTACTAGAACATCCCAGTGTCCGACACAGCCATTCACCGGGGGCCATTGGTCTCTTGGCAGTCAAGAAGTCGCGCGATGGCACATACCTGTACTTTGCACATAATACTGATTCTTTTGTTCGTTCAATGGTCCTTGCCTGGATCGCTTGTATTTTTTTACTAATAATGTATTATCCAGGCTGTCGCATCAATGGGCCCTGACGATGTCAAGCCTTCGTGCGCCATGTCCCGAAACTCGGGCAACGGAAGCATTGCACAGGGCGCTCGCTCCGTGACCCCTCGGCGTAAGCGTTAGAATCGTTTTCGTGCGCTGGTGCGCTCTTCAATCGTCTATCGGCTCGGGCCCGAACCAACTCATGAAATCTCCACTCATTCCACCAGTTCTTTTGGCCATATGTTTGATATGCACGGAATGATTTAAATGCATCTCGTCGGTTCCTAGGCATCGCTCCGCGCGTTATGGCGTTTCTTTTCCAAGCAGTCGGTCGAGGACCGCATTGTTGTCTGCAAGCCTAGTTCAGGTTGATAGGATAAGCATGATAATTGCTTCCCGTAATCGCTTTGCTGGCTATTTTAATCTATTCGTTACGGAGCTGCGGAACATGGTGGTCGGGAAATCGGTTAAAGCAAAAGGGTATAATGTCATGCAACATTATCTGCGGAAGGCGTAATAGATAAATAAAGCCCGCGAAGGTGACGAGGATCGAATGATATCGCGAGTTTGCATCAGCAATGCAGGCGATGCGGGCCTTCATACTTTATCTTAATCTAGCATTCATCTCTTAATAATTTGAAGTAGCGCTTATTTTTTTTTTTCCTTATCTCGATAATCGCACTGATCCAATGATACGAAGGCAGTTGCCTCCTGGTTTCCACTTTGTTTGGCAAACTATGCGATTTGATGCTCTCTTCGCCCCCACGCCCAGGCTGACGGCGAAAACCAATAATGGCTGAAGCTTTGCAAGATAACTAGATCAAACCCTTGCCAGAAAGTCTGTCGAACTGACTGCATGGTTTCATTTACTTGTGACTTTGCCTGAATCAAGGTCAGGGAATATAGCTGGCCTATTTTCCCACAGGCAGCAAATTTTCACGTCCAGACTGTGAGGCTATCAGGAAGATCGAAACTAGACTGATGCAAAAGGCTTGCTAATCTTCTTTTGACAAGCAGGTGCCAACACAAATGTACAAGGTAGCAAGAAAAAGACTTAGCTTATTGCAGTCAATGCAGTATATGCTATTTGAGCGAAAAGCGGACAAGTAGCCGTCATAACGAGGGAGTAAAGTTAATCACACATTACCTCACCAGGTTGCTATAAATGTGGCTTGAACATTATCAGAGCTCCTATTGAGGATTGGAAAGCCGCAATGGAGTCCATTGGGCCGGATGAGGGCTCATTCAACATGATGTATGTTGGGTGGATCTCAGCCACATGAGAAGACGACTAAGGATAGACATGAGCACGAAAAATAACGTGCTAGCGACTTCTGCATAAGTTCAATGGATGGAATGGAAGCATACAATGAAACCAAACAAAACGGAGCTAACTGATGGGCCATAGTGGTACTGTTAGGGGCGCCAAGATGGCATGTTCGGCCATATGGACCTGGTTTGCAGTCACGTCAAGGGGTCCGTCCAGCCGACCCTAACGGATTCTGGATATTGCAGGGAGCTCTGACGTTTTACTCGAGCTTGAAGGCGGTGGCTGCCGGTGCCGGCTAGAGCTTCTTTGCATCTCTGCAACCCCGCAATCTCGGGAAATTTGAATCTTGAAACCTAACATTTGAGATGCAATGCGGCTGTCCCTGAAGCCGCCAAAGGACCCTTGGATACGGGATACTAGGTAGAGTGTCCGAATCCTTCTGCACTTTGTGATACATGATGCTTCCGTTCACCCATTACACTGGACATGGGGGTCATGGCGTACAATGAGGGGTTCATCCGGACGTAAGGAAGCTTAACGCAGGTGGCGGTCTCGTATCGTTGCTTATCGAGAGAGGAGCTTCACAAGAAGCCAACGCAGACAGATCTCTGGTCACAGAGAAGCGAAGCATTGACGAGGAGAGCTGGTGCCGATAGTTGCTGAAACTCAGGTGGGAAAACATTTTGTTCAGCAGCTACTGCTGTCGTTGGAGAGGCCAGACGTTGTGTGGAGAGAACAGGAGAACGTTGGAAGGATCTCGATTCCGAGGTACGTACCACAACACGTTACTTTTTGTGGGCTGTCCTTAGCTAACGTCGCATTACTTTTCCCTCTTTTCTTATTCAGAGGTGCCGCCTTTCCGAGACGGCGAAATGCGAACCAACGGCGTCCAGTAGCGCCCGAAGTCAATCAGCTTCTCGACTGCCTTACGCGCGACTTTGTCTGCTCCAGTCGTTGGGCGAGAGGGCCGCTCTCGTCACTTCTCTGGAACCGCTGATCGTCACGCCACAAAAGCAATGCGTAGCCGCAGCTGCGCTCGTGGCAGATGCCTCTATGGGAAAAGATCTAGGGTCGATCCGCCGGTTCTACTTCTTTGACAGGAGTCAATAATTGCGCGCATTATGTTTTAATTGACTATCGTGACAAAAAGAGGCTACGAAAAATTTCCGCGCCTCATGGTGTTGGCACGTCAAATGCATGCTCATGTGTCCGCAGTCAAAATGCAAATAATATGCAAACTCGTGTACTGTTTTGGCGGGGATCATCAATCAGCATGATCTAATGCTTCAGTCTGCTACGGCTACTGGTTGTATCTTGCATGAGAGATTCAAGGCATTTCCCTGCAGCTTTCGAAATGCTTCGTCCAACGTCATGCCTGTTTGGAACATCAAACCCCTCTTTCTACAGCTTCGATGAGAACATAATAGAAAACTTCCATGAGTCCGAAGAGCAAGGGAGCTAGGATATGATGCGTCGACAACGGTTGTGATGATAATGACAATGCATTCGACCCCGCACATTATCGATTCAATTGCTGCAGATTTACCAGGGTTTGCAGGCATCTCCGCAGAGTGAATCCAATCAATTACCAGGTGGGTTGTTCAGCTGCTGTGACCCATTGAAGCTTGCCGGGCGAAAGTTCCCACGAACCTTCTGAAATGTCCTTGCATCTCGCATCTCATGCAGTTAATCTGCTCATCTGTCATGTTGCTTTTTTTTCCCCTTCTCTGGGATGGAATAAGTATAGCGAAGATGTGCAGCGTGGAGCGACCAGGAGGTCCCGACAAGCCCAAGAACGCTAGCGATGGGCGCAGCCACAGTTTCGGCGGTCGTCGCCCGACAAACTCTCTAGCTGGCGAAAAAGGATTCCCCTTGGCTTTACCTAGAAGGGGTAGGGCGAAATGCTACAGAACGCCGTTCCGGAGCCCCCGGAAACAGCAAAGCAACGCCAGTTGCTGGGCCACGGACATTCGTCTCCCGGCGTTTCTTCGCTCACTGTTTCCTATCGAGCGATCGAGGCCCTCGAATTTTCTGTCCGTGCCTCGTCTACCAAAGGAAACCGTATGATTCCTTTTCAAGATGGCATGTTAGGGAGGTAATTGGCTCCAACGCGGCAAAAATCGTAACGAATCTCTACGAAAGAATTGAATCAATCCCTCGAAGCGAAAGGGAAGGGGAAAATGGAGTCATGATCAGATTTGAATCATTCTCGGGACCAGGTGCTGGTCAGAGTCAACTGAGGGTTAGGGAGACAAGGGGCGAACAGGGAATTTGATGCGAAGAGTCATCGTCGAATGAGAGTGATATCTTCTGGCTGGGATCTACCATCTTTGGAGGTCTTGCTTGAATTTCTTTTCTTTTCTTTTCCCTCTAAACTTCATATCGAAAACTTGGCGTGTGTGCATGTATCGTACTACGAGTATTATTGTCGAATCAATCAAATCCAAACTCATTTTGGGCGCAAAGTGTGTGCATATCCTGCAAACAGAGCTCCGTTCAGCCGGGTCAGGTCTCAAATCTCTCAAGCTCGAAAGCAGACGAAGCGTCAAGCAATTGCCTGTTTTGAGGGGCATCATCAGAAACTACGGGGTAGTCAGTGACGATAACGGAAAGAATCGCAGCAGAGGAGGTGCAGTAGCTTCTCACTGCATTTCGAGTCTAAACGATACAGAGCAACGGGGCGTGGGCGAGCAATAATGGCGGCGTGCGGTAGGACCACTGTCATCCTCCTTCTGCCCACCACGCGAGTGGCCGTAGGTGGGGTTGGTCGGGCATGTGCGCGCAGTTCCGTTCCGATAATCGACGACTTCCAGACGCTGCATCATTCACGTCTCGCCGTGGCCAAGTCTCAATCTAAACGCTCATACCACAGAAACATCACGCCATGTTTCCGACAGCTGCCCTATATATTATCTCGACCATGGCCTCCCATCAGGTCTACTTCTTCTCTTCATTCCTCACACAACAACAACAATTCGGATCATCAATCGCTCTTCCCTTCCTACCATCGTTCTTCTACCTTGATTCATAGACGTCATCACTCCTCGTCTCCAATCATTAAGAACAATACTACAATGGCAGCTATCGAAGTCCCCAAGACGCAATGGGCTCAGGTCCTTGAGGAAGTTGGTGGACAGCTCAAGTACAAGGAAATCCCCGTTCCCACTCCTGGCCCCGATGAGGTCTTGATCAACGTCAAGTACTCTGGTGTCTGCCACACCGACTTGCACGCTCTCAAGGGCGACTGGCCTCTTGATGTCAAGATCCCTCTGGTCGGTGGCCACGAGGGTGCTGGTGTCGTTGTCGCCAGGGGCCAGCTTGTTCACGACATTGAAATTGGTGACCACGCTGGTATCAAGGTATTTACTTTAATCTCCTCGATTTTCCTATTCTGCAGTTTAAAAAAAAATAAAAACACTAACGCGCGATGTTCTAGTGGCTCAATGGCTCTTGCCTTTCTTGCTCGTTCTGCCAGACTGCCGACGAGTCTCTTTGCCCCAAGGCCCTCCTCTCTGGTTACACTGTCGACGGTACCTTCCAGCAATACGCCATTGGCAAGGCTGCTCACGTCGCTCGTCTCTCCAAGGACATTCCTCTCGATGGCGTCGCTCCCGTTCTCTGCGCCGGTATCACCGTCTACAAGGGTTTGAAGGAGGCCAATGTCAAGGCTGGTGAGACTGTTGCCATTGTCGGTGCTGGCGGTGGTCTTGGATCTCTCGCTATCCAGTACTGCAAGGCCATGGGTATCCGTGCCATTGGTATTGACGGTGGTGACGAGAAGAGGGCGATGTGCGATTCCCTCGGCGCTGACGCTTTTATCGACTTCACCAAGAGCAAGGACGTTGTCAAGGACGTCCAGGCCGCTACCGAGGACGGCCTTGGTCCCCACGCCGTCATCCTGCTTGCCGTCGCCGAGAAGCCCTTCCAGCAAGCCACCGAATACGTTCGCCCCCGCGGTACCGTCGTCGCCATTGGTCTGCCCGCTGGTGCCTACCTCAAGGCCGAGGTCTTTTCCACTGTCGTCAAGATGATCTCCATCAAGGGCTCATACGTTGGCAACCGCAAGGACACCCAGGAAGCTCTTGACTTCTACCGCCGTGGCCTCATCAAGGCTCCTTACAAGATTATTGGCCTTTCTGAGCTTCCCAAGGTCTTTGGTACGTTTTGCAATCCTTGAACCTGATAAATGTGTTTGCATTGGTGGCTAACAATTTCCTTTACAGATCTTATGCTTGCTGGCAAGATTGCCGGAAGATATGTGCTGGACACCTACAAATAAATGACTTAATACCATTCTGGCGGCGGCGGCGTAATGTACGGTTGAGATTGACGATATTTTTATTTTATTTTTCATTTCGCGGCGGTTGTCTATATGCGCATTTGAGTTGAAACGACACTGAGCAAAGGAGTTGGTGTGGGCTCGGGGGGTGATAGAAAAAAGTCGGTGCAGTGGTGGCGGTGTCGCAGGTGTTGAGGAGAGGTGTGCAGAAGAGCCGTCTACGCCGTTTTTCTCCGTCGATTACATATTTTTTTTTTCTTTTGTTCCTTTTGAAAAGCCAAATATCCTATTTGACGAGTTATGAATATAAGCTGTTGATACCTGATTACAATATGTTTCAAATTTATTAGTGCCGTTGTCCAAACTGTGGAATACTTTGAGCAGGGAAGCAGCGGAGAAGGGGCATCAGTATCGGTTGAATTGCCTCTTTTTTTTTGCAAATTGAAATGGAAACTGACGAATGCCAAGGCTGGAATTACTACTGTTCACGTCGTTCGAAGGCCACAGGATCGTCGATGAGGGGTTGAGGGGCAAGGAATCAACAACGGTCAAAGTGAGCGAGGAGAGGTGGGGTTCAATGTCTCATACTAGCTGAGCTATAGAGCTGTAGAGCTGTAGACCTACAGGCCGAGGAACAGGCGGGGCAAGTCGCAACGCGCCTATAGTACACGCCTATCACTCCGCCAATCCCTGCAATCCCTGCCCACCCTGCCCTCTCTTTTTTCTCTTCTGTCCGAGGGACGGGGCCACGGGCAAGGATACCGCCGATTATGCCGATTATCGCAGGACTGTCCCACTGTATACCTACTCGGAGTAGGCACCTTAGTTAACTTATGCTAATTCCTAACTACGAGTAATACGAGTACTGAGTATTCGTCATGAAGTGACCAATCAGAGCAGCGAATTGAAACTCATGCCTCCTCTCTTCATATGATTTTCTAGGATTGTGCGGGCGAGTTAATGGATAGATAGCTTATCGTACGGTATTGTTTTAGGATTCGTTCGAATGGTGATCAGGATTGATGTGCTATGAGTATGTACGGAGTACTGCAGGTTGCGGATGGGAGCGAAGAGGCGGATGTTGATAGGAGTAACGATGAGCCTACGAATCTACGAAGCTGGGATAGGACGACGATGAGATGCTACGAGATGAGACAGAGACTATGCATCAATGGGGAAATTCTGAAAGAAGCTGGATTTCTTCAAGATAGTTTCTGCGCTTTGAATATTCCCTACTCCGTAGCTGGTATTGATAACAGCACGAGCGAGTGGACTCGGAACTCGGAAACCAAGCTACCAAGTTGTGACTATCACCCTGGCTGCGGGCTGCGAGTTGCTGGCGATGGGGGCTATCAACACTTGACACTACGGGGTATCAATAAAATGAGTCTGCTACCATGCACGGAGATACTGTCCTGAAAAAGAGATAGTTTAGTACAAACGTCAACCCGACTATCTTGTTGAAAAAGAGGGGTCCAAACCAATCCAGGCTGCAGGTGTCATGGCGCCATGCGGCCATGCGGCCATGCGGCCAAGCTAGACACCGGGGGCGCGCAAATTCAATTAGCCAAAAAGTTGGCACCAGGTGCATTTACTCTACTTCGTATACGTAGTAGTAGTAGTAGTAGGACGAAGGGAAAAGACAGATAAACGAGAGGCAAGAGATCGCGACTCATCGAGCGAATAGGGCCAGGCTGTCGCTTTATTCGGCCATTGCGTACTGGTATTCCGTACTACGGAGCTACTATTCGTTACCCTTTTTCATGTGGTTGGTGCTGGAGCAGCGGGACCTACCCACCGTAGCGTCGTAAGTTGATAATCTATCGTGGACCGGACGCGTGGGATGTCAACGTCCCGGCGCCAGGCAGGCAGGTCGAGGTCAATTTTGCATACTCCGTAGCAGGATAGCGTCCTGGCGTGTTGGCGAGAAGCGCTATCAAGCGTCCGAGGTCCCTCGGTCTCGTTTGGCGGGTCTTTTCCTGCTCCGCTGGCTGGTCCAAGTTACTCGTACGAGCGAGGGAAAAGAATTTCCAAGATTAGAATGATTAGCGCAGCACGTAGGGTAGTGTGTCTATCAATTACAGTCTTCAGTCTTCAGTCTTCAGAACAGGCTTTAACGTGGAGCAGTCATTTGTGATCTGCGTTTTAGAGCACGTATATATAACAATTCGGAACTCGACTGACACCACAGGCGACTAAGTCTCTATGGACACGACTTGAGTTTACTTGTGGTGCCACAACTGGTGTTAATAGTAAATAATTATGATACACACATGGAACTGCCTTCGAAGCATGTTGACAGATCTAGAATTTACATTTTGAAGACATATATGAGTTAAATAAGTTGGATTTACTAATAGAGGATTTATAGGCACCATGATATGATATATTAAAGTGGCTTTGATTTCTATTTTTTTTTTTTTTTTAAACTTTTTTTTTTAAAAAATATGTTTGAATTTAAACAATGCTCGATTTCCTTATCTTCAACTATATTATCATTCTATTCAAATAAAAGTCAACGAAATCCACAACAAAAATCCACAATGTCAAACACAGACAGTTAAGGATCCTATGATCCTATAGTAAAAGTAAATCGTACCTGGCTATTAAATATATTTTACGACATGGCCGATTTGGTGGCAGCAATATACTTGATATACTGCTAATACATAGCAATAATACACCTATCAATCCCATACGAAAAGTCCTCGCGGGGTGCTCATGCATCGGCCCAATGAGCTTCGAGTCTATGGCTATATACATTGTATAGATATAAGGTGCAATATCATACATACACTTAGAACACAAGGGCACATGATCCTTTAGCTCTGCGACTCTGCGACTCTGCGACACTGCAGTTATAGCTCTTCTCGTTTACATTTTTTGACATTTGCGAGTATTTTCCTGCCGCTCCAATCTAGAGTCATGTAAGATTTGTTATTTATTTGTAGACAGCGGCAACTGGCAATATGCGATAGGCAGCGGCTATTTGCAATCTAACCCCACACCCTCCACGCCCGATCCACGTGCTCTTCATCTGCACCCTTCAAGCCCCATCAACAGACCAACAAAGCAACAAGCATCCAGCCAATCATACCCTATCCACCATCATATCAACTCCCTGCCTATCCAATTACAGAAACAAGTCAAGCGGGACAAAAGCAAAGCGTTCAGAAAGAAGTGTCTACGTGATATCTAGCCGCGCATACTATGTCCTACCTACTACGTAACTTATTCTTGTTTGCAAAAGTCTGGATCGAGAGTGCCCTAACCAACCTCACCACCATGTTATATAGTGTAGATAGCAATAAAAATCACATTTTCATCATTTTTGCCTCCAAAATGCCTTGATCTACTGCTAAAAATAGTCTAATTTGTACAACTTGATTGACAAATCACTCTACAAGAGCAAGAACCACTAAAACCCTTAAAATGCTACCTCCAAAGCCTCTACAAGTGTCTCCAGCCCCTGAATCTACTACTGATTGATTAACTCTAAATACCAGATCTTCTCCTACTTCTTGGCCTTTAGAAGGTACTAAAGTTGACTCTGCCATACAAATTAGTATGAAGGAGCCAACTTATGTACTTGTAATTGCCCTAGTATTTGATAGGCATATGGTTCATAAATCTAGCAAAGTGTACTCCATTAGAAAATTTGACTAGATGTAATGGACAGGATTCAAGGAGATATAGGCTAGCAAATATGTAGATTCAAAAGGCTGGCAGCATTACTACATATCTAGAAATATGACTATGACTGCTACTAGGTCATGATTGAATAAAAAAACTACTAATATAACAATTAAGTCTACCAAAGAATAAGAAGATCTGCAGGAGCTTATTTAACACTATGTTAAAACTAAACAGATAGATATTGAGGCCTAACTTACCATAATATACTCTTGAAAAAACAATGAAGCCCCTGACAATGGTAAAATGCTTGAGGATCTATTGTAAAACCTACTAAATCCCTATATAAATCTATCAATTGAGCAAGAAAGACACAGGTCTGCTACAAAGGCTTTGGCTGCTAAAGTTTTTGCTTAAGAGGCTACTAGCATTGACATCATGAATCATTATAAATGTAGAGATATTTGTTGCAAGAATAAGGATATGTATTGTATACCATTAGGCCATCAACATCTCTATATACTATTACTAGATATACAGTACTGGTAGAAGCTTATTGTAATAAAACAAGCTATTTTAGACCATCTACCATTAGCATTGATTACTTAATTGAAGAAGAATTATAAGATAATAGAAGAAAAAAGGAGCAAACTAGGCAAAAATACCACTTATGTAAGGGCCTTGCCTCATAACTATGTAGTAATACCTGGAATACACAAGGTGGTTGCAAGCTGGAATAAAGCAGAGTAGGAGTAATAGCTAGGCTCTATGTAACAAAAGTAGAATACTTGTTCTTTGGCAGAGTGTTCTACCCTACAATATATATGTAGCATATAGCTGCTAGACTATCCTGTGGCTGTCATGTATATAACATGCTAGACACTTATAAGGGTCTGGAGCAACATCATTGTTGGCCAGGCTTGGTCTGGACCCAGCTGCCATGACAACTCAAACCTTCAAAAATGGCCCAAATCTATACAATTGACCATATTTTAATCCCTGGATGCAGGTTGCTCTAGTATCCTTGCTTCCATTGCCCCCAATGCAATTCATGCAGCCAGTATTAAATTCAAGGCCTGGAAGTAGCTACTGCTACAGCAGTCCTATGATTAGTGATACTAACCCTGCTGAGGTACTTAAGGTGTACACAAAATGGTACTCTTAGAAAGCCCTCTGCTATTTAATGCTTTTTGAGACTACTTGCAATCTTCTTGTCAAAAATGACTTCAATTTGGAGTCTATACATGTGTTAACAGAGTTAGAATTGGTTTAATTAGGCATACCTACTAGTGTTATCAAGCTTTTGAAGCATGACTATCAAAATTTCAAGTAGTAGTATTTACAGGGCAAAATTTAAAGTGTAATATGTATTGTAAATAGTAATATATTTGCTAATATATATAATGAAAATTATTAACTAATCAACTACTAGATGACATTGCTAGAAAAGTTCCTTATAATCTACTAAATTACTCTAATCATTGACAGCTGTTTAGAAGAAGCTCTAGAACCATTTTCCATAATCCTTGTTCCTGTATTGAGGGGCCATTACATTATACTACTTCATCCATGCTTTTAGCAGGTGAAATGAAGGTTCAATTGGGTTGAAATTAGGTAAATAAGGTAGTAGAAAGTGGAGGAGGATATTGTAGCACTAGTACATCTCTTGAAGTCCTTGTATAGTAGTTAGTTAGTTTGGTTTAAATATAATACTTTTTTCTATACCTCAGAGTGATGAATTAATACATTATCCATTATCAATACTGAGTGTAGCCCTAGAAATGGACTACATAACAGTAAGACCTCCCCTACTATCCATTTGTTAAACATATCTCCTGTAATTGAGCCCTGGTATATCTTTAAAGCAATATACCTATCAACTATATATACTAGTAGAATGCTCCATTGCTCTGATTACTAGAGGTACTATATAATAACTACTAGAACCCCTTATAACAACCATCCATATTTTCTATCTAACATTTACTTATTTGCTACAGACTCATTGATAAAGACAAGTATATCTACTGTTTAGTTTACTATTTGTATAAGTTAATCTTGGTAGAGGGTCTTGTTTCATTAAGTAGTACACTGCTAAATCTAATGAAATGTTAGTAAAGAATCCTATGAAGTAAGTACTTTTTTACCTTTTCCTACTGTTTTTTAAGTGAAATCTACATCTCCTATAGTACAGAAGATTGTTAATACACTGACCAGGACCTTGAATTTGACCATGATATAGTAGGTCAATTTATCCAAGTATAGCTTTAGATGTGCTACAAGGACATTAATTAGTTCCTATGTTGTATGTAAGTCAAAAATAGTCAAAAAAATGTGTCAAAATCTTACTAGCTTCATGATCTCTGTCAACATTTTGGGTTGGCTCATTTTCAAGGTTTTTAGTACTCTAACAGACCTGTATACCTTTAAATTCTACTTTATTTAGTGGATCAACACCTTTGAAACATCATGCCTTTTGGATATTTTGGGTAAACTTATATTAAGCTCCAAATCAATGCATATTTTTTTGAGAATTGCATCAGGTGTTGCTGGTAGCATTTTGATGCAAAATTGTAGCTTTTTTGCATCAAAATCAATTGAAAAAGCACATTTGAAGGCCTAAAAATAGATTAGTATTATAGTGATAAATTTCATCAATCTCACCTTCAAATTTCAGCTTGAAATATCTAGAATTGCACTTGAAATCACATGATTTGTTGATTTTTGGCCTATACAGCTTTGTAACATGGTGGTGAGGTCAGTTGGGGTGCTCTCGATCCAGACTTTTGCAAACGAGAATACTCCATACCAGGATATCTGGGACGCAGTCTGGACGGCCGCATGTGACTCTGACTTTCATGTCTGATTTACTACCTACTTATTTTGACACGCCGCAACCCGTGATTATGCAGTGTAGGAATAGGACGAGAGGTGATACTAGTATGTCAATACATCAATATGTCAACATGTCAACATGTAAATACCTACATCGGCGTTGGAATTGGGATTGGGAATTGGGGATAGGACAGGGATTTATGTGTCTCTACATGGGTTCTATATGTGTACAACGGGTTTATACAGATATATCTACAGGCTTCACAAGTATTTCAAAAATATTATAGGCCTCGAGGAATGAAGATAGCCGGACATGACAACTGACCAACACAAATGACGAACGGAACGGACCAACAAACAAGAATGACTAGAAGACAATGTAACAAGAGTAGAGCAACAAGGGTGAGAAAGAACTATGGCATTCAAGATATACAATATCTTAAAAAACATAAACAATCTTTTACAGTGTGTTATTTATATCCACTAGTTATATTTACTCTATCATATACTATCATATAGTAATTATAGTCTTATGGATTATGTTAATTATCTAGATCAGTATGAAGAGGGCAAGGAGGAGGAGGAGCTGGTCGTGCTGGTCGTGGCGGTGCAGAGTACAGAGTATACAATGCAGTACCATCTAGAGAGTAAAGAGTAAAGAGTAAAGAGTAGAAGGTTAAATCTATAAGAACTGGAATGGTCATGTCTAATGTCTGCTGTCTACTGCCTGCTGCCTGCTGCCTGCTGTAGCATGCAGCATGCAGCATGGTGGGATGGCGGGATGGTGGGGAAGTGACAATGATAGCGACTCAGTAGATCAGTGGCTTAATGGAATGGCAGGATAGTGATGGTTCAGTGTAATATAGAGGCAAAGTACAAAATCATACAGCAAATGAATAGTTCAGCAGCAGGGAATGGCACGGGTGGGTTAGCATCAGGACTAGAGAGATAGAGATTAGAGATTGTAGATTGTAGGACTGCAAAGACTTGGACATTGAATCTGGGGTATGATGTTAGCATTGACATTGACAATGACAATAATATCCAGGAAGATTGAATGCCTTATAGATCAGGGCGAGTCATCACGTTTCCTATTGCATGGTTATAACATCACAAGGCATCAAATCCAAAGAAAGACTAATAGTTAAATAATGATAAGTTAATACTAAAATATGACAATCTACCTATGCAGTGTGGCCCGTGGGGACCAGTGACATCTATTACAAGATAAAGACAATAAGAATGTGCCCCGACAGGAAATAGACAAATTAACGACATCCCTAGGAAAAGAGAATAAATCTGGAAGATGCACCGGCAGGTGAATAAATGTGCCGGGTAAGCCCGTAAAGATCAGATGAGTACAAAGATCAGATGAAAGGAAAATGGATAGATCATATGAAAGGAAAAACATCAGATGAAAGGAAAACATGAGACGAAAGGTTTAGATCAGAAAGTGGCTGAGAGTCAAACTTTTCCCGGCTCCGAACGGGCACGCACATCTGCGTATGCAGGTGCACATGCTCATGCAATGCTTGTGAATGCAAGACGCGCTGTAAAAGAAATTCAAATTCAAATCGCGCTGCTTCATCACAATCATGTGAAGAAAAAGCTCCCCAACACCATACTTCATCTGGCGAAAACGAGAACGATATCAAGCGAAGAAAAGATCAGATGAAAAAGACTCATTCACCAACGTCGATTAAATAATGGCAGAAAAAATTTCTGAAAATGCCGACTGTACGAAACCAAACAGAGTGGTATCATGAGGCAAAGGACGCCAGGCATGCAAGCTGTAGATCAGATCCGACTCCAACGATAAAAATGTCGAGACAAATTGAAATTCCCAGTAACGGGGGATATCATGGGGGTGGTAGTGGTAGTAATGGTAGTGGTAGTAATAGTAGTTGTTGTTGTTCGTTCGAACCAGCGTCGCCAGCCATTGTAATGTGTGGCCGGCAGCTTGCGCAAAGGAGGTCTAAGCGGATGGATGTCGGAGAATATCCTCGCAATTTGCGTCAAAACGCACTTTCCAATATCGCATTCCCTGCATAATCTTTTCGGTCAGATCCAGTTCCCGGTCACGCCCAAAGATCGCGTCGACAAATTCACATCCACTGTCCTTTCCCATGGACACCTTCTTCTCCTTGCCTCCCTCCTTTCTTGCAGCCTTCCACATGTATTCCTCACAGGCCTTGAGCAGCTTGCGAAAGCGCGCCCACAGTCGTTCACCGCTCTCGAGAAAGTCCTCGACCAATTCTCGATTCTCTATGCTTCGGATCCGCGACAGACAGTCTTCCCCGCGCTTCATCTTTCCCGCTAATTGAATCAAGAGCAGCCAGAGTTCGCCCGCAATCTCGGCAATCGGTGTTGCCGGGCCATGGTGGAAAACGGTCCAGTCGTAGATCCACTTGCCCAGCGAGTTGGCATCGAACACGCTTCCCAGCAGCATGATTGGTTCCTCTGTCGGATCCCAATTCTTGTACGAATATCCCGCCGGGATGCCTGCCCGCCGCGCATCTTCTTCGGTGGCTTTTGGAGAAGGCGACTTGGGAGTCGAATGCTTTGCCGGCTTTTGTGGAGTCGCATGATGCGTCGAGTAGGAAGCGCGATGATGATGGGTGGAGGCGCGGGATCGACGAGGAGTGTCAGCCGCCGCCGCAGCTTCAGTATAAATGGGGATCTGCTCGTAAAATGAGGAGTCAGCCTCCCTGCGCTTGCGGTAAGATGACGACGGATACTCGCGCGGAGACGCGTAGTAGTAGTAATAATCGCCCTCGCCCCAATCGCCACCATCCTCATCCTCCCCGTCTACTTCGACGTAGATGCGTTGAGAATCGGAACGGGGACGCGCGCGACTGCGACTCGTACCAGCTGTCGGCGGCACATAGCAATAGTACTGGCGACCGCTGTTGCTCCGGCCGCGGGAGGTAGATTGACGTACATAATCTGGGTTTCGTTGCGACGATCCAGTATATCCGGTAGAGTAATAATTCGTCGACTGGTATGGAGGCCAGCCAGAGGGCATGCGCGGCGACGTGTATGCAAATGGAGTCTGTCCATATGTTGCCCTTCGTCCGTGCGCTGATTTGGGAGATCCACAGGGCGATGGCGTAGCGGTGTGAATCGAATATCGTGGGGAGTAGTATGCTTGAGCCGGCGACACAGGCGGTGAGGTGTAGTCGAAAGCATATGTCGGCGGCGGGGCCGTAAATGGGGCAAACATGGTTGTTGTGATATGCGAGAGGAAAGAGGCGCACCAAACGACGCCCCACAAAAAGGAAAATATTTCAAATGCTTGCTTGGAGTAAATGAAAAGAGTATGTTTATCTGATGATGGCAATTGCAAATCGCGTGGTTCCACACAAGTCAAAGAAATCGCACTAAACGCCGTCAAACGTAAATTGGGGAAACGAAGACTCTTGTCCACCGAGGACTTGAATCGGGCTGAGAGAGAGGGAAGAAGGGGAAACTCTGGCTCGAACTCTCAAACATTCGGTCGGTATCGTTTCTGACGGCGACTATTGCAGCGATGTCGTCAAAATGGCGGAAGGAGGGAGAAGTCCCTCACGAGATCTGGCAGGATCTCGAATTGGAAGGTCCACGAAGACGATGGAATCAATCCACGGTGCGAGGGGCAAAAAAAAGAAAGCGAAAAATCACGATGAAAGAGACGCGAAATTTCTGTCGTCGCAGGAGCAGTAAAAGCAAAGATACGGGGGTAAAATAAAGATCATGGGAATTAAGAGTCAACGGGGGGGCAAAAGGGGGCTGGGTGAGAGAGGGCCGTGGGTTGCGCCGCAATTTAATCGATACCCAAGAGCGAGAGGGCGAGTGGTGTCTTCTTGTGGTGTGGGTGTGGGCGCAAAATGGTGCCAGGGTCGCACCGCTCACGCCGCCCGCGCCGTAACCGCTACAAAAGCAAGCGTAAGAGAACGGAGAGTGAGTGTGAGAAAAGAGACGGCCCTGTCGTGGCTCGGCGGTGGGGGGAGTGTATCGCGTGTAAGAGCCTCTCTTGGGCGCAAGAAAAGAGAGGGGGAAACCCAGAGAAGCAGTCCTTTGGGGCCTAAAGGACTGTAGGCAGTTTAGCTGCCGCTCTGCGGTGACTAAACGACAGGGGTCAGGCACCTTCTGGGCGCCAGACAGAGACGGGTCAACCACTAACCGGCAAGAGACGAGAAAAGATATGGTGGGATGGTGTCAAAATCCACGGCCCACGGTCCGTCACGGGCCCCCGGTTCCAACGACTCAAACCTGGTAGGTAGCGAAGGGGTGATAGTGGCTGACGGAAGCAAAGACTTTTGTCTTTCTGTGCGTGTGCGGCAGAGGTGAACCGACCCTTAGAGGCCAAGCCAGACAAGGGGCTGAAGATTCGGTGAATGCTGCTGCTGCTGCTGCTGCTGCTGCTGCTGCTGATGATGCTAATGCTTTTCAAAAGAGTGCTGCCTAGAGAAGGAGAATTTGCGCGCGTGTCTCCCCTTGATAGTCTTGAAGAATTCCGATTCGAGGGGATTCAAACGTTTATTTTCCTTTTGGGCAGGTGTTTCTGTCTTTGAGCCGAGAGAGCGGGACACAGAGAGGGCGACCAAAGTAGGAAAAGAGGGGCCCAGCTAAGGGAGGACGATGAGTGGTTGTTGTCGTGTGGGCGATGAGGTGAGGAGTATCGGCAGTTAGTTAGGGGAGGAGAGAGAGATGAGGGAGTTGAAAGGTTGGGTGACGACTGGAGCGATTGAAGCGGTTTAGCTTCACCAGGGGGGTTTCAACTCTTTTCCACTTCCCTTTTTGCTGCCCAAGCGAAGGACACAAGGTTAGTCAAGGGGTAAATAATAATAATAACAATAATAAATAGTAATAACCAGTGAAAAGGTAAATTTACTGTTGGCCAACAAGATTTGCACTATTGAACTGTACAACACTGTACGATGAATCCTCGACTCATAGCCTACTGGAGTACAGAGTACACAGCATGGCAATGAAAGGAAACGCCCCTGTCTCAGATGCCCTCTATTTGCTCGTCATTACCATGCCTTATTGTTTAATCATGTCCAACATATCGGGCATAACCAACCGGTGACTCCCATATGAAATGAATAAACTCCAGGCCCTAGGCTGCAATATGATGTAGCTGTGCCATAGTCATTTCTGCCCCTTGACTCATCCAAATTATGAAAATAGTGGCGAGGTTAAAAACAAACACTATAACCAAAAATAATAACAAAGAAAAAAAAATATAATTAATCTCAGACCCGACATTCTGGCCAAGGCGAGAGCCAATGGAATGGGTTCATATGGGATGACTGGCCCAGGCCCAGGACGGGACAGTCAACTTGGGTTAGGGCTGGATCCCATAAATTTCCCGAATCAAGGAGTCTCCTCGAGGTCTCCAAATAACGTGCTTCTGTTCATTCTTCAATGGCTAATCGCGCCGTGGCATGTGGGGATCCTCCTTCCTCATCCCTTCACTTGCAGTAAATGTCGGGATAATAGAACGACCCAATAACAGTGTCTGTAGATCATACCATGTACAGATAGTATCGCATGTGAAGTTTCCAATCTCCCGGAACCTGCTCCTGGAATTGAACATTTTCTCCATTCCCACCGGCTCGAAGCGATAGCATCGGACAAGCTGTCCAGCATAAGCGTCCAACAACAACACTCTGCTTCCTTCCTGCAAGTTCGTTTATGCGCCCGTTTCTGGACGATTTCTGGTTGGGCACATAGCCGTGGATCTGCAGGCTCCCTCACACTAAGGTATAACTAAATGTTCCTTGTCCGTTAGCTATTGGCAGGACGATTAGCGAGAATCATGGGAAGAAGAACCGTTGGTGATTGATATTTATGCAAGATTACAATATTACTATTTTGCCTTGTAGTAAAAATGACTTTAGAGTCAAACACTGTAGAATAAGATCAATCTATAGTACTTTTGGACTCCTCCAATGAATAAATATATGTATAAGAAATGAGTATTTTGCTCAAATTTCCGCTTTCCTGGATGCTTACCCTAAGCATTGGTAAACAAATTTCCATTCATATATTTGAGACCAGTATCAGAAGCTACAGTGACAACTGTTCGATCAGGACCCAGCTGCTTGGCTAGTGCAATGGCACCTGTCACGTTAAGTCCAGTCGAGGTGCCAACCAGCAATCCTTCTTCTCTGGCTAGACGTCGACACATGGTACGCCCCTCTTCCTCGGAAACGGCACGCGCTTCATCATAAGAATTTCGATCAAGATGCGGCGGCACAAAGCCCGTGCCGACCCCCTCAACTCCATGCGGTCCGGTACGGCCTTCAGTGATTATCGGCGACGATGCCGGTTCTAGAACGGCGATATGAGTCTGTGGCCACTTGGATTTAAGCACTCGTGAGACTCCCATGGTCATTCCAGCAGTACCAACGGCGCCGCAAAATGCATCGATGCCATGAGGAAACTGCTGGACTAATTCGTGACCAATCTCCTCATACCCAATGAGAGCATCGCGGTTGTTGAATTGGTCGGCCGGATAATAATTGTCGTCTTTAGCTAACTCTTTGGCATGCTGCACCATCGACGGGATGAGGTCCGGGGTTATCTTGCCAGAAGGACTATTGACAAGATCAAGGCTTCCGCCAAAAGCTTCCATCGTGCGTAACTTTTCGAGAGCAAACGCGTTGGAAGATATCGCCAAAAACTGATAACCCTTGACCGCGCAAACAAAAGCAAGCGAGGAACCAGTGCTTCCACCGGTAGCTTCGATGACTGTCATGTTTGGCTTTAAGTCGCCCCGATGTTCAGCCTCTTCGATCATTGACTTGGCCATGCGATCCTTGTAAGAGCCGGTTGGGTTGACAGATTCCATTTTTAGGTAGACCTGGGCGCATCCTTCCGGGACGACATGTTGAAGACGCACAACGGGCGTATTGCCAATAAGCTTCAATGAGGTATCAACTGGTGAAGGCGGAGAAGGCATCGTGAAGCATTTGGAAGTCTATCTGCAATACTTGCCTTTGAAAAAAAAAATTTTTGATTTTCTCCCAAAAAGATTCTAATGAGTCACCCTGAGTTTGATGCGGTGGTGTGCCAGACGATCGCGAAATTACCGAACAACCTTTCCCAGTACCCGTTGGCATGATTTTAAGTAAACATAACTCAAGGTTATAACTATATGTAGTGACAGTGTAACTAAATTACCGGCTCTACAGGGAGATTAACTCTGGAACCCTCGGGAACTATAGACTGAATCGCGCTCTTTACGGGTAAAATTAGAGCGGCTACCTTCTATTCATTCTGAGTAAGTTACTTACAACAGGATAGTCAATTTGAGATGCCCAATGAACAGCCTCAATCACACAACGGGTATCTACGCATCTGAAAACACACTAGAGCTGCGAGTCTGCGACTTTTTTTCTTTGTTGATGCATTTCAGTCGCTGCAATATGCGGCCTGCATTATGCGTTATGCATTATCCCGAAGATCCGGACCCAATGAGATCGAAATCGCTTGCAAGAAAAATAACCCCTGGGATACCTAAATGGTGCCATGCGACTTTGCGTCGGCTGTCCCATGCAATGCATCATCTCAAATGTTTGTCTCTAGTTCTTCTTTCTTTTCCGTCTTCCTTTGCCTTTCTCCAATGGGCAAGGCCGTTATCTAGCTACCCCGCCAAGTCTGCTGGATATTTTCTTCTTCCTCCAAACATTTCCCTCAGATCAATAATAACAAGACACCTCTTCACTACCTACCGTACCTTTGTACCGTCCTGTAATAATCCTGCTCGCCGATACGAGATTCCATATGTCAGTAGCGACTAACGTGGGGCCACAAAAGTACACAAATGGTACCATGATCCGTGCACCAATTAGATTGAGACAGACCGCTCTTACACAAACAATATCAAATCACCACTCGAATGATCCAAACACCGATAGTGTGTGTCTTGGCTCCCATAGCAACACGACTCACCGCAAGATGGAAAAAAAAGAGACAAAACACGATCCAAACACCAATTTAAAGACCTAGTGCATAACCAAAAGAAAGGATCAAGGATCAACGCCGTAAAACCAGTAAGTGAAACCCCAGTTGTGTGCCGATGCTGCGGAAGACGGCCGAAGGAACTTGAGATGCTCCGGTGCTCCACCGCGGGAACCAGTCAATAATCAATCGTTGGAAGAGAGGGAGCTGGTGGAGACAGAACGGCGCAGGGCGTATAGTGTGGAGTATCTGCCGGCGCAGACGACGGCGCCTTGGGAGTCACGCAACCACTTTCCCATCGCATAAATCCTGTTCACCTCGAATAATACCAATAGTATATTAAAAATTGCCTTTTTTTTTTCCCCTTCGCGGCTGATTATTCGGGCCGAGATAGTAGTTACGTGGCTGTAAACATCGCGTGTGTTAGAGCGATAGAGCAAGCCATTCGACATCGGTCACAGATAATTGATTAACTTCCAAGCCATCCATCGTTTCAAGGAGGGCTGTAACGGTACAATACCCGGAGCCAAAGTTGGACCAGCTGCACAGAGTCAGGGGTTCGCACATTAGTACGTGACACGATTTAGGGTTGGGAAGTCGACATCAATTGCGTGTCGGCAATGGCATCACAATCATTATTGGAGGTTGCAGATTGTTGGGGCCGAAGATAAGGTTTTCCCTTTTGTCCTCCAACGTCGACTGGTCCGCGGATGTTTCTTTCAATTGCTTCCGCCCCTGCGCTGAGAGATGTACAATTTGCAGCGCTCCTCGTGGACGATGATACTGGCGCTGCTCTCATCAAGCTTACGTAGTACTTGTAGTGGTCAATTGACGATCTTGGTGTCCGAAAGGGTCCCGCTCTTTTAGACCCGGAGCCATCTTGTACAACGCATTGCACTTCAATGCATCGTCTTATGCAACGCACCGAACCGTCGCAGTATCCGGTCTCTTGTTGCCCGGTCACTATGATCATGGAAGCGCGCAGCGCATTTCTTAGCCCAAACCACCGAGGGGGCGATATCCGGCGGGGTAAACGGATCGCACAAGAGCGTCGCAATTAGGCCAAAGCAAAAAAAAAAAAAGCCCATATGCTTGCTTTATTCTATGACCGCCAATTCTGCAATTTCCCGGCCATTAAATCGGATATCCTTGTATTCAGAACGCGAAGGCAGCATTCAGGTCCTCGTACTGGCTGGTCGGCAAAGTGCCGAATCGTCCAAGATAGATTCCTTGTGTTCAATATCATCATATGCGATAATTGGTGCTTATCATGCACAAATAAGGCGTATGGTAAGATATCATTCTGCTTCTGATACCGCGCCACATTACACAACAGACACCCAGAAGCTGTGCCCTCTGGCGTTGCAAACCTGTGCTGAGATTCCAAGGCGACAAATTGATTGGGCAGTTAAAACGTTTTGTGGCTCAGCGGGATGTCATTGCATGGACATCACGTGAACGACTTAGCCACAGGAACCTAACCTGATCAGGGAAAGTGGGCTTGTGATCAAGAGCTGAAGAGAACGATTCTAGGGCAAGGAAAAAGACTTCACCACAGCTGAATTGCCACTGAATTACGATCAGGAACGGCTGTCGAGTATCTGATTTGTTAACATACAAGCTGAAGGCAGCCATAATTGTATAATTTGACGTTCAGCTCCGTTTTGCCGCAAATCCTATCCCCAGCCAATAAGGTGTACAACTTCACCGAACATCGTCACACCTCTCTACCTTGGGTTCTGTTCCCCTTCACGCTGAGAGCCCAATGTGACTCACTTGATTTGCCCCATGTGTTGGAAAATTTAGATCAATTAGATTGATTGCTTGAAACAATATCACAGTCAATATTTGGCCGCATCGGGTCCTGTATTGGCTGTAAAATGTACGACCCGAAATCGTGCTGCCTATTCCCCGATTTTGACATTTCGGCCCAATGAGCACACTGGATAACTAAGCTACACTTGTGAAGCGCCAGCTGCGGTTAGACATTTCATTTCGAGAAGTGTCATACTAGAATATTCTGCTGTGCTTCGTTACTTGTGTCAGTCATTGACCGCCGTAGTTCGTCAGGTTTTGATGAGTTTATTCTCCCTTGTCTTGGAGCTTGTGACATGTCTCGGGTCAGCTGAGACCAGGAGAATAACTTCCCCGCGTTCTGTTATAGATTCATAGAGGAAGTACTACGGGAAATGAATTCTGGAGAATCACATGTTGATAGATAATAATGAATTGCAAAAATATAATACCCTAGTGATTTAATTTCCTTACGATCTTACCAATTTTCAGTTTCGGTGAGAAAATACAATTTCCGCTCTAAGGAGAATATAATTCACAATAATTATTTTGTCCATGAATAAAATTACCATCATTCATTATTATTGCTAACAAGTAACTATACTCAATCTCATAATCATCGTTACTTTAATTTATTCCCAAAATCGAGAATAAATCCATTAACGTTGCCGATATCAAGGATATCATGAATATTGTCGACCATGGCCCACTTCGAGCACCTCAATCGTACAACGTTGAGCAGCCCGCTCAAAAGGATTACCATTTCTCAACATAAGGACGGATATCAATCTCAAAAGTAAAAGTCGTACGAGGCTGGGTATGAAGGTGCCAGTATGCGTCCGCAATCTAGTAAAATAATGATCAGAAAAGAAAAATTGAAGATGGGGTTGAAAGAGTCAAAAGATGGGCTTACGGCATCTGGACTGATTTTCGCATCAGGTGCATCAAACTTCCACTCTTTGGTGCGGGGAATATCAATCACTCCATCGATGACTGCATGACTGACATGGATGCCCTGAGGACCAAATTCACGGGCTAAAGATTGAGCAAATGCTCGCTGAGCCCACTTGCCCGCGGCAAAGACGGAGAAATTCGCTGAGCCTTTCACAGAAGCAGTAGCTCCGGTAAAGATGAGAGTGGGCGGATACTCTGGATTGGTAGATGCGGTTTTCAGCAGCAGCGGTAGAGTACTCTGAGAGAAATTGAAAGTCCCGCGACTGAGAAAAGTTAGGAATCAATTTGTCATGACCTGTCAAAGACCTGCATCATTGCATGCAATGAGGAACAAAATCTTCCCAGGTCCAGAGAGGCTCGAGACAAATAAAATAAAATTGGATAACCTACCTTGTTGCGGCAACAGCACCATCAAAATCTTCCTGAGTTATCTCCAAGAATGGCTTTCGCACGAAACCTCCACCTACGTTAAAAACTGCAGCCGCGAGATTTGCATTGCCGAATTCCTTGGAGATTTCCTCGAAGGCGTTCCTGATACTCTTGACATCCGTTACGTCTGCGCTGAACCCAACAGCTTTACCGCCAGAGCTGTTTATCTCGTTGACTATTGGCTTATAGTTGTCAGGGTTTCGAGCCAACAGTGCCACGGGGTACTGCTGTGCAAAGCGTCGAGCAACAGAGGCACCTGCATATCAATGTCAAAAACGTGGCTCATAATTAACTATCGTAACTCGGAGACTTTAAATGCGGGGTTCGGATCATATATGGACATGCACCATACCTGTGCCGGGTCCAACCCCAGCAATAATGGCGAAGAGCTTGGAAGCCATAGTTTCTAAAGCACTATTTCGCAATTGAAGGAAATTCGGAGAACTCGATTTTGTTTCAAAATGAAAAACCTTCGACAATCTGCTACGGATTATTTGATGTTTGATGTCTTATATACCAGCGCTGTAAGCCTGTCGCCGGATACAGTAAACAATGACGAGATCTGGTCCCCAAATCACACTAGCCCCCCTTCTACTAGGGATATGTCAGCGATTCGACCTGCTTCGCCAGTAATCAACAGCGAGTCGGTATTTCGGACAAATATTGAACCCGTCTTCATTTCTAATCCATATGACCATACTAGTTTACGTTGGCACATCTGGAGCTGATGCCTTCAGATGGAAGCGATAAACTGGAATTGAAGAATAACCTGATAATCTGCCGGTAAGACAACCGTTATTAACGAAAGATACTGTACCTTGGCTTTGGGCTTCGTGACATCGTAGTTTTAATGATTTTGGGCAATAGAGTTACATGTTTCTGACAATCAAACTCTCCACTTCCTGGGCGTACAACCTAAGGGACAGTCTGCATGCCAGGCCGTTTTTAGATAAACGGTACTGGTCGATCTGCGCAAGTCGTTTACCTCGACAACCACTAGAATCTCCTGAAGGAGGGTTGGCGAGGAGATAAACAAGCGCGTGGGATTGTATCGTAGGGAGGGAAGACGATGAAAAAGAACTGATGCGGAAGGGTTGGCTTCAACCGTAACCACGGAAGATCAGATGCCGAGAGTCAGCAAAGATCGGAATCACGAAATGACATGACATTTTTAAATCGTTGATGCAATGAATTCATTCGATTCGAAAACATGACATCTTTGTTCTAGCAATGTTCCGACAGATCCCAGGTTTCAAAGTATTCCTGCTCTGCTGCTAGAACTAACCGCTTTCCCATCAAACGACCGTTGCACCATTTTATGCCTTAGTAGCCTTAGCCTTGACAGCCTCACGACCCTTTCCGATTCTCTCCAGAATGTTCTCACGGTCCTTGTCAAGCTTGAGCTTGGTGACAACGACCTTGGAGGGGTGGATGCCGAGGGGAACGGACTGGCCGTTGGACTTGTCGCGGGACACCCGCTCGACGTGCACAACGTACTTCAGACGGTAGACAGAAGTGATCTTGCCCTCACGGCCCTTGTTGGAGCCACGGACGATGGTGACCTCGTCGTCCTTGCGGATGGGGATGGAGCGGACCTGTAGTCGTAGTATATCAGCACCTCGAGTGCTCGAGACGTTTCATATGACTGGGAGAACAAGATCGTGGTCTTCTCAAGTGCGGGAAAAAGGAATTCGAATGGAATAATCGCATACATTGTACTTCTCGCGCAGCTCCTTGCTCAAGGGGGCGCTCATAATGGTCCGGCGGACGCTGGAGGGGGCGCCGAAGTGCGCCTTGCGCGACTTCCTCCGCGAGGCGTGAAGGGCTGCAAAAGCAGACATCGTCAGTCAAAAATTCGCTCCTTGATTTTCCTCGAAAACAACTATATCAGACGTACTGGCATTGATCTTCGTCATGGCGGCGGATGGGCGTCGAAGTGGCCGTTCGAATTGTCACAGTTCTTCGAATGGTTGGCGAGAGTCGAAAATTCAAGGACGCGAGGGTTGTGGGTCATGTGATGAGGAGGTTTAGTTTGACGAAAAGCAATAGGGTTAAACGAGTCGGGTAAGAGAGGACGAGAGAGGCACAAGTGAAAAAAATGTGTGGCCGGTGTGAGGGACCTCTAGTGAAGCGTCTTTGGATACTCAAACTCACCGTAGAGATGTCCTGCGCTTTAAGCTTAAACGAGCATCCGTAATTAGTTCTGCGCGTCGCGACCGCAATGTCTATTGCGCACTGAAGCCGGGGAAGCTCACATAATGAATTGAAACTGTTATTGTTCGAAATCTTTCGCCTCCTGATACCTTACATATAGCTATCAATGCTCCGAGAGAGCTTTAGATTTTATTTACTGACTAATGGGCATATTAATTAACTGCTGAGAATGGTTTCGACAAATCTAGATTCTCTATTTTGACTGCTCTTGCGATGCCCGCAGCTGGAAATGGAACGCTCAGCGACTGCGAAACGACACTGAACGATTGATTCTCTGGCTGAACATCCAAAGGATGTCCTCAAACCGCTATGAGGTGCCTACGTCTTATAATGACCTAAGCGGAGAGCAAAGGATTCAGCATGATCAATACTCCCACACCTATGCCCCGAGTTACGGTACGGACTTTTATGACCGACAACAAGTTGCAAACCCTACACCTCTTTGGGATCAGTATCACCAAAAACATGCGCAACGGGACTCAGGTACAAGCTGGCCGGATCAATTTCAATGGTACAATGGTCAACGGTCTGAGCCGCCTGTTCAACAGCTCGCCACAGCTGACGCTGAAGTTCGAAGCTCCGGCGCATTTCAGAATGGTACCAGAGGCCATGGGCGGCCTGAACATGCGCCATCCGCGCTTGGAAACCTCGCATTTGCCTCAGGATCGGATATGAGTTCTTCGACCGGCCAACTGTCGATCCCGACTCCGGTTTCCTTTTCCGTGCCAAATGCTACCGCACCGCAATCCGTTCCTCAATTTTATCACCGAAATGATATTTCTCCTCAGACGGAAGGCGCTTCTCTTGATACCGATAATTTTCGGCGGAGTTGGTCTAAAGGCGCCATGGCCGTCCCTTCATTGTCAACAGCATCTTCCCATCCGCCAGCGCTGGTTCAAACTGCTCCTAGTGCGGCCCAACAAGTTCGACACCCGAATCCTATCAGACCATCAGCTCAACCGTCAATTGCGAGTTATCGAAGCCCAATTTTGGAAAATGCCGGATTTGAATCGAATACTCCAACCTTCCGCGCTGGCAATCACATGTCAGCATATCAAACCGGGAAGCCCCCAGATCCGCTAGCTGCGCAGAAGCAACCCTCAGCAACTGCCTTTGACTCCACTTCTGGGCGAAATATCCCTAGGCCTCAAGCAACTTCAGCCCGAACATCTCAGGACATGAGGCACTTCCGCGCCAGCTCGAGGAACCCAATTAGCGCAGAAGTTTCGATGCAAGGCATGCGTCAACCAGCGAATAATTCGCCTAAGAATCAAGCAGCCCGTGGAAGCTTTACAGGCACAATTCCCCAAACGTCAATGAAGACCGCAGCAGCGCCTTCATTCGTTCAAGCAAGCCATGGAAGTTCTTCGCTCCATAATACGAAATCACCAAAAGCCGCACCTTCGAGACCGGAAAGCCCTGATCGAAACCTCCATTCCGGGTTACAACATCATGCCACATCATCAAATATACCCCCTAATTACAATGTACAACCCTTGAGAACCCCCCGTAATAGTGAAACGAACCGGTCCATACAATCCGCCAGTGTTCATAGTCGGGATTTAGGACCCCAGCTTGCGGGAAAGTCGACGACGACGACGGTAAACGGACCAAAGTCCCTTCAGATGCAGGGTAACAGCTCTTCTGGACCAGCAGCTCCTTATTCCTTGTCTGCTTCGGTTCCAATAATGCGTGCCTCAAATGTCTCTGTGAAACAGCGCCGGAGCTTGGATCACACTCAAAATAATCAATCAATGATGCAAGAGCCTTCGAGGCAGGGGAATGATATTCCTCCAGCCCAACCTTCGACTATATCAGTACCAGAGAATGTCAGCAATATCCAGTCTTCTTCCTCACGTACCCAAAGCTCAACTAGAGAGCCCCTGGTTGAGGCTATTGCTGCTGAGGCTATTGCTACTGGAACAATTCCGCGGGGATCTGGGGACGAGGACATGGAAGCTCACATTAGATTAATGGTGGAAAAGATGCGAGAGTATCAGGCTAGGGACCCGGCAAAATTTTCCCTTGTTTGGGAGCAAATGAAGAAAGTAAGCTATATTCCATTAAAGTGCCCCTTGATTATGTGTTATATTATGCTCTTGTTTCTTTCCCGAGGTATATGGTAAGCTCTTCAAAGACTAGACCTCCCTGGCTCCAATCCCCTCGTAATGGAAGCACAAAAATGCTCTGTCCACGGTCCGTGCCACTCATAGCGTTGTATATTATCTTGGCTGCATACTATTTTATTTGTTTAATCCGACTGTATGGAAAATAAAACTACTCTGACAAGGACATCAACCAGACAACACCACAGAATGATACCTCGAACCGGGATACTCACAGCTCTCGTGCTCAGACACCTTTGTCTCCTCAAATTATCTCCAAGGATCGATCAGGCCCTCGAACCGTATCAGAGGCTAGGAGTCTCTCGAAGGATCGAACAGAAGCTGGACCTGCATTAAATGCACAGGTCCCAGCTCCTCCCACGATATCCCAGAAGAGTTCTGTACCTGAGGAGCGTTCTGCATGGAACTCTGGAGTGCCATCAAAAAATGCGCCATCTGTGTCCTCCTCAGTATCGAAAAGTTCTACACAGACTGGATCTCACTTCCGTGGTCCTGCACTAGATGCCCAACCTGGGAAGCAGGTTGAAAGCACTGCATCCAAGTCTACAGACAACCGATCCAACTCTGTTACTGCGGCGCCTGCCATGCCGTCGGTAATCGGTCCGCCACAGAGCCTTCCACCGCCGACGAATCCCCCTCAAAAGACGCCTGGGACGATCTGGCCTCAGGCCAAGAAGGCCTTACTGGCTGAAGCCGCGGCAAAAGGCCTAATGGCTGCACCAGAGAACAGCGGGAAGCACATTACTCCGAAAGAGATTTGTAGCTTCCTTGACCTCAATCCCAGTTATATTGAGTTGTGCGAGCATTTGGAAGGCAAAGGATTCCATCTTGCAAGGGGCACTTTTGCAAGACTTTTGTTAGCTGCGGCGCCAGACGTTGTTTCATCCTCACCAGGATCTGGTGCGCGGGGTACTGGCCAGATTGCTCCTTCTGTACAGCAAGGCGCAAGACCTCCTTCAACGCCAAATCTAGCAATGCAGCCACAAAAAGTCGCTGCGCAGCAGCAGCTTTCAAAGGAAGCAGGGAATGCACCAATTGTTTTCACCGACGCCGCTTCGCCTGCGGTCCTCAAACGCGGCCGCGGCAGGCCACGAAAAACAGACAGCCCTATGCAAACGCAACCAAGGAGCATGCCGCCACAGTACCCCATTACACGTGCTGATGAATCAGCTGCCGTCAAACGGAGCCGCGGTAGGCCACGAAAATACGCTTCTCCTCCCGTACCGGAGCAAGTAAATCAATCAAAGCAAGAGATGCCGCAAGGCAACGGAGTCCCCCTTCCCACATTTCCTACGGTCGATGAACCTTCTCCACTTGTGAGCGGTTACTTTCAAGCATTGACCCCTCATGAAGGCTCAGATTCACGTCAGCCATCCGTTGCTCAGCTGCTGCAATCTGATGAAAGAGAGACCCAATCGTCAAGGGGTAATGAGCACCTAGAGCAGAATGATCAGTTGAGTAATGCTGAGGAGAGTACGTTGCAAAGTAGTAAAATCCCCGGTGACCAACAAGCGGGACTGTCCACAGGCTCTTTCCAGGGCAACAGTGAGAGAAATGGATTTATTCCTACAGTCGCTCCTGAAAGAAACGTCCCGCCTGTTTTGAAAGATCCGTCGAAAGAAGCAGAGCAGACGAATCGATCTGAACTGTATGCACCTGCTGTCTATATGGACCTGGGTCGGGGTCAGAAGCAGCAGATTGCGGAAGGCTCTACTGAGAAGCAAGAATTCTTGTCCGAATTTACTTCTTCATCTGCTGGCGAGAAGACAACAACGACGCCTTTCATTGCCACTGAAGTGGGTGCATTCAGTAGACCTAAGTTGGCTCCACATTCTGGGACTGCTTCTCAGAAAATGGCTTACCCCGAAACTCGAGATGATGCTCCGTTAAACGGGTCCAAAAACAAGCCTGGAGGAGTCAACTGGATACCCTTTCCATCCAGCAGCAGTACGCAGAGAGTGCTAGTTGGCGGTGGTGCTGCCTCCGGGCCGCCTGTTCGCGAAAGTACAGTGAATAATGTACCTAAGCGAGCCGAGACTCCTCAGCAACGAACCCTGACCGTTAGCCAACCTCTTAACGCGTCCACACGCGCTTTATCTAAAGAGGCATCTGCTAGAAAGCGGACTTTTAATGACATCGTTGACCTTTCTCAAGACATTTCCGACAACGAGGAAGATACAGAATCGTACTATTCTCAAAAACTTCGAAAGTCGGATAATGATCAAGATACAGTTGCAACTAGAGTGTCTGAGGTGAAGATCGGGGAGAGTTCACAGCTGGGCACGCCCGACGCACAGCTAAAAAGTCGTGATCTCACCGCATTCATGAATCCCGCGGAAGTAAATAATCGCTTTCAGCATGCTACAATTGTCACTAAATTCGACAAAAAGGGTGCTCTCAGAAAGTCCGCCTACAATCCAAAAACCATCGCACGTGACGTCCTCCTAGCCTCTGGACGCCATCCTTCTATGCGACCTTTGAACGCCCACTTTGAGATAATCAAAGCAAATTTTACACAAGTTGATAGTTCGTCCGACCTGTCTACTTTCAAATGGGACTTAGTTGACCCGGGGGACCCTATAATTCGGTCAGGAGCTCCAGCAAATCCACCGCAGAGAAGCCAAGACCCTGTGGTTCACGGAAATTCTTCTATGTTGAACACGAAAAAAGGTAGCAGTCGAACAGTTCCCACAAAATCACCGATAGTTTTGCTTGATAGTTCTTCTGAAGCCGAAGGAGGTAAGAGCCCACGTCCATTTAGTGATCGAAGTTACTAACGCCTCTGACAGCAGACAAGACAGCAAGTGCTCGACCTCAGGGAGTTGAGCCACCACGTCAAATGCGGTCCAGTGTGAGTGTGAGCACTCCTATGGGCGGTCACCATGGAGATCCCAGTGACAGTACCGGGACAATTCCCGAACCCACTACATTACCACGTGCTAGGTCGGTCCGTCTCCAGCCTTCTAGTCAGACATCTGGCAACCCACGTCAAGTTCAAGGCCAGATAAAGGCGTCGGTTCTGTCTCCTGAACGAAAGACGCCTGCATCCACTGGAGACTTTTCTATCGTCGTCCCATCGCACTCTCCTCACCGCACTGTAAACATTACAAAGGCACCAACCGCTGAGTCCAACAAAAAAAGAAAGCGACAGAAGCCCAACACGCCCAACACTATGCCCGATCAACCTCGCTTAAAACCATTCAAATGTCAATGGATGGACTGTATTGCAACTTTACACAACATAGACACCCTCCGGCAACATCTTCGGAAAACCCACTGCGAGCGAGCCCTTCACGGAGGAATCCCATGCATGTGGGAAGGATGCGGTCGCTACGTCCCAAGCAAAGATACTGGAAGACTCAAAGGCCGGATGGAACTCCACAATTTTGACTTCCAGACCGAAGCGAAATGGGCAGAGCACGTCGAGGAAGCGCATCTCCATGAGGTATCGTGGCAATACGGTGATGGCCCTGCATCTGGTCGCCGTGGTACGGCTTCAGCTAGCCAGCAGAAGTAATGCAAAGTATATTTGCTGATTTGAACAGACGCCGGGGGCTCAATCGACTATTTGAGCGACGCCACTGGCCGGCAACTCACCCCGCAGGCTTCCTCTTCCGGCGCCAGAGAGGCGGTTGCTGCTGGATTGAGACCTAATAGAGCGTTTCATAAACTACATGGCAATACTACGGTTCGAGAGCGGATGCTGGAAGTGGAGCGTACTTTGGAACGAAAGAAGAGAGAGACTGGACCCGGTGTCGATCGTGGTGGTGCGAGTCTTTTCACACAGGAAAGATGTGTGTGGCCGGCAGATGACGAGGATTTCGCTCGGGAATGTGATACGGATGAAGGCATTGAAAGGGCGACGGTCTGAGTTTTAGAATCAATGGGAGACACCAAGTTCTTCCCTGCAAAATTTCGATGTGGCGTAAGAGAGCTGGTAGCGATACAACTCAGCTCCTATTGCCCATTTACCATTTGGCTTTCTTATTATCTAGTTTCTGCCGGTTTCATTTGAGCATGGGTTCATTCATTGTTGTCAGGCGCATTCTTCGGACTTCTTCATCTTTCCTGCCAGGGCGGAGATGATACCACGTTAGTTACGCATTTCCTTGCCCATCAGCGATCTTCACGTTTTTATTCAAATGCTTTTACCTCTTTGCAAATTGATTCCCCCTGATGAGACTATGCGCTTCAAGTTCATGCTACGCAAGAATCGAAGGCTTGATGGTAAAGAAAATGAATCGGGAATATGAGAAATATACTGAAACTTTGCAAAGCGGCCTTTTCCGGTATCTATATCTACAATGTGCACGTCCAGTAATAAATCATCGATGCGCAGGCAAGTTTCCCTCATAAAATATCCGAGCAACAAGATGTCTGATGATTTATACCATCCAGACTCCATACACCTGAGATTTGGTACCCGGTCGATTCTCCCTGAACGTACGGAAAACCGAAATCGGTTGCCGTCCAGTCGAAAGCCCGTTTAAGTCAGATTAAGTATTGCTTGAGGGTGCCGCAGAAAGCATTTTAGACTGCCCGCTTTCTTTCTTGGTATTGTGAATTTATAGTGATCAACGTCCGGCTGATGTCTTCGCTCGTTGGGAGGAAGGAATGGTATCACTCTTGCGCTCCGTCGAAAGTGTATCATCCTTGGCATTAACTTCAAGGAAGTGGTAGAGCACAATGAGCAGCATAGCCGCCGAGCCCAAGAAGATGGCTAGAGAGTACAAATCCGCGTCTGAAATCATCGCGTCTGCGGTATTTGAATTGAGCAACGGGCTATCGAAGTTGAAAGACGATCAGGAAGCAACAACGTGTCTCTGCTATGGTCCCAGTAAGTACGATAGATATTGAATTCCGTCGAGCAATAAACTGACCGCAATGAGACAATCCAAATTTACGTTATATAAGCTCCACTGCCTGCGAATGTGGAAGTGCTCGAAAGTCCCAGTCGTCGAAGATGTTTACTATGGAGGTGTCCACGCAACGCCCCGAGCTATTCGCCCTGAGGCCAGCTCACCTGGAGCAGTCCGGCCACTGTCAACAAGGGTTCTCGTCCGGGGGACGTCATGGCCCTAAGGCGCCGAAAAGCTTAGTCATCGATAAAGAATCAACATATGACGAGGGTACGAAATACATCACAGCCCGATGGAAATTCCCCCACGAAACTTTACTTTGATACTTCCCCACTAGAGCATTTTAACTCAGCACGACTTCACGTTTCACCTCTTTTGCATCGTACCCTCTTTCTTTTACTCTCAGGGGGATTTATCTATAGAACATTTACGATTACTATCTCCAGACGCGCTTTTGGAAAGCAGTCTTGTTGACGCCTACTGCAACTTTTTTTTCACAAAGAATCTGTAAAACGAGTCTCTAGCAAAGCAGCGCCATAATGCCGCCCAAGAAGGACCAGAAAGGCAAGGGCCCGCAGCCCAAGCCTCAGAAGGTCGCGGTTGATAAGGTGAGTAAAACTTGAATTGTGAAATACTTTGTGGAGATTTGCTAACATTTTTTTTAGACCTTTGGTCTCAAAAACGTAAGTATATTCTGCAATGTCGCTCTTATTGCCCGTCAGCGCCATGCGATCCGGCCAATCGAGCTCGGCTTGATTTATCCTAACCGCACGATGCTAACCCGCTTCACAGAAAGGAGGAAAGAAAACCCAGAACATGATCAAGCAAATTGAATCCCAGAAGAGCACTCCTCAATCTGCTTTGGACAGGAAGAAGGCGGCTGAGAAGGAGCAAAGAGATAGAGAGAAGATGGAAGCGGAAAAGGCCAGAAAGGAAGCCGCAGAGCTCTTCAAACCAGTTCAGGTGCAGAAAGTCCCCTTTGGTGTGGACCCGAAGACCGTGCTTTGCCAGTTCTACAAGAAGGGTGGCTGTGAAAAAGGTAGAAACAGCCCGATCATTTTGACCAGTAAGGAATCAGCTGGCTGATCCGGATACAGGCAAGAAATGTAAATTCTCGCACGATCTCGCCGTTGAGCGTAAGGGAGAGAAGAAGAACTTGTACACAGATACCCGGGAGGAAGAGCAAGAGGAGAAGAAGAAGGACACCATGGATGACTGGGACGAGGAAAAGCTACGAAAGGTCGTTATGTCCAAGCACGGCAATCCGAAGACGACTACCGACAAGGTCTGCAAATACTTTATCGAAGCCGTCGAGAACCAGAAATACGGATGGTTCTGGCAATGTCCTAACGGAGGTGACAAGTGCATGTATAAGCACTCTCTTCCACCTGGGTAAGTGGAGCTCAGAAATGCGCACAATTCGATGAGAGATCGTGTGCATGCCATAACGAATATCTTTTGGACCTGCTCTCTAACGAGTTTACAGATTCGTACTCAAGACTAAGGAGCAGCGTGCTGCTGAGAAGGCTTTGATGGACAAGTCTCCCCTCAACACCTTTACCATCGAAGAGTTCCTGGAGTCTGAGCGATACAAGCTTACTGGAACGCTTACGCCCGTCACTCCCGAGTCTTTCGCTAAATGGAAGAAGGACCGGCTCGACAAGAAGGCTGCCGAAGCCGAGGCACACAAGGCCAAGGATGCGACTGGTAGAGCCATGTTTGAACAAGGTGGCTGGGAAGGCAGTGAAAGCGAGGAATCTTCTGATGAGGATGAGGATGAGACCGATGGCTGGAACCTCGAGGCTCTCCGAAAGGAGACTGAGGCGTTGCGGGCGCAGAGGGAGCGCGAAAGGCTTGGTTTGCCCGCCGAGAGTGAGATACCCACCGAGGGTGATGCTGGTGAGGATGCTCAGGAGGAATCTTCCAGTCAATGAGAAAAGTATTACCGATCCTTTTCTCTGTGATGAGGAGATGTTGTTATCTTTTTCTAGATTTATCTGGTGTTCAGAGTCATCGATTCAGCGTCGTTGTGATTGGGGATGGCCTTCGCAGTCAAAACAAAAATTGCTGCGCAGGGACAGGGCTGTCATTTTGTCATTTTCTTGGCGTATTGTTGATAGTCTCCATATGATGTCATATTTCGAATTTCGTTGATCGAGATATGCGCAGTATCATCTTTCGGTCACGACAAAAACTTCATTCGCATAGTTGCAAAATAGCATAGTTTGCAGAATTTTTACTTGCAAACATTTCAATTAACATTTGAGTGATTTAAAATCTACTACCCCAGTCGATAAGCTGGATGGTAAAACGATAGGGTTAACAAAACAATTAGAACTCAGGGGGTACTAATTTTGTGTCGTGAGATATCTCGTAATCGCAAAGATTTACCTCAAAACTCCCGACCTAGATGCCAAACGCTTGCATATGTGCCACTTTCCACATCGCACAATGGCGCATGGCTATACGTGTCTTCATGACAGCGAGACGAGGGGGGTCTCCAAGGGAGAAAGCAAATAGTAAAGAAATATATGAGGCGGCACAAGATGTTTACGAGAGCTCCTCAATCTTCGGTGCCGTCTTGGTTGCGGATGAGCCAGTTTCGCCAGTTGCAGCGGCACCAACTTCCTCAACCTCTTCACCAGTCTCCTTCTTCTCAACTCCTCCCTCGTCCTCAAGCTCGGGCATGTCATCGTCGCTCTGTATTCAATTGTTAGTCTGGAACACCGTCATGGAATGTATTCAATGAGTTAACTTACGTCACCTTCCTCGCCGCCGAGGCCGCCGAGGCCTTCCATGCCGCCAAGACCTTCCATGCCGCCGAGGCCGCCGAGGCCGCCCATACCACCAGCGCCGGCACCCAGCTTGGAGAAATCGATACCGCCGAAGCCGCCGTCACCGCCAGCACCGCCAGCACCGAAGCCGCCGGCAAGATCCTCCTCGGGAACAGCGTCCTGCTCGTCCTCATCCACCCACTAATAGCGAACGGAATGTCAGTAACCCCGAGTCTTCAAGACATACATGTAAGATAGTTGAAAGGCATACCTTGTCAAAGTCGGTCTTGAGGAAGTGAAGCTTTCGTGCTTCCTTCAGCAAGCGGGGCCAGTACTCAGACTTGAGCTCCTTCTTCCGCAGGATAACCTCGACATTCTTGCCAGTGTGGTGGACCTTGCTGTTCTCGACATCGATCTCTCCGTAGAACTCGAGATCAACGTGGTAGTCAACCTTCTTGGTGTCAGAGTGACCGGTGAACGATAAGCTCGTGGGCTTGAGATCAAGCTTCAGAGAGCCGCTGGGAACATCGGTGGCAGAAATTGTGAGGTAGATGAAGTTCTTCTCGGCGTCGGTAGCAGACGAGCGCTGAGCCCAGAGGACTACGCAAGAGAACAGGTGTTAGTCATTGTCAACTCTACAATTCGTGTGATGTGCAGTGGGTTCAATTTCGAAGATACGGTGGAGGCAAGCAAAATCAATGACAAAAACAAATACATAGGTGACATACCTTCGGGAGTAAGCACGGAGGGAGCCATTTTGATTTGATTTGTATGAAAAAATTGAGCAAGACGCTAAGTAGCAAAGATGTAATCAAAGTCCGAAAGCGATGGAGAGGTTGGTAGAAGAAGGAGGAAGAAAAGTAGTCTGAGAGTGGAACTGCGAGAAGAGTTGACGATGGTGAGGTTACGAGTCGTTCGCGCTGGGAAGTTTAAGCGGTGCGGGACAAGGCCAGGCGCCTGTTGATGGAAGCCCCGCGAAAGACATCGAACGGGTCCCCTTCAACCTCGAGCGCCAATATGCAACCGTGAAGACATTGATGAGGAATAAACGTAAATTGTAAATTCATTTAATTCTACTGATTGATTCTGTACGTGAGCCTTGTCTACCATAATCCTATAGAATGGTCTATCGCTATTTCCTGGGGGAGGTGAGAGCTTCCCACTGTGCTTCCCCCCAAACAAGTGGAACGTCATCGCGGCCAGTTTAAGCTCCCAACCGCGAGTTATCATCACTTCGACGTCCAGGCAGCTCCGCAACGCCTGAGCGGATGTGCTTCTCGACTCATCTAAAAGGTCTCGATACAATATTATATGAGTTTTAAAGCAATAATTAAATCGCTATGGAGTCCATCAAGGCCATCTTCTGGAAGCCAGATCCCACGACTCAAGTGCGTACTCTTGCTGTGGACTTTTTCAACCTGAGTGCATCTGTAGATGTCACAGTGCTCTGATTTGTTGTTAACAAGGTGATACTTATCTAGATGAGAAAATGTAACAACTTGATTCGCGCCAACACTCGAAAACTTGATCGTGACATTGCCAATCTCCGCCAAGTCGAGGCCAAAACCAAAAACCTCATTCTTCAAGCGTCACGGCGGGCTCAGCGCAATCCTTCCCAAGCCAAACAGGCGGCAAATGAGACACGGACATTTGCAAGAGAACTTGTTCGGGTGCGAAAGCAAAACAATAGATTGGCAACAAGTCGGGCGCAATTGCAGAGTGTGCAGATGCAGGTCAATGAGGCTTTTTCCGTGCGTAAGATTGAGGGTAGTATCAAGGCCTCAACGGGCATCATGAAGGATGTCAATAGTCTAGTGCGATTGCCGGAGCTTACAGGGACAATGAGGGAACTCAGTCAAGAGTTGATGAAGGCTGGCATCATTGAAGAGATGGTAGGCGACACGCTACCTGATGACGAACTCCTCGAGGGCGAGGATGAGGAGGCCGAGACCGAGGTTGATAAAGTACTTGGAGAGATACTACAGGGCAGACTGGGCAAGGCTGAACCTCGTAAGGAAGAGGAGAGACCGGCTCCAGAAGTGCCAGAAGAGGAGGAGGAGGAAGACCAGGAAGCCATGTTGGACCAAATGAGGGGCCGCCTTGAGGCATTGAAGAGCTAATGTATTTCGTACATGCTCTTACATTACATTAAGATACCTCGCTGCAAGGAAGTTTTCTGTGCCATGTGGAGAAGGGAGAGAAGTTTTGCATCATCTTTTATGATACTTTTACAGGATTATGGCGTTGGAGTAGGGTGTATACCAGTACTTAGACTTTGAGCACAGTAATTTATCATAGCATGATCTTGTCATTCAACGGGTTTGATTTTCCAGCAACATGATGCATGCTTGCTCACACAATCTGACATGATCGTAGATATCTTTTCCGGTTCATTATTTAGTTGCTGTTATATTCAGAGCAAAGCTGGAGGGGTGAATGATACCAGATCTGGACTAGCGTGGAAACCTCCATGGGGCAGGTGGGCGTTGACTTTTGACTCCCTGACATCGTCCTCTCGTCTGCCGCCTTCACTTTCCATCTCCTCGTTGGTCCGATCTCAACATTTAAGTCGCGTCGGCCAAGCTTCACTGCTCTCCATTCATCTGCTCTACCTCTCCAATTCATCAGAAGCTCTGCTTCATTTGCCATCCATCTCTATAGGGATTTCTGTCGCACTTTGCAAAGCGGTGTCTATTGTCACCGCGATCGCGTCGCTCGTTGCTTCAGCCTCAGTCGGTGCCTAAACAACCAGCCAACCGCGATCTTCAAAAACTCGACATTGCCATCCATCCATATCTCATTTAAAGTGCCATTTGGCATTTTCTTTTAACCGCTTCTTTCACTCGCTGAGCTGGAAGTGGAACTGTTTGACTTCTGCGTACCTTTGCGTCACGACTGTTGCTCATTTACCCGCTCGCATTCTCCTTCGTCAACTCTAGTCGTCTCAAACCAGGAGGCTATCGATTCGCCATCTCGATTAACTCTTTCCAAAACCTCTATTTTCCAGACTTTACTTAATCAAAATGTCGGACAAGCTTAGCAAGTCGCTCGACGAGATTGCCAAGGAGCACCGTGTTGGCCGCGGTCGGGGTCGCAAGAATACTAAGCCTAAGGCTCCTGCTGGCGGTATTACCAAGAAGACAAAACAGGCAAAGGCTCCTGCTCCTGCTGCAGCGCCTGCTGTCCTTACTCCCGCTTCCGGGGAGAGCAAGATTGAGGTCAGCCAGCTGGTAAGTACCACTTCATACCTATGTAGCTTTTGTCTCCTCTCTGTGATTTCTGACGTTTTCTCTAGCCCAAGGATGTCACCGAAGATCAAATTAAGGTATGTTGATCGATAGGCCACTTGGCCTTGGATTTTCATCGCCACTCTACTTTTCTGAACGCGCTCGGACCCCACGAATTTCGTCGATGAGCTTGCGAGAATCTTTATCTCCCTTGTTTGTGATGGGCTAGCCTCCTCGCGATAGCGCTTGCTCGCTTTCTAAAGGGAAGCTTGATGCAGAGAACGCAGCGAGTCGAGAAAAAGCTGCCCACGTCTTGCGAAGCCAAATCGTGCAATAAGAGTCGCCTGGCAAGCGCACCATGCCGATATTGGAGCAGACGACACGAGGATTACTCCGAGGAGATCCTCAAACATCACTTTCTGCGATGATACCCCGTTTAAGTGCATCTTTACTTGGTCGAGTAAATCTGCTTTACATTTTGAGCCCCGAGCATCAGCGAGCAAGCAGTGCATGAGCAGTGCAGAATTCTATGGATGAGGTCTCGTGAGGTCTCAAACTCCCAATCATGGGAATTCGTCCTTGGACGCAGCTTCGACGGTGATTCGTCCAAGAAGCTGTTATTTGGTTTCCTGGTCGGAACCGTGGATTCGGACGGGAATTTTCCGATCAGCAAGAACAACACACCTGGAAACATATGGCATAAGCATCTTGTACAGCGATCCACCGCGGGCCTTTGATTCAAATGGAACACTCTTGTTGTGGTTTGACCGTCATTTCCCATCAGGTAATGGACTGCTTGGAATGGTTACTTAGGAGTGTTCTGATGGGGACGAATGCTATCTCTGAGGCAAGACCCTTGGACTTGGTCGATCCGACTGGACAGGATTTGAGTCCTTTGGATCTTTTTTACACAATACTAACGTGCTGCCTGCTCGCTGATGCTGCTTCCTAACATGGGCTCAAAGTATAATTTCAACGAGGGATTCCATTAAGCTATTTCGTGTTTCCGGGATCGATAATATTCTTGCTTCCTTGGACGACTTCTCGAGTTTATTGAGCCTTTTTCACCTCTCAGCAGATATTGGACTAACGCGCGCCCCTCTTCGTTAAATTAGGAATACTTCGAGAAGACTATTGGTCCGGTCAAGAAGCGACCCATCATCAGCTATGGTCCAAATGGTATCAGCCGTGGTATCGCATCCATCACATTCAGCAACCCACGCCACGCAAACACTGCTTTTGAGCGCCTAAACGGAATGCTCGTCGATGGAAAGCCCATGAAGGTTTGTGTCAAATTGCAATTTCCGCCACTGGATCGAGCTAATAGACGTTTAGATAAGCATTATTGTCTCCCAGGCGCAAGCGCAAGCGGCCAAGTCCTTGAGCGACCGTGTAGCGTAAGTCTCTAAAAACCAATTGCCACTTTCTTTGCACTTGCTCATTCGTTTGTAGTCAGCCTAAGAACCAGCCTAAGGCTGCTGCTGCGGCTCCGAAGCAAGCTGCTGCTGGCGCTTCCGCGGCTCCCAAGGCTACCCGTGGCCGTGGCCGTGGCCGCCGAGGCCGTAACACCACTCGCCCCAAGCGCAAGACCGCCGAAGAGCTTGACGCCGAAATGGTTGACTATTTCGGCAATGAAAACACTAATGGCGCCGCTGCTGGCACTGAAGCTGCTCCTGTTACCAACGGTGCTGCTCCAGCTCCAGCTCCCGCTGCTGCTGGTGGAGACACTGGAATGGAAGACGAGATCATGGTATGATATATCTTCATCCGTTTCCTAGCCCTACAATGCTAACTAATCTGCAGTAAATGGTCTCATATTTCCAAATTCCTCCAACGTGCGCACCCTTCTTACAGCGAGAGTCGGAATAAGCCATCCGCATTCGACTTCTCGCTCTTTGCTCTACTGTCCCAGAGACAGAAATGTGCATTTTGTATTATTAGTCTATTAAGAACTTGAGATTGCTGGTCTGAGACGTCTTCCTTTTGTTGAATTTTATTTTATTTTTCCTTTTGTTAATCGTCTCGAATGTTGGGACTTGGGACGGTAAAGGTCGGAAATGAAGATTGCGAAATACAGAAATCACTACATGAGAGATTGCGAAGAATTCAAACAATGCAATTTGCTAAATATATGACTGCGCACTGCTGCAGAGGGATGAACAATATCTGTCGGAGTATATGCTCCTTTTCCTTACCTGACTGTGATCGGTTGTCCCTTAGTCTCTGTAGACAGGAAATAATCTGCACAACACTATTGGGTCCAATTTATACGATATGTTATTCTGACATGTCGCGTAGCTTATGCCGTTTACTTCCCAGCGACTACACCGATCCGAGTTATCGACATATCCAAGTCACTGAGCAGTACATTTTCCTTGGTAACACAGGACTCTGCCTTGCTTCTATGTACACAATGCCAGCCAATCATCCCGGCGCGTCTGCACAGCCTGATTGAACGCCTTTGCATCAGCCTTGTCAAATTATACAGGTCTGGCTGCCCAACCAACATGCTCAGCTCAGCTCGCCGGCCTATATGAATCGTCTCACTTGTTCATGCTCATATTGCTGTATCTTCGTTGCTCATCTCTGTTTCATCCAAATCACCGTTCGATAGCAAACATGGACCCAGTCAGCTCTGCAGCGAGCATTATTGCAGTTGTGCAGCTTTCTGGATCCGTCATTAACCTATGCTACAATTATGTGAAAAGTGTCCGAGACGGTCGCAAGGAAGTCATGCAATTTGTCGAAGAACTCAACGACCTGAAACGCATCCTTGAAAGGCTGCTGGAGATCGCTCTAAAACATGAGACTTCACAGTCGCCTTTCCCAATGCCAATGTTGGAAATATTTGGCAACGATGACAGTATTTTGACAGAGTGTGAAAACTTTCTGAAACAACTCGAGCCGCGACTTAAACCGAATGGATTAAAGGGGGCTGTACAGGCTCTTAAATGGCCCTTGAAAGAGAAGGAGACAAAGGCGGAGCTTGAGAGGATTGAGCGGCTGAAAAAAAGCTTGACTCTCGCGTTGGCAGTCGATAATACGTATGAGTTGCTCTCCGGTGAAATTTTAACTGAGGAAGCTTTTAACTAATATTTCGCTAGAGCTTTAGCATTGGACACCCACCAGATAGCCAGCGGGTGCTTTCGGATTTTGACCTCAATAGCAGAGGCTTTTGTACCGTTTCAGCGAGCAAATAATCGGCGCCTGATTCGCCAATGTGTTGATGCGCTCAACCTTTCTCTCAACCACAATATTTCATGGCGCCCCTCTATGGATGTGTCGACTCTGCAAAGTCAGGCATACCACGAGTGGAAGACCAATAAAAGTCCGATAATGTGGCCGCAGGGTATCCGCGGATGCGCCAGAGCCAAACTGCGTATGTCGATAAGCTACATAACTTCAGTTCATATGTTGTAGCACACGTTGCCCTTTCTACTTCAGTTTCAATGACGAACGGAAGTAAAATTTGAAAATATTCTCTGTTCACTTATTGTGCAGCTCTGTTCCCGATCGCATTTTCTAACCTGCTGGAATCTGGTTACGCGCAAAACAATGGCCAACGATTGCCGTTGTGAAACGTCTCGAGCTTTTTAGGCTGATTTCTGAAAAGTCTGAGCATTTTTAATTATAGTTGACGTGCTAGATGCTATCAACCGATTTGAGCTTCTTCAGATGTTGGCTTATATGAGCAAGTGGAACACTCAGGACCGGCACATTCTTATCCCAAGTTCATCTGTTGTCGATATGAGGGATCAGGTAAAGCTGCTAGCCAATCTAAGTGTGTATTTAAGATCAGAGAGCAGATCATGATATTGAACTTTGTTTGATCATGGTGCAGGTTGGAATGCACCCGACGAACGCAATCAAACCTCACTTCTTTCCGCAGTTACTTGGCCCATGATGGTCTTAGTTAAGCTTTCACTTGAAAAGCAGGTCACAATCACTCAGGACGTCATAGAAGTCGTGATAGAAAGACACAGTGTTGAGTTCTTATAGGAATTAGTTAGCGCTGCAGCCGATTTAGAGCCTTTGAGAGAGTGGGCGCTGTTTCTAGCGGCTGAAGATCCAAAGCCCAATTTTATCCAATTCTTGATAAATCAGGGATTTGATGTCAACGAATTCAATTATGATAATGGTACCCCACTTCAACGCGCTATACAACTCAATAACATTGACAATGCCAGGAATTCATTGCAGGCTGGCGCTGATGTTAATGCATGCAGCAAACTCGGCACTGCCCTTGGCTATGCAGCATGTTTGTGTCACCTTGAGATTGTACACATTCTGTTGGAAGCTAGTGCTACCCCTAACTTACGAGAACCCCACAATTGTTCTCCCTTGATGCTAATACGTCGACGTATAAAATTTACGTCTTTGCTTGAATGGAGAATGAAGGAATTCGAAGGAGTGGAGAAATTACTGCTACTTCATGGTGCTCTGGGAACAGAAGAGGAGGAATATGATGACGAAGACAATGACAGAGAACGACGAGAAAAAAATATAAACGAGAAAAGAAGGGAAAAATAATTAGCCATTCTGCCATAAAACAAAGATGCCTCTCAAGTTCTGGTCTTCCTATCCGCTTTATGGTCAGAAGTATCACTATCTAATAGTGCTGCCTACTGTCAACTATCTCTCTGATATTAACAAACTCTTGGTACATTTAGTATAGACATAAAAAGTAGAAAACAAAGTCTATACTCTTCAAGACATTGTTATACTTACTCTACATTATTTTAAATTGATGTATTTGTAAAAGCCGAGCCTTGTACCTATGTATTGATATCGGGTGTACACAAGATAATAACAGGCTGGATTCGCTGGAATAAACCGGAGTAAGAGTGATAGCTACCTAAGGTCCTATATTACAAAATATGACAATTGTCATCTTGCAGAGCATTCTACCCCGCAATATATATGCAGCGTATAGCCGCCGGACTGCCCCCGTGCTTGCATGCAGTCAGCATGCTGGGTCATTAGAATTGTATAGAGCAATGCTATTGCTGGTTGGTCTAGTCTGGAACCAGCTGCCGTGACCGTTATATGGTTATTACTATGTTAATCTAGATTCTAGTTCAGTGTTTATAACAAAAGGATTTAAGTAGACTTATCTAGAAATACCTATGTTTATAGCTAATAATTCTAGAAACAAAAGCACAGTTATATAACTCTTCTAATAAGGGTTAATCAAGACAAACAAGATCGAGGTTTGTAAAGGAATGCCAAAATATATATATTAGCAACCTGCCAGCCTCTTCTTTTGAATTTATTACTTCTCTTACTTCAAGTTATCCTTGCATCTAATAGAGTTCCAGCAAAAAAACGGTTTCCAATCAAAACAATTTATTTCCTACTACTCCTGTTTACTTGAAGCAAACTTTTTGACCATCAGCAGTCAGCATACAACATACAGTATACGGCATAAAACATACAAGCACATCTTGACACAATGGCAGACAATCATGGCAATCATTTACCGCGCGACGTTCAAACTTTCCTTACAACCCTCACCGCTCGCCTGCTGCAAGCCGCAATCCAGACGGACGATAATACTACTTCCGCTTCTCGCCCAAACGTTGGTATTGAAGCTGTTCGGGAGCTTCTTCTTCGGCCCTGTGACAATAATAATAATAATACAGGCGACGGTGCTCTATCCAAGCACAAGTCTCGTCCTACGGGTGCATCTACAGGCACCCGACGCGAACCTCTTGCCGTTGAAGATACTCCGTCGCCTCCTCGTGCTCCGCTTCCGTCTGGGGAAGGAGCCAGGCAGCCGGCTTCTCCCTTCGCATTTGCTGCCACTTCTAGCGGCTTAGGCCTTCGCGTTCAGACCCTAGAGCATCGCGTTGATGCCATTGATCCGGGAAGTAGGTCTGTTACTTCAAAATCTCTGGAAAGGCCGCTTGCGCAGTTGAGAGAGTTGGAGGAAGAAGTGGCAAAGTTGCGTAAGGATATTATGAGACTTCGAGCCCAGATTCATCCGGCGGAAAGAGGTTCTGTTTCTTTTGAGGGACTATAAGGATAGAGACCCCGAACGACTGCGGTAGAGATGAAAGGGATATGAATTTATAATGCCATGGAAAGATCTGGAAGGCGATAGAGGTATCCGCGCTTCAGCTTGCTACTCTGAATATGAGGAAGATTTAAATTAACCCAATGAGAGTTTTCCTTCATTTCTATAGACATAGTATGATTCCGTCTATTGAAAAATTAGGTTTTACATGCATGCTTTGTAAAAGAACCATTAAAGGTAATGTAGAAAGACGATAATGTCGATGATATCGAACACCGCTTGACTTTTTCAAACTGTACTCCTTAAATAAAGATATACAAAATATCATACTAGTAACCAGTCAATTAAAGTATAAAGCTCTTTCTACTTTCCCACCCTTTAGCTATATCAAACCCTTCTCAACTCTCAAATCTCACATCCCCTAACCTCTATCCCATAATCCATTCATTCCTACACTCTACCCTCCTCCAGCCTCTTGTCACTTTAACGCTCGTGTAATCTTTTCCCGGATCTCACACCGAACATCCGTCTCGGCGCTTCTTTCCTCCTCCTCCTCCTCATTACATATCTTCAGAATGTCATCCAACACCGACCTAAGCCGCTGCAGTATATCACGACCCAACTGCTCGAGAAGATCCATACGGTGATGAAGTACACGGTCTTTCTCATCGAATGTCTGCATTTTCGCATCAACTCCATCGAGTCTATCAGAAAGCTGCCCGGCGCGGTCCAGTCGCGCAAGGAAATCGGCAGAGCAATCATAGCGGAGAAACTCAACGAAATTTTCTCCATCAAGTCGGATCTCTAGACCGTGAGAGTTGGCGAGTAGGCTGCCGGGCGGGAAAAAGTATGAGATGAGATCGGTGGGGCCATGACTGGTAGTGTAGGGTTGCAGGAGGTCATTGATGGAAGGTAGTTCAATAGTAGTAGTAGGGTTAGAGGGCGATTGGTGTAGAGTGGAAGGTTCCATTGTGTTGGTATCTCTCATTGTAAAGGAGTAGGGAGAGGGGAGCGGTTGAGGTTTGGTAAACGGAGTAGTAAGAGCAAATGGTTATGATTTAAATATATATGTTGCAGATGATGTGGGTACAAGAGAAACTCAAAGTAGAAGAGGTAGGAAATTATAAGGAGAAGTTGCAGATATATAGATAACAAGCCCGAGTTTCTTTGACAAACTTCATACTTGTTTGCCCCGATATTGTTCATTCTTCTGTCATAGAACCATATCCCTACTAGAACCACCGACCATGAAACAGATATAATTCCAAGCCAGTCCAACTCTTTTCGAACCCAGAATCAAACTAGACCATGGTAGAAATAACTACATAAAAAATCTGAATAAGAAAAGTTTAAATAAACCCGTGGATGTACATAGAAGGAACTTTCTGACTACTGCCATTACATAAATGATAAAACTTGACAGTACTTCAGGGACAGGACTGAAAGAATCGCCAAGAAAGATGACGATATAGGGAACAAACATCAAAATGCTGCTTGAAGGCTCAAGGCCGAGCGGGAGTGATCTGTATTCGAAATGACCATTTGCATGTTGCTTTATAAAGCATCTGTTTGGGCGAGATGTTCAGCCTATCTTCTGCAGTGACAAGCGCAGAGTGAGACAAAGCAAAATATCAAGCAGCAAATGTGTTGAACAAGAAACATCTGACTGGAATACGGACGCAACACTGCTGGCATCTTCGACTCCCAAAGAATTTGCTCCATCGCTTTTCCGTGCTGCTCGAGAATTCTCAGGTCCACGCGCACCTTTAAGTACCAGGATCCTTTCGCAGCTTCTCCTCTTGGATTCTCGGACCAGGTAAATGAAAAAGACAAGGTATTGAGACAAAAGAACAAATGAGATAGCCATTGTCCATGTGCCAAATGACAAAACCGTGTGGCATAACCCCAGAACAAGGACGCCTTCCAGGCCGTAGAGCCGAGTATTAAACACGGGAACCAATTCCTGTTCCCTTACTCTGGCTGTTTGAGAGTCCTCTAACTAGCCATTTCTTGCTTGATGGCATGAACTTCAGCACTCTTCTATCTCGATTCGAAGACACTGTGTAGAAACAGAGATTCGGGGGAAAGGGTGAATCAATCTGATTATACTCATCCCTCTCAGGTCAGTAAGGTCCGGACACCCTGCCTTGAGATCTTTCTTATGTTTTTTATCATCTCTGCAGTACAGCGAGACAAAATATCTTCAGCCCCATTCCGGGCCTCGATGAACTGACGCTGTAAGAGCAGTGCTCTACGTGTCACTTGCTTTTTGTATTTGTTTTGAGTGCTCAAACGGTTTCTGTAGACAACCTCTGCGAGAGCTCCTCTTGTTAATCAGACCTTCGTGAGCCATTTTGATGCCTCGAATCTTCATAAGCCATAACATGTCTCGGCAGAAACCAGCACTGCTCCCTCCACTTCATAGAAAGATCTTGTCGACTCTGCAGCTCGTAGCTCTCAGTCCGTTTAATAAAGTCGCTGCGGCAGATTGGAAGTGGTACTAAGGTTTGGAGATGTTGAATCGTAAGTAGATTTTGAAACCATTTCGAACAATCTGACGCAGTGATTCTCAATCGTTGGCGTCTGCGAATGGTCCCAGCTGGGGCCTTCTCGTGATTGAAACTGGAAGCTTGATTTCGGACTCGCAGGGAGATTCCAAATCTTCGGCAAACATTTGTGCTCCGGATCGACAATAGTCCAAGAAAAAAGTCCAACAGAAAACACTTTCAGCTTCGATGTCTTCTAGCCGGTGCAGGACGCTCTCAGAACCATCTGTCTGGATGACCAAGAATGTAATGCGCGGAAAGAGGCTAACACAGGTTCCGTGCATCAGCGGCAGAGCATTTCGCTGGTCAGCGGGAGCGGGAGCTGTGCACCATCTTATAGGTCTCCCTGCGAGTGTTGAGTATTTTTTTATTGCCTGTGTTACATAATTGCGCCATTGTTCGCCTATACCTTCATGTACGATGCCTTTAGAGAATATCCCTACTTCTTGGCCTTCTTAATCCATATCATTTCACCTTTCATGCAATTTCCATGAATTTTACCTAAAGATGTTCCAACCTTTCATTGGCATTCCCTGCATACAAGTCTTTTTTGACCATTGATTAAAACCAACTGATTCAAGCATTCTCATAATGATCGTAAATTTCTTGTTCCAGTCGCAAGTCGCTCGAAAAATGAGTGGACTTCAGACACAGAAGAACTGCCATTGGACTTGCAGTACTAAGTATCTCAAAAACATCGGTATCAGAATTTTCCATAGATCGGCATGCCTCCCACGCAATACTCCATTTTGGCTCCGAAAGCACATCAGTGCAAGGTGTACCACATGGTGTCACGCGAAAAACTCTCTCGTCCATTGGATTTCATCACTGGCTGGATCGAGGACAGGCATCGTATTCCGAGATCGAGAGCGAATTCATTAGTTAGCCGCGGTGGTCAACATGTATTTGTATGATGTCAAAGAAGGTTACCGAAAAGACACGATATGCTATGGTTAACGTGGCAATTCCTTTTCTCAGTCTCTTTGGCGCTTTTCAATCTACTCACATCCAAAGAGGGCAAGTGCAACACTGCGGCGTTCATAACACGATGGCGAAGCTTTTCTGGAACCCTTGTTAGAGTCACCACAGCGAATCCGACTATCAGATAGTTGTCGCTTCGCACAATGCGACTGGTCTCACTAGTTGCAGTGGAATGACCAGAAGGGATTTCTGCGGTTGTCGCGTCCGAGGCAGGAGCATTGATGGCAGCGGTTTCTTGGATGTGATCTGTTGGTGTTGCACCAGGGGCATCTGATGCCCATGCAGAACTCATATTCGGCTTATCGCTCCTTTCTGCGAGCTCTTCTTCGAATTGGCATCAGCATTTGCGAGTCCCTCGAGACCACTCTCGGTAAACTTGGTTGAAGATAAGAACTCCCTTGGGATGGCAAGCCCTTGTCTGATTTTCGTCGAAGTCTTCGGCTTGGATGCCCCCGCGGTGAATTTCTTAATGTAAATAGACTTTGAAAATAGGTATCTTCACACCAAGCAACCAGAAGCTCAAAAGCAGTGCCAAAGCTTGTTCCGCTCTTTTTGAGATTGTACCCTTGTTGGCGCCCTGTTCTTTCTTCCGCCTCGAACTCCATTTAAGGGTTGAAGGCGGCTGCGCCTATGGATCCCAGCCGTACCCCAACTTAAGTATAGAACAAAGGCCATACTACACGCCCCAACCTGGTCCAGGGGTTTTGCTGAAGTCTCTTTGTCCCGTCTCGGCCGAGGCCACAGGAGACAAAGGCCTAGCCAAGCAGCCACCACGGCTCTGTTGCATGAGTTAGCATCGTTTAGAATGTTTCGAAAAGAATTTCCCTACCTGAAGTGCAACTGCTCGAAAGCTGGACCGGCTGCTACTACACACGCCGCCCCAGTGGAGTGTTCTTCCTAAGTACGAACGATGACCCGGTTTACCGGCGTAGAATTCAAGAGAATCTTCATATTCCGAGAGCTCCGTCATCTTGGTAGCTCCGGATTCACCATGAAAATCACCCCCACGATGCTCGAAGACACGCTCCATCGTCAGGCGAGCGGGCTCTGAAAGATACCATCGCCAGGACCCAGAGCTGTGTTGAACGTCTCTTCATGGTCCGCTCAAGACGTAGAGCGGAGCAGACCTGTGGCCAGACCACCGTGGCCTGGAACTCTGGAGCAGAAGCAACAGGGCCGACCGTATCCGCATATGGTAGCTGAAAGTAGCCATTTCCCAATCCTGGAATATAAAAGACCACGGCAATTATTGGGAGCCTTCCCATCATACCTTTGCTGAAGATATGCGTCGTTTCCTTGCTTCATTTTTGTCAAACGGTATGGCTCGCAAGGGGATCGATGGGAAATCCAGGGTAGCTAGGTAGAGTAATTTGGTTAAATCTCCTGCACCATTGTACCGAGAACATGAGGACATCGCGGCGAGCTGGACCGCTCAATATTTCAAATGCTTCAGTTTTTGAAAGGCCCCATTTTCTATCTGACTTGCATATTTCGGTACCTTGACTCATATAAAAGTCTCCGCTTCCTGAACAGAAAACTCGTCAGCAGCTTGATGCAAAGCTACCTTTGACTGAGGGACGAGCATGCTGTTGCGTCGGCGGGCGGCGGGTATTTTGACCCACCGCCGACAAGAGTGGACTATAACTTAGCCCAAGCCTGGCAAATTTGAGCAGAGAATCTCTGGTGTAACCCCAAGTAGATACTCCTGGTATGGCAAGTTATGAAAATAGCGGCAAAAGTCTTTTGAAGATATAGAGGCAATCAAAACACGAGTGCCACCCCCTCGCGGGAGTTGAAATACGGAGGTGATGGCAAATTTGTCGATTTGAGAGTTTGATCTTGTTGCCAACATATGCCACAGAGCTATTGGCCAGCGTCAGGTCTAGTTATGCTCTAGCATATGGGCCTTGGGTCGAGATAGCTTGTTTCTGAGAGGCCTCTGGCGACTTCATCCAATTGCTCGTCGGACTGCTCGCAGTTGAAGCTTGCAGCTCGCCCAACCGATCTTTCTGATGGCCGGAAACGAAACAGCTTAAGAGATAGCAGTATATATACCAAGGAACTCTCGAAGACTTTTCGCTTCCCTTTTCTTGATAATCTGAGACTGCCTTCTCACTATTGCCCCAATGGCTAGAGATGCATTGATCTTCTCCAGGGGCCACTTATCGAACGCGGAATGCTGAATGATGTAGACCGAGCAGCAACGGCTTTCGCCTCTTCAAGCTGTCCACAGAGGGTTTCGAGCCTTTTCCGACCTTCGTACATAGAGTAAAAGGCAAAATTTAAGCCAGTATATCTTCCATCAAATTCAGCGCAAGGCCATTCGCTTCCTCCATTCCTGTTTCGTCCGTTTATAATATTCTTGTAACAGGTTAGCCTCGAGCCAGAGAAACCCGTTGAAAACGGATGGGCTCCCAGTAAATAGGTCGAATTATCAACAAGCTGAGCAGCAATCTCAGTCGCGAACCTTGAAATCACAAGATAAGCTGCGGTAGATACTATGGGTTCAAGCCGGCGGGCAAAGAGTTGTTCAGAGGAATCATTCGCTGGAGAGCATCCTCCTCCCATTTGTGTTGTGAATGTCTGCTCTTCGTAAAAGCTTCCTTGTAATATCTTGCAGCAGTAGGCTTGGCAGAAGAATTCGGTTGATCCATGGAAGTGCTTGCATGGTAAATAAACTAGGTCGCGACATCTGGGTCGAAACTCCTGTATTGCTGGCAACGCTGGCACGAGATGCGCTGCATCAAGAAAACGGGTTTCTGGAAATTCCCTGGACACTTGCGCAGCTAGAGATCCGATCGCTCAAATGTATTGAGGGAAACCAACGACGAACAACCATACATGATGAGTGAGAGGAAGTTCGAAAGGGGTCTAATCTCGGTTGTGTTTTCCGAATATATTCGTAGAACTTGGTCTATGTGTCTGAGAACTTTGTCACGTCCATAGCTGGACGAAACGGTGTCGAAATCCAACAACGAAAAGAGAACTTGGTCGACGGGGCACATGTCCAAGCCTTGACGTCTCAGGTATAGAGAAAGAAAAATTTTGTGAAATCAGCGGGGACAAAGAAATGAGACAGCTTCATATCCTTGCGGCCACTTTCTCCAAGGAATCAAAGAAAAGAATTAAGATTTTCGATCACCCAACGCAGACTCGTATCGAGTCTGCTCGATGTTGTTGTTCTAAGAAGCAACAGAGGATCAAAAGGAGCATTATAAACAGACGCGTAAGGGCCCCTTCCTTTTTTGAGGTTGTGGCTATAAGATAGTCGAAGATGAGCAGGCAGCGGTGGCAAGTCTTTCTTTCTGCCCTAGAATGGAAAGAGTTCTTGACGGGAATTTCTTCACTGACACACACGCGGTTCTGTGCGTCGCTTTGATTCCCGCCGTTTTGCACAAAGGCAGGAGCGACCAGCAGGAGCAACCATAAGAAGAAAACATCCCCCACGTGTTGTACGATGACTGTAAGTACAATTGGATCCAATGCTCTAATTCCCAATCCAATCCACATTTTCATGTCCCGCGCTTATATAATAGAAAGGTTTGTTCAGGAAGAATCAATCGTTCAATGGTTGCTGTCTGAGTGTTCGGTAGAAACGTGGAAACATGATATAGACCTTCTTTAGATGGATTGAGATCATCCACCGGATCGCTGTGGAGTCTGATGCCATTGAAGCTCTTTCGATGAATCCACTCCCATCTTGAGATGCAGTATTTACTATCGATTGTCTTCTTGCTCGACTTCACAGAACCAGTCATCGAGGCGGCTTCGTCGTTTGGCCCGGAATCGAAAACGAGATCGGATCTTCCTCCTGAATCCGACAGATGCCTATGCGCCAGGGTCGCAGCTTCTCGACAGATTGCTCCTGGACTTGATGGCAAAAGGAGGTGCTTTGTAGTGTCACGATCGTGGTGTTATGAAGTTTCACGTTTGGTCTCGTAATAGACCGACTCCCGACTGTCGTTGAAGTCGAGACGCTAAATCTTCCACCAAATACCAGTGATCTATTGCCGGTTGTATTCTCTCTAACCCATTTCTCGCGGGGTATACGATGTTGTTAAATGACTGAAGTCCATTTCAATTTAACCTTCAGATGAAGATTCAAAAGCAATCCATGTTGTTGAACAATCAGATCTCTGTAACGCCGTTGTTGGGTTGGGAATTTTGGGAATGCATGTTCCATTCATTGCCCCTTTCAAGTCAATCATCAATCCCCATCAACTTCGAACATCTTCGATGCAGTGTTCTGCCATTCGTCACAGACTCGCATCAATCGCCCAACCAGGGAGCTAGTTAAAAAAAAAAAAAGCCACACGTAATGGTCACCACAGAGACTGGCATTCCATTGGATCCGCAGATCCAGCACTAATTTCTTCAGGATAAATCATTTCCTGCGTCTGTCTCCCCTCATCAACGGATGATCATAGAATCATATATTCGTAGCGGTGAGTGGTACACCGTACCCCAGTTCATCGATCCACCAAAAAAAAGCCGATGTTAGGTTGAGGGCCTGAGAGCCGCCAAGCGCCTGAACGCGGCCTGGCGGCTATAGCTGTAACTTAGAGCCTGCACTAAATCCACACCATGGCAAAATGACAAAACGAGCTGTACGTTTCAAGGTGATCCATCATATACTATGATCGGGACTTAGGTAATTATGAGAAAAAAATCACGGTTCTTGTTGAATTGAGCTGGACCTCGAATTTTGTTCTGCTTGGCTGATGCTTGAATATTGAGAACTTGAGAGAAACCTGATAGAACCGAGAAGAAAGGGGCGACTTAAGCTCTTGTAGCTTTCGGCGATTATGACCTCATCTGAGTAATGAACAGTCTAACTGTTCAAAGTCATCCCAGTTTCCGCTAGAGTTGGCCAGACATAAGGTCTGCCACGGGACGAAGGTTCAATAACGAAACGTAAGTTGTTTAATATACGTTGCGAATAATTTGTTTAGGCATTTTTGTGCGAATTTCCGTGTATCAATGTCGTCAAAGAACGAGGGAAAGGAGTAAATATGGGTTTTTGCAGGTCTCCTTGAATCTTGGCTGTACAAGCTCACGGCTGCGACTCTCCATAGCCGCAAGGCCAGGAGGACATTGAAGAGAATGCTCATGTCAATGGACAAGATCAAATGATAAGGACATATTTGCAAAGGCAGCGGCCGAGAACCAAGCGTCCCGTGTATTCAACAATAAAGAAAGACAGCCAGCGTAAATGTATGATTAATTCCAGCAAAGTAGTCCAGTCAGAGAGTTGCACAATCAAGGCAAAGTTGCGAGATGAGTATGGGATTTTGGGAGGATGATATTTTCACGGCGAGGGGAAAGGGAAAAGTAGTATGAAGGAGAGAAAGAGGCCCAATATATATGTGCCCATCAGTCGTACTCAGTGACGTGAAGCCATAATCTTCAGTGAATTGTAATGCATGACACGATATGAATCATTGCTTTCATCCAATACCTTCACTACTTCCTCGTACCCGACACTTCCCTTGAGATATTCATTATGGCCGGGGACATAATTGACTCGGCTATAGGAATGAAGGATAAATGCACAGTTTCTCCGTACAAGCCCACCGTCGTATAATTTATGCCACGTCATGCTTGGGTTTCATAATTTTATGTTCCTCTAGAAGAAATGCGAGATGGACTCGCAGTCGTTGCGTAGGTGAATCTGTTATTCTAGAAAAAGTAAGTTAGCAATTACCATAACGAATGCTATACTGAGATCTCCGCGGAGAAAGACGAATCATCTCCCATTGACCCTCTCTCTCATAAGTGTTCGACAGGTGATGAAAGAAGGCGCTTCGCAACCGTATCCTGTTGCTTGTCTGTCGTGAAGCATGGAGTGCGGGGCCCTGCCATCTTGGCACATAGCCTCTTCATCCTTCGAGGCGCTCCTCCGCATGTTGCTCGTGAGAGGGAAACTGCCACATAGTCATCAAGTGGAGACAGCCGTGCCCAAGGGTAATGCTGCTTTGGGTGCAGCGCAGTAAACAATCTGAGAACAGGAAGACGTTGCTTTGATGTTGATGATACGTGCATGTGAGAGCGGAGAAGGGGTTTGCAGACGCATGCGATGAATCAACCAAGGAGGCGCGTCAAGTTCCAAGCCTCGAAACGCGGGCTTGACGCCAGAAAAGACAACCTTCTGTTGCGCCAAAGCATCATTGTGCAGCTTTTTCTTGATAGCTGCAACCAGTAAATGCCACATCACGCTGCCCACAAGATTGCTCTTAGCCAGCCACACTTCACCGCAAAATTGCGGGCAGCGTTACGCATATGTCTTTGCGCATTGCCACTCGGACGAAGGCCTTTTGGGTATCAGTCTCGAGATTTAGCGCGCCTCAAAAACCTGAACTCGTTTTTAATAGACAAATAAGGGAATGCCGAGCAAAAGTAGTTGCTTTTTGCATCACGCCTATGGGGCGAACAAAGCGTAACAGCTTGATTAACAAAGGAGAGGAGAGGACAAAGGCCGGAGGGCGTTGAGCAGAATTTTTCGAACATCACTTTCACCGTCCAGATTGGCAGTTTTCGGAGAATGACCCGCTATTCTCAGTGACGTATTGGGACCGTCACCAAATTGAGGAGATTCATCTCGACTATCTCCGTATTCAGAACGGAACAGTGCTAAAGATGATCAGATCTGGCAAGAGATCAGGTCCCGGGCCGGCCGTCATTGCACAGACATCAGGCCATTATAGCGAACTTTGCAGAAGACAGGGGCCTCGTTTCCAAGGCGTGTGGTCATTGAACAACGGTGCAAACAGAAAAGGTCTCGTGACCTGTGCAGGGGGATGCTCTGCAAAAGTCCCGTAAAAATTCAGACGACGATTCTGGATTTGAAAACTTATCGTGTGCCTCATCTTTCTTCAATGTGATCTTCGATAGGTTAATGATGATCGGCAACACTGACTTATTTTTTTCCCCTTCGTTGTTGTTGAGGGATCATCTGCCTATCTTCCGATCATCGGCCCAAGGGAATATGCTCGTAATTCTCGCGCGGGCCGGTATACCCCGCCGTCCAGAATTCCAGCAACGAAACCCGATCAACAGGGATATTCTGTGGGGCGTGCAGGTACGCGCACTATTCAGCGAGAAAATTTGGGTCCCGGCCCCATAACATTCGGGATTTGCAATTTGCATATGGACTTCAAACAGGAACGGTGTCGTGGCTATCATCCAAGCCAGCCTCGGAAGCACCAAAACAAGGTCGAAGCTCAATCATTCGCCGAGAAGGCTAGTTGTGGCGAGCGGTAAGACCTCTATAGCCGAGTTTGGAACAGTTTAGCCCAAATGGCACCCAGGTCCGCCTATCCACGTAGCGACGTCTAGGAAGCCCGATTAATCCCCGAAGCATCGGAAAAATTGATTCAGGAAGAAGAACCCGAGGACAAATTGCTTAATTTCGAGGGCATTTGAAAAAAACAACTTCTGCAAGAAAAGTTAAGTACCCCTCGGGTGGATTACAGTCTCAAACTCCTTGGACGCGCCGTATGTATCAATACCATCCAGGTAATGCATCCTCTTTCGTCATAGTGGTAGAATGGCTTGCGTTGTAAAAAGCCACCATAGCAGAGTCAGGAAGCTCGAGCGAGCTCCCAGGGCCCGAGCAAATTGTGCCTGAGGTGGAGAATCATATATTGAGATGATGCACTGAAAGGGGATCGCAGCTCCTCTAAACGGGGCGCCGGAGAAGCGGGCCGCCCCGGTTTGTGGGGAAAGCACGAAAATTTCAAGCCCCATCCCATCCTGGCCTGCAAGCCAACAGGCCACTTTTTCCCTCTCAGCACGTTGAAAGCACCATGAGTAATTTTCCAGGGTGCGTTTTAAGATTGGGTGAGGTTGTGGATTTGCCATCATCAAGCCACGGACGCAGATACGAGCTGTGTCCAGCATATCACCACTTGAGAAGCCTTCACCAGAGCGCCACTTTCTTGTGATCCACATAGCTGGTGGTACTCTCACCGATGGGTGTTAGTGGTGGGCTCTTTCCTGCAAGCGCTCTGCTCCAGCCAGTGTGCTGCGTACAAGGTCCAGATTGGATATGAGCATCAGTTTTGAGTAGTTTCCTGGCCCTAGATTAGGAAAGGAAGTAGATTCCGTCGACGAATGAAGTCTTTGCGCGTGTGTAAGAGCCACAATGACGGAGTGTTCCAAAATTTCGGGACCAGGCTAGTCAGGTAGTAGCGTCGACCCGTTGTAAATGATTTACCATTGGCGTGGGTACTGTTATCGTACTATTATACGGTCCACAAAACTTAGGGAAGCCGCCCTTCCACCTTTCCCGTAGAGTGGTGACGGGTAGTTGTAGTAGCTGCCGCAGCAACTGACGGGAATGTTAGTCGTGCTGCCGGCGAAGAAAATGATGTGGAGAGGGGGCAGTCGTCCAATGGGGCAGAAGTGTCACCTTTGTGATCTCGGGTGGAAAAGAAGGAAATTTCCATGAAACCAAGGGGAAGGGGACGAAAATTGCGGAAACCTAAAGGCTGAGCACCTCACGAGTCTTGCCATATCCAACTGCATGTCTGTGCCATACAAGGATCAACCGTCTGCGCTCGACCAAACAATGCAAAGGATAACGTAAGAGAATCTGAAGTTGAAGCGGGCTTCCATCATGGATTTTACCACTTGGATCAATTCTCTCCGGCGTAAAGCTTGGTGATAGTGGCCTTGTTCAGAACTATAGTCGAGCAATGGACTGCAGCAGCACGAATATCGATTGAGATCGCCATGACCCAAACATATCCGTGCATGTGGTTGGGTCTCCACCTTCTCCACCTTGTGCTCAAGTTCGTGCATTTTGAAATCGAGGCGGATACGAGCAAACCAGGGAGAAAAGAAACAACAACATGCACGCTGCGAGGAGACGGAAGAGAGGAGTAAGCTTCTTCTCCATCGGAATCCTGGAATAGACGTCTGAATGACGACAGAGGACGAAGTCGTGGCAGAGCATCGGTGAGGGAAGCCGGGAAAGAGGACGACCTGCCTCGTCTATAAATTCGAGGTCATTTCCCCGACTTGAGAAGAGCTCGACAGGTCATCCAGAGATCCAGCAGCCGAACATCCACAGCCAAGCCAAAGCCCACTCAAAGCACTTCGCTTCAAATTTAAACAATCATCGCCAACATGCAGTTCAAGACTCTCGCTCTTGCCCTCCCGGCCCTCTTCACTCTCGCCGCGGCCGTTCCATCTCCCAACGGTGGAAGCGGACCCACTGTCGGTGATGCCAGCTGTGGCAATGGCCAGGTCCTCTCCTGCTGCAACACCGACAGCGAGAGTAGCGGTGGCCTCATTGGCGGTATCCTCGATGGTGTTTTGGGCGGCTCTTGCACTGCTCTCAATATCCCAGTTGGTATGTTCTCTCATTTATAATACGGCACCTAGTGCCAACAAGATGTGGAATGTTCTGACATTCTCCAGTTGGAATCAATATTCCCCTTAGCCAGGCTTGCGGTAGCAACCAGGCTGCCTGCTGCACTGGCGACAGTAACGGCTTGGTCAACGTTGCCTGCACCAACGTCAATCTCTAAGACGGTGCACTTCGATAGGTCGCACGATGACATTGCAGCGGGCATTGTACCGGTTGTGGACCATAAATTTCGAAGTAGGACTAAACGGTTTGGAAGGAACTGAGGTTGAAATTGAAACTGAAATTGATGGGTTGCTTGATTGAGGGACGGAGAGGTTTTAGTTTGCAGAGCGAGAAGTCTTGAATGGAACTCAGCACACTCATTCAAGCAAATGGTTAAATAGCCTGCAGTGTTGTTAGCCAATTGAATGAGTTTTATGACGGAATATGAAGAAAAGCCAAATGCAAATTAGTGACTGAGGTCAAACAGCATATTTGATGACTGACACTCTCAAGAGACACTTGTAAGCTATCGGAAAGTGATTGTTACGGCTCATTTGCGTGGTGACAGACAAATAGTCTTGATACAAAAAAGAGAGCATAAATATAAATGTCAAGGAAACATAAAGGAAAAGTCGAATCAAATACAGTCAAGCGGTGGTAACCTGAGTGTTTCAGTCAAGACCGAGGTAAAGCAAAAATATCATCGTAAAACAAGGCGAGGTAAATTAAAAAGACAATGAAAAAATAATCAATTGATACCCACCTTAGTCAATGAATAACCACTTTTCGTCGAGTCGTGACCCCCCTCGAGTTTATTATATTCTAAACAAATCAGTCATTCGAATCCCATGCTGCTCGAATCCACTAGATCAAGAAAGCTTCCTCAATCCATCGTTAGTTACATTAATAATCAGTTTTTTTTGTCGCAAAAGTATAAGGTCCTCATATCTGGCGTACATGGCTACTCAGATATATTCTCAGTCTGAGGTGTGACAGCGATAAGAGAGTCCGACTTGCACGACGAACCATGCCTCGAGCTCAATGTTCAAGAACATGGGTCAGAGATGCCTTTTGTTAAGTACCCTTCGTTTGTCTTCAGACAAGACCACCAGCCGTCTTTGACGTAAATGCAGGGGGAAGACACTGCGCTGCCAAACAAGGCAGGTCACATCACTGGTTGTAAGCTGGAACGGAAGCGGAAGCAACTCCGGCATCGGGTCACAACCTCAAGTATATCGGCCCTTGGCCACAAATCAGAAGAGCTATATGTGCACACTTCGGCATGGATGCATATATGCCGAGACGTAAAATAACTTAAAAAAGCTTTGCTGCTCGAAATCAAATGATTCTGGATGTACACAAGTTTACTTATATATTTGGAGACCTGCTGAACTACCACCTTTAATCAGCTCTCGCGCAATCAGGTACATGGATGGCGACTCCCCCACATGAAACGCCCACCGCAACACACAGACGCAGTACCCCTCGGTCCCCAATCGCCTACGAGAAATCGATGATGGTCAAGAAAAGCAATGACGGGACATTTCAATTACTTCAAAAGGAAAAAAAAAATATTAAATTCGTACGAAATCGATTCGAGATGAATTGAATTTAAAATTCAGAGAGGGATAAAATTGATTATTTTTCGAGAGGGGAATTTGCGTTATCGTCGTCTCTTTTTATTCTACACCAGAAAATGGCCCAGCCATTAAGCGCTTATCGGTCACAGTATCTACTCCCTGGTCCACAGCCAAAACATTCACGCTATCTATAAGATAGCCACAGGACACCCTGCCGATAGGGTACTCGAATTTTCATCAGAAAACCTCAACGCCGCCAGTCTTGTCCGAAGAAGGGCTGAATAGGGTATATCCCGTTACCCAAAAATATCGACCAATGAGAAAATCCAGATCCGTTTTGTGAGATGTCTGAAGCGCGACAAATACGCGAAGGCCCAAAATCTCATAATCAATGCAAGAGCTCTTCACCAACTGTATGTTGAAGAAGAGAGGAGAAGGGGAACGTTTGCTATATTTCGATGTTCGGACAAGGCTCGCCGAATATATGAGCATATAAGAGAGAATTCGCTTTATATCACGATATATTCCCCATCCAACCGATCCATTGCTCGTCGCCACTTGAATGCCTGCCCTCCAACCGCTGCATGCCGAACATGCGACGTCGGTGCAGCTGCAGGATATGACGAAACCCCAGCAGTAGCATCATTTCGGCCACGGGTGCCAAGCAGCGCATCATCGCCCACATCATCGCGCCATACCTTCTCGAGGACTTCCAAACCGGATATGTTATTCGAGAAGCCCGATTCGCTCTGAATATCAAGACATCGCTGGCGCACAATGGAGCGATGAACCTCATCGATACATTCCCCTCCAGTGATGAAAAGAGGCCAGAGGAGGAACTTGTGGACCGTTGAAGTGCTTGCAATGCTGGTGATGTGGTAAAGTGCTTGGGCAACGAGATTTTGGAAGTTGGGGTGCGATGATGGTGACGCCGGATGAGCAAGGCGCTCGGTGTACAGAAGTGCAGCATACCGGAAAGATTCAGAAATATTCAACAGATCTCGTTGCCGGGGAGAAACGTCTGGCGTTGCGGAGCACATCTGCGCGGGCATGGTCGGATCCAATTCCCATTCTTTGAGTCCATCCCGAACGTCCTGCCATTCTTGCCAGAAAACGTGACGGTCATCGGTGCCAGAGCTGCTGTCATCGAAACCTTCGTGGAAACTTCGCGACATCATGGTCCAGCCACTGCCGTCTAGGCTGTCGTAATTTAAACTGTAGTAATCCCGTCCAGCGGGTAGTTGTCGACTGGCAGCTGGCGACTGGGGAGTGTGTCCACGGTAGAGGCTTTGCGAGCTATCCGACATATTCTCACTGGGTCCTGCCACAGGTCTTCTCTGGCTTAAAAGGTTCAAGCGACCCAGCCGGCAGATTATTCGAAACAGCCGGCCGTCGCAGCCAATCATTTGCGCAAGGCCGCCCGGTTGTTCATCAAGAGCACTCAACATGTCGAGATATCCCTGACGCAGTTGAGGTTCTCTGTCATTGACAGCAGCAGTCATAACGTCGAACCACGTGAAGAAGAATTCCACCCAGCTACGAAAGTCGGACTGCGATCTACTATCGCAAAGCTCAAGAAGCTTTCTGACCCCAGCAAACTGGGTTCGCAATTGGGAAACGCCAGTATCGCATGTGTGGAAGAGGCAGAGGATGACAAGGGTTGCTAAAATGGAGTCGCTCTTGGCCAGTTCCGAATCTTTGAGCTGCCCATTGAGTAGCTGGACTGAAGTCGCCTTAAAATGGGACTCCTCCTGCAGTAGGCTATCTGCGGCAGACCGAAGGGAAGGCTCTTGAGTCGGCTCTACAGAAACGCTTCTGCCTCGACGATTGCTGCCGCCGCTCGAAGCAAGATGATGCTGGCGGATCTTGGCACGGTCTTTGCTCATTCTCATACGCAGGTTGTTGGCGGAGAGCGCGGCAATGGCATATCGTAAGGTCTCGCTTTCCATCGCCAACCGCAAGATGTGCACTCTGTAGGGATTTGCCGGGCCATCAAATGCCACCAATCGAGGACAGATGGCCCGGTCGTAAAAGCCTATCAGTGACTGAATACGCTGAGCAGCACTAGAAGCTTCCAGGAAAGGGTGCGATGGGACTTCCGTCGAGGATCCTGCTGGAGACGAAGGTAAGACCGAGGCTGTCGAGACAGAAACGCCATCGTCAGTCAAAACGTGACTTGAGCCATCACGATTGGTAGAGGGGCCGCACCCATAGCCAGTACTATTCCTCGAATCACGAGCCTCACGAGGGTTGCCTCTTAATTCTTCTTCAACGAGAATGCCGTCCGTGCTATACGATGACCCGATTGGGTGTGGGGCAAAGCGGCCAGGCTCTGTATAGTCGTAGATACTGCGATCAGAGCTGATACTTGACGCCATACCGTCGTAAGGCACTGAACATGAAGATGTTGGCGCTCGACCAGGATAAAAGGACCGCTCGCTCGCGCTCATTCCAAGAGCCTGTGGTGCGTAAAACTCTGCGTAAGATGGAGGGAGCGGCGCATTCATCAAGGAGATGTCCTCTGGCGTGTCCGGATAATCCACAGGAGAGGGATACTCGCTATCGCTGAAGCCGCTCAAGGAGGTGGCAGAAGTGCATGACTGAACGTCATCATAAGATCCCCCTAAGGAGGTTTGCAGCCGGTGCAAAGGATGGGCAGGATGAGCATAAGGATGCTGGGGTGCCCAGTCTGGGCCGTGCGCGGACTCGCCATAGGAGCTCATCATACTCCTAGCTGGCTGATGCTGATGCTGCTGCTCTGGGATTGTCTCATGCCATGTAACGGTCCCATGAGGAATAGCGGAAATCGAGGCGGTAGGAGAGGACGTAGGGTGCACGGGAATGAAATCGTAGGCTCGTAGAGCATTTGATTCTTCATATCTCGAATTCGTGGAAGCAGAGTGATCCCTGGGAGAGGGCTCTTCGTAAGGTGCCGAAGTTGGTCGAATGGGTTTTGGTCTCGATGTGCTATTTACGGACCCAACAGCAGATGATTTCTCTTTGGGTGCGCTAGTCGACGTCGGGCCTTTTCTTGCAATTGGGAGAGACATGCCTCGTAGTTTGCCTCGACTGGCCACTCCGACGCCCCAAGTCAATTGAGTCTTGTAACCACTGCAGTTGCCATCGCCATGACCCAGGCATTGAGTGCAGTATGGTCGTCGTCGATCACATTGCCGTCGCTGCTTGATGCAGGTGAAGCAATCGTCGGCGGCACCACTTGGAGGAGCTCTTCGTCGCCGCTTGCGAGGAGCCACGCTGCGCGCAGGGGACTTTGCAAGAGGACTAGGCAATTGTGCCATAGAAGGCGATGACATGGTCATGATGGAAAGTGAATAGATAGAAGCAGAAAGGCCAGAAGAAAGAATGTATCAAATTGGACCAAAGGGAAGCTTGTCCGTGTCGAGGATGTCAGTCGTACATCACAATGCTGTACTATGTGCTGGGGGAGGAATAGCAACAATAAAACAACGCAGAGTGGATTGAAAGTTCCAGATTCAAGCCGAACAAGTAGCGAAGGAACTCGTAGTAATATGGAAACCAACTGTAACAGACCAGACTTGATAGTTGCACAGCACGATTGAGCCCGGTGGGGGTGGGAATGAATATGACCAGATATTCGACGGTCGAGGTTGAATTCGACTTGACTTGGGCCCCTCTTTCTCTCTCGTGTGTGCGCGCGCGAGCCAGCGAAGGGTAGATAAGATTTCACGATGACCTGCAAGGGAAATGACCAGGAGCTGCTCTTCCCCAGGCCCAAAGTTCATCGATTGCCAGACGACGAAGCGTGTCAAGGGTGAGTCCCGCACAAAGATGGCATGGGGGCACGAGCAGACGCATGGACGACGCGGCATGCATCGAATAAGAAGCTCCAAGGATGCAGGACCACCCACGCCATGACGGCGGTTGCAAATGCTTGAACCAGGGTTGTCTGGTTGGAACGGGGGGAGGAGAGTACGTCGCATTAGTTCAAGATAGCTTGTCTTTGTCTCTCGTTACCAATCCATGACCTGGAATCATTTTGGCCCTTCTGCGACTCTACGCTCTGCCGAGTAGTCCGGTGAGCGCGGAGAGCGGAACGTCAGTCTACGGGCAAAGCGCAAGCATCATTGGGTAGAACGATGGCGCGCAAGACAGAACGAATCATCAGAGTCCCGAAAGCATGAAAAACCGATAGGTCGATGAACGAAGGGTGGTTTTGGATGGGTGGGGGAACATGAAAGTCGGTCAAAAGGGTTAGGGAATTCTTTTTGGACCAGAGTGGGCGGACAAATCGAACGTCCTAACATCGACTTGTCAAGCCATCCAGGAAAGATACGCCTGGGGCCCGCTGTCTAGCGGACAGGCGACCAGGTACGAATAGGAGGGAATGACGGGAGGTAACCAATATTGATCTCCGAGAAGGTCTGGCGGATTGGTTGGCGATGCGAAAGGTTACATTGTCGAATTTCGTCCGCCGCTGTTCCCTGGTTCGCCTCCATGTCCATGTCACAGCTCTAGTGCTGGTGCTGGTGCTGGTGTCGGTGCGGCTGCTGGTCTAATTTGACGGGTTCGCCGTCCTTCTGGTGCGCTCAGTTAGTGTGGGATGGAAAGCCTAGCTGTTATGGCGCAAAAAGGCCATGGGCGGCGCCATTGACGAGATTAGTTCTGTAATGAATGGATGGGTGAAGGGAGCAGGTCGATCCTTCAAATCAAAGGAACGAATCTTCAGAAGGGGTGGCCATGCAAACCACCCAACCTGTGAGACAAGCAATGCCTCCTTGAAGCCCCAGATGGCCCGTCGACTGCCAACGTCGCTTTGATCAGAAGGGGCCAGTTGTGGGGGAGAAAGAGGGACCTGCCGGGTCGTTGGAGATCCCTCGGCTCTCTCTTGGCTCTCCACCAATGATACACCATGAATGGGCGAACGGTAGCCGAAAAAGTGTGCGTGATAGTCCGACGGGGGCACGACACCAAGCATTTACTTAATAGTCTGGAGGGCTGACGGATGGAAGCTCGTTCCCCTCCACGAGTCTAAGCATAGAAAACATGTTATTAGCTTCGATCCTGGTAGACTAAGAGACAATCCAACTTTGAAATCTCCTTCGTGATACGTCTAGGCCGTTGCCATGCGATTGGAAAGGCGAACTCCGCTGCAAATAGTAACTTATACTGTTATAGATTATAGCAAATGATGACAGCTCAAGGGTATTATTTAGACGCACGTAAACTTTGGTGGTCCTGCATGAGCGCCAACCCGTCGGCGAGTCCCAATCATACTGCGTAGATGATTTGGCATTTCGTAGGGGCGATGATGATAGGGACAATGATAATGCATGCAATCAAGCCATCCCCGCCTGTACCTCCGAGTGCTTTCTACGTTTCCTTGGTTGAGCACTGACATGCCCCGATTCAACCCCTCTCTGGACATTTTCGTTCCCTCCTAGGAACATATTTCTGGGTTCTGATTTAGACGCTAGATTGTTGGTTCTGGAATTTGCGCCGGTCTCAACTAGACCGGGGGCGCAGTATAATGACCATCTGCTGACCGGTGAGTGGCATGGTGCATCGCATGGTCAATGGTGCGAAGAAATGAAAGGTGGAAGATAATTTTACCGGCGCATGCTTGCCATTGACCCATACCGTGGTCGAGGGCGAAAGGCACCAGGGGCATCAGACGGCGAGACATATGGCGCCAACTACTCCGTAAACTGTAATCGCAATTGTCACGAAGAGTCGCCGTCGCGCGGGATTATTTCCCCCCTCGTACCGGGAGAGACATTGCAATATTTCATAATCAGAGATATCAAATTACCTTTCGGGGATGTCCGACGGAAAGGCTATTCCGCCAAAGAGCCGAGGGACCAAAGGAGCTTGAATAAGATTGAAGTGGGGTAGTCGCCGGATCGAAGGCAACTGCCCTTTTCATAGCGGGATGTTTTCGAGCCATCAGCAATAAAGTAATACTGATCGACAAGAACTTTTTTGCCTTGAAAGGCAATTTGTCACGGCGAATTCATTACTGAGTACTCCGCCCTTTCCAGACGGAGTGATCCCGACAGCGACAACATGATCGAGTCTGGTCCGTTGAAAATGAAAAGGAATTCTTTCGTGCTCTGCAATAAAAGAGGGGGTGTGAAGGGCTTGCATTGGTGTAGAAATAGCAATTATTATTCCCATAATTGAGCCCGTCAGCCTCTTCAATCCTCCAATGGGTCTATTACAAACTCCCAAACGTTAAGTGGGCAATGGAAGAAACAATGAGCCCCAAGGGGCGGCGCATGAGCATGGCTGCATGGAAGGCTGCATGGAAGTTAAGTGGAAAGTGCCACTGAAGCTCATTGATCGGGCTCTGTGGCTGCTTCTCAACAATGAGCTGTGGTTGTGTTCCTGCCGCCGTCAGGTGGTCACTGGTGGTGGCGTGGGCATCATTTGGTTTCTTCGTGTCTTCTTCCGCGCTACCCGGGGGTTGTGCGACCGGCCTCTTACCTATCTACCCACCTAAGCTTGTGTGGACAATAGTTAAGCTGTTCGCCAGATGGGCAGCCATGACCAAATTGGCTGTGCGACATCTCCCAAAGCATCTTTGGAGAAGTGCATGTAGGGGTTGTTGGCCACGGTGCACCTTATAAGCTGTTATGTACCAAATTGCGAGAAGGTGCCTTCTCGTGGATGAGGATTGCAATTATCCCACATAATTAAATGGGAGCAATTGTTGCTCAGAAGGTATCCATGGTAAAATGGCCGACACGCCCGGGATCCAGAAGAGATGAAACAAAAGCAACGTGAGCGAAGGATCGAAAAAGCATCAAAGCCTTTTCCCAGCACGTCAAGTGAAACTTGCCTGTCCGCCGACAACAGCCGTCTGTTCAGTTCGGACATTTGTATCGATTGGGCGAGCCAGCGAGAGGTGGGCCACGGATCAAGAAAACTGGTGGCGTTGCGCCTCGTCGGGCCTCTTAGCCAGGGACCCGCTCATTCTTCTTTTTCTTGGGCGGCTCGGTCCTCGGGGTTCGACTTGAACAGCTCCTGAGCCGCGGCACACCTTGCTCGATACCTAGGTTTTTCCGCAATAATATTTTATCATGTTCGCATGTGATGCCGAGATAATCATCGATGCTGAACACCAACTTCAAGCACCTAGAATGGGTAGATTTGGGAGATGCGGGTGCCTGCTTCCTTCATTTCCCATCCTCGCATGGCCACACTTGGCCTTCATAATTTGTGTTAAGTTGGTGCTAAGCGGTTCAAGCTGAGACTATTGGACCGTAAAATTGTTAAGAGTCTCTCTCTCGGCCCACTTGCGACATAAACAGATAGATAACTATCACTGCGCCTCTAGCTGAAGCTTAACGCTCCGCTCCAAAGAATACAATTTCGGTCCACTGTAAGTTGCTTTCCTCCGAGATGATTCTGTGCAGTGGAGCTATGACGACCTCGCGAACCCTCAATTCGTGACACTTCTCAAGTGTAGCAAATCCGTCAAAATAATTCCCAAATTTTGGTCCTGGTGGTCAGCGACTGGCTGTCGCTGAATTTTCCTTAAGCCGTCGTAAAAAGATGAATGAGCAAGATACCTACCTTAATACCCGAAAATGTTGTCAGCTCGGTTGAGTCTACGATGATCTGAGAGTTGAATCAATCCTAAGCAATCGTGAATTTGACGGGCTCACTGCCGGTTATCAACGGCTCGCAGTGATTCCTTATAGCTCGCACCTGGAACATCGATGTGACGTCGCGATGCACTTCGGTCGCCGCCCAAATCAACTCACCCATTCGTCCTCTAGTGTCTTCTTGATGTAGCCGACTGGACATGATTTTGCATTTGGGGCAACGTAAATATTAACCTCGACGGGAAAGTGTAAGCGAATAATCGCGGGTCCTTCTTCCCACCTGCTGCCCTAAGCCTGGCCCATACCTCGTAATTGAGTGCCGAACTTGCCTTGGCAGGTACACTTTGCCATCATCAATCCCGTATCCACTCGCTCTAGTTCTATTCTCTCTCGTTGTCGAGGTGGTTGCTCACGGCAAGCCGAGTGCCGGTATATCGGTCCATCAACTAAATCTAGAGTGGGTCTCACCAAAGGAAGCCCACCTGCTAACTGAGAAATTAAGCGTTGCGCTTTTTCTACCTTATCCTGCAAAAGATCTGTTTCATACTTTAGTTCAATCACGTATCCTCAGCTATCGTCATCAGCTTGGTCGAGAACGTCGCCTTATCAGAGGCCCCATTCAGGTTGACAACGTACCACAGCAGGTTAAAAGGCCATAATCTTAAGGCTGATACCACTGCCCGTGTCCTAGCAACAGACTCAAACCTTCACATTGTCGGAAAGATATCATTCCATAGACTGAGCTTCTCGGAGATCGGCTTTTTTTTGTCGGGTCATTTTGATGTAGATATAGCCCGCGCAGGCTTACTCGTTTTCTAGCTTCAAAGGACTTGGCAACGATATTCTGTCGGTTCCTTGTTGTTATTGTCTGTTTATCCCAATCATCTGAATATTTAAAAACGATATAAAACTAAATATAATAATTTGATTCCTTTCTCTTCTTTTATTTCCCCCTATATAATAGTTGTTGCAGCTTTGGGGGACCATCTCTTAAGTGTACGGAGCAACTTTTGCTGAAATGCGGCGCTGGCGACTGCACTCTGGCACATTCTCGGGGACTTGCAGTCGTGGTTTAGCGATGCTATAAGTCGGAATCTTTTGGCATTTTAATAGTCAAATTCTTCAAAAATGTTTTCCGGTCGTCGCACTCGATCTATCCACAAATCGTTTTTCGACGATTCACACGAAGAACTCGAAGAAGCTTTGATCTTTCTGAACGCCCAAATATTCTCCAACTGGAAAGCTAATAAAGATTCGTGCATTTGGACATGAGTTGCATAGAACAAAAGTCCGCTGGTTTTGTTTCTAGTGTTGAGGTGCCGAAGACTGTACTGGCCAAGGAAAACTCCACCGCGGTAAGTCACAAAAGTAATGAACAATTTCATTTCATCACTGGAATCGTATGTGGAAATGAGCTTAAGTCACCAAAGTCTTTGATTTCATCGTCAGAAGTTATCTATTGAAATTCGATATGGGAACGACGCGTTTGGATCATAACATTAAACAAGGCTTGAAGGGATTAGAGAGTTATGCAAATCCGTTGACAATCTACTGTAAAGGGTTATTAATATTAATATTCTAGAAATAAGATGTATTTACAAGGAGGCAAGACCTGTATCGCGACAGAACTATACTACGTACTTAAGGTATATGGCAGAATGGCAACGAAATGATTGGAGAACTGACAGGTTTTAACCGGGTTAGCGCCGGGAACTCCCTCGGGATCTCCCGCTCTTGTTTGGGTTTAGCTGAATCTGGATTGGTTCCGCCGAAAGTTTGTGCCTCCCCAGTTGATGGAGTTCCTCATTCAAAAGTCCCGGAGCCCCCAAGTTTGAAGGATCTTCATGACTTAGCGGGGATTTTTCTCATCGAACAAAATGGATTTCCCTGACCATGTGGAGCTGGCCATCATAGGTGCCGGTAAGCTCAATATGCTGCGCTCGTTGAACGGAACAGCAAGAGGGGAGTAGCGTGAGGATAGCTGAGCTAACTGGCCTTTTCTCTCGTGTGTAGGATGGAATGGCCTAGCAATGGCAAAAACGTACCTTGAATGCCACCCTAATGCGAAGCTCATTGTGCTCGACAAGGGAACCAGTATTGGTGGCGTGTGGGCGAAGGACCGCTTGTACCCTCATTTGAAATCCAACAATGTCAAGGGAAACCTCGAGTATAGCGATTTTCCGATGGACCTAGAAAGGTTCGGCGTCAAGCCCGGTGAGCATATTCCTGGAGCTACTGTGCATGAATATCTCTTTCAGTATTCCAAGGAATTTGGCATATATTCAAAAATCCGCCTCGGGGCTGTGGTCGGAGTGATCGAGCGTTCCCTTACAGGAGGTTGGACCTTAAACGTGCAGTCTGGCAAAGACAGTGTTCAACATCAATTACATGCAGACAAAGTGGTCTTTGCCACGGGGCTGACCTCCGAAGCTTGGATGCCAGACTTTCATGGACTGGAAAATTACGCATGTCCAGTGTATCATGTGAAAGATCTGGCCCACAATACAGACCAACTTTACCAAACGGCCCGAAACGTTACTGTTATTGGTGGAACAAAGTCTGGATGGGATGCAGCCTATACTTGTGCTAATGCAGGGATTCATGTTGACATGATTGTTCGCAAGTCTGGCCATGGCCCTGCGTGGATGTCCTGGCCGAAAGTGACTCCCTTCAAGATGTATCTGGAGAAGCTCGTGCATACGCGCTTCTTGACTTGGTTCAGTCCGTGTATATGGGGAGATTTTGATGGGTTTTCTTGGATTCGAAAATTTTTGCATGGTACCAGAATTGGACGATTCTTTGTAGATTCATTCTGGACCATATTGAATAATGACCTCCTTCAGGTGAGCTGTGTTTCCCAGCGAAGATATTACACGTCCTAATTTCTACGAGGGAGGCAAATATGACAATCATTCAGAAACGAAAAAGCTCAAACCCTGGATCAGTCCATTCTGGATCGCTTCTTCGTTGAGCATCTTCAACTATGATACCGACTTTTTCGAACTTGTCCGAAATGGCAAGATAAATGTTCACATTGAGGACGTGTCCGGATTTGCAGAAAAGTCTGTTCAGCTATCGTCAGGTGCAACTCTTAGCTCAGATGCGCTAATATGTGCTACTGGCTGGAAACATCGACCGCCAGTGAAATTCCTGCCATCAGATATTGAGCGCGAGATTGGTTTGCCCAAGCGCCCAAGTTCCGAAGATGAAGAGCTGGCCCATGTTGCAGATAAAAGAATCTTAGATCAATTCCCTCGACTCAGAAATCAGCCGAATTCGAATCCTGAATATAAGCCGATGGATGGCAGCGAACCAGCTGTAGAGCTTCACCCATACCGACTGTATCGTTTCATGGTGCCTCCGGCATTCGCTGACGACCGAAATATTGCATTCATGGGAGCAATGCAATCTATCAGCACTGCGATGATCGCCCAAGTCCAGGCACTGTGGCTGACTGCATATTTAGACGGAACCCTCGACTTGGAAACCGAAACTTGGAATGATCGAGCTCAGGGCGAACCGACTTTGGCAGAGAAGATTGTTCAGGAAACTTATCTCGACTCTCAATTTGGAAAATGGCGGTGTCCGGGCGGATATGGAAACCAGTTTCCAGATATCGTTTTCGATTGTCTGCCTTATATTGATATGCTCCTTCGCCAGTTGGGGTTGTCGTATCATCGCAAACGCAACCTTATCGCAGAGGTTTTTGACAGTTACTCAACAAGTGATTATCGGGGGTTGGTTGATGAATGGAGAACTAAGGTTGGAAAATGATGCGACATATGATTCTCAACTATGCGGCAAATATTCTTTATCTACAAGTTGCAATCTGACTCGAATCAGAACTCGCATCTGCGACCACGAACCAAAAAAGAAGCCTAAAATAGTACAGCATTCATGAATATGCTTGATGAATTCAGAAAATTTTAAAGTCGATGAATGACATGTCATTTGGGATAGTGACATTATATCCCAAAATGTAAGGAGTCGCATTGAATAAAGCTGAAGAACTTTCCTGGCAATGAAAACGCGTCCAACAAAAACAAGCAGAAAGCTTTGAGCATGGTCCAATAACACCTAATATTTTGCCCGCGGGTATCCTCTTTATTCGTTCTATTTCTTTTCAGACAAGGAAACAGAAAGCTCTTCAGTAGGGGTTCCAGTCTCGACTCCTTCTACGACACCAATATCAGCCAGCTCCTCGCGGCGGAGGCCCTTCGTGTTCTTCACATTTTCGTGTGGCCACACAAGGTTCAAGAGGTAATAAATAACGAATGCGATGACGAAAGAGAGACACCAGCCAAGGTGTCCCAAGTTTTCGGCCGCAGTTGAAACTTTTGGACCAAGGGTGCCGACGAATCCTAATGTGAAAGTTAGCCAGATGAGTCTGCAATACAAGATGCAGTATACGAACCTGGGAAGGGGAGAGCAATAGCGACAATGTAGGCGATGAAGGCCTGAACGTTCCATCCTCCCTTGTACCAATAGTTCTCGTTGTTCTTGTTGCCGATATATAGAGACGGTATGAAGACGTTGCCACGAGATACAAGGTAGTACTCGCAAATCATGATTGCAACAACTGGACCCATGAAAATACCATAGCCAGCAAGGAAAGTCACGAAGGTCGAGGCGGAGTACATGATTTTCCAGGGGCAGACTGCGTAGCCCAAGAGGTGCACGATGGCTTGACCCCTGGTAATCGTCAAGTACTTGGGCCAGAGCATGGACGAATCGGCACCAAAAGGAATCATGTTTGCCGCGATGTTAGTTGCGAGAATAGAGATCATCCAGCAGCAAGCACATAAAAAGACGGCAAAGCGAACTTCGGGTCGCCAGTTGCGCTCCATGATCGCAGTCATCAGGTCCCATTGGTTCCAAATGCTGGTACCCCATTTGTTGTTAACGGCCGAAGTGGCTAAGATACCGAGAGTAGCAGAAAGGGTGGTGAATACGGGGTTGACAATCTAGAGGATCAGATTGTCAGTTGATTTTCAAGACCAGGCCTCTTTTACCTTTTATGATTTATTTTTGATCCGAATTCGGAATAAGGCTTCTTACCATCTGAGCCCAAGTGGGCGACTTGGTGGTCTTGGCCCAACGAGCAAGGTCAGGTTGGTTTGTGATCAAAGTTGCAGTATTTCCCATACCGCTATTGATACACCACATGAAGAACCAGCCAAACTGGCCGCCGGAAGGAGCGGAACCGTCATACAAGCTTCCAAGCTTACCCTTGGTGGTTGCCATGCAGTAAATGAACAGACCGAGCATAGCCGGAAAGGAAATGGCAGACTTGAAGGAGAAGAAACCGCGCAGCTGGTATGGGCGTAAGAAGACAAAGGGAATATGGATCAACCAAAAGAGGAAAAAACCCAGCATTTGCTGAGTCGTGAAGCCCATGCTTTCCGGCATGCCGTTAGGGATATCGGTGTAGTGATGACCGAAAATGGCCTGAAGCATGTTGGAGAGGTAGCTCGCACCGGTATAGACTTTGTGGCCAGTAAGTTCTTCTGCACAAGTTCAATTATAAAAACAAAAAGGTTCACAAGAACTTACGCTGCACAGCGTACCAAATGATGGCCAGGACTGCACGTGCTCCAACCGGATAATAGCTTCCCCACCTAAAGGAGGATTAGTATATGGCGGGAAATGAATATAGAGTACGGTTAAAATAATTGTTTGAGAGCAAGAGAAAACTCACATTCCATATACAGAACGAGCAACGCAAGGGTAACCAATGTGATAAGTCGAGGCGGCTTTAGAGTTGTACAGCATAGCTGTGGATGCAATCATTTGCGAGATAAAAATGACAACAATTGATTGCCACCAGTTCAAACCAATTCCAATCATGGAACTTCCAAGCGTCCAGTTGCCAAAGGAAAGGCCGAAATAATAGGTGCAATAATTGAACCAGTTCCAGTTTCGCTGCTCCGGAGGCGTCGGATCCAGGTCACGATTGGTCCATCGCGCCCGCTCAGGGTCTGTCTCATTGACAGACTCTGGGTTTTGAACATACTTCAAAAAGGCCTCTTTGCTGGAAAAGGCGTGACGAAAACCCGCCGCCTTTTCCTTGGCGGATTGTTGAAAATGAGAAATTTTGGCGGAGGCCATTTTCGTGTTCGATCGACCAGGGACAAAGAACGAAACGACACACTTGATGGAAAATGACCGACAACAGTATTGAATGTTTTCTCCATCTCGGCACCGACACTCTCAAGTACTTTAATACAAAAATGGTTCCTTTCGACCTTATCTCGTGATCGCCGAAATGCCGCCGTTTATTGGGTCTCAGCTTCTCGAATGTCAGGGATCGTCGAGCCCTAATCCCTGGGGGACCCTCAGTGTTATCGCCATCCGTGGGTCACTCACGTGATTGGACCAGAGGTCGAACTATAGACAGGGGTGTCAATATTAATTGTAACCCCGAGCGCAGACTAGAAAAGCGAGGGCACGCGAGCATGGTTGTAACGTCAGATCCTATCGCTGAAGATAAAAGTACTCTTCCATCTGCCTCTGTATGATACAGTACATGATTCTTACTGATTAGAAGTCTTCGCAAGGACACAAGCCTTCTTATCATGAAGGTTCGACAGCTTTCGGTGCAGAGATATGCGGATATCTTTCCAGATAAGTCTAGTAGATATGCAAGATATGCCTTTCGAGAGCTTCCACAAAAGATATAGATTGCTAACCGTGGGGAGCCCCCATACCCAACGGTACTAGCTTTTCGCCATGGGGCAACGAAATGGAACGATACCGGCACTCGAGAATCGCTGTGGCGCCCCGGCCTAGATGCTACCAACGCACCACGTAGCGCCTTCTCATGATACCAGTCACTAATGCATTGCCTCTGTAGGAGAAGACGATGATTGAAGGTGTATAGCCTTTGCCGCTTTATCAATTTATTCTTGACCGCCATGTGCCTTGATTGCCACTAAAACCAAGCGATTTTTTTTCCTTTGCCAAGACGCTGGTTCCAATTGGAGTATGCATAATCTCCACGCGGCAATCCTAGATGATAAACGTCTTGCGATATGTAATTTTGCGTTCAGTGCTATCACCCTATATTGTATATCAGATTTGGAGCTGGTTATCACAATGCCATGATATCGTAGTAGAGTAATGAGAGCGCAGATTCTGCATTTTTCTTTCATGCAAAAAGGCTCGTACATGGTGTGGTGATATAGACGCAGTCTCCTTCGTGGACTACGGTCGCTCTTCTTTCTCTCTTTCTAATGTCTGAAGATTTTCCACTTCCATTTTTCGATAGCTGAGAAATAGTTCAGCGTCAAGCTCTTGACGCGAATAAATGGAAAAATAAAGTAATTCCAACAATGACATTTCATCTAAATGAATCAGACTCATGTCACCTGGAGCCGTTGGCTTACAGAATACTCTGGTTCAAGTGCATTTGTCTGCTGCCGACGTGGATGCCATGTTTACCAAAGAACTGAGATGCTTGACAAGTCATACGACTAAATGCCACGTCGAGGAACCGTCAGCGAACTGGATGTAAGTTGGTTCACGATCCCAAACCATTACGTTTGCTGATGAAAAATAGCCTACAGTCAGAAGCGATTGGACTATTACCAAATTCTCATACCTACTGGATAGCTTGAATGCCCTACTCCAGAAATGCGTTACCCTGTTCCTCAGCACTACGATGGCGATGGATTGGCGTCCCCGCCATAGCTGAGTGGACCCCCCCCCCCCCCGGGGCAGGTCTGCGGTCGCCAAATCTCCATTCATTTGCGCTCCAGCTATTTCAAAGCACGAGGTATACCTGAACTCAAGCGGTATCGGTCTCCTTGAAACTGGTGAATCAACGAAGAACCAAAACAAACGAGTTTATCAAGCTTGAACAGCACAGGTTGGGGTTTGGGCAACGACGGGCAGTCAGGTAGAACCATGACTGGACCAGTTCTCGGACAAAAGAGAAACTTTTACTACTAGTACGATACATGGAGGAAGCCTGATGTTGCAGAGCTTCGGCTCTGATCAGCCATCTCGTGGAAGTTCATTGAAGATCATTATAGGTAATACTGGTGCCCGGCGAAGAAAATGACCAACGGGCTTTTCTAGTGATAAGGCCGGTTCCCAACCCCGCCAGTTTAAAGTATCGTTTGGCAAACGGGGAGAGGCCAAGCCGGCTTTAGCTGAAACGGTCTCTAGATCTGGCTACAAGATCTAAGCTATCCAATCTAGAGCCCTTCACTGCGGAGAAGCGCGTAAGGGCCTGAGGGGTTCATGCTCGGTACGGCACGAGTGCAAAGCTTGGCATGACTAACGTTTTTGTTAACCATTTTCTCGGTATTGGAGGGGTTAGCTCAGTACGAAAAGTACTGGAGGGTGGTTGCGGGAAGATTCGATGGTGTCAGTGGCATGACATCCCCTCCGCAATTGATCAGCATTGGGATTACCCCTTCCGACATGAAAGATCGAAAATAAGGTACAGCATAGCTTTTCCAGCATGGTCAAAAATTTCAAATGCATTCATCGCACGTCATTGCACGGCGAAGACGCGCAATTGGGTTCTCTTTACCCTTTGACACGGTGATGGCGATAACTATGGAATGGTCAAGCTAATTTCCGAAATAGAGCTCCTTGTGTACAAAGTAGATGTTTAGCAATACCTACGATGGCGCTCGACCCTGAAAAACCTCTCCTGCTCCTCGACGGCGGTCTCGGCACGACCCTAGAAGACAATTTCGGCGTCAAATTCTCCCATCAAACTCCGCTATGGTCCGGCCACCTCCTGATCTCTGACCCGCCGACGCTGTTGGGTGCACAAACTGCGTTTGCTGCTGCAGGATCCGACGTCATTCTCACCGCGACATATCAGGCGTCGTTTGCTGGGTTTGCGAGGACGCCCCGGATCGACGATAACAGCCACGGGGGGAACAATGGTATAGGCTACGCCCGGGACGAAGCTGCAGAGTATATGAACTCCGCAATCGAGATTGCTCGATCGGCATTCATACAAGCCGGCAAGAGGAATGGCGGTCTTCTTGCTCTTAGCCTTGGCGCATATGGCGCCACCATGTCTCCCAGCACAGAGTATTCTGGCGCCTACGATCCTGAAATGAGCGATTGGCAGGGATTATACAAATTCCATTACGAGCGGATCATGACTTTTGTGCACGACAAACTCGATTGGAGCCGTATTAGTTTCGTGGCGTTCGAAACGCTGCCTGTGGTGCGTGAAGTCCGCGCAGTAAGGGAGACGATGAAGACACTGGGGGATCCGAGCGGACTACGGCCTCGATATTGGGTCTCATGTGTGTTTCCGAACCAGGATCTGAAACTGCCAGATGGGACCACTGTGGAAGAGCTTGTCAAGGAGCTGTTGTCCCCGTAAGCTTTTGTCTATCCGGATATTATTATACGGACGGTAATTGTCTTGCTTTGATGCTAATGATCCAAAGCAGAGGCCTTCCACTCCCCTACGCCATCGGAATCAATTGCACAAAACTATCGCTCATGCGGCCCCTTATCCGCAAATTCGAAGATGCGGTGGCATCTATAAGCCCAGACTACACGCCTCGGCTTGTGATATATCCTGATGGCGCGAATAACTTTGTCTATGACACTACCCTCCAGCAGTGGCTCCCAAAGGATAATGAAGGTGGATCATTGGACAAACCGGGGTCCGGATCGGAATTGCAGTCAGCGAAGACAGGGAATAAACCATGGGGCGAAGAAATGTATGAGCTCGTGACGGAAGTCCAAGAGCGAGGAGCATGGCCGGGGCTGCTGGTCGGTGGGTGCTGCAAAGCTGGTCCGGACGATATTGCCCTTTTACGAAGGAAATTGGACGAGGCAGCGGGTGCTAGCAGATAGTGTTGCGGTGCTGGCGTCGAGATAATGCAATTTCCTCGTTCAAATGTTCATGGTAATTGATATTCGAAGGTATTAACCCTACTAATCCTTCCCTTTCTCAAACCATTATGCTGACTCTTTTCGTCAATAGTACATAGTATATGGCGAATCCACCTAGGACAGGCGACGCTTATTCGAATGTATCCATAGATGAGCTTGTATATAAAACCTACGGCTACATGAAAATGCAGTTGACGATTCTAAACACACTCTTAAGATTCGATGCCTACTTTCGCAATCGAGCGAGATCTTCCACAGTCAAGTCCGTAATCAGCATGTGTCCCGGATCATGCGACATGACGACGCCCTCGACGCGACTACCTGCTGCTTCGACGATCATTTGGGGCGTTACACCGCAGCCCTATTGCCCATGCAGTCTTATTAGCATATCTGCACACCTTTACACGTTCAGATGGCCAATGATACAGAAGACAAGCATGGGGGCTGAGACAAAGTATGTGTGACAACGACGACCTGACTTACCCAGAAAACAGGTACTTCTCCTTCTTTCATTTCAGCCCTATCTCCAAAATCCGGACTATCCACATCCCGAATCCCAATCTCTTTCGCACCCTCCCATCCCCACGCTACCGGCTCTCCGTGCGTTGGCAGATACGGTCTCGTCACCTCCCGCACCTTTTCCACGTCTTCTGCTCTGAACGGCCGCATCGAGACAATGAACTTCGACCCGTGAAACACCCCGGCCGGCAACACGGGGATGTTCGTCTTATACATGGGCACAATCGTACCCTGTTCGTGATGCCGCAGCGAAAAGCCCGCGGCCAGCAGCCCGTCTTCAAACGAGTATGAGCATCCGATCAGGAACCCGACGTGCGACGGACCCCATTCGCTCAAGATGTCGCGCTGCGTTGAGACGTGCTTGCCTCCGTGAAAGACTTTGTATGAGGGGATGTCGGTGCGTATGTCGAAGCCGGGCACTGTGCTTGTCTCCTCGGTGGTTTCTGTCGAGTCACTCCCACTTGGGACACCATTTGGACTTGTCTTTGCAAGTTTCAACAATTCCTCATCCCCCGCCTCAGTCAATGAGTCCACTTCGCGTATACAGTCCCCGGGAATGATCTGATGCGGATCCCCGCGCGGCGTGATGCCCAGGATCGGACACGGCACGGGGTTGCGCGCGCAGAGGTCGGCAAAATGCGAGGCGTATTCGCCCGGAAGAACGAGCAGGTTGGCTTGCAGATAGCCTGGCGCCAGGCCGGCAGTGGATGTGATTTTGTTGCGGCGGGCCAGTAGCCGTGTTGCTTGCGCGGGAGTTAATTGCTGCTGTTTTTGTTGCTACGATGCGTTAGCATCGTTTATCTTTTATCTTTTATTTTGATATCTTTCTCTCTTCTATTTTTCTTTCTTCTTCTCTTTCCCTTTTGCTTCTCTTTTGTCTCTTTCCTTTACTTTTCCATCAAATATATAAAAATACTCTCTGTCTTCCTTTTATCTGATCTGCCAGGTTCTCCTTTCTCGCGGGGGAAGTGACGTGATCATTCCAACATAGAGATACCGTATGGAAGTAGTAAAGGATTGAGCATAGCAGTGTAGGAATGGTATACAAGTCATCGCACAACTCACTTTTTCGTTCACCGACACGCCAGTCGCATCTTGTCCGGACTCGACCACGCGGCTTGGTGCCATTTTGATCACTATTATGATGAAGAATGTCTGACGCAATGACTGTATACGATACGGTTATATAATGAGGCAGAGTACTGATCGCAATGGCGCAGAAGGAAGTAGTCAATGGGAATATAAGACGTTAAGTTGCGAATTGCGAATTAAAGCTTGAGCCTTCAGGCTTGAGGTTTAACGTTCAAGCACCGAGACAACCTGCTGAGCTGAGCTGAGCCGAGCCGATCTGAGCTTCTGGCCCACGGGTACATTGATCCCAATATACTACGGAATACACATGGTTTTACGCAGCACGGAACTCGTCCTACACTACACTATCTACCTTCTTGTGACAGTAGATGGAAAGAGTGACAGAGTACCGGAACAGCTTGGGGGGTGAGGTTTAGTTCGGCATGTTGAGGATCTTCCCGATCAGTGACTTATCTTTGATCTAAGACACGTTTGGGCTGGTCATCGGTTTCGCTACGCGTTACTCCGTACCGTGGTTCGAGTAATCCGTAACTCTACACAGCCTGACAAGTGCCAATAATACTGAATTTAGATAAGGTAAGCCCGATAAGATGTGTACGACGAAGTAATCCCGGCACTCTTTTACGGTGTACTGTGTACAGTCCTGGGCCAAAAAGATTGGCTGACATTAGATTTATGCATATAATATACGGAGTATTGAAGAAATAATACACAAGAGGCCTGATACCTGACCAGTATTTGGGATTTTGCAGTGCTAGAATGTCTATAGATGTCTATTATTGGTATCTGCAAGAAAGGCTCATACCAGGCGTCAAATGAAATCCCAAGGGCATTTAATCAGAGAGAGAGAAAATAAAAGCAGAATTAAATGACAAACAATCGGACGCCCAACTGTACAGGAGGAAGCATCAAATTTAGAGGCCGTTCTCCAACTCGACGACTTGACGCAGAGTTGCCTTGAAATGCAGGGATCGCTTCTGGGCTCGGCTGTGGCAAAGGTCGCTGTGCAACGCCACACCGCCATTGCCACAGATCAGCAGCTTGCACCCAACAATGTCTGGGGAAGGCTCGTCAATGCAACGTCCAAGAAGAAAAAGTAGCCGGTCAAGGCTTTTCAAAATTACTTACAACACAGCTACTCGTATCTCCATGTATCCTAGGGACTGGAATCACGCCTCATCCCTGGAGTTGCTCATGTACCAAGGGTTTCAGAGTGTGGGGACGGAAATGTAAAAAGGCATTTCCGGGGCCGGGGTGAAGCTAGTAAAGTGGGCACGGAATTTTTGATTGATATGGTATACCGCTGAATTGCGTGGACGGTGCACAAATCCCCGGCATTATGATTCCCTGAATGACGCAGTATAAAGCTTATCCCCTGTGGTGTGTTGTGTACTCTGATAAGTTAATGATATTCCCATCGTGATGCTGCGCCAACTTGAAACAGCACCTAGTTACTTACTCTACGTTGCTTCTTTGGTTCCGTACGGTTTCAAACGGAGTCATCATTGTCAGAAACTTTGCCTTCCCAATCATTCAGGTACCCTCATAAAATCACGGCATTCTCTTCAGTCTCCACCATGCACCTGAATCACTGGTTTAGCAGGTACTATACATCACCCCTGAGACGGATCACGGGTCTCCCTCTCCACCACTCGGAAAAGTTCTCGTTCCCGATTCTCCGTCCCCACCCAACTAGATCGCGGTCATTCAACCTCCGACTGGTTATCCTTCTGGCTTCAGCACCACGCGGCAGGGCGGCAGTGATGCTACGGACTAATCAATTGGCGAGTTGTCTGTGTATGTCGTGGTACCCTTTTCTCCGTCTGCATCTTCTTAGTGACTAACGGGTTGGGGTAAAGTGATGGATCGAGATTTGACCCAATTAGACATACATTTAATCCTTTCCGTGCCGGTTGTTCCCAAGGATTTTGACAGAGAATCACAATAATAATAATAATACAATGGCTCTTTTGGTACGGCCAGGGCATTCTTCCTCGGAATATCAAGCAAAATTCTGCTCTCCGCTCCCTGGACAACCATTGTTGCGCCTGACAAATGGACGCTGTCCATGTGCAATCCACTGTCCAGGCCACAGCTCATAATGCAAGCAATCTTGGCAATTCAGATCTCAGACGACCACATACGAAATCACGAAATGGCTGTTCGCGCTGCAAAGATAGACGGGTATGATAATTTCAATCCGTGCTATTGTCGCCCATAGTATTGTAACTGACAATCATATTTTAGCGCAGATGTGACGAGACAAAGCCAAGCTGCTTGGAATGTGTACGCAGAGGATTGACATGTCCAGGGTTTCGAAAGCGGCTAAAGTGGCGATATATGTTTAATGAAGTAGATCAATCCGTGGATGATAAATCTTGGCCGGTCGCTCCGGAACAGGAAAATCACAGAGAGCTTGATTCTGCCTCCAAACCGGCTACGCCCAAGGAACATCATTCCAGCATATCACCACCGAGCGCACAACTCAGTCCAAAGGACCGGGAGTCTGACATTTCAAAATTGGATTATTTTTCAGTAATCAGTCCATCAAGCAGTCCCTCCGAGGACGCCTCTGCGATCAATATTCCGAATATTCCTTCCTCGGAAGGCCTCGAGCAAGCTCCATTTGCGAAGAAAAATGCTCAACCAATTGCTGAACCATCTCGACCGGATAGTCTGTCGGTGCTGCATCGACTCACTAGCACCACATTGCAATCTCCTCTGACCAACCTGCCCGAGACGTTGGTCCGCTATTACTTCGACTACGTTTGTCCCATCTTTTCTTCTTTTGACTCTCCCACAAACCCTTTCCGCGCGACAATTGCACAATTCTGGAGCCGAAGCGCACCCATCTACTTCGCCGTTCAAAGTATGGCAGCTGCTTCACTCGCCAATGATTTCCCGGGCATGCGAACCGTTGGTATCCAGATGCAGCAACAGGCATACACATGCCTGAAAGAACAGTTCCAAGGGCTTCGACCGGCCCTGTTGGATGATCATGATCATGATCATGATGATGACGACGGCGGAGAGATTTTTTTTGCGCTGCTGATGGTCGGCTCGACAACCGCCTGGCATAATGGGGCAGATCTCGGTCTTCATATTTGAAAGCGGCAAGCAGCCTTCTAGCCAGCCCCAGACCCGGAGACAAGACCAAGAATTCGAATTCCTCTTCCAAGCAAATATTGTTCTTCAGGCAGTGCCTCTTGTACTGGAATACCGTTGCAGCTTTTGTGGCTGACTGGAGCCCGGAAACCAGCACCGCTAACAACGATCCAGCCCCACCCGACGCAGAGACTCGCCCTCCTTTATATTACCTTGTCAACGGGAAAACCCTCGTCCACCCTTGGACCGGCCCTCTCTCCAGGGTCCTTGGGCCTTTCTATCGGACAGCAAAACTAGTCCGATCCACACGGTCATCGCCATCCAGCAGCTCGGATAGCATGGACATTTTCTGGCTCGACATGGTCAATATCTTGACCGAAACGAGACAGGCAGACATGGCGCTACTCCTCGAGGACGAACTAGTCGCTCTCGACTTATCGTCTGGCGGCAGTCCTGTACCAACAGGTGACCCGAACACTCCAGCATCCCACTTTGTCGCCTTGGCCGAAGTGTACCGCTGTGTTGCGCTCTTGCAAATCTATCATGTGTTCCCCGACGTCCTCGTTACTCGCATGCGCTGCACCAAGGCGGAGCCGGAGCCGTTCCTCGCTCACAATATCGATTTTCGAAGCCTGTTCGACTTTCCCCGTGCAAAGGCCTTTGGACTGGCCTCGCTCCCCGTGCGCGATATCTGCCGCTTTCTAGCATTGCATATTGTTTTACTTCTTGATCAGCTGCCAATCACCTCTGGCACGCGGTGTATGCAGCCTGTCCTTCTTGCTGCTACTGCAGGCAGTCTTAACTTTTCAACAATGACACAATTTAGTGTTGGTGCACATACACTGGCTAGCTTTGATCCTGTCAATATGGAAATTGCTTGGGCAAGGCGCCGTGTTAAAACAAGATTATTGGACCTGATGAACATCCTACAAAGCCACCGCTGGAACGGGTATTCCAGATTGTGTGCAAAACCTGGGCAAGAGCAGATTTGGGCTTCGAGGCTTTCTGGCTAGATGTCATGATTGAAGGCAAACTAGAGACGATGATGGGACAACGTTGATTCCTACCACGAGTACAGACTATTTTCTTCTTAAAACAAATCACAACTACTCTTGAATTGTCTACTTTGAGAAATACCATATGAGTAACGGAGTTGAAATCATAGTACGTGAGTACAAATAAGCAAAAAGGCAGATGCTGGGTCGGGACCAATATATTTTCTTCGCACCATACAGAGAAAGAGTAATGTAAATATAGCTAATTGATTAAAACTTGACAGCATCCCTGGCACGAAGCCACTCGCCATACTTGTATAACAGCACCGGAGCTGGGACAAACCCCAACGCAAGAAAGCCAAGCAACGTATTACCCCAACCGTAATTCAACGCCCTGTACATGCCCGGCCCAGCCAGCGGCAGAAAGGTACTAGATAGGTAGCGTAGGAGATTATTCGCGCCCAGGGCGGAAGCTGCTGCCTCGGAGCCAAACAGATCGACTAGGTAGAGCTGTGCAGGCATCTGCGCAATGTTGAGCGGCTTCATCATCCCCTCTCGATGGTTGTGTAGAGTGGTAGCTGGGGAACTTACAATGACAAAAAAGGCGCCAAATCCGATAAAAACGGTGCCAATAATTGGCACAATCCAATGCACTTTGTAGTAAGCCGTCCACCCATAAATGAACAGGCCTACACCCGCAAAGGGGCTGAAACAGATCATCAATACTAAACGATGCTCAGGCCGTGGCCGCTGTACACCTTCGGCCTTCATCCACGCCCTCCATACACGATCGTTCAGGACGGTGAAAAGAACCATACTCGTGACCAAGGCGAATCCCAGGCCCAAGTATACCAGCCCCGATATGGAAGTCCGAAAACCATACTGGCCTTCAAACACGTCCGTAAAGGTGGTAAATAAGAGGTACATGAGACCAAAAACTAGGGCGAGGTAGAGGGATATGACCAGCAAGACAGGCGAACGGAGAAGAAGCTTGACAGGGCGGCCGAGCGCCTGGACGAGGACTTGGCGGGGCGTCAATGAACGGGCCAGCATGGAGCGGAGATGCGTGTTGCAGGTGGAGGCGCGAAGGCGGGCTGCTTTGCGCTCGAGGAGAACCTTGGGCTGTGTTTCACGCATCACAATAAGCATGGCGATTCCAATGGCACCGCCAAGGATTGCCAGTAGCCAGAAAGTCCAACGCCAGCCCTTGCCAGCTGCTACAAACCCACCAATGACCGGGCCGAGAACCTTGGTGCATAGATTAATGCGTCAGGGGATTTTCTAGAAATTCGGGGGCGAAAATTGAGATCTACCGGCCCGGCCAACGGTCCCAGACTGAATAAAGCCATTGCAACTCCTCGTTTCTCTATGGGAGTGACATCTGCAATGGTGCCGCCGCCAAGTGCTATGGGCGTGCCTCCCGCACAGCCCGAGATGAAGCGGAAGACCATGAACTGGCCAATATTCTTGCTCATCGCGCTGCCAACCATAAAAGCTACAAAGGCTAGATTGGCCATGTGGTACACTGGCAAGCGACCATACACCTCGCTGAGCGGGGACATGAACATGGGCCCGATTGCTATACCCAGAACATAGAGCGTGATGGCAAGCGTGCTGACCGCTTGAGAGCTGATGTTGAAATCAACCATGAGACCATGGATGCCGGGCGCGCACATGGCTGGGGCCATGTTCCTTTAGTCATGTTAGCCGATGAAATTTTAACAAATGTATTCCACACGTGAGCTGGACACTCTCACCGCTCTCGGGAATGAAGCTATTCAGGACAAAGGCATCAGCGAGAGATACATACGAGACCAGAGCAAGTACCGCAACCAGAATAACATGTGCCCACCTCTTGTGGCCTGGCCAGTTGTGAGGGTTAGCAGCATCGTTTTCCGCGTTCCAGTCGACAATATTGGCATCTCCAAGCTTGGTATCGTCGACTCGAGAACTGTTTCGGAGCTGCCTGCTGCGTTGGACATGATTCAGGTAGTGCTCAGGTAGTGCTCAGTATTGCGTCTGTCAAAGTATCAAGGGCACAAATTCTTGTCTCAAACCCTGCTCGAGAAGCATGGGGGGGAAAAATAAAACAACGTAGGATTATTCTACAGTCCATCAATACATATAAGAAGGCGACTAAAAGGCACAAGAAGACGAAGAACAGTGTAGGAGACGGAGACAGGACATTGGGAACACGGAGCAAGTGGTCACAATGGATCCATTATGCCTAAATCCGGGAGTCATCAAATCAAAGAAGACAGGAAAAATTCCTTGAATCACTTCCTACAGAATGTTTATGATGATATGACGAGAAGGTCAGTAAGTAGTCGATCAGTAGTAAGATCTAGGCGGGAGTTTGCCTAGCGAACTTGACCAGTTTAGGTCAAGGTCTATGGTGTGGACAGGACAATTCTATGGTAGGGACCGTACATGACTCGACTTGAGGCAAAGTACTCAAGGTACCTCTGAAGTGTCTAGTATACATCAATTATTCTACTCACTAAAATATATTATATTTTCTACTAAAGCATGATTGTATAGTTATTGATTATGTAGGTTTTAGTTGAAAATTTCTTAAGGTTCTAGCCATAGCCTATCTAGTACTCAAGAGGGTTTACTTATAAAAGATAGCATTTCTTCTCATGTCTAGTAAAAATAACTAAATAAGGTTATAAGTTTCATTAATTAGGCCTATCCTATAAGAAAATGAACTATAGAAGACATAAATCTACATGGTAGAGATAGTTAATATTCATGTTATATTTAACAAGCTTTCAAGGAAGAGGTAAAAGAAAAGTACCTTTAGATAAGAGAAGATACATTGTAAGCTCGCTTAGACTACTCAACCAGGTAATGGATGCATTGCTTAATATAGGATGCTGTCCCTACTGTAGAATTGTCCTGTCCACACCGTAGACCTTAGGTCAAATGGCACCGTGCTAGGACTCTGGGGACGCTGGGGTCACCCGGGGACACGACCGGATGGTCGGATGGTCGGACGATCGGACTGTCGGATGGTCGGAGAATTAACCTAGACTGGCTAACACTTGTAGTTATGAGCACCTCCTATCCAAGGGAAATATATAGGGGGGCCTTAGCTACTTTAGTTAAGCAGGAAGCTCCAAATAAACTACACTGGCGATGTTCTATACCTGGAGGCTAGTTGTGTCCATACTAGAATCCAGGTAAAATACTATAGGAGAAAAACTAGGTTTTTCAATACTATAGCTATATGGGCCCAATGATTAAACAGTTGTACAACTGAAATTTTTGTAATATACAAACCTAGTACCTTTAATAAAATGTCTTTGTATTGTACTTGCATTACTAAATTGTGTTTAAACTATACTGTACAAGTACTTATTCTAGGCTATCTAAGTATTTTATAGTTTAAATTCTTGAAATACTAAGGTAAGAAATATAGTAAAATTACTAGTATATTACTATATAGATATAGTAGAATTATAATATATAGTAAATTAATCAAAGCAACCTTAGTTACTTAATGTTTTTTTACAACTATAACACAAAATATTACCTTAGCTACATGGGCCTATAGCCATATCTACTGTAATGTAATGGTCTTACTACAGTGTTGATTCGGTATTGAAAAACCCGGTTTTTCCCCTATGGTAGGTAATGGCTTGCAGGACGCTAGCACTTATATAGCTAAGTTGCGTCAGACATAAATATGTTCCGATTCTTGATGTCGTTTCTACGCTCTATGCTTTCGTTGCTTGATTCTTTGCTTGGTGAACGCCCTACAAAATGTGCCCTTCATGTCGTCAGCTAGCGAGACCGTACCCTTGACTCAATCGCCATCGTTGGGACAACAGGAAGCTCATTCTGCTCCGCGACCGCGTCCCAAGACCAGTCGGCGTCGACACAAACCCCAGCTCTCTTGCAACCTCTGCAGACTGCGCAAGTAAGGAATCAATTCTCTCCTGTGACTTCAACCTACGAATAGATCTTTATTGACGCTCTGCCAGGATCAGATGTGACCGCCAGCAGCCATGTTCTACTTGCTCGTTGCGGGGCCAAACATGCATCTATCCGGAAAACCATACAGCCACCCCGCTGTCGAGGCCGCCGCGGGCCGCAACACCTAGCGTGCACGATCGCCTTGTGCAGCTAGAACGTCATGTCATGTCCCTGATGGCAGATTCTGCTAAGGAATCCAAAAACAATGCTGGCATATCCCCTGATTTGAGCGAAAATCATGGCTCTCAAGGGTCTTTCAACCCAGCTGACAGCGAGCATTTGGCCACACCAATGGATGGGCAATCTGACTGTGGAAGCATGCATGTCGGTCCCTCGGAGCTCCGCTATGTCGGTGGCGACCACTGGGCCGCAATTCTGGACGGTATTGCCGATTTGAAGGACCACTTCGACCGGGAGGAGCAGCTCAGGTTGGCCTACAGCCCTGATCAGTTCTTTCAGGATGACAATGGCAATGCGGACGGCAGCAACCCTCCCGCGAGACCTGACTCACTTCACACACTGCTACTGTATGGATGCCCGAGGCCGAGGTCACGGGCTGAAATCCTCGAGGCCCTACCGCCCAAGAGCGCCGTCGACCGATATGTTTCACGCTATTTCAACTACTTGGACTTGGTAGCTTCTTGTATGTATGCTTATCTGGCAATTGCTATGCAGCATAATGGTTAACCTGAAGACATGGAATCAGCTGCTGTTCACGGCCCTAGCTTTCTCCGCGAGGCAAGTACTGTGATCTGTCCATGAGCCCAAGACGGTGGCCACGGTGCTGACGGGCAGGGTACAGTACGAAAATTTCTGGGCCAACCCTTCCAGCGCTCCGATCATGTGGGTTGGCCTTCTTTTCAGCATGATCTGCCTCGCAGTGGTGATCTCGGACGCTACCAACGAAGCGGAGCAGCTCTCGCTTCAAATTGGCCTGTATCGCGAAAAGATTGTGCAGTGCCTCATCTTGGGCGAGTATACCAAGGGACGACCATATGTGTTGGAGACGGTAATACACTACCTCTATGTTGAATTTTGCATGCGCGCCGACGCCGACAAAGACATTTGGTTTCTACTCGCGCTCGAAGTCAATTTGGCCATGCGCATGGGCTGCCACCGAGATCCCAGCCACTTTCCCGGCATTTCGCCCTTGCAAGGCGAGATGCGTCGCAGACTGTGGACTGCTGTTCTGATTGGCGACATTCTTATCTCGAGCCAGATGGGCATGCCACGCATGATCTCGGACTGGCAATGTGATACGGCCGAGCCGCAGAATCTGAATGATGCTGACCTGGACGAGGATACCACCGAGCTCCCCCCGCAGCGGCCGGAGACCGAACATACAACGGCTTTGGGCGCCATCGCCCGGAGAAGAATGGCAATAGCGCTGGGCACCATCATGGATCTCACAGACGCGGTCAAGCCTTGTAGCTACGCAGAAGTGATGCGGGTCGACGGCATCTTGCACGACGCCGCAGCCAGCATTCCCGCGCCGTTAAAGATGAAGCCCATGGCAGCCAGCATCACCGACTCTGCGCAGGTCATCATGGCTCGCCTGTTTATCAGTCATATGTTTTACAAGGGTCAGATCATGCTTCACCGGCGTTTTCTGTATATGGATTCGCCATCTCGAGACGAGGATCCCCTTGCCTACTCACGTAAAGCCTGCCTAGATGCAGCGCTCAGCACGCTGGAGATCCAGCGTATTCTCGACGAGGAGACGTGCCCCGGCGGCCAACTCCACGCAGTGCGCTGGCGCCTGACTTCCAGCATCCACCATCAATTTCTAACGGCCACCATGATTCTGTGCTCGTTGCTGCATCGCGGAAAGACGCTGGACCGGAAAGAAGAAATACTTACTGCACTTCGCAGAGCGAGGACCATCTGGATTCGAAGAAGCTCCATCTCCCAGGAAGCGAAAAAGGCGGCAGATACTGTAAGCATTGTCCTCGCAAGGGCACGAGATGGCGGCGGACTTGGGCTTGACATGGACGATGGCAAGACCGGCGATGCTGGCAACGCCATGCAAGCTCATAACATAATGACTGGTCCCCCATTTACCACGAATGACAGTGATACCGGAATCAGCCTTGATGCGCAGAACATGTTACTGGACAATCTCTCTGAGACGTTGATGGCAACTGACTCGCGAGGAAATGGCCAGAATTTCGCGTTCAACAACAACAACATTGACATGATGCGGAGCGGTACGCCATCACTAGATGAGTGGATGATGACGATGAATTGGCCAAGCACAAGTTGGGAGTAATTTTCTCTTGCTAGATTCTATTTGATATCCCTTCCCCGCTTTTCTTTTATCTTTAATCTTTTTTATTTTATTTTACATTATTTCATTATTCCCGTTACTTGGATTATTTCCCCTTCTCCACAGTCGATTATCATTCCAAAGAAACCAGGGTTCCCAGTATTTCGGAACTCAAATGGACCACTTCATCATATACACACTCGGCTCAAAAGTCCCACTTCCCAGATCACAAACCACCCCTAACCTCTACCTTTGCATATCTTTCTCGGGAAAATCACACCTTGCCGAACCCCCTGCCTCCTTGCCATTCCCTCCTTATCAGAACTTGTCCCCTAAGCCCTGTATGAGTCTATGACCTTACCCACCGGCAGGGAACTTCGATACGCTTCTAAACTCGAGTTCGTGTTTCTTATCGATGTCCCTCCCGGATTCAAGGTCAGACTGTCAGACAACATGTGGGCCACTCTGGGGCGCGTAGATCTCCACGTGGCATGATCTTGCATGGCGCATGTCGCATGCTATGAGTTACTTTTGATATTACTGTATTACTGAACGATATCGATACCGATACCGAGAACGATGGGCCGGGCAGGTGTCCGACTCCCATCGGATCTCGGTCCGAGCAGCCGCGACGGTCACCGTGCGTGCGCCGTGGGATCCTGATATGTACAGGATTCGATAAGGGAGTTCTTGGACTCTTGGCTATGTTGATCCTTTTTACGACTGACACGGACATTGTTCCACGTTCCGCTTTATTTAATAAATAAGTAAGAAAGAATGGATGTGGATAGTTTCTAGACCGTTTGATAGTCAATTGGTGACTAGTCAAAGGCAGGTATGTCGTTGACTCGTCGTGACCGTTTGCTATTGTAGGACAAAAATTTAAGAAGCATGACAATACGTTGCTTGATTTGATGATTGGATTGGATTTGGGTGCAATAACTTAAGTGGAGAAATGATGTTGTAATTTGCGAATTCGAGTTTGTGGATTTCGCTCGAGACTGAGAGGATCTGAGGATATGTATATGTGTATGTATGCATGTATGCAAACAGTTGCGACTTGCAAGAGATGAAGAAAACAGGCTTAGATAAAATAAAATAGAATAGAATAGAAGAAAATAATATACTGAAATAATGGAAAAGATGGTTCTATATACAGGTAGTGGTATCTGGACAACGTATGATCCAGCATACGTTTTCAACACGAAAGTCTATTGGGTGTAGATGTACAATAAGATTCATAAATGGAATTCCTCGGCTTAGATAATATCATGTTTCATAGCGAGACTGGCTGCAAAGCTGGCTGCAAAGGTGGAGCGCAATATAGAAAGAGATATCGAGTGCAGCATGAAAAGAGGATGGAAAGAAATTAAAGGTATGGGAATGAGAACGAGGCCGAGACGGAGACGATCCAAAACATTAGTAGTGGTACTTAAAGTCCAGCTCGGCATCACCAGTCGTGGTTCTCGTCCGGCTGTCTGCGATCTCGCCACTGGCAATTCTCTCCTTTCTTCGGTTCAACCATCGAATGTACATAATCTTGCCCGCAATGATGAACTGCACGACGCAAACAGCTCCCAAGGAGAAGCTGTTGCCCAGCTTGTATGGTGCTTTGCGGTAAATTTGGCCGGCAACGATACCTGCAAGATTGCCGATGGTCTGCTGGGCGCCAATGGCCGTGGCGCGACGGTAGTGCGGTGCCACGTTGACATTGAGCCATGTCAAATTGATACCGGGACCGTTGTATACGGCAATGGCGGCGAGGAAACATGCAAAATACTTGACAGCGTCATTGGAGGATGCGATGAGAATAATGTATGCTGCGATTCCAAAAATGTTGGTCACGAGAAGACACTGTGAAGAGAGCGTTAGCACGGCGGCGGTCCAGAAATGCGGGTTGATGATGAAGAGGAAGAAGAAGACATACCGGTCCACGCTTTTGGAAGTAATCAGAGGCGAATGCGACAGCGAAGAAGCATAGCGCGCCAAAGATGTAGACGGGAATGGTAAGGTACTGGCTCTGCAGCTTGTTGTATCCCATGCTCTTCAGAATGGATGGAAGAAAGGTGCTGAATCCATACAGGAGAATATCCTGACAGAACTGGATGGAGCCGCTGTGCACAGGTTAGTTAAAGTCAGGACATGTGAGATGGATAAAACCTATGCGAAACGCACCTGATGTAGAGCTTTGGATCGCAAAGGGCGGCCTTGACCTCTTGCCAGGAGAATTCCTCGCTTCCAAGATATTTTTGCGCCTGAAGCCTCCGAAGCTTGACCAGCTCACGCTCCTCGGCGTTAAGGAAATACGCCTTGCTGGGGTCATTTGGAAGACCGAACCATGCAGCAGCAGCGCAGAGAATGGTGAGAATGCCTTCGATAATGTAAAGCCATCTACAACAATGATCAGTGTCTGCTCGGAGATGCTTGTAAAGAAGGCAGGAGGGGGGAGGAGGAAAGGGGCAATTATCGTACCTCCATCCAGCTTTGCCAGCAACGCCATCCATTTGAAGAAGACCATAGGCCAAGAGACCACCAAATGCTCCAGCAAGGGCAGCACTACTAAACAAGTACGACACTCGTTTGGCCTGCTCCTCGCGACGGTAGACCATGGTCAAGTAAAGGTTTAAGCAGGGGAACAACCCAGCCTCGCAGGCGCCGAGAAGCAACCGCGTGGCGTATAGGCCGCCGATGCTTTGGATGAAGCCGGTGAAGATGGTCACAAGAGCCCAAATAAAAGTCAAGGACGTGATCATGACGCGTGGCGTCACCTTCTTCATTATAATGGCACACGGCGTCTCGAGCGTGACATAGGTCACAAAGAGAATAGACACTGCTACCGAGATTTGTTGCGATGAAGCATGGATATCGGCAGGCAAGCCACCAGCAACCGCGTTACCTATTGCAGACCCAAATGTAAGCAATCGTACATTTGGAATTGGCTGTCACCTTTTGGCCAACTCACCAATATTAGAACGATCCAGATAACAGGCAATGTAGACAAGCATGACCACAGGAATCAAGAAGAGATCCAATTTGAGCAACAGTTTCTTTTCTTTTTTGGGGTCAATGTATATTTCGACATCGCCCTCGCTTCTCTCCGTTGCCTCCTTGGTCATGATGCCTTCTGGCTGCGGATCAATCTTGTTGCTCATCTCGTGCTTTTCCGTTGCATAATGCTCGGCAGACACGGGCCGGTCCATGGCAAGCAGATATATATATATAAACACTTGAAATTGATGACAATGATCGGAGCGTGTTTGGCGGCGGCGGATATATATTAATATATGGTTGTAATTGAGCTCGTCGAGCTTCAGCTAGGGGAGGAAATTGGCATTGATATATTTCGTCTTCTGCCGGCAGATCAATTGATAGGGCGGGGAGACACGACCCGCAGTATCTCCGGGGCTATCAACGCGCTTGTTAACCGCAAGGAGAAGACGGTCAAGGTGAAAGCGGCGAGAGAGCAAGCCATCCGGACGCTGCAACATGAGGATGATCTCAACCCACCCTCACTTGTTACCTTGATACTGCATGATTCAAGGCCGTGGATTTCCGTTAGACTGGTCACATCTGGCCAGGGGACGAGGGCGGGAGGGGAAACTGTCCAACCAGAGGCCGTATAGCGTGTCGTTGATAAGATAGGCCCCTTGGTTAGGAACCCACATGGTGGGCGAGGGAAGACGGGTGACTGCGCTATGGGGGGCTTTTCGGGGAACTGTTATCTCGACAATTGACGAGTCGGCATCATCGCTCATTTGCCGATCCCTTTGGTGGCAAGACCTCAATAGCCAATCAAGGCCTAAGCGGTGAGTTGTATCCGTGGTTGAGAAGCCACCCTTGTGCTGCCAGACATCACTTTTGCACCTTTGCCAACAGCCATGTTCCTGAACTCCCAGTTTGTTCCGGTATAGTGTCATAGACTGGCCCGACACCAACGTGGGGTAATAGAGGTCGAGCAATGCGGGCGTACAAGGTGCGCCTGTGCCTGGGAGAACTAAACGGCCTATGGTAGTCTGATCATGACGACGGCATGATTAGGTTCTGATCGGTTTGTTCTGGACATGTCCGGAATGTTGTGGTTCTGAGAATGATGTGGAATCTTGAAGGAATTCGAGAGCCCAGCCAAGTCCAGCCTTACTCACACATTCGATTGCAGTGGTAGACAGGTTGTGCTTGTCGGACGATGCCCCCAAGACAGAATAGATGTTTCTGGTCATCAGGAAGGCTTGGTCAGCAATCACATTATGAGGTTCTAATCACAATGCATGCGGATCATATGAGCAAAGAGGGAAGAATCTTCGGATCGAGATTCCTTTCAGAGAAACAATAGCTTGACAGTGGTAGTTGGGTATGACAGATGGAACCGGGATCAAGGTAGAAGCAGAAACTCCCGTCAGTTCATCGCGCGGGGAGAGTTACAATAGCTGAGATAATGATCGCCGCGTGTGGAGAACCTCGACGTGTTCATGCGTTTCACGATGGTTATTCCCAGCTCGGCTTCGCTTTGCATAGACGTGCAAATCATAGTCGTTTGGTTTCTCTCATTAGTACCAAAGTCTCACATGAGGTAATTCGCAATTGACGAATTTATGGTTGTTTCGGTTTTGTCATAATTCAGGACAATAAGAAGCCTTGGCTCGGTGACTGAAGCAAGTCGGTCGGCACTGAGGCAGATCAGACATGATCTATATAAGCTTCAACACGCCTTCTAGACCACATACTCCAGACAATTTATTAGATTATCAATATGACAATAAAGTGGGTTTATTCTGGTGATACTTCAATGGTTTTTCTCACGTGACGTTAAATATTTGGCGTTGAAGATTCTCGGAGCCTACACACCAGTCTTCAATAACATATATTTTGATCTAACATTCTGTGCGACGAAAAATCTTCTTCACAAAGATATCACAAAGATAGCGATTGACTATTGATGATGATATTTGTTATTTTTGATTTAAAAAGAAAAAGAAAGATAATATTATAGAATTTGAGATAATTAGAAATACTACCTATAAACCATAACCATTAGAATTCGTTATAATAGAACAGTAAGGTCAAATCAGACAGAAAGGCAGAGAAAAAAAAATAAAGAGCTGTACGAGTATAATTGCATGGTAATATTGTAGAGAAGAGGATAAAGATGAAGGGCGAGGATTTGAGAAAATAGTAGCATGATAATAAACATGGATGAATCTTTCTCTTCCCCGCGTTCTTTTCCTGCTGAAGTGTCCCGAGACGAGGCCAGGTAGCATGCTTGATATTTGCACATTGTTCCCCAACACATGTCATCCCGAAACTCTAACGCCCGCAATCCACCTCTAATGCTCAACCTGGCAGCTTCAAATTGATAATAATATTCTGACTGAAATACTCTACGGGTTTTCACATTATATTATATATACCTATGAAGCTGCAGAACTCTTTCAATAATTTAATTTTCTGAATCTTCCCTTCTAGCCTATTCCGCAGAGTCCGCCGGCGCAAAACAGAGACCCAAGAGAGCTACGGCGCCATGTCTTCGATGCACCTTTCGCAGTTTCGGAGATGGTTTCTCTCGTCTCCACCGGCAGAGTGGATCATCCAGCAGCTGAGGGAACTGCTCATCGGTGCTTTGCGGCAAGGCCCAATACCTCAGCATGTGGCTTTTGTCATGGACGGAAACCGACGGTTCGCGCGGACTCGACAAATCGAGACTGTAGAGGGACATAACCTAGGATTTGAGGCGTTGGCAAGGGTCAGTCGCAGCCGTTATGCCTTCATTTCTCCCAAAAATTACTTGAAACAAAAGTCCTGACGTGATGTCATTGTCTAGGTCCTCGAAGTCTGCTACAAATCCGGAGTCAAAGTCATCACCATCTACGCCTTTAGTATAGAAAACTTCAAACGGTCCAAATACGAAGTCGATGCGCTCATGGAAATGGCAAAAGTGAAATTATCGCAATTGGCACAACACGGAGAACTTCTCGACCGTTACGGAGCACGCATCCGGATCCTCGGCCAACGGGATCTCCTTAAACCCGACGTTCTCGAAGCCATGGATAATGCGGCCAAAATGACAAGTGGGAATCGACAGTACGTTTCTCTCTTTTCTTCCTCCCCTCTCCACCCTCACTCCTGTTCGAGACAGTAACACTGACCTCTTCAATCTGCCAGCGCCATCCTCAATGTCTGCTTCCCATACACCTCTCGAGACGAAATCACAACCGCCATCCGCGAGACCGTCATCGACTACTCCAAGCCTCTACAGGCTTACCAGCGCCCGTTTTCCGAAACGCACATCAGACAAAACATTCGAGCGCGACACTTGCACGACCAGTCATCATCGTCAAAAGACCATCATCATCATCACACATCCGAAGTTGCAGCAGGAGCAGCCGAAGCACAGACCTCTGACGCAGAGGGCTCCACGTCCTCGTCAAATACTCTGAACCCAGACTCCGCGCATGAGCAAGGTCTGCGGGACGAGACTGCCTACGCGGACCCCGAAACGATCACGTCCGAGACACTCGACGACCACATGTTCACGGCGGGCAACCCGCCATTAGATTTACTCGTTCGCACCTCTGGCGTTGAGCGACTGAGCGACTTCATGCTCTGGCAATGCCACGAGAATACACATCTCGCCTTTCTGGACTGTCTGTGGCCGGAATTCGATCTGTGGACATTCCTCCCGGTCCTGATCGAGTGGCAGTGGAAGCAGAAACGGCTGGAACAGAGAAAGCAAATAAAAGTTTCACATACTCCGCCAGCTCATCAGGCAGTCTCGTCTCCACCTCTCAAAGCACGATAAAAATGTTGCATAGCGTCTTTATTTCCTTTCCTCCCCCCCCCCTTTTTTTTTTTCTTTCTTTCATTTATTTATTTTCTTTATATCACTTATTCATTTAAATTTTTGCGTATGGGCGCAACTTCGCCCTATCCGCTTGTTTTTTCACCTTGCATATACATGCTATTCAATATCGATTTCATACCATGTTTGCATACACCAGCATTGCGATATCACTTCTTTTTACTCTCACTGTCACTTTCACTTTCCGTCTTCTCATCCATTTCCTCACAATTTCTTTTTATTACCTTTTGTGGTAGTTCAGACCATATAGATCACAATATGCATCAAATCTTATACCCCTTTAAACATGAAAAGAAAGAAATTGACTCAGGTTTTGAGCACTTTTTACAAGAATCCCACTTACTTTCGGACCCTCACCACCACAGGCTCAATCTTAAGTATGTCCACACTACTCTGAAAATTTCGTCATCTATGTTCCGTTTCGGACGGGTTCAGATAAAAAGTCTAAATCCAAAGAATGTGTTTCGAATTGATGACAATCCTGCAGCATTGCTAGCACAGACAAGATGATACAAGAGTGCTCAGGGTTAAAAAAATTTAAAAAAGGCAAATGAGATCAGATTAAAACTATTACGAACGCTACAAAGCTCTAACAAAGGACAGTCTAGAAAGCGACTACTTGACCTCACCCAAAGCAGCAAGCTTCACGACTTTACTAACGCTAACAATCTTTCGGCTCAAGGTACTAATGCTTCCGAAACCCATGATATCCAAGACTGCCACATCGGCAGCCATATCCTTTGCGAACCAATTCCTAAACTCCATGGCGACGAGGGAGTCTACGCCATAATGATGAATGGGCTTTGACGGATCGACGTCGTCCGTAGGGATCGACATCGTATTTGAGAGACGGCGGACGATGCTCTCTTGGACTGCATTCGTGGCTTCATCAACAGTGTTGGCGGAGCGAAGGAGTTCCTGAATTGCCTGGTACGAGTAGTCCCCGGAGTCGTCGCCGCCGGTCTCGGCGACGGAATGTAATTGGGCAAAGAGGGGATTACTCATGAATGTCGGTTCGGGCACACCTTTGCGTTTCAAGGCGGCGCTGGTGTTGAGCCCAAAGGCGACCTGGCACCGGAGATCGGATTCGTCGGCGTTTCGCTGATCGACGTGGTATTCAATGATGGAGAGGAATTCGTCCTCGCGGATACCGTCGCGAATCAGCGCAAAAATGGGATTCGAGCTCACGACCTTCTTGTGCTCGGCGAGGAAGCCAACGGAGAGAATGTTTCCAAGATCAAGCGCAGTGCCGGGGAGACCCTGTGAGACGCGGTAATGTGCAAGGGCGTCCTGGTACGTATTACCGGCGGCGTAATTGCCTTGGCCACGGTTGCCGGCAATGCCAGAAATAGAGGATAGGAAGATCATAAAGTCCATGTCCTTTGGCAAGAGGGTGTGGAGATTCCACGACCCTTGAACTTTGGGCGCGAGGGCGGCATTAAAGTCATCGTAGGTCATATTTTCGAATGCAGAGTCCTAATTGGAATGTTAATAGACTGAATCCATATCGGTTGATGGGAAGGAACACTTACCTTAAGCTGCATCGCGCCTTGGATGCATCCTTTAATCGGAGGCATCTCGGCGTTGCATTTCTCAATGACGCCCAATAGGGAGTCTTTGTTGCTAACATCGCATACGCACACGAGTGTTTTGCACCCTTTAGAATTAATGTCCTGCAGAAACTCCTTGACATTGTCCGGAGGCTCTGTGCGATTGAGGAAGACCAAGTTCCGTGCTCCGCGAGAGACCATCCATTGTGCGATGCTGCGGCCCAGACCTCCGAGACCTCCTGCCAGAATATACGAAGCATCTTCGCCGAAACGATAGGCAGAGAGTGATTTTGGAACGACCTGGTGATGGCAATAGTAAGCATCGAGACAGGTGATGAAGGAGTATTATCGAGACAATACTTACCGGAACTATATCGTCCTTATGCGGAACCAAGACAATCTTTCCGATACTCTTACCCGACTGCATCTGGCGGAAAGCATCTTCAATCTGTGAATAGTCCAATACGGTATATGGTGTTGACGTTTTCAACGTTCCCTCTGCGAAGAATCGGACGCAGTCTTTGAGCAGCCGCAAAGATGTCTCGGGATCGAGTTGTACCACAGTCGCAAGGTCACAAGCTGCGAAGGTGACGCTCTTCGAGAATGGCCACATGTCGAGCTTCCCATTGGCATAAATATCCTTTTTACCAATTTCGATGAAGCGGCCAAATGGAGCAATGCAGTCCCACGACTTGCGAAGAGCTTCACCAGCCAGGGAATTCAGGATGACATTGACTCCGCGTCCCTTTGTCAATCTCATGACTCCTTGTGCAAACGTCAAGTCTCGGCTCGAGAAGATATGGTCTTCCGGAATGCCATATGTCTGAGTCAATAGGTCTTTCTTCTCCTGCGTCGATACAGTAGCAAAGATTTCGGCGCCAACATTTTGTGCAAACATGATGGCGGCTTGTCCGGTGCCTCCTGCAGCTGCATGAATGAGAATGGATTCGCCCTTTCGCAGCCGAGCAGCGTCAACCAAACAGTAGTAGGCAGTCATATAGTTGCAAGGTATTCCACTGGCAACCTCAAAGGACATCTCCAGTGGGATTTTCGCAGTCAAATAGGATTTGACTCTTGCAAATGTCTGCAAGCTTCCCTTGCCGCTACTAACAAACACGACCCGGTCACCTGGTTGTATGTCGCTAATATTTGCACCAACTCGGGTGACTATTCCTGCTCCTTCTTCGCCAAATGTTGAGCTGGGCACCTCTCCCATAGCCACGACAACATCTCGGAAGGTGAGACCAGAGGCCTTGACTTCCACCTCAATCTCGTCATCCGGTAGCGGTAAGTGCCAATCCGGATCATCTGCAAAGTGCAGCCGGTTCAAGATTCCCGGGGCATCAGTTCGAAGCTTCAATGCACGGTCCGAATCAGCGCCAAAGGGCTGGGGTTGCGGTGCTGGAGCGCTAGACTTGGAAGCTAAGAAGCCATTGACATCCTGCGCGTTAGTGAGACGGTTAATATAAACTAGACCGTCCCTGTAGCTATATTCCCCATGTCTCTGGTCCGCTTTGTCCCAGAATTGGACCTTGTAGATGTCCATAATAGCGGAAGATAGGTCAATTTCGGTGAGTGACGAATCTTGAATGGCTAGTGTTACAAGATTCGAGTCATCCAAATCTCTTTCCCAACGGACTGTCCGTACAAGACCAGATATCATGGAAAGCTCCGGGTTCAAGGTATGATCGGCAGTGACCCAAAGCAAGCCTGCACACTGCGTCAGAAGGTGACGAAGGGAGTCGTAATCGGTCTTCGAAATGTTTGTAAGGAAAGGCTTGTCAAGCTCCATCAGAGCTATGCAGACAGACTGCTTTAACTCCATACTTGCAACCTCCTGAGGTGTTGCAATCTGGATCTCACGCAGTCCGAGCCCGGCAAGTGATGACGCCAAAAGTGGCACAACTTGCCCAGCTCTCTGCTTTTCGCTAGCAATTATTATGACTTCGAGAGGAGCAACTCTAGCTCGGTCAGGATCAACGGCAGTTGATACCATTAAGCTCTGTGAATGGATTCGGTCATCGACATTATCTTTCAGTGCCAGATCCATTCCACTGAAGCCAGTATCGGCGAGGAAGTCGCTCCATTCGACTTCGCTCATCAACGGGCCCCACTTTCGATTCTCCTCAGCGCTGAGCCACCATCCGGGCAAGAGACCAAATGACATTGGCAGGGAGAGCACGTGTCGTTGCGTTCCCTCATGCAACAGGAGTTTCCCACCTGGCTTCAACAGATACCGGGCGTTTCTAAGCGTATGACGAAGATCTTGTGTGGCGTGGAGGACATTTGCTGCGAGAATAATGTCAAACGAGCCGGCTTCAAATCCTTGTTTGGCCGGATCCTTTTCAATGTTCAAAGTCTTGAAATGCATGAGATTCGTCCAGGGCTTGAATTTTGCCTTGGCCTTTTCAAAAAAGCCAGCGGATATATCAGTGTATGTATAACTGGCTAGCTTCGACGACCCTGACGCCGAGCTATCTGCACTCCTAGGGCAAAGCGTCTCGAGGATTGGAAGTGTCGAGCCACCTGTGCCGGCGCCGATTTCGAGCACAGCCAGGTCCACACGTTTGTGTCCAATGTTGTCAGCATAAGCTGCGAGGAGCTTGTGAATACTCTTGGTGCCAATGAGTTCACGATAATAGATATCAAGGAGGTCATCTCCAAACATGAGCTGCAAAGCGTCTGCTTCATGACGAAGTATGGGCGCAATTTGCGGCCCCATTCTGTAGGCCAGTTGCCCATCGGCGCCAGACTTTTCCACCTTTTTGAGGAACTTTTCTTTAAGTTCCTCGTCATTAACGACCAAATCCCATTCGGGCCGCTGATGAAATATTAGACCCTTGGCGTAGTTATCCGACTGAAGTCGGAGCCAAGCCAGATATTTCTTGTGATGGGGGCCTAGCGTTGTTTCATCTATGCCTTCAAGCTCTTTGGTAGCATCGAGGATGTAGACTATGTTTGCTAGTTGCAAGTCTTGAGAAAGCTGAAGAATCAGGGAATCTTGAAGGGCCAGCTCCGAAAGGGTCTTTCCAAAATAGGCTTCTCCACGCTCCTTTGACATGAGATCAACATCTGGCCTCCAGTCGATATTGTAACAAAGTTGTCTCTCCGTGGCAGAATTTGTTGTCGTTGACTGCAGAGGAACCACCTGCATTCCTCGTACAGTCATTCTCGGGGCTTTCGTGTCACCCTCCCATACCGTTATCTCCGAGTTGTACTGGGTCGCAGAAATCTTTCCTGCCCAACCATGGCATCGGTAAATATGCCCAGGTTCACTGCTGATGTTCCCATCTACCCAGACATCTTTGATAAAGACAGGAACAAGTGGTTCGAGAATCTTTTTTCCACCATTCGAATCTAAAACCGCGGCAAGGAAAAGATGCAGCATACTGTCCATAACAGCGGGATGAATTACATGGGGATGGATATGGCCCTTTGGCATCGCCGCCTTCAAGTTCGGTACAGTCACAGTACCAGTGGAGTCGCCATTGCCCTTTCCGTGCTTGACAGATTCGAGATTTCGGAAAGTCGGTCCGAATGAAATACCAATAGTCTCCAAGTCCGAGTAAAGATGAGAAGAATCAAGACGAGATTCACATATGCTGTAGACCCGATCTAGCATTTCTTCAAATTCCTGAGCGTGTGATGCCACCTCCAGGCCGCTATTAAGAGGGCCCGGAGTCGACTCATACTCGATGCCGACAACGCCGCGGCAGTGCTCCAGCCAGCTGTCGTTGCTTGCTCCATATGAAGAGATTCTAAATTCCCACCATGCCGCTGAGCTTGCGCGAGCTGTTTCGGTCACTCGATGCATTGAGAGGACGGTGTCAACACCTTCATCGACATCTGGTATGACAAGAGCAGCCTTGATTGACACATCGCGAAGTCGATACCCGGCGATGCGTTGCTCAGGGTCGGCAATCTGCTTTGAAGCTTCAATGGCCATCACAAGGTATCCGACACCAGGAAAAACAATACTGCCGGTGACCTAGAAAATATTGTCAACAGCGGAACTTACTTTGACGGGAAACGGAGCGTACTCACTCTATGATCCTTCAACCAGGGGTTCTCCGAGATCCTAATTATCTGTCGCCACCTTGGTTCTTCCGGATTCCAGTCGGACACGGGAGCACCCAAAATATCATGTCGAGGGTATTTCCGCTGACGGAAGCGTTTGCTCAACCGACTCTCCGGCCAATAATCTTGTGAATGATTAAAGCTATAAGGCGGAAGGTTGACAAGTAATCTTGAAGGTATACTGTCAACTTCCTCGGCGGTGAGGGATTTATGATTGACAGCGTGTAGATCCACAGGATAACCTTGGCAGAAAAGCGTTCCAACAGTCTGCAAAATAGATGTGAGAGCAGTATTGCTTCGTGAGAGTAGGTAGGAATAATCGAGACTACCAAGGCTTGGATCCACTGAGAGGGTATCCTTTGTTGCGCTCTGGAGTGCAGGATGTGGCCCAACTTCTATAAGATGCTGCACCGGACTTCCACTGCTTATGCCCATTCGCGCCCTCGTTTTAGTCGGCGCGGTGGAGCAAAGGGATGTTAGCGCCTGCGTGAACTTAACGGGAGACACCATATTATCCACCCAATATTGGGGTTTGTTCAAGGCGTCGATAGTTACAAGCTCTCCAGTGACCGAAGAGAACATGGAAGTATCTTGGCTCTGCGATTTAGTTCCTTGGCTTGCCCTAGGTGCACCCAAATCTCCCATAAGGTTGAGATACTCATCAGCAACGGCTCGCATATGGCTGGAGTGATAAGCATTCTTGACATTAAGCTTTCTGGCAAAGACGCGGTTCTCATCTAGGAGAGATTTCAGCGCGTCCACTTTTGCCTCGTCACCGGAGATTGTTAAGCTCTTCGGGCTGTTGAAGCAAGCGATCGTCAGCTCTCCACTGAGTTTATCATGCACCTTGTTCAGGTACGACTGAGCGTCGGCAGTTGAGAGGCCAACCGCTATCATTGCTCCTTTCTGGTCCATCAGGCTAGCCGAGACGAGACCGCGATAATATGCTATCTTCCAAGCAGCTTCGCGGCCAAAAGCGCCAGCAGCATAAGCTGCAGCAATCTCACCGGATGAGTGCCCGACAACTCGCGTGGGTGAGATACTCCAAGAAGCAAGTAGATCGACCAAAGCTACCTGTAGCACAGTGCACAGGGTTTGGCTAAGGACGGGATGACCAATGTTTGACGACTCACGATCTCTCAAAAGCTCATCTGTATGAAATGTAAGCGGAGGCTCAACGAAGAAAACATTTCCGAGATTGACTTACCCACTATGTTCCAGTCACTGCCAATTGACTTGATATATGCTGCTGCATCCTCGAAGCTTTTGCTAAAAGCAGGATAGACCAGTAGCTCCCGTCCCATAGCATACCATTGAGCGCCCTGGCCAGTGAAAATGAAACCAAGCTTTGGGGGAGCCTTTGAGCGAATAGGCTTGGAGACACCGTGATCCTGTGCAAGCTTTTCGACCAGTTCTACCAAAGATTCTGCTACGGCAAAAGAGCGCCATGGAAACAATGTGCGTCGGTCAGACAAGGTGTATGCCAGGTCATCTAGGAAGCCTGGTTCATCGTCGGACTTGACTGTCGAGAGAAAAGAATGATAGCTGTCAACTTGACGCTTGATTCCGGCCTCGTCAAAGGCAGACCAGGCAAAAATCTTGCTCGTTGACTTCTCCAAATGAGGCGCTCCATTGTTACCGTTTGCTGTTATAGAGGATATCGACTTTGTGAGATGGATGCCCCTTAGCCCTTGCTCTTGAAGATAGCTGTAGGCATCATCCAAAACCACGTGTGCATTTGCACCGCCAAAGCCAAATGAATTGACCGATGCTCTTCGAACCCCAGAGGCAGTCCATGGGGTTGGCTTGAGCGGGAACTATCCATCCGTCAGCGCAATGTACATAACGATACTCCAAAAGAGCTACTTACATCAATGTTCCATCGCTTCATGGGGATCTTGGGGTTGACCTTTTCGAAATTGATGTTTGGTGGTACCAAGCCTCGTTCGAGGATCATGACTGTCTTGATCAAACCTGCGACCCCAGACGCGGCCTCCAGATGTCCTACATTGGATTTAAGTGCACCAATCAGTAATGGGTCCTGCGAGGGTCTGTCACTGAAAGCAGCTGCTATAGCTCCCGCCTCAATTGGGTCGCCCGCAGCTGTTCCTGTTCCATGTGCCTCAATGTAATTTGTAGACTTGGTGTTCAGCCCGACTGATGCATAAGTGTCGCGAATAAGGGCTTCTTGTGCGGTCTTGCTCGGCAGCGTGATTCCTGGGGTCCGTCCATCGTGGTTGCTACCAGTCGCCCGAATAACAGCACGGACCGTATCACCATCCCGAATCGCCGCACTCAAACGTTTTATAAGGATAGTTCCAACTCCCTCGCCTCGCGAATAGCCATTTGCGCGGTGGTCAAAACTATAACAGATGCCATCGGGAGATAAGAAACCAATTTTGCTCATGCCGTACATTGTTTCAGGACTTTCAATGACGTTCACGCCACTGACAATTGCCTATGAAGGAGGAGTTAGGAGATAATCCAAATGTCCAATGCAGATGAAATCTTACCATTTCCGATTCTTTATTCTTCAGATTCTGACACGCTAAGTGTAAAGCTACCAAGCTGCTAGAGCATGCTGTATCAAGCATAAGGCTCGACCCTTTCAGATCAAAGAACCAACTGACACGATTGGCCAAAATGGAGTTTGCTGTCCCAATCGGCTTGTATTTGAGGAGCGCATCTGGGTCCGAATTGACGATTCCCAGGTAATCGTTTGTGAAAGCGCCAAGGAAAACAGAAGTTTTGGAGGACAGCATTTTCTCCATGGGTATCCCGGCATTCTCAATCGCGTGGTAGACATTCTCCATTACAAGCCGTTGCTGAGGGTCCATTGATATGGCTTCATTCTTGGTTATACTGAAAAACGGAGCGTCGAACGTGGCAGACTTTTCCTTCAAGAAGTGACCACCCTTGGCATTCATCTAAAAGTCCCGCGTTGAGAGTTGCATTAGTAATGATGAAAAAAAGATTATTTGGGGGGGTTTCTGGAAACGTACAGTACTCGCATGACCAGGGTCAGGATGATAGTGTCCTTCAAACTCGAACTTTTCTTTAGGAAACGTCGTCATGGCTGACCGGCCATTGATCAAAAAGTCCCAGAATTTCTCTGCATTGTCTGCATCTTGGGGGAATCTACATGCCATACCAACGATGGCAATGGGATCTTCATCATTGCCTCCGTGGCCATTGGTAAGGCCATTTCCATTCAGAAACGGTGGCATCTTTGCAAAAACAAGAGGAGATCAAAAGGGGTATCTAGTGTAGTGAAGCAAAATGAAACAAAGTGTCTACTCTATCTCTTTTAAACGGCAGATGCTTGATAGCTGACGACCCCGCAACGGAGAGCATAGTGCTGATAACGAGGTTTTGCCCCGCCTTTCACAAGGACCAGAACCGACAGGGTCTCTTCTCCCGTATCCAGGGAATTGTCAGACTAAAGGACCATGCGTTCGAGCATGGTGCAACTTCCAGTCATGTCAATACTCTGCATCAGCCGCCATGGCCTGGCCAAGGGGCCCAGCGGAGCCTGGGGACAGTTCTTGTCCCATGGCTTAGTGCGTAAGACGGACAATTGGATCACCACCATTGTACCGACGATATGCAACCCTATTCGTCGTTACCGGATCAGTTGGCACCCATATTAGACCATGGTCTTTTATCAAATAGTCGGGGTTTTTAGGCGTGGCTATCAATCAAATTAGCGCTCAAAGAACGACGGCGCACTGTTCCTTACAAGTCTAGCAGCAGAGCGATATTCGGCGAGCCAAATAGGGTGTCACATTTTGAAAGGACCCTGATACTCACAAGGTAAACAGAATGCTCTCGACCCCGCGTACGAGGAGAAGGAAACGTTGCGCGATGGGTGGCATGGATGTCTTGGATGGCTCATCAACGGTCGATTATCGCCTTGGCTACATTTGGGGTGTAAGCGAAGCCACACGATCCCACCAACGCTAAGGGTACGGCCCGAGAGCGGTGCCTGTTGGCTGGAGAAAACCCTCGCTGAACCGGACTGGTCACCTCGCTGGAATTGGACAGTACAGGGCTGTAGATTTACTAATGGTGCAGGTCAATGTGTCTGGAGAACCACATAAGCACATATCGTATGAAGGAAAAGCCAAAAATGAAAAAAACCCCGCACTCCCACGACGGATAATCTTGCTCGAAAAACAGTGACCCCTCATTTTTGGCATCATTTCTAGTCTGTTCTCAAACTCCAATGCATGGATTTGAGTTGTGCCAAAAAGGATCGTACTCATGGAAAGCCTTCTTGAAGTGGCTGGCCATGATACAGTGGGTCGCAGTGGGTCCCCCAGTCTTGGTCTTTCCCTGTTCGTGACAAATTAATGGCACCCTGCTCGTACTGTGTCTTCGTAAGAATTCACTCTTCCGCTTCATTCGGGGCAGGTTAAGTTTGTGCGAAGCAGCGGATATAATGGCGGTGAGAAGCGGTATGACCATTCTGACTTTTCCTAGGCTTGCGCAAAAGAATGATGGAGTTCCCATATCTACGGGCTCCAGCTAGAATTTGCAACATTCCGACCAAAGGCTGCAAGCCTTGTAAAAGATTGTTTTGAATCAAGAAAATTGGTGGCGGTCCTGTATGTAACCCTGGGTGGTATGATAGGGCTGCTGTCTAGATGCAAGATGTCTGCACCACGAGATCCCTTCTGGACATGACGATAGTGGCCGTAGTGTACATTGTCAACAACGTGCCGTTGATAACCAAAGAAGTGTGATTTGATTCGACCAGACGGCGGGCTGTTGAGAAGCGGGCCGCGACGGTGTTTCAACTAGACTGAGAGAACTCCGCAGCTTCCTGCTTCCCCGTGGGGTTCTTGGCCGGTCTTTTCCGTTTCATATTCTGAACAGTCATTGGCGTTGGTAATGGCTCATCCAACAAGCACAAATGGAGACTAGAACTGCTAGCCGCTTACCGTGCCACAAGCCGTCGAGTAATGCAGACTTAATGCTCGTACATCCAATAAACCATATTTGATGATTACGTTGCAGGTAAAATCTAGTGTTCTGCCGCTGCTTGCACTATCAGCAGTCGGCGCCGGAAAACACCCTCATTTTGACAGATCGCTCAGTCAAAGCGTGATCAGCTCGTGATAGCACGCGGACCTGAGGGTACTGAATAGGCATAGCTGGTTTGTATACGGTCCCCATCCTCTTATGCAATTATTCGGATTGCATGACCCAATAATAGGTGTAGCCTAAGCTGGCGATTAAGGCCTTGGATGAACCCTTGCACCGGGCCGTGTCAGGCCGAAAAGACGAGTAGTAAGGACAAACTTGTCGCCTTCGAGATCACATAAGATAATTATCGCGTGGTAGAGTACGCTTTTTCAGAGGCTCGCAAGTGATTATTGTTCACGATGAGGATTCTCTGCCTTCATGGAAGAGGCTCGAATAACGACGTGAGTCGGTCACCATATCGCCAATGACTAGGTATGAGGATTGTTGACATGTCATAGATCTTCCAGATGCAAACCAGTTAGTATTGGTCGCGTTTACACGGCCATGAAGCGACACTCATATTGACGCATGATTTGATGGCATAAGTTGGTTTTCGTTCTCTACTTGATGACTTTCAATTCGAGTTTGTAGAGGGTCGATTTCCTCATACTGAAGGCACGCGCATTTATCTGTACCCCCTTCAGAGCAAAGCAGGCTCGCAACAGTCGAATCATTGTTGGGTCATATTGAGAGACGACCCTCTTGGCGTTCAAATTCTCTGACTTGCTAGATATTTAGGAAATTACTCCCTATACACGGCGACGTTTCCCACATCCAAACTCTGGGGCTACATGGACATGCTCAACCCAGATGACGTCGACAGCGCCGAACGTGAAATCTTGCAGATTGCGGCGGAAGAAGGGCCCTTTGACGGAATACTCGGCTATTCGCAGGGTGCAACCCTCGCGGCGCAGGTGCTGATTCGGTATGCCAACGAGAACCCGTTCGCAGCAGTCGACGAGATGCCCTTTCGTTTCGCCGTCTTCATCAATGGAGCCACACCTGGGGGGCTTTTTGCATTGCCCGACAGCGAAAAGCCGCCGCAGAGAGTGCCTCTGGAGAATATCCCAGAGGCAGCATTGCTATTCTCGGTCATGAAAACAACAGCTGGTACCACGAGGCTGTGGCCCGGGCGACTGTCAGATGGCCGAGGTATTTTGACAGACGGTGAGGTTGGGATGAAATTGTGGAATGTGGACCTCGATGGAATACAGATCCACGTGCCAACATTGCATGTTCGATGCTTAGACGATAAGAGCGATTATGGCGAAGGACTCGAGAAACTCTGTGAGCCAACGTTAATGAGCAACTATTATCACAACAATGGTCACGATTTTCCAAGGGGTAACAATGAGCTGAGTACCATTGCACAATTGATTAGAACCACTGCAGAACGGGCATTATAGATTACTGATACTGTCGAGGGAGGAATTAGTGGGGCATTTCACATTCGCCTTGCAAGTCTTCTGTAGGCGTTGGTTAGATATCTCTAGATTTAGTTAGCCATATTCGCTAATCAGCGACTGCTGTTTTTGGTTTTTCCCACTAAAGTTCCACTACGGCAACATCACTGAGGACTAGATTACCCCAAAGAGTCTTTCCCTAACCGCCAAGGTTGAATAGAGGTCTCATCTTAGACTTAAATCTTGAATTTGTCTAATATTTCAGGGTTCAATGAAGCTCTTTGATTGATGCTCTTCATCTTAGACGGGTTGTGCCCCTCTCGGCCCTGCACAAGGTTTATGTAGAGCACCGGCCAAAAATTGTGCATTCCACAAACCCCATCCATGGGCGATGGGCCGCATGTAACATGTGCATAAAACATATGCATTCAGCACATGTTGGGCACATGTCTGCTCTAAGGCCCGTTGATTATTTTATGCGATGTACTGTTCTATTATCCCACAGCTGTTGCACCTTGCATGATGCTGCTTTACTTCCGACGCAAGTTGCCTGTATTTTATTTCCCAGCCAACCGGGACTGGGCGCTTCTGCCCTATGGCTGCGCAGCGTAGCGTGGGTAAGCACTGGAAAAGTGTAACAAACACTTGAAGCAAGGGGGAACTGGTGCATAAGTGTCCAGTGTACGAAAATTCTAATTTGCAATGTGTCGGTATACCAATACCAGCAAAAGGACGAAACAAAAGAGGAGAGTTAGAAAAGAGGTAATTGTACCATATCGCGAATGCGCTGAACTCTGGCATTCCCGCAGGTAAAGCTCCGATGGAGTTGAATGGCAAAACGTACAAGGCTTGGTGCGAACCCTGAGCGTTTTGGATCGATGTGACTGCCTGGGAGCATCGCATTATTTCATTCCCATCATCCGTGCCCTTACCAACGGCTAAGTACTGGATACAGTGCGGGACGATACGGGTTATTTTATTAAAGGGCAACGCCAAGGCAGGGTCAGGCCATTTTAAGTGGTACAATGTGCGACGCAACGAACCAACAATATTCCAGGCACAAGACAGTCGTTTCAGGCAGTCAGCCGGGATGCAGGCCAATATCCGCGGAGAAAGGGCCAAGGGTATGCCAAGGCCGCTAACTGGGGCTCTGATTTGGGCAGAAATCACAATGGTCAAATTCATGACAGAAGAGGACGTACACGGGCTTGGCCGAGGGAAAGTCCCTGTCAGCGAGATGCGACTCAAAATTCGAGATCAAAGCATATGTCACAAAGATGATTGTTCAGGGCATGCGTAGATGCCAAAACAAAGAGTGTGCAATAACAGAGATTTGACTCATTGATATCAAGTGGTAACTACATCAGCGAGCACGCAATGCTTCATGAATGCATGTGGCTGGGGAATTAAACAGGAATCACGATATGAAAAACAAAATGCAAATGAGCGTAGGCAAAGAATACGCAAAGACCATGCTAGACACGATGTGTCTATGCGGTCTCCTGCGCCTTGTGCTCAATTTGGGCAACCTCAATCTCGCCCTTGTCCGTGAGACCCATTTCAGCAGCAAAGGTGGCATGTGGCCTCCAGGAAGCCGAGGTTCTGGGAGTAGTCTCCTCGAGCATCTTGTCGACTTGCTCGAGCGAAAGACCTTTAGTTTCGGGGATGAGGAAGTATGCGTAGAAGATACAGCATGCGCACAGCGCACCCCAAATAAAGAACACCTTGGACTTGAGGTCACCCTCATCCGGATCGATGAAGTAGGGTGTGACGACGGCAATGATCTAAGGATCGTCTAGTTAGCGCCAATATCTCATAAATTGCTTAGGTTTAGAAATAAAGACAAAGACTTACGCAGTTCCAGAACCAGTTGGACGCGGTGGAGAGTGCGACACCCTTGGAACGGATGGGAAGAGGGAAGATTTCACCAATGACGACCCATGCGGCGGGGCCCCAGGTTTGAGCGAAGAAGAAGATGTAGATGCAAACAAAGACGATGAGGCAGGTAGAGGCAGCCTTGGAACCCTCATCGGCGGTGCCAACAATGGCGATGATGAATTCACAGACGACCATGCCGATGGCTCCCCAGATGAGCAAGGTGCGACGACCAAACTTCTCAATAGTGTAAAAGGATACGGGGGTGGTGCAGACATTGACGACAGCAGTGATGACGTTGATGATGAACGGGTTCTTGATGCCAACGGTCTGGAAGAACACGGTTCCATAGTAGACTAGGAAAAGAGAATTATTAGCATGTGCGAAGCCATCATCTCATGACAGTTCACTTACAGATAAAGTTGATACCAGTCCACTGCTGCATCATCTGCAAAGACATGCCCAGAACGACACGGCGAAAGTTTCCGCTGGGCTTCCAGCCGCCCTTGAAGCAGTCGAGCCAGCTCGTCGAGGTAATGTTAAGTTCATACTCGTAATTGGCAATAATCTCAGCCATTTCCTGCTGAATGTATTCAGAGGTAGTGGGTTGGCCGCGGACACGTGAGAGAGACCTGGCAGCATGATCGAGCTTGCCTTTCTTCACGTACCAACGGGGAGATTCCGGAAGTAGGAAGAGACCAAATGCAAGGATCAATGCCCAAGCCATCTGAAGTGAAATGGGGATCCGGTAGGAGCCGGTGTCATTGCGGTTGTGCGTTCCCTGGTCGACACAGGACGCCAAGAAGATTCCAATGGTGATGGCAAACTGATATCCAGACACCAGTGAACCACGAACAGCCTTGGGGGCGATCTCGGACATGTACAGGATAATGACCGCGGACACAATACCGACACCAAAACCAGCAATGACACGACCAGCGACAAGGAGACCGACGTTAACTGAAGCTACTTGAAGGACGACACCTGCAAGGAAGATACCGCAACCGGAAATGATAGCCAGACGACGTCCGATCCAGTCAGCGAGTGAACCGCCAATAAGGGCACCGAAGAACGTTCCCGCAGAGAGAATCGAGGTGATCAATGATTTTTGCCAGGTCGTGATATTGTATCCACTGGCATCTTGCGACTTGGGAACGGCACCGCCGAAAAGCTTCTTGAAATAAGTCATACCCAGGACACCACCAATGTATCCAGAGTCATATCCGAAGAGGATACCACCAAAGGCGGCAAAGGCACAAAGGAGATAGGCCCTGATGGTGACGGGGGCTTCAATGGCCGCTACATCAGTGGTTGCATGCACCGTAGCTGGCGCCATTATGATGAACTAGCAACCTCGCAGGGAAGAAATGAGGGCAGAAACACAGATAGGTATCGAATCAGGCAAAGAGAGTTGGACGAGTGAGAGCAGAGAAGGACAATGCACGCCAGGACGGGCAGTGGAAAAGAAGGGGGATTATATACCACGACTCGAGGCTCTATCAGGACGAGGCAGATCGTGAAAGGTCCGTACATACATTAGTGTCTGCTGCACCGTGCGCTTCCCCCGGGTCTGGAACTAGGAGAAGGTTGTGCCGTGCGGGACATGTGGCGAGATCAAAGTTCTCTCATGCTGGTGCTTCAAGCACTGGATGCTTCTCGTTAGCAGCATCCATTATGTTTGCTGTCCCAAAACCTCACGAGCATCACGGGGGAGGCAAAGGCAAAAGAGTGGGACTGGGGTGCTTGGAGTAAGGTTCGACGAATCCATTGAACGAATCATGGCTCAGGACTCGAAAGTCCTAATGCAAGTGCCACCCAGGGTCTCAAAATTAGACGCGTGCGGGCGTTCCAAGCATCACGAGACAAACTGAAAGCAGAACAAAGGGACAGCGACTTTGCTGAGGGTGCCCATCACGACGATCCGCATGTCGCGCTAATAGGCTCGAATAGTCGGCTCGAACTTTTGAAAAGAAATGAGCATCGCGTCAGCCGTTCAGGCACTACCTGTAATGCGATTGCTTCGACCAGAGTGTTGGATTCGGAGATTGGCTCTCTGTCTAGTCGACGGAAGCAGTAACGGTCTTTGGGGTGTCAAGCTGTGTTGCCGTAAACACATCCAGGTGATCGATCAGATCTGCTTGTAGCCTCGTTTACCGCCTCGGGATTGAGTTGGAAAACAGCATCAATCCCATGACACAGGTACTGATACCTCGACCATCCGAAAGGTAAAATACGAAACTTGCCCAAAGAAGATTGAGTGCAAGTCAACATTACCAAGATCAGTGTGCATTGTGCCTGACTGACACGCTCGGGCTGCGGCTACGGGGCGCGGCCATTTGCTGACCGCGGCCCAGGAACAAGTACCGGTACCGGCATCGTCACAACCTCACGTTGGCCGCCTTTGAATTTCTTTGTCCAATAACACCCGAGCTAAAGCTCAAAAGAAGGCCGGACAAGTTTCCGCTTTTGGTCACATATTAGCTAAAAGGCAGAGCAATGACATCTCCTCATCATTTTGCCTATCTTTTTTTCTCTCTCTTTGCGCCTCTCCCCATTGTCGCATCGACAGATCATGTGTCAACAACAGGTCGTAGCGCACATTTTTGGTCGTCAAAGTAATTTGCGGGAGCCAACCCCACAAGCCAAAAGACTCAGACTAGACAGGGAGCACCCCGCTTCTCCCCAGATTGCACTAAGGGGGACGGGGCAGCAAGTAGCGTTGCTCCATCCAACAGAATCATCACGGATCATATTCGGACTAGTTGAGCGTAACATGGTTGTTGACCTTGGATAATTTCGATGATTCCTAGGTTTTTTTTTTCCTTCCCTTGCGCCTGCCGCTGAAAAACTTTCCACCAAAGGCGTTATTGTTCTGGGGGGAAATTATGCTCCAGTGCGGCACAAGCGAATAGTTGCAGCAAAAAGCGCCACTTGTCAACGGTGACCCGACACCGCACATACAATCTTGTTGTGGCCGCAAGCCAGTCACGGACAGAAGTCGCGCAACTGAGCGCGGCACCAGTGGTTTTCCACCCTAAAAGGACAGTTGTAGCGATAGCTTCCTTCTGAGATACCATATGAACATAGCACAGATGAAAGGCAACATTTTGGCGAATCACTGCTTGGATTGGGCATTGTCGCGCAACAAACCCCCAAACTTTTTTTTTCTCCCGCCCTGCAGGGTAGATGCGAGTATAGATGGGTGCGAATGTGTGTGGTACAAGTCTCTCCTTGTCGCACATGGGATCTTGCACACCCCGTTCTAGGCTGAGTCTCGACAAAAACACAGGTGCCACATGGAGCTGAGGGATCCAACCCTCCGGAAATGAGGTTGCCCTTGCTGCTCGACCGGATTGGACGACAAACCTCGGCCATGTTGCATTGTGGTGTTGAGCTCGCAGGTATAGTCATTTCGTCGCTCGCCCATCATTGGCCGAAAACGTTGCGAAAGGGGGTGGGGAGCTCAGACCTGTAACATCCCGTAACCCGCATTGTTCTTCTGGCCTGCGAAAGGCCCACAGTAATTCCTTGGCGCACAAAATTGGAAATAACCCTTTTTCTCTCTCCCTACTACTACACAGTACTTCGCCAATGACCGTCAATGGACGAATGAAATTGTGTTGTGGGAAAAAACCGTCTGGCAGAGAGGAAGGTGACATGCGCCATCCAGCAGCCCGGAAGACCCGTGCTATGGGAGTCGAGAGGAGCCGAATGAGTGGCACCTCACCCATCTCTTACCCCAGAGTGCCCAGAAAGCGGGGTATAGCACCTCTCCCGTGGGATTTCACCACCAGGTGAGGAGAGAGAAAAGCATTCCACAGTGCGCCCAAGTTGCTCGTAGAGGTTGCCCTCAGAACGCCTTTTGGCATAGCGAAAAAAATTCGCGAACACCTGCCCGCCCACAGTACAGGATCAATGAGCAGACCACATGGCGAGCCCTTTTTGGGTGCTGTAGATGCTTTCCCCCTCAAGTGATTCGAGATCGCTCGATTATCGTGACGCACAGATATGGAATGTCCTGTCATCGATGGGCTCTGTGGGAGAAGCATGCCTGCGGCGCAATTTAGAACCATAATAACGCAGTCCGAATGCAGTAATGGAGCTATAGATAACTCTTGAGTCACATGGCTTTTTTTTGGCGAATGATGCTTGACCTTTCGCAGTCGAGCGATGGCGCGGTCAAAGACCCTGTACGCTCGTCATTTGTTCTGACAAGTAGTTAGAATCAGCTAAGTAACGACCAGGATTGTTAGCTAATCCATTGTCAGGAGGAGGAGGAGAGTGTAATTGGATGTTTTTGTGGTCTGGCGCCTAGCGCGTATCTTGAACCTCGGCGAACAACGTGACATGAAGAATGCTGGATGCGTCTGCGTCCTGCAGAATCTCCCGCCCAAGTAGATATCCCAATCGAATCTCAACAGTAATAATAACGCCAAGAAGGGAACTGTGCATCAGTTTCTCCCTACAGATGAGAAAATGTTCTGCACTCAGCAAAGTGCCACCTGGCCGGGATCATCAGGGGACTGATAATGCTCAAGACGCATCGTTTCTAGGAAATACCCCGCCTCATCCCGTCTTCTGTGGCTCCGCGGGAGACTTTACCTTCTCAGAGCCAAGCGAACATGTTGTATAGACATCGATCAAGTGCGGGAAAGGGGGAGGGAAAGAAGTGTCAAAATTAGATGCCCAAGCAGAAATGGAGAAACTTGCTAGAGCTTACAAGGAGAGGACAATGACTCGCAGGTATATTAGTAGATGGCTTCATAAATATATAGACTATTTTTTTTTTTTAAAAAAAAAAATAATAATATAATAATAATATGTATTTTGCAAACAAGTAGGTGGAGAGTTCTACATTCATTTCGATACCATTGTATTTGTTCTTTCTCAAAACAATAAAATCTAATTTTTCGTACTCTGTCATTACAAATCGATTTGTGCATATCAAGTCATGACTCTTATATACCTTACTTTGACTACCTCTGCAAAGCCATTTCAAATTATCATGGCTGCCATCATCGTCTAATTAGCAACCGAACCCCTCCCTCATACATGATTATCTCCTGTGCCGTGACAAGATGACCAAATCCCCTTCTTTTTGCCTCTCCACATCACCTCAGCACAGGCATAGTAGCCAGAGAAGCCTTATTATAAGTTATAGCTTGCAGCATTCTCCATCTTGTCAGGATAGGAGGTCAAGTCGCTGGTGGTAGCACGAGGAGCTCCGACATGACGGACAACACTAAGGCTGTTGGAACGTTGGGGGGGGGGGGGACATCTACGGATGCGCAGATATCTGCAACGCCGCCTAGAACAATTCCCTAGAGACGCCCAAGGGGACTGGCTGTAGACTTTCTCTTGCCAACTGGGGAGTTGAGTCGATCATCGGTAAGAATCATAACTACATTCTTCCATGCATAGCCTCAATTTCATCTTGCTTGGATAGTCTGAGAATCCAAGAGTTGACTGGTATGTTCTGGGAATTTGCGACCGTTCGGTCTATCGAAATGGGTTCCGAAACATACCTGGCGTAGTATGCTGTGAGGTACGTTAGCAACCTCTGAGCGCCTCGATGGGTCTGATCAATAAGCTTCCAAAGCCATATCGGAGTATTCTGCTTTGGCTCTAGATCCCGCAGACTACCTGCGGGCCCCAAGTCATAGAGGTAGGACTAAGCTGAGATTCATCGAACACAGACCACAATCGCTTACAGTACTCTGCCAAAACTTTTTCGTCCTTGTCTGCAGTAAGAGCTCTATTCCATGCAACAATTTGGAGACACCAGAGCTCTAGATGTATGGGCTACTGTGGAACGGATGCTTCATTTCGTGAAGTCAGCCACATTGAGTTTTGACTATACTAGGAATTAGACAATCAGCCAAGGCTTCAAACAATCATTCAAATTCTAGTCAATGGACTTTATGCCGAGAGCTAGCAACCTTGCTCAAAGTTTCGGGCCAATTTTCAGCTTGAGCTCTCTTACTCCGTAGCCACAAGGAGTGTCCTAGATCATAAAGTGGAGCATTTGTCGTGGGGAGAAGAAGTAGGTCAATGACGGAACGAAGCGATCCGATCAGGTAGATACTAAACCTTGTCGGCGCCACAGAGAGTACGCATGCACTCTGTAAGAGGCGAGTAAGATGTCCGCGTGGAGCTGAGACTGCTTTTTTTCTACAACAGGGCCATTAATTCCCCGACCCCGACCCCGGCCAAGCAATCAATTCTCGGAGAAACTCTCAAGGTATACTTTTGGACTTTGTGCTCTGAATCATATTCTCAGTATAACACTGGTCTGATCAGTGCGTGCCGGGATCGGCAGGCCCCAAGATGAAGACTAGTCGACTTGAGTGAAAGCCATCTCCAACCAAGGGAAGAATAGTCATAGCCAACGGCACGGGCAGTGGGATCATCTGAAAAAGGACCTTAAGCTAAATACCAGAATACTGACTATGTGGATAGTACAATTATGGAACAGTTCAATGTATGTTGCAGGAGATCACGAGATCTCGACATGACTCATGGCTCTTCTATGCTTGGACACCACCAATCCTTTGGTTCCATTTCTGTCCGCGTCGAATTCTCCATCCCGGTCGTTCTCGTTTCTGATGCGAAAATTGCACACAAAAGTGTCTAACCAGACGTGCTCTTTCGAGCCCTAATACTTTGTGGTCCCTGCTTGCTCGAATTCCTTTGCATCTCAGCTGGTGACCTTCCCACCTTCTGCTTGCTTTTTGTGCTTTGGTCTTCTCTGTGTTTTTGTCCGAACATCCCTCCATGCTACGTTCTCGCCTCGCTGCTTCGGTCATGAGCAAGGCCACAAGCTTGCCTCTGTCTAAGGCACCTAGCAGCTCATGCGCAGGCCATTGGGGCCCAGGTGCTCGGTTCCAAGCAAATATAGCAACTGCCGCTGTCCAGTAAGCCTTTCGACTTTTCAATGCGGCCCCCAATCAAGAAATTCTTATCAAAGCTGACTATATCTCAGCGAACCTTCAAGGAAATCCGACCGGCCGCTGCCATCGACGGCTGCAAGCAGGGCCAGCAACGATGCTCACCTCCTTGTCAATTCTCGTCGCAGCGAGCTCGATGAATCGTATGTCTCTGTTCGCATCGCTATGAATGGTGTGGTCGCTCACCATCACCTTCCAAAGTTTCATTGGTATGACTGGAGGCGAGGTTTTCCATGAAATGATGATTCGGCAGAATGTGACGCATATATGTATGAAGTCGGCTGCCACGCATCTCCAAGTGCTAACTGTTTTCTAGTCGGCTACCCGGGAGGCGCGATTCTTCCGGTCTTCGATGCCATCTATGGTTCCCGGAATTTCGATTTCATCCTCCCGAAGCACGAGCAAGGCGCAGGGCACATGGCAGAGGGCTATGCTCGTGTGACAGGCAAGCCGGGCGTGGTCTTGGTCACTAGTGGTCCTGGTGCCACCAACATGATCACCCCGATGGTGGATGCCTTAGCGGACGGAGTTCCTATGGTAGTATTCACGGGACAGGTAGCCACAACCGCCATTGGGAGCGATGGTTTCCAAGAGGCTGATATTGTCGGTATCTCGCGAGCTTGTACGAAATGGAATGTCATGGTCACCAATATTGCCGACCTGCCCAAGCGCATCAATGAAGCCTTTGAGATCGCGATGAGTGGAAGGCCCGGGCCGGTCCTTGTGGATCTTCCTCGAGACATTACAGGAGGAATTCTTCGCAAAGCTATCCCAACTTTGTCAACCCTACCACCGTCCGAGAGTGTTATATCGCGTGAGACGCTCAAATTGAATCGAAAGCGGCTGCAAGAAAGTATCCGACGTTCAGCCGATATTATCAACCGGGCGGAATCCCCTGTTATTTTGGCCGGTCACGGAATTCTTCATTCCGATCGTGGTCTTGAGATGTTGAAAGAATTAGCAGACAAAGCGTCCATTCCTGTCACTACCACTCTCCACGGACTTGGCGCATTCGACGAGATGGACGAAAAGTCGCTTCACATGATGGGAATGCACGGGTCAGCCTATGCAAATCTAGCGATGCAGAATGCGGACGTGATTATTGCCCTTGGTGGCCGTTTTGATGAACGAGTAACTTGCAAAGTCGCAAAGTTCGCCCCTAAAGCTCACGCAGCTGCGAGGGAGGGACGTGGTGGTATTATCCACTTTGAGATAGCGCCTAAGAACATCAACAAGGTGGTCCAATCCACGGAGGCAGTCGAAGGAGATGTAGGTCCCAATCTCAGACTACTCATGCCTCACATCAAAGCCAAATCAATGCGCCAACGGAAGGATTGGTTTGATCGTATTAATGAATGGAAAGCTCGATGGCCTCTTTCCGACTACGGAAGACTCGATCGATCTGTCCTAATCCAGCCACAGACCCTTATCGAGGAACTAAGCGCTCTGACATCAAAATGCAAAGATCGCACCTATATCACGACTGGCGTGGGCCAACATCAAATGTGGGTTGCTCAACATTTCCGCTGGCGTCCCGATCGCACTTTGATCTCGTCAGGCGGTCTGGGGACAATGGGATTCGGGTTGCCTGCTGCGATCGGGGCAAAAGTTGCCGACCCTGACGCACTCGTGATTGATATTGATGGCGATTCCTCGTTCGCCATGAGCTTAACGGAGATGTCATGTGCTGCACAGTTCAGTGTAGGTGTGAAGATTATTGTCTTGAACAATGAAGAGCAGGGGATGATCACACAGTGGCAAAATCTTTTCTATGAGGATCGTTATGCTCACAGCCATCTCGTTAATCCGGACTTTGTCACGATGGCACATCACATGGGTCTGCAAGCTCGTCGTGTGATGAAGCCTGAAGAAGTCGTGGGCAGCTTAAAATGGTTGATAGAAGCAGACGGGCCTGCACTGCTCGAAGTTGTCACCGATAAGAAGGTCCCCGTTCTACCAATGGTACCGGGTGGGTCAGGCTTGGACGAATTCATTGCCTGGGACAGTGGTATGTCTGCGAATTCGGATGTTTGAATCGCTTTTGATGGCTAATCATTATGGCAAAACAGTCAAAGACAAAGCGCGGAGGGAGTTGATCAAACAACGAACTCTTGGAATTCATGAGTAAAAGCTCGGTTTTATAAATTGTCGGGAAACAATCCTGGATAATATTATCACGTGGAGACTTTTTCTTGTAGTGTAATTTAAAATTTCCATACGAAAAGTGCATCATACATGAGCATAACCTTTACTCCTGTACATTCGGCACTAGCGGACGAATGGCGGAACTCGTTTCCGCCGTTGGGCTCAGGCTGATTGACACCGGGCCAAGTCAAAGCATTGATAAATCATGCAGCTTCATCTACTTGGATTTGACTGGTCGTCGGTGTCTGGTTGCCTTGTTGGATCGATGCCGGCCGATAAGCGGCCGAGGAGGGAATAAGCTCGTCGTTCGGCTCGGTATAGCGTCTCCTTTCCCGGCCAGACCCGAAACTCTCAATAGGCGTTTACACTGCAAAGTCCCACTGTGGATTGATGGCACCCGTCGATAAACTATAGCGATAACTATCTTATCGGTAGGGACTGTCAATTCAACCCTCACGTCGTGGCAAGCTCTTCCGATGCACTTGGGGCGTTTATAGACTGACAAATGCCCAGAAGCCATGGATTGCTTCGACAGCTACTCCGTTTATTTGAGGTCATATTGTATTTTCTAATTCCCTTTGTCCGCGTCTTTTGGATTGTATAGATAACTCGACTATTTCCGAACATCATATTTCCGCATTTGATATCCTTCAACGGTTTTCCCTTTTGCGAACAGAATCAGTATGGCAAACAGAGCTTTAACGTTGGACGAACATGTCTACACCATTAGCGATCTCAAAGAAATGGGCAGCAAAAGGCTGCCTAAGATGTACAGAGGTGCGATGCGCCAAATCTCCGAATCCGATTGACGACCATGCTAATACTAGGCCGTCAGATTATTACAATGAGGGAGCGATGGATCTAATTTCGTATGATCCCATGGGCTCTTCTGTTATCTCCACTTGCCTGGAAAATTTCTTGGTTACCCCAAGAAGCAGGCGGCGGCAAGATAATTGAGACATTCATGAGCATCTATTGACTCTAGACTGATAGACTTCGGGACAACGAGCAAGCGTATAATAGATACAAGATTCGGCCCAGAGTTCTAGTCAATGTTCAAAACATTGACGTTTCATCTGAGATATTCGGCACAAAGGTAACCGAAACCACCTGGATACCATTAAACTGCCTCTGAAGAGCAAATTTACTTATTGCGCAAATGTGAACCATTCAGGTCGATTTCCCCGTAGGATTCAGTCCATCAGCCATGCATAAGCTCGCCCATCCAGACGGGGAGATTGCAACATCACGAGCGGCCGCAAAAGCCGGAATCTCCATGTGTTTATCATCTTACTCGACTACTTCACTCGAAGACGTTGCCGCCCAAGGATCGGGAAATCCCTACATGATCCAGATGTGCGTTCTCAAAGACCGCAACATCACCTTGCAATTGTTAAAACGTGCCGAAGGTATGTTGAACTTCGAAAGAGGAGCAAAATGCCGTTGCAGGCTGGATACTAAAAGAACTATTCTTTGCATAGCGGCTGGATATAAAGCACTCTTCCTTTCTGTTGACGTCCCGGTGCTTGGCCTCCGTCTCAACGAATATCGCAACAAGTTCAGGCTCCCGGACGACATGGCGTACCCTAACATTTGCGCGACAATGAAAGATGAGGAGGAAAACCCAGGTCGCATTGACTACGGTATGTTAACTACGGATCCTGTCACCGGCCCAAGATATAAACGCCCGCGAAACAATTGCTTGATGATAAATGCTGACTTGCTTCAGATTCAAGCTTAGACTGGGAATCCGCCGTTCCATGGCTGCGCGCAAACACCAAGATGCAAATTTGGCTCAAGGGAGGTATGTCACTTGCATTCCCCTTCCCAATTTCCAAGATTGACAAGGAGACAATCCATCTGACATGAGTGGCAGTATCTTCCCCCGAAGACGTCGCTACTGCGATCCGGTGGAAGCTCGATGGAGTAGTCATCTCTAACCACGGCGGACGCCAACTCGACGGTGTTCCTGCCACGCTTGACGCTCTTCGCGACTGTGCACCCGTCGCATCAGGAAAGATTCAGATTGCCGTTGACGGCGGTATTCGGCGAGGATCCGACATCTTCAAAGCACTCGCGCTGGGCGCGCAGCACGTTTTTATTGGACGAATCCCGTTATGGGGACTTGCTGTATGTTCCCCCGGCCCCATAGTCCCACTATTCGTCAGGGCCCGAAAGCTAACGTGTTATATCTGATGAACAGTACAAAGGCGAAGAGGGAGTCACGCTTGCCATCAACATCCTCAAGAGGGAGCTGATTACAACAATGGGCCTCGCGGGCTGCCGATCCATTAGCGAAATAAACCGTGGCCATCTCTGCGTTCTCGGCATCGATGGCGGTTTGTCCAAGCTGTGAGCTTGGTACATATTGCATTTCCATTCTATTCGCATTCATTTCATTTCATTCCCTTTCGTAAATATTTTCCTTCCACGGGTATCTGTACATTTATTCATGCAGGCATATTGGCGAACCCGGTTATTAGGTTCTACTGCATCTTGTCCGTTTTTGCGAGGAATAGCATAACTATTGTATGTATACCTCATAGACTATATCATATCAACAAATATCAATCTACATTCTAAACGGTCATATATTCAAAGACACTAGCAAACAATATTTAAGTCAAAAGTATTGTTTATTGCGTGAATGATTATCGTTCTCTGTCGCATATTATCATTATTATTTCCCTTTCCATTTTTCGCCGGGAAGAAGACAAAAAAACAAATAAAAAAAATAAAACATCAAAGAGTAGGAAAAAGGGGAGAAATAATAAGAATCGAATTTAAAGTGTAAGGGAGGATTAGAAAGAAAAACGAGACCTTTTTGAAACTTTTTTGTGCCCCCATTTCTCTTGTGCGGTGGCTAAAAGTAATGTAGATGCGGAAATGGACCGAATTCAGTATGACGGACTGCGAAACGTAAAGTCGTTAAATGATTTAAACGTATGAGAGGAAGTCGATATGGTAAAGCCAAGTCAATGCTTGTATGCGACATGCAACGTGATGGAATGCCCTGTCCAATGACAAGGGGAAAAAAAAGAAAAGAAAAGAAAAGAAAAAGAGGCTCATGATGCTTCAGAGTGTCCATTTGTCCTACGAATGGCGAAAAGATTTAGAAGAAAAAAAAGAATAGAAAGGAAAATAATAAAATAAAATAAAGTCAATTAAAAAAGAAAAAAAATTGGGGGAAAGGGAACTAAGAGATGTTTTAAAGCTTAAAAGCAAAATAAAATGCAACTGATGGAAGCAAGCTCGTCAAGAGACTGTGCATCATTCCCATTGCTTCCACGTCTCGACAATGCGATCCAACTGAGCGGCAGTCATATGATCATCCATCAATGCATTATGTTCTTGTCCAAAGACAACCCTATGCTCTGTGAGTCCCGGCTTGGTGCGAATCAATTGCGAGAACTCCTCTTGCAGCGCTTCTTCGACTTGTTTTCTGCGTCTGGCCTGATCGACGAGATACTCGAGATCGTCTCGACTCGCTGCAAGTCGAAAGATGGTGCGCATCCTCTCTGAATACAGCTGGCAGCTGACGGGCTCGTGCTGAGGCAAGAGGCGCCGAGGATGAGGATGGAGCTGTCGAGCGACCCATGATCCGCGCTTGGCCTCGGGGAGGACGACATCGAAATAGCATTCCTCGCAGACGGTGAAGTGTGGAACGTCGCTGATGAAATGCCACAAGTTGCCTTGGAGCCGGTCGTCCTTGCGACATTCAGGCAGGTCGAGGCGGGCGTCGATGAAGGAAACAAGGCGGTCGGTATCGGGGGGCGTGCGCGAGATGCGAGACTGCTCGGAGATGTACTCGAGCGTCTCGATATATGCTGCGAATCGAGTGCTGCTGGCTCGGAGACCACATGATTCCGCTCCGTGCAAGTTCGGCAGCTGGATGCGCTGGAAAGTACTGGATCCTCGGAAGCAAGGAAAGATGGCGCCGACTAATGCAATGCAGCGCGGACAGACTAGAAAGTCCTCGACAATGTCGCCGCCACTGTCGACAGGCGCACGCCAGTGCGAGCATGTTCCCATTTCGCCGGGACATGGCTCCTCGGTAGACATGACGTGAAGAACGGCAAAGATGAGGCCAAGGTTACCAAGGCGCCGCCGGAGTGTCAAGATCCATGCCATTCGCACCCAGCGGAAGCTGAACATGCACTTTGAGCGAGTCCCTGGTGGTTTGGGTGCCGAAGGCTTGAAAAAATCTTTAAACCCTGCAGGCCCAAATACGGTGTCGAGGCACGAAGGGCATATGTCGTACTTTGGGTAATCTCTCAGCGTATACCAGTCATTGTATCGCGAAGATGGACGAGACCGACGGCAGATACGAAGAGCTTCTAGTTGTGCCTTGAAAGAAGGCGTTGGCTGAGCCATGTGTGAGCTGATTGGATCGTGATATGCTGGTGAATGTGAAAACCCCGGGGGTGGATTATGATGATGGTGGAACGGTGCTTGAGCATGCAATGGAAATGTTTTTGGCGAAGGCGCCCGATCGCTGTATGAGGCAGATCTGGGACCCAACCGTGGGGGAGGTTGCAGAAACGGGGCTTGCTCGCGAAGATAAATAGGAGCTGAAGGAGTCCGTCTATGGGATGAAGGTGAGCTAATCTCGATTCGTGGGCGTTCAATCGGGAAGGTAGAGTGTCGGGGAGAATTCTTGCCAAATCCGTATAATGAAGGCTCGTCTGGATCAACTGGAGTTGGATACTCATCATAGAACGACTCTTTTGAGTGCGAGTTCAAGTTTTTGTATGGTGAGAGTGGCGACGGCGGTCGAGGCGAGATAGCTGGTGAATGACTTCGATGCTTATTCACTCGCAGATAGTGATCCTTTTCACTTCCATGGGAAATGTATCCTGGAGAGTGTGGGGGAGATGGTAAAACTGAGGGTGATCGAACTTCTGCCTTGTTTTCGCTTGCTCCCCAGCTCTGAGCGGAAGATCTGCCGCTCCATGAAGAAGGCCTTGACTTTCTTTCATGAGAGTCATAATAAGTTTCGTGACTGATTGGTGACGAAGATCCGCCACTCATTGAACCATGCCAGCCGGGTCTGTCGCCATTGGCCGACCGTTGTCTTGATGTTGACAGGTGCTCTGACGGTGGCAGACTGTTGAGATATTTTTCCCATTGTTTCTCTCGTTGGTATGATCCATCGCCTTGTAGGGACGATACTCTCCCATGTGGTGCGGCAGTAACATCGTTCTCGCGCCAGGCGCTTGAACTATACTGCTGACTGTCAATCGATGGTTGCCAGGCGGAAGAGCCTGCCTGGTAATTTTCATTCGACTTCTCCCGAGACGAAGCCGGACTGGAATGCTTCACGTTTGGAGGTTGAACCTCAGTTTCCAACCCGACAATTTTTGACGACTTATGAGTATTACCTTGTGAAGGGATAGCAGTTTTAGAGTAAGCATAAGGCGACGGTTGTCGACGAGGTACATGGATAACATCGTCATCATTGGTGTCATCTAATCTTGAGCCTGCCTGCGTTGCCGGCGGACCTTGATGCTTCGACAACCCGTCTTTCCGTGCATCAAAGCTACTTTGCACATCTTTTTGGCGCTCAGATGTTTTGGAATTGTGGGGTGGATCGGCGCGGGGAAGAACCTCCAACAGAATCGGCTGCTGATCGACGGTCCCACGTGAGGGCACCTCACCGCCATTTGGATCGGAGGAGCTGAGAGAATCAGACGAACCCAGTTCTTTGGACAATGCTTCGGTCTCATCCTCCACTGAAGGTGAAGGTGGCCATCTCCTTCGCTTGGTCACATTCCGAGTGATTCTGTAACTGGACATTGTGTCTTGCGAATGATCACGTCCACGAGGATGACGAGAATAATCCATCTTAGGAATTCTCACGTCACTAAGACATTAATCAGCATACTATCGAAATGAAATTGTACTAATAGGCCTTGAACATGCTATATTACCTGGTGTAAGATCTCGTCGTTATTTGTGGACGTGAAAGTTCTGGCGCTGGTTGTCGTGAATAAGCATGGCTTGAGGATGAGCGTCTGCGAGGTCGCGTGCCAGGCATGTCAACGGTTCAAGCGTAGCACAAAAACGATGAGCCAAAATTCACCATGGAAAATTATGAAGAAAACAAATGCAGAAGCAGCTCTAATGAAGAATTGCGATCATTCTGAGAGGATATAGGCATTTGGCCATGCTCATTAACCAGCGCTGTCCCAACGGTCCAAAAGTTTTACGTACGGAGTAGGACAAGAGGTGGTGTCAACTCTTCCCAACCGGCCCGCATACACTTGGACTGACGTATTTTATTCACAGACAAGTCTAGATCGTCAGAAGATGATTGGTTTCTGCGTTGCATAAAGACGGGCTGACCGCTAAAAAAGAAAAGAGCATCGAGGCAAGGATCATTTGGTGTGTTATTCGACTGCGTTATAGGTACTTAAAGTCCGGGGAGCACAATGTCATGCACCTGTACTCTTTTGCGTTATCGTGGTTTTACTATTGTGTCGGTCAGACTTTATACAATAGTCATCAAAGGGAGCCTCATTTCTGCTACGCATCAAGGTCCATTCTACACAGTCTTCACCCCCGTTCTGTCGTGGTCTTTGTGCCGGATGTGGTTTGTAAAGAGGGTGTTGCAAAAAAGGGACCCTCCACAACCGATTGGATCCTCTGAGCGAGATCGCCCCAGTGGCGACCAAACAGCTTCAAAGCCGAACATCTCCCTGTCCACAAAGGGCCCCTTTTGAATCCGGCAAGAAAATATCCAATGCTAGAAGATAGACTTGGTGAGCGACCAGCTTCTATGACATTGTCTTTCCAGGAAGGACAAGACAAGGGTTGACGATGATGATCTTGTCGCGGATTGTAGCACAGAGTGCGTATTATTCGACAACGAAATACCAAATGCTGCCGACGCGTCAAGTATTCTGTAGCCCGAAAATAAGAAAAGTGTTTGCCACGCCCTCATGCACAGAGCGTCGCGAAAAATCTCCCGACTCCGAAAATGAATAGAAAAATAAGACCTCCAGAATGCACGTTCCCGAGAATTAAACGATAACGTAAATTATTCCGAAGTGAGCTGTCTGGAGAAAAGCGAGCAGTTGTCCAAAAACTTTGTGATACCCACCGCGTAAACAATCCCCCAATACCAAATTACTCCATGCCTGTCACTAAAACCTTTGTTGAAAATCCAACGACCACAGTAATATCATAATGATCCCGAGAAATGAGACGATACTCAAACATGCATATCATTCCGGTATCAGAAACTGCTCAATCTCCTTATCTGACTCTGTCGGATCTTCTTCAGCGCGTCGTCGCTCTTCCTCGTCCAGGATTCTGCGAATCAACTGTCGCTGTCTTCGCCTAGCAGTCTGCCCCCAGCTCGGACCGACAACGCCAACATCCTCTTCCTCGCTGTCTTCAGGAATGCCTATTTGACCTCGTAAGGAGTTTGGCGATACGGCTGCAGGACTCGAATGCGACTCTTCGGAGTCGAGCTTCCTCTCGTGGTCTTTTGCTTGGAACCTGGCTCCCAACTGAATAAGATATGGGCGAAGTAAGCAATATCCGCCAATAATGATGACCAGACGAATGTAATCGTAGACGGTCAGATTGGCAAGCGACCTTGACACATTGTGATGGAGATTGCTAGCCCACGCGTTGATTTGTGCCATAGCGATGCCGCACCGTTTATTGCGCGGTAGAATATGTATTATTGATTTCAGCTGAACAACACAAGAACACTGAACATCAGCGAGCGATTCGAAAAAAAGCAATTTGAGAATCACAAGCAAAAGATCAAAGCTTGGAATAATAAAGGAAAGAAGCTCTGAGAAGCAACGCAAAAGGACAGATGAATGATTCCCAACCCGGAGAATAGAAGAATCTGGGGTAGCTCTGTTGCCTGTGAATACCCCAAGGGACCCTTTAACCAATAGAGTCTGGTATGTCTCTTAGTTAAACCCCGACACGCTAGACCTTGTTCACATCAGTAATGCCACGGCAACTCCCGCTCTCTCTTCCCTAACGCGAAAGAACGCGGATATCTCCATTCGGTGCGCGTTCAAATGATAACGCTGCATAAAATGTTGTGTATACGCATTATCACCTTCAATCAATCGATATGACACCCTAAATTCTTCAGTGTCTATCTTAAAAAAGTAGATGTTCCTCTGCTGCTCGGTACACCTTCTCAGTATATAAGTGCATCTTTCCGAGCAAAATACCGAATCAAATATTTTAGAGCATCATCATGGCAGAGCTATCCGAGAGCGAAGCACTCGAGCAAGTCAGTCCTCTGCTATCTTCTATTTGGATTTTCATTTCACATTTGACATGTTTAATCTAATCCGTAACTTATACGTATGAAGTTACTAACAATTATCATTTGGAGATAGAGGCTCAAGTCAGCACTATGGTACTCCATTGGCAAGATTGTGGACGAGGAGTCGTTGAAACTGGACGTAAACGCCACGCCGCAATTCATTGGAGCCTTGACAGAGATGGTTTGGGCACAGATTGGTATGTCGTCTCCCGCATAGTGTTCGCTTCTCGTTCTCCTGGTGGGCTGGTAGCATAACCTTACTTTTCCGGCGTATCTGCCGGCTCCTTTCATCCTATCCGCCGGTTGAGTGAGCAAGGGATTGAACAAAGAACTAAATTAAATTCGGAATGATCGATAGAAACCGTGAGCAAAGATCTCGAAAGTTTCGCAAAGTACGTCTTGTATTGTGATCATTGTTATTCTATTCCTCTTTCACCCATATTCTGCCCTGTCGAGTTCGGGGCGTAACTCCACTTTTGCCTTTCTAGGTACAAACGCGGATGCAGTTGAAGGAATACAATGGGAGAACAACTACGAGAGAGCAAAAACTGATAAGATTTAATCCTAGACACGCCGGCCGAACAACCATAACAACAGACGACGTACTACTTCTCACGCGCCGAAATGAAGGGCTGGAGAGCTTGATCCGATCGTTCGTCGACGGATTGCGTGGTGCCAGCCAGGGTGGGCGCGGCGGGCAGGGAAAGTCTCGCCGGAGATAGTAACCATTACGAATTCGATCAGATTCCCGAAAAATTTGCGGCGTTCAGGCGTAATAATATCCCAAAAAAGGGTATCTCAATTTGTAGCATCTGAGCGAATTGAACATATAAGATATTATACCATTTCATGACTTCATTTCCTTGGATATTACATGAACTGATTTGGAGACTATAAATACATGAGATTGAGAAGAAGAAAGTAGGAAAAGTTCAAGTGGTATTATATGTCGTTACAATCCAGGATAGGAAAAAGGTTCCATTGTTGAAACATGGTCGTCGCCACAATGGAGAAAAATCCAAGACTCGTGGCATCTCTTGAGCAGTCAAATGCCAAAGATATTGGGCGCCAATTATAGATGTGCGCGCAATCAAGTCGAAAATCTGCATTGCGTCGTCTCATAGCCTAATTAAGGCTTGGGAAAAAGAAGTTCAACGCGGCAATGACATTTAAAAGTGACCCCTTGTAGCGCCGTAGTTGGTCGTGGGCGAGGTGTAATAGCCATGCGAGTTATCGACACTGGGAAGCGTCGGCTCCGGAGCGTACTTGTAGCTGTGGTCTGGCGCAGCCATGGTTGAACCCGTGTATCCAGTCTCGGCAGACGGGCGCATGTCGGCATGAGGCTTGTCCGAGTTGATAGTTCCGAGCTCGGCAGCGGCACCATTGCCATAGGCGTCTCTGGTGGTCTTAGGTCCGCGGCGTCTTCTGAAGAAAGGCTTGCGGCCAGCGCCTCCGGTGTAGTTGTTTGCGGGAGAGGGACCAAAGCGCTTGTCCTTTTGGTGGTGCTTTCTCAAAGCGAGCTGCAAGAGGGCAGAAAAGATGAAGAGCATACTAGATGACGTCAGTAAAAGAATTTCCTCTCATCCATGCAGGACTCTGAATGCGATCAAAACCTACATGTTGATAATAGCGACGGCAAAAGAGGACTTCTCAAGTTTGCATGCCTGGCCAAGGTTCGGCGCGTAGGTAACAGTATCGCCGTGGTGGAAACCGAATCCATTCTTTCCGTAGCCCGGGTCGCCACTGTTCGCAGGGCCAGATCCGAGAGGGGTATTAACATTGCCGGTGCAGCTGCCGACGCCGTGACGGGTCAAGATGGCAATAGCGACGAAGCATCCGACAAAGCAGATATCCAGAAGAATAGCGACGAGGGCGAAGAAAGTCACGCCGCCGAGGAAGCAGGTAAAGAGGATGGCTAGAATGGTATAGAGAACCGCAGCGCCCGACATGCCCTCAACCGCTTTCATCCATCTTGCAATGGTCAAGTCACGGTTGGCCAAGACAGCCAAGTAGTAAGAAAAGATGGCGAGGATGAGGGCGGAGGCCAAGAACTGGATGCATCGTAGCGTAGTGGCCGTGAGTTTAAGCGTAAGACCGCCTAAACCCATGATGATGGTGATATTTCAAGAGTGAACTTTTCTCCTTGGTGTCGTCGTCGACGACTTTTCCTCGTGGACAGAAAGGTTGTTGTGGCAATAAAAAGTCGACAAGGGGGTTGTGGGAAAGGGGAATGAGGGGAATTAAAGAAGACGGGGAAATGGCGGTCTTTTTCTCTCCAGGGTCTGTAAAAAGCCCTTAACGCAAGGTTCTAACACTTTTCAAGTCCGGTTACTACGTTGCTACTGGGGATAGCACGCGGGTACCTGTGAGCAAATACACAGGCTAAGCAAGTTTTCTGCTCTAGGGCTTCGGATTTCATCTAGCGGAAAACCATGGCATCATTGTCTCCTCAGTCTGGACCCACTGGGTACTTTAATCTACTCGCCAAGAGTTTGATTATACTTGGGCTTGCGAATATGACGTAGTATTCTGTACGGCCAACGATTGTACTTGGAGTAGTGAAAGAACCGATTAACTTCACAAGTTGCCGAGACACATTCCAGCACAAGCAAGGGACAACGAGCAAGGGAAGTACTCTGCACACAAGATTGAGTACACTTCAAGTACTTATCTGCGCATTCTGCAACACAGTAGGGCAGGAAAAAGTTGAGGGAAGGGTGGGTAAACTGATGACGCAGCGTCCGCCAAGCGAGATGAAGATGGGGAAGAGAAGAGATTGCGACCAGATTGGCTTGACAATCGGTAAGCGAGCCAATTGTAATTTTGCAAAGTAATTGTGGCTTGGCCCTTCTAGTGTCGTGGCTCAATCGCCTGCGCCTCACACAGCCCCTGCTCGACTCTGGGGAAAGCGACCGAGCTTGCATCATTTGCCAGGCAACAAAGTATCTTCTCTTCAATAAGGCAGCAACCTCGAGCCTCTTTGACACCAAATCCATAACAGGAGACTAAAAGAAATATTGGTACATTCGTAAAACGCCAACCATTCTGGTACCCGCTGTCCCAGATCTTCCGATTAACCTATTAAAAGTGCTGAATCAATGCACAATAACTGGTACCCTACGCTTGAGCGCTCATGTCCACCATGATCTTCACATGCCGATCCTTCTCGTTTATCAAGGCTTTGTAGCCATGTTCCTCAATGTCATCCAGCTTAATTTTGCTGGTAATCATATTGCGTGGGTTAAGCTTCCCTATAATCCTGTTAGCTAATAATAGAACTATTTTGATCTTCTCCGGACTCTTTGACCAACCTGTAGCGAGGGCGTCAATGACGGCGGGAAAGTCTCCGCGAACAAACGTGGCCGTGCCCATATACCGCTTCTCTCGAAACACAAAAGCGTCTGGAAGTATGGTAGCTTTCCTGCCCCATACTGCGACATTGACAAGTGTGCCTCGAGCTCTCAGTGCCTGAACGCCAGCGTCGAGACCGACTTGGACCCCTGCACAATCGAATACCAAATCTACACCATAACCGTTTGTTAGGTCACGGCATTCTTGCACCACATCAACTTTGGTAGGGTCGAAAACGTGCTTTGCACCAAAATTTTTCGCATACTGTTGTCGCTGGGCCGCTACTTCGGAGACGATGACGTTTTTGGCACCTCGCGCGATCAAACATTGTAACATTGCTAATCCAATCGGCCCACCGCCGAGAACCAAAATCGTATCGTCTTCCTTAAAAGGGCTGATGGAAATGGCATGCCATGCGACAGAAAGGGGCTCAATCAAGGCTGTAAATTGATCAGCTATTGAGATTTATTTTGCTATCAAGAGAGATCTTACCTCCGATGTCCATCGGAATGCTTTCTGGTAAGACGTATACTGCATCTCGTGGAGCCGTCATATGCTCTGAGAAGCCTCCGCCCCATCCTAATGCTCATGAGTGACATGCTCAATGCGATTCCACGAGATCCCACTTACCGCTCACTCCGATGAAACCGTTTTGGTAGCAACAGTTTATGAAGCCATCTTTGCACGCTCCACAAGTCCCATCATAGATGATTGGCTGCACCACAACATGCTGGCCCGGCTTAATGTCATGGACATCCTCTCCCACCTCTTCTACCACTCCTGTGAACTCGTGCCCGACGACCAGCGGGGCCTTCTCTTTGGTAATGGGATGTGGCGTGGTGGGGATCAGATTGGGGCCATGGACATATTCATGAAGATCTAGAATGATTAGTTCAAAGGCTCCTTATAATTGAAAACCGCGTCGCGAACTTACCAGTCCCACAAATTCCGACAAAAGCTGGCTTGAGCTATTGTTACAGTCATTTTGTCAATTAATGTAGTTATAAAGCATGTCGCGTATCTTCAGGTCCCACCTTGATCTGATTTTTCCCACAGACGGGAATAGGAATCCGTTCGAGGCGAATATCTTCTTTTCCGTAATACCTCAGCGCCTTCATATCATCAGACTCAAACTTTCCTTTCGCCATGATGCTCGAATCTAGATTTGAACTGTGACTTGTCGCAGAACTATAGGGAGGCTGATTTTCATAATTTAACCCTCTGGAAAAACCAATGCTCATAGAAGACCGATTGCTGGATTCAAAATGCGTTCGTTGACCGAAGACACGAAAGCCCCAGACCCCATAACGCGGGGTTCCCGTGTGGGGAAGTTGCCGCCAAATCTTGGCCGCCAAACGAACCATGGTGAGCAGAGTGCCATTGAAACACGCCTAAAAAAACAACAACCCGAATAGCGTAGCACATGAAGCCTTCGCTGAAAAAAGGAGGGGTGGGAAGACGCCTCAAGTAGAAAAGGGTCATCTGTTCGACTTCCCCCGCAATTTGAGTTTCCCGTCAGCGGGCCAGCTAAACCGAGTTTATTAGTGGTGGGGAAAACGAACATCGTGAACCCCGAGCTCCGCGACCTCCCCGGATCGCATGACGCGATGACGAAAAAAGACTGTCACACAGGGACCAAAGGAACCCTGTTCTGTTGAGGCCAAGCAGTCCATTCAAGCGGAATACGATCCAGTAGGACAGCATGCTACTGTGCACGCGCGGATCGTTGCCGATCTCCTCGTCCTGTCGCCCAAATTTGCATGTTAAGAAATACGATTAACTATCTGAGGGGAAATTGGATCTCCATGCAATCATGTCACCACCCTATAACAATGCGTGAGCCATTTCCCAGGTTGTGACCCCACGCCAACGGACTTGTTCTTATGGTGCTTCTCCGACTTATCGTACTCACCAACTCTCTACTATAAGCTGTAGGATCTCGGAGTGTTCTATCCGAACCAATCAGCCCTAGCGAGACGAGGAAATTCTCTCTTTTGACTTATGCTCAATAACCAGTTCTAGGGCTAACTATTAAGCTCGCTTTTAGCTCTACCGGTAGTCACAACTGCTCCTCAGCTGCATCTTTAAGGCTTGGAGACTTGAACCCTGCGTATTACTGACCCTTTTTCTTTAGTGCTCTACGGAGTTGTATCCTACCCACCTAAATTATGCAATCAACGTTTTGCAAATAATCACGTACAAGAGCCGCAGCAGAGAACATGTTTGTCGTCAAGAACAGACCAAATGTGGAGACAACGGCAAAGAATTTCCCCATCGCTCATATCATTTCACTTTTGACTCGGTCGCTTGACATAATATGTTAATTTTTCGGAACATAAACTTCATTCAGATTTGTTCAAATTTGATGACAATTTACTCAGAGGCCAATAGCTTCACGAAGAGGCTACGCAAACTACCTTCTTGCGCAACGACCGACTTTCTTCGTAGAGGAAGAGTCTTCTACTACCTCACAATGCCCGAGCACCGTGACATTGGTCTGAGAAAAATAAACCAATGTGTCCCTTTATGCCTTCCCAGGCATCTTCTTCTGGAGGTTCGTTGAGGCCCGGAATTCCTCAGCAGCTTGCAAGATCTGCTTGCCCATCCACATCAGCAACTTGGCTTTGCGATTCTCCATTTGAGGGATAAGGAATAAGAGTTATAGCTGTGACCGGGAATGGAAAGTGGCTTGGATGAAAAATTTAACTTACCTCTTTAAAAGTCCCGACTGCCTTTTCAATTCGCTTTGAGATCCAGGCCTTCCGAGTTCTCCACGATTCAGCCTTGGCGCCCTTGGCAATATTCTTGATATGGGTTCCAAGAGTTTCATAACTTTCCGCTTGAGTGGAAAATAGCATACTCAATTCTCCCATGGCCTCGATGGCCGAGCTCATCTTGGGGATCAATTCATTAAATTGGAAAGTCAGCAATTTGACATGCTTCAGCAACTTCACAATGTCTGCTCGTTTGGACTGAGACTCGTTCTTTTTAGACTCTTGGGCCTCATATGCTGCTCGGGCTTTGATGGCTTCGTCCGTCTCGATACCCATGGCAATCCATCCCAATGGCCCGAACCACGCCGTGGTCGCTGCAATCGCAGTAGCCCTCACCTACAGGGGCATGGAAAAGTCAACAAACAGTCTCGAAAGCGACGGGGCGCAATGGCGATTGGTCAATCGCAGTACTGCCTTCTGATGAAGTCCGTTACTTACCCACTTATCCCATTCTTTCTTGGATTTAGTGACGGCATCATTGTAGTCGTTCAGCGCTTTAGTCGCCTCGGCATCCAGAAATGTCGCGTACGGTTGTTGCTTATTTCCATTGGCGTCTTTTTTTTCCGTTCCCGTTGAGCGGGTCGTAACGGGCCCAGTCTCGTACTGCTTGTGAAGAAAGTCGACCATGTCCTTGTCCAAGATGGTTTTGTTTTTAAACTGCCACGGCCATTAGCATTTTTACAACATCAGGTTAAGTCGGTCGGACTCAGAGCGAAGGGAAAGATACCGCAGTTAACTCGAGAATGATCTGGTCCGTTTCCTTCTTCTTCTTCTCCGCTTCTTCCTTGAGATTATCCAGGACGGCAAGCGCTGATTCCCTTGCTGCTTTATAATCTTCATCAATGTTTTCGGGCTTCTTGTACTTTTCATCCAACAGGACGTCAAGGTGCGCCTTCAAATTTATATCTTCCTCATCTTGGAGCGAGTCTATGGCCTCCTTGCAGTATGAGATGGCAGCATTGGACGCAACGACTAAAGCTATTGTTAACCCTCGAACTTGGGGAGTGAGAAGGACCGATTCATAACCGCTTACCCAGCTTTCCTAACGTCTTATCGTTGAACCCATGGCACGAATCTGAAATGCCCACAATGGTGTCTCTCGTTTGCTGTTGGGAGTGTAAGCAATCCGATTCTACAATGCTGGTAACGGTGTTCATAAGCATGATTCTTACATCATAAATCTCGGCATCAATGTTGATCAATTCGGAAAATGCTGATTTTGCCATTTTGGCCTCAAAGGCAGCATTTGTTTTAGGCAATTCCATCCCAGACATAACATATGTATGGAGATCTGAGGCCAGTCAGACATAGACAACTTGGAACGGTGGTGCTTCATCCGAGCTTTACCATAGTAGCCGCCAGTTTGAAGGATGAATTTTTTCTTGGTTCCACCGTCGGGATTCGCGGCATCTTGGATGACACGCTCTGGTCCTGTTACGAAGGCCTTCTCGAAGGCTGCCTTGGAAGACTTCTCGTCCGGAGTGACAGCAGTCCAATCATCCGCAAGAACTGTCATGATGAATGTTTCTCGGGTACAGATAACGAAGGGAAAAAGGGGGCAATGGAGATGAATAGATGTAAGATTCAGTGGTACGCTTTGAAGAATTCTCTCCTTGGAATTATTGGGAACAACATTTTCGAACGGAGATTCCTCCTGATATTAATAGTGTTGGCGATTCCTTTGTTTGTGCTTTCATTCTCTGGGAAAGCAACGTTGTCTTGATTTTTGGTTCGTAAGCTTTTGCTGATCATTTGTTTTACTTGATAGATCTGGCGCCGAGGGCAGCACGAGTGGCAATCCATAGATTGCTTGAATCGCGGCCGTCAACACCCGATATCCGATACAATTCAGCTGGGACCGTCATGCAATGACCAACTAACGGGTGCGAACCTATCTCCCTTCATGAGCATGGCACTAATAACTGGCGCTAGTTTCACGGCCTCGATGCTACTAATTCCAACACCACCGTCATTTCAGCGTCTAGTTTCCAGCCACTATCAATGCTCTCACGCCGATTTTTCAGCTGGAATGAATCGTCTTGTACATGGACTTAAAGAATCTTCAAGGTTTATGCTGATCGCTTCCCCTGAACAATTGCATGTCTGGTGCCAGTGATGTTATGGCTGCCTGCTCGCTTTTCTCTAGCACATTCGAACGCGGAAAAGTGGGCTTACAAACCCATGAATGAGGCGCTCAAGATGCTGCGTTGTCTATTCCTTCCGACTCTGAATTCGGATACGTGCATTAGTCGGGTTGTTTAAGCTGGCTTAGAGGAGGAGAGCTAGGGCAGTCCCGCTCTGCCGATCCAATGTCGGTGTGACGATGTCAAACCGGCTTCCGGCAACTCGATTGAACCAAATTTACTTATGGTCCCACGGGGGCTTTGCTTAGCGTTGATTAAACCCCACCTGAGTGCCAAACCGGCTTTCCGGGAGTGGAGGCGGCTGCTCCACTTGTATTCGGGTAGATAATCCACCAAGTCTCGGCTAGATCTTGATCTCGATCAGTTCTTATTCTCTAGCCAGGCGGCCCAAGCCAAAGCCGCAATTCTGTCGATCGTCAGATCAAGTTTGATTTTGGTGCAAATTCGTACACGGCCCCGGCAGAAATTCTTATTGGATCAAAGGAGACACGGTTAATTCCTGAAGAATCTCGATCCAAATCAAGCCCGACAACTAGCTTCTCACTAAGATCTACGCATTTCAACCACGGAACGGAGCTGGACCCTTAGTCTAGTCCGGAGCATGATAGGTCCGTATCTCGTTTTTGCTTCTTTCCACTCAAGCGACTCTTGCAAAAATTGCCGCCTCTGCGCCCCTAACCAGCTCAAATCAGGATCAAACCACAGCCATTTACGTCTCATGTCGAGTCTTTGCCTCCACTCTCAAGGGGCATCGCCCAATCAATGAGATCTTTCAGGACTTACGTCGGTAGGATTCGTAAGTAGCAGATACAATGCATTGATCCCTTCCGTCAGTATAATCTCATAATCGAATCTGTTTTTGCTGATCATATCTGGAGCATGACGTATGAACTTCTTCGCAAAATGGCAGAGCCATAGTGGAATTGCCATTTTCAAAGAGGCCTGCAATATTTAAGAGAGAGCCATTGCCCATTATGTGCAACAGATATTTCTTCAACATAAATCTTTTTCGATAAATCAACTCTTGCATTGTTCTTAGCTTTTGTTAGGTGACAAAATACCGATTTGAAAACCATGGCACACCCAAAATTCCATATTGCGCTGGACGGCCCAGCCGACAGCAATTTTTCCTCGTTTCCCAGTACCGATTTGGAGAATGGTGATCCTTCAAAGATTAAACTCCAAATGATTCGTGTCAAAAGTGGCGTGTATGTGTCCTCATCTGGAAGATGAGCAGTGCCAGTGATCGCTGATTCCAATTCAGGTCACCTAAACTTCACTTTTCTACGGATGGCAAAAACCGGATCTCTGATGATACGACCTTGGAATACTACATTTCATTGACAGAATCAGTAAGCATATCCACTATAGCGCTTGTAATGGAAAAATATGACCGAGGTCATCTCTGATCATATATTATAGAATAGCTCGAAGTTCTCAAAACCTGCTACCCCCACCAATGGCACGGGAAATAGCGGTGCCGCTGGAAATGGTGCAACTGCTGGAACAAGCTCTGGAAGCAACACCGAGAATACGGGCAATGCTGGAAATTCTGGCAATGCCGCCCCTCCCACGACTACCGTACCCACCATCATTATACGGGTGATATCCAATGCGGAAAAGGATAAACCGTCTCTCGTTGCTCAACCGACGTTGCAAAAGGCCCTGAAAGACTTCTTGAATGAACACGACGATAAGAATGGAGTGAAGCTAGGGAAGATGCTGTCAATTCCACCGGAGATGCGTCAGCTTGCGGGTCTGCAAGGAAATTGGGCTGCTACTGCAGGGTAAGTCAAAGTCTAACATGCTCTTCTGCCATCTCTGCTTCCAATAAACCACCTACTAACAAACCTTTTGTTTTCACATACAGCAAAGCAGGCTTAAAAGAGCCAGGAGATTTGACTGAACAGGAGTGGGATAGAGTGTTGACTAACAATCGGGCTCTGCATGGGTATACATATAATGCTAAACTGGGTACTCTCGTGCGAGCTCCAAGACGAGGTATGGAAACCAATTTTCGCCGTACTACTATTCTTTCTTTTCCATTACTGATACAGCTCTCTCTCTCTCTCTAGCGTTTGAAATTCGCCCTGAAATACAGACAAGCGGCGATAAAAAAGTGAGTTCATCCTCCTTCTACGTCTTATTGTATAATAAAAGCTAAATTTATCAAGGCAATTCTTCCTGGAATTCCTCCATTTTACGTTCACGATGACGCGCAAGTAACGGTAACAGAAGTTCAGACAGCATTCCAGTCTACCATGGCGAACGAAGGTTTTTCTTCAACTGCAGTTGAAGCCAATTTGTAAGAACTCTATGCTCTAACCTTATTTCAAATACACTAATGTCTACTGTGTGTAGGGGTGCTGCACCGTTTGGCTCGGCTGCTTCTGCATCTGTCGCATGGGACACGGAGAATTCTTACGCAAAGCAGAAGGCACAGTCGCGCAGGGTTGATTCTCTGGACGTAGCGTACAAAGTAAGTTTACAGGACATTCCATATCACAGAAGCTTTCAAATGATAATCATGAATGGCTAACGTCATAACAGTTTCCACGAGTGGTTGTCGAACTGGACCCGGACTGTTTGCAATTGACTGCGCAGTGTCGAAAAGACGCCATGAATGTATCAGATGAGGCCGGAAGAGATAAGTTTTACAAGAAATACGGTACGCGATTGACACACCCTTCTAGGCGTTGACATGGTAGAAGAAATCCATTGCTCACATAAGACTTTCCAGGTAATGTCTTCATCAGCACCTTTACTTTAGGTGGATATTTGCACAGTACCCGGCATCTCACCGAGGAAGAAAAGAGCAGCCTTGACCAGACCAAGGAGAAGACTCGTGTTGCTGCAGGGTTTAGTTTTTCTACGCCCAAGGCTAGCGGAGGCGCGAGCTTTTCCAAGGTGGATTCCAAGACCGACACAGAAGGCCAGAACTCCATGAATCAAGCGTTGCGCCTGACTTGGGAAGCTCGCGGTGGCGACACACTTTTGTGCTCCAAGTAAGTCAAGCATCAGAACGAACTCCTTACGTAAACAAAGCTGATCGTGGCCTCCAGCCCTCCTGCATGGGCCAATACGGTAAAGGATTTCAACTCGTGGCGACTCATGGAAGTGAGTTATCGAATAATGATCTTTTCTCGGACAATGCTGATGATAATATAGCAACGCCAAGCCGTTAGCATGCGCTTTCTGATCCGTGACGTCGATACAATCGCATACGAAAACCTCGTTAAACCTTCCAAACAGAACAATCAGGGGCGAGATCCATTCAAGGATGAGAAATTCCTTGATGATATCCGTGACATGCTTCTGGAAGCACTGAGCAACCCAGAGACGAATGCATTGGCCAGAAGGATGCAAGACTTCTACGAGGGTGATAAGTTCAATCTCGAGGCCTACCACGCCTTCCTCAAAGAGATTGATGATGAAGAGCTTGCCATTAAAAAAGATATAAAGTGGACCGCCCTTGCCACGGAGCAACAACAAGGTGTTGGCTTGTGGATGGTGAAGTTGGGGATTATTAAAGTGTGAACACCTGAGGATTATAGGCAGTTCTATCAATATTTTGAAGTTTTTTCATGTAAATTAAAAGACAAAAACAATTCGGGTGTGAAGAAATGCTGCTTATGAACTCCGATAACTTAGAGAAATAAGTCAACAATGTTGCTAGGGAAATGGATCGATTGATAAGATCTAAATTGATGCGATAAGTACTGCGTAAAGCTTCTGCAAGGGGGGGAATTCTCCGTACAGTGGCAATGCTTACGCCATACATAGCAATCCAATACCACTTTGCCTACCTATCATCATCTGCTTTGTTATCGCCCAACCTCACTGAACCAGTGAAGTAGGACGGAGGAAAAGGGTAGGGTATTTTCTACCTGTCAGTTCTCCTCCACAGCGCCAACTTTTTTCCAACTCCAGTAAAAAATCCGAGCTCAACAGCCGCGTGAGCTCCACATGCACACGCTAGCGGACGGCAAGCTCTTGATTCCTTTCCCAACCGGGGAAAATGCCCCAACTACGTTACAATGGATCTTCAGCCTTTGTTAGCTCAGCGGGAGAAAACAATGGTGATCTCATTCGCTGTCATCATGTCGTTTCTGGAGTCGCTGTCATGCAGCCTTTGGGCTCTAGTTTTAAAATGAGTGACTGCGCTGCCTGAGTAATGACTTTTACCAAGGACGAGCTGCGCTCTGAGAGAAACCCGCGGTCCTCAATTATAATCTATTACAAAACTTGTTTTGTCTTTTACCAATTCGCACAAAATGGTGTATCCAAACAAGTTTGAAGGTTTTATGATCGAGTCCCAGGACAAATGGAGCGACTTTTCCAAGAAGGAGGTATGTGTTCGATGCCGCTTACTCTGTGATTAAGCTACCAAGCGTTGAAGAGAAACATGTAAATACTAACTCGAGACGCCTTTAGTTCGACCCCAAACCATTTGAGGACTACGACATTGACATCCAAGTGGAAGCATGCGGTGTCTGTGGAAGTGATGTTCACACCATTACTGGCGGCTGGGGGCCTTGCAATTTGCCCCTATGCGTCGGACATGAAATTGTTGGAAAGGCGATCAAGGTCGGCGACAAGGTATCGACGGTCAAGGTCGGCGACCGTGTCGGAGTGGGTGCGCAGATCTGGGCTTGCTTGAAGTGTAAGAACTGCAAGGCCGATAACGAGAATTACTGCCCTCATCAAGTCGGTAAGCTGCGTCCCTCAACTGTCTTTTTGGAGACAGAAAGTTGCGACGACGAGATCCCATCAGCGCTGATAATGGACCATTTCAGATACTTATAATGCGCCTTATCCTGATGGCACACTTTCGCAAGGAGGATACTCTAGCCACGTCCGCGCCCACGAATACTTTACGTTTCCCATCCCAGAAAACATTGCCAGCGAGGTAGCTGCACCGATGCTCTGCGCAGGTATTACCACTTATAGCCCGCTGGTTCGCGCAAAGATCGGTGCTGGCAAGAAGGTTGCCGTCGTAGGAATGTGAGTGTGATAATCCCTCCTTTGCCTGCTGTCCCTCACTTGCGCGCCTTTTACATCTCTTTCTTCTCCGAAGCCATGTTAACACGTTGCACAGCGGCGGTCTTGGTCATTTTGGAGTCATGTGGGCTAATGCCCTCGGCGCTGAAACATATGCCATCTCGCACACGCCCAACAAAGAAGCAGACGCAAAGAAAATGGGCGCCAAGGAATTCATTTGCAGCAAGGACAAGGACTGGGCTAAACCCTGGGCATTCACATTCGACTTGATCCTCAACTGCTCAGACATGACTTCTGAGTTCAATCTGCCCGAGTATATGAGCACGCTCGCCGTCAATGGTACCTTCCACCACTGCGGCATGCCAGATAAGCCTCTGCCACAGCTCAAAGTTCCGGACTTTGTTCCGGGCGGTTATGCAATGTCTGCGAACCACATCGGAAGCCGACCCGAGATTCTGTCCATGCTCAAGCTCGCTAGCGATAAGGGAATCAAGACGTGGGTCGAAAAAATTGACATTAGTGAAAAGGGATGCAAGGAAGCTGTGGAGAGAGTGTATAAGAATGACGTCCACTACCGGTTCTCCTTGGTCGGCTTTGACAAGGCCTTTTCACGACAGTAATTGTCTTGTGCTGTTGTCGAGCATTAACCGATTATGATTGACCGTTTACAAAAATAGGCGGAGTGGGCGTAAACAAAAGGTGTTTGAAGAATCAGTGGTAGAGGGTTTTGGAAGTATAGATACCAAGAAAAGGCGTTGACGAGAGGCTGAGGGGTTTAGTATGTATCTAGAAGCGATCTGGAGCTGTTATATGATGAACGAGAAATATACACGTTAGTACCGCGCGAAATGATTCATAGATGAGTGAGTAAACCAAAAAATAATAATAATAATAATATAAGTACAAATGCTATAAAAGTTCTGACCAGAATTAACGGTCGATACTCATTAAAACCATGGAGTTAATAGTATTTAAAACCCCGAATTTAACGGTGTTTAACCATACTTGGGATATTTTCCAAAAATAATAGTCATCGTTTTGACCCTACTTTCGATTATGAGCTTCATGAGCCCGAGCTCTTACTACTGAGCTAAGGGAGCTTTTGTTCAAAAGATATATAGATTTACGGCATATAGCTTCAAAAAAGTAGAAGTAATGTGCAAGCCCGGAAGGTGAACTTGAAGTTTTTCTACTATTGCTAAGTTGAAAACCCAATTACTTTTAACCATAAATTAGATTGAACTAAAAACCAATAACTAATTTTCATTGGTTATAACTGAAATTTTTGAAGCAGGTAGTGTAAAGCAGATTAAATAGTTTATATTCTGAGCAACTGTGGCTGATTGTAATTAACCGAAAAGTCAGCAAAATTTGGGCAAAAATATTTCGCGTATTTGCACTTGAGTATTCAGCAGCTCTATAGGTAAAGCGACTCTTCTAATTTCTTTGCTTGTTCCCTTTTTTGTAAAGGCTATATACATACATAGTCTAGTATTCTACAAACTCTTTGTGTCGGCATTCCTTTGAACAACTACGATTAAAACATCATTCAGAAAACATCTATCCACCTGTCAAACAACCGGCCTCTATTTTAGAAGTCTTGGTCACCGGTGTACTGACTTCAATACCCAGCTTGGCGATGTCCTCGGCCTTCATAGCCCGCCGGGCAGCAGCCGCTTCAGTGAGGGACTTGACTCCAGTGATGATGCCGAAAATATCAAAGAGTATACTCGATGGGTCCTCAACCAAGCTGTAGATACTCACGGCCACATCGCCCGAGTTACTAAGAAGCGACAGAATCGATGCAATTGCAGTCAGATCAGCGGCTTCAAAAGCTTCGCCAATGGCTGGAAGCACAAAAAGAAAGCTCGTAAGGAATAAAAGCGCCATTTCTTTCCTTTTCTCTTCCGTGATGTGTTTTGCTTCTTCGACCACAGCAGACATGGACGTGACAGACTGTGCTGTCATATAGACCGGTATGGCTGCGGCATCGACATAGTCGGCTGTGTTGCTGATAAAGGGAAAGTCCTGCTCGTCAAGAGCCACATCATTTAACATATTTGAAAAGACGGTCAGATTGTTAATGGAGTTTCCAATCAGATCCTTCGGATTGGGAACGTAGGCCATTGGAAAGCCATCCCATAACACTTCTCCACTCGAGTCATGATAAGCAGTGTCCCAGCTTCCAAATACTACCGTCGAGTTGTCAATTTTATATTTGGATGCAAGATAAGCGAAAAATCCCTGAGTATCCTTGCAGTGGTAGTGTGCCTTTGGTGGTGCATATCGAGGAGGGCGTGGTCCACCTTCTTTCTGCCAATTCCATATGGTGCCAGGACAATACGAAGGTACAATCGAACCATCTTTCTTTGTTTCTGTACAGTCAAAGTACTGTACACAGTTGCTTTCCATGCATTCGTTCAGATCTGGCTGGACTTGAGATTTAATGTAGTCGGAATAGACCTTGAATTTCTTGTCGTAATTTTTGGAAAGAAGCTGGTTATATTCGGTCAGAGACTGCGTAAGGTTTTGTGCCTGGACTTGAAGGATATACATGTTTCGACAGTACATTGGAATGCTATCTCCTGCAGCGAAGACAGCATCGATACTATCAAATTCCTGGTTGCAATCTGGAAAGTCGTCGCCTGGAGAGAAACATCCATCGTCAGAAGCACATGCACCAGATGGACAATAACCGTAGGCACATGTAAAGCTACAAAGATTGAGGTAGGTATCATAGTCTAACCCAGCAGCCGGACAGCCAATAACATCAAGAGCATCTGGGAGCGCAGGTGCAGTGCCGTTGGCGGTACATGTACACTGGTCCTCGGGGCAGAATCCATAGCTGCATGCAAAGCTGCACAGACCAGCCAAATTGCCCTCTCCGTACCCTGCAATGCAGCTATTTGTTGAATTGCCCCCAGATGTTGAATTGCCTCCAGAGCATGAATCTCCTGAACTACATGCACCGGCCGGACAATAACCCCGAGAGCAAGTAAAAGCACAAAGATCGTTGTAAGAATCGAAATCCATGCCCGGGGCAGGGCAGCTAGAAATGCTTGAAGCGGATGGAGGAATAGGCTTTGGGCCAATCTTTGTACAGGTGCACGACTCCGCAGGACAGTACCCATAGCTGCAGGAGTAGGCGCAAAGCCCCTCTAGATTTCCATCACCTGTACCTGCAACACAGGCTGGAACTGGCGGGTCTTGAGTAGGAGCAACCTGGCAAACATAACCAGCCGGTTTGATGGTACAAGCATCAGGACAGTAGCAATAATTGCAACTGAAGTCACATAGGCCTAGATAACTACCATCGAGACCTTCAGCAGGACAACCATGATCGCCAGTCGCCTCCGGTTTGTCGCGTGCAGTGCCCAAGGCACTGCATGTGCACGCTCCAATCGGGCAGTATCCATAACTGCAGGCAAAACTACACAGCCCAGCGTAGTTGTTGATTCCAAAACCAGCTATACACTCCATGTCAGAAAGTGAGTGCGACGGCTCGACTGGAGCAATAGTATTGCCTGCCGTGGCACTGGCAACAAAGGCATTCCAGTTCTCGATCCCATCAACACATTGTGTAGAAATAGGAGCAGCATTGATTTGAGCAATTATGGCACCGTTTCGAGAAATGGTGACATATACAGCGCCAAGGTTTCCATTGAACGGTACACTTCCATGATAAATACCAACTCCATCGCTTGGAACATTTCTCCAAGTTCCAATTTGCTCTACCCCGCCAATTGAAACAGTTACTGTAGCATCCGAGGCCAAAAGTGCAGAATAAAAGACTTTGTCTTGAACGATGTCTGATGGGGGATATTCATTTTGGAGCTGGCTAATGGTGTTTCCCGTAGTACCACCAGTACCACATGCAGTAGCTGGTTGTTGACGGAACCAGGCAACTGCCCCTTCCTGGGTAATTGAAGAGATATTGTTTTTGTAGGTATCAATCAGGTATGGCAGGAACAGGCGCCAGCCATCATGTGTCAAGCCTGTAGCATAGTTGTATGGTGATTTGCCGGTGTCAAAAGCAGTAAACTCGGATATATGTATCGGTCCAATGTAGTGCGATTCCCCGTAATCATTCCAAGAAATGATCTCGACAAAATCTGGCTGGACCCAGAGGACTTGCTGCCAGCGGTCATACCATAAATCGTCTCCTCGCCACAGCCAATTCTTGTGGTAGCCAGGCATGTTGGTAAAGAACCACGGGGAAACTGGCATCATGTACTTTTTGTCACCAAGAAAGTACAGATACGAAGCATCAATCAGTGTATTCATGTCGTTGGGACCCTCGGGCCATGCACCCCAGCTAAACAGTCCATCAACAGGACCTGCTTGCATGGCAGCCTTGGCCCCCAGCGAAGACCAGGAGGGTACAAAGTAACAGTTGGTTTGTGTCCTGATGTCGATCCAGTCTTGGGCGCGGTCCGGGCCTTCAAAGGTTGATACAAATGGCTGTGGGCCGACTTTGTAGTAGGCTGCATTTGATCCGTATTGATTGATCAATTTGATCACATTTTCTTTTAGCCAGTCGCCATTTCCTGCATAATCGAAAGAAAAGAAGAGTTTAAAAGTAGCGCCAAGATTGTTGGCCGCAGTAAAGGCGTTCGACAAGGACGGCGCATTGAGGGGATCGCCATTTGCAATATTGAGTGCAAATGCATCGATATGCGCATCACGTGCCTGAATTATATCGTGTTCCCAATCGGCCACAGAGAAGGAGGCAGTATTTCCAACCTATTATGACAATCAGTATCAACGGTCAGAATTCGAACGAAAAGAGGGGATGGAAATAATACCATAAAGTGAGCAAAAACTGCTTTGGCCTGGACTTCGTAGGCAGCGCCTAACATCAGGACCAGAAGACATATCAACCTCATGTTGCAAGACACATTGACCTAAAGCATCCGCACGAAAGAGTCTCGTTATGATCAATTCCGAAAATGTTTCCCATTAAAATGAAGCGAGGGTCTATGGTTAAAAGTATCAATGCCCTTTTCGAAAACTTTCAGCAGTCGCCTTATATGACCGGCATGTTTCCGAAGGAACTGAAGGGTTAAATTTCCCCTGGCATCCGAAAGCCCTGGTAGGGACCAATATTGCCTTGCAAATGCAACCATGGCCAGCAGAATGTAAGTTTCGCAGTCGCCCTTGAGCAAACGGAGCGGGGGAAAAGGGGGAGATAGGAGAAATGCCACGTAACGGAAAATTGCTCATGATGTTAGCAGTAATGTAGGTCAAAAAAGTTTCTATCGTCTGATTCCTTTACCAGCCTTCCAGTAGGCAATAAAATGAAGATGAAGGGCCCGGCTTCCTAGTTCAAGTTGTTCGATAAGCGCAGCCGGCCTCGGGACAATTCCGTTGATGCTAAGAATTAAAGTTCACAGGCTAACAAAACTAAGCGCGGAGTTTGTGGGGTTTGCCAGGGATGCTTAGCTGGTAGTTTCAAATATCGATAATCTATTGGTCCCTGCGCTCACTGCGTCAGCTAAAAGACGCCGAATGGGATCTAATAAGGGGTCCAAAGTCCTTTGTGCAATATCCGACCTTGCCGACATTACCCCCTCAGCCTTAATCCAAAGAATCAAAGGTTTTGAATAATGCCAGGATTGCTCCTGGTACGGGATTCACGCCTTCAGTCTCGTCCGATATATGTAAGGAGGTGCAGTTGTTCCGCGACCTCGATTGAGCTTTCACTCCTTGATGATAATAATAAAAAGCCCGGTATTACCTTGCAGCTCTCTCGTGGAGATGCTTTTAGCCTCTAACGGAGGTACCACAAGCAAGGGAAGGCCTAGATGCTCTACCATTCCAATACAATTATGAGAATTTCTTTGCTTTTCCATTCGTGAGTCAAGTATTAACTTCTATTTCGAAAGTGTACCTCCTCTGGTGGCCATGGAAGCAAAAATGTCGTCCGATTATTTGATCATTTCTATGGCCAGAAATCTCAGGATCCGGGCCTCTTCAACAAATCCCTTCTTCCGTTCGTATCTGTCCCTGCATCTTCCTCAAGTAGCGGCAATGCCCATTCAAATTTATTGAGCTTCTTCATGAATTGAATGCCTTTGAGGATACATAAAAGACTGCAGGAATATACGTAAGGAACTTGACTCAATGCCTAATGCCAGTATCAGGAATACTAATTCGCGGAAATAGCAAGAATGAAGCTCCTCTTTTTCTTCACCACCACCTTGGTTTACCTCTCGGCACACGTATGCGCATATGGCCTTGCAGGAGGCTACGAGCGCATGTATTTCTACTATGCCTACCTTCTCGATGCTACTGCAAACACGACGCCACAAAAAATAAGTTCTCTCTGCGGAAAACGGTTTGGCACCGATATCTGCTCCTTTCATCAATTTCTCAAATATATCAATATTCCATTCCCTACCGATCAAGAGCTTGCACTTGCAGGAATCAGTAATGCCGAGGAACCAGACATTGAAACAACAGCAAATGCTCTAGGCGCGGTGAAACGCCTCAGTGGGACTGTCAATCCCGGCAGAGTCCTCGAAGGAGACTGGAACTGCTATGCCGATGTCTTCCCACAGGTGGGCAGTGTTATCGAAGGATGCACAACCAAGATCCTGTTGCTCGACGATGAAGATGAAAGACGTGGGATAGGCCTAACACTGCTTAGAAAATGCCAAGTCTCAATAAATGCTGCACAAGCTGCACGGCAAACAGCATCATCAAATACATTGATCAACGAGGAATTACGATCAATTATTGGAGTTGACGGGGAGATTATATATAAATCAAACGTGGTTACATTAGACACTGGAAGATCTGTAGACTTTCCATTCATCGATTTGGAGGCTACGGCGATGCTCGAAGCAAACAATGATAAGACAAAAGCCATCAAAGCAGCTCTGAAAAGCTTCAAAGCCAGCGACAAATCCAATGGGGATGGGCATTTAAAAGCTATTGATGCGATGACGATTGTAAGATCAAATATTGGTTGTATAGATGGATAGTTTTGCGGTAAATGAGGCGAACCATTGTGGGATATAGTACTTGAAAGGACCTGTAGCAAGTAACATATACCGATACTTAGAAGGGTATCTCCTAATGAAAAAGAGATATTCTTACTTTTACTGCCGATCACCTTCAATTTCTCTAAATCCTATTCAAGGGTTTACTATGTCGTGCAATATAAATAGTAAGCTTGTCGGGACTTCAAACCCAACATGCTCAAAACACTAAGACTTAAGTATATTACACAAGCTAGTTACAGAATCGAATAAACCTAATGAGATGAGTCTCTTACAAATGTCTCAATGGTTCAAGGCATATAGGTACTACCTCTCATAGAGGAACAGCGGTCGATTCTTGTTGACTACTACCTACCTTAGGTACCTATCTAGGTAAGGTAGGTATACGGTATACCTGAAGGCGGCTCACAACGTTTTCGCTTGTTCTTGCTGTCGCGTTTAGCGGTCGGTTTCTTACGTCAAGACATCCTCTCTGGACATTATTACTGCTTTATTGAAAAGAATCCATCACTTTCTAATCAATACTCATCTCTGGATTGTTCGAGAGCTTCAATGTTTTACCGTGTGGATTTGCCGGAGCAGTTGTGGCAGGTTTTAGCCTGACCAAGGTAACAATCTTGCCTAAAAGGGACCCTTCCCCTAGTTATGTGTGTGACTCACTTACAGTACCTTACTCCTCGCTCTCCCGCCATTGTTATTCACCGTACCCACCCTGATCGAGTAACAATATTACAGCGTGTGCTCTTGCAAAGCTATATCTACATTCCGTGCCGTGCACTTGCATACAGAGTAAGATCTGTCCCCCGCATCGCCTCCCTCTCCTGAAAATTTCTTCCACGTCCATCTTTTGGCTCCTTTGCTTTTTCTTACCCTTCTTAAAATATTACTTTTTTCTTGATTTTCTTGGTCTTAGCACCAATCCGCAAATGGAATCCCAGCTGCCTCCGGGGTGCACAATGCGGGATGAAGGTGGCGTCCTTGATGGCCAAACTGTTGGTAGCAGAGTGAGCAAGAATGTGCCGGACTTGGAGAATATGGATTGGAATCTAGAGGACTGGAGGTCAGCCATTCATGGCAAGCAAGTCCCGTGTGCTCTCGGCCGGCCAACACCAAGATACTGCGTCATTCGGGGAATTCGGTACAACCCCGGATTTGCAAAGGAACTTCATGGTGTATTACCTGAATTTACCCGCGCACTGAATGCTCGCAGTATTATGAGCAATAGCATCCCGGATATGAATCACCCGGATGACTTTCCCTATTGCATCTGGCATCCCGAGGTGGCCACAGAGGCCACCTACCGGGAGCTCGCACATCGCTATCCACAACTCAAGTATCACGTAGGCCGCGCCTGTGCTGTGGCTGGCTATGTTGACTTGTATAAGGAGCTTGATATCCTTCCAGAAGTACACATCGCCGAAGAGGCTCGAAGCAATGGTCATTCCGCCATCTTTGACATGGTTATGGCCAATGATACCATTTACAATGTCATGAATGACTACAATCGCACCGTGGATATCGATAGCCCTTCTCCTGGGCGTCTGAACTGTGACACCGCTGTTCGCTCATTATTGGAAATCAAGAAAAAAGTCAAAAGACCTGACCTTGACATATTCGATTTCGGCGAAGAAGAAGACCACGACTTCAGCGATTTCGAAAACTTTAATATTACTGAGGATTGGAACATTGACGACCACGAGACCCCCAGGGCCGCAGCAAAGCAAGCAGATGATCTGACAAGCTACCTCTGCGCTGCATTACCGACTCATCTCCCAGATATCGACAAGGACCTGCTCATTTTGATGTCAGCGTACTACGGCGACATTGATCGATATGCCCGACTACGACGTCCTAGATTTGTAACGTGCGAGGTTGCATGCGTTGTTAGGGGCATTTACCATAACACCATGTTTGCCAAGTATTGGTCTTTGCAAAAGAACGAGAGCGACTGGATAACAGAGGCCATCACAGCCCGTTTTATCATGAACGATGACCTGACGCGTATCAAAGAAGGCGTTAAACCCCTACCCTATCTCATCTGGTATCCTCGCATTGCTTCTCGCGAGACATATGAAGAGCTTGCTGAAATAGCCCCGTCCATGAAGCCAGCTATTGCCCGTGTCTATATGATGATGGACTATCGGCAGGGTTACGACCAGCTTAATGTGCAGCCAGACGAGGCTCTGATGGATGAGGCAGAATTCCGGGCGAGCAAGAACCCATACTATAAGGAGGATCTAGAAAGAAAGGTTGCAGGAGGAGCTAAATTAAAACCAATGCCATGGCAAAGGGAGATCTGCGATGAACGTCTTACATACAGTTGGTATATGCGGCCGCGCTTAAGGAAATTCTTGACTCGGCCTCTCCTTAGTAGTTATGGCGCGGAGATATACAATGGTCTTTCGGATCCCAACGTTTCCGAGGTCGAGCGCAACCTCTGTGTACCGCCAGAGTTGCGGTTCGATGAAGAGTACTAAACCCATGAGATAACAATTATATGCAGGTTATATATAATCAATTTACTACTGATGGACTGAAGATGAAATTTCAATCAAACTAAATAGGGGAAACGTGGCAGATGGATATGATAGTTGATTCCAAATAATCCTGGTGGTCGCATTTGACCCGTAGTTAATCATTTTAGTAGTCACAGTTATGAACTCTTAACGGAGTCTGGCTGACCGAGTCCGTTATCGCAGCTGCCGACTTGACCCCGCACGGGTCCTTTTCGTCGTCCCTTACCCAACCAACAAATTAACATCTTTTCCATTACATTCAGGGACTCGGGCGAACAAAGGTTGGGAGCCCTGAAGCATTTCTTTTGAAAGACGCAAAGTCTCTGGGTGATTTCATTCACTTTGCCATGCAATAGAGTTGGGCAATCAAGTGACGTTAATATTCGGTTCTCTCGAAGCGATTTGTGCTGTTCAATTGTTTTAATGCGTCTTTGACTGTTTCTTCCACGTTGAATGATTGTATATTTTACAATTCTGCTTTTCATATAAAAATCCGCGGATTGAGCTCCGCATGCTTTCTCTTAAGTCGACCAACAAGATAGCGGGGCTGACTCTCCGAGCCTGAACGCAATATTATCCATCAGTCACGGCCAATATTAGTCACCGTTCTGGGGATCCAGCAGGGTGTACTGAGCATCAGACGTCCATTGAGAATGAACTGATCAACGAAGCTCCAAATGAGACGACCAATCTTCTCCACAAACATCCGTCTCATGTCGAAGATGCCCATGTCGAGGAAGGCTCTGTTCACGATCCCCAATACAACATCAAAGCTCAGACAAGACTAGTTTTACAAGAATTCTGGATTCTCATACGCAGTTCTATCCCTGTTATCCTAGCATATGCGCTACAAAACTCCCTCCAGACTGTATCCGTCCTCATCGTTGGGCGTCTGTCTCCTGCAGCCCTTGCCACTGCCGCGTTCTCATACATGTTCGCCATGTCCACGGCCTGGCTGGTCGCATTGGGCGGAACCACCGCACTCGATACGCTATGTTCCTCCAATTTCACTGGAAGCCAGAACCCCCACGAGCTCGGCACACTCTTGCAACGATCCTTTATTGTGCTCGGACTATTTTACATCCCAGTTATGTTCCTCTGTTTATGCTCTGAGCCCGTGTTCAAGCTTCTCGGCCAGGACCCCGAATTATCCGCCAGCAGCGCAAGATTTCTAAGCTGCCTTGCCCCGGGTGGACTGGCATACGTCTATTTCGAAGCAATGAAGAAGTACCTCCAAGCGCAAGAAATCATGCGTCCGGGAACATACGTCCTCCTAATCACCTCGCCAATAAATGCCCTTCTAAACTACCTTTTCATACATGTGTTTCATTGGGGCCTGCTCGGCGCTCCGATCGCGACGGGAATATCCTATTGGCTCTCGTTTGGGCTTCTGATTCTCTACACCCGCTTCGTCGGAGGCGGCGACTGCTGGGGTGGCTGGTCCAAGTCGTATGTTCGCAACATGGGCACGTTCGCCCGTCTGGCATTCATGGGCGTCATTCAAGTCGGAACGGAATGGTGGGCATTTGAAATTGTCGCACTGGCAGCAGCACGACTGGGGACCATTGCGCTCGCCGCGCAAAGCGTCATTATGACGACGGATCAAGTCATGAACACAATTCCCTTTAGCATTGGCGTGGCGGCGAGTTCACGGGTCGGGAATCTTTTGGGCGCCCGCAACGCCAAAGGCGCGGCAAGAGCGGCTAATGTCGCTGCGATCCTGAGTATGCTTTTTGGCGCCATTGTGCTGGCTGTGCTCATGGCCGTCAAGGATGTGTATGCGAAGATTTTTAATGATGACCCCCGTGTCGTGAAGCTCACGGCTCAAGTCCTGCCCTTTGTCGCCCTTTTTCAGATAGCAGATGGCTTGAAGGGTAGTTGTGGTGGCAGTCTGCGTGGCATGGGCCGCCAACACGTCGGCTCGGTTGTGGACTTGCTGAGTTATTACTGCGGAGCGTTGCCTTTAGGGATTTGGTTGGCTTTTCATGGGTGGGGATTAAAAGGCCTGTGGGTCGGCCAGTGCATAGCGTTGTATCTCGTCGGTGTGTTGCAGTGGGTTATTGTTCTCTTGGGTAATTGGAAGTGTCAGGTTGATAAGGCTTTGCAGAGGCTGGATCTAGCGGGCCTTGAACCGGAAAACACGTAACATTGCATGCATGCAGGAAATGCTCTGCGGTTGGTTATAGAGAGGAAATCGAATCTTTAAAGGACTAGAACGGATAAGCTTCGTAGAATATATTAGACGTCCACAAGAATAAAACATGGACGATCATATGGTCGGAAGAATGTATAGCATCTGACAGAGTCTCGATGGTGTACCAATTTAATTCTCTAGTAAAACATAATGGTCGTGAAACTCATCTAACAAAAGTATAGTCCGCTCAAAGCAATTCATAAATGCAATAACTCTCAAAACCAGAGAACAAATCGACCAACAGAAACATTAGAATCATTATCTGAGGCCGACCTTCCATTCTCACAGACTTTACTGCCGTCAACGGCACCCATATCAATCCCCATGCCCATATTGCAGGCATGCCATCTCCCGTCTTTCTCAATGCATGACATGAGCTCGCTCGTGCCACATTTCCCAAGCGAACCCGTGTCCTCGAATTTACCTGCAATACACTGCACACTATCCTTAACTTGGCCAACAAAGACGTACCCAGTCCCTGAAGCAATTCATTGAGAATAGATTGTGAGAGAATTGCACAAGATGGCTCCGGCATCGCATTCCGAGCGAATACCGGATTAATCGTTTCCGGACAGAGGTGAATCCTCTGCGGGGGAAGCATCTGCGGAGGAAAATGTAGCATTCTCCAGCTGAGACGCATTGTCCGTTGGAGGATTAGCTTGAGATTGAGACGAAGACGCATGATCACCTTGAGACGTTTCTAGAGGTCGAGGTACGATTTCCAATGGAGAATCATCCTGAGGTAAAAACCCGTCTTCAGCCAAACGTACATCATTATTTGGTTGCGGCAACGTCTGAGGCGGAGGGATGGAATCATCGCACAGGTTCTCAGTCGGCTTAGAGTCTGGGCTCACGCCATCTCCGAATTCGACTTCTGGGCCGGGATGAGGATACACAAGTGCCTCTCCCTCTTTCGTTTTGCAGCTATTGACCGATTCCAGGTTTGCGATGAATACTTCGGGGAGATGCTCCATTGAGGTGGGCTCATCCAACAATGTATCTCTCGCATAGAAGCTTCGTTTCCGAAAAGATGTCCGCAATTTCGATTTGGGCGATTCCGGCAGTGAGTAGGGGCTCATTATTTCCACTTGTGCACAATTCATGTAAAACTCTGGGAGCTGGTCTCTGTTGATCCATGTCCATGCGAAGATCGCCGTGCCTTCTGGAGCAAATGAAGGCACCGTGAAGTTCATTTTCGTCGTAGTGGCGCAGCCGCCCATGATTGACTTGATTACTCGAAAGCTGGTACCATTGTCGTAGGACAAAGAGAACTGGCACGACCCGCGATGATTCGGAGATGAATTGATCAGGGTCATATTGTATTGCATGCCAGATGTCAGGACCGCTCCAGTGTATATATTCTTGTCCTTGAGGTATCCTTTGCAAGGGAAATCGGAGCTGTGTGTGACGAGAGGTTCCATCATATTGTAGTCGATTTCATCGTATGCATATCGCACTTCCAGATGGCCTCTGATCGGGATCGGCCATTCCATGTAGCTAGACGAGCGATGTCCCTCTACGAGACAGGCTGCAGCAGACAAGAGCAGAGCATATGCAAGTGTTGATTGCTTCATCTTCGCAACCGTGTCAGTGATGATCGCCCCAGGGCAGAAGCAGAAAGTGAAATAGCAAAGGCAGTAACAGATGTCGCTATGGAATAACGTGATATTATTAGTCGGCAGATTGGCTCAGGGTTCACAGTGTATACTTATTGCATTGGGCGCGGCCCTGATGAGGTCCGCACCCCTCGCAGCGTGGGTGGGTGGACCGACGGCTGGAAAATAGCCATAGTCGATTACGCTCCCTGCATCTCAAACTTCTGATGACGAAGCAAGAAATGCCTTCAGAAGCTAAAGCGTGCTTCGGACGTAAAAGGGTTGGGTAGACGAGAAGGTCAGCATTCCTCAAAGTTTGCGGGTATTTCCTGGGCGACCCAATAAATGCTGTCACGGGGAAAAGAAAAGAAATATATAAAGGAAGAAAGCAGAAGGGAAGAGTCGCCCTCAGAATATCGCCAAATATTCTTCAAAATCAGCAAGACGGAAATAGCAAACAAATTGCCGAACTCGAGAAAAAAGTCAGTCAAAAAAACACAAGCGAAGAAAGCTCAATATGCTGCAAAGGCACCCCCACGAGGGCCCCGGAAGTGTATCCATACGGCCTTTTTAGGGCAAGGGATTCTTCTTAGGAATGCCATTGCTTAGCCGGGAAACTACTGCAGCGTAAGCAAGGGTTGATGTTGAGGGCAATACAAATAATTAGATGAGAGAGAACGGAGCGCACACACGTGCGACAGACATCACTACTTGCATAATTAATTATTCTTTTGCACACCGATTGATTAAGGAATAAAGTGGTAGCATGAAGGCTATGCAGCATAATAATAGTGAATGGAGTTGCAAAGTATATCGCGGCTAAAGTAGTAACGGGCGGCTGAAAGTCAAAAACAAGTCTAAAATGGATGACGGAAATGACGTTTACATCCGCTTTAGCGCCGATCGAAAGAGATCTCAAGATGCTCCCGATCTCTCCAGAACGTCAGGGGTCCCCCTGATCCATTGCCATTCTTGTCATCGTGTCTCTTCTCCAGGATCGCAGTTCGTCATAATTCCATCCACAAAAGAACCACTACAACTCTTTTGCAGTGACGTCGCGTGTGAAAAGTGTCGTAAAACATGTGTCGTGTGCGCAGTGTTATTGCACTGAATGATTCTTCGCACCCCGGGTAGAATCTTTCGACTACCCACAAATCCATTGAATATAAAATATACTGCTTCTTTTTTACGCAGTTCTCGTTCTTTAATCACAGCAAACAGGACTCTATCATCAACCGGAATCATGGCGAAGAGAAAACGGTCCTCTGTTGCCAACGGAGATGCTGCCCGCTTGCTCCCCTCAGAAACTACCAAAGAATCGGTTCCGGCAAGTAGCAGATCGCGGGTAGCTCGAGGCAAAGCTCAGGTGCCAAATGCAGGATCAATCAAATCGGGCGACAGTGCGGCCGTCCTTGATAGCAAAGACGCTGTCATGGCTTCAACATCTACCGCGGACGGCGTTCCACTGAAAGCAAAAACAGCTGTGCGGACTCGAAAGATGAGTTCTGACTTGTCCGACGAATTACAAGCAGAGCACTTGACCAATGGCGAGGCCAGTCAGAATGTAGCTCAATTGAACAAGGCCAAGTCGACGCAAAGCCTGAACGGCTTTAAGAAAGAGCGTGATGCTGCGGACCGATCATTTGATCCTGATGATGGGGGCGGTAACGAAGAAGAAGCCGACGAGGAAGACGTCAAAGCTGCGCTCGGGAGACCTCCTCCTGTGAACAGTAGCTATCTTCCGCTTCCTTGGAAAGGTCGACTTGGCTATGTGAGAGCTCGCTTTATACTCTCCAATGTAGGCCCTGCTAATCCAATGAGTAGGCTTGTCTGTGTACTTATCTCCGATTCAGTAATCCAGCCGTGTTTAGCTCTCGTACGTGTCGCATTGCGTCTATTTTGGAACATCGGCATCCTCTCAAAGATCCAAGCCAGCCGGAACACCCAACCAAAAATAGACCGGATAAAGACCAGCCTGCAGATATCGCTCGAGGTCAGGCCTGGGTTGAGTCGCTTGCACTAGCAAATGTGCGAGACACTATCAAAATGATCAAGTGGAATGACAAATACGGCATCAAATTTATGAGGTTGAGTAGCGAAATGTTTCCATTTGCCAGCCACGAGGAGTACGGATATAAGCTCGAGCCTTTTGCTGCAGAGACTCTCGGGGAGCTTGGAAAAGTGGTAGCACAACTGGGACATCGTGTAACAACGCATCCCGGTCAGGTATGCAAACATTTTTCCTAACTACATTGCGTGTGTGCTAATTTGATTCATAGTACACTCAATTGGGGTCTCCGCGGCCCGAGGTCATTCGAAATGCCATTCGAGATCTGGAGTATCATGCAGAAATGCTGAGCTTGCTTAAGCTTCCACCTCAGCAAGATCGAGACGCGGTCATGATCCTCCACATGGGCGGGGTTTATGGGGACAAGGAGGCATCCTTGGAAAGATTTCGGAAGAATTACAAAGGCTTGTCTCAAAATATCAAAAACCGGCTAGTCCTCGAGAATGACGATGTGAGCTGGTCGGTCCATGACCTGTTGCCAATTTGCAACGAGTTAAATATTCCGCTCGTCCTAGATTATCATCATCACAATATTATGTTCGACGCGGACAAGGTTCGCGAAGGAACGTTGGATATCATGGGGCTCTACGACGATATCAAGCAGACCTGGATGCGAAAAGGCATGACTCAGAAGATGCACTACTCCGAGCCTACAGTTGAGGCAATCACCCCCCGCCAACGGAGGAAACACAGGCCAAGAGTGACTACTTTACCGCCCTGCGACCCGACTATGGACCTGATGATAGAGGCTAAGGACAAGGAGCAAGCAGTCTTCGAGCTGATGCGGACGTATAGGCTTCCTGGCTGGGATCTGTTCAACGACATTGTTCCGCATGTTCGTCAGGACGAGAACAAACCACCAAAACCTGCCAAAAAGAAAGCCTCGCCAAAGAAGAAGGGCCGGGTCAAGGTCGAAGGAGCTCAAGCAGATGAAGATCTTGAAGCCGTAGCTGAGCAGCTCGAGGATGAAGAGGCCGCCAGTCATCCTAGATTGATACCCGAAGAAGAAGTCGGTATGGGTGGGCCAGAGCGAAGAGTGTATTGGCCTCCTGGAATGGAGGACTGGTTAAGACCTCCCAAGAGAGTCACGAAAAAGAAAGACACGAAGGACGAAGGTGACACGCCAAAGGCTACACCAGCGAAAAAGCGGAAGAACACTAAAGAAGAGCCGCAGCCTAGTCCAGCTGGTCAGCTGAAGAAGCCGGGTCGCGCCAGGGGCAAACGATCAAAGGCTACACCGACTCCTCCCATGTCGGAAGATGAGAGCGATTCGGGATTGTCAGTTCCTCTTGACGACAATGATGATGGTGATCATGATGCGGAAGTTGCCACACGCAGCGAAAGTGTCAGCATTCCAAGCAGAAGAAGTGGACGCGCAAAGAGAATCAGTTATGCAGAGGATGCGGATTGAAGTAGGTAAATAGCAGCATTGACTAGAGAGCTTTTGCAACTGTTCAATTCACCTATCCAGGTTTCTGTTCAAATATTTCAGATAGGAAAGGTCTGATGCTATTCTATTATAAGCAATCATGCACTTGTTTGCTGCAACACTAAATCTATTTTCACGGGATTGGCTTAAAGTCCCGGAATGGTTAGTTTTGCCTTTCGAGTCTCTACTATACGAAATGGTAAAACCATGATTCAAATTGAAAGCCATGAACAAAACTAAGCATTTCAACCTCATGACTGTTGTACGGTGTCGCTTTTACTACCTCTTGCTTACATACCTACCTACCTACCTAGGTTCTGGGATGCTTCTCGCTGAATGAGGAAATTAGCGGTTCTGTTTTCGGATCTTCCCAATTGGGAAGGCTCTGCTCATGCTGCGTGCCTAAACTTGTGTTCAACTTTGGGACTACCTATTGGGCTGGATTTCATCACGCATTCTGTGAACTGCCGGATGGTCCCATCAGCTCTGCCTTTAATCTTCGTTTTGAGTACTTATCATACAATTACCATACATCCAGAGGAGCTTCCCCGCAGTATCTACGAATATAGGTACGTACCTTAGTGACCGAATACGAGAGGAATCCAATCGGAGTTTGATGGGAAAGAAACTCCGCCAGTGACGTCATAAGATATGCAGCCTTGATTGGCAGTTGAAGGGGCAACAACTTTTTTGAAAGGGATCAAGTCCACGATGGCAGTGAAAGCGGTCCAAGAGGGGACGTGAGTTTGCAATGAGGACCAGCCCGCTCATAGACTGGGTAGGATGACCATGGCAAATCAGCGTGGACTTCGGTGCTAGAACACTGGGAAAAAGGCTTGACCAAAAGCTTGTTTTGCGACAAGCTTTGCACTAAGCCCACGCCCGCCGAAACGGGAGGGGGCAGAACTGAGCCTTGATTCGTCTTTTTGATTCATCTCCAGCTTGGTTTTTTCCGGCTCCCTTTGAATGGGCAGCTTTCGGGGCATACAGTGTTGCCAAGTTGGGTCGCACTGCGTCATTTACCCATTCGTATCCAGCTAGAGTCTCCTCACCCATCTACCGCGTTCGCTTCCTAAGCTCAAGACGGAGAACTCCCCTGGTCGCCTTAGCAGCCGCGTACATAACAAGAATGCTATCCGACTATGTTGCCTGGGACTCCATCCCGTCAGCGCTTGCTATCTGCAATACTGTGCTCTTGATCTGTCTCGCCATTACCCTTGAATATTACCATCGCCAGCCGTATCTGAAGAAGGTTCCCAAGAGCACGATGGTCTCTGAGAAGGTCTATAACCTCTGTCGGAGCGATCAATCCGTCTCGTCGGAGCTTGCCAAAAACCCCACACAAAGCGTCAGCCATGTGGTCAAACACTTGTACGGGGAGCGCGCTGTCAGCGTCGCTACGGAGAATCCTATGCCCAAAAAGCTCGAACCTACCGCCGAAGACCTGCAGCGCGCCTTTGAATGCGGGAAATGGGGCAATTCACGACCAAGTGAACTTTTCCTTCGAGTATGACACATACCATCCACTCCAATTAGCCTTCATACAGAAAGCTAAACTGTGAAAATAGATTTATCACGACGTTTTGTGTACTTTGGAGCATGATCATCTAGTTGGCACCGTGTCTCCGCCCTTGATGGGAAGCTCAGGCGTGCTTCCCTTAAGTATCATAGCACCTTTACCGGATATTTGTCGTCACATGTCCAACGTAATCGCCCGCGCCCGGAAAGAGGTGTATTTGGCGACCAATTACTGGCAAGCGTCAGCCTCGTCCAGGCTCATTACCAATGCCTTGCGTGAACTATCCAAAAGAGCTGGCGAGAGAGGGGAGAAGGTCGTAGTAAAGATCATCTATGACAGAGGAAATATTAAACAGGTAAGGAACTGGATTGAAAGGCACAATTCGTGTCACATTTCTGATTTGGCATAGGTAGTAGACAACCACCAAAAGGTGCCTCCGAGCGAATATACTGGGAAGGCTGTGCAATTACCGCATCCCGATGAGGTTCCCAACCTTGATTTGGAGGTTGTAAACTTTCATCGCCCCGTCTTCGGCACGTTTCACTCAAAGTACATGGTCGTAGATCGCCAGATTGCCATTCTTAGCAGCAATAATATCCAGGTTTGCTCTCCCTTTGTTTCTTCCCCAGAAAAGATGCGCAATGCTAAAACATCCAGGATAATGATAATCTCGAAATGATGGTGCATCTAGAAGGACCTATTGTCGACTCATTCTACGACGCCGCTCTCATCTCGTGGCACAATGCCTTCAAACCGCCGCTTCCAAGTCACAATACACCTGCGGCGATGGGTGGGCTGCCAACTTTCGACCAAACGTCGTTTCAGGAACTATTTGATCAGAACGGCCAAGTGAAGAGATTCGGCTTCGGTAGCAATTTCGGCGACTCCAATCTTGGCGGTGTTGAAGCAACTACGGTACCGGGAATGAGCGAGGCAGCTATGCCGTCGCGACAGGAGGATGTCTTGAATAGCGGCAACACTAACCTAGGCGCCATTTATCAGGAAGGCAAAAGTGAACGTCTAGCTGAGCATACGGATAAGGAACCTCATTATGACCCCGACATTGCTGCAGAAATCCGCCGATCTCAGTCCGTTCTTACTCCTCAGGCAGGAGAAAGCAAAATGGCCTGCGTGACTCGTCACCTGAGTAAGTAGTCAAAAAACTCTATGCTTATTTCTCAGAGCAAGACTGAGTTGCGTCAATCTAGATACCACAATCCAGCCAGACACCAAGGGCGATGCCCCAGAATGTTCGCCAGAGGAAGAAATGATTCCACTGATTCCGCATCCGGTGCACGAACCATTCCCAATGGCTATGGTGTGCCGGAAGCCATGGGGAGGTAAGCCATTCTCTGATGATTATTTTGCTGCTCGTTTCGTTTGCTCAAGCAATTCTGCAGCACCCAACCACTCCTCTGTGCACACCCCGCAGAATGAAGCGTGGCTTTCAGCGCTGCGAAACGCCAAAGAAAGCGTCTTCATTCAAACCCCCGATTTGAATGCCGAGCCACTTATTCCAGCCATCTTGGAAGCTGTTCGTCGCGGCGTGGAAGTCACGTACTATGTCTGCCTGGGTTACAATGACGCCGTATGTATCACGCCCCAAAGCAGGAAAATATCCTCGACGATGTTAACCATTTTGCAGGGAGAACTTTTACCTTTCCAAGGAGGCCACAATGAGATGATTGCGAACAAGTTGTACACGACTCTGACGGCCGAGGAAGGCAAGCGTCTTCACATCTTCAATTATGTCGCCAAGGATCAGACCCGGCCAATTCATAATAAGTTCAAAAAGCGCAGCTGCCATAGTAAGTTTTATAAACCAATGTTTGGGTACATGCGTGCTAATGTCTCTAGTCAAATTGATGGTTGTGGACAGACACATTGGAATCCAGGGAAATGGAAACCAGGATACGCAATCGTGGTTCCATTCGCAAGAGATCAACGTTATGATCGATTCTCGCACTGTATGCGAGGCGTGGTTAGAGGGGATCCGCCGAAATGAGAACACGCACTTGTACGGTGCAGTGGATCCCACCGACGGCGTTTGGAAAGATTCCAGCGGTCAGCAGGCTGAAGGGGCCATTGGGGTTGATCCTGGTCGGTTTGCATGGGCAAAGGGAATCGTTGGTGCAGTGCAAAGAGTCAGGGGAGCTGGCGGATTTTAAGTGGATTTAATTTTCTTTGGGCCTGTTTTAATAATCTACACAATATTTTCAATATCCAAATGGTTAACATAATTTTTTTTTTTTAAAAAAAAACAAAAACAAAAACAAAATAGCTTCATCCGAATTGTGCAAAATAATTTGAAAATCTAGAGGGAGAAAAAATAATATGGAAAAATAATGAAAAAAAAAAAAATAAAAAATAAAAATAATAATTTTCTGAAAGTAAAAAAAGGATACTTCATGCAAGAGCTCATTTCTCGACTCTATCTACATTAGTATACGTGAATTCTTTTTCGTTCAACCAGCCTTTCTATCGTGTTTACATGTTGACGTTTCAAGGGTTGGAACCATTCTGGCCAAGCTTTCCTGCCAATTTTAGACGGGTATTTTGGCGACGAGTCCTCCTCGTCCCCCTTTCTCGGGTTCGGCATGGCAGTGGAACTTCTGGCGCATCTTTCGCTTGATGGGCGGAATACGCCGCATGACCTCACCTACCCTTCCCACCTAACTAATCCATTCCTTGATTGCAGCTAAAGAGCGAGACACGACAACAGTCAAACCCTATAGACCTCACGCTACCTCCCATCAGCAAAAGGTGGAATTCTTTTGGTGAAAAGAGTTCTTACCTTTTGATAACTTCGGCATCTAAAATATTCCTCTCCTTTTCTTCTTCGCCGCCAAACCGCCGCTCTGGCTCCCTTCTCGCCTACTCAGTCTTTATTCGCTCGCTCCCGGAATACTTCGACTCTACTGCGATATATATTTCCCGTCGCACGCCAGCGCGCACGAGCAAGATTCTTTAATTTCAGACACGACACCCTCCCATACTACCGCCAGGTAGCCCATTCCCGCATCTACCAATTTCTTCTTCGCCGTCAAACTCGTCGACGAGAGAAACGAGCTGCGGGGAAAGGCGTTCTAGCACTTCTACGTAGGAGGGGCGGAAGGTTATTCAAGGGGTTTCGTTCCAAAGATGCTCCTCCTCCGCACCCCAAGATGACACAACCTGGTTCATATGCGGGAATTGACGGCAGGGGCTCATTACCCCCCGATGGCCGTGACAAGAACACTCGAAGGCGGAAACTGGCCGGCTATCTAAAGGCGGCCAATGAGCTTCGGCAATCCTACCAGCAAGCATACATTCAACGTTCAGGACGCGATAGAGGCTCTTTCTCTCACGACGACGATGCTGGAATACCGGGAGCTTTCCCGGAGGTGGATATTGTTCGACACGGCGATGAAGAGATGGTGCTCTTTCCAAGTTATGCCCGTCGACACGTTAAGAGTGAGCGGCGGCGACCCGAGTACGGAAGCATGCGCCAGCCGACAGGTGTAGAATCCGACCAAACTCAGATATCGGGAACAGGCGATGCACAATACTGGCATCGAGAATGGGAGAAGCACGAGGATGAAACGGCTGTCGTTGACGTGGATGTCAGGGGATGGATATACTCTCCTCATCGCGGGCCCATGACGAGGAAGAACAGGATACTGATTGGCTTGGCTCGGCAATTGAGCGGAGTTCCTGCGCCTTCGGGAAGAGCAAGTGCTCCAAGTAGTCGATCAACCAGCCCTGTAGGCGAGCGACGAGATCCCTTGATGGAGGCCGACCTAGTAACGAGAGCTGCGGAGACGATCCTGAAAAAGGGAGAGGGCGAGGCAGAAGTTGCAAAACGAGGAGGCTACAGCGAGACTCCGAGGACAGATGATTCGGCATCTGCTCGAACCAGCCGCAATCCCTCCCCCGTCCGACTCTCCCGCACAACGACCGGTACCTCGGCGGTCACTGAAAGCGACCCTCAGCCTGGCATTGTCAAAAGAGCGTCCTGGAACCAACCTTCTAACATGAATCCAGAGCAGCTCGCAATGGCCAATGCTCATTTGATGGCCCGACTTAAACCATTTTTGACGAATCCGCTCTCTGGCGCCCCCATCACTGTCTTCTTTTATGATGAGAACACTTCCAGGTCGCGAACCGTTATGACGGATGATTCGGGTCATTTTTCTGTACGCGCAGCTCTGGATTTTGTTCCAAAGAACGTTCGAGTATTGGCATCTGAGGACCTCTCAGCCATGACCGAAGTACGGATAACCGAACCCGTCGGAGTGAGTGTCATTAGTGACATTGATGACACTATCAAGCACTCTGGTGTCGCCAGCGGCGCAAGAGAAATGTTTCGAAATACATTCATCCGAGAACTCGACGAACTCTCAATCGATGGGGTGAAAGAGTGGTACAGCAAACTTGCCGAAATGGGTGTCAAGATGCATTATGTATCTAATTCGCCATGGCAGCTGTACCCTCTGTTGGTAAGCTATTTTGCAAAGGCCGGTCTACCGCCAGGTTCGTTCCACCTCAAGGCATATACTGGGATGCTCCAAGGGATATTCGAGCCAGTCGCCGAGAGAAAGAAGAGCGCGCTCGAGAAGATATTAAAGGATTTTCCTAAGAGGAAATTTATCCTTGTTGGTGATAGTGGAGAAGCAGACCTGGAGGTCTATACGGACGTGGCCCTGGCTCATCCTGGTCGAGTTTTGGGTGTGTTCATCCGTGATGTGACCACGCCTCAGAGGAAACACTTTTTCGACTCATCAGTCGGGCCCGTCGGTGGCGATTCTGGAGGCTCATCAAGTCATTCCAGAAGTACGAGTGACGGGCCAGTGAGCAGAGGCGACGCCTTGGAGATGCGACCAGCTTTGCCGCCCAGAACACCCAGACGCGGCTCAGAAGTGCGAACCTACACGAGCCCGCTTATTGATCTTGATGAAGAGGAGGATGACTATCCCCAACATATTGAGAATGTGTTACTGCCAGAAGAGCCTCCAGCTCGCCGACCTGCTTACGACCATGGCTTGGAGCAACTGAAGAACGCTTTCACGCCGATAAAACCCAAGCCGGCACCACCGCCTCGACCAACGAAACCGGCGGCTCTCCGTAGCAACTCGGAGGAAGCTATCGAACAAGCCAGACTACGCAATGCTGCATCTGAGAATAACAAAAAGGGTGTCCCGCCGCCGCCTCCGAAGCCGAGGCAATATTCTGGAGCTGCGCAGCCTGCATCAATCGGTCCTTCACAGACTATTTCGCGCAAACCAGCTCCTGATTCTTCAGCCAACAGCCACTCCACGCTCGAAGAACAGGGGTACGGCGCCGTTCTCCGACAGAAAGTTTCTTCCGCTTATAACGCTGACCCTTCAACGATGGTACACAGTGCCGAACCCACTCCTCCGCCGCCGCCGCCGCCGCGTCCGGCGACAAATGTCCGCTCGAGTACCGCATCCGCACCATATCATACATCTTCCAGCTCATCTCCTCCTGCTTATAGCAGCAGAGCAAAACCACCTCCACCGACGCCGCCGCCACGTCGCACACTCACTTCCTATCCCGCAGCAGCAGCACACTTTGCCACTAGCCGACTGGCAAGTGGATGGAACGCAAGTACAAGCTCCCTTCAAAATCTTTCTAGTGGACATGGCGCCGAGCCTCGCGGCTTCTCCTCCCGTTCCAATAGCTTTTCCGATCCAAATCTCCCCCACTTGGGTGGTGCTGGAGGAGGTAATGGCTCAGGAAACAACAGCCAAGAACAGTACCATCCCGTTAGCAAAAAGGTTGAACTATGGAATCGCCGGCTCGCTCGCGCTCAGAAGCTTTTGGAGCGCCAGGATGTCATTCTCCGCACGTGGCGTGAGGGCTCCGATGTTATGGATGATGCAATCAAGCTCGTTGAGCATGCTCAGAAATTTGCCGATCTGGAAGCGCGACGAGAGGCGAAAGCTGAAGCAAGGGCTCAAGCAGAGGCTGAAAAGAAGGCGTAGGTGCAATGTATACCCAAGGGTCATTGTATTATATAGTGTGTTTCAATCATGGGCTAGGCAGTCGTCATTTTCATGGCCATTTTATTGCTGTATCTTTCTGATTTCCATTTTCTTTCTGCATAGCCAGAATTCTTCATACATCTCATGGACCACTTTCAATTCCTCAATGAATTCATGTCGCTCGAATTTTATCACCCTTGGCTTTGCTACTGAAGGTCATGACTCTTCGTTCCTCTCCATCTAAATTACTGCTCACTCTCACCTACAATTGTCATGCCTCACCCAGCAGCAGCAAAAAAAAAAAAAACACCAGAGCGATTCAACCGCTTCAAACCATCGCTCCAGGCCAAACTCCAATGGGAATGCCCGTTCCGCTCTCATTCAATTCCATTCCACTCGATGCGTCTCAGTACATCTGTCCTCTCGCATAATTTAATAGTTGATCTTCCGAACCGGTGACAACTGTGGTAAGGGATTGTTTACCAAGACTTATCCACACATGTCGAACTCACGTAAATCACCAGATTGGCCCGGATCGTGGCGCGAAACTAACCTGTAGTCTCCCCCTTGCCCGGATTTGCCATCCCGCTCAGCGGTCCACTCTTCACCATGATGGTCAATACCTCATACAGCGCATCCGCCGCTGCCATGGTTGTATGTTCGGCATTCGTATCATACGCAGGTGCGACCTCGACGATGTCGGCCCCAATCAGATTGATCCCGTCCAAACCACGAAGGATTGTGCGCAGTTCGCGAGTCGACCAGCCTCCTGTTTCAGGTGTACCTGTAGCTGGTGCGACTACTTACTTTTGCATTAGCTCCCCTCTTGCAGTTCCTTTTTTGCTTGTGCTTCTCATAATAGTGCTATTTGCGCCATCAAAACGTTACAGTAACGGGACTTGGCTTACACGCTGGATCCAATGTGTCAATATCAATCGACCAATACACTGGCCGCTCCGATCCTACGCGGTCTCGGATTTTCTTGATGATTCCATCAATACCAATAATGTCAATCTCTCTAGCTTCAACAATTTCAAAGCCACAATAGCCGTCGTTTTCGTAGTCTGACGGACCGGAAATTGTCGTTCGAATCCCTGCATGGATATTCGTGTCGTTGGCTAGGAGCCCTTCCTGCGCCGCATGATAGAAATAAGTGCCGTGATTGATGCTGGCGATTTTGCTGGGTGCACCGCCAAAGACTTTTGGGCGCCAGGTGTCTCTATTTGTTGGTAGACGTTAACACATAGAGAAGATGGAATCTGCCTAATTGACAATGAGCACTTGTTGAATATTCTACATATGTATCTAGAGAGACTGGAAAGTGAGTCTGATACCTGCGTGCCGCCATCTCCAGGTAATGTATTATACCATATACCGCTCAGAGGCCCCGCAATCGGCTTCTGAGAAGGACCATCATGTGCAATGGCTGTGACCGCAAATAAAATAATACTAAATATATTAACAAGCATGATTCATGGGCCAGGTGTTTCAATGATTTTACTCTTCAAGTTGAATCATAAGAATTGACAGAGGATAAGCTGGCTTATTTACTTATTCTACCACTCAATGAGGGGTGCAGTACACAATGGTGACGCCATGCTATACTCCAGGTAGGGGAATAGTATACCTCGAAGGCAGTATCTCCGGAGACAATCCTTGACTGAGCTGGTAAGTGCCCCTTGGGAAGGTCTGGTACTTAAAATACTTGTTCAAGTGCTTCAACCCCGCCAGTACTTGTAAAGATCCATCGACCATTATATACATCCATTTAATTTAATACAGATCAGAATGTTAAAATATTGAAGCCTCTTTGTATCCGGATAATTGATCGTAAATGGCGGGGAAGTTGATTTCCATTCCCCACGGATAGCGATAAGAGCGATAAGGGATAGCCAAACAATCACATTTCCAAATTCTGACTAGCGCCCAATGAGCATCCTGCTCGAAGCTTCAGAGCTTCAACATCGCCGCCTTTCCCTTTTGGAATTGTTTCATCCACACTGGTCAACGGCCAAGATGTTACGTCCGGTCATAATTGACCCTGTTAACCTTTCCTATCCGCTTGGGAATACCCCTGCAGTATGCCTGACTCAGGATCTCCCGCCCGGAACTTCAGCGGACGTGCTCTTGCTGGGTTGCGGAGACGCTCGAAACGTTCTCTTCACCATATACAGCGAACTTAAATCTGGTCTGTTAGCCATTACCACTGCTGGGAATTGATTCGAAGCTGACAACTGGAAGCGAAGAAGTTTACTTTCGCTTGCTGTGACATCCAAGCGACTACCATTGGTATGAAGAAACTCTTAAGAACCTCTCCTTCATGTTCTCTCTGTGCTGACCGAATGATGAGCTCGAAATATCTTATTGTATACGCTTATTCTGGAATACGCCGAAGAAACGAATATTGAAACCATTTGGAAGATCTACTATGACCTCTTCCTCGAAGACGAATCGAGTCGCCTTCTTGAGACGCACGTTCAAATACTCTTGTCTCTCTCTGAGTCACTCGGCAGTTGGAAGAACGGCAAATATGGCAATTTCATTCACTTTTACGATGAAACTACATTCAAACAAATAAAAGCTATTTGGGGTTCTTATGCAGTTGGCAGGTTGGACGCGGATCAGAAAAGGTCATATGAAAGAGCCTACCGGGCTGGGATTCGACGAGCGCAAGACAAAAGGAAACAAGTCATTGGGGATTCAGATCCAATGCCCCTTCTTCGATCGGTCTTTCCGATTTTCACACCGGATGCTGCTAGGGCAATTGCTCCTCTGTACGAACAGTACTGGAGAAATGGTACCACAGCAGGATATACTTCGGATGATCTCGTTCCAAATCCTACATTCGCCCCTGCGGTTCTTGAGCCTCTCACCCTTCATTACGGGACGCACCCGCTTGCAGGATTCCATCTGGCGACGGCATCTGCGCCCCTGGCACCGGGTTCGCCCCTACGCTCTAGTGAACCCCATAACTCGACCATGTCAAAGGCCACCTTAGCAGCCCAAGAGGAGTTCAGAGAGTGGGCCAATTCATTTCGGCTCAGCGTCCGTCAGAATATGGCAAATCTTTATTTTGTGGCATCTGATGCAATTTCATTCTGTCACACACTTCAGAATATGACCAAAAATGGCGGAAACAACATATCAGCCAACTGGTATCGAGATTCGTGGCATGTGGATCCATTGATCTTGAATGGCGGGAATGGTCGCCAAGAAAGAGGCCCCATAGTATTTGATGTAATTGATACCTCCAATCTCTCTGATCACATTGGGCCTCTCAATGTCTTGCTATCGGCGGCCCCCTTGCTCAAGCGTCGTTCGACATCAACGTTGTATACCGAACTCTTGGTCAGAAAGGACGCAGATTTTCAGAAGTTGATCGAGAACCTCCTTTGTGGCGACTGTGCGGCCATGTCTGTCTTACTAGGTCTTTTCCCGGTGGAGTATTGGACCAACGCATCGTTGGCCTCAACCTTTCCTGACACCGTACTCCAGATGCTTTCAAACCCCAACAATTCTGGAAACAGCCAAGGACAGATGCGTAATCGCATTGCATGGAAGAGATCTGTGTTTTCGACGGCATTACTGTCAACATTACACGCTTACAAGGTTGGATTTGATGAATCTTTGCTAGCTGACGTTATTTTCAACGTCGCATCTGAGATGTTTAAGCACGAGGATATTCATGAGAGCCTTACTTTGACTTCCGAGGGTCTTCGAAATATTACGTTCCCATGCTATACCCGAGCAAGCGTTGCTGCCTTGTTAGGTATCGTGAAGAGTCGGGCATCGGTTGACTGGACAACATTTATGTCTCGCTTTATTGAGCGCCTGAATAGCAAAAACTCGCGACTTGGGAATCATTGCTTGAATGAAGTGCTGGTATCCTTGTATCTTTGCGGGATACCCACTGCCGAAATACTTAAGCCACCTTTCGACAATATGGAGCGGTCGCACTCTTCTCGGGGAATTTCCAATTGGAAAGATGTACCGCCTGTCGTTGCAATGACTGTTCGGATTCCACGAGCGAAGGTAAATGCTCTAAGGGATGCTGCAGAGAAAACACTCATTGCACCTGCGCTCATAGTCAGCGTTCAATCCAGCGGCAGATCTTCGACTGAATTCCAGCAGGATCTTTTTCAAAGCATCCAATTATCATTTGGAGAACCTGCACTAAGTGGCACAAGGGAGGAGGACAATTTTTCATTGAGGTTCTCCGAAGATCCAAACGGTATTTCAGGAAATTCCGACATGTTTGTATCATTCTATATCGCAACTTCACAAATATTGCACGGTCCTGAAACCAAAACAGTTGCACTTAGGGTCATGAACACAATGATTTATGCTTTCAAGTACGCTCAGTTCTTTGGTCCGGATTTGAAAGTTTTTGAGACGGATCTTGAAAGTCAGGACAATATTTACATCTCGAAATTCCTCCCTAACCAATCCGGATATCCGTCGGTGTCCGCTTCTGCGGACAGCTTGACTCAATCTTTCTCCGCTAATTACGACCGAATGAGTTTGACAGCAGATTTGCAACGAGGCCATATAAAGACTCTAACTGGTCGTGTCACCATTGTCATGCCAATTATCAAATCACTATTGACCAACCGTGGGTTGGTCGCTTCTACACAGCAAAGTGCCTGCGCAATCAGAATTACAATTGGTCAGGGGATTGATATCGGAACTTACACTCTGCAATTCCCGACCCCGGTACGACTTTCTCTGGGCAAAACAAGAGTAGCAAGAAAGTCTGGATATGTCGAGGTTGAAGTGCCTCTTGTCCACCCTACGGAAATTGACAGATTCCCCGACTTTATGTTTCCTACTGATGTCGAAGCTGGTCAACCGATTATCTGGAATGCTCCATGGCTAAATCTCGACCGCTCTCCCATTTTGGATGGTTCATTTATCAAGGAGCTGAGTTGGATTAATACAATCACTTCGCAAATGTTTTCGTCTAGTGAACGTTCGCTGAGAGAAAAGTCCATGACCGAGGAGGACACCACCCGGAACGACGTCAGAGTGGACTTCAAGGACTCCATCTTCTCGATGTTTATGCATTTCACTGGTCTACAGGGTCATCCTGCTCGGATATTCGGAATCAATCTTCCATTGCATGGATCGGGGATAAATATGCTCATCTTTGTTTCAGGGATTCGCATTGACCTTTCCAACCAGAATGTTATTCTCGACTCTGCGCTTCTTCCCTTGACCATAGATCTCGTACGCAAGATCGCTCCGACTCTGGGGTCTCTCCAGGACAAGGGGCTTTGCTCGATTACGGTGGACGAGCGGGAACTGCAGCTGTGGAAGACGATTCTTCCGGTCTTTATTGAAAGGTGTAGGACACACAGGCATCGTCCTTCTTGTGAGTACGGCGTCAGCGAGCAAATTCCAATTTCTGTCGAGCCGTCGAAGCCGTTTGTCTGCGGTTGTGGCCGTGGAGAGTTCCCGGCAAACTTTATTGACGGGCTTCCTGAGTGGCACGTCCTATCGCGGTACTGCGTTCGGGCTGCAATATCTCCAGTATTCTCTGTGCCGTATGTTGACAAGCCCTTTGATGTGAGTGCGTATGCACCATCGGTGATGTCACCAGAGCGATGCAACAAGTGTGGTCAGACTAATTCGATGCGGGGCGGAAGTTTACTCCGATGCAGTCGATGCAGGCTCGTCAGATACTGTTCGGATGAATGTCAAAAGGCCGACTGGAAGAAGCATAAGAGCGTGTGTAATGCCTGTTGAGTTGAGAGGAGAGTTTAACTCGTTTCCATCATATGGGTTCCAAATTTAAAGTGAGATATGACGTGTTCTGGCGTATATATGGTGGGCACATTGGCGATTTAGTAGAGATGAGCACGGATATTATTAGAATGTCGAAGGCATCATTTGCTAAAAAAAAAACTTACATATGTCTCCCTTGCTGAAGGGATAATCATGACTGTCAAGTTAAAGTGAAGTAAAGATGAATACTAGCATGAGATCCACCCGATCGGACGATGTTCTCCAATGCACTGCGAGCTAATATCACACATTCCTGAACACGTGTTTTCCTTTTGCGAGATGCTTTTGGAAGAGGGGGAAACGAAGAACGACCACATAGTACGGAGTTCGTTCTAATTATATTCGGACAATCTACTGAGTTCTCTGATACGTCGCAGATGCAGAAGCACTGACCAATAGTTTCTTGTTTGGTCCACTGTACTCCGTTCTCGTACAGTCTTCTCCCTGTCTTGTTTGCTCCGGACGGAGATAAAGTGTACGCCCTTCGTACGTATCATACTGATTGTTATAGCACAGCCTTCATCTAACGCGGCAATTAGAGGCCAAATGTGACAAGCATCACTTCCCATCTCCACATCGGCTGTCTTGGCAGGAGGTTGTTCTCGGTTATATCAACCAATCCGAATACTCTGCAGCTCATGGGAGTCCCTGAACTCCGGAAATGCCCCTTTTGAAGCCTCCATGGCCGCTGCCTAGCGACGACTAATAGCCACGCCGCCGGCATCATTAATGTTACCGCCTAAATGATTCTACACTACTCGAGGCTTCGGAGGTTACTAGAACCATTCTTTGCGGGTCACGGTCCACCATCTGTCCGAATTGAATTGGACCCTTTTTTACCTCATGTGCAAATTACAGTGCAGTATTTGTGCAGTCAGTCGGCTACAGCGATAGTTCAAGGCCAGTGAAGCATAACGGCTTTTTCTGGTCACCGTTAGGCGCACTCTTCTTCAAGTTGCCGTCGCCATTAAGAGACTGAACGGGCCGCTTCCGACACCATCTGCTCGTGTTCTTTCTTTTTCTCCGTACAAAGTCATCTGCTTATGATTCGGGAAAACGACATGGATCTTGCCAGATACTCTAGATATCCCAACTCACCAGCACTGCCATTGCAAGGATCGAGTGGGGATGGACCCAGCAGTGGGGTTCGCTCTGTTCAGGGTCTCTCTTGCTCTCTTTCTCGAATCCACTGCCCCCTGACGGTGGAGAGCCTTTGAGGATATGCATCCTAGATCCGCTGTGGTGGAGCAAATTCTCCCCTTGATTGTTACGGCTGCGACCGGGGGCTTTGACGGGCGAAGTCCAGTAAAGATGGAGAGGTTTATACTTTATCGAAGTTGTCTCTGCATTCGAACCAACATTCGTTCAACCCTCTGCCTATTGTTTTACATGCGCAATGTGGCGTCAGGCCCACTCCTATGAGCTATTGCCCACCTCGAATGAAGGACTGAAAGACCCATTTGAGAAAAACGAGTCTCATTTCTATACTGCTGCGCTCAGGAAGACTTGGTGCCTTTGCAGAGACACATGCTGCGCTTTAGTGTCCGGCTCAAGTGCGGGTCGTAAACTGGGGAAAGTCGTGCTCATCTTTATACCTGTTGTTGTTCTCGCGCTGGTCGTCCTCACTGCTTTGTTCAACCCCTCTTATGTCCATCGGCCGCCTCACTACGTTGGCGCCAATCCGCACAATGAAAAGGTCTTCATAGCTGCCAATATCGTTGATGCTGGCCTGATACGAGGCGCTTGGGGAGAAGCTCTCCTACACCTGATCGAGCAGCTTGGCCCTGAGAACACGTACCTCAGCATCTACGAAAATGATAGCGGCTCAGATACCAGGGAAGCTCTCTCAGAACTACGACAGAAAGTCAAATGTAAGATGACATACGGCCTTGGCATCTGCACACAATAATATCAAACCCGGAGATTGATACCCTTTGAAGGTATAGACAGCTGATTCTTTTCTCTCTACCATCAAAAGGCAGATCAACAATTACTTCGGAGCATCTTCCCTTTGAAAACATCCCAAAAGTCGAACTCCCTTCAGGAGAGAAACGCACAAAGCGAATCGAATATTTAGCAACTGTACGAAATCGAGCAATTCAACCCCTTGAAAGGGTTGGGAAATACACTACGTTTGATAAGATTTTGTTTCTCAACGATGTTGTCTTCTCCCCAAGGGACGCAGCGGATCTTCTATTTTCCACCAATGCAGACTCGGATGGGCGTGCCCAATACACAGCTGCATGTGCGCTAGATTTTATAAACCCTTTCAAATTCTATGACACTTTTGCTAGTCGAGATTTTGAGGGATTCAGCATGGGTGTGCCATTCTACCCCTGGTTTGCACCTGGCAAGAGTCGGGATCAAGTTCTGGACGGCACAGATGCGGTCCAGGTACAAAGCTGCTGGGGAGGAATGGTTGCGTTTGACGCAAAGTGGTTTCAGCCGCCAAAGTCGTCCGGACTGCCTAACGGCCTAGGTAGTGTCTCTTTTGGCCTTTGATAGGTTGTTTTACAAGTACTAATTGTCTTTAGATTTTCAATCATCTCCCGGACATGCTATTTATCCCAATGCAGAGCCGCCTCTCCGATTCCGCGCCGAAAAGGAATTGTACTGGGAGAGTTCAGAGTGCTGCCTTATCCACGCAGATATCCAAGCTGCTGCCACAAACGCTGGCAATTTCAAGGGAATCTACATGAATCCTTTTATTCGCGTCGCTTATGACGCGCATACGCACAAATTGCTGGAGACAACACGGCGATTTGAAAAGCTGTATTCCGGCATTCATCGTCTGATTACGAGTATGGCTGGCTTACCGAAATGGAATCCTCGCCGTGCTGAAATGCCTGGCGAAACCGTCAATCATACCACATGGAGCCCTTCATATCATCGATTTGAGGATATTGAGCAAGTGGCAGCGCCAGGCGGGTTCTGCGGAATGCCTGCTCTTCAAGTGCTTAAAAAGCAGCACAAGCCTGGTGAGAAGATGTGGGAGAGATTACCAATACCGTCGCGGTAATGCTAAATGTTGTTTTTCAGTACTTATACCACATCTGGATTTTGTAAACCTTGAGATTTTAATGATGAACCATGATATTCCGATCAAAAAGCAAATTTTGTCTAATTGGATGCTCGTCTGCTTTTCTTAATTATGAACTTAATGAACCTCTTATAAGTCTGAGCATTGAGACGTCCGACTTTATAAACATTTTATTTCTAAAATCGAATCTATAGCGGCATCGTTTATGTTGGTACGGTTTTACCGCTGACCGCTCAAGCATGCGACCCAAGAATTGGGTTAGTAAGCATCACTTCATGAGTCGCGACCGCGAGATGTCCTAGGACAACCTGATCTAACCGTCCATCATCATCCAGGTCTGTGACCAAGGGCATTCAAATAACGAATTATATGGAAAGTATGGAAAGATATTTTCCCAAGCTCGATCATCGTGAATGGAACAACGTGTATTGGCAGCGATCGCGCAATAATCCATAGATTGACGTGCCGCTGCTCATTGGGTATATTAGTCGAACTCCTAGATATTTGGCGAACTAAAGTTGAACAACATCAAGTAACAAAAGAATAACGGAATCGTAAATGGCCTGTCTAACCCGTCCGTCTATATCGTCTAACTGATGAAATTGCGCTCAAGCTTTTGCATCTCCGTTGACATCAATGCTAATAGACTCGATAGACTGTTCTGCTGGGAATTGAGTCTGGGCATCAAAGTCCTCGCTCTCCGGTTTGACATCGGTTACCTTCCACGCGGACCATGTGGTGGTGGGAACACTGGCCCAGAAGACCACAGCACTGACAGTCAGATTTGTCATCAAGGACGCGCTCTTGCTTGCACCAACTCCATATGAAAAGGTGCTTCCAAGCGATTCTCCTGCCCGCAGGAGAGATGTGGACAGCGCGAGGGTAGCAATGTCGGCATCTAATGTTCCAAGGACCCAGTACATCCAGACATTGATCGCCTCGAACCCAATGCTATTTTGATTGAATCAGTTAATTGTTCATGAACGGTCACGAGCTAGAGGATTCCTACCGGTACAAAATATAGACACCAACAGCTTTGCCGAAGCCGGGCGAGTCAATGTCGAGCGATGCGTTTTCCTCCTGCAATTTCTTTTGCATTACGAAATTGTATATCCACGTCGCGGTGTAGGCGACAAAAATAAAGATCCAACTGATCCTTGCCACGAGCGAGCGACGGAGGACTTTGGTGTCAAGCAGCCATCCCAGCAAAAAGTCTGTAAGTGTCGAGACGATCGAGGCAATGAAGCCAGCCAAGGATCTGCCACGTACGGAAAAGTACGCCACCAGGTAGATGCCTTGATATGTCTGGCCCCACTGAGCGGCGATAAAGATGGGAACGAGAAGAAGAATCTCCTTGCGCTTGCATACACGCCAGAAATCTTTAAAGCCCTTTTTAATAGGAGTCTTATTTGTGCCAAATCCAGGCTTGGTACCATCAGTCCGAATGACCTTGTGCGGCTCTGCAATGGTCAATGAAAGTGGAAGGCCCAGGCATTCCAGCGCGACAAGAACAAGGTAGGTGTTTGGACTAATGCTTCCTTTCTGGTCGGCATGAATGTTGAGGGCGAGCTGGATGGACGTGGCTATGATCTGGCCAATCTTGTTCAGCGCAAGCCAGATCGAAACTAATATTGGTTAGTATGATCAGGCAGGAGAGTCGCTCCTGGGAACTTACTATAAAAGCCTCGATTTTTAAGTTCGGGATAGCCAACCGCGATGGCGGCTTCTGAGACCCATAATGCAGCGGCCTGAAGAAAATATCAGCGACGCTTGATGTACCAAGGTGATCGACAGTCTAATGCATACCGAGAAACCACAAGTTGCTGCGCCAAAAAGTAGGAACCACTCCGTTCCGTACACGCTGTTACAGTACAGCGCGGCAGAATACGGCACGTATCCTATTGTTCCAAAGACAAGCACCCATTTGATATTCAGCCTGTTACCAAGGACTGCCGATATTGGCGCGAAAAACACCATAATCGCAAAAGTAATGACATTGGCAGCGTTCACAAAAAATGGCGAAGCCTCGCCTCCCGCGCCGAGATCTAGGGAATATCTTGTCAGCTATGCCCTCCTCAACTAGGAATTCGTGAGATGCAACTGAGGAGCCACATACTGTTCAAGGCAGTCCATATTCCAGGTTGCGTGAAACTGATCAGGCCGAGGACAATTGCCTGGTACAACGTCCCTCTATAGAATCGATGAAGCGTGCTGGTGAAACCCCTATCCTTCCATGATGTCGAGCCCTCCAGCGCACTCTGCGAACCCATTTTCTTCTCTCAGCCGAAAGGACCTGAGAAACTTCACCCTATCGAGTAGAAAAGAACAGGGAATGTGAATTCGACCGATATTTCCTATCAATATTTCAAACGACCAGCATCCATATTCTGTGGTTGTTGCATTCCGACTTTATATGCTCATATGCTGGCAAATCGCGATTATTCCATAGTAACGATCTAATATTTCTTATCGGAATAATTCCATTGCCTCTTCTCACTACCGGTTTTGAATGGATGAAATTGGTGTAACTCTACCCCTCAGAGTGTGGGGCGATGTCGTGATTGCAGGCCTTGGTTTCGTAAAGCAGTTCTTCGACATGGGACATTTCCCATGTTCCAGAATTCCATGCAGGCTTAGTAGACCTGCCAGGCCTATTGAATTATGCTCATTGGGCCTTTGATATGGGCAATTGACTTAGTTCGTGTCGATCACCAAGCACGTTATGGTTTCAGGCACGCGGCACTGTTAGCACAACATCCAGAACTCTGATTATGCAAGACGCGGTACTGATAAGAAGAAGAAACAGGTCTATTAAGCTTATCTTCTTGGTTATCTGCCTAATTGCTTGGTCTTTTTGTACGCATTTAGTTGGGTTCTCGACCATGACATACGTGGTGATAGGCCGTTCGCTGCATGCCATCAGGGTTAGTTCATCCGTCATGGAATTTGGGTCCCGAGCTGATCATTCAAGAAATACAATAGAGAGAGAATTTTCCCGTTCCCACAGAGTTTGGGTGGAGAGTGAGCAGATGGCATACTCGGGATCATAGATTAAAAAATTGCTAGTAAGAATATTTATTATTTAACGTCAATGTCAGAGATAGAAGATTTATCGATTGCATGATCGGGTATTAAACAGATTTGACGACAAGAAATATTAGTTTATATATATAAAAAAAAAGGAGAACAGACAACGGAACGTAGGAGCTTCTACCATGAAATCCTACCCAAGTATCACGAGAGGACTAAATGATGCACATTGGCACAATGGAATAATGCTTACCACTATACCGAGAAGGCATAGCCGAGTTGTGGTTGCACCATGGGGTAACCATTTAGCCTAACGGGCAGTTGGCCCGTGCAGGTGTCAGTTGTCCAATTTACCCCCCATCATAACCGGAAGCTTTCTCTAAGAGTTATCATTTCTTGCAGGCAGAAGAGGCATTTTATACCTAGTGGTCCCGATCGAACTATAATTTTCCAAATAAAAATGCATATATGGCTAATTTTACCATTCTAGCTAGTCGTGTCATATCTATCCCGCCTCTCCTCATTTCTAACAAGCCCCAGCTTCCACTAGGGTCCTGGAACTCGGTCACCAAGCCCAGCAAGGTCTCCTGTCGCACTTCCCGAGTTTAGATCGACCGTCGAACTTCCAGCTCCTATTCCCACCGAAGTGAGAATTGTATCAGCTACGAGCATACTCAAAGGTGATGTATCCTACTACAGAGTCGTCAAAGTGGAGGCCTGTTTTATAGGCAAGCACGGCTGAGGTGTGCACCGTATTTGACCGCCTTCGACTCTTGCCCTGGCCCGGTCTTAGTGGTAGCGCGAGGTGGAGCATATCCCTCGTCATCTCGGTCTTTGCACATTCTGATCTTCAGCGGAAGGATATTGTGGTTCGCCGACGAGAAACTTCACCCAGGTCAACGTTGAGGTCTAGTACCCTCGATGCCGTCCTGGTTGATTGTATGGATGTTGGCTGGCAGCCGACATATTGGGGTTATGGGATGGAATGGCGACTGGCCGAAATACCTCCATATCATATAGGACGCGTGGCCGAATGGAGCAGTCATGCTACCCATGGTCTATCAGGATCTGTATCTCCAGGCATGACAAATGTTCTATTTAGGGTTGGTCTCTGTGCGGAGGAGTCCGCATTCTAGCATGGCGGGTATTGCCTGTTGCTCCGTCCATTCGGTGCACTTTCTATAAGGCGGACGCGTCTCGTTTGGGCCATATAATGTGCCGTCCGGTCTGCATTGCTCGTAGATCATTGTCTTTGGGTTGAACCATCTTTGGCGCGGAGGAGGAGGTAGTGATCGCAGTAGGTTGTCGAGAGCGGTAAGATGCTCTGTTGCGGCGATCCAACCCAGAAAAAGCTTCTGATGATAAGTTTCCGACTTATCTGGAGCCGACCCGTGGTTGCTCTGGTAGACCATTCCCGATGTCGATACGATATCGCCAGTGACCTCGTGGGTCCAGCCGCCACCATCTGCGTCAGTCTCGACAAAGACCACCGTGTGATATCTTGTTTCAACAAAGGCAGGATCTTGAAATCCTAGCCTGTATTGCACTTTGTAAACTTTGTAACTTTGCAAAGACATTATGAAGAAGAAGCCGATAATCCAAAGCATATAATAGTCAGTCTTCTATGAGTGACAAGAGCTGTTCCCCTGGCCACGTCGTCAATCATGGGTGGTTACATTACTGTTCATCGAGGCTGCAAGCTTACAATTGAAACAACCTCGGCATTACAACAGCGAAGGTACAACTCAAGCATACCTACCTTAAGGTAAGTACAAGTTTCGGTTAGACTTTAAGCACGACGACAAATAACGTCGCCTCCGCTGAAACCTTCATTATCCACGTACTCAGCCACGTGCCGGTAAGCTTCAATGATTACTATTTTGAGGGAGCTGAAAGCGGGGTTCTTCTCCTTGCATTCTAGCGGAGCATTTATAGCGGTATGACCTATAGACAGGGGTAACAAAAGATTGCAATGATACCATACTTGACCTTTATGCGGATTTCAAACCTGAGACCGCAGCTTATCGGTGGAGAAAAAGGTCCGTTGAACTGGGAAACAGGACAATTAATGTTTCTTAGACTCACGTTCTTTTCCTAGACTTGACCATGGGCATTATCGTGCAAGAGGCAACACTATGACAGAGCATTTGGTACCTTGTGCTGCCAATATGGCATCTTACAATGCAGAAGAGATTCGGGAGCGCGAGTACCCTCAACTTCAAGGCAGAATTTACCTGGATCATGCAGGAACAACACTTTATGCCAAATCACTCATTGAGACTCACTGCAGGGACCTGGTTGACAATCTCTATGGGAACCCCCACTCGGATAACTCACCCTCAAAACTCTCGGGTCAGCTTGTCGAGGATATTCGAGACAAGGCTTTGCGGTTCTTTGGAGCCAGTTCCACGGATTTTGACCTTGTCTTTGTCGCTAATTCCACCGCTGGCATGAAGTTGGTTGGTGAGTCCATAGCCAGCTACTCGCAACGGACCCTGTCTTCTGCACCTTTAAACCCCCTGGGAAGTGGCGCAAACAATGGTTTTGGCTTCCAATATTTCTATCATCAAGATTCACATACTAGCTTAGTGGGACTCCGTGAACTGGCTTTGTCTGGAAGCACCTGCTTGCGTAATGACCATGATGTGACGCAATGGATTCGAAACTTTCAAGCAGAAAACTCTGGGGCTCAGGTCGGACCGATTGTTCTGTTAGGATACCCAGGGCAAAGTAATTTAACGGGTAGAAGATTACCTCTTTCTTGGTATTTACCTTTTTCTTATATAAGAATCGGTCCGAATCTCGTACATTTGTAGCTAATTTCTGAATCGCTATTATTTACAGGCCTGACGACATCCGTGCATTGAAATGTCGCAGCCAGATATATACCCTTTGGGATGCAGCAGCATTAGCCACCACCTCATCAATTGACCTTTCAAGTAGCGCCACAGCGCCTGACTTTACAGTCGTATCATTCTACAAGATCTTCGGTTATCCTGACCTAGGAGGTTTGATTATCCGCAAGGCTGCGACGCACATGTTCCAATACCGCAGGTACTTTGGAGGAGGCACGGTGGATATGGTGACCAACTACCCCTCAGCCCAAGACGCTCCATGGTATGCCAACAGAACCGGGCCGCCGCACGAATATCTAGAGGACGGAACGCTTCCTTTCCACAATATCTTTGCTCTCTCGCACGCGATCGACAAGCACATGGAGCTTTTCAATAGCATGCATTGCATTTCTTCCCACACCAGCAATCTAATCCATGAAACATATCGCGCCCTAAGAAATCTCAAGCATGCAAACAGTACGCCGCTCTGCCAGATCCTCTACAATTCAAATCTCGGACATTTTGGCGATTCTCGAACCCAGGGGCCAACAATAGCATTTTCCGTTCTTAGTCCATCGGGTCGCCCTTATGGATATGTTGATGTGGAGCGTGCCGCAGATCGGGCTGGAATTTATGTACGTAGCGGCAGTGTATGTAATCCAGGAGGAATGGTGTATCTGGGTTGGGAGCAGATGGAGGATATGCAACGAGCGTGGAATGCTGGCCACCGGTGCTCAAACCCTGTACAAGAAATCGACGGTATGCCGACGGGGATTATTCGGGTCAGCCTTGGCGCGATGAGTACAATAGCTGACGTGAATGGTTTTGTAAAATGGTTGAAGGAAACCTACTTGGACCATTCCCTCGATGTTGAGATGGATACTGGTTTGAACGTCCACAAAGTACACCAGAAAACATTGCTGATAAGACAGGCAAGCGCTACGAAGCATCACTTCATCGGTCCCTCCAACGCCATAACCGGCAAAGTCAACCCTATCAAAAAGGGAAAAGGTCATGATCAAAATCATGGGGAGAGAAAATCAAAGTTCTTAGTATCGAGGGTTCGAAGAGCATGGCACTTTTGTCTTGGACCGTGAACGAAAGTATTTCAGTAACATTCAAGAAACTTTTATATCCAATACATGAAATGTCACAGCCATCTGTCTCGGTCTTTAGTCTCAGCTTCTTAGCAAGCTCTTTTGCACCACGATAATGCTCTATGTGGTCAATCATTACCACCAGTGACCTGAGCCGATCTGTCATGCCCAAAAAAATAGAAATTGTGTCTATATTTGCAGGTACCAACGCCAATACCAGACGAGAAGATAGTTTCCAACTATATCTCACTCAAATATAGATTTTTATTCAAAGCTCTTGCTGCTTGGAGTCGGAGGCTTTCCTTTACTTATTGAACTTTGAAAAAGTACACTCGACGAGCTTGTCTGAGAAGTCTGTTAGACATACAACTTTTGTTGATCATACCAGGACCTGGGAAGCCAATCAGTACCTTGTCTTTGGCATCTACATCATACTCCTAACATTCAGAGCCCAAATTGTTCTTGTAAGGCCTTGTTCATGAATCTCTACGAGGAAATAATCATGCTCACTCGACATACATAGCTCGGATGAGCTGTGTGATAGAATAAATTCGAACTCCATTTTAGCATTTTTGATCACTATATGTGGTAGAGAGTTTTATACTTACAATCGATGGTTAGAGATTAATTCAAGCAAATTGTGCCCTAGGAATGACAGATGTCAATTTTCGCCTTGAACGATACACCCCGGCCTCGAGTAAAGACAATACAATCAAGGTCTTGACTTCATTTCTTGAATTTCACCCGGAAGATGAGAAAATAAAAATTCTAGACGACATCCAGCATTGCCAAAATGATGATGGCCTCCGACTGCTGTCGTTGTCCCTGTTTCGAGAGGATTTCAAGTGTGGGTCTGACGAGTACTATCATGCCACAGAGAGTTCTCCACTCCACGAAGGTGATGACACCGAGTGTGCTCACATAATCCCCTTCTCGCTGCTTCATCTCTCCAATGTCTGGGTGACAATTCTACGCTGTTTCCCGTCTCTCAAGGGTTCCATTAGTCGCGATCAAATAATCAGCCCGAGCAATGCCATGACTCTTGCTTCCCCGCTCGATCGCGAGTTTTCTACTTTTCGCTTTACGCTACAACCAATTTCGGCCGCAAATGAATACCAAATCATCGATTGCCGGGCGAAGCAGATAAGCAAGTGGAGCTTCCCGCGCGACATGAAGGTCTCGCTGCGCTCCTCGGACTCGAGATATCCGGTTCCGAGCCCTCAATTGCTCAGTGTCCACGCCACTATTGCCAAAATTCTGAAAGAAACGGGCGTGAGCTGCTGAGGCAGAAAAGGCAGTCAGGGATGCAGGAGAAGTTGGTGGACTTGCTACCGATGGATCAACCAATATCGCCCTTCTTCTGGCACTCTTCTGGCTACGCATACTCCGGAGTATTAATATCTCCGTTCAGTGTTGTATCGCAGGTTGTTCGCAGTCGCGGCGTAACGTACTCCGGAGTATCAATATCTCCGAGATTAATATCTCCGAGAAGCCCTGTCTCACTAAAAGAAAACATGTCTCTGCAATTAGCTATGCCGATCGGTAATCGACTGATGGATGGTGGCAGAATATGGTTTAGAGAGAAGCTTCCCCTCAATTTCTGACCTAAGCAAGCTCAACGGTTAAATTCTACTAGCCTTCTGCTGGGGTAAGCGGACCTGCTCGCGCTCAGCTTAGGCAGAAAAGGATACGTCGTCGTCGCCAAGATGTCTTGATTATATCGATTACGTGTTGACAGACATTATTGACTGTCGCCTTGTTTTTCTTTGAGCGGTCTCTATCTCCAAACGTCGCGAGCCCTTCGGATGCCGGGTCATGTCTGATCCGTGTGTGACTTGAAAATGGGTATTAAAACCCAGAATGTAATCACCGTCGTGGCATTATCATCATCATCATCATCATCAAAACAAAATCCTTCAGACAATCTATATTAACCGCACAATACTCTGCGCCGACTGCCCGAAATCAAGCTCATACAATTATATTGCTCTTGCCGATACCATGGCGCCGAAACGCATTTTCATAACTGGTGCCAGTGGCTTCATTGGTTCTGTGGTTGTCGAACAGGCTGTCAAGAAGGGATATGAGGTCCACGCATTGTCCCGAACGGAAACCAGCGATGCCAAGCTCAAGGCGCAAGGTGCAATTCCCGTCCGGGGCGGCCTCGAGTCCTACGATGTGCTACGCGAGCAGAGTGCCCAGGCCGACATTGTCCTGCATCTTGCTGATCCCTTTGCGCGCGACTTTACCATGGACTACGCTGAGGTGATGCGCATTGACCACGCCGCTGTAGATGCCATTGGGGCGGGGCTTGAGGGAAGCCACAAGCCTCTGGTCATCGCGTCGGGGTCGTTGACTGCAGGGCCCACCGGTGATGTTACTACTGAAGAGTCGCCTCCGCCGGAAAAGCCTCTGAATGGCCGCCTCCAGTCCGAACAGCACGCTCTCAAGCTGGCCAACCGGGGCGTCACGACTTCTGCAGTTCGACTCGCCCCGTTCGTCTATGGACGTGGTGGAAGTGGTGTAATGCATCTAATGGCCATGTCTGCCAAATCTGGAGAGGTCTTTTACGTCGACGACGGGTCTCTGAAGACATCCAGTGTGCATGTCGACGATGCTGCCGCTCTGTTCCTTCTCGCAGCCGAAAAGGCCAAAGCTGGTGAGGTCTTCAACGGCACCTCAGCTCATAATACCACCTTCCGGGAGCTCTCCGAGGCCGTCGGTTCTGTTCTCCAGCTTCCCGTCAAGCCCCTCTCCTTTGAGGAGACCCTGACCACTAAGGGCGAGTTTTTGGCACGCTTCCTCACTGCGGAAAACCAGGCATCCGGCGCAAAGGCGAAACGTGTTCTGGGATGGAATCCCGAGGGGCCGAGTATTCTTGATGACATCAAAACGGGATCGTATGTGGCTTTAGCTGAAGGGTTAAAGAAGGGTGCTGCTTGAATTCTCTGTACTTGCAATTTGAGCTAATTGAATCGGATCATTATAATCTTATAATAAATCTCCCCTCAAAGAAAATTTAAGACTTGTTTGTGACTCGTTTGTTAACAAGTATTGCCAAATCTCAAATACAGTAAAAGTACTCCGTACTTGTATCTAGAACAGTACATCCTTCTAGAATAATAGCCTTATCAGCTCCCTTTTCCAGGGACCATTTAAGATTCTTAAACTAATGCTACTTGTAGAATAGGGCAAGCAATCTCGAGATATCTTATTGGGCGTGGCTAAGGCCAAGCCTATTTGACAATTGGAAGCGACAATTGCACCATTGCATTACTCATCGGTCAGACATGTGGCTTATCCATCTCGCCCTTTGTTCCGATCAAATTTGATGTGTCGCGCACTACCAGAGTCCCCTAAGATCCACCCGTCCGAGCAATCAGACTATCTGCAATTTTAGTTCGACGGTTCCGAGCTGCTCTATTTGGTTATGGAGATAACCACATCTTTCCGTCCTTTTTTTCTAAAAGGGGCACGCGACCACGCAGGCACCAAGTCCTCCTCCAGCCTCGCAACCTCCAAGGCGAAACTCCTACTCTCTCCCGCACACGCTCTGCCCCAAACATTTACGAACGCGCTCGGGAGCGAATAAATCACTATGGGGGCGAAAAAGCCTAATATCCTTTACATCATGGCGGACCAGATGGCCGCACCGTTGCTGTCGTTTTATGACAAAAGCTCCAAGATCAAGACGCCGCACTTGGACCGCCTGGCCGACGAAGGCGTGGTGTTCGACAATGCCTACTGCAACGCGCCTCTCTGTGCGCCCTCGCGCTTCGTCATGGTCACTGGCCAGCTGCCCTCGAAGATTGGCGCCTACGACAATGCGGCGGACCTCCCGGCTGATGTCCCTACCTACGCCCACTATCTCCGCAACGAAGGTTATCACACTGCTCTGGCCGGGAAGATGCACTTTTGCGGCCCGGATCAGCTGCATGGTTACGAGCAGCGTCTGACAAGTGACATTTACCCGGGCGATTACGGCTGGTCAGTGAACTGGGACGAGCCGGTAAGTGACCCTTTTGCATTTCATCGCTCAGAATCAGAAGCTGAAAGAAGGATTATTCAGGATATCCGGCCTGACTGGTACCACAATATGTCTTCGGTCATGGAAGCTGGTCCCGCCGTACGCACCAACCAGCTTGACTACGACGAAGAGGTCATCTACAAATCAAAGCAGTATCTCTACGATCACGTCCGCAAACGAGGCGACCAGCCGTTCTGTCTGACGGTCTCGATGACGCACCCGCACGATCCATATGCGATGGAAAAGGAATTCTGGGATTTGTATGAAGATGTTGAGATACCGCTTCCGCAGACCCCAGCAATTCCTCACACCGAGCAAGATCCCCATTCGCAACGCATCTTGAAGTGCATCGACCTGTGGGGTAAGGAGATTCCTGAGGAGCGCATCAAAGCAGCCCGTCGCGCCTACTATGCCGCCTGCACCTACGTTGACACCAACGTGGGGAAGCTGCTACGTACGCTCGATGCCTGTGGTCTCACTGATGACACCATCATCGTCTTCACCGGCGACCACGGTGACATGCTGGGCGAGAGAGGATTATGGTACAAGATGGTGTGGTATGAGAACTCGGCTCGCGTGCCCTTTATTGTTCATGCGCCCAAGAGATTTGCTCCCAAACGCGTGACCGAGAACGTCTCGACCATGGACATTCTTCCCACGTTTGTCTCGATGGTGGGCTCCCAGCTCGTGCCCGGACTCCCGATGGATGGTGTTTCCCTCATGCCACTCATTGAAGGGACGGATGGGGTCAAGACAGACACTGTCTTTGGTGAGTACATGGCGGAGGGCACGCAGGCACCAGTCATCATGATCCGTCGCGGCCGGTATAAGTTTGTGTACTCGCCGCTCGACCCGCCAATGTTGTTCGATCTCGAGGCAGACCCGTCTGAGCTGGTAAATCTCGTTGCCGGTCTGCCCGTCCCAGCCGCTGCCAAAAATCACCGGTCGCAAAGGCAGCTGGACGATTTGCCTGAAATATATAGTCCTCACGTCTTGCCCGGCCCGATCCCCGCAATTCTCAGCACCGAGCAATCCTTTTTCCCTAAGATGGCGCTCCCTCCCACTCCTCGGACTCCAAGCCCTGCTCAATCTCCAAGCCCGCTTCCCACGAGGGACCCAGCATCGCTGCTCGTTCACTTTGTCAACGAAATCCATCAACGCTGGGATTTGGACAGTATTCACCAGGATGTCCTTCGCTCTCAGCGTCGTCGGCGCCTCGTATACTCTGCTTTGATCAAGGGCCAGCCGACCATTTGGGAGCACGAACCTCGCGTTGATCCGAGCACGCAGTATGTCCGCAATCAGGGAAAGGGTCCACTTGATGATGTTGAATTTATATCCCGCTGGCCTCGAGTATACCAGAGCTAGGTTATGACAACCTGTTAGCCTGCAAAAGTCTTACGTCCTTCTTTTCATGCATTCTAGCATTTTCCTGGTAGTACTAGCGGAGCTCTTTGTTATCTTAAGCAGAGACATTTTTTTATAACGTGTGAATATACCCTTTAATGAAAGATTTTCGAATTTTTAGAACAATTTTTTAAGATTTTATCCTTGCTATTCTTGAGATTGTAATGAAACATAACACATGATTATTATAATTTTCAAGCAAAGTAAGGCAGCCAGAAGTATTAGTACAAGTAAGACAAATATTCCTAAATAATAATATTGATATATAAAAATTAAAATAAATTTTAGATGAAAAGAGTACCACCAAAATTTAAATTTTGAAAATCAATAGTAATATTAAAAATAAAAAAATAAAAGGTTAAACTACTACAAACCAGATCTGTCCATCAACCCTTGTGCAACCCTTCACCACCAGGAAACCCACCCCACCACCACGCGGGGCCCGACCACCGCCACGAGGGTTAGGGTTAGGGTTAGGGTTAGGGTTAGGGTTAGGGTTAGGGTTAGGGTTAGGGTTAGGGTTAGGGTTAGGGTTAGGGTTAGGGTTAGGGT